ACATAAGTATTGTGTTGATATCTTGGGCCATTGAACGTAGGGCATTTTGGAGATTTAGAAAGTATGTCTATTTTTATCTTGCCAAGATTAATTACTTTATCTTTATCCACTTGATTGATTTGATTGATTTGATAACAAGTTTATTTGTAATCATTTTTATGTCATTGAGTTTATGGTGTAAATAAGTATAATCTTTATAAATGAAAATGCCGTAAGGATGTAGCTTTCAAGCACTCTTCTATTTACAAAAATACTTGAATGAAAAGTGGCTGAAGCATTGTCAATTGAGAAGGTCATACATTCAGACAAGCAAAAGCAAATTCATGACTTCAATGGCGAGAATGTTATTCAATTAGTCGAACCGTATTTGTGTAAAACTGGTTCGAATGTGATTTTGGCTCCGGCTTTGTAACGATGATCAGGCACAAGAATGGTTATGTTCAAATTTTTCTGCTCTCGGAATGTTACTAACCAAAAAATTTGAACAATATCTGGTAGTATGAACATTGAGCATAAGACTGATCAAGTGGCTTCAAAAATTGCTTTTGCCTTTTGAATAAACTATCCATGATTTTCGTTGATGAAATTTAGTCAAAACAGTGGATTTAGTTTTGTATAATCTAAACAGTTCGAGAACTGTTAAAAAAGTGCAACATTGATGATTCAATCAGTTATGAGTGTTTTAATGGTTGCAAATTGTTGCAAAATAGGTTTTATGCAAGTGAAGGAATTTGAATAACGGAAAAAAAAATTAAAAAAAAAAAAAAAAACCTTCGTTATGAGCCAAATCAATATTTTAGAATGTAACTTATATACCATGCAACGTCTTTTTGATTCTCGATTTGTTGTTGCTATTTTAAGAAATTCATGTGACTATAGGATGGTAAACAGAGCCGTTCATCGATCAGGAAGGAAACATCAGGTCATTTGTACAGAATTAGTTTGAAATAATTTGAACCCTGTCTAATTCGATTCCATGAATCTAAAATTCAATATTCGTTAAATTCATGTTAAATGATAGCAACCTCAAAAAATGTGGATCTGTTACCACGAGATTGTAAAAATGTTTCAAACCTAAGTTGATTGTTGGCTGTAGAGAAGAAGAACGCAGGGCTCTATCATAAGGATCCAGTGCATGGTTTGAATTACGTCTAAACCTATTGTAAATGTTGAGGAGGAGACTCCAAAGCACAAACAGCATTTGAAAATTTGTAGGAGCTTTTTCATTAGTCAACCAATAGATCACTGAAAAATTGCAACTCTCTCAATTCAACCAAGTTTCACACTCATAAGTAGTTCATGGTCGAAGATTTTTTTATTCGACAATGGAAGAACCCGGAACCACACATTTTGCGACACTGCGTACGAGAAAAAATAGGAAACTTTAATTTCAGATTTATTGTGTTGTGGTAAGGATGTATTAAAATATCGAAAGTTTGAAATTAATTTACTACCAATACTTGATATTTTATTTGCTTTTGACATGCTCATTCAATCGAGAAATAATTAATATTCCTATGTAGATACTCGTAACAAATTAAGAATTGAATACTTTAAATTATTATACTTATATATAGGACTACCTTAAAAGTTTAATTACAAAACAATTATGACACCAATTGATACTACTTACTTTATTTTGAAATCAAATTCTTTTTATCGTATTGTGGGTAGTATTTGCTAACAAAGTAACCATCAAGTAAAACTAAACCAGTAATAATTGAAGCATGTAAACCAACAACAACATTATTATCTGATCTAATTCTATGTCTTTCTAAATATCCATAATAACCAGCAGTTAAACCACCAGCTACAACGAAAATTTGAGAAATAACAACTGGATTTTGTAATTCAATAGAAATTCTTGAAAATAAATCTTGAGAAGTTTTTGAAATTGATTCACCAGTTTGTTGTAAATAAGTTCCAAAATTTTGAGCACCTTTTTGAGCTGAAGCACTTAATTGACTAAAAACATTTCTACCTTCTTTTTCTAAATGATTATATTCTTTTTTAGCAGCTTCAAGAGCTTCTTGAGATTTTTCATTTATAGCTTCATAAATAACTTCACCTCTTTCATTTACAGCTTCTACAAATTCTTTACCTGATTTTCTTAATTCTTCACCATATTCTTCACCTGCTTTTTTTGCTTCTTCTGCAGTTTTAGATCCTTCTTTTTGTAATTTTTTAGCAGTTTCTGAACCTTTTGCTTTTAATTCATCAACTTTTTTTGAACCTTCTTCAGCTGCATTTGAAGCATCTTCTTGGGCTTTTAATTTAATATCTTCAGCATCTCTTTTCAAGTTTTTCTTGATTTGTTCGTTTGATGGAGCGTTGTGAGTGTTTGGCATTTTGAAATTGAGTTATTTGCTACTTGAGTTTTCTTGGAATTGGAATTAGTGATTTTTGAATACTTCTTTATATTTAATTATTTGACTGACAATTAAATTAAAAAGATGATATTTGACACTTGATCGATTGACTTAATTGATTGGATTATCAATAATTGAGAATTGTAAGCTTAAAATGAATTCAATTGATTGATGGGAAAAAAAAAGAAAAGTTGTTGTAAATTGGTTAATTTTTTACTTTATCTTTTTTAAATTTTTTTTGTTCTTAAATTTTAAACTCTAATGATAAAAATATAAAGTACTTAATAGATAATAATTAAGGGGGATTATATATAATTTACTTCTTCAGTTATTATACTAATTTCATCACTTTCTAAATAATGAAAAGTTTACAAGATACGTTGTCGACCAATTCAACAGAGCTACAGCAATCTAGTTCGGTTTATTTACTCTTCTTCATTGAATTTTAAAGTTATGAATGCAATTTGATTGAAATTTGAAAGTCATTTAAAATTTAATTTTGATAGAGATAGCAATTATTGAATTTATTAGTGTAGAATTAGAATTGGTTTTGTGTACCAAATACGAACATTGTCATTTTTCCATGGGAATCTAACAAATTTAAGCTTAATTGAAGACGACAGTAAAAGCATTTAGTGTTGAAAACACAACAGGTTCAGCAAATCAGTTTCGTACGTTGAAACGACTACTATTAATCTTTTTCGAAAGATCTGAAAGTTAACAGTTTCAATCAAAAGCTGATAAGGCATCATGATGTATTTTAACAATCATGACTTACAAGGATTGAATTCCTCCTGCGGATAAGTGGTCTAACATCGTACCAGAAATAAAATGGATGAGATAGATCTCGATTCATCATCATCAAAATATAGCTTAGTTTATACTCGTCTGACCAAATTCACAGTACTATTTAATAAGTTGATTTTGTGGGATCAATGTTTATTATATTGAACCCCGGAATATGACGTATTTATTTTTTAAGATTATTAAAACATATTTACGAGCAAATAATGTTACCAAAACCAAGCTCAAGATATAAATAGAGACAGGTGGATACACTTTTATTCGATTCAAAACAGACAAAAGAATTGTTAAGGCTGACCACTGGTATTACTTGCGATTTATGACCTCACGATATTGGCCATAACTTTTCATTCATGTTTGTAGAAGTATAAAAATTGATTTATTTTAAAGGGCGGCCTTTGGTATAGAGACTAGATCCTCGAGCTCGAATAAAAAACTCATCTTCCGTTCGGCTTGATCACATTTCTGAGAACTTGTTGCTCATAAGTAAGGGACAATGCTATTTTTGTGGTCGTTTCTACTTCGAAACTTGTTTGAGCGAACTCAGAAATTGAATATCTCAGGGAACGATTAATCGTACACACTTTTGATCTCGTGCTGTTGTTCTTCATAAAACGAATCTAACAATAGCACCTTCTCTTTGACGGCCCTCTGAAGCTGGTTCAACGCCTACGATTATAATGTAATAGACCATAAAAAAGAGTCACGTGTAAAATAACATCTTTAGGGTTTGAAAATTGCCACACAAAAAAAATTATTGCAACAAATTAGTGAGACAAATTATGTGAAAAATTCACAGCATTCAACTCAGAGTCTTAATAACTTAAACAAAAACTAGTCGATTGAAAACCAACACCCCGGCTTTCCAAGTAACATTCCGACAAGTTAATCAAACAAATATATATAAAAATGTCAGCAGAAGCTTCAAAAAGACAATTCGGTGGAAGAAGAAGAGGTGGTCCAAGAAGAGGTAGAAGAGATGGTGAAGAAAAAGGATGGACTCCAGTCACTAAATTAGGTAGATTAGTCAAAGCAGGTAAAATCACCACTATTGAAGAAATCTATTTACATTCATTACCAGTTAAAGAATATCAAATCATCGATTTTTTATTACCAGAATTAAAAGATGAAGTTATGAAAATCAGATCAGTTCAAAAACAAACTAGAGCTGGTCAAAGAACTAGAATGAAGGCTGTTGTTGTTATTGGTGATTCAAACGGTCACGTTGGTTTAGGTATTAAAACCGCTAAAGAAGTTGCTTCAGCTATTAAAGCCGCCATCGTTATTGCTAAATTATCAATCATTCCAATTAGAAGAGGTTATTGGGGTTCTAATTTAGGTCAACCACACTCATTACCATGTAAAGTTACTGGTAAATGTGGTTCAGTTACCGTTAGATTAATTCCAGCCCCAAGAGGTAAAGGTATTGTTGCTTCACCAGCTGTTAAAAAATTATTACAATTAGCTGGTGTTGAAGATGTTTATACTTCATCAGCTGGTTCTACCAGAACTACTGAAAACACCTTAAAAGCTGCGTTCGTTGCTATTGGTAACACTTACGGTTTTTTAACACCAAACTTATGGAAAGAAACTGCTTTAGTTGCTTCACCATTAGAAGTTTACGCTGAAGAAGCTGCTGCTGGTAAAAAAAGATACTAATTTAGTTTAGATCTTAATACAATTAATGTACAATTAAATACTGAACGAATTTTTACAACATACTCTACAAAGTAGTGAGAATTTAAAAGTGAAGCTGGATTAAATCACAGCTATGTAATATTAAGTTTGTAAATACAAGTTCTACATGCAATATATACTTTTTCATTTTTAATCTTGAACAACTTGTTCCATAACTTGATCTTCATTAACAGCAAATTGACGACTATTAGTTCCGAAGTTTGTTACACCACCATTACCACTTGGTTCATCCTTTGTCCAATGATGAGATACCACAGTTCTTCCTTCTGGATGTTGATACATACACATTGCACTAGCACAGTTAATGCCAAAACGACATGGCTCAGCTAAAGGATGATTAAATGTACAATCTAATCTTTTACATTCCGCACCAGATCGACAAGGAACGGCAGAAGTGGCATGTCGTCTTGGACATTTATAGTTTGTACACAGCATTCCAAATTTACATTGTTCCAATGCTATTTGATTCATTGATGGTAAAGGTTGAGCTTGAGTATTAGATGGACGTGGATGTGACTTGGTACAATCTTTGTTTTGACAATTGACACCTTCTGTACACCAATCTAAAGTTTCTATTTTAGCATCTGGATTAGAAGGAGTTGGATGAGCAAAGGGGCAATTTTCTTTTGCACATTTCAAACCAAATCTACATGAACCTTGTTGAACCATTATTAAATTGGCTTGTTTTTGTTGATATTCTTTATTAGATTGATCTAATTTCTCTATTAATTCTTGATCTTGATCTGGGTGTAAATAATTACAAACGCCTGGTGGATGTGGACAATTAGGATATGCAAAACAATTTCTAGTAGGATGAGCTAAATGACATTGCTTATTTGTACAATTAGGAAAATCTGGACATCTGCCTTTTGGCGGGCGAGGAATAAATCTAAAATTATTTGTGGTATCTTTTCCTCCTGTTGAAATAAATTCTTCCAAGTGTTTTGTAGCTTGGGATGATCTATTAATGTGAGATGAACGATCGACAGGTTTTTTACCAACACCTCCTCCTGTGTTCAATCTTGACTTTGAGGATGAAGATGTGGAACTTTTTGTGGTGATCCCAAATCTTTTACTTCTTAATGCTAGTCTCTCCTTATCAGTTAAAGCTTTTGGTCCAGCAGGAAAAGTTGATGTGCTTGATTTATTCTGATCTTGGGTGTTATATGAAATTAACGGTGAAAATATCAACGTAGGTGATTCCTTTTTCACTGGAGGGTAAGTTTGAGTATTTGAATGACCAATATTATTCGTAACTTGAGAAGCTGATGCATCAGAAGATTGTACTTCGGTCTTTATTGATGGTTGCTGATGCTGTAAATCTTGCGATATTTGTGAAGTTGGGATTGAGTGATTTACGTGATGTTGTGATTGTGTGATGGTTGTATGCGATGTCCCACTATTATTGTCACCTTGATTTGCCCTTCTTTCAATATTTTCAATTTCCACATACACTTGTTGTACAAATTGGGTATCTATTGGGATTCCTGCTACTTCTTTGACTTCTACAACAATATCTTCCGTGCTTTTACCCTGTATGATACAATAAACAACATATTCTGATATATCTTTTGCATCATCTGACTCTATTTCATATCGTCTGCAAAGTTCATTTGTTAGACTATTCTTGAGTTCGATTGATACGGCACTATCTGGTGTGAGAGCCATATTATATATGTTGTGTTTTTGGTAAATGAAGTATTAAAAGTTGATGACTAAGTTTATCTACAAAGGCAAGAAATTACATTTTTTTTACATTTTATTTTGTGATTTGAGCTTATACTTGCAAGAAAAAATAATGGTCTGTCGTGAAACACACTTCCCGACACCCAAAATGCTAGAGTATTGTTTGTGAAATATATACTCATTAAAATTTGTTACATTATTTTTAAACTAAATACAGATAGTCATGTGAGGGCAACATTACTTTCACTAAAATTGTTTCATCAATTCAAACTAACTGAAACTTCTCTTCTGATATTTCACCAAGTAAATCTTTAATATTAGCCATTATATTATCTAATTGTTCAGATATAGTAGTTGCAACCAAAATGTAAGAATACAACCAAATAAAATCAGTATTCCTTAATTTTATTCCTGAATCTTGCTGTTGTCGTATTTCACTTAATTTATATAATAATCTATATTTAGCATGTTCAATAGATGCAAATTTTTTAGGAACTGAAAATCCTAATTTCATTGCACTTGCTAACATGTAAAAGACTAAAAATATTCTTTGTTCTACCTCATTTCTTTCTGACTCTATGTATTTCAATACATATTCTTCATTTGGAGTTAATACAGGATCAACTTTGATTAATAAATCTAAATTCTGAAAAGCATCAATTATAGCAGAAGTTTCCTTTAAAATCTTTGAATATGTTTGAGTTGGAAAAGTACCTTTTAATCTAAATTCAACAGGTGCTTGTTTTAATAGAGTTTCACATTCTGATAAAATTTTGTTGGTACCTTCTTCTGCCTTAAAACCTACTAATTCCATAGTGTTTGGATTATATTCTAATGGGTCACTATTCCAAATCACACCCAATCTTAACCATAGAATAGATAATCCATTTTTTAACCTGGCTCTTGCACTATTAGGTAAAAACCAAGTAGCCATAGTCAAAGCCCAAATTATACCAATAGATATAGCTGCAAATCTATGAAATGCTATTTCACCAATTACAGGATGATCTCCACCTTCTTTGTCATCTTCAGAGTCCTTCTGAATCATACTATACGAATACAACATTGTTAAATTATACGTTAAAAGTATAAATCTTCCAAAAGCATTGTTTGAACTCCAAAATAAAATTATGTAAAACGATGGTATGGAAATCAAAAAACCTGATATTGCCAAAAAATAAACATTAGCATCAAATATAATCCAAATTAAATAGGCTGTAACAGCTCCAATTGTTGTTCCAATAATTCTCCATTTTACAGTCATCGTAGTACCACCTAAAGATTTATTCATCATAATACAATATACAGTTAATGCCCATTCTAATCTCCAAGTCAAAAATATATCTCTCGTTTCTGGAATATATGCAAATAAAGATAAACATGCTGCTCCTAATCCTACTCTGATACCGAATTGTACATCTGCTCTTTTCAAAACTTTTAATTTTTTCCACATCAAAAAACCTACTTTTTGAAAAAATGAATTTAAAATAGGAGGTCTATGTTTCTTTAGACCATATTGATCCCTCAAATCATCTAATGCAGCATGTAGACTAGTATCATTTGTGGATTCATCAAAACTTTCAGCGGTTCTTAAGTTCAACCATGGCCAACTTCTTGGACTATTTACTGCTGCACCATATTCATCAAACAATTTTAAAGTACTTAACAATTCAGTTGCAAATTGAGATAATAAAGTAGCAAAATTACCACAACAAGCAGCTACTTCCTCTTGTTCTGCTTTAAAATAAACATTGGTATTTTTAGTAAAAGATTCTTGATTATATATATGTTCAAATGATAAATCTTGACGTTTTTCATACATTTTAATAGCACTAATTAAAGAATGTTGATATGTTTCCGAATTTTCAAAAGAATCTGGAGGAATTGAATTTAAAATATCTCTCATTGTGAAAACTAATGATTTTATGGACGGTGACAAATGGAAAACAAATAAATCAAATAATTGTAAAGATGATCCCATATCATTATCTTCAACTTGATCTTGTGCTCGCACAGAATCAATTGATGGTATATCAAAATCTCCTGATTTAAAACTTTTTAAAGTTGAAGTTGTACTGGCATCGTCATTGGTGGTGGTATTCAACAAGCTCCATTGCATTCTTGTTGCAGCACTTAAGGCTTGTAAGTGCCTTGCTAATGAAATAGTGGCGTTCACAAGCTCTTTATAATAAATCCATTCAGCTTCTTTTCCTACAAGTCTCAATTCATATTGTGTTTCCTCCAAATATTGATATAACAAAGAGACCAGCTTTTTAATTTTTTCAATCAATAAGGAGTCATGAGCTGTCAATTTTTCACCTGCAACAAATCTTCTTGTCAATGTTAACAATACTAAGGAATAATTCTTGTATGATTCATGAATTGTTTTTTTAAGTTGATTAGTTGCACTGACAGGCCAAATGAGACGACAACAAGCAAATGAAATAACACAACCAGTTACTACAACTTGAAAAGTTGAATATATTCTTGTCAATGGTATTTCACCTGAATTTAAACTTCCTTCTTTCACAATACATGAAACAATAGAAATACAAGCTAAAGAACAAGCTGTATTAAATGTTTGTTTATTAACTTTTTGTTTCCAAAATGATATAACTCCCAATGCAATTGAACTTACTAATAAATCAATAAAATGACTAATTTCATCTTCCCCCTTTACAAAAAAAATTGCAGATATCAATCTACATCCAAAAGATACACTCATACTAAATAAAATAGATATTATAACATATATCATAGTTTGATTCATTGATCCTTTTGTTCTTGTTGGATGAAAATATACTGCAACTGTTGCGATAATATGTTTTGAATCAGTATTACCCAATAATTCATCTAATTTAGGTATAAATACTCCTAAACTTGCAATAAAATATGCTATTGAACATTTCATTACACTTCTAATAATATCATCATTATAAATTGAACTTATTAAATGTAAAAAATTTTGAAATCTTGTTTGAGGATGTAATGCTTCACCTTCTGGAGTTGTTTCAAAATCTTGTGGTAATGAAAAAGTAATACTTCTTTGAACTCTTTCTCCAGTACTCGCTATAATGACTGAATTTTTCCTATCTATAAACCTCCTTGGTATTGAATTGCTTGATCTATATTGATATCTCAAATGGGAAAAATCTTCCAACCTATTTGTTTGATTTTGATTCACATCGTTGGATTTAGTTTGTGGCAGTTCTGAAACAAAAGAATCAAAACTAGTATCTTCCATTAACCTTGTGCTATCAGCACTTGCAACTTTCGAATTGGTCTCGCCATACATATACTGACTTAATAAGGATGATCATAGGACAAATCTTTGAAATTAGGTGATAATCTTTTATTTTCAAGCAGCCATTAGCAGGCAGGGCGGAATTAATTTTTTTGTAGCACAAAGATAAGGGGGGCGGTATAATTCAAGAAATTTCAAGATCCTGAGCTTAGCAATTGATAAGACTAAAAACTTCGTCAATACCCTTAGCACAAGAAGATAGTACTACAATCTGTATTTAAAAATTATTATTATCATAAACCCTCTTTTTCATTGACTTCGTTACATAAATCTTGTAAAAACTATATAAAAATAAAACACATTCAAACCTTTTACTCCATCTATCACTCATTACTAATCATTATCTTTATTAATACATTCTAAAAAAAAACAAAACCACACATCATTTTCATTAAATCCTCAATCTTCGTAACCAACAATTTCTCTAAACAAATCTTCACAAGGAACAGTTGCATTTAATCTTGCACATAATAAGAAAACACCACTTAATTTTCTATGTAATGAATAAGTTTCTTCAGGTGGTGGAGCCAATCTTTCATTTAACATTAATCCAATATTTCCTCTTACTCTATCAGTAATAGTTTGTTTTTTAAAATTAAATGGTTGTCCATTATTATCAATTGGTGAAAATGCTTCACCTAAACACATTACTGAATCAACATGAGCTTTTATCATTGCTGGAGATTCTAAACCAGTTAAATAACCTAAATCATGAGAAATTTCTTCAACTCTTTTAGCATCTTTTTTAACTGCTGCTCTTAAAACTTTTACATAATTTGTAATAAAATCTTCACTAAAATCACGAGCTGCTCCAAAATCTAATAATTCAATTTTATTTGTTTCTTGATTATATAAAAAATTTGCCCAATTTGGATCAGTTTGCATAAATTTAAATTCTTTTAATTCTAATAAACATAATCTCATAATATTAGTTGCAATCCAATTCTTGGTACTTTGATCCCAATTTCCTTTTACAATTTCTATACCTTTCATTTTTTCCATTGTTAAAACATGTTCTCCACATATATTATGAAAAACTCTTGGTACTGTAAATACTTCATCATCTTTTAAAAATTCTCTCATTCTAATTAAATTTTGAGCTTCTCTTATATAATCACATTCCCATTTTAATTCAACTCTTGCATTTGCAATAGTTTTATCTAAAAATAATCCAGCTGGTAATAATGAAGAAGCAGTCAAAATCATTAATAAATTATTTAAATCAGAGTCTATTGAATTTGCAACTCCTGGATATTGAACTTTAACTACAACTGGAGTTAAATCTTCAGTGACAGCAGTATGAACTTGACCAATTGATGCAGCAGCAATAGGTACATCATCAAAAGAAGTAAATAATCTTTCTTTCCAATTTAAACCTAAATCACCAACCATTACTCTTTCTAATTGTCCTGGAGGCATATAATGAGCAGAATTTTGAACTCTTAATAAAATTTGTTGAATTTCTTTTGGTAAAATAGAAGCATCTTGAAAGGATAACATTTGACCTAATTTTAAAGCTGCACCTCTCATTTTTGAGAATTTTTTAGCCATTCTTTCAATGTTTTGTGGTGATAAAAATAATGATTTCATAGTCATTGATTCTCCAGTTGCATAATTTTTTAAACCTTGAGTAGCAGCATTTAATCCCATTCCAGCTGCTAATGAACCATAATGAAAAATTCTTGCTAATCTTGAACTTGGAATTTCACTTTGCAGTAATTGATGTTCTCTTAATTTAGGTTTAGGAAAATTTGGTGATGATGATGTTGTATCTATAGTTGTAATTTGAACAGGAGTTGTTGGATTTAAAGTTGGTGCATCTAAATCTACTTCTTCACCAGGATAAAATGATTTAGTTGAATAAGTACGTATTTGATTTGAATTTTGAAATGGATTTTGAGAATTTTGATTATTTAGTCTTGTTCTTAATGATATTGATTTTGTTTCATCCCACATTTGTTTATTTTCATCAAATTTATCTCGTATAATATTTAGTATATAATTGTTTTGTATATAATTACAAGCATCTTTTTGTAGTATTTTCACTGAACCTTCAGTTACATTTAATAATGAATTTGAGACAACTGCTATTCCGTATAGTCTTCTACTGATAGACATTGTTGAAGTTGTTGTGAGAAACAAGTTTAAAAAGTTTATTGTAAAATTGAATAAAGTGTGTACATTTGAATAAATAAATTCTTATAGAAATATATTTATATTTTTATATAAAGAAATAATAAATTTTTTATTCGCACATGAAATAATTAAAGCAAGCATAGTTACAAACAAACAAACACATGGAGAAGAAAATAAGTAAAGAAAAAGTAATAACTTATTATTATAACAAAGAAAAAGATTATTATAGTACTGAACTTTACATTTTAACAATAACTTCATTCGTTTTAAAATAAACCAGTCGCTCTGCGCTCGAATGTTGAAAAGTTTTTCAATCTTTATTTTAAAATGTCACGTTAAAATTCATAAACTTTAGTCTAATTTCTATTTTCCACCGTTTAACTTCAACTTTGTATTTTAAAAATATAAGAAATAACAAATAGAATATTCCAAACGTTTGTTTTAAATAAATGAGTATAAGATGCGTGTATCTTTTTTTACTGATATGCGGCTTGGTGGAATTCAGTTTTTTAAGCAGAGATCTCAAATTTTTAAGCCAGTATCTTTAGATCAATCAATACTAATGTTTCTCTTTAGCTTTGTGAACTCAATGCGCAAGATTATAGGATTTTGAATCTCTATTGCTGGAGTGTTGTTCGGAAAAATTAAAAAGATCTCGACATCGCTTAGGAAAAATAGTGGGGAAGAAAATAAAGTTTCTATTGGCTTAAAGCTTCAAAAACTTGGCGAATGACTGGAGTAATTTATAACTTGTCTTGGTTCAAATAAAAGAGTTCACAGTGATAGATCGTTTTTTTTCTTATTAACTTATTGTATAATTCATTATTTGAATTGAAATCTATGGACAAATTCGTTCCTTTTTATTACTAGTATAATATTGTGTCTATCGCAACCGTGCCTCAATACAAATATAACGGAAATTAAAGACACTATGATGACAAGAAAACGATAATATTTATTAACATCACTTATAGCACCAGGTATTATAAGAGCACTGACAGATCTAAACAGTGTTCTCTTAACTTTTCACGAGCTAGATGTCTCTAAAATTTGTAACGAGTTTGCACTGATATCTTTTCCACAAATCCAATTCCTAAAAATTTGCATCTAAAGGAAGATACGTGCTACAATTATATAACTTTCAAATTCTCAACTAAAATTTATTATTTCGAATTTAATTTCTGCTGTTAATGATTCCAAAAACTAGTAAATGAAGTATCTTTGGTACTATTGTAAGTTATATTTTGAATGCTTAATAATGGTTGCAAATTTTATATTACTCGTAATTTATTATTTTTTTATTTTTAGAAATTATTATCATAATAAATGTTATATACAGTACCATACCTAAATTATTAAGGTACACATACTTAAGCTTAAAATTCTAAGTGAATATTAGAATAGATCCAAATCTGGAATACTAAATACGAGATTTAGCTTATATATATAATATAAACATACAATTTACACTTCACTTTTCATACTACAAAGTAAAACACATTCATTTAAACCATCACTATCCATACAAACAGCCACCTATCATTCATTTACTGCAACAATGCTATCATCAAAAAGGAATTCATTCATTTCAAACAAATCACCTTCTAATTTCTCACTGCCTCAATTTGAATCACCACCAAATTTTAATCCATATGAAGCAATAAATAATCAATATAATCAAGATTTATATCAACAATCTACATCAAAACCTAAAATTCTAACATACAATGAAACAAAATTAATACCGAATTATCAAAAAATTGAAAATCATACATCAACTAAATCTAAAAGCAATCATAGAATGAAAATTGTTGTTGTTGGTGATGGTGCAGTTGGAAAATCATGTTTATTAATAAGTTATTCACAAAATAAATTTCCTGAAATTTATGTCCCCACAGTATTTGAAAATTATATAGTACCATTATTATCACCTCAAGGTAATAAAATATTTGAATTAGAATTATGGGATACTGCAGGACAAGAAGAATATGATAGATTAAGACCTTTAAGTTATAGAGATGTTGATTTATTATTAGTTTGTTTTGCATTAAATAGTATAACAAGTTTACAAAATATAAAAACTTTATGGTTTCCTGAAATAAGTCATTATTGCCCCAATGTACCAATAATATTAGTTGGAACTAAATCAGATTTACCTTCTGATATTCCTGAAGATTTACCTTATAAAATTGCAACTGAAATTAAAGCAATTGCATATATTCAAACATCATCAAAAACAATGCTTAATGTAAAACAAACTTTTGATTATGCTTTAAGTCATTATCAAAAAGAAATTGAAATTGCAGAACAATATGAAACAAGTAAAAGAAAAAGAATAAGTAAAAGATTTAGTAACAGTAATAATAATAATGGATCAGGTAATTATGATCATATAAGAAATAAAAGTACAGCATCTTCAAATACAAGAAGAAATCATATGAAAAATTCAAGTTTAGGTTCAAGTGTTTTAATGGATCAACCTTTAACTGAAGATAGTTATGAAAATAATCCTTATGGAAATTTTAATGGAATGAATGGTAATGGTTATCATAATAATCTAAGGAATAATAATGGTGAATTTGATTATATTGATGAAAGAAGAAAAAAAGAAAAAAAGAAATGTTTTATACTTTAAAGTTGAAGAATTGCAAAATCTATACAAGTTTATTGTATTTGTTTGGTATTGTAACTCAAATTATGTTGTTTGAGAAAAAAAAAAGTACGTAAACATGAAACAATATTTAATTCCGGCACGCGTTTAAGCCAATGTAATATATCCGACGTTTCAGATGCACGATTAAACATTTCCAGCCGAAATTACAAATTGATACTCTACACTTATGGGACTTATTGCAACAGAGCCATAATTCAAACTTTTCAAACTTTACAGTAGAGGATTCGGTAGATTTTCAGATTTTTCGATATACGAGTAAAAAAATTTCCCCTTTTATTTTTACATCAAAAAAAAAAAACAAAATTTTTTTTTTCTATTTGTAGGACCATCAAAAAATTTATTTACAATACAAAAATTTATTCTATACAGTATACAAACCATTGTCACAATTAATCGAAGCGAAGTAATATCAAATCAATCAAAGAAATATACACTAGAAAACCTATAAAAAATAATCATCCTTAGATAAGGAGATATATCAAAACCCTAATATTTAAATAGTCTCAACATAATGCATCAACTGCTGAATCTAGAGACAGAAGTAAAATTTAGAATAGAAAAACCATCAAAATTAAAAGAATCAAATATCAAAATTAAAGAAGAACCAGAAATAGAAGATCATTCAAATGACGCTGGAAATAAACAAGATGATCATTACAAAAAAAGATTATCTCCAATACGATATAAATTAAGATCATTACTTTTACCAATTATAAGATATGAAACTGAAATATTATATAATTTACAATCAATTTTAAGAAATCCAATATTTGATTTTTATTTTGCATGGACAGCAAATTTAGCAAGTCATACATTTTATGTATTAATGTTACCACCAGCAAATTGGTTTGGTGGAAGTAAATTAGCAAGAGATTTAGTTTATGTATTAGGATTAGGAATTTATTTTACTGGATTTTTAAAAGATTATTTTTGTTTACCAAGACCAAGATCTCCTCCTTTACATAGAATTACTATGTCAAGTTATACAACTCAAGAATATGGCTTTCCTTCTAGTCATTCTGCTAATGCTACTGCTGTTACATTAGTTGTTTTAACTAGTATTATAAATTTAAAAGAATCCATAGAACCTTTTACTTATTATTCATTAATAATAGGACTTTCAATATATTATATTTCATTAATATTTGGTAGATTATATTGTGGAATGCATGGATTTTTAGATATCTTTGTGGGATCATCAGTTGGGATATTAGTATTTTTATTTAGATATTATTTAGGAAAATCATGGGATGATTTATTATTAGGTCATGGAATGACATTTGGTATATTTGCAATAATTGGAATATTTTTATATTTAATTCATATTTATTCTGAACCAGTTGATGATTGTCCTTGTTTTGATGATTCTGTTGCGTTTGTTGGAGTTTTAATTGGGTTAGATATGAGTCATTTGATTGCTCGTTCAACTAAACATTTTTATAATTTAAATACTTTTGGTGATTATTATCTTATACCATTTAGTATAGAACTGGGATTTTTAAAGATTGGATTAAGATTTATAACAGGAGTTACATTAGTTGTCATATGGAAAACAATTTCAAAACCTATAATATTTACAATTTTACCACCAATTTATAAATTTATTGGAGTTTATTTACCAAGAAAAAATTATATTTCAACAGCTCATACAAGTCAAACTTATAGAAATATTAGATCAACCTCAATATCAAATGATGTATCACAAATTGGTAATATAAATAATTTTATAAAAGGAGTTTCAGATAGACAAAAATTAGATAATGTTGGACCAAGTAGTGATATAGATTATTATGAAATGATTGATTATAATAGATCAAATGATTCAACAAATTCATCATTAGATCCAGAAAAATATAATTTTAAAAGTGGAGTATTTAAATATCGTTATGATGTTGAAATTATTGGTCGACTAATTGTATATGCTGGAGTTTCAATGACTGCAATATGGGGATTTTATTATGTTTCAAATTACTTAAATATATAGAACAAACGATTATCTTTTAAACTTTTAGTGCCTTACCTTTTGAATTCCGTCTCTAGACTATTATAAAGATTTACAAAGAATTATTATGGACTCAGAATGTAAGTACTAATATAGAGCAAAGTAAAAATTTCCCTTTAAATTAAATTTCACTTGAAACGTAACAGGGCTTAATTTAATATTAATTACGAATTTCAAGTTGCATATAAATTCTTAGAATCACCGGAAAAAATTCCAACAATTGGTTTAATGAAATGAGACAAACCCCTTTGTTATAAAGTACTATGAACTAATATCATTCCACTGTTTATGAAGTTGAAATGATAAATAGTAAAACTTTTAGTCCGTAATATATAAAGAATGTAGATACTTCTACACGTGATTTTGGATATACGCTCTCGACCAAATTTAATGAACTACAGTAGTACAGTATTAAATGTTATGCATAATTTTTTAAAACCATTAGAAATAATCAACATTTGATGTTTAAAGTTAAATCCTGTTGTTTAATTTAGTATTGTCTTTTTTAAATTTCTTCCAAAGATCCATTCTTATACCCATTGCTTCAATAATTATTTCAACAATCTTTATTTTCCATTCATCATAGTAACCTTATTAACTACTGAACTGAAATTTTTCAAATCTTTAATTTTGTTACTTCAATTTTAATTAATATTATTTATTATAATTATTCCACTAAATTTTCGACTTTGTATCTTATCATTATTATATTTTTCAAGCTTCATCACAATCGTTATTGCTCATAAATTATCATACTATTCATCAACATTTCAAAAATTAAATGAACTATTAGATTTTTAACATTAATTGGAACAACGCATGGATTTACAATAGATTCATAATTTCATACAATAATTGGAACTCTTTTTTGTATTTCCATTTAAATTCACTTTAAATTTTCAGTATCATCAGTATTATGAACGATACATTTAGTAGTACAGGGCCAAATCAAACTTTATATTATGCTACTCATTCAAATTCAACATCTTCATCCTCAAGTACTTCTCAGAATAACAATCAGCAACATCATTTAAATGGCAATAGTACAAATGATACTACATCCGTAAATAATGTTGCGAATAATTCAAACCAAAGAGATCAATCAAATGGACATACAAATAATCATCGTGGCAGTAGAGGAAATAATCGACAGTCAGTTAGTGGATCTAATCAATCGAATGATTCTACAATAAATCAATTACCTCAACAACATCAACCACAACATACTATAAATGATATATATAATTTAATAAGTCAATTACAACAACAAAATACAATAAATAATCAAATTATAATGAAAATGAATTATATGACGGATTCAATTGAAGAAATTAAAAGAAATCTACTGGATTTTTATCAACAATTTTTAATAACTTTACAAAATAATCAAAATAATATTGGATCTTCTTCTAATGCTAATAACATGTTTGCTGGTTCAAACTTGAATAATCAATTTAAAACTTTTGAAATATTTACAAAACATTTAAATAAATTGAATAAAGAAATTGAAGAAATAAATAGTACTGGGCAATCATTAAGTCCGAATCCAGTTCAGCATCAACAGCAACTACAGCTGCAACTGCAACAACAACAACAACACCTGCAACATCAGCAGCAGCAACAACAACAACAACAACAGCAGCAACAACTGCAACAGCGACAACAACAACAGCAACAACAAAGACAACCCTCAACTCAGCAACAAGCACAAAATTCCCAAAATCAACAAACACAACAACAGATACAAGCTCAACAGCATTCACAACTGACATCACAACAAACTTCACAACAGCAACATTCAAAAAATAACAATGTTCACAATCAACATCAAGTAAGGGTAAATAACGTAGTGAATGAAAGACGGGATCATCATCAACTACAAAATAGTCAAACCAACGGAACTACTTTTGATGAGGAAACGGGTTTAACTAGAAAAAATTTAGACTTAAGGTCCCCTGCTCCGCCTTCTGATTCAACTTCTCCATATGTTTTTGACATTGGTTTTTCATCCAGGGGAACTAATATCAATGGACATATTACTTCACCAATAACTCAAACTCAATTGCCCACTTCCAATATTCAACAGAAAAGATTGAAATCAACACAACAAAATAACTCTGCTCAACATCAAATGACTCATCAACATCAACAACAGTCACAAAGACTTCCTATACTATCTCAACAAACTACTCATACTCAAAACTCAAGTTATTCTAATTCATACATGTTGCCTATGCCTCCTTTATTAAGTGAGGATAAATCAAATAATTTAGCACCACATGATCAATCTTCACAATTCTTATTATCCAGAGATAGTAGTGGTATGATGACATCAGCTTTAAGACAACAACCAACTCATACTCGACCTATACCTCCTCAGCCTTCTGCTTCAACTTTTTCCTTTGATGATAATGATATCGAACAAAGTATAGATGAAATTGAACAACAAGCACATGCTGCTGGTACCAACACAGCTCCAGCTCAACCAACTACAGGATCATCATCTAATAATCAAAATAATACATCATCAAATCAAAATCAAACACTTACAAATGAAGTCCATAAAAGTTACAAGAAAAGAAAATTAACTCCAGATTTAAAAAACTCAATTGATTCAAATGATGTACCACAATATAAATTAGAAAGAAGTTTAAAAGTATTAAGTGATATATGGAAAGAATATGCTTACGGAGTAAATGATAAACCCCCATTAAAATCATTAGAATCAAAATATGGAACTAAATGGAGAAATGAAACTGAATCAAGAACTTTTTTAAGAAGGAAAAAAATTTATGAAGCAATTGAAATTGGTACAAAAAAAGGTTATACTGAAGATGAAGTTATTGCTGAATTGGAAAATTATAGAAGTTATGATAAAAATGGTACTTTAAAAAGGAAACCTTTATCTTGGTTAAGTTCAAATATGCCGGATAAATATGCCAATCCGTAGTTATCTATAGTGAAATACATATTTTTGCTTGTTCTGTTCACCCCAACAATTTTGTAGTATTTTTGAATTTAGCCTATAATTGTAACAGAGCGCTTGAAATGTGAATCTGTTTGTATTTTTAATTATCACAATTTTGCAAAAAGTAGGCCAAATGTGAAACATAAAAATCGCGTTTGGTAGCATAGAAATAATTGTAATTTTCTCATCTCATTAATTATTTTCAGTAAGCAGAAATCAAGTGTCTATCACGAGCTAATAATCTAATCTAAATTGACATGTCACGAGGTACATTAAAGCAACAGTTGAAAAGTCACAAGTCGAAAGTGAAAAACGACGAACCAACGAATACCAACAAAGCCAAAAAAATATCATCTACTAAACCAAAAGCACAATCAAAAATACAAGAAGATGAAGAAACTCCAATAATACCCAAACCAATTTTAAAAAGTCCTAAACTGTCTTCTATAAAAGCTAAAGATAACGAATATAAAAGTGAAGCATTGTCCAAAAAGGAACAACGAAAATTGAAAAAATTGTCTGAACAATTAGCTGAAGAAGAAGCAAATGCTTTGAACCCTGAAGATGCTAGAGAGCATGAGGTGGAAGAGGAAGAAATTGAAGAGGAATCTAGTGAAGATGAGGATGATGATGTTGAAGGCATAGCCGATTTGGACTTGGAAAGATTAGCACAAAGTGAAAGTGAAAGTGAAAGCGATTCCGATGATGATGATGTAGATGAAGAAGAAGATGAAGATGAAGATGAGGATGATCAAGACGATGAAAAAGATGTCGATCAATTAGAAGAAGAGGAAGAAGATGTTCCATTGTCAGATGTTGAGTACGACTCTGATGCTGATGTCGTACCACACACTAAACTTACGGTCAATAATACAGCCGCATTAAGAGAATCATTAGCTCGTATACAGTTACCATGGGAGAAACATTCATTTGTTGAACATCAATCTATTACAAGTCCGGAAAAAGCAGAGTCCACAATTAAAGACATCTACGACGACACCGAAAGGGAATTATCATTTTATAAACAAGGTTTAGATGCTGTAAAACAAGCACGATCAATTTTGTTAAAATTAAAAGTACCTTTCTCACGTCCAGTAGATTATTTTGCTGAAATGGTTAAAAGTGATGAACATATGGACAAATTAAAAACCAAATTGTTAGGTGAAGCTGCTGATAAGAAAGCTTCAGAAGATGCCAAAAAACAAAGACAATTGAAAAAATTCGGTAAACAAGTTCAACATGAAACTTTACAACAAAGAGCCAAACAAAAGAAAGAAACTTTGGAAAAAATAATGAGTTTGAAAAAGAAGAGAGGAGCAAATGAGATAAGTAATGATGATGACTTTCAAATTGCATTGGAAGAAGCTACAAAAGAAAATAATAATGTAGGAGGAGATAATAAGAGAAGAAAAGTCAATGGTAAAAGATTGGCCAAGAATGCAAAATATGGTTCTGGAGGTATGAAACGAGGATCCAGGAAAAATGATGCAGCTTCATCTGCTGACATTTCTGGATTTTCAACTAGAAAAATGAAAGGAAAGTCCTCAAGGCCGGGTAAAAGTAAACGTGGAAGAAGATAAGTTGTGAATATAGAAAATTAATAGCACGTTATTGTACTTGGAATGATGTTTAATTTATCTCTCAATTTCTGTTGTATCTTGAAAAGTACGATCGCCTAATTTTGTTTCACAATTTTGTGAAGTACCGCGTCCGTCGTATAAAATTTATTTTCAAAATATTTTTTTTACCACCAATTTTTAATTGAATTAACCTAGATTCTACAACTTTAAAGTAAAATTATAATGTCAACAAAAGAAGCAGCAAGGCTGAGATTTCTCAATGTTTTTGAGGATATAGTAGAAGAATTGACTCAAATTCTTATAAGTTACAAAATGCCAAAAGAAGCTATAACTTGGTTTCAAAATAATTTAAACTACAATACACCAGGTGGTAAATTAAATAGAGGTTTATCAGTAGTAGATACTTATGCAATTTTGAACAATACCACGTCGGATAAATTAAATGACGAAGAATACAAGAAGGTAGCCATTTTAGGTTGGGCAATTGAATTATTACAAGCTTATTTTTTAGTTGCAGATGATATGATGGATCAATCTGAAACAAGAAGAGGTCAGCCATGTTGGTATTTGAAAGAGGGTGTTGGTAATATTGCCATTAATGATTCATTTATGTTAGATGGAGCAATTTATGAAATTTTGAGAAAACATTTTAGAAAGGATACTTATTATGTTGACTTGTTGGATTTATTCCATGAAGTTACATTCCAAACTGAATTAGGTCAATTATTAGACTTAGTAACAGCAGATGAAGAGCACGTCGATTTGAGTAAATTCTCATTAGAAAAACACTCCTTTATTGTCATTTTTAAAACCGCTTATTACTCATTTTATTTACCTGTTGCATTGGCTATGTATATGAGTGGAATAAATTCAGAAGAAGATTTAAAACAAGTTAAAAATATTTTAATTCCATTAGGTGAATATTTCCAAATTCAAGATGATTTCTTGGATTGTTTTGGAACTCCAGAACAAATTGGTAAAATTGGAACAGATATAAAGGACAACAAATGTTCATGGGTTGTAAATCAAGCTTTATTACATGCAACTCCAGAACAAAGAAAAATTTTGGATGAAAATTACGGACAAAAGAATGATGAGAGTGAACTTAAATGTAAAAACTTATTTAAAGAGATGGGAATTGAGAAAATATATAATGATTATGAAGAATCAGTGGTTTCAAAATTAAGAAAACAAATTGATCAAATTGATGAAAGTAGAGGTTTGAAAAAAGATGTCTTGACAACCTTTTTGAATAAAGTTTATAAAAGATCCAAATAATTGATATAGATAGTAATATAGTTACATGCATTAATCACCAACCATTTAATATTTATTGCTTAAATCCTATCAACATTTTCTATACATTGACTCTCTCCAATTCTTCTCTACCAGCTTTAGTATATAAATATTCATTATAAGTTTCTGCTTTTTCAAAAATTGAATATACAAGGACGCCTGGAATAACGATATATAAAAATTGATTTTTAACTCTTCTAAAAGTGTTGAAAACTGCATTATAAGCTGCTCCTTTTAAAGGTTTAGCAACATATGGTGATATAGAATATTGAGTGACATATTTTTGTGGTCTTGAACCAAGATCTCCCCACCAGCCGATATAAGTATGTGGATGTGGTGGACCTGCCATTTTTCTGATTAGATTCTGTAGTTTTGAAAGGTTGAAAGTGTGATTAATATGTATGATAGTAGTGGTTTTTTTTTTCGTCTCACATTACAGAATTATTATTATAATCATTATTCTATTGGATATTTAAATAGGTGTACGCTACCACTTATTATAGTTATACACTAGTTGATCTTAGCTTCGTGAGAGTAATGAGATAACAGCTAAAACAGTAAAACTTTTTAATTTATATAGAACTACACCTTTTAAATCAATTTTAATTACCATCTTTTGTAGTCAATTTCATTTAAAAATGTTTTTCCACCTCCGTACTTCCACCATCTCGATAAGCAGCTATGGGCATTAACATCTATCGTTCTATTTATATTCTCCAGCAGATCTCTTGGTTTACAAATACATCTTTTGGACGCAATTATATCTTCCGAATGTGGGCATGCTAAAAATGGTGCGTGATAATAACCAATGTCTTCGAAATGATGAATAGAATTCTTATCAGCTAGCAAACTTAAAGCGATCGAATGAACCGGAGCATCTCCCCATCTTTCGTAATGAAAACCCCCAGCTTCACTCAAAAATTTAAAAAAAGTCTCGTACTCTTTACTTCTGAAAAAATTCAAATTGCCTATTTCAAAATTTGACCAAAAATGACATAGATTATAATCAGTAGTTGTGTTTGAGAATTTCATATGATGAGTCAATGATGTTTCATGGGTAGTCAAAAATTTCAATGCATTATTTTCATGTAAATGGTTAGGATATTTCTCCATGAATTTTTCAACTGTTTCCCATAAAGTTGGTATGGTATTTTCATACTCAGTAATGGCTATAATAAATCCATAGACTTTGTTATTCTCTCTCAATAATTGAAATGGATCATACTGAAAATCGCACATATACTCAACATCAGGCTCCACCCTAAAATACCAATCATAATTTAATAGTCTTTTCTGCTTGTAAAAAAATCCAGAATTAAAGTGACACATATTTCTGTAAGATCGAACTCCTCCGTACAAAACACTTTGTCTAGAATTATACAAATTTTCATTCAATTTCGTCTCATTAATATATGAAGGAGGTTGCCAATCTTTTTCTGGTATTAATTCGTAGTATGTTTTCCCACTTGCCATTAATGTTGTCTTTTCAATAAATTCATCATCAAATGGTACATCATTTAAAAATACCCAAGGATATTTAAATTCTCTATTGAATCTATCTTCTAATGATCTCATTGAAGATAAAGCTCCTTCTAACTCACTATTTCTTACCAACATCACAATTGTTGCATTCTCTCTTCCAATTTGCGTTAAGTTCCTGGAAGGAAATGTTTTTGTAAGATATTGGTTAGTTGCAAGTTTGGGTTGTCCTTTAGCCAATGGATTATACAATACCTCACTCAGTTTATAATTATTAAGTTCATTACTATCCACATGAACAACTTTTGAATTGTATTTGAATGCTAAATAATAATTTATCGCTAAGATGACTCCAAACAAAACAGTGCGCCATTTCAACATTCAGGGCATTTCCACCGACTGTCGTTATCAATGATTTCTGGATATAACCTATGCATGTTGAAAATTAATATGAATTCATTTTTTTTCGGTACAAATTTAAAGAGTACAAAGTCATTACGTACATGTTCATTTTAATTAATATAGTGTTTCAAAAGTAGATTCAAAGTCTAAAAACACCCTTACATTTGTTTTGAAATACCCTTCTTACTAATAAATTTTAGAATTTAGTTAGTGAAATTGTCTTAAAGAGAAAGACTTTATCATTGGTTGATAAAATTATTGTTCAAGATTATATAATGCATTAACCAATTTTGTAAAAATTTGCAACAAAATATATTTTTTTGCAACACATTTAGATACAATCATTACAAAAAGCTTTCATGTCTTACATTTTGGAAATCGAGTGCTGTGTTCAAAACTGGGTCCAAGCGTACATTAACAGTATTGAAGATGAATTAAGTAAGCAAAATAGAATTGGATTTGTCATTCAATTATTCTCGAAGCATATAATCCAATTTTTAAAAGCCACTGATCAACCAATACAATGCGATACTTCACTTCAATCGGAACTCCATCGAGATGAAAGCAAAACAAAAGAAGACAAAGATCATGCAAGATCCTACATTCTCGATTGTTTCAAATGGGAAACTGATTTTGAAGAACTTTCCTCAAACGTTGTGATCCATGAATGCTTTAAGAAATTGACTTTGAATAAAATTAACAAACCAAATGCAAACATTTTGTCATATTCTTCAATAAGCTCAGAAGTTGATCGCATTTTAAAAGCTAAAAAGGGTTTTCAAGTATCAAGTATTTTAAGTCATTCAATCAGCCCAATAAATTCAAATTCTGCCGCCTCCAAATTCATTGATCAAATGCAATATGGCAAAAATGAGAACAACTTAATTGAATTTGATGACCTAACTCAATTTGTATTTCATTTTTATTCAACTGTGGTTGAAGCTAGTAGTATCAAAGAAACATATAGCATTCGGAGCTTATCAGAAAACCTCAAGAAGTCAACTATGGAAGATCATGATAAATCATTTACCTCAAAAAGAACACTTAGTGGTTCAATCATAAACAATGAAACCAAATTTTCTACTGAAGTGACTCAAGCAATTTCAAATTTAGATTTTTTACCTTCACTCAATGTTCACTTATTACCTTCTGATACATTACTTAATGAATGGGAAAATATAATTTTGGGTGCGAAATTTAAAACGTCAATATTAAATTGTTGCAAAAATCCACAATTACTAACTAATTTGAACTTGGAAAGTAACAACTTTCTTGTATTTGAAGGTAAGCCTGGAACAGGAAAAACATCTTTGGCTAAAGCAGTTTTTCAAAAATTATCAATTTCAAACCGATCATTGCTTGACAATCAACCAAGTATTTTTGTAGAGTTTTCAACAGGTGATGTATTTTCAAAATATTTCGGTGAGTCACCCAAAAATTTACTGTCGACATTATCATTAATAGAAGAAATATTACTGAGTTTTCCTAAATTACATATTTACTTACTTATCGATGAATTAGAAACGATTGGAACCGCCAGATCGAGCATTATAAAAAATAATGAAATGACTGATGGTGTAAGAATCGTTAATATCTTCATAACTTATCTTGATAGATTAAGAAAGTTTCCAAATTTAATAACAATTGCAACAACGAATTTAATTGATAACCTTGATCCAGCGATTATAGATAGAGCTACTAGGACCTTTAAATTTGATGCACCAAACATTCCTGAGATCAAAAAAATTATTAAATTAAATCTTGAAAAAATCAAAACAACCGATGAAAACTTAGATGAAAATGATCTTGAATCGTCGCTTCAAAAACTTGCAGCTTTTTGCTATGTATGTACTGAATGTATCCAAATTTAGGCAAATTCCATACTAACAAATGAAAGGAGCACCAATTGAGTGCAAGATATATTGCTAGACTACCATTTGTTGCAATCGGTAATATCTATGATAGTCCTGAATTTAGAAGTGAAATATACAAAAGTCAAATCGTAATAGAAGTTGCAAAATTATGTCAAGAAATGCTACAATAAATTTGATGCTATCTACTACCAAGTGAAAGTGAAACAAACTAGTATTTTTAGTTTTGCCCAATAAAATGAATGTAAATGTTATTACTAAAAAAATACTTCGCATATGGTAGCTGACTCTAAGTTTATATGCGGTATCACTATAAAGAAAAATTACTCTGAAATAAAGAATCATCAAGACACTGTTGATGACTGAATGAAAATTACACAACCTTTGGGATTTCACAACAGCAATAAAGACCGTATTTAAATATCAAGAAACAACTAAATAAAAACATATCAAAAGTTATCATTACACCAACTTAAACCTCATATATCACACATAGAATAAAATGCTTCGTAGTATTAGAATAAGGCCAACGATGGTCAGAAGATCAATACGTAGTTTAGCAACTACTGCTGATCCAGCAGCAAATCCCAACCGTGTACATGGAGGATTAAAAGATCAGGATCGTATTTTTCAAAATATATATGGTAACTACGGTCATGATTTAAAATCAGCTCAAAAAATGGGGGATTGGTATAAAACAAAAGAAATAATATTGAAAGGAGATAAATGGATTATAGATGAAATGAAAAAGTCAGGATTAAGAGGTAGAGGTGGTGCAGGTTTTCCATCAGGTTTAAAATGGTCTTTTATGAATCCACCTGGATGGGAAAAAAATCCAGGTCCAAGATATCTAGTTGTTAATGCTGATGAAGGTGAACCAGGAACTTGTAAAGACAGGGAAATTATCAGAAAAGATCCACATAAATTAGTAGAAGGTTGTTTATTAGCTGGTAGAGCTATGAACGCCACTGCTGCATACATATATATTAGAGGTGAATTTTATAATGAAACTGTTATATTGCAACAAGCAATTAATGAAGCTTATAAGGCAGGTTTAATTGGTAAAAATGCTTGTGGATCAGGTTATGATTTTGATGTTTACATTCATAGAGGTATGGGAGCTTATATTTGTGGAGAAGAAACTGCATTAATTGAATCTATAGAAGGTAAAGCAGGAAAACCAAGATTAAAACCACCATTTCCAGCAGGTGTAGGTTTATTTGGTAGACCAACTACCGTTGCTAATGTTGAAAGTGTATCAGTTGCACCAACAATTTTGAGAAGAGGTGGAGAATGGTTTGATTCATTTGGAAGAGAAAGAAATTCTGGTACTAAATTATTTTGCATATCTGGTCATGTAAATGAACCTTGTACAGTTGAAGAAGAAATGTCTATACCTTTGAAGGAATTACTAGAGAAACATTGTGGAGGTGTTAAAGGTGGTTGGGATAATTTATTAGGTGTCATTCCAGGTGGTTCATCCGTTCCAGTTATGCCAAAAGATACTTGTGACAATATATTGATGGACTACGATGCTTTAAGAGATGTTGGATCAGGTTTGGGTACTGCAGCTGTGATTGTAATGAATAAACAAACAGACATAATAAGAGCAATTCAAAGATTTGCACATTTTTATAAACACGAATCTTGTGGTCAATGTACACCATGTAGAGAAGGAACGACATGGATGCAAAAGATGATGGATAGATTCCAAACAGGTCAAGCAACTCCAAGGGAAATAGACATGATATTTGAATTGAGTAAAGAGATTGAAGGACATACTATTTGTGCATTAGGTGATGCAGCAGCATGGCCAATTCAAGGTTTAATTAAATCATTCAAACCTGTAATGCTAGACAGAATGAAAGAATATCAAGAGAAACACCAAAAAGACTTGGGTTCTGTCAACTATGGAGGTTGGGTAGATAATGGTAAAGTTAAAGATGGAGTTGTTATCGATAATCCAATACCTCATGGTCATTAAAAGGATATATATTGTGCATAATAGATTTAATGAGTATTAATTTAATTTTCACAACGATGAACGATGAACGAAAGTTCAACAATTCAATTCTTTGACTATTTTTTACCTCTTGTCTTATTTTTGATGCCGTTTCAGTGTAATTTTGAAATTTATCTCATTTCTTTTTTTTTTTTTTAACTTTGATTTTGTAAACAATAAAAAATGGAAATAAATTAAAGATCTTCAGATTTTTAATTTAATTGTTTTTAAACTCCGAAAATTATATTGATTTTCAACTCACAATTCACGTCGGTGATTTATTAATCAGTATTTTTCCTTCTTCGACTACATAGTTAAGATTCATAGAGTTTCACATAATTATGAGATGTTCTAAACTTATTGTCCCATTAGCATTCTTATCAGTATCAACCTTATCAGCATACGTGAATAGTGATAACAATAACGCTGAGGATTATTCAGTCGGCGCAGAAGTTATTAGTGACTCACAATTAGCTCAAGAAGAAAGTCAAAGACTGCATGATAAATCGACCAACAAATTAGGTGTTAACGCTTTGCAAGATGAAGATAATCATCCCACTCCAGATCATTTAAAAAAGCCGTTAGATCCTTACAATAATGGTGGAAGAACTAGTGATCATAAACCAGAAAGTGAATTAACTGGAGATTCAAATAATAATTACAATGCATTTTTGATGTCAATATCAATGATAGTTGTGTCTGAAATCGGTGATAAAACTTTTCTCATAGCCGCCTTAATGGCTATGAGAAATTCAAGAGTAATTGTATTTTCAGCCGCTTTCAGTTCACTCGTAGTCATGACCATATTATCTGGAATTGTCGGTCATGCTTTACCTACCTTGATATCTCAAAGAATCACTCAATTTTTAGCATCAATTTTATTTATTATATTTGGATTTAAATTGTTGAAGGAAGGATTAAGTATGTCAAAAGATTTAGGAGTTGAAGAAGAGTTAGCTGAAGTTGAAGAAGAAATAGCATCAAATAAAATAAATCTACAGTTGAATGACATGGAAGGAGGCAGAGGGTCTCAATCACAATCACATTCACTACCACCCAAGGGCTCAAAACAATGGTTCAATGAAATAGGGCTGCAAGTTCAAAATTTAGCATCATTTATATTCACTCCAGTATGGATACAAGTTTTTGTTATGACATTCTTAGGGGAGTGGGGCGATAGATCTCAAATTGCTACAATTGCAATGGCAGCTGGTTCAGAATACTGGTTTGTCATTTTAGGTGCAATAATTGGTCACGGTTTATGTACGGCTGCTGCTTGTATAGGTGGAAAATTTTTAGCCAAAAAGATATCAATGAGAAATGTCACATTAGGAGGTGCTATCGCGTTTTTCGTTTTTGCAATTCTATACTTTTATGATGCTTATTATAATATTGAAAGTTGAGACGAGATAGACTGACAGATGAAGTTACAACCGTTACATAGAAGTAATATAGACTGGTTGAAAAATGACCCTTCAATTTAACATTCTCAGCTGTCATATTTGACCTTGACACAAAAATTTCATAACTTGATTCGGATGTAGACCTTTCTTACCGCCTAGAGTAATTTTATACTCAATTTCTTCTCTTTCATTCTCACGATCCTTTTTAATCTTTGCTTCAGCTTTACCTTCTGGAGTTTCCATGTAATTCAACTCTTCAATTGTATGAAACCCATAAAATTGATAATCTTCTTTCAAATTTTGAATCTTCATCAAACACCATGCATTGAACTCATCATTTTTCTCAAAATCAATAGGTTTCTGTTGTTGCTTCGTGATTTCATCTATTGTGGCTAAGGACGAACTGATCCATTCATCTATTTCCGGTAAGGGCTTCTTTCTAAGTAACGTAGTCAATAATCCTTCATGCTGACTTGTCGGAAAATTTGTTGTAGGATATACATTGGTTTTGGATAGTACATCTTCATTTTGATATAAGACATTCGCTATTGAGGTTAGTTGAGTAATTAACACCTGAAATTGATTTTGGAAATGTATATATGTGGGTAGTTTGATCTTTGAAGGATGTCTATTATGTCCATTGATTTGCTCAACTAATTTTCTTAAGGACAAATGGATTTGATTCAATCTATTTCGTATTTGCTCCAATGCATCTATGGGTATCTGTGAAAAATCAATCGGTATTGATGCAGAAGCAGGAGTAGTTGGTGTCGGAGTATGATTCATTTGAATTGATTTGGCTAATTCGAATATGTTTGTGACTGAAACAAGTAAACAAAATGTAAAAAATAATGTTTCAGTTTTTTTTGCAATCAATACTTCACTACACCTAGATATTCAGAGTAGTCAATTTTGATGATAAGAGGGAACTGGAGTCTAGCTCAAGAATTCAAGCAAAATGAGAGAAAGCAACAGCTCAAAGTACAGAAAAGGCAAAAACATCAACATAAGTTAGAGAAGCTAAAGAACATTGATCCAATAAAACTATTTCATAGAATTGAGAATTTAAGAAATAAATCATCAAAAACAGACAATGATATAGAGTATTTGTCCAAACTCGAAGAGGACTGGTCGTTCATTGAAAAAAATGACTTACACAGCAACAAAGTGAAGGAAATACTCAGAGATCAACAAAAGAAACTAAAGTTGAAACAAAAGGAAGAGACTACGTTATGGGGCAAGGATTCAATTTATTTTAATCCCGAATTAAATCCTTTAGGTAAAGTCCCACAGGTCGAGAGTTTGGGCTTTAAATTAAGTCAGCCTTTAAAAAACTTGAAAATCAATCAACTCAAAAAGGTCAAGAAATATGAATATGATCCATTAATTGAAAAATTAGGTGTTAGATTACCTGATGGTCAACCTCCAAAATTTTACAAATATGTACAAAACACCAAAAAGCCATCTAAAAGAAATCAAAAATCCATGCAAGACGAATTGAAACTAAATACGGATAATCTGCTAGAAATAGAAGGAAATACCGAAGAACCATTTTACAAGAAACAAAAAGGGTAGTTAATTTAATCTAGATTTGAAGGTTCTATTTACAAGGTGGTCTATTTACAATATACGCAGAAGGTTTAAATAAAACAAATTACCCAATAAAATTTTTCACCGCAAGAACTGAAAACTTTGTTATTTAAAATCTCGATGATTAAATTAATTCATTCATCAATCAGATTTGTTGCTCAGTATTAAAATTTAGATAGGGCAACCGTGGTAACTTCCCAAATACCAAACATTATTATTGAATTCGGTACAGTCCTCAATAAATGTGGAGTTAAACCACCATACATACTAGCAAATCCTTCTTCTTTGAGGACAAGCTTGAAACATTGTATCAAACCTGTGTATTTGGGTTTACCAGTTGATGCTAAAGGTGCTTGCCTCAATCTAGTTCTCACAACTTCATGAGGATATGTAATTAAACTGGCCATGAATTTCGCTACTCCAGCAGCTCCTGATCTTGCTGACCATTCTAAGACGTGATCTTTAGTTGATTTCTTAGTTGGATCTGATCCATGTATTTTCAATGATCTTTTATTTATAAACATTCTCATTTGTTCATATAACACCCATTGTATAGTACTTTCAATACCACCTAAATACGATGCACTTAAACCCTTGTATAAACTTCCGAAACCTTCGTTTTTCACTATATGTTTCAAACAATCCCATGAATTTTTGTATATTTGATTTGAAGACTTATCTAGCTGTAGCCTTGTTTTGATCAACCATATTGGATTCGTTGCAGTAGACGTTACAAACCCTGCATTTATACCCGATACAAGATGCATCCAAGTTTCTTCCTTACCTTGATGACTAAAATTTCGTAAAATGAAATCTTTTGTTGCTCCATATGTGAAAAAATTGATAGATCTAGCAGGTATTACCCCAACTAAATTAGGTCCTAAACCTTTAAATAACGATGTTACTCCCTCGGATTTATACATGAGACGTAAGGCATTACCTGTTTCTGATAAATGTTGGAATACTTGTCTTATTGGATTTCCTGATTTTATTGTTTTATTATACATATCATGATATACATCACTTTGTAGCCTAGTCTTTACCACATCTAATGGACAAGTCACTACTGCTCCAACTGTACCTCCTACTCCACCTGCTACAAAATGAACCCATGGTTTAGTTTCTTTTATTGTTGCTAAATTATCATTCACTATTTTATCATTATCTTTGGGCATTGCATCTTTCAATTCAATCATCATTTCTTTATCTCTGAAAGTCGAAGACTGTTCGTCTGATGCTAAATATGGATAAGCTGCTTCTGCATCTTGTTCTAGTATTTTGATTCTGTCTTCGTCTGTCGGTGAAATCCCCATTTTTTATGTTATTACTGTCTTGCAGATTGTTTTGATGACAGCGTTAGATAGTTAGGATGAAATTTTGACTATATACAAGTGAATGTGATGTTTTCTTTCAAATTGCAGTTCTTATTGATAGATAATTAGACTTTAGGTTTAGGATGAAAAAAATAATATGTAATGCTTCAATATGATGGAAGAGATTAACTTTTTTTCAATTTTTTCCCCATCAAAATTAGGCAGACGATGAGTCCTGCCAGTCTGTTAACGTCTAAGAACTCAGAATTAGAGAGATGCGTGAGTATATCTAGTTGAAAGATCCTGTTGTCATTGGAACTGGGCAATAACTTGGACCAAGTTTTAACTATAGTCATCTCTTGCTTGGTAGCTAATATGAAACACAAAATAAAAAAATCAAGAGATCTAGCTTCAATACTTTGGTTGATCAATAAATATGTATAATCAAACACTTTTTTTAGTTATATATTATACAAAATTGTTCTATAAAATTTTCATTATTCATTAAGTCGTAAAAAATAGCCATTGTTTTGTAAATTTTATTTAAGTGTTTTAATAAAATTATCAAGATTATATTCTTCTTCATATTGTTGTTCATCCCATAATTCACCTAATTCTCCAACAGCTCCAGCTGCTTTACCTGTTAATCCACCTGCTAAATCTTCTGGCATATTACCTGATGTACCATTTCCATTAGTACCATTTACTCTATCATTTCTTTCATCATCTGCATTTGTTTCTTCAACTTTTGCACTCTCATCAACATCAAATAAATCTAATAATTGATTTGTGTCCATGGATTGTAAACCTTGATTTTGTTGATTTACAATTGTTGAAGCAATATTCATTTTGAATTTTTGTAATCCCATAATTTTTTCTTCTAATGTATCTTTTGTAATTAATCGATAAACATTAACAACTTTCTTTTGACCTAATCTATGAGCTCTATCCATAGCTTGTAAATCATTCATAGGATTCCAATCATGTTCAACAAATATTACAGTATCGGCACCAGTTAAGTTTAATCCTAATCCTCCAACTTTTGTTGTCAATAATAATACATCAATTGAAGGATCTTCATTAAATTTTCTAACAATTGCTTGTCTATTTCTTGGATCAGTTGAACCATCTAATCTCATATATGTTACTGATGGTAAATATTTTTTTAATAAATCATTTTCAACAATATCCAACATATCTTTCAATTGACAAAAGATTAATGCTCTATGTTCTGATATCACACCTTCAAGTGGCATAATTTGAGATTTTGAAGAATTCTTTTTAAGTTTATTATAATCAGAATCTTGTGAACCAATTCCACATTCAAGTAATAAAGTCTTTAATGATAATAATTTTGGTGAATGTTCAATGTCTCTTATATTAGACTTTTTTAATGCTAATGTTTGATTAATTTCAGTAAATTTTGGATGATCAGGAGTTACAATCAAAGCAGGATGATTACATAATTTCCTCATATATTGCAAAGCTTGGAAAACATGAGTTTTACCTTCTTTTTCAGTTGATGAAACTTCATCTTTGATATTTGCTTTTTGAGATTTTGCAAAATCTTTATATAATTGCTTTTGTATATCACTCAATTCACAATAATAATCTTGAATAATTTTTGGTGGTAAATCAGATAATACATCTTCTTTCAATCTTCTTAACATGAAAGGTAATACTTGTTTATGCAATGATTCTAAAGCCAAAGCGCCAGCTTCTTGTTCTTTTGATGATGTTTTACTATTTCTACTAGCAGCAATTGGTTTAGCAAATTTTTCATGAAATACTTTTTCAGTTCCTAAAAATCCAGGCATTAAAAAATCAAATAATGACCATAATTCTAGAACATTATTTTGAATAGGAGTTCCAGATAAAATTAATCTATGTTCAGCTCTAATTTTTTTAACTGATTTTGATAATTTTGAGTTTGCATTTTTAATAATATGACCTTCATCTAAAACACAATAATTATAATCTTGAGATGATAAAAATTCAACATCATTACGAGCAACATCATATGATGTCACTACTACATCAACTTCTGACACTTGACCTCTCAAAGGTACTCTTATACTAGGATTACCAGCATATACTAAAACTTTCATAAATGGAGCATATTGATTAATTTCTTGTTCCCAATGACCAGTCAATGATGGTGGACAAATAACTAAAGAAGGTAATCTTCTATATTCAATAGCTTGAGTTTCTTTAAATTTTTCAGATCTCATATAATGATCAGATGAAATAATACAAATAGTTTGTAAAGTTTTACCCAAACCCATATCATCACAAAGAATTCCATGTAAATGATATTGATTTAAAAAATGTAACCAATTTACACCTTCTTGTTGATACTTACGTAACGTTGCTTTTATGGTGACTGGTAAATCAAATGGTTTTATTTTAGTTGGATCCATCATTTGCAGTATAAAATCTCTTTCTCTTTCTCTACCTTCTAATAATTCTTTTGGCATATCTTCAGGATCAGGTATACCTGCTTCTAATGGAACTAATTTAATTATTGATGCAAATGTTGTTGTAGCTAATACTCTAACATCATGATCTGAATCACTCATTCTACCTAATACAGGAACAATTAAAAACATGACATATGGTAAAATATTAGCACCCATAGTTGCTGAAATATGATAAATTGTTTCAATTGCACCTTGTCTTTCAACAACACTACCAGCATTCTTTAACATTGGTAAAATAGAATTTACTAAAAAAGTGAAAGATTTAGTTGGAGCAACTGAACATATTGTAGCAAAACATTTAGCTGTTGAATATCTGAATACAGAATATTCTGATTTTAATCCAGATAATAATAAATCCAAATGATCCGTTATTTCAAAGTATAATGATGGGTCAAGTTTTGGTAACAATGCTTTTAATATACCTAAAGCATCAATTATACTTTGACCTTTAAATTCATCCTTGATAATATCTTCCTCTGATAAAGTTGCTAATTCAGTTAATGGCCCAATCATCAATTCTTTTAATTTTGGAACTTCAATAAATATTTTTTCTTTATATATTTTAATAATTTGTTCAAGTGTCATTAATGCACCCTGTCTTTTAATTTTAGCTTCATGAACTGCTTTTTCATGAGCAGCAATATCTAAAGGATCACTTTTAGCTTCTTCTTTTTTCAATGATAAAATATTAATTTTAAAACCAACATTATGATGAAATTCAGGTACTTCAGCAGTATCAACACATAGAAATGCACATAAATTTTTAATAATTTTATCAGCTACATTTTTTTTACTATTGGAATTTAATTGTTGAATTAAACTTGCTAATGAAAAAACTGATTTTTTTTGTAATACTAACGATTCTTCCAGTTTAACACTTTCCATTAATGATTTTATTATGGGGTTCAACTTTTTAGGAATACCTGATAATGCAAGAATAGCTCCAGCATAAGCAGCTAATATTCCAACTACTTTAGATTCTGAAATAAATTTTGATTCTTGAATGGCAACGCTTATTCTATGTTTTGCATCTTCTAAGGCTTGATTAGCAGATAATCTATTAGCAGTTGATAAATTTTTCTTCAATTTTTCAAAATTTTCATTACAAATTGTTTCAGCATTTTCTATATTAAAAGCATTTGGACCAGCATCAATTTCACCTTGTACTACTACTGGAATTTGTGGTAATTTTGATGGAGATAATCTAGCTGTTGAGACAAAACAATCAAATAATTGTAAACATGATGTTCTTACAGATTTTAAAATTGGACCTAATTCTCTAAATGGTGGTAATGTTGAAGGATCTTGTAATACATCCATTAATGGTGTAGATAAAAGTGAAATAACTTTTTCATCGGGAGAATTTTCTTGATCTTTTACACCAATTGCAAAATCTTCAATTATGAAAGCACTTAATAATCTTGCAGTAGCATGTGGTGAATTTAAATATGTTTTAACATTTGAAAATATTGAAATCAAATTTTCATGATTTTTAACTAATGCTAATGATTTGCCAAATGCACTTGATGCTGCGCATCTCATGGCTATCATTCTTTCATAACCAACAAGCATAACATCTCCCTTGTATACTGGAGCATCAATATTGATTTTCAAATCTTCTATTGGAATATCTAAAGTTTCTTCCGCTTGTTGTTGTTGTTTATTTCTCTTTTTACCTCGTTTTTCTTCATCTTCTAATGAACCAATGACTTGACCTGAAGGTCGCATAATTAAAGATGTATTCATATGATAATGATGTCTTGATATACCAATTGGTGTCATTGTTAAAGTTAAAAGATCCGATGCTTGATTAAGAAATAATTCATCAATATCTAAATTATTTTTTGAAATTTCTTGTAATAATTTATCATATACAGTTTGTGACAATTTTAAAACATCTGGATTTTGTTCAACTAATAAATTTTGAAATAATAATCTAACAGTTTTTGAATCAATCCATGTTTTAGTTGCTAAATCATCAATGGATAAAAATTCTAATATTGTTCTTAATACTGCTTTTCTTACATTTGTTATCGAATGTCTTAAAAATGGATATAATCTTGGAACTAAATTTTTAAAAGAATTTAATTCATCTTGATTAGCATCTTGTTGAATGATTTCAATAACTTCTTTGTGACTACATAATCTGGCTAATAAATCCATTACTGATCCTATCGATGCAGATAAATCATCTCTTAAATTTACTAAACAATCCCATATAACAGGAAGTAATGATTTTATAATTGATTGTCTAGTAGCAACAACTTGTGATGCAATTGGAGTTAAAGTTAATGCAGCTACTGATTGAACATCATCATCACTTTCTTGTAATCCATATAAAACCATATTAATAACTTGATCAAACATTTCAGGATGTTCTAATAATATATCAGTTCGTACACTTACTAAATATCTTACTCCTAACATTCCACCATGTTTTGCTTCCCAACATTTAGAAATTATATCTTGTTGTAAAGTCATAGTGTTTAAACAATTAAAAGTATTTATAACAGTTTCATCATTTAAATGAATTAATAATGCAGCTAAAGTTTGAGCACTTGATTCTCTTACAGGAGCAACAACAGTATCTGAAACATAATCACCAAATCTATCCAAAACAAATAATATACATAATCTAACAGCTAAATCTTCTAAAGTTAATGAATTATTTAAATCATTTTCCTTTTTTGATTTTTTCATTATTCTTCCAGCTCCTTTACCATGTTTTCGAATTAGTTCTCTTAATCCTAAAGCTGCTCCATGTCTTATTTCCCAATTATCATCAAATAAATCTGCTAATAATAATTCATAAACTCCTTGAAATTGCCAAATTAATCCTGCTACTTTATTATGTAAAGAAAGTAATGGTGATATTTCTGAAACTTTTGATTCAACAACTAATTTTTCACCACCTTGTTGAGATGTAATATCAAATTTTGAAGAATCTTCTCCATTTTGTTCTGAATCTATATCCATTGCTTCTCCATTTTCCATCATTTGCCTTGATATTGAACTTTGTGATATATCTATTGTTTTTAATTTACCACCACCTGATTTTGCATTTACTTTAGCTCTTCTTTTTTGCATTGCTTTTAATCTTGCACTTGATATTGGCTTATCTAAAGGTGGTCTTTCAGTTGGTGTCATTGGTGATGCAGGAGAATTAGGAGAATCCAAATTTGAATCTTCTTGTTTGATAAGTGGTTCTGATTTAATTGGTGGAGTAGGTGTATTTGATACTAAATCCGTATCTATTTCTGTTTGTTCTTTTTCTTTCGGTAGTATGCTTGCTCTATGCCTTTTAATTCTTCCAATTAAACTAGAATCAATTATATCATCATTATTTAAAGTATTATCTGATTTTGAAGATAGTAGTTTTGTTCCAGATTTAATTAATTCATTTAAATCAAATTCTTTATAATTTAATAAATTTGTGAATTTATTACTTAATTGATTTAATTCTTCATCTTGTTCTATTTTCAATTGTATTTCTTCATCTTGTTCCTTTTTAATATATACAGAATCTTCATAATTAGTTTCATTAGATATTTCCTTTTTAATTAAATCATTTTCTTCATCTTCTTGTTTTATTATATTTTCAGAATTTGGATCCCAGTTTGGAGCATTATTTACAATTCCTCCAAATGCTCTTGCTGCTGAAATTCTTGTTTCCCATTTATTTGATTTTAAAAATGGATAAACTCTTGCTAATAAATTTAAAATATCTTCTGGATGAGATTTTGCTAAATCCGATAATTGATCTGCAGCTGTATTACGTATAAATGATGTTGATCCCGTTTCAAGTAATACAACCAATCTATCTAATCTAGACATAATTTTCTTTTTTGGTTTACAAGGTTTTGATTAAGGTTTGATTTTGTAAATTAGTTAATCATTTGTTAATTCGCGTATTGTTGGATTGTTCTATGAAGCCACGTTTGGTATGTTTGTGTTGTTGTTGTTGTTGTTGTTGTTGTTGCTGTTGTTGCTGATTAACTTAGTTGTGATTGTTTATATTTTTGCAACCAAAATTCTATTATGTGAGAGAGTAGATCAAATTCTAAAAAATAAAAAATGATGAGAAAATTGATTGTTTATTTATATTAATTTTTTTTTTGTTTGTTTTTTTTCTTACACTCTTTCTTTCTCTCTGTTGATGAATTAATATTCTTAATAAAGTTCAAACTCCACCAATTTTTTCAAAGAGAAAGAATTACTCAGATAAGAATACTTGTTGACCTACATATAATGAAAAGAACTTAAAGTCTTAAAAATGAATTGTCTTTTTTTTTTGTTGGAATTTCGATAACTTTTGATGTGACTGATGCTGTTGATTGAAGCAAATGATCCTTGAGGGTTGTCTGTGATAAAACATTGGGTGTTTTACAAGCTGAACAAATCGAAGTATAATAACAATATAGCTGTGGTTGCATTTGGTGAATTGGTTGGAGAACAACCAGTAACCAAACAGTATTTGTTGTGTGGCAAATGAACCAAAAGTCATCGTTGCCTTGTGTCGGTCAGTCGTAGTTGAACAAAAATAAAAATGCTCATGGTTAAATTTGACCTTTGGTTCAAAAAGGTTTCTTGTTAGATTGCAGTAGACCACCAACCATAAAAAAAAGTTTGGCATTACCACACGTATGGGATCATTTGATTTTACTGTTGATAAGTAAACAGGTTGTTTAACTGTGATTGCATTGATCTGACATGATTTTCGACGACTTTTGCATTCATCTGGTCAACACAACAAATACTGGGGCTTATCAACTACTTGATGAATGTAACTACTTGATGAATGTATTGAAGTTACCTTCATACTAATCATTATTTTAGGTACTTACGGTATTTTCAGTTGTTGCAACTGGTATCTTAATTCAAAGGAGTACCCAACATTCTTTGTATATCAAATATCTTTCAAATTATTTCAAAACACATTGCATATATAAAAGTTTAGAAACGAAGGGGATCTTGCTTGCAAATGGGTTGATGAAACGATCGGATAAAGTTTGAAGAACCTTTAATCCAATGATTTACAGAGAACCTTCGATGTTTGTGATGAAAATTAAATAATGTTTTGTAGTTTATCCCTCTATATTAATGGATCAGTCCAATTATTCCTATACATTTTGTAGCAATATGAAAGTTTGACCACATTCGACTGATGGTACCTTTAATTGAACTAATCCTGAAGTATTTGTCATTAGAGTCGAATACGTTTGTTTCATGGGAGATCACGTTCAAGATAGTATTAAATTTTGTAGTAGAAATCATGTAAAGAACATTCTTAATCGTAAGTTGATACTAATTTTGCTTAGCCTTAATGCTTAAGACTCCACATATTAAGAAAGAATGAAGAAAACGTTTTGACGTTTCGTGTCAAATGCTTGAAGATCCAACTTGTTACGTGATTCTTCGCTTAATGACCGTAAGTACAAGTTCAAACTCGGAATTCATCATCATCAAATTTCTATGATTTTTCTTTATGTCTTCAAATCATTAATTTCGTTTATACAAGTATTATACAATCCCTCATCCAAAGATCTTAAGAAAATAATTAATGAAATTTTTTCTCTCTTGTTTCTCTAACTTCTTTCTTTTTAGATTCTAAATCATCTTTATTTGCATTATATTTTATATTTGTATCTTGATTCATTGGATTTTCTTTTGATTTTTGAAATTCTTTAAATATTAAATTTTTAATTTGTTGTAATCTTAATCCAGGATTTTCTTTTCTTATTTCAGGTAATCTTCTATCTTCATATGCTAAATAAGCAGCTTTAACTCTTCTTTCTGCATGACGATCAATATCTTTTGTTGATACTCCAGAATCTTTACTTGTTAATGCTAATGCTTCTAATGCATTATCTAATCCAGATGCACTTAATTCAGGAGTATCTTTATTAAAATCAATAAAATCATCAATTTTTCCAGTTCTTTTTGCAGCAATTTTTTCACTACCTCTTTTTTTGGAATTTGAAGGTTTTGATGGTAAACTTTGTTCTTCTGCTTGTAATAAAAGATCTCTTTCTTGTTTTTTTCTAGCTGCTTCTTCTTTTTTAAATTGTTCTTCTTCTTTTTTTTTATTTCCCTTCTTTGAACCTTCTTCCCATTTTGAAATTTCTTCTTGTTCTAATTTTTCTAATTGTTCTTGTTTTTTTTTATTTGCTTGTTCTTGTTTTTTGGCATTACCTGCTGCCTTTTTAGAATTTTCTCCAGCTTGTTTTTTAGCCATTTTTGATTAATTAGATGATAGTTGGATTAATTATGATGTTAGTTGCTTTTGGTTTTTCAAATGGTGAGTGTGATATGCATCGACTTTGTCTGATGTTGTTGTGTCTCAATTCGACTTTTGTTAAGTTAGTCAATCAATGATGTATTTGATCTTGTTAAATATATTTTCTCAAATTTTTCAGATCAATGCGAATTATGGAAATGTAAAATTTGGGTGCAAAAAATAAAGAGAGTAAGATTAAAAATAAGTACTTTGAAACTAATGAGAAAGAAACGATTATATATTTATAGATGCTATAACTTATTTGGTCTAAATACTACCCTACCTCTTACTTTATCATTAATTAAATCTTCCAATGCATCAGGTAATTTATTAAAATCAACAATTGTAACATTTGGTTTGATTAAACCTTTTGAAATCCATTTCATACATTCAATTTGTTCAATTGAATTACCACCAAAATTATAAATAACTTCAATTTCTCTAACAGCAAATAAAAAATTTGGTAAAATTAATTGAAATTTTCCTAATCCAATCATTGATAAAGTACCTCTTTTTTTTAAATAATTATTTGAAATATCTACAGTTTGTTGAATTCCAACAAAATCAAATATTATATCAAATGATTGTGATTCATGATTTGAATCTTCTTCAATATCATTATAAAATTCATTAGCTCCATAACTCAAAGCAGTTGATTTAATATCTTCTTTTTTATCAGTTGCAACTATAAAACAACCATAATTTTTTAAAATTTGTATAGCATTTAATCCCAAACCTCCACAACCTTGTACCAAAATTTTTGAAGTTGGTTGAATTTTATGTTTTACTTTTTGTATAGCATGAAATGGAGTTAATACTGAATCAGTACAAACAGCAGCATCTTCAAATGATACATTATCAGGTATTGGTAATAAAGTTCTTAAATTTTTAATTAAAAGATATTGTTGAAAACCACCATCTTCATTTAATCCATAAGCTTGATTAGTTGATGAACATGAACCATCTAATCCAATTCTACAAAATTCACAATGTCCACAACAATAATTAATTTGTAAAGCAAATCTTTTACCTTTTTGATATTTATTATTTGTATTCTTTAAATTTTTTTCAATTTCTGAACCAATTTCATATACAGATCCTGCTATTTCATGACCCATTATAAATTTTTCTTTATTTTTTAATGGTGGTTGTTGAGGTAATGGTCCAGCTATTAATGTATGAGGATCAGATAAACATAATCCTGCTGCTTCAATTTTTAATAATATTTCATTTGGTCCAACTTTTGGTATTGGTAAATTATTAAATTTTTGAATTTTTTTATGATTTATATTATATCCATAACCAAATTGTGTTTTTGGGGTTGCTGACATGATTTTTTGACAATTCTTTTAGTTTGATTGAAAAAGAATAACTGTCAAATTAAGTCTCTACATTGATAAATGAATTGATGAGTTTTTTATATAAACGGATAATCAAAGACTGGAGATACAAACGGATTTATATTCACTTTATAGTTCTTTAAAATAATAATAATAATGATTGCGGAGTTCACTCGAGTAAAACTAGATTGACCCCCACCTTTCAAAATTGTATACGAAGCCGCTCAAATTACTTAATTTGGTACATAATGATCTAACCTTTCGAAAGACTACTAACATCACCCATATCACAATCTTGTATCTGCAGCATAGTATCAGTTGCAAGAATCAAACTCAATCCTGACAAATGCCCATTGACCAATAATCGTCCATGCCAGGATGGAGCTATTAACAAAATTATATGGATGGTAAATATAAACTTTAAAATTTAAACGCGTCTTAATCAATAAGGAAGAAAAAGATTTGAACTGCAGAAATTGTTTTGGCCTGGAATTTGAAATGAAAAATTGGGATTAACTTTTTGCAAAGCTTGATCATTCAAATCTCTATTGTCAACACAGCTTTTTATTGTGTGTTTGTCGTAATTATTTTCAGAACAGAAAAAGGGCAGTGTACTTTATTTTACTCTCGAATAATAATAATAACCGTAATATACGAAAGAATGAAAAATGATAGACTAAAGATTCATAAGAGGAAAAGATCAATTCAATCAACTTATAAATAAACAAGACGTCCCATAACGATCTCTTTCATCATTTCATCTCACAATTTAGTACAATCACTCGTATAAATTTATACTGGTTCATCTAATAGACTATTGACATTATTTTAAATTTTAAGGTACGAAATTAAAGTAAACAAAAAATCATATAGGTAGTGTAAATTTAACCAAAAGAAAAAATCAAATTTTATTATTCATAACGTCACCATTACAATTTTCTTTACTTTACCTTAACAACCAAATTGAATATATTTTTAATATACCATAAACTGTAATAATATCATCAAAACCAAATTATAGGAGTCTAGAATAGAGGAACAATTCAAGTTAAATCATGGATGATAAAAAAGATGAATTAAATACTTCAAATGTAACCACCAGTAACAATAATACAAAAAATAATAACAATAATAATCTATCATCAACAATTGATGTACCATCGATACCCAAACAAATACCATCATCAACTTCCATACAAACCAACTCAACAACCACTGTCCATAGTCCAAATAATAACAAAATAAGTTCAACTTCAACTCCAAATACAAATTCATCAACAACTGATTCTTCCACTTTATTAGAAAATGATTCCAAAATCAAGACAATCCTAAATTCTGATTCTGCATTAGATATTCTACTGAATAGATTAAAACAAAGTTTATTAACAGCAGAAGAATTTAGTAAATTTATTAAAAAGAAAGCTCAAATTGAAGATGAACATTATAATCAATTAAAAAAATTTGCAAATAATATAAGAACAAATATGAAAAATAATAGTAAAAATTTAAAAAATGATTCATTACAATTTCAAATGGATAAAATTATTGGATTTGATGAAAATTTATATGGAGTTGGTTCAAGTTATGTTACTGCTTTAAATACAATGTATGATGAATTAACTTCTTTAATAAATACAATAACAAGATCTAGAAAAATTGTTAAAGATGAATATAGAAAAAAAGATAAAGAATGTATAGATTCAATACAATCAGCAGAAAAATCAAAACAAAGATATATGCATTTATGTGATGATTTAGAAAGATTAAAAACTTCTGATCCTTCAAAAAAATCATTTAGTTTAAAAAATAAATCTGTTGAACAACAAGAAGATGATTTACAAAAAAAAGTTGATATGGCAGATCAAGAATATAAATCTAAAGTTTCAACTTGTAAAAAATTAAAAGATGAGATCTTGGTAATTCATCGTCCAAATAATTCAAAAAAATTAAAAAATTTAATATTAGAAATGGATATTGCATTAAATGTTCAATTACAAAAATATGCAACATGGAATGAAAATTTAATAATGAATTCTGGTGTTTTATTAAGTCCTTTACAATCAAATAAACCTTCTATGAAATCAATGGCTTCATCAATTGATAATGAAAAAGATTTATATAAGTACCTTATTGAAAATGGTTCACAACAATCAAATAAATCATTAACTCCAATTGAATATCATATACATCCTTCATTAATAAAAGCAAAAGATATTGGAAAACCATTTTTAAATAATACAAGTAATAATAATAGAACTAATAGTACAAGTAATATAAAAGCAGCAGTATCATCAAATCAATGGAGTAACAACAACAGCAATAATAACAGTAATAATCTCAATAATAACAATAACAGTACTAGTAGTACGAAAAACTTATCTACTCCTTATGCAGGTAATTTATTACCAACTAAATCATCAAATCAAATATCATCAGATCCCAAAAATTCATCTCCAAATAACAATTCAACATATCCTACAACATCTCCAATTAAAGATCCACCACAAGGATATTCTTCATTAGATCCAGGAAGTTCACCATCAACTCCAAATTTAAATGGTCCAAAACCTTTTAATAACATAACAACATATAAACAACCAACATTTGGAGTATCAATAGAAGAAGTTATAAAATTTGCAGGAATAGATAATGTACCATTAATTGTACGCAGATGTATTGAAATTATAGAAAATTATGGAATTGATTTAGTTGGAATATATAGAACAAGTTCAAATATAAATCAAGTTACAAAATTAAAAGATTTAATTGATTCAAATTTTACAAATTATTTAACCATAGGGGCAAATATAAATCCAAATAATATTATTGATAATAAAATTTTTGCAGTAGCATCATTATTAAAATTATATTTTATAAATTTACCTGAACCCCTTGTAACAAATTTAGAATCAAAATCTTTTATTGAAACAGTAAAATTAAATGATGAACATTTAATTGCAAAAAAATTACATCATTTAGTTTTTAATTTACCTGATGGTTCATATTTTACTTTAAGAAGCTTGATATTTCATTTAAATAAAATTTCATTAAATGAATCAAAAAATAGAATGAATAAAAAATCGCTTTCGATTATTTGGGGTCCTGTTATTTTTAATGATAATTCTTCAAATGCTCAAGATTTAAGTTATAAAAGCAAAGTTGTTGAAGAATTAATGACTATTGCTAATGATATTTTTGAAGTTGATGAGGAATAAATGGTTAAGAATGACTGTATAAGAACATTTTTGTATAATTAAAATACGTACATAATACATTCTATAAAATATGTTTTGATACCAAACCCGCTGATATCATTCTCTTTACCAGTACACTATCACCTTAACCTTATACATCTTCATTTATTTTTCAATTGAGCTAGTACTTGTAAGTTCTTTTTCATCCATATTGGTTGTGTAAGTTGTCCTTCTAGTTTGAGACTCAAGAATATGAGTTGAAATAGATGTGATTTGTTCTCTTTCTATACTAACTGACGCATATACAGACTTGGTGGCTTGCTCAAGATCATCATTAATAGTATACGTAGCAGTATCAAATGATGAGATATCCGTACTCGAATACCACCAATCCTCTTCAGCTGATATAACTCATACATTTCTTTCTCATCATAACCTTATGCATCCTCATTAATACATCATTTTTTTCTTCTTCTTTTCTTCTTTTTTTATCTCCAATTTTTCATCAGGTTTAATCTTATTTATTCTATTCTTTGAACTATTAATATTATTCAAATTTTTTACAAAATTATCTCTATATTCTAAATTTTTTAATTCTTGTTCATATTTTAATTTCTTTAAAGATTTTTCTTTTTCCAATTTTAAATTTGTTAATTTTATATTTTCTTTTATCTTGTTAAATTCTTCATCATTAATCCCCATGATTTTTCTTTGAATATTCATTAATTCATCTTTTAAAATTTCATGAAAATTTCGAGATTCAATTATTTTATCTTGAATATCTTTATCAACTATACTTAATATATTTAATTCATTATTTGAATTTTGTATAATTTCTCCTTGAATTAATGCTGCTATTTTACCTTTATTTTTTAATAATAATTGAGGATCATTTTTAATTTTTGATTCTATCATTATTGTTAATTTTAATAACAAATTATTATAAGTTTCTGATGATTTAAAATTTTCTAAAAGTTGTTTTCTTTGATTATCAAATGTTCCATTTTTTTTATAAACTGTTGTTAATTGTTTGGGATCTGTTACTTTAACTAATGGTTTCTGTAGTGTAAATGATTCATTTGTGTTATTCTCTTTGGGGGTATTGTTGGAGTCTTTACTGCTATTATTTGACATTATTAATGAAGTAAGTGTTTGGTTTGTAAATTAGAAGTTGTTTGATAAGAAAATTCTATGCGGCTTTGATTTACGCTTACAAAATTTCGATTGTTGATTTAGTCTACTTTGATTTGTTTGGGAATCATCAACACTTTAATCAAAACAAACACATACATACTCACATGCGTTTCGGTCATGCCCCACCTTCCCATCCAAGTCCGACACCATCAATATCATTGCCAAACGTTAGAAAATTAAAAAGAAAAAGAGCACCAATAATAGATGATGAAGAACCAAAATTTTCAAAGTTGGATCATTATAAAGGAATATTACATCATGTGATACACCAAACAGTATACAATTTTGTACTATCTGAATCACCAGCTTATATTATTGCATTAGTAGAACGAGTATGTAAATATAAACATGCTGAAATGAAGGAACTTTTAAACCATATTTACAAAAATATTGATGACGCGTTTAATAAAGATTTTAAACATTTTTCAAATTTATCATATAGAGACGATTTTGATTCTAAAGATGAATGTGAGAATTATGTATTAGATGTTTTACAAAAAATAATGGATTCTTATCAACTTTGGGAAAATAAATTAAATTTATTAAGTAAATTATTTGGTTATATAGATCGAAATTATTTAAAAATTCATAGTTGGAAAATTCCTATTAAAACTTATGGAATTGATAAATTTTATACATTTTGTTTTACAACAGAAGGTGAAGAAGAACCTGAAACTTCCCAATTAATTTTTCATTATTATAGTAGACTCACAGGAATATATTATAAAGATAAATATTTTCAAAAAAGGCATGATTCAACAAAGATTCAAGAACTTTTTAAAAAATTTACACAAATGCTATCCTTTAATGACTGGAATAGAGAAAATTATGCGTTTCGTATCAGCTCCGCGTTTGACAAACAAGAAGGAAAAGGGTGGTTTTCTTCTGCAAGCGAATATCAATCATCTTGTTATTTTCAGCGAATATTATTGGTTCTTTATGAAGAGATAACTTATTTTTCAAATTATATTCAAGTTGAAAACTTGTTAAATGATTTAATACGGGAATTAATAATCAGAAAAAATTGGGATGATCTTTTATTAGATGATTTGGATTTAATTTTAGAAAAACCAGAAGAAGTAAAAATTTTGAAAGAAATTTGTTCAGATTCTTTGGAACTTCATTCTATTGATGGAACATTAAAATTACTTCATACCTATCTGAATTATGCAGAAAGATTATATAAAAAAGCTTTAAATGATCAATCAAATATGATACAAACAATTTATGAAGCTGATGAACATATAAAACTGAAAATTTTACAATATTTTAAAGATGATGATAGATTTGAATATGAATCACGTAAAAAATTAAAATCTATACTAGAAGATAAACAAATAAATCAATTAGTAACTCAACAATTAATTAAATTTTGTGATTCAACTTTAAAATCTAAAAATAAAAATAAACCTAATATTGATAATTTGTTATCAACAGTTTCAACAATTCTTACTTCATTATTAAACAAAGATCAATTTTTAAAACTTTATAGAAAAGAATTATCAAGAAGATTACTTATTGGTAAATCTTTAGATTTAAATACTGAAAAACTGTTAATTCAATTAATTGAAGAAATTGTTGGTACTGATTTAGATCTTATGAAATTATTTGAAGATATCAATTCAAGTAAAACCAAACATGTTTTGTTAAACTCAAAAACTATTCAATTAACACTCACTACTTTAAAACGTGATTATTGGAATGATATACCACAAGAAGATTTTGGATCAATAACTTTACCTCCGGGATATTCAAATTTACTTGACTTACCTGAAGAAAATAAAAAGTTTGATTGGTCTAATTATAAATTACATAAGCTTTCAATCACTGCAAATTTTGAAGGTAAAGAAGTGACGATAAACTGTAACTTATTACAAGCAGCAGTTATACTTTTATTTAACGATCGTGATGAATTATTAACTAATGAGATTACAAAATTACTCAATATGAATGAAAAATTACTAAATTCAATAATACAAACATTTAATGGTACTTCACATATCTTAATCTTAAATGATAACAAACTAACTTATAATAAAAAATTCAAAAGTAAAACAGGAATAGTAAATTTACCAATAATAAAAGATTATCAACAACCAACATTAAATCCCATAGAACCAGATCAAGAATTAACAATTGAATCAAATCAAATAATTTCATCAAATAAAAGATATGAAGCAACAATAATAAAAATTATGAAAAAATTTAGAGAATTATCATATTCAGAATTATTAAATAAATGTTTTGATAATCTTTTAAATTCAATAACTTTGATTGATTTAAAAGCTTCAATTGAAAAATTAATTGATCAAGAATATCTAAAAAGAAAAGATATTGATACAATTGTTTATATACCTTAGTGTGTATTAATTTCTTTCAATACCTTAGTTTGATGCATTCAGCAAATAAGAAATGATTGTTCTCTATAAAACCCTTAATTTCCAAAACCGAAGGATTGAGTTTACTTTTAGAAGTGACCATAGCTTATGAAATATAATAAAATTGCTTTTTTTCAAATTTCTTGTACTATTTAAGACAAAAGTATTCAATAACATACTCTTTACCTAAAAAGTACATAGTAAATTTTATATCTGGGTATGTATGGAAATACGCCTTATAATGTGACAAAGAATTCTAATCCCAGATTTAAATTTTTATCCTTGCATCACTAGATATAAAAGTTACCATGTGCTTTACAGGTACTTGATCTTTGTTTTGTTTCGAATTCTTTATCACATTGAAAGGCGTATTTTTGGACTCACTGGGAGTAGTTTAGCTGTCGGCAAATTCTCATCAACAGCATCAATAATTTCTCTTCCTATAGCTGGTTTGGAACTTGACTTATTCTGTAGATGTTAAATAAGTATTTCCTCAACCAAAAATGATAAAGTTTTCTCATCTTCCTCTGAATCAGACAAGTCTCTTGTTGGAAGCACTGGTATTGATGCTTCTTGAAAAAACTTGAACAAACGAGCATTAAGCTCATTTGAACCTCCAGTAGATACAGCTCCATGTACGAACTCATTCATGGGGAACAATCCATATTCTAAACAATAGTTTGTAACCGATAATTTTAAACTATTCTTGATTAGTTTTGATGTTTTCCATTGTTAATGGTTACAACGAAAAGCTATTAATGCTAGTCTTTTAAGGACATGGCTAAAACAGAACCTAGTACCTTTCTCACGGTCATCTTTGTAGCCTCACATAAAGGGATAAGACCGCATGCTAAAAGTTAGTCGTCTTTAAAAAAAAAACCTCCTGTGGATAGAATGTCCATTTCTGGCTTTGTCATTTCTATAAATGGCAATATAGTGCTTACTTTCGAAGCAACAAAATATGACTAAATCTAACATGGCATGCGAGATCATCGCTTTATGTGAAACTGTCAAGAAGGTCGTGATAGTCGATGTAATAGTTATTTTAGCAAAATAGACGTTTTCCGTTTCTTGTTCGACGTTATAAAATGTAACAGAAAAGTTGAAAATCAAAAAACGTGACTTTGCACGTGAATAAATATTTGATTTTGCATCCAATGAGAAATTGAAATTAATTGCTTATATTTTAGTGAGACATTGATTGTTTGAAATAGTCAAAAGAACGTCAACCAGACTACAACTCAACCATGGTATCAGTATGTGATTCAACTTTACATTTGGACTTCAATTAATTGAATTTAAATGTCATACTTTAATCTCCATCAATCTAATTAAAATACTAACATATTTTTAATAGTATATTAAAGGACCAGTTTTAAAAGCATTAGCACATTTTGGAAAATTAAATCCACCATTAGTAAGATCATATACACCAGATTTATTGATTTGGGGAGGTACTGCATTAGCTGTTGTTGCTACATTTACTGAAGGTTGGCCATTATTTCAACAAACTTTTTATCAAAAAATTCCTTATTTTGGTCAACATTGGATTCATAATCCTGATCCAGAAGAAGTACCTGTATAATTTGAGAATATTTAAGATTACTTAAAAATATATTTGTTGCATAGAACTTAGTTTTTGTTTTGGTAAATCAGTAATGATACAATTTTATAGGTTTAGGATAAGAATATAAGACATTAATTTTGAAAATCTATCGAGAATACGTCCTTGGATAGTCCTTTTGATTTTGATATAACTTAAAGACCAATTGGGCTACCCGAACTACAATCTACACTTTGTGAATCCTCTAATATCTCTTCAATAAATAATTGTTTTACATCAATGTTTATTAAACATATTCTATCTAACAAGAATCAGGTTGAGAAATTATATAATCAATAGCTTGACCAACAGTCTTTATACTATCAGCATCATTATCAGGTATTTGAATATTAAATTCATGTTCTAATTCCATAACAACTTCAACCACATCTAAAGAATCTAAACCTAAATCTTGAGTAAAATTTGAAGATTCTTTAATTTCTCCAGTTTTTTCAGTATCTACTTTATCAAAACCTTCTAATAATTCTATAATTCTTTCTTTTGCGTCATCTCTTGTTAATGATGGAAATCCAGCATATGAACGAATGAAATTTAATGATGAAATTGGTTTGATGGTGGTTGTTAAAGTTGTAGTTCTGAATGTTGAAAATTTTGATGTCGTGTTTACGATTGATCTTGTGTTCGATCTTAATGATCTAAGTATTGTGTTTCTGAACATTATGTGCTTGTTTTTATGTATTTACTATGTGTTTGGTAAGTTGATAATAATTCGGGTCTATAATTTTTTTTGTACAATTTTTCAGTGGTTGAAAAATTTTTAGATTATTCAAACCTAACGAATACTTCTTCAATATCCACCAAGAATGTTCCGTTCAATATTAAATGCCAATGTAGGTTCTAATATCCGATCGCTACTAAAACCAATACAGCATCAACCAATCACATCATATATATTATCAATCACCAATAATCATAAATTGACTAAATCAAACATAATAAATCAATTACAATCTAAAAGATATTCTTCATTAAATCAAATACAACATTATAAACATTATGAACCACCAAAACAAAATATAACGAAATCACCAGATTTACAAGGTAATCCATTTAAAAAAGGAGTAATATTACGTATAACAATTTTAAAACCAAAAAAACCAAATTCAGCCCTTCGAAAATGTTGTAGAGTAAGATTAACAAATGGTAAAGTTATAAGTGCTTTAATTCCAGGTGAAGGTCATAATTTACAAGAACATCATGTTGTATTAGTTAGAGGTGGTAGAGTTCAAGATGTTCCTGGTGTAAAATATCATTTAGTTAGAGGAGCTTTTGATTTAGTTGGAGTTGCAAATAGAACTACATCAAGAAGTAAATATGGAGTTAAAAAGCCTAAAAGTTGATAGATAATTAATTTCATGTAAATATATATGCATCTTTTGAGAATGTTTTATTAATTACTTTTTATATCAAATCTTCTACCACTTGCAGTTTTCCTATTTTCAATAACTTTACCTTCATCATCTAAATTTTCAGGTTTTGCTCTATTTAAAATTTTTAAAAATTCTTTAACTCTAAATCTCATTCTTGAATGCATATAAGCTTTTGAACATTTTATATGATAATGAAAATAAGATCTAAACATTTCAATATGTGAAATACAATTTTCTCTTTTTTCACCTTTTACTAAATGTCTTGGAAATAAAACAAATGTTATAAAACTTTGATTTTCCAATTTTTTATTTTTATTTACATAATTTGAAATATCTAATGGAGGTTCAGAATGAGAATATAAAACTTGAGGAGCAGTTTGAACAGATCTTTTTCTTGCATCAACAAATTCTTGTAAAAATACTTTACCAAATATTTTATCAGTTTCATCTTTAAAAGCAGTTGAAAATATAACTGTAACTCTATCAAATGAAGGTTTTATAAATATACATTCATCAATTCCTCTATATTTTATAACTAAAACTTCTTCATTAAAAATTTCTTGTTGAATTTCTTCAGAATAAGTATTTGAATTTGAATATTTTTTAACTAATTCATCATATCTATTAAAAGCTTTATGAAATGGAGCAGCCATTGCATTTCTTTTTAATAAACTTAATTCGTTAATCAAATTTAATTTTGTTTCTTCATCATCTTCATTTGCCGAATTTTCAGAATTTAATAAAATTGAATAATTATAACCTGGTTCAATATCTGATTTTGATAATATTTTTAAATTTTTAAAATTTGAATATTTTGATTCTAAATATTCTATAACTCCATATTTAACTAAATCATTCCAACATTTTAAATTAATTGATATTGATAAATCCGTTTTACCTGATATATGAAAAGTTGCAAAATCAAAATCTGTTATTATTCTATCTAATGATTTTAATGATTCACCATTGGGGAATAATCTTTCAGTAAGGGTCTTTTGTATGAGTAGATTGTTTTGTTCAATTTGGAGCATCATCTTGAAAGATGTTGTGTTATGAGTTGATAAAGAATTGTTTTGGAATTGATTTAAAGCTGATCTGAGTAATGTTTGATTGTTCAAGGTTTCGATTATCAAATTCGGAACTAAAAATTGGAGTTGAGAGTTGCTACCAAATTTTGAACTTTTGCTAAAAGCTATACCCGTTCATCTAGTATTTAAATAAATGCTACAAGAAGACTCAATACTTCATTCTATCTTCGTAATTATTAATCTATTAAATCATCTTTTAATATGAAACCTAATTTCAATTCTAATTTCAATTAAAATTATAATGCTTATTTAAATTAACAGATGAATTTTTTTTACTCAGTCTTGTCAAAGTTAATTCTTTTGACCAACCAGGAATATCTTCACCAGATCCACCAACAGGTCTTTCTAATACAACATTTTCTAATCCTAATGCATCTCTTAACCATGGATGATTAATCATCCCTCCTGCATCTGCTCTATCTTCTGGTTGTAAACTTAACATTGGTAATAAAAATTCTGAAATTTCTATAGAATCACTTATTGAAAATTTATATTTTTCAATTAGAACTTCTTTTAAACTCCATGGTTTTAATTTTGAAATTCTTCTCATATCATATCTTGAATTAAAAAAATCTCTTGAATAATAACTTTCTTTTAACATCATTCTTGGAAATTCTCCTAATAATTCAATAATTTGTGCTATATGATCATCATCTTTTGAATAAGTTTTACCATCTCTTGGATCAAATAAATAATCTCCTGTTAATAATTCAAAAATTAATGAAGCAAATGACCATAAATCACTTGCACAACCCCAATGATAACCTAATAATATTTCTGGAGCTCTATATTGACGAGTTTGAATTTCATCTGTAAAATGATGATTTGTCCAACATGCATTACCTAAATCTGCTATTTTAACGGAAATTAATTCATCTTCATTTATTATATCATTTAATTTTGTTGTTGAATTTTCATCTAATCTAAAATTAGAATCATTGGGAATTTCCATTGGATCTACATTTGCTGCTTGATAACTATTTGAATTTGATATTGACATTGATGATAATGAATTGTTTAATGTATTTTCATCTATATTATCTTCATCGTGATGTTCTGCGGTTGTTTCAAGACCTTGATTGGTATCTTTTGTAATTGACATACTTTTTACTGGAGTATTTGCTGTAGTTGTTGAGAATCCATATATACTGGTAAATGATTTATTAAATGTACGAAGTGGTGATGGTAATGGTTGTGATCCAGTAATTAAAGTTTGTCTTCTAGATCTTCTACCTGACCTTCCTAATGATGGTGAAAGCATTGAAGTTGTTGATGAATTATTTCCATTGTTATTTGTAGTTTCTTTAACATTACTATATGAACTATTTGGAGTTGATCCTTTTGATTGTTTCAGTAATTTTTTTTGTAATTTTTTTTGAACATTTTCTTGTTCAACCATTCTTACAATTTGTTCAACATCTCCAATCTCTATTAATATATTTTCAGGTTTTAAATCTGTATGAATAACTCCACATTTTCTATGTAAAAAATCTAATGCTGATAATAATTGTTTTGCAATTTGTTTTACAAATACAATGGGTATTCCTCTATGTTTATATCGACGAATTAAACCTAATAAATTTTCACCCAATACTTCAAATACCATTACAACATGAACTCCATTTGGGCCAGTATGTGTAAATGTATCCAATAACTGTATAACATGTTGATGACCTGGATGATGTATATCTGATGTTGTAACTTTATCTAATAATTTAATTTCATCAATTGCTGTTTCTGTATAATGTTTTGCTGATCGAACTACTTTTACAGCAACATGACATTGTTTATCATTATCTCTTGCTAACCATACTGTTGAAAAATGACCCCAACCTAATTTTCGTACTAATACATATTTACCATTTTTATATTCTTCACCAATATAACAAGGATGATAACCTCCTGGTACATAATCTTTTAAATCTTCTTCATCTGCTGGGTTTACTGGTTCATCTTCATCTTCATCATCTTCATCTTCTCCAACTTCTTCTTGAATCAGTTGTTCCTTTTTTGGAGTTTCTTCTTTTAATTCTTTTTCTTCTTTTTTCCTTCTCTTTTTATCTTCTTCCATATGATAATGATGATGTAAATGATAATGACTTCCTTTTGATGATTTTAATTCTAATTCATATTCATCATCATCATCTGATTTTCCATGTTCATCATCACCAGATTCAATAAAACTATGCCGTTTTTCTTCATCAAAATTTGTTTTTAATGGTGATAATTCAGGTTTAAAATGTTTAGCAGAAGATGGAGTTGTTGATACATAAGGTGAACTATGTTGTATTAAATTTGGTAATAATGATGGCAGTGGTATTGGTCTAAAATTTAAACCATTTTGTGATTCTGAAAAGTTATCATCTGTTGGTGATTTTTTAATTATATCTATATTATTTGTATTGTTATTGATGCTATTGTTACTGTTATTAATATTGGAAAATCCATTTGATTTGAAAAAACCCCCACTTTTTGATCTAAAATGATGTTTTTGTTTTGGTTGTTCATTTTGTGGTAAACTATTACGATGCTGATACAGATTATGATTGTAATGATGATTATGGTGATGATGATGTTGATCTTGTGATTGCTGATTTTGCTGTTGCTGTTGCTGCTGCTGCTGTTGTTGTTGTTGAGATGCCTCTAAATTATCTGCTTGTTGTATAGCTATTGAAAGCTTTGATTTTGTATTTGGCATAAAACTCTAATGATGTTAAATTATGTAAAACTGATTGATTATTACAATTGATGAATGATATCTTATTACGTTAAAAAATAAAAACTGTTTTGAATACAAATATTAAATTGGAATTGAATTGAATTGAAAATTTAATTAAATACTTGGTTGTAAAAAGGAATGACTATGTTAAATCTGTTTGAAAATTTGATTACTATCTCTGCTCTATTAAAATGTAATTGAAGTTTTGAAACTTTATTAGGATACTTCTCTTAGTTTGATGGTTTGATCTATGATAGTTTGGGTTCGTATGAGTATATCTATATTGATATTGGTTGTAAGATGATGATTAAAATAATGATTTGATATTAGAAAAGTAAATCAATTTTTTTTTTCTTCTGTTTATGCTTAGTATTACTTTAGTACTATACACCGTTTTAGTGTAATTAATCTTGTCTTAAATTTTTAATACGGGGTTAAACGAAAGTACTTGGACCGAATATAGTTTGAAATTCGTACGAATTATAAGTCAGAGTAGTAACGAAAACCCTTGAACCCGTTTTGCCTTTACTAAGTTTATCAGTTGATGAAACATTGCAAGCATTACGATAATTTGATTATCTTAGATAATAATAATCATTATTATAATTCTAAATTCTTTAGATGTCTCAAAATGGAAAGATCCGAGACTTTAATAACGGTCAGTAAAAGTAAAAGATGTTATTTTGGTTCACTATCAACTCACTAAAAATTGGAAGATGATGATGCTAGTAAAAAGACATAAGTACTTATGCAGCTTAAAGCAGAACAGATCATACAATATTTATTAGTTGGGCAACCCTTATCATTGTAGTAAACCCAATGTTGTAAGTTCACACGTTTTTGAATCAAAATATGTTTCTTGGACCAAACGTTCATGACACGACAAAGATCTTAAAGATGAATCACAAGAAAAAAAAAAAAACAAAATAAGGTACTTACATAATACGATAATTTAATGTACAATAAGTGTCACCTTTAATGTGATTAAATTACCAACTACTGTTTGAGTTATGTGCATCTTATATCAAAGATATTAAAAGTCTATTCATTAGCGGTCAACTTATCGAATATCATCATTATTATAGTCATCTGAGTGGGCTGAAGATCAAAGTTAGGGTAAACCAGAAAAATTTTTCAACTTCTTTCAAGTTTTGAAATTGAGGGATCATCAATATTTAAAGTAAACGGTAAATGTTGTTTTACATGTTGGAAAGATGCTACTTATTCATAAACATAACAATAGGAAGTCGGGTGATCATCCTGTTGAAATAAAGTCTCATCTACCACGGAACGGTCGTAATGGTTAAATAAGTGCTGATGGTATGAATTTGAATATCATATTTTGTTACATTTGGGGTACTACTCAATGTAATTAATGATGACTTGTTTCATTCATGGAAGTAAAACATTCAAATCAAATTAATTTATAACCATCGACAAATATTGAAGTTCCCGGCAGTAGGTGAGATTCATCATCAAGATTATCATCATCCGACTTACTGTTTTGTTTATGAATAAAAATATTGATGCAATTTTATCAATCGTGGATCATTTTACTAATTGATGTCATTTTTTCCAGTTAATGCAGCACTTGGTGCACCTCAATGTTTAGAAGTTTTCATCCATTACTATTTTCTTCACCAAGGGTTTCCAGATTGTACATCTTGGATCAGGACCACAATTTACAAGTGATTTATTTCAAGAATTTTCCGTACGTGTTTGTGATAAATCCAATATTTCCTTAATTCAACATTTAAAATCAAATGTTAAAGTCGAAAATCGTAATAATGATACCCAGTATTGATTTTGGCCAATATATAAACGTAGATAAATTTCAATAATACCTACGATTGTATATAGGTCAAAATCATAACTGGATAATATTATTACGAATTGACGAAGTTTTGATCACTTCAGTACCTTCTTCATTTTTGATACGTTATTAGCTGTTGAACCATTGGTGATAAAGGATAACCCAATAAGTTGGTGGCTGATACGCTAAATCAATTGTGGATGGAGATTCTTTGGCAATTCAATATCTTCTTCTTCTTTAAAATTGATAAAGGATCTCCATTTACAATTGATTTACCGTATCAACTTCCAAATAATGGTCCAAAATCTGATATCTAAAATTCTTGGGATACCATTGCACAAATTGAAAGATTAATCGTAAGAGGTCTTATTGTTTATATTCTTACATTCGTTTGGTACATAACGTCTAATATAAGAAACAGATATTAATACGAAGTTTTTAAAATATTGTAAATTTTATATTCAATTACTATACACAAAATAAAAGAAAAATTTATAATAAAATTATCTAATCCATTGAAATATCTCCTTCATCATCTTTTTTATTGTTCTTTTTATTTTTATTATTGGAATTATTTTTTGATTTATCATCTTTATTACCATCATCTTTTCTTGCTTGTGCCATTTTTTCAGCCATTGCTTGAGCTTGAGCAGCTTCTTGTTTTTGTCTATATTGTTCTTTTTTTTCTTGTTCTTTTGCTAAATATCTACCTCTTATAACATTACCAATTGATGCTAATTCTTCATATTTTGCAATATATTTTGCTTTTGTTGATTCATAACCATCTTCATATAACCAATCTTCAGCTTTTTGTAATAAACCTGTTAATTTTTCAACTTCTTGTTTTGAAGCAAATTCTTTATATTGATCTTCTAATTTACCTCTTAATTCATAAATATATTCTTCTAATTGATTTTTTCTTTCTTCTGTATCAGCAACTAATTTATCTTCCATAATCATTTGAGATTCTTGTTCAATATATTTTTGTAATTCTGGTTCACTTAATGCAGCACATTCAACTTCAATTGAACAATCATTCTTTTTAACTAATTTTTTAACTTCTTTATATTGTGGTTCAGCATCTTCATCTTGTGTTTCACCTTCTTTTGGTTCAATTAATTCTTTAACAATTTGTTCTTCAACTGTATGAGCTGATTCTATAGTATAAAATCCAGAAGGGTCATTTCTTAATTTTAATTTAACAGCAATTGATGATTCTCCAGAACTTGGTTCAACATTACCAATAGTCCATTTAGCAATAAAATGTTCTGTTCCCTTTGGTAATTCTTTTGGTTTAGTATATTTAGCAATAACTTCAAATTTTGGTCCTTTTCTATATAATGTAATTAATTTTGTACTTGGAAACAAACCACCTTTTGGGAAAACTTCTAAATGATCTTCATCTTCATCTTCTTTATCCCAAAAATATGAAACAGTATATAAATTATAATCTTCAAATTTAAAAGGTCTTACTCTAACAGTTGGTGAATGACATGCACAAATATAAGCATTACCTTTAGCAATAGCTTCATCTTGATTTAAAGTAAAACTTAATGGTTTACCAAAAATTTCAGCAATTCTAGTTTTAACAGCTGGAATTCTTGATGATCCACCAATAACTTCAATTGAATCTAATTCTTCAGGTTTTAAACCAGCTTCTTTTAAAGCAGTTTCAATCGGAATATTAAATCTTTGTAATAATGGTGCAACTAATTTTTCTAATTCTTCTCTTGATAATGATGATGAAACATCAACATCATTCATAACACTTTCAATATTAAAAGGAGCTTGAGTATTTGCACTTAAAACTTTTTTTAATTTTTCAGCAGCTGTTAAAACTCTATAAAAAGCTTTTGGATTTTCAGTAACATCAATTTTATATTTTGATTTAAATTCATTTGCAAAATGTTCAGCAATTGCATAATCAAAATCTCTACCACCAAAATGTTTATCAAAAGCAGTACCAAGAATTTTTAATTCACCTCTTTTAATAGCAGCAATTGAAACTTGATATGAACTATGACCAACATCAACAAATGCAACTTTTTTATAATCATTTTCTGGTAAATCAGCAGCTTTAAAAACACCATAACCAACTGCTGCAGCAGTTAATTCATTAACAATTCTAACTGGATTTAAACCAGCAATTCTACAAGCATCAGCTGCTGCTCTTCTTTGTTTTTCAGTATACCAATCTGGAACTGATAAACAAATATCAGTAATATTACCTTTAGTTTCTTTAAAAGCAGTATCTTTAATTTTATCTAAATACATAGCTAATAATTGAGTAGCATTAAATTCTTGATTTTTATTTAAATATTTAACTTTTGCAGATATACCATTATCTGATTTATTCTTGGTTAAAGGAACAGTAAAAAATTTTTCTTCAATTTTAAAATCTGGATGATTATGTGGTAATCCAATAATTCTTTTTAAATTTTCAACAGTATTTTTTATATTTGAAGTTTGTTGATTTTTAGCAGTTTCTCCTAAATATCTTGATTTTGGTCCAAAACCAACAATTGAAGGAGTTGAACGATTTGATACTTCATTTACAATAATATCAATTCCTCTATTTCTTGCACAAGCAATAACAGTATTACTATTACCCAAATCAACACCAAATGGAGTAGACATCTTTCTTTGTGGTTGAGTTTAAAAAATTGGTCTATAAAATGAAATCTATAATTGAATAAATTTAATAAACTTGTTGAAAAATTAAAATGAGTTGTTTGATTCTATACTTTTTTTTTCAGTCCATATATTTCAATTAAGTTTTTTTGCTGTTGTGTGATGAAGTAACTTTACTTACAAGTTTTGTGTAACTTGTATGTGGTAGCAACTCGGTTCCAATTTTTACTAGTAAATTCTTTATTATTCTATTGAATTCTGAAACATCAGTTAGCACGATTTTGCAACCGATTGAGCGTAACATATCAATAATAATGAAACCTTTTAGCGCTGAATAAACGGTTTGAAAAATCAGGAATTAGTCACTGTTTCTCAAAGTTCTAAATACTCAGTTTGACAACTTATGAAGAGAAAATTACGGTGATTCTTCGACTCAGTCAAGTTTTAATCTCTCAACACAGACGAATAGAGTAGAGATTTTCGTAAGAATGACTATATTTCTTACTCTCAGCATTATAGACAACATGACTCAACATATAGACAACAATAATATAAATTGTGTTCATCAATATATGCATATATATATATATCAATAAATACATTTACGAACTTTGTTCTAAAATTGTAATTAAACTTAACCAACCACCAGTATTAATTAATTCATTATATTTTGAAATATCTCTTGTTTTTATATAATCAATTAATAATCTTGCTTCATCATCATTAAGAATCCTTAATTTAATAATATAAATTAAAAAATGAAAATCAAAAATATCAGACGCTTGATTTTTTAAATATTTATATAATGTTGATAAATTTTGAAAATCTTTATTTATATCACCTAAAAATTCTCTATTTTCAATTATATATGATTTAGAATTAAACATTGGATTTGGTTCTAATGGAAATGAATCAGTTAATGAAACTAATAAAAATTCACCAGGAAATGTTGGTTTTGCATTTGTTTTAATTTCTAATCCATATTCATTAATTTTACTAAATGATATATCTGGAACATAACGTGTATCATTTGAATTATTTACAAAAATTTGTGAAGGTTGAGTTGAACCAGTTATTAAATCTGCTTTAATTAATGATTCACCATTATTACTTACTTGATATGATCTTGGTTCTATTTCTCCATTTATACCTCCAGATATAACACATGTTATAAATTTTGAAGAAAATTCACCATTTGAACTATATTTTGTTTTATTGGGGTTGGAAATTTGAAATTTCCCACTCATTATAATTTCTAAATTTGTTAAAAAATAAGAATCTTTATGTCTTTTACATAATACTGTTCCATTACCCATTCCTGAATCAGTTAAATCAGTGAAAACAATACCAACTTTATAAATTCCTAATTGTGAAGCAATAGAATCAATTAATTTTTCATCATTTTCCCAATTTGAATTATTCAATAAAGTTAATCCATCAATTTCATCATTTTGTGGTGGTTCAATTATTGCTTCAACTACTGCTTTTATACCCATTGGAACTTTATCAAATTTTTCATATCTTCCATATAAATAACCAAATCTTTGATAACCTGAATTTCTCCAAGTATTTATAAATTCATTTAATATTGTATGTGAAGAATATTCTAAATGATCAACCATTCTAAATTTTTGTAATTGTAATGTTATTGGTGATGGTTGACATTTTGAACATATACCCTTTGGATAAGGTTTATGACCTTCATTACAATTTAAATCAATCTTGTAATTTGGATTTTCCAAAGGTGCAATATATGAACTATTTAATTCTTTTTTATTAAATTTTGTCATTTGTTGATTTAAATATGAATGATATGATATATGTTTTATTGAATTTTCTTTTCTATAATTTTCATCCCATGGTGATAATGGTGAACAATATTCACACATTCCTTTTGGTCCATGTCTACACATTGATGATATTGGTCTTTGAATCATTCCATCTAATTTATCTAGTTCATCATCTACTGGTAATTGTTTAATTTGAGTTAATGGTCCATGACTTGTTGATATATTTGTAGTTGAAGTAGTTGTTGAATTTATAGGTATTGAATCTAATTGTTTTGAATGAGTTGGTTCATTATTATTTAAATATGTAATATATAATAAATCACCATTCTTTAGATTTAATTCACTAACAGTTTTGTCTAAAATTGATGATAATTTTATAGAATTTGATTCATTATTTGAATTTGGATTATTTGAAAGTATAATTTCTTCTAAATTTTGATTTGATAATTTTGGTAATAAATCGTTAACTATTGATTGAAAATTTGATGATTGAGTAGTATTAATTCTATGCATTCCTTCCTTCGATCTAAATCGAAGTATTAATGAAGACATTGTATGAGTTGTTGGTGAGAATAGAGTTAAGTTGTTGCAAAGAAAGTAGACTTTATATATTTTATATTTTGCCACAAACAATACAACCAAATATAAAATTCTAATATACAAAAACTTTTATACAATGTATAAAATCACCAACTATCTGCTTCCCACTTAGAGTGTAATCTCTATAATCCTTTTTATCCTCTTTAATTGTTTCATTATCAGGTATATCTACATTTTTAGCATCAGTAATTTCAATATCATCATCATTAGGATTTAAAACTCCATTTTCTTCTTCTTCAAACACAACCTGTCGTTCTTCATTTCCATCTTCTTTCTTGCTATAAAATTTCAGCTTCTTAACTAAAGTAGTAAAATTTGAATGATTTAAATATTTTTTAGCTTCTTCAAAATCAATTAATCTTAATTTATATCTAATTTGAATTAAAATATCAATTGGAATTTCAATTTTTAAATTTTCAATTTCAAATTTATAAGATTGAATTAATTTTGAAATATCATATATAATTGGTTTTATAATGGGAGTTATCTTTGTTATAATTTCAGAAATTTGATTGGGTGATAATTTTATTGTTGTTATATTATGAATTGTTATTGGTGATACTTCATTTATTGATAATGATTGAATTGTTGATGATGATGTAGATGATTCGGAATTCTTTGTTTTTGAGTTTTTAGATGTTTCAAATCTTTTAATATATAGTTTTATAGGTATTGATAATTCATTTGTTAATTTTATAAATGTTAATTGAGGTGGCATTTATTAACTTACATTTGATACTATAAAACTAGTTTAAGTATAGATCAATATAATAAAGATCTTGGAGTATGTCTTATATTTTACGACTTTCGTTTTTTATTGATTTGCGACTTTCGTTTTTTCAATCTTCGGTACACTCGCTTTTTTTTTCTTTAATGAACTTTTGCTCAAAGCATTTCCCTTTGTTCCCAAATGATAAAAAGGTACCTGATTGACTTGTTTGTCTTACTATCATGGAACGGTTGAGGTTGAAAATTGTGTATCAAAAGTTAATGATACGTCGATAGTGTACATAGATTGGATTTTAAAAAGTTAATTTGAAATTTGTACCTTGGGTTGAATTTGAGGACCAGCTACATCAACAAAAGGATCAACTAAAACATCAGATCAAAATACTTTAACTTCAATCACAACTGCAGCAATAATACTTATTTGGAGATTTGTGATGTACAATGCCATGATAGTTCGATACATCGTGGAACTAGTGAATCAGGGTGTTGGTAGGAGAAAGCTTATAAATCTATAAAACATTTGTGCCTTCATCGCTTAAATTATCATGCATCACATTTGATATTTGCATTATTCAGTTCAAGAAGTTATTTACTTTTAAAACCTTGTTTTAATTTTTTAATCTTCTCACATACTTTAGCTGCATGTAAACCTGTAAATCATGCAGCTGAGGTGTTTGAGAACAATAAAAAATTAAAACAAGGTTCTATGAATTTGGGTATTCATTTAAATCAATAGATGTTCCTGGTGGAATAACAGTTAAAGTATTTGGTATAGCTCTAAATATTCTGCTAATATCTGCACCTAAGACTAATGGAAACAAAAAAAATTTGAGCACCTGTCTTATATATGCCTTTCCCCTTCTAACGCCCTGGTTCACTTATGACGCGATGAATTGCACTATCAATGCAACTCAAATATACAAATTTAGTAAAATGGGTGATATTGTAGTTACTGGTGTTGTAGCTGTAGTTGAAGAGTGTTGATTTAAACACGAATAGAAAAATTTTTAGATATACGAAATAATCTGTTTAGTAGGTGAATTTCATTTGATAGTAGGTATCTATTTGTGTTTGCTTAATACAAATCTTCAAAATTTGCATCAAATAGTTACGTTCGATCTCCGTTAGTTAATATTATGACATATTCTTCTAAAAGTCGGTATTTAAATACATGCAACTTGTATATTAGATTGAATAATTAACAGCTATCAATATCTTGATTGCCAAATTCGATATCAAATTATCTTCAACGATCTTTTGCAATATGATTTTGAAATATATCTGCTTTTCTCCAACACTTAGGCATGACAGTGGACTGGATTAATGGTAAAATACATTCATTCTTATTTACATTCCCACAACAAACTCCACAAACTCTGATGCTCACTTATTTAATTCCATTTTTGTCAATGTTGATTAATCGATCGATCTTGCTAGGATGTGTCAAATATAGATAAGAATATAACCAATCATTACTTGTTGTTGATAAATTTTGATCAGTTAATCTTATTAATGCTTTTTTTAAAGATTCATCATAACAACAATCAACAGCAAATATATCAGCTTGATATTCAAAATTTTGAGCTATTTTATTTTTCAAAATTTTAAATACTAAATCAAAAGGAATTAAAATTTGACTTACTATTAAAAATCCAATGAAAATTGGTTTATTTTTAAAACCAAAATTTGTATAAATTGAATCTTTTTCATAAAGTAATTTACCTAAAGAAAGTAAAACTACCCATTCAATTAAAAATAATCCCGTTCCTTTAATCTTATGATAAAATTTAACATGACCTAATTCATGGGCAATAACAGCTAATGTTTCTTGTTGTGAAAATGAATTAATTAATGTATCACCTATATAAATTGATCCCTTGAAGGGATTTCCTTCAACACTTGCATTCAAATGTGAAGAAGTTGATGATGTTTCAATATAAATATTTTTTAATTTAAAATTTTGTTTTATAGTAAATTCTTCAATTGAATTTCTTAATTCATTTTCTGGTAATTCTTTTTGATTACTAAATAAACTTGATAATGTTGGGTAAATGAATATAATAAAACATACTAATAAAAATAATATAACCAGTAATTTAAATACTTCAATTTTATAATTAAAAAATTGATAGGCTTTAAGTAAAACAATAATAGCTGAAACATCTATAATTAATTGTATGATGGCCATAAACAATTCAAATCCAATCCATTTGACAACGGTTGCTTTGAAAAAACCAAATTTTTTTTCAATAAAAAAATTATCTACATAATTAATTGGTAATTTAACAAATATAAGTAATAAAAAACTAGATATTGTCATGAATAAAACAGTTTGACTAAGATAAAGTGATGTAGTTGTGGGAACCATTTGTGATAAAAATGAACCAGCAAATGTCCATATTTTTGAATATATATTGAAATTTATAGTTATTAATCTAATAATTGTTTCATAAGCTATTCCCAAAGCACTAGATTTTAATTTGTCTATGGAATATACTTTACCTTGTTCAATTTTCAGTTGATCAAATCCAAATTTTGAAACATCTTGTTTTTTCGAAATTAATCTAAATTGTCTTAAATGTGAATATAATTCAAATACTCCTTTGAATATTATAAATGATGAAATAATAGGTTTCCAAGGAACAAACTAATTTTTTGAATGTTAATAACAAGTATTACAATATAATTTTGAGTTATTTCATTACACACATTGAGCATTTAAGCAAAAAATTGAATATATTGACTATTTTCAAGAATGATGAATGATGAACATTTTCCAACCTTTTATATTATACATTTAAACAACTGTGCTTTTCATTGACATATGAAAGAAAGTAAAACAATAAGCCTCGAAGAAACTCAGTAGATAATGAATTAAACTAATTAAATTTAATTTCATAAATGATAATAATTATCATACAAAATTATCGCTTAAAACATTAATACAAAGGACGCAATAATTTGCGCAAATTAGACGCAAATTTATTGTTTCATTTCTATCAAAATTTTATCCACGCCACATATTTGAATAAATTAATTCTATATTGCATTTGACATGTTATTTGAGAATCTTGAAACTTCTCATTACGGTCAGTTAATTTGAATGCTTTTAACTAGAGCGCTACTACTTTATTACACAAGGAAATACTTTGAGTCTTAGATCCTTTGACAATAACAAATTTTCGGACTGTCAAGTACAATTTCACCTACTTTTTAGAATACAAGAGAACGGCACCAATCCAATTAATTAAGTAAACTTATCAGTCAAAAAATAAAACGTTTTACATTTAACAAAGCTATGGCTTTAATTTGATTGGGTAATTTTTATAGTCTAATTAATCCCAATTGGCACCAAATGATTGATGAAATGAATTTTTAAAAATTCTACAAGTGAGAGAGGTATATAGTAAAATCATATCCAAATTATTATATTATTAAAATAAATCTATTAAATTAAAAAATAAAACCTTAAACCTAAATAGCTCGTATTGACAATTATGAATAACCCAAGATCTAAAAATAATTATTACCAAACAACAGCAGAATCAAAGTAGTAAAATGATAAAGTTATGATGAAAAAAAATCTTCTCTTTTCATGTAAGTAATCAATTCTGATAAAGCTTTAAGAATGAATCGTCGCTGCTATTGAAGAAAAGCGCGCCATTAGACATCCTTTATTCGCTCTTTCGAATGATAGACTCAACATTTGACAGAAAATTATTCAAATCAATAATATTAACCAATTCAACTACTTGACCAGCTTAACTTAGCAAAAAATATATTCCATAAATCAATGTACCATCAAAACAACAGTCAATGACAAACCAATACCAATTCCAATCCACCCATTATTATAAACATAGCTTGTTTTTTTTTTTTGGGAGTTTTTTATAAATTTTTTAATTTTTTTTCTATTTTTTAATGATTTTTAAAATATAACTATAACAAACAAAATTAACAAAAAGACAAACAAAAATCCTGTAACTAAATTAAAAAATTAATTGAACTAAACATAAATTATTAAAATACCCATCCTCATATCATATTATTCCCTTTTTCTGTGTTTTAAATATATAAATATTCTTCCAATAATTGATCATTTTTGCTTTCATTTTCAAATTCATTCAAATTTAAATCAAAAGTTGTAGTATTTGAAGAAGTATTATTAGTCGATGATGATGATTCTTGTATTGCTTGATCAAATAAATCAAACGAATCTAATAAATCTTGAAATGGTGCTGCAGACCATAATTGACTTCAAAGCATGAATTTTAAAGATTTTATATTGTTAAATTTTCTAAAAGAATAGTTTGAAAGATAGTTACTTCAATGCTATAAATCAAGACAAAAAGATTCACATATTACAAAAAAAGACGAAAAGATACCCTTTTTGGGGTATATTAATTTCAATGAATAAACCAACATGGCTTAAAAAAAAAAATTTCATCCAAATTAACATACCAGGATATCTTCCATCAAGTTTTCGCAACAAATCGTATAGTGAATTTTTTGATATTCTTGACAAGCAGAGAACTATCAATTTTATCTTTTTTAAATTTTTCAATATTAAAAATTTTAAAAAAACTTCCTTGTAAATCAAATGACAAAATTACTGCTGAATTTTGCCCCGTTTCAAAAATTGATAAATTAGAATCCATACGATTTAATGATTGTGATTTTGGTGATGATGATGAACTTGAGTTATTATTTTCTTCATCTTCTTCAAATCTTGGTGAATTTGATAATGAATCTGATGATTGTGATAAAGGAGATTTAATAATTTGATCTATAGGTATTATTGTTTCTTCTTGTTGTTGTTGTGGGATTTCTTGTAAATGTTTAGATGGTTGGAAATTAGATAATGTAAAATCATTTGATTCAGGTGAATGAATACTAATTGGAGATAAATAATTAAAAAAAGTTGAACTTTCTTCTTGTTTAATTTTTAAATCTTCTGATTCTTCAATTTTAATATCAATTGATGAAGGTGTGGATGATGTAGTAGAATTTTTTCTATTATTCATTTTTCTTTTTTTACTTGGTGGTTCTGATACAACAGTTTCTTGTTTAACTTGTTGTTTTTTAATTGGTTCTTCATCTACATTGTCATCTTCTTCTTCCTCTTCTTCATCATCATCTTCTAAATTATTATTACTTGAATTTTTTCTTCTTCTTGAACTAACCAAATTACTATAAATATTTTCTTTTAATTTAGAAACATCTTCTAATCCCAATAATTTGATTTGTTCCATTTTTTCTTCATCATTACCTTCTAATTTTGAATGATATCCTTCTTGTAATTTTTTTAAATTTTCTTCCAATTTAACAACATAAATTTCTAAAAATTCAACATGTCTTCTTTTTTTTTCTCTTGATGCATGAGCAGCTCTTCTATTTCTTAATATTCTTTCTATTTTACGTTGTTCTTTTTCTTCTTGAGTTTTAGCTCTTTTTCTTGGTGGTAAAGTTGATTTAAAAGTAGATGGATCAATATCTAATGTATTGTTGTTGGTTGTGGGAGTGTTGAACGTATTAGTCGATAAATTAATTGATGATGTATCTACTTCCATATTGTAATGAGTAGTAAGGAGGTACTGTTTGAATTAAGTTGGTTGTAAAAAGTTAGTTTGTTAACAATATGAAATTATCAGAAATTTGTAAAGGTATTCGTTGTCTTTTTTATATTTTTTTTACTTACTTATTAAAGTATGGTAGTGTACTAATCAATATTATATTAATAAATTATTATATTAATAATTAATTTTGTGTTTTATAATAAATTGAAATTTTGCCACTATAATTAAAAGGCTATGATTTTAACATTAGATAACTCAACACTTAAAAATAGGAAGAGGGGGAAGTTGATAATTTCAATGATTAAGAAGTTAACCAACTAAGAAATTCTAAAAATAAGTTTATTAATGGATATATCTAATCTACATTGGTATCTTTACCTTAAAGATTATTCATACTATTAAGATATCTATTTTGATATCTATAAAAGGGTTGCAATTACTTTGATTAAGTTTAATAGAATTATCAATTACACTACTTCCATTTTTGAAGTATTAAGTAGTAATGCGATTCACGCAATATTTAAAAATAGAAATTAATAATAGTTTACAATCGTATTGATGTTACAAGATTAGATTTCAATATCGTTAATAAACATAGAGAGATCTAATTATAGTCTCCTATTTCTAAGCATACGAGCGATGTTGGAAGGAGTAGAAAAAATCTATACCAAATTTATTTGTGCAATGTAAGTATTTAACATATTCTCTTGTAATTACTCAATTTGTATTTAATAATGTTTTCAATATTTGATACGCGAGAGAGTGTATATGCGTGTGAGAGAAATAGGGCGAATAATTTGAAAATTACGATTTCAATTTAGTGAGAATTTGGGTGTAAATCAATTTGTAAAAAAAATTACGAAACAATGTAATCGTTTGCACCCAATTTCATTCTAATTTAAACCCTTTAAAATACATAACAAATCTCCTTTCGATAATTTGATTTTAAATTAACGAATTTATCTTTAAGTTTTATTTCACTTAATTTGGATTTATTCATATATTCTTCAACCATTAAGCTATTTTTGCGCAAGGCTTGTTTTTATTTTTAAGGCTAAGAATGTTAGTTTTACGAAACTAAAATTGGTCAAAGCATACAGTACAACAAATCATAATAAAGAAACTTTAACTTTATTTACTAACCCACTTTACTAAAAATTCGTTTAACTTTATTAAAACTATAGAATTTTATAGAACGTTGTAGATTTGAATTTTCTTCATACGATTTTGGTTGGAGATAAAGCCATTTGGTCCATAGTATGTAGTTTAAAAATTTGAAACTTGTATTTAAATTACAATTGATTGCCTTGAATTGATATTGAACCTCAATACTTCATACAAAGTTGGTTAGCATAATATTAATGTACTTACCCTTCTTTAATTTGGTTACTCTCGCACGACATTTAGGCTGAAACATTTATTACTTAAGTTACATTTTCATCGTTGTTATTTCTGTAAGTTCAAATAGATACACAGTTCATTCAATATCAATCTCAATGAGAGAGACTACACAGATGTCACAGATACTTGGAAAGTTACAATTCATCAATCAAAACTTGTTTTAAAATTAGCAACCGGAGTTTCATCCGGAGTTAAACTAGACTTGATTCAAGTAGTATCGAGAATTAATTCAGAATTGGTCCAATTATTATGAGGGACAAGATTTGTTTTAGCAGAAATATTATTTGGATGTGATTTATATTCATGCTGGGTCTACTGTCAGTTCACCTGCTTTTTCAACCTCACATTTCGTCTCAAAGCCTAATAGTGTTTTAGCAGAAAAGAATTCTTTCACATTAGCACATGCTGCTGTTTGTTCACCAACTGCTTCTGCTGTCTCAAGATTAATGCCTAATATTATTTTTGTTTAAACTAGTTTATTTCATCGTGATGATTGTACCAAGTTTAGTGAAACTTCTGGTGAAACTTCTGTCGCTGGTTTTGAAAGGCGTATTTTATCAATACGTCGAACAATAATGATGAACTCGAAATGGTTCACAAAAGGTATCAACAAAATAAGCAGCTTGTTAGAAAAGTGAATTACTCGAAGAATGTTTCTCCTCGTATTTTGGTATAACGATCCCTGCCTATGGAGGGTGAAGACAAAGTTTTGGCTCATGCTTTATTTGATGAAGATCGGGATTTTGCATTCTTATCTGTTTATACCTGAAATAATTCTTCAATGTTTTTCAAATCCTGATCGAGTCCTGGTGATCGGCGGCTTTTTATATTATGGTCAGAATATTTAGGACATCGTTCGATCAAATCTTGAAAGTTTTTCAGTTGGTACCATGTAAATGGGTTTTTTTCTTCCTCAAACCAAATGGAGGTTCATGAACCTCATCCAGTTGCACGTTGTAATGTTCGAAATGAAAGAGTTAAATATCAAGAATCATTCTCATCCTGAGAGTCGTTTGAGAATGCAAAAAGGAAGTATTTTTCTACAATATACTAAAGTATTTGAAATTTTGTTAAAGCATTGGATGATAAAACACCTAGTGTACTTAAATGATGTGCAGTATTAAAGAGTTAAAAATTTTGATGATTGATTTCATTTTATTCTGTGATTATGTGACAATATGAAATTTTATAATATGTATAGACTTATAACGTTGGTAGTATATTTGATAATTAAATAATTGGGAATTTAATATATTACCAACGTTAAACATCTTGGATGATCCTCAAAACATGCTTAGCTGCCGTCATGTGTTTTAATTCACCAAACGCATGACTGCAGCAAGCATGTTTTGAAGTTTCAAAGAAAGCAACGTTCAAAATGGTGCACACAAGGGAAATTACTGTTTCAAAAATTATTGGTCTTAACCTCCTGTATTTCCGTTTCAAGACTTGGTTGATTGTGAATTAATTTTACAATCATCGTTATCTATCTATATACTATATATGAATGCGTTAATAAGAGTCAAGTATAGAATCTACAATTGAAAACAAGTCAATATAAATTTCTACGAGAGTGTGCTAAATTACTTCAATCTGTGGAAGAAGATTCGGTTAATTAATAATGTCAATGATTTGTCATATTAAAAGAATTTGTTTCAGAATTTCGAAAACAAAGTGCATTTGCTTGAATAAAAGAGAATTTTGATAGATTATTGGGTTAGAACTGAATATAAGTAAAAAGAATATGAACCAAAAGTTATGTTTATCTTGTTGATTAACTAGTTTCGATACAATTTTGTTACTTTCAATCAGCTCTTTGACAAATTTGGAATGATTCTAAAACAGTTTTCAATTCTTTTTGCAACAAAATTCTATAGGATTATCAGTATTAGTTTAACTTCACTCAATTTAATTTTGAAACCATTTAATGTTAGATCGTGCTCTATTTGTAAATGCAACAGCTTCTCAAACAAACAATATCATTTCATCAGGTTTACTACCAATCGATAGAATTTTAAAAATGGTTAGATAATTGATGAATGTTTATTTATTTTCATATATCCGCTAAAATCACAATGCGTAAATTCTAATTTTTTCGAACCCAATTACTTCACTATCTCATTTTTATTTTATATTTTTTCATAGAGTCATATTCTATGCACGTATAGATCAATATCAAATTTATTATACAAATTTCAAGTATAAGAAGTTAATAAACTGGTACGGTGTGAAAGCAAGGTCAACTCATTGGAAGAATTAACTATTGGCTAAGAAATATTCAATCCCAAACACCTGAAGTCTGTATTATGAAAAGAGTGCTATCAATTCAATCTCATGTAGTTCATGGATATGTTGGAGGAAAATCAGCAATTTTCCCATTACAATCCCAAGGATGGGATGTTGATTATATAAATTCAGTACATTTTTCAAATCATACTGGATATGGATCATTTGTTGGTAATAAATTAACTACCATGGATTTAAATTTAATTTTAGATCAATTAATTAATAAAATGCAAATTAAATATAATGCTATATTAAGTGGTTATATACCAAATTCTGATTTAATATCATGTTTAGGTTCATATATAAAAGAATTGAAAACAAGAGACCCCGAGATTTTTTATTTATTAGATCCTGTAATGGGAGATAATGATTATTTATATGTTGATAAATCATGTATTGAAGAATATAAAAAATTAATGATTGAAAAAATTGTGAATTTAATTACTCCAAATCAATTTGAAGTTGAATTAATAACAGGAATTAAAATTATTGATAAAACAACATTAAAAGAAGCTATTTCAAAACTACATAAAGAATTTAATATCCCATTAGTAGTTATAAGTTCAATAAAATCAGGTATATTAAATAATGATGATTCTTTTATATCATGTATTTTATCAGTTAATAATGAAATAAAATATTATAATATACCAATTATAAATTCTTATTTTACAGGAGTTGGAGATTTATTTAGTGCTTTATTATTAGATAAATGGTTTTTAAATTCAAATATAACTGATAACTTACAAAGATTAAGTAAATCAATAAATCAAGTATTAACAATTATGAACAAGACTCTTAATTTAACTCATAAAATGGGTTTAGAATTAGCTTCAAAAGAAGGTTTAAATGGTGATGTAAAAAATTTACAAGGTAAAATTAATGATGGTAAAACTATGAAATATTTTGAATTAAAAGTTATTCAATCGAAAGAATTCTTTAGTTATTCTGATGATGGAGAATTTGAGGAGTTGAGTTTGGATTAGTAGTAAGACTTGGAGAAGGGGAGTTTCAAAGGGACTTTAAAATACGTTGTATTAATGAAAGCTTTAGAAATAGAATAGACATATTAAATTATAGACTGATTTATTTATTTATAAAAAACAATTAGAAATGTATAATTAAATTAAAATGTAATAATATTTAATACAAATTTTATTTTTTATTTATTAAAGTATAGAGGAATAATATATAATTTTTGTGGAATTAAAATGGATATATAAATTGGATGAAAGATGCTCTTTGTATGTGGAGTATTTTCACTGATTTTGATGGTATAACGTCTTGTTGAATTGAATTAATTAAATTATTGTCTAAGATTAACCTCCCCAAGCTTTACCTAATTTTTGTTCTTTGAGGATTGAATTAGTTAGGATATACAGTTGTAGTTATAACTAATTTCTTTTATGAGGTCCATACATATTATCTTGTAAATATTGAAAAACACCATTTGATTCCATTCTTCTTAATAATTTAGCTAAAGGAGGTGAATAATAAGGATCAGTTAAAATATATTGTAAAAAATCTGAAATAATATGTCTTTCTTTTGCATAAATAAACCAAAAATTTAAATCAAGATATTTATTTAATATTCCATTATCATATAATGATTTTACAATGGGATCTAATAAATTTGATAAATTTTGTTTTTCTAAAATTTCTATAACTAATGGTGTTATTATTCCTGAATTATTTAATGCTATTATTATATCATTTATATTTGAATTTACTAAATTTGAATTTACAACTGTATTTATTGCATTATTTAAAAATTGATTTAATGATCCTGAATATTCATCTGTACCGTTGTTGTTGGAATCATCTCTTTTATTTCTTAAATCAATATATATGTCTCTACTTGGTCCTCCAAAAGAAACATTAAAATTTGGTTCTGCATCTGTAACATTAATTAATGGAGGTAATGGAGGAACATTAATTTCAGATTTATTAGTATCATTAGTATTTGCTTTTGATGTTGTATTAGCAATTAAATCAGCAATCCATGGTACTGTTAACGCATGACCTTCACCTAATCCTTTTATAAGCCAACCAATCCAAACATATTCAGGAGAACTTAATATTGAACCAACAAAATCGGAAAGTTTGGCATTATTTGTATCATTTTTAACTAATAATCCATCTAATGTTGAACTTATTATTCCAGAATTCATTATATCTTCCATAATCTCTGTTATATTTAAATTTATATTTAATTCATTTAAATTTAAAGTACTATTTTCCATTGATGAAGAATTTAATAAATAATTAAGATAACCAACTAAATTATTTACTTGATTTTCATCAGATGCTATATTTTCTAATAAATTTGGTAATAAACCAGATTGTCCTATTGATTTAAATATTGCAGTATATTGTTGAATTAATGCATTATCTGCTGTTTCATTATCTCTTTTATTAATATATATTTCTGAATCTTGTTGTGGATCTTGTGAATCTGAGGTAATCTCTAAATCTAATGCTTTTATTTCATCCAATATATAATTATAATCATTAAAATTAATACATTTAACTAACTGAGAACAAAATAGTATTGTTGTGGGTATTATTATTGAAAATTTCATTTCGTTGAGTTCTTGGTTGGTAGGGTCTAGTTATGGAGTATGTTATAGGGTTATATGTGCTTTTGATAAGTTGTATATGACGTGGATGAAGATGAAAATGAATTATGAGTAGTTTTGTTCTCCTTCAGGGTAATTTAAAAAGTAGGTCTATTCCCCTCTTGTAAAATGAATGTATAATAGGTTTGCTTAAAACAAAAACAAAAAAAGAATGAAGTTGATGAGTTAGGTGAATATGAAATGTGAAATGTAGATGATGATGTGAATGAATAATAATATTCTTAAAAAGTAAAATGAAGTTAAATGTAAGAAAAAGTGAGTTGGTTTAAAAAATTTCTGAAAATAATTTGAATATGAAAATGTTTTGATGTTTTGTAATTTTCTTTTTTTAAAAAATCAACTAATAAATTAAGAAATTACTCCATAAAGTTTTGTAGACTAAAAAAAGAAAAGTTAGATGGTCCTATTTTGTTTAATTATTTCTCTATTTTAATCACTTAATGAGTTCATTTGTCTGTACTAATTCTAGTGTGATAAAGTAGATCTTTTACTCCATATATTGTATATGTTTTAGATGTTTTACTATTTTAGGAAATTACACTAATAAAGAGTAAAGAAAAGAAATAATAGAAGGAAAAAAAATTGTTTCATTTTCCGCTGATAATTTTTTTAAAAGATTAGTTAATAAACTTAGCTAAGGCTATCAAAAGTATTGATAAGTGGGTTAATGTAAAGTAGATCTATGATTAGTTTAACTTTAATTGCTAATTGATGTAATTTTAGGTTAATGATATTAGAGATTGTTTGTATACGTTAAAATACAGAGTAAGTAGATTTTGATACAAAAGTACTGCATAGTGTGAGAGTATAGAACATGAGCCGCACAAGTTTGTTTTGTGACCTAATTCAGATTTTGGCACTTTTCCTGCATACGAAATATAATTTTACGAAAGACAGATCGAAAATTTCCTAAAATGGAATAGTAATATATCGATAATTATAACCAACTATGGTTATAAAATATTATTTAGTTAACTTTGAGATTCAAAATGAGGTACAGCCAAATATTATTATTATTTAGCAATTAAGAGATATTATCACTTGATAATACATTTTGACATTTACATTAAAAAATAGAAGATCAAAACTTTTAAATTATAATTTTTGAATTAACCACTTTTTCTTCTTTATTTACTTCACTTTCTTTCTTTCTTTTCTTATAATTACCTTCAAAAGAACTATATAAATTTATTATCATTCATTCAATTTTAACATACTTGTGATTACTTACTCAATAATCATCAACATTCTATTATTCACATTTGGACTACTCATTATTCATTAAACTATTCAATTGCATTTTATCATCTCAATTCAAAGGAACAATTTTATAATTTTTAAACTTCAACTATAACTTAACAAATCAATGTTTGCATTTCATATAATAACGTTATTAGTATGTTTTATAACATCACTAGTTAAATCATCACCAATATCATCTTCATCTTCACCAATTGAAGGTTCACAATTTGAAATTATACCAGAACTAGATTTTTTTGTTGAATCACAATTTAATGAATATGAAGTTGGATTATATTATGATGTAATGGATATTTTTAATAATTATAATTCCGAAGATTTAATTTATAAAAGAGATAATTCTACTAATGATGGTGGTATGCAATTAGATAATGATGCATTAAGTAACACAATAACCACCATAATAAGATCAGTTAATGATTCAGGTGTAATATGGGCTTTATTAGATGCGATTGCAGATCATCCAAGTAGAATTGATTATATAAGTAATTTAACTTCAACTTTATTAGAAGGTAGAAATATAACAATTGATGTTGGAGATTTATTAAGTGGTGAACCAGATCCAATATGGCAAAAAAATGTTAATTTAACTGCTATAATGAATGCTATTCAAGAAAGTGGTTTAGTTGATTCATTTTTAGATGGATTTTTATTAGATACTGTATTTAGACCAAGATTAGTTGATATAATTGATAGAGTTGTTTGGTCACAAAGAGATGCTTTATTATATATTTTTAATGTCCTTTTAGTTAAAAGAGGGTTTATTGATGAAGAAGATGTTAAAGATATTTTAAAAAGAGCAGATTCAGCAAATAATGGTACATTAAATACATTTTTAACAAATTCTATAGCAACAGTATTAGGTTCAGGAATATTTGGTCAAGTTGCAGGAGATTTATTAAATGCTTTGAATGATACTGAAGTTGCAGTTTATGTTGTTAAAAGATTTTTATCAAATGATGCTTATTTAAATATGACTGCAAGATTATTTAATAGTTTAACATCAGCAGGAGCAATTCATATATCATTTGAAAGTTTAAATGTTACAAATGTTTTAAATGATGCTTTAAGTGATCCAACAAGAATTTCTTTAATTGTTGGTTCTTTATTAAGTGGTGATTCAAGTTTAATAACTAATTATTTTGGTAGATATTCTGGAGCTATACAAGATATTTTAGCTCAATTAGAAGCAAAAGGATTATTTGCTAGATTAAATTCTTATATATGGGGTAATCCAAGTGCAACTACTTCAATTACTTTAGCTCCTTCTGCAACTTCAAATGCTAATAGAAACGCAATAACAACAACAACAACAAGTTCTTCTTCATTAACAACAAGAGTAGCTGATGCAAATTCAAATCAATCAAAATCAAATAATGCTGGAAGCTTACAATCAAATTATAAATTACAAGCACTAGTATTAATACCTTTTGGATTTTTATCAATGTTATTTATAATTTAAATTTGAACCAACGTCATACAACAACATATCATTTTCAATTCATTCAACCTCACTTATTCACGTAACATATTTAAAATCTTTTCGGTATCAATCACAGTTTAATCAAAGACAATATCAATTCATTTAAAAAGTTAGTAACACTATGATATTTGTAAATTAGTTTTATACATTTGTTTATATTTATACTTTTAATACCATATCAATGAATTACAATTCATTTGCATGAAATTGAATTAGAGACTCCACTTGTAGATTGGTTCTCTTAATGGAATGGTGTAGAAATGTGATAAGTGGCAATTGGTAGTTATAAAAATTAGCCATTTTCGATTATCTACAACTTGCAACCATTTTAGTTTTAAATTAGGTTTGAATTCGAACCAATTTAGTCTCCACTGATTTAATTAACGATTAATTCAACATCATGTTACTCAATTAAGAAGTCATGTCAAATGAAAACAACAGTGGAATTGATACTGGGGGTAACTCAAAGAGCACATCAAATGTTGTTGAAACATTGGCAAATCCATTCGAACCTACTGATCCGGTAGAAGTTATAGAAGATGAAATGGTCAATTCCAATTCCAACTCAAACTCAAACTCAGTTACCGAAACACTACTAAATCATTCAACTCCAAATCATATCACCAGGTCTAAATCAACTCCCAATACTCCAAAACAATTACGAATAATACAAAATACTTATAGAAGAATAAGTTTAGATGATAATGATTTATTAAAAAATCATAAAAATTATGATGATGAACATATAACAAATTTAAAAAAATTTCAAAAAACTATTTTAAAACCAGTTGCAAAATGGGCAATAACTCCAATAAATAAAATTCAAAAAAGTTATAATAATAAATTAATTGATGAAGAAAATAATAATGATAATTACCACATAGAATATTCTGTTTTTAGACCATTAATTACAACCAAGAGATTAGAAACTTCAAAAGATATATTAACTCATTGGAGAGATTCAGTTGAATTAACTACTCAAAAACCATTTGAATTTCCAGAAAATTATATAAATCAATTAAAATTTAACAAGATTGTAAAAAATATAAAAAATTTAATTGAAATTGATCATATTTATCCAGAAAGAAATTTAAATGGTTCATCAGGTAGTTATTTTGTATTTCAAAAAATTGAATTTGAAGGTATTATAAGTTATGAAAAAATTGGTATATTTAAACCAAAAAGTGAAGAACCTTATGGTCCTTTACTGCCAAAATGGATAAAATGGTTACATAGAACTTCTTTTCCTTGCTTTTTTGGTAGATCATGTTTAATTCCAAATTTAGGTTATATAAGTGAAGCAGCAACAAGTGAATTAGATCAATTATTACAATCTTATATTGTTCCTTTCACTGAAATTATTGAATTAAGATCTCCTACTTTTTATTATCCAATATGGGATAGATCAAAAAATGTTCAAAATTTACCTTTTAAGATTGGTTCATTACAATTATTTCTAAAAGGTTATAAAAATGCTGATTTATGGTTTAAAATTTATCCAATACCAACAAATTTAAATTTTTTACCTAAAAATTCAAATATTGAAGTTAACATCAATGAGCTAGAAATAAATTATAAATTTCAATGGAGTCAAAATTTAATGTTACAATTTCAAGAAGAAATTGAAAAAATGGTTATATTAGATTATCTTATTAGAAATACTGATAGAGGAGCAGATAATTGGATGATAAAAATAGAATGGGAAGAAATTAATCGTAATACTACTACTAAAACAATGAAACCCGTATTAAAAATTGGAGCAATTGATTCAGGTTTAGCATTTCCTTGGAAACATCCAAATGAATGGAGATCTTTTCCATATGGTTGGTTATTTTTACCATTATCAATAATTGGTCAACCTTTCACTACTAAAACAAGAAATCATTATTTACCTTTATTAACTTCAAAAATTTGGTGGGAAAATACAGTGATTAATTTAAAAAAAGTATTTATGAAAGATAAAGATTTTAAAGAAAGAATGTGGTTAAAACAATTAGCTGTTTTAAAAGGTCAAGCTTTTAATATTGTTGAAGTTTTAAAATTAGATTATGCTGGTCCATTAGAATTAACAAGAAGAGAAAGATTATTAGTATTTGATGATATTATGTATATTCCAGAAAATGAAAATGATAGAAATAAGACGGTGATGAATACATCAAATTATCAAAATGATATTACAAATGGTCAAATTTTAATTAATGAGAGGAGTGATGAAGTAAGTCAAAGTGATGATGAAGTAAATCAAAGGGTCAATGAAAGAACAACGTTATTACCTAAGAGCCAAGATCACCATCAACATCAAAATCATTTACAACAAATTGATGAAAATCAAGAATATGAATCTGGGTTTGAAAGAATGAATAAACAATTACCATCACCTGAAAGAAAAGGAAGAAAAGTTATAATGGAAAGAATAGTTAAAGAGCATTCAAACCCACCAGTATTTACATGGTGTTGAAAAAAAATTTTTAATACACACTGTTAATTACAGATTATAATCAAAGTTTATCGTCTTTCATTTATTATGTACATATTTTTCTTCAAAAATTTTTGGATAATCATTTGAATTTCCTTTAAAATCTTTTGGATCAATTATAAACATTTTTCTTTCTTCTTTTAATCTAAATTGAACCATTTTTAATAATGAATAAATAACATTTAATACCGGAACATTAACATTATTTTCTTTAGCTATACGTATTGGATTGCCCAATATAATTTCTAATTCCATTAATTGATTTTTTCTTGCATCTATACACATTGATGGAGAATAAAAAAACCCATCACCAATATGTAAAAATTTTTCAATTTTACTTTCATCACATTCAATTCCAACACTTTTTGCAATAGCTATTACTTCTTTCATTGCAGGTAATATGATTTCTTCATTGGCATTATTTATTTGAATTCTTGTTACATCTAAATTAACTAATGCAGTAACTGTATTAAAAGCAGAATTATAAATTAATTTTTCCCATCTTGTTTTTTGAACATTAGGATCTTGTTTTATATCATTTAAGCCAGGATTATGATATATTGAAATAAATTCATTTATCTTGTCTTGGGATTCAGGATGTATAGGAGGATTTTTAAAATCTCCTAAAAATACAGAATCTAATCCTTTATTTTCAACATGTCCATTATAATATGTACTACCAATTAAACTTACACCTGATAATATTAAATTTTGGGGAAATTTTTCTATCATTGGTTGTTCAATATTTATACCATTTTGTAATAATATTATAACTTCTTTACCAGTTTTTAAAGCAGGTTCAATAATTTCTTCACAAGTTATTGGACCATCTGGTATATTTTTTGTAGTTAATAAAATATAATCAAATGGACCATATTTTTCAAGTGCATCATCAACTGATTTTGCTAAATTATGAGGTTTCCAATTTTTTAATTTCCCATAAGTACATGAATCAATTGAATAACCTTGGTTTTTAATTAATTCATAATCTGATCTTACTATTAATGTTACTTCTGATTTATTATTATGAGTTAATGATAATGCAGAAATTGTTCCAACACCTCCAGAACCTATTATAAGAACTTTTGGTTTACCCATTTCGATTAGTTATTTCTATTTGTAGTTTAATATGAATTGATAAGTTTCTCAAGCTATATGGATCTCATTTGTTGATTATTACTCACTGTTTGGAAATTGATGAAATTTTAAAACTCGCTAAGCGGAATTTCTCAATCTTTTTTTCATTACACAAAATCATTATCATTTTCCGAGATCTGCGTAATTAATGCCAAATTGAATCATCAAGTTTTTAACCAACTTAGTTTCAAAAGGTTGGTGACAAACATTATATACGACCCTCTATACAGAAGAATCGAGTGTAAAGTTTATGACAAACCAACTAGACTAAGTTATCATTGAGCAGTGCTCAATATTTGATCAATTTTAGCCATCAATTTATGAAATTTAAAATGTGAAATAAATTTAGATATCAAAATTAAATTTAAATATAAATTATTTAAATTTTGATTAATTTTCAATTTTTTTTTAAAAAGTTTTAAAAATTTAAATTCCTTATCTATAATTTCATTAATTTTATTTAATACCAAATCAAATTTTTGTCTTGTTACATTTCTTGAATCAAATTTTTCAAAGTTATAATTTTCCAGTAATGAAATAAATTTATTCCACCCGTTATCAATTGATGTTTTTAAACCTTGTGCTTTAAACAAATTATTTTTATTATTGATATGAAATTCATAAAATCTTGAATCAATATTTGGTGTAGTTAATATCGGTACATGATAAATTAAATTTAATTTATAATTTGTTTCACACCAATTTCTTAAAATATTTGAAGCTAATAATGGCATACTTTTAAACGAGTTATGAATTGAAGAAGAAGTATATACTGTTTCATTACTTCCCAAGTTACTTTGAAGAAAATTAATCGATCCAACTAATGTATTTGGTAAAAAAATTGGAATTTGTCTTAGAGCAAATGTTTTCCTTCTTGCCATTATTAAATTTTCTTTAGTTGATAATGAACTTACTTGATTGTTATTTGCAAAAAATACAGGCTTAGTCCATGGTATAGTATCATTTAAATTCATATCATAAATTAATTTATTATCATTACAATAAATTAAATGATAAGTTCCCTTACGACCTCTTCTTAAATTAAATTGATATTCAACTTTATAACCAGTGAATGGAACATTGGGACTAGTGATACATGATTGTGATTGATCAGGTAACGACTGAATGAATTTAAATAATGAAATGAATGAAACTATTACAGACAATTTCATTAATTTTGCAGACCAAAATAAAAAATTTCAAAACATTATTTTTTCGCAGCCAAATTTAAAACAATCGAGTTAACATTTTCTAATCTAAGATTTCTATACACACGTAGAAACAAACTTTTAATAACTTACTAAACCTATAAACCCAAAAACTTACTTCAAAATAGAATCAAACCCAACAGCCAAAGTCATACCTAAAACAATATCAAACATACCTCTATTTTCTTGACCTTTAAAAATTTCATTATCTTCATATATTGTAATCCAACCTAATTTATTTTCATCTGGTAAATCATCTTGAGTATTTTTCAGATAATATAATCCATCACTTCCATTAAAATATTTTGTTGGAGGATCATCAATTGATTGATTATTCAGTATAAAATCATCGTTATTATTGTTATTATAAGTAATTGATGTCTTTTTTGAAAATTGATCTTGTTGATTTTTAGCCATTTGAATAAACAGTTTTTTAACTCTATTTTCAAATGGTCTGAACATACTTAAAACAGGAGGAAACAATTTAGAATCATTTAAATAAATACTTTTTGGATTTGATTCTTTATATTTGCAATGCTTTCTTGAATTAATATAATTTTGATGAAAATATATATTTCTTTTATTTATTAATTTATATTCTTCATCTTGAACATTATTTGATGAATTCGATCTTTTCAATTTTCCCCTCATCTGATTAATTTTACTTATTCTAACTCTTGGAATTGATCCAACATTCCATGAATTACCCTTTAGATCCTTTATTTCATAATTTTTGAAATATTGAGAAGAATTCATTCTTAAATTTTCATAGGGAAAAAATTCATCATTTATTGGCAGTTGAAAAGTAAAACCATTAAAAATTGTTAAATCTTCATATTTTTCAATATTACCTTCTTCATTTATAAATTTATCTTTTGGTATACTGAAAATAAATTGACCACCATCTTTTTTTGATTTTTTTGTAATTTTCATGAAAGATTTATTTGTTATTGATTGATCAATTGAATTTGAATCTTTAAATATTAAAGTATATCCATCTATTGAATTGATTTTTGAATTTTCCTTATCTGAGTTATTACTAACTTCAATATAAAAACCTGGTCCATTTCTACATAGAACATGTTTCGATCCTGGATTTGTTGTGAGGTACAAGTCTTTACCAAATTTTAAAATATGATATTTCCAAAATGGAGGTGGATTTTGTTGTGTAGGATAATCAAGCGATTCAGGTGGAGTTATTTGAGTAAAAGGGTCTAGTACTGGCGATTGATTTTGTGAGTGTTGAATAACATCTTCCTCTATTTTATATTTATGTTGGTCTGGTTTCGGTGACTTTTCAGGTGATAATAATTTGGAACTAGTTGATCTTTTAAAAGAATTGAATTTCAGACTTAAATTACCAAAATTATTTATGGACATCCTTTTCATTTTACTGGTTAATATAGTAGATTCTTCAAGCGCAGTAGGTTCTTTTGCCTTATCTTTAGTTTCTTCGTACACTAAATCTGGTGGTGGTTTCCTTCTCACAGAATTACTTCTTGAACTCAAGTTTAAACCATTTATTGATGTAGGAGATTTAAACGGATCATCAGAACTCTTTGAATCAGTATTGGAAGTATAATTTGACAAATTATCTTGTTTTGGTGTATCATAATCAGAAGTGAATTCATAATTGTTGAATACTGGAGTTTTATTATTTTCAAAAGTAGGACTTTGTATAAAATTTGGAGATTGATTTTCAGTTAATAATGGAGCATTTTCAAAATTTGAATCTGATTTTGAAGTTGATGAAAAAGAATTTAGGATCTTATTTATTGAATTTTGTTGTTCAGTATTATAAATATTTATATGATTTTGATGTTGCAGTATCAACTGATCTTTGTAATCTTCTAATGATATACTACTATTGGTTGCACTTGAGCTGTAAATTGAATTCATAGGTGAATCATTTAAGTAATGTTTGTTGAAAGAATCTCATGTAGGTATAATGTGGCTGTATTAATTGAAAATTATAAATAAAAAATATCCGACAATATTCAAAAGTCCGACACAGACTCTTGGTAGCTTCAAAATCAGACAGATTTAAGTAAATCATTAAATTTTTTACATAGTAATCATAAGTCTGGGGAGGTAGAAGTGTTTTCTTCTCTTGAATCAAATGGTCTTTTTTGAAATTTGACAATTCAGCTGTACTTGATTCAATAGACTCTATAACGTAAAAATCAGTAGATTGATCAGACTTGTTCGTGTAACGCGTTAGTCCAAATTTTTTTCGTCTCGATCGAGGACTTCCCTTTTTGTGATGAAATTGATTAACGCTTCTATCTATCATGTAGAACCACTTTTTATATAAACACTAAAAAAATTTAAAATTTCATATTGCTACAAATTATAAAAATGCAGAATTTTAATTCAATCATTGAATAAATTGTTCAATTTCCTGAATCATGATTGATCTTGAAGAAAATAATCCATTAATACCACCATCACAAATAGATACAGATAATGAAGGTTCAATATATGGTCATGATTTATATTGTCCAAATCCAAGACAAATTTTTAAAATTTGTACAAATTTAAAATATTTAATTGATAAAATTATCCCAATTTTATTTGATGAAACAGAAATAACAAAACCAGATTCATCAATTTTAAATGAAAAAGTTTTAGATTTAGTATATAAAGCTGCAGGTGGAAAAGGAAATGGTGAACAAGGCACATCATCAAAAAAATATCAAGCTTGTTTAATTTTTTGTTTATTAAAAGTTTGTGGTTGGTATTGGCAACAAAGTGAATTTGAATTATATGATAATGAATTATTTAGTTTAAGAGCTGTTTGTGCTCAAATTTTAGCTTCCAAGATAATTGAGAGGGAACAAGATGATAAATATTTATTTTTAAGTATGCTTTGTCATAGATATACTATTTGTTTAAATGGTAAAAATTCAACTCCTATAAGTGCTTTGGAGCTAGCTGTTGATATGCATTCAACTATAGTTATTTCTTCATCTGGTTATCAAAGATGTATAAAATGGTTATGGAGAGGTTGGATTATACAATCTTCAAATGATCCTCATTCTTATGTATTATATAAAGGAATTGCATCAAATTCAATAAGAACTCATTTTGATCCTGCAAGAATTAAAACTCCATATTATCAAAATATTTTAGAAATTTTTTTTAGTATTGTTTATTTATTATTATATACAATAATTTTAAATACTCATTCAACAAATTTTGCAGATTTAGATATTTTTGAAATAATATTTTATTTATTTACTTTAGGTTTTATTATTGATGAATTTATAAAATTTTATCATGTTGGTTTGAATTATTTAGGATTTTGGAATGCTTTTAATGATTCAATGTATGTTATTATTGTATCTGCTGTTGTATTTAGAATTTTAAGTATTTCAAATCATGGAGCTTTAAGAAATAGATATGATGAAATGTCTTATAGATTATTAAGTTGTGCTGCTCCAATGATGTGGTCAAGACTTTTGTTATATTTAGATGCTCAAAAATTTTTTGGTGCAATGTTAGTTGTATTAAAAGTTATGATGAAAGAATCAATTTTATTTTTTGTCTTATTATTTGTTATTATTGCTGGATTTTTACAGGGTTTTATTGGTTTAGATGCTTCTGATGGAGAAAATGAAGCCACCAAGAAAATATTAATTTCTTTATTAAAAGTTGTTATTGGAAGTGCTTCATTTGATGAAATGGGAAAATTAGTACCACCATATGCTTCTATATTATATTATAGTTATTCATTTTTATTTTCAGTAATATTAATGAATATATTAATTGCTTTATATTCAACTGCTTATGCAGCAGTTGTTGAAAATGCAACTGATGAATATTTAGCATTAGTAGCTCAAAAAACTTTAAGATATATAAGAGCTCCAGATACAAATACCTATGTTCCACCATTAAATATAATTGAAGTTATTATAACTCCATTAAGTTGGATATTACCTCCATTAACTTATAAAGATATAAATTATTATGTAATGATGATATTATATTCTCCTTTATTGTTATATATAACAACTGAAGAGTTATCGACAGCAAGAAGAATTACATATAATAGATATAAAGGATTACCAGATGATGCAAATGAAAATGATACGGAATGGGATTTAACAGATGGATTTGGAGAATTAAATGATAATAATACCACAAGAAATAGTACACCATATGAAGAAATTAGAGAAAGAAATTCTCAAGTAAATGAAGAATTAAGAATTCAAAGAGAAGCAGAAAGACAAGATGATGAATTTCTTTATAATATGTCGGGTTTTGAAAAAGATATTGAAAAAGTTATAAAACCTGTTAAAAAAGCAAGTGAAGTTGGATTAAATTGGGAATTTTATGATTTATTTAAAAAAATTGATAAATTAACTGAATTAGTTGAAACTGTTGTTAGTGAAAATAAAGAATTAAAACAAAAATTGGAAAATAAATAGGATTTAGGATGTTTTTATAGTAGTTTTATATAGTAAAACACGGTTATATAAAAAAACTACTATAGTTGTAACTAATTAAGTATTATACAGTACAATTCTCGTTTATTATGTATTTATGGATTTGTAACAAAATACACTACCACTCTAATGCAATATTTTTTTATTCAATTACATCAGTTTTAAAAGCTTGGGAATAAATGAATAACGTGTTTTATGAAATGAAATTCTGGTCAACTAATCAGCATGAACAAGCCGAATAATCTATTCTATACCGTAATACTTTACTCTTCAATTAAATAGTGAATATATGATGAAAACTTTCGTGTTCATACTTTAAAAGAAAAATTTACCCAAGTAAAATTAGTGAGAAAAAAATTACTCTAATACAAATGTAATACACATACAATAATTAATTATACGTTTAAGTAATTTCAATCAAAAGTTTTTTTTATCATACAAGTAGTATAAAATCATACGAATATACATACAATTAACGACTTCAGAATCCAGGATCTACTATAGTCACCATGTCTACTCGAACAAGTAGAAACGGGAATAATAAGAATAATAGTGGTACCAACAAAAATTCTACAACAAAATTTAAACTTGGAGATAATATTCATTTTGAAGTTTCAAATGGTTCAACTTCAACCAATACCAACAATAATCTGAATAATAGTAGTAATAAACCATCTACAACTAATTCAAATGTATCAAATCAATTACAGAATTCATCTGTCAATGACAATGTTGATTCAAAACAGAAGAAAAAGAAGAAATCCAAAGGCAAGAATCCTACTACAAAGATTTCAACTTCACAAGCTCATTTGAATAATCCAGATGATGATTATCCTACTTCAAGAGTTATTAAACAAGCTTCAAATGGGGATGTAATTGTTGAAAGAATGGATGAAGAGGGAGAAAAAGAAGAAGAATTTGAAGAAGATGGCGATGAATATGAAGAAGATGAAGATCAGGATGAAGAGGTTAACAATCATCAAAAAAACCCGTCAAATCATCACCACCATCATCATCATAATCATCCACAAAGTAATAACAACACTAAAAATCTGAATAAAACTAGTAATAGTCATACATCAAACAATCATAGTACTAGAAAAAATAGTCAAGATGCACATAATAGTTTATGGGATTCAGCTTCAATTGAAGAACAAGAAAAACTAAAAGAATTTTGGGAATCTCTAGCGGAATCTCAAAAATTAGAACTTGTTAAAATTGATAAACAATCAATAATGAAAATGTTTAAAAATGAAACAAGACAACATTTACAACAATTATCTCAACAACTGAATAGTAGTATATCAAGTAATAATTCAAATAATTGTGCATGTAAATATTGTGGAAGACGAAATAATATTATTGAAGAAGAATTAGAAAGTATTTATGATAATCATTTTGATGATATAATTGATTTTATTCATGAAGTTCGAGATATAAATGATTTAAATGCATTACCAGGTCTTTTATTTGGAGGATTTCATATGTTAGAAGAAGAAAGAAGATTACAAAAACGAAAAAATACTCATATTGAAAATTTAGAAATGGCTAAAAATTCAAATCAACGTAATCAATCTCAAATTGAAGAAATTAGATCTCAAATGGATAAATTAAAAATGGGACCTAAAACTGTTCAACAGAGTAATGTAACAAATGATTCAAAACCTGTGAGTAATTCAAATCAACAACAACAACAACAAACCAAGAGTCAAGTTACAATGAAACCTCACGCGAATGTTCAAATTAGTGCTACATTTCAAAGTTCAAATCCAGCTGAAACTCAATTATTTAATAAATTACTTGATCCTAAATTATTTGAAGCTCTAGAAAGTCTAGATTTACAAAAAATGAAAGAAGTTTCTCATTTTGATCCAAAAAATGCTGCACATATTAATATGTTAGAAAAAGCTGGATCATTAAGAGAAATTGTTCGTGATTTACATAGTGTAGATCGAAATCATTTGGAAAAGGGAATGTCATATGTTCAAAATATGGGGAAATTTTTTTCAAATATTGCTAATTTAAATCCTAATAATCCTGAAGATGCAGAAAAAATTATGGCTGGTCAAATGAATGAACAATTTAATCAAGGTTTATCATCTTTTGCTGAAGATTTATTAAAAAATGATGGTGATTCATTTATTAGTATGATGGAAGCACTTTCTGAATCAAGATCTGCTCGTGAAGAATTATTAAAAGAAAAACCAACTGTTTTGAATCAATTACAACAACAACAGCAACAATTACAGCAACAACAGTTACAATTACAACAACAAAAGCAACAGCTTCAACAACAACATCAACAACAACAAGGACAGAACAAAGATGTTTCAACTTGGATTGAAGAAGATGATGACCACACTCATTATCACTGCACTCACCATCATCATCACCATCACGATGATGATGACGACTATGATGAAGACGATGAAGATGACTATGATTATGACGATGAAGAAGATGAAGACGACGATGATGATGATTTAGATGATGATGATTTAGATGACGATGATATGGATGATAAAGATGCAAGTGATACAGAATCTGAAATTTCAGAAGAAGAAAAAATGCAAGAAATTCGTCGTTTATTTTTAATTCAAGTTATTAAATTGTTTCAAGAAAGATTAAAAAGTGCTTATAAAGAAAAAGTATCTAAAGATAATACTCAAAAATTAATTCAAGAATTGGAAGAAGAAGAAAAAGCTAAAAAAGAACGTGAAGCTAAGAAATTGAAACAAAAGGAAAAAGCAAAGGAGAAGAAAAGATTACAGCAATTGGCCAAAGAAGAAGAAAAGAGGAAAAAAGAAGAGGAAGCCAAAAAAGTTGAAGAACAATTAAAAGCACAACAAGAAAAGCTTAAATTGGAACAAAAGAGGAAAAAAGAAGAAGCCAAATTGAAACGTGAAGAAGAAAAGAAGAGGAAACTAGAAGAAACAAAGAGAAAAGAAGAAGAGCATAGAAAAAAAGTTGAAGCTCAAAGAAAACGTGAAGAAGAAGCTAAGAAATTAAAAGAGGAACGTCGTAAGAAAGCAGATGAAGAAAGAAGAGCTAAAGAAGAAGAAAGGAAACAAAAGGAATTATTGAAAAAGCAAAAAGAAGAAGAAAGAGAACGTTTAAGAATTGCTAGAGAAAAACAATTAGCTCAAGAAGAAGAAGCAAAATTAGCATCTGCTTCTGCTTCTTCTACTATTTTTGCAGAAAATTCAATTAGTCAAAAAAATTCAAATCCTTCTTCAATAGTGAATGATTTAGATGACGATCAGGATTTGGTTAGACAAATTGAAGAAGAAAAAGCCAAATTATTAAATGGAACAGCTATTCCTTCAGTTATTCCTCAACAGCAACAACCATTACCTCATTCTATTTATCAAACGAGACCAGGTTCACTTTCAAGTACTTCATCTTCGATAGCTTTAGGTCAACTTCCAACTAGTGCTCCTAATAATTCTTTGTCACATCAATCTCAACCATTAACCAATGATATTTCATCAAACTTTTTGAATCAATCAAATATCCTTTCACCTCAAACAGCACCAATTAATTTGTTCAATGGAATTTCAAATGCTAATCCTATATCAAATGTTTTACCTTTAAATAATAGTAATTCATTATCACCTTGGTCTGCAAAATCAAGATTGAATTCCATGTCAAATAATTCAGCACCACCTCCATTTTTATCTCAAGCAAGTTCAAGTGAATTGTCTAATGGACAACATCTTCAACAACAACAACCATTGCAAATACCACAACAACTTCAACAACAGCAACAACCACAGCAACCTCAACAATCACACGTTCAACCACAATCACAAACAAAATTTGCACCATTCAATTCATTTGAAGATCCAACAGTTAATGATCCTTTCATGCCAACTCCGTTAGCGGGAAACAATAATATTTGGAATTCGAATGCTGCACCAGCACCTTCAAATGGCGGTCCCAGAAGTTCATCAATTTGGGGTAGTACTTCAACTGCTGCATCCACTGAAACTCCATTTTTAAGTTCAAATATGAGATCAAATTCACTTTGGGGTAAAACCAATAATACAACTTCAGATAATAATAATAATGGTTTACTTTCTAATTTGAATACAAACAATAACAATAAACCAATTGGTAATAATATTGGAAATTCAAATGAGATTGAATTAATTCAATCAACAATCTATAATTGTTATCAATTATTATCAAATTCAAATCAATTAGAATTTGGTATAGTTTCATTATTATCTATATATCAAAATGTTAAAACTATTTTAAATAAACCTCAATTATCAATAAATCAATTATTAAATTATTGTCAATCAAATTCTTTATATCAATTTGATTTTATTTATGATGAATTTGGTAATGTTACTCATTTAAAAATTGGTTTAAATAATAATGGAGGAGGTTTTAAAAATTCATCTCCTCCAATTTTGTCAACGACTGATCAAAAACAGCAATCACAACCACCACAAGGTCAACAACAAAATCAACCTCAAAGTCAACAACAACAATTTGGTTCTCAAGCTGGTTTTGGAATTGGTCAAAATTCAACAACAACTGGTCCTCCACCTGGATTTAGAATTCCATCAGGTCAAAATGGTATTTGGAATTAAAAATCGTGCTAGTTTCAATTAGATTGAATTAAATTAAATTAAGCTCAATTGTTTAAAGTCTTTCTTGATGTATATTTTTGAAAATTTAAATCATTATTCTTGTTGTACTACACTTAGTTTCTTGAACATTTATCTCTACAATATTTACCACCGAAGCGATATCTCTTAGTCAATATTTCCTAGTGATGTAATTCAATAAGAGAGTATTTCCCTCAATATCATTAGATTTAAATAAATTTTACTCAAAAAAGATAAAGCCGATGAAAAAATAAAGTCTCAAAATCACACAACTCAAATATTCGTTACATATACGACGATCACAGTATAACCATAATCCAAGTCAAGTCTTAATCACATAGATCAATTACTTCAGTTCTTTTTGTTTTTTGATTTCTTCTATAGTTTTGAATATGATTACATTCAAAGGAGTGATAAGCAATATATAAAAATAACAAATATTTAGAACATTCAAACACACATAATTACTAGTCTCCAAATAAACACAAGGAGTAGTAATACTTTGTCATATTCAATTCTTTTCAGTCTACAATGTCAACAGAAATTACAAGAAGAAAATTAATAATAGTAGGAGATGGAGCATGTGGTAAAACTTCATTATTATATGTATTTACGTTAGGTGAATTTCCAACAGAATATCATCCAACAATATTTGAAAATTATGTAACAGATTGTAGAATTGATGGAAAACCAATACAATTAGCATTATGGGATACTGCAGGACAAGAAGAATATGAAAGATTAAGACCTTTAAGTTATAATAATTCAAATATTATATTAATTGCATTTGCTTTAGATACTCCTATATCTTTAGATAATACAAGAACTAAATGGGTTGAAGAAGTTAAAAAATATTGTCCAAATACTCCTTATTTATTATGTGGTTTAAAAAAGGATTTAAGACAAAATGCTAGTAATGCTAACATTAATTCTGATTTATCAAAAAATATAATAAATTTACAAAATCATATAAATAATACTAACAACGAACTAAATAAAGATCATTTTAATTATGGTAGAAGACAAACTGGATATGTTTCATATGAACAAGGTGAAGCAATGGCTAAACAAATTCATGCTAAAGCTTATATGGAAAGTTCTGCATTAACTGGTGAAGGTGTTGATGATATATTTGAATATGCTGTAAGAGTTAGTTTAATGCAATCTCAAAAATCAAATGATGGATGTTGTACAATATTGTGAAGTATTATGACTAAAAATTGAATTTAATAGCGTTTTTAAACTCAAGGCATTAAGATGGGTGAACATCCGATGCGTTTGAATTGAACTTCCCGACAATTAGAGTTGGATTGCAGTTTTGACCCTTGATTAGATTAAACTTTTCGACGTGGTAGTTAATAGGATGTCAGTAAGCTTTTCAGCTCCTTGTTAAACTAAAACATGCATATGTGATGTGTTTTAGGTAAATAATTCTGTTACAATTATTGTTGATTGCCACATTTAAACATCTAGTGTATTTCGAGGATAAGATGTTTTGGATGAATTTCATAGATTCCAAAAATAATTAGAGTAGTTTTCCTAGCTATATACAAGTACTTAATAAAAATATTTAGTAATTATGAAGTATTTATGAAGTCTTTTTGCACCCAAACTTTAAAAGTCGGTATCATGAAACCTCATATAAAAAATAAATCCGATCGGAAAAATAGGAAAATATCTTAAGGGGATTTAAGTTTTATAATTAGTTTAGCCTACCGATAAAACAAACAAAATAACCAAATCAGATAAAATAGGTTAGCATATACTTTCGAGTGGATTAGGGTGAGTCTAAAATTCTATGAAATCAGTAGAATAGTTGTGTTTCAGCTGATTCTCTTATTCTAAATTTTAGCTTGACATACGAATTCCGTTATCGATTCCGTTTCAATGTTGATAAAAACCCAGCTATTGAAATCTCAGGTTAAAAATGAGAAAGCTAGCAAAAAATAAGTAATAGAAGTAAATGAGCCCTGTAGAAGCATTTAAGTGAAAAACTAAATTTATATGGCTCAGTTCAATTGATCAATTTTAAAATCAATCTTGTAGCTTATTCATGTAAGCCCCCTAATTTATACTTTTTTTTTTCACAAATGTAAAACGGCAATAGAATAAAAAGAAATTCGTAATCAATATTAGAATAATGATGAAGAGATTAAGGTTCCACAATTGAACAATAAAGTATAATAGAGAATCTAATTATTAAAGTTTTCATATCAATTTTCATATTACTTAGTTATCTTTTTTACCATTCACGTCTACATTTTCACAATTTCACAATTTCAAAACAGCTGTAGACATAATAGACAAATTAGTTCCATAGCAAAATTAACATATCACATCCTTAATGGCTGAGTCATCAATACCGAATAAAGATGATTTAAAAGATATTTCCAATGAAATTCCAAGTAATACAATATTAAATAATCAACCATTAGTAACTGATCCAATAATAATACAAACACAAGATGATGTAACAGAAGTTGAAACACCATTAGCAATTCCAATAACAGGAGATCATTTATTTAATAATAGAAAAACAGATTCATTAGATAGTTTTAGAATAGATGATCAAGATTGGGAAACCATAGATATAAATAATAATGAATCAAAATATCCAATCTTGCAAAAGATAAAACAATTTTTGACTAAATTTTATAATTCAATAATTTTACCAAATATTGGTATATCTTTATTAATAATTTCACAATTTTTAAATAGTATAATGGTTACAACTTGTAAATTATTAGTAACAAATAAAGATTTTAATGAACCAATACATCCATTACAAATATTATTTGTAAGAATGTTTATTACATATATTTGTTGTTTAATATATATGTTTATAACAAAATCAATTGAACAAGCACCATTTGGACCACCAAAATTAAGAAAATTATTAATTATTAGAGGTATAGTTGGATTTTTTGGAGTTTTTGGAATGTATTTTTCTTTACAATATCTTAGTTTATCTGATGCTGTTTCAATAACATTTTTAGTTCCAATGTCAACTGCTTTTTTAGCTTTTATTATATTAAAAGAAAAATATTCAATTCTTGAAGCTATATGTTCAATTTTTTCATTAGGTGGAGTTTTATTAATTGCAAAACCTTCTTTTATATTTGGTAAAGAAATTGAAAAAGAAAATGGTGGTGATGAATCAATTGAAAGTTCATCTTCTGAAAAAAGAATTTTAGCAACTGTAATTGGATTAATTGGAGTATTAGGTGCAAGTTCAGTTTATATAATATTAAGAAAAATAGGAATGAATGCTCATCCATTATTATCAGTAAGTTATTTTGCATTAACTTGTTGTATTATAACTTTTATAAGTATTTTAATTATACCTTCTTTATCATTTGTTTTACCTCAAAATTCTTATCAATGGTTTTTATTTTCAATTATTGGATTTTCTGGATTTTTTATGCAATTTTCTTTAACTGCTGGAATTCAAAGAGTTAAAGCTGCAAGAGCTTCATTAATGACTTATTCAGGTATGGTATTTGCTATATTATGGGATTTATTAATTTGGGGTCATTTACCTGGTTTATTATCATTTTGTGGTATTGCATTAATTATTGGAAATGCTATAATAATATTAAAATTTAAACCTGAATATAAAGATGATGCAAAAAATTCAGAAGATTCAAAAATTCAAGATATTGAAAATAATGGGAATTATGATAAATTAAATAATGATATTGCTATGCAAGATTTTATTATAACTGATGATGAAGAAGAAGATGAAGAAGATAGTTCAAGTAGTGATTCAGGTAAGAATACAAATCAGAAATTTTAATTGATATAACATTGGAGGATCTTAATAGACAGTTTTATAGAGTTTTATAAATGATGCATTTTGAAACATGTACTTTACTATTGTAGTTTGATTTTGTGGACTTTATTAAAGCTCCAGATAAAAAATTCTCTGACAAAATTTTTCAATCATTTTCATTCTAATGTATCAAGATATATAATGAAAATAGTATGTTGAATTTCACCAAACACTCATGCCCATCATAACATGTAATAATCAATCGAAAATATATTAGAAATGATGAGAAATCTTTTACCTCGATTTGCAAATTATTGAAAAAAAATTGGAGTATCCTCCATAATTCATGAAACTTTAACAAAAGAACCGCTACACTGAATTTTTATTAAATTGATATAACCATGAATGATGGGACCCTTGAGCTTGTACCCTTAGTTTTGAATTTGGATCACTAACTTTGTTTTTAGAGGTTTTGAATTATTATTTTATGGACATCAGTCAATCTTTTTTGCATGAGATCTTGAAATTTGTATGAGAATCTATGAATGATAGTAATTATTATAAAAGACTGAAAAAGTTTTAACCATTTAAATGTCCATGGCAATGAACGCTAACATTAGTTTTATCAGTTCTATTACATATTACAATTTACAACTGATAAAACTAATGTTAGCGATAACTGCACAATTAGAGTAAAATGGATAAAAATTTTGATCATTCAATAGCCTATCATCAAAAAAGGAATTAGATCTCATCAAATTGATCTTGGTACTAGAACGATGTGCCATTATAAACTAGACTTTTATGATAGACTTTTTTTTATTAATAAAATTGACTCATCAAACTTCATTGTAATCTTACTGAGTTGACATTTGCATCAAATTCAACAGTTTTTTAAAAATCAATTCATGTTGATTATACACTTATTGATTGACTTATCTATTTAAGCTCCGATGGAAAGAGATGAGATCACAAAAATAAAGTTTTAATGAGATACATTTTGATGAAGCGTATGAACCTCAAGATAAAACCTATATCTCATTTCCTGCTCGAATCGAAAATTATTGGAGGACTGGTGTTACAGTATTAAGTTGTATTGATCTATTTGTTTGAATACAACATCAATAATCTAAATTATTAAGTAATATATGTAAAAAATGACTTCTTTAATAATAAGATCAATTAAGAAATGAAACAATGCGGCTTATTATTTTTTTTTAGTAATCAGTCCATCTCCAACGGAGAAAAAAAAAAAAAAATTATTGTTTGTTTTATACACAAAATTTTTCATTTTAAAAACTTTTTACAATTTCTTTTACTTCTTTCTTTTTTGGCAAAGTTTGCCCTTTCATAGATACTTAAAGCAAAACACAGTCACATTTAATCTCAACTATGGTTTTAGAAGCATCAAAAGCAACATCATATTTAAAAGATTATCCAAAAAAAGATGGTTTATCAATTAAAGAATTAATTGATTCAACTAATTTTGGTGGATTAACTTATAATGATTTTTTAATTTTACCTGGTCTTATTGATTTTCCAAGTACGAATGTTAAATTAGAAAGTAAATTAACCAAAAAGATTATATTAAATTCTCCATTTGTTTCAAGTCCTATGGATACTGTTACTGAAGAAAATATGGCTATTCATATGGCACTTTTAGGTGGAATTGGTATAATTCATCATAATTGTACTGCTGAAGAACAAGCAGAAATGGTTAAAAAAGTTAAAAAATATGAAAATGGTTTCATTAATGATCCAATTGTTATAAATCCTGATGTTACTGTTGGAGCTGTTAAAAGAATGAAGAAGGATTTAGGTTTTACTTCATTCCCAGTAACTGGTATGTTTTAATCTTTTAAAGAACTTTTATTGTCAAAAGCTTTTAACTGATGAACAACTCAATATTTAATAACTTTCGTTCTACCGAATTACATCAAACGATGTTGAGGAAACTTTTAATTTCCTGACTAAAAATGACAATGAATTTTAGCTATTTGAATTTCTTATACTAACAATAGTTATTTAGAAAATGGAAAAGTTGGAGGAAAATTAGTAGGTATAGTTACCGCAAGAGATGTACAATTTCATGAAAATAATGAAGATTCAGTATCAAAAGTAATGACTACTGAATTAGTTACCGGTAAGAAAGGAATAACTTTAACTGAAGGTAATGAAATATTAAGAAAATCAAAAAAAGGAAAATTACCAATTATTGATTCAGAGGGAAATTTAGTTTCTTTAATTTCATTAACTGATTTACAAAAAAATCAAAATTATCCAAATGCATCAAAATCTTTTGATTCAAAACAATTATTATGTGGTGCTGCTATTGGTACTATGGATGCAGATAAAGAAAGATTAGATAAATTAGTTGAAGCAGGTTTAGATGTTGTTGTAATCGATTCATCAAATGGTTCATCTACTTTTCAAATTAATATGCTTAAATGGATTAAAAATAAATATCCAGATTTACAAGTTATTGCAGGTAATGTAGTAACAAGAGAACAAGCAGCTTTATTAATTGAGGCTGGTGCAGATGCTTTAAGAATTGGTATGGGATCAGGTTCAATTTGTATTACTCAAGAAGTTATGGCATGTGGTAGACCTCAAGGTACTGCTGTTTATGGAGTTACTGAATTTGCTAATAAATTTGGTATTCCATGTATTGCTGATGGTGGTATAGGAAATATTGGTCATATATCAAAAGCTTTAGCTTTAGGTGCTTCATGTGTAATGATGGGTGGATTATTAGCTGGTACAGCAGAAACTCCAGGTGATTATTTTTATAGAGATGGTAAAAGATTAAAATCTTATAGAGGTATGGGATCAATAGATGCTATGCAACAAACAAGTAATAATGCTAATGCTTCAACTTCAAGATATTTTTCAGAATCTGATAAAGTATTTGTTGCTCAAGGTGTTAGTGGATCAGTTGTTGATAAAGGTTCAATTACAAAATTTATACCTTATTTATATAATGGTTTACAACATTCTTTACAAGATATAGGTATTCAATCATTAATTGAATTAAGACAAAAAGTTGATAATGGTGATGTTAGATTTGAATTTAGAACTGCTTCTGCTCAATTTGAAGGTGGAGTTCATGGATTACATTCATATGAAAAAACTTTACATAATTAATTCTTATCTAGCTTATAGATAGAGACTTCAAAATAGTAAACTAATACAGATTGATTTTTTTTAACTGCATTAAGATCGTTTAAAGCTCGTTTTACTCTTACGTCATGAAAATGTTTTTCTCTCGTTCGAATAACTAGTCTCTTTCATTTTTCTTATCACCAATCTATACAACGTTAATCAATCAATGTCAAAACACCTAGATGATGATCTAACGCAAAGCAGACTACTGCGATACCACAAACTCGAACCAGATGTAAAAACTTATTTATTCAATCTACTATCAACACATAATCCAAACTTGCTTCCAAAATACTCAACAACAGACGTTCCATATACAAAATTAGACCTACTAGATTTATTACATGATGGAGAAATACTTTGTAAATTAGGACAACTTCTAACCAATATACCCAGCAATCCAACAACAAAATACAAATCATCATCAATGCCATTTATCCAAATGGAAAATATAAATAATTTTTTATTATTATGTAAAATTATAAAAGTACCAGAAGATGAAATTTTTCAAACTATTGATTTATTTGAAAAAAAAGATCCTTATTCTATTTGTATTTGTTTAATGTCATTTTCAAGAATTGTTAATAATTTGGAACCTCAAGTGTTTAATGAAGTTATTGGACCTAAAAAGGTTAAAATTAAACCTGTTGTTCCTAATAAACCGAGAAATTTAAAAGGTTAAGGCTAAGTTTCGACTAAACAAATGGAAAATTACACGTTGAGTACGTATATATAGGAGGAGTTCAAGTCATTCATCTTCCTGGTAAACTAGAGGTATCAAGTTGTTTTTGAAAGTAAGAACACTTGATTTTCATTTTGACTTTCAATGCTGGAAGTGCAATGAATATCAAACTTGGTTTAAGGTCATAATTCAAGTAGATAATCCTGAGAACTGATAGATGTAGTTTAAAGATAACTATCAATCGATATTTGCTTATGCTTTTAGAGTGTTGATATATTCTATATATTTGATAAAGTTTTATATACAGGTTTAATTCTGATTACGTCTAACTAAATTTAATTTTATTTTTTTATTCTCATCTCTTCTCTTCTTGATTTATTATACAACTTGAAAATCAATACCAAATAAAATATCATTCATTAGGATTAATCATATTTTAATAATAGAGCATAGCATCCAGGGAATATCCAATTGTATTGACAAATAACTTGAAAAAGAGAGGGTAAAAAAGCGAAACTTGACTCACATTCATTTGCATAATTTAATTTATTTAATAACTACATTCATTTCATTCAATATATTTAATTTATAGATATTCATAGAAACAATTCAATAAAATGTCAGACGAAGTTATATGGCAAGTAATAAATAATCAATTCTGTGCATTTAAAATTAAAACAGATAAAAATCAAAATTTTTGTCGAAATGAATATAATGTAACAGGTTTATGTTCAAGACAATCATGTCCATTAGCAAATGCAAGATATGCAACTATAAAAAATGTTGATGGAAAATTGTATCTATATATGAAAACTGCAGAAAGAGCTCATATGCCAAATCGATGGTGGGAAAGAATAAAATTATCAAAAAATTATAATAAAGCTTTAAAACAAGTTGATCATCATTTAATGTATTGGCAAAAATTTTTAATACATAAATGTAAACAAAGATTAACAAGATTAACTCAAGTAGCAATAACAGAAAGAAGATTAGCATTAAATGATGAAGAAAGAACAATGGTTGGAATAGCCCCCAAAATAAAAAGAAGAGAAGAAAATAGAGAAAGAAAAGCATTAGCTGCAGCAAAAATTGAAAAAGCTATAGAAAAAGAATTATTAGAAAGATTAAAAAGTGGAGCATATGGTGATAAACCATTAAATGTTGATGAAAATATTTGGAAAAAAGTTTTAGGAAAAGTTGATGAAGTTGAACAAGAAGAAGAATTTGATGATGAAGAAGATTTTGAATTAGAAAGTGGTGATGAAGAAGAAGATGAAGAAGATATGGGACAAGTTGAATATGTTGAAGATTCTGGGGATGATGAAATTGTAGATATGGAAGATTTAGAAAAATGGTTAGATGATTCAAGTGATAATGAAGAAAGTGGGGATGAAAGTGATGATGATGATGATGAAAGTGATGACGATGAAGACGAAAATGAAGATGGAGTATCAAGAAAGAGAAAAGCAGAAGATAGTAAATCTAAACAAAAGAAAAAGAGAAAACCAAGAGTGGAGATTGAATATGAAGAAGAACCATTACAAACAAATATAGCCATATAGATAATGCATGCATAATGTTAGTTATGTCAAATCTATAATTAAGTCCAGTGATCACTTATGGTCACTCTATTTTACAAAATCTTTCTTCATTTGTGAAATCGTTATATTGCGATTACAAGCTTCAATTTTGTTCGTATATTTCAACTAACTAATCGAGTTCGTTCTGATACTCATTGTCAGCTCATAGGGCACTATTACAGGGAGTTCACGACGTATTGCTATATTGCTATTGCTATAGCAATACGCGATTTTGATAAGAATAAACGGAATTATCATCATGAAGTGGTTTCTTATATGAATTGAAGTGGTTATCTATAACCATTATGTAAATTGAAATGAAAATCCATTATTACTGTCCGATCCTAATTCGCGGTCATAAATATAGCCGTAAAGTGATTAGTTCTTATCATAAAAGTGATTCAACTAAACGTCTTGCTTTTAATACATTATTTATTTGTTTTTTCCAGTTTTTTCTAAGCCTGGATGGTTCAGCCCTTTATGAAATACTTTTTTGTATCTTGTTGAATTTAAGATGGTGTATATTTATCTAAATTTAGATCCATAATAAAGTTTTGTGATATGAAGTTTAGATTTGAGATCTTAATTCCGCACACGTAAGGCATTCTTTTAACTCCTGCTACAAAATTAATCCTCGAGTCGTAAAATCAAAATTATTAGATGATGATTAAGCCATGAAAAACGCAAGATGAATCGTGTGGGTTTGTTTATTGAATAAAACCGTTAGGATTTAATATAACTTGTATGCTGAACAACTCGTACAAAACTTACGCGATTAAAATCGAATTATATAACCAGATAAATCCATACAACTACGGAGTTTGTAACGACTAGATAAAAATTACGAAAACTACACGTTTCTGATAAGTTAAGTGTGGGATATAGCATAGCCTCATGTGATTGAAGAGTGATTAATTCAGCGTTCTAATGGATTTAGTTTATAAGTTTAAAATAGTTTAAAATCGCTATTCAAGTCAAAGATTAAAAGGAGCGGATGTAAACCTTTGTTAAAAGATATAATAAAACGTCTTTTTTCTACCCGTTAAAATCGCTTTTGTAACATTTATAATACAAATCGGATTGAACCAATTATTTTTTCAATCACATATGAAACACGATTTATTGAAGTAACAAATGCATTGTAGTAGTTAACGAAGCAATATCTAGCCTTTCTAGTCTAATTAATCCTGTGCTCACCAGGTCTTCAAAGGGTTCAGATGTATTGTGGAAATAATCATATGTCAGTTGCGTTTAACAATTTCCGATCTTTTTCAAAATTAATAATTGATGCATAAAACAGATCTAAAATTATTTAAAAGCCGCTTAAACACTGAAACTTCAAACAACGGAATTATTTTTCATTTGTTTCATCTTCTAAATTTGTAACAAGTTAAGAGACTAACTGGAATATCAGAACAACATAAGCCCTTATCTCTTTGTAGTAAAGTAGAGGTAGTAAGGTATCTTCGTAGTTTGTTTATAGCTTCAATTTTTTTTTAAGTTTCATTTTAGCAAAATAACAATAGGTTTATAATTTTAATACATTATACATTTAATATCACAATACCAATTAATTTTAAATTTTATTTACTAAATTTTGTAAAATTTTCAAATTATAATGTTCCTGTAAATCTATTTAAACCATTCCATTCCCCGTTTATCATTCTAACAGCATTTCAATCTTTCATTTAATTATCATAATTCTTATACATATTCATTAGCCAAAATCAATCTTTCAAAATTTAGCTTCCACTACATCTAAAATCATCTCACATAAAGATCAAAATATCAGAACTATCCGAAAAGTAACATTCAATTAATTTATAATAAAAATCTATTATGGAAGGACTTGCTTCAATAACTTCTTGGTCACCAAGTACAACTCCTACATCAACCACCCTTAGTTCCATATCAACAGCAGCTGCTTCAGCTTTAGAATATCTGTTATCACAAGCTTTTCACACATTATCAGTAAAAGGATCTACAATTAATAATGAAGATTATGTTTCTGCTTCAAGAGTTATAAGAGGTGCACAGGCTTCATTAAGTATAATACTGGCAGAAAATTTAATTGCAACTGCAACTAATGAACAAATAAAATCTCAAGCAACTGAAATTATATGGAAACTGACTGAAAATTTATTAGCATTATCAAGAGATGAAAATGTTTATGATATTGATAGATTAAGTAGACCTGCAAATATTATATTTCTAGTTGTGTTTGCTATACAATTTGCATTTTATCTAATAGTTTGTTATAAATCAAGATATTGGTGGTTTAATATCGCATTTGTTTGTGGTACAGCATTAGAATTCTTGGGATATTTAGGAAGAGTTTTAAGTTTTGGAGATATGACTGATTTTAATTTTTATTTATTACAATTAATATCGTTAACCATTAGTCCAGCATTCCTCATGGGTGGTATATATTATCTTTTTGCTTTATTATGTGTTATTATGGGAAGACAATATAGTTTATTAAGACCTTTGGTTTATTCATATATTTTTATGGCTTGTGATATTATAAGTTTAGTAATACAAGCTGTAGGAGGAGGTATTGCTGCAGTAGCTGCTCAAAATTATGAAGATGCTGATCCAGGAACTGCTGTTATGACAACAGGTATTGCATTTCAAGTATTTTCAATGTCTATATATCTTATTTTATGGTTTTTATTTTTATGGAATATTTATTTCAAATCTGCGAGAAATATAGACGAGAAGTACAGATTCGCACCAAGTTTCAAAAATTTCTTTAAATTATTGTTTAATACAAAAGAAGCTCAAATATATAGAGAAAAATTTTTGGAACCATCTTATAATCCAAAATATAAAGAAATTAGACAAAGAAAATTATATAATTATTTTCCATTAGCTATTACATTATCTGTTAGTTTCATATATGTTAGATCAATTTATAGAATTGTTGAATTAGCGGAAGGATTTGATGGATATTTAATAACTCATGAAGTTTATATTATGATATTAGATGCATTAATGTGTTTTCTTGCATGTTTAATCTTGATGCCTTTCCATCCTGTTTTTGCATTAGGTTCAAATAATATTATAAGATTAAAAAATATAAAAAATAATGATGATGAAAAACAAATTATTGAAGAACAAAAATTAAATGAAAATAATGAAAAATTTGAAAATGAAAAAGATATAAATGATGAAACTTTTTGTAATACTCCCACTCATTCTGAAGAAAATATGTTGAAGATGAATAACGCTGGAAATGTTATCAAAGAATGATACCATAAATAGCAGTTAAAGTTCGTAAAGTTTAATTTAAAATATATGGAATCAAAATTTTACGAGTTTATTACTACTACTCTTGTTATTTTTTATTCTCTTACAAAGCTTAATTCTTATCAAAATCATATTATTATTTACGTAATTACTTTTTCTTCTTGTAACCAAGTACGGAGAGTGACTGGGAGATAAAACAATCTCTTTATGTTAATACTGCTCCATTGATTTCATCCCATTCGATTCCTTTTTTATATTTTTGGCAAATTTTTCGGTGCTTGAGTTTTCGGGGTTAGTTGAATTCACTAGTCAATAATATAAGTGTAATAAAGGTTCTTGAATTGTCTCAATGTTTCAAAAAATATGTAATACCTCGTTATGTTTATGACATGAGTTTGAATGCTGCTATGTGTCTTACTGATTGAGGTTTATGAACCATTTTACTAAATGGGTTCAGATTACTCAATGATTTTACTAATGATGAATTATAGAAATGATGATATAAATTATCCAAATCAAGCTAAATTTTGAGGTTGATAATGCGAAATCAGCTAACTCTAATGAAAAATCAAATTTGGTTGCTCAACAGACTACTGAGATTGATAGTATTAAAAAGAAACTTAATTCAATTTGAGTATATTTCAATTTTCAACGACTTGAGTGAAAGCCAAACTTTTCACCAATTTTTTAAAGTAATCAAAAATAGCCATACCAATCTCAATCTTTCGATAAGTTCAAAAATCATATACAGTACTTAGCAAAATCTTTTATTCAACATAGTTACATAGTTTCACCATAGCCGCATACATTAGTGAATGGATATAAGTATACATCAAATTATTCTCTACGTGAATGCGGAGTTAGTGGTATTAAAAACTATTTTTAGAAGCAAAGAAAGTTTCTTAACCTCGACTTAGTTGTTATTGATCAAAAATACTAAAAATCTAAACAAGAATAAAATCTGATGTCCTACGACAAAAGTTGTGGAACTATAAAAGACTGACTTATAAAGCCGTCTAAAAATTCATTTCGTATATAGCCTGGTTTCAGTAAATCCATTTTTGGTACAAACAATGAGTGATTCTACCGAATTTTTGATCCAATGGTCTTATAATGAATTTCAGCTAGTGAAAGGCTGAGTGTTTCAAATAAAAAATCGAGTGTTGCACAAAAACGTTTTGCAACATACCCCTTAAATATATTCCAAAAATACTTTTTCATTCAATAATCTACATCACCATTAGATTTATAGCTATTATTTCTCCTAATTTAGTTCAAAGTATCTAAAAGGCACTTGTGATTATATATTTAGATGAAAATTACTTGAATTTGAAATTACTTCTGAAAAATTTTTCAGCAACTACGAAACGTTCATTAGACTAACCAAATAAAATAAATATGGATATTTCAACTACCTGGACTCCAAGTTCATATCCTTCAGCTACGACTTTGTCGAGTATCGCAACAACTAATGCACCCAAATTAATTGCAACAGTATCATCAATTATGAATAAAGCTAATACAGAAACCGATATTTATAATTTGAAAAATCTCCAACAAATTTATAGAGGTGCTCAAGCTTCATTAACAATCATCTCAGCAGAAGAAATTTTAGCTACCGCTACTGAAGCAACAATTCAAAGTTCAGCTACTCAAGCCATATTTGATGCTACATTAAATTTAAAGGCGCTAGAATGGGATCAAAACATCTATGGATATTATTTAAATAAACCTGCAAATATTGTATTTTTAAGTGTGTTTTCAATACTCATGTTATATTTCTGTTTAATGATAATAAGATCAAGATATTGGGCATTTAATGTTACATTCTGCTGTGGTTATGCATTACAATTTATTGGATTTTTGGGTAGAGTATTATCATTTTCAAATTATTCATCATTACCCTATTTTTTAATGAATAATGTATGTTTAACTATTCTGTCAGCTTTTATAATGGCAGGAATATATTTTATATTTGGTCAAATGGTTATTATACATGATAGAAAGTTTTCAATTTTACCTCCTTTATTTTATTCATATTTTTTTATAACAATTGATATTTTATCAATTTTAATTCAAGCTACTGGCGGTGCTGTTGCAAGTATGAATGCAAATAATCATTCAAACTCTAAAGTAGGAGATAATATAATGATTGGTGGTATAGTTTGTCAAATTGCAGCAATGACTTTATTTATTATTTTTTGGTTGGAATTTATCAATAGGTTGTATTTCAAGAAGTTTAATAATGAACCATCAACAATTACGGAGAAATATTCGTTGAGGAAAAGATCAATTCTGAATTTTTTTAAATTATTGTTTAATGTCAAATCAGTGAAAACTTATAAACTGGTATATTTAGAAAGTTTATACAATTCAAAATATGCAACAATTCGTTCACATACATTATTTCCATATATGCCATTAGCTATGACTGTTGCTGTAATTGTTATTTATATCAGATGTGTTTATAGAGTGGTGGAATTAATTGAAGGTTATGGTGGTTATTTAATGACACATGAAATTTATTTATTAATCTTGGACGCAACAATGATAGCTATAGCTGGATTCATTTTTTTCCCATTTCATCCTGTTTGGGTTTTTGGTAAACAAAATTTAGTCAAATTAGCTTCAATTAGAAAAAAATTAGATAAAAATGAAATTGAAACATTCGACGACACAAACATTTTTAATGAAGACATTTTAGATCATGAAGAGAAGCAACGTAGAAGGGATTTGTTGTAATTTTATGAGAGTTTATTTTTGATTTTCCTTGGTTGATATTGTGCAAACTTTTTGTTTTTTGTTTATTTACTGCATATGATATATAAATTTGAAACACATATTTATAAGTTTGTTTTGCGTACTAAATATATTTTTCTTCACATCGTGCTCTAGATTTATCAACCATAAATTAATCTGATTTGTGATTCTCTACATTATTGTATTGAAAGTAAAAGCCATAAACTCATTTAATGTATTGTACTTATCTATTATCTATATTTAGAAATATTTGATTCGTATTTTAATGTCTAATAACAAATTTTGACATTGACAGATTTTTCATTTGTGTCAACTTTTTGATTTAAAGATCTACAATATTTTGAAAAATCTTTAAGTCTTACAACTTTCTGAAATTATTACAATATTAGGAATCTTGAACTCATATTTACCTGAAGTAGCTAACTTCAATCCTCGACACGCTTACCACGAGTTACCGTATTCAAGCAGATATCTTAAACGGAGATAAAAATTTCTTGGAATGATTTACAAGAGAATTGACTTGCTCTTTCTTTCTTGAATTTATAAACCAGTTTAAGCAAACTTATTGTAAGATAAAGCCGTAAAAATTAAAAGATTTGCAATTCCTAATGACAAGAAAAACGAACCCCAGTTTTGCTTTTTCTTTCACTCTTTCATTCAAATAATAATCCGTTGTACCTGTATTTTATAAAATCCAATGATGCTCAATATTTGGTTCAAAAAAAGGTGATGTCACTATTCAAAATATCAACCCATTCGTTTAATTATAGCATTTATCAAAGACATTGTGGTAGTCTACTATGTTAAATGATTCTATACGTTAATCAAATTGAAATAAATGCTAAAGATTAGCAATTCAATTGCACCGAGTGTTGCAGTTGAGCCGTTCATCTATTAGTAAATCCTCTAATAATCGTGTCAAATTTTTTTTGAATATAGACTTGTTGATAATCATTGATGGATAGAATAGGAAGGCTGAGCTCGTACGTCGTACCTATATACTTGATTAATATTGACTTTAACACTAACTACATCAAATCAAAATTGTGTACGTTCTTTTTGACAATTACTTTTTATCTAATTTTTATTCCATCTTACAGAACAATAGAAACAATAATAAAAGTTAGCCTAAGATAAAAATGATCTAATAAATTAAGTATCTACGAAGTTATAAACTCATGTTAATTTCCAATCTTGAAAGAACTTTCCATTTCCAATAACTCATCTTCCATTCACACCTACGTATATATCCTTTGTCAGTTTCAACATCATATCCTTTATAGCAACTTTGCATTCACATCGTTCATTTTTAAGTTCACATTTCATTTATACTTTTTTTGATTTATGTTAAGCAATTATTGATTGAATTCATCAAAGACCATATATTATATTATAATTTGCTTGAGATCGATTTTCGAGTTTAAGTAATTATCAAATTTATTCATTATGCAAATTACGCAAACCTGGTCACCATCATCAATAGCTACTTCCACAACTTTATCAAGTATTGCTACGACCCATGCATCAAAATTGGAGCATACTATCTCCTCAGTAATTGAGCGTGCTAAAACAGAGACTAATTACATTGTATTACGTTCATTATCGCAAGCTTATAGGGGAGCACAAGCTTCATTAACAATTATATCAGCTGAGGAAGTATTATCAACTGCTACAGTATCTTCAATACAAAGTATTGCAACTCAAGCAATATTTGAAGCTACTTTAAATTTAAAAGATTTAGCAGATGAAGAAAATATATTTGGATATGATTTAAATAGACCTGGAAATATAATATATCTTATAGTTTATGCCATTATAATGGTGTATACTGGAGGAATGGTTATATGGTCAAGATATTGGTGGTACAATATAACTTTCTTCTGTGGATATGCATTAGAATTCATTGGATTTTTAGGAAGAGTATTAGCTTTTTCAAATACGAAATATATGCCATATTTTTTAATGAGTACAGTTTGCTTAACAATTTCTCCAGCTTTTATCATGGCTGCTATTTATTTTCTTTTTGGTCAATTGGTTATTATTCATGATAGGAAATTCTCAGTTTTACCTCCATTATTTTATTCCTATTTTTTCATTACTATTGATGTCTTGTCATTATTAATTCAAGCTGGTGGTGGAGGTGCTGCAAGTGTTGCTTCTTCAAATCATACTGATCAAAAACCAGGGACTAATACAATGATTGCTGGTATTGCACTTCAAGTTTTTGCCATGACTATATTTGTGGGGTTCTGGTTTGAATTTTTAAATAGATTGTATTTCAAAAAAATGGAAAATGAATCCGATGATGCAATCGAAAAACATCCATTGAGAAAAAGATCGTTTTCAAATTTTTTTAAATTATTATTGAATGTTAAATCAGTAAGAGAATATAAATCTACTTACTTGGAACAGTTTTATAACAAAAGATTTGAATCTGTCCGTCAACATAAGTTATTTCCATACATGCCATTAGCTATGACTGTTGCGGTTATTGTTATTTATATTAGATGTGTCTATAGAGTTGTTGAATTGGCTGAAGGTTTTGGAGGATACTTAATGAATCATGAAGTTTTTTTACTAGTTTTAGATGCTGCTATGATAGCCATTGCAGGGTTTATATTCTTTCCATTCCATCCAGTATGGGTATTTGGTAAAAAGAATCTTGTTAAATTGGCTACAATTAGGAAAAGAATGGATGTTCATTCAGAGGATAGTGATGAGACTAAAGAAGAACTTGAAATGTGCGGAGAAACCCTTAATGATGAAGCTGTGGAGAAATCTCCTAACCCGGAAAGAAATGCTTTATAATTGAGCTTTATAGAGTTTATATAATTTATTAGACACTTTAATTTAAAAATGTTTGAAATTTGGCTGCAAAATTAAAATTATTTTCGCACCAAATAATATCAAGCTTAACATTATTTTTTTCAACTTTTTTGTAATTACAGGCTATTGCAATCAAACTCAACTACGTCTTTTTGCTAAGAAGAACCAAAAACTGAAATCATAAAGGTATAATTTCATTTTTTTTGCTACATGAGTTACGTAGTTGACTCGCTATTTTCAAATGATTTGCAACACACTAAAGACACATGTGAAACATCATCTACTTCATCAAATATAGAAATGAATAACCTTCTATCTCAATTACCTTATTTCCCTTCGGATGAAACAGATCCACTTTTCCAATTTTCAAATGATGAATTAATATCTGATAAATTTCCTATAACAAAGTATCCATTTGATGGATTTATAAATTTCCATTCTTTAAAAATATGTAGTTCTAATGCTAGACAAATGTCAAAATATTTTCAGTTGTCAATGGGATTTAAAGAAATCGCTTATAAGGGCTTAGAGAATGGATCAAGATTAGTTGCGTCACATGTTATATCTAATGGTAATATATTTTTGGAAATTGTCAATACATTAGAAACAATTAAAGAAGATCAAAATTTATTAAATTTTCCTTATTCATTGAAAGATTTAAAAGAATTTGAAAATTTTGATAATAAATTCAAAACATATTTAGAAGAATTTAAAATCACAGCTGAAGATTTGTTGTGGGATTTTATTAATAACAAAACTGATAATTTAAGTTCGAATCCTATAAACTGTTTAAAATTTAGTCGATGTATATATGAAACTATTCTAAAAAATGAAAATTATAAATATACAACAAATGAATTGAAATCTTACATATTGAATGTTTTAAATAATTCAGAAATAATATATAATGATATAATGGAATGTATATTGATTCAAAATTTTCTAAAAAATCACGCCGAGGGAGTAATGGATATGGCATTAAATGTTAATAATGTGGAGAAAATTTTCTACAAATCTATTCAATCAGGTGCTGGTATAATAAGACCATTGAAAATAATAAGTGATCATAATGGTTCAATAAAGACTGCGACAATAACTGTACCAAATTCAGACATTCAACATACTTTGATTGAAAATATAAATTATTCAGGACCTTTTAAACCAGGTTATTCTGATCCCTTGAATAATATGTTTGAATATGATAACCAATTGAACAAGTTACCTAAAATTCAATTAACATCAATTGATCATTGTGTTGAAAATTATTCATGGAACCAAATGATTGATCAAGCCAAAATTTATGCGGATATGTTTGGCTTCCACAAATATTGGTCAGTTGATGAAATGGATGTAAGTACAGGTTTCACTGCTTTAAGATCAATTGTAATGAGTTCTAGTAATGGTCAAATTAAAATCCCAATAAATGAACCAGTTAAATCTAAATATAGAGGTCAAATTGAAGAGTTTAATGATTTTTATGGTGGACCAGGTATACAACATATTGCACTACGTACAAATAATATAATAAGAACAGTAAAATCAATGATTGAAAGAGGTATTGAATTTAATCATGCAAGCGAAAATTATTATATAAATTTAAAGAAAAGATTAGATGAACATGAAATCAAGTTGTATGAAGATTACGAAGAAATAAAAAAATTAAATATTTTAATTGATTTTGATCCAAATACAATAAATAAAAAATCCAAAAAATGTAATTATATTTTACAAATTTTTTCAAAACCATTACATGATAGACCAACTTTATTTATAGAAATTATTCAAAGACATCATCATAATGGATTTGGAAAGGGAACTTTTAAGGGATTATTTGAAACTATTGAAGAACAACAAAAATTAAGAAGAACTTTTTATGAAGTAGATTAATGATAAAAATTTGAAACATGTGTACTGCACATAATAATATTTTCATGCATTGTAGATAATCTGAAACAAACTCTAATTTTGTAACTTTGGGCTCATAATCTTGTGGGGCTAATTCTTTTTCTTTAGAAGTTTCGCGCAAGGTTTTAACATATACTCATTTCGTCCATATTTAAGTATCACTAATCAATCAATAAGGGTTACAATAAAATGTATGCTATTTAATTAACTTATACACAACATTATAAGACCAAAATAAGTATCAAATGAATTAAACTATAAAGTTTTTGGAACACTGAAAGGTGTACTTTGCAGTGACGTATCGTTAATCTCGTCATCTTTAAGACTTGAGGATTGTAATGATCTTTCAAAATAATCCTCACGATTATTCATTGAAGTAGGATATTCAGGATTTGAACAATCTTCTTCTTCTTCAATATCATTTTTAGCATAATTTGTATTTGATGCTTCAAGTAAAACATTAAAATTTCCTTCTTCATTTCTATATTTTGAAACTCTTTCAGCTTCTAAATCATCTTCACTTTTCAATTTATGACCTTCAGCTAAAAAATATTCTTTAATATTTCGAACAAACAATGGAGTTAAAATATCGTCAACACCTTCATTTCTCGCAATTTCATAAGCTCTATCAAATGGAATCCAAACACCTTTCAAATTCATTGATCCAACTTTTACAACATTTTTAACTTTTTCTGTTTTTAAAATCCCATCTCTTTTACCTCTAGTCATACCAACAACGTTTAATAATTTTGTACAATTAATATAATTATTATCTTCCCTTCGAGAAACTAATATATTTTTTGCACGTACTTGATAACAATTTGTATTTTCATCATCCCATCTAGTTGTTGCAACTTTTGGTCTCACTATATTCTCTGGAAATTCATTTTGAGGAATCGTACTACTAATTGATGTTGCTCTAGATGAATGAGGATCTTTATTTGAAAATGTAGAAGAATGCCTTGACTTGTTCGTCATGGTTGATGTCACCAGCGAATTTCGTAATGAGGATTGAGCTTTATGTAATGACTGTTGTTGAGGTTGTAGATGTTGTCTTTGAGCTGAATAAGCTTGATATGATGAAGGCATTGTTGGAGTTGAGTAAGACAGATATTGAGATGTAGTCGATTGAGGATACAACATCGGGTTTGGATTTCCAAATGCTTGTGTCAACATAACTTGCTGCTGCTGTACCTGATTCAGAGAATCTTGTGGCTGAAGTTGATCATTACTACCGTCTGATTTTTCATTCTGAGAATATTCCTGACTCTTTTGAGGTAGGTAATTTTGATTTGCCGTTTTAGAAGCCAGATAAATAGATTGCTGAGGTTGAGTTTTACCATAATTGTACATTTCTTGAGCTTGTGGTTGTTGTTGATGTGAATAATATGCATTCTGTTGGGAATATGTTTGAGGATAAGATTGAGTTTGATGAGAAGGTTGTTGTAAAGATTGTTGCTGATGCTGAGTTTGTTTTGCTCGAAACGATTGCATGTCGGAAGTCAAATTTGAGTTGCCTTGAAGTGTGGGACTGATGTTGTAATTTTGATAATCATTTAATCCATTGCTAGTACCAATAGAAGAAGCATTGTTGGAAAATTCGTTGTTGCTGACTACTGGATAACCAGGTTGCAAACCATAATAATTGGGGTATTCCATCGAGTAATTTTTTTGATTTTTATTTGAATTTTGAACGGTGGGGAAAATATTTAATCCTTCAAAACCAGAACTTTGCAATTGTTTATTTGATTGTGGTTTTTGTATTGATGGGGTTTGAAGTGGTTGTTGAAAGTGTTGATTTAATGTTGGTTGAGGCTGCTCCAAGTTATCTTGTTTCTCCTGTGTTTGTAATTGTTCCTTGGATGCTACACCCATATGATCGGAACTCGTTACTCCTACAAGATCTTGACCATAAAAACTGGCATTTGAAGGTGTGGTCATAACTTTATTCATTTATTATATAAAAGTTAACTCTGTTACAAAAAAATTTAGGCAATGTTTTTTGTTTTAAAAAAATTGTTAAGCGGCTAACTAGGGTATTGTTTATGTGGATTATGACAGATTTGAGTGAGGAATCTCTAATTTGTAAAAATTTTGATGATTTGAATAATACTGAATATAAGGAAAGTCTAGGCTGAAGCTAATAGTGTTGAATTAATCACGACTTCCAACTCTCGATATTGAATTTGCAAAACTTGGAGTTAATGATATTTCTTAAATTTGTATCAATAATACGACTTAATATTGATTTGGAATGAGGAACTGAAACAAATGTTGAGGTTTTGATATTGTACTTTGAGATTTAATCAAATCTTGAATTTTGTTTTTATATAATCAAATAAATATTGACAATCTATGCTTAATAATAATCAATCTTTAAATTGAAATTGCAAAACTACCACAAAATCATCGCATTTCTTTTTCAGAAAAGTAAGGAAATAATAATACTAACTGAGATTGATTTTTATAAAATATAATAATTTATTTTAATTAGTAAAATTCATCTAAATTATTAATTTACTTTATCAAAAATAAAATTGATTTAGTAAAAAAGAAACATTTTGATCCATTTTTCAAGGTCATACGACCAGTATGAAACTAGAATTAAAATCACTGAAGTATTTCTTTTGACAATAAACTTAGTCTAAAACATTCTCATAAAAGTTCCATGGGTAAATCCCTTCATTAAACAGACCCCGATTGTGATTGATAAATTATTTTCCCATTAAATATCTCTTGGTAAAAAATTATTTTATCAAAACTGTCAACAAAATTTGCAAAGTAATCGCTGTTCCAACGCATTTTCCGATAAAATTGTTTCTAGTCTTTCAAAATTCAAAATATTTCAATACTAATTGCCGTGACTTGTTGATAATGAAAGAAGGTAACCGAATAAATCTGTTAGGGGATCATTTCAATTTTCTATCTCAATCAGTGAGATTATGTAAAGTTTGACATCAGTGCAAAAGAAACTATCAAATTTAAATCATTTGTCATTGAAAATTAGCTTCTTTCACTGAGTTTTTCAAAATTTAAGGATAATCAGATCAAAAGTAAGGAGTTTCAGGATTCTGGAATGAGCTAATACTACCCTATCAAATTGACTGAGTCTTTAATTTCCGTTGGTAATATTATCAAGCTGTTGAACTAAAATCTAAGATCAAATAATTGTCTCACATAAAGTAGCATAAATTTGCATCAACTTACATCAATATTTGTTTATCATTTAAAGAATAATTCTTCACTTATAGCTTACTAAAGGCATACACGGCATAATGTGAGAATATCATTACCCGCTTTGTATGGCCGTGATTTTAGCAAACAAGTGTTCCAGACAAGAAGGTCTTAATGGCTGATGAACCAATTTTTAAGGCTAGATTCTCACATTCGAACTCCTAAATAGCAGGGAACTTCTAAATAGTAACAATGATTTACTTTAACCCTATATTCAATATGAATGCATCTTTAAGCCCTGTGAAGGAAGTAACAAGAAATGTCAAACTTTTACGAGTTCCTTATGTCAAATGAACCCACATATAGTTACTTTTATAAATAATCAGTCTTGGTATAACTTTGATGTATTTGAGGCTAAATAATGTTTGATGGTACAATTGCAAACTCACATAACAAAAAAGCAAAAATGAATAAAATCTGAGTGTTACGAAGACCATTCTAAATCTGACTGGATTCTGCTTGATCATATTTGACATCTTCATGTTAGATTTGAATCTCTGTTTTATATCTTGCAGTATTTAAATGATAAATCTATGCATCTACTTGATTGTTCATTTAATTGCATGGTGAAGTTGTATGGTCCATAGATCTGAGCTTGATGATCTTTCAATTCATTAATAATGTAAACCTAAAATACTGGAGTAGTAAATTTAAGTTTTTGGACTACCAATTGGTTAGAAAATGTAGACGAAAATTGTATGATCCTAAGCATATATTGTGACAAACAAAATTATGTTCTACACGTCTTTGTCTATTATACTGCTTATTTTGTTTATGGACCCATTGATTCTTGAACTGCTGAAAGTCATGTTTGTTTTCAATCATTCAACACTTTCTATGTTCATTTCAATATCAACAGAAAAAGCCGCCTTAGATCTACTTAACTTTGTAACATAAAAAAAAAAAAAGAAAAAATTAAAATCTGAACCATTAACCATTCCATAATTCAAACTTCAGAGCTTTTAATAACTACAGAGCCTTATATTGGTTTAAATTTTCATTCTTCCTTTCATTCAGGCAAAACTCATGTTTGCTTAATACTTGAAGAATCATCTAATCTACATTCATTTTGCATCCTGAAGAACTATCTACATTCATTTTATATATCAGAGATAGATCAAATATAGTGACCAGTATTCATAGAGTTCATTTCACTAAACCATTATAGATCATCCTTGAAACAATCGCTTCATATCCGTCAAAGCTCCGTCTCGTAAAAAATTTTGAAATATCATAATGTCTACAACATCTTCAGCATCACAACCATTAATCCCATCAACTCGTTCAAAATCAATTTCAAATGATAGAAAACCACGACGAAGATCATTTTTAGACTTTGGAGGTTCAAATAGTTTAAATAATTTTGCATCATCATATGATCGAGCTCAAAAATATAGTGGGACGTCGTTTATGGAGGGATATGATGATGATCATAACAACGAAAATAATCATTATAATAATCAAGGACAATTTATGAATTTTGAATCATCTAGTTTATTACCTTCTGATAGACCAATTTCTCCATGTGATGAAGAATCATATATAGGAGATGAAGAAAATCAATTACCACAAGGTGAAAATAGAATACGGCATTTTCAATTTCCTGATCAGTCATTAAGAGATAGTAACGATTCAAATAAATCAAATAATGAAGAAGAAGAAGAAGAAGAAGAAGAAAATCATGATGATGAGTTTACTCCATTAATTCCAACTATTTCAAAAAATAGTATTTCATCATCATCAATTACAAAATCATTTATATTAAAAATTGGAAATTCAACATCACTTCAAACTATTTTTAATTCAATTAATACATTAGTTGGTATTGGAATGTTTTCATTACCATTTGGTTTTAAATTAAGTGGTTGGGTTATTGGTATATTTTTATTAATTAGTTCAGCATTAGTAACAAATATAACATCAAAATATTTAGGTAAAATTTTAAAATTACATCCAAATTTAATGACTTATGGAGATATATCTTTTAAATTTGGTGGTAAATTTTTTTCAATTTTAATTACTTTTTTTTTCATAATTGATTTATTTGGAGCTTCATTAAGTTTAATTATATTATTTAGTGATTGTTTTTTTATAATTTGGGAAAATTTAAAATTTTTAAAATTAATTTGTATTTTAATTATTTTTATAACAAGTTTTTTACCATTACATATATTATCAAGATTAAGTCTTTTTGGAATATTTAGTACAATTGGTATAATATCAATAATTATAATAAGTGGATTTATTATAAATGAATTTCCTGGTTCATTAATTAATTTTGCAGAAACTTCAATTTATCCAACTAATTTTAAAAATTTTTGTTTTAGTTTAGGTATATTTATGGCTCCATGGGGTGGTCATCCAGTATTTCCTGAATTATATCGTGATATGAAAAATCCAAAAAAATATAATAAAACAAGTAATATATCATTTTTTATAACTTTTATTTTAGATTTTACAATTGGAATTATTGGATATTTAATGTATGGAAATTTAGTTGATGATTCAATTATAAAAAATATAATGTCAAATTCAAATATGCCAAATTGGATTAATCAAATTTTATATTTATTATTAGGTATATTACCAATATCAAAATTACCATTAGTTACAAGACCTATTATTACAACTTATGAAAATTTATTGGGAATATCAATTCATCATCATCATCATCATCATCATCAAAAGCAAAACATTTTTAAATCAAAAAATAAAAAATTAATAAGAATAATAATGAGAATTTTATTTTGTATACTTTTATTATTAATTTCAATTTTATTTAAATCTTTTGGTAAATTAATTTCATTTTTAGGAAGTGCAATATGTTATACAGTTTGTTTAACATTACCATTATTATTTTATTTAAAATTAAATTATTCACAAATTGATAAATTTGAAAAAATTTTAATATATTTTGGTATAATTGTATCTATAATATTAAGTATACTAGGAACTTATGCTTCAATTACGGTTAGATTTTGAGAGTTGAAATAGATATATAAATTTAGACAATTGTAATATTACACTTAATTCATTTTAATCATTAATTTATTTCATTTTTTAAGTAAGTATATACTCTTATTAACTTTTTTTTTTTATTCTCTAAATTTTTCAAAAACCAATTGATTCCAAAACCGCATTAAACCCTTTCATAAATCATTTTCCCCATGAAAACCCATTGCAAAAACATTTGACAAAAAAAAAAAATCATTATGTACAAAATTCATCACCAATAAATCAAACCTTTAAGTTGTGGACTATTAACCAATTTATTAAGACGATTTTCTATTACGACTACCTCTTCTATCATTACCATAATCATTGTGATGATCACTAGTATATAAATCATAATTATTTTCAGTTCCATACATTCGTTCTTGTTGTTGAGTATTAGCTAAATATTGAGCCATTACTTGAGATCCGGAAGTAGTATATGGACTTTTACCAACGTATTGAGGTGATTGTAATGGCATTGGTATAATTTGAGGAGATTGTTGAACAACAGGTACATATCGGACTTGGTGTGATCCATCATTATTATTATTATTATTGTGATGATGATGTTGATGTTGTGGGTTTGGTGAGAAAAATTGTTGTTGTTGTGGATGTTGAACTGATTGTTGTATTGGTATTGCTATTGAAGATGGTTGACTTACAAACACTGGCTGACCATGAAGATTTGGATTTGGTGAAGGTTGATATATTTGATTTGATCTAAAACTACTAGTTGAACTTGTACGACTCAATTGTGGTAAGAAATAGACTGGTTGTGGTTGCATATATGGCGATGGTGGGATAGAAGATTGTGGATGATGATTGTGATTATGATTATGATGATGAGTAAATGAATCATTATATCTTGAAGAACTATTTATGGAAATATTTGATGAATTTCTTGAAAATTTTCTTTGAGAAAATGAAGTATCTTGATTATGATAAATTTTTTGATGTCTAATATGTGGTCTTTGTTGTTTACTTTTTTGATTTGATGGATTAATGTGACCATTTTGTTTACCAGTTGCAGTAGTATTATTAGTTGAAGTAGTTTCATCAGATCCAATAATGATTGAAACATCTTCGTCATCATCACTTTCATCTTCTTCTTCATCATCTTCATTTTCTTCTTCTTTTACAACTCCATTGATAATTGATTCTTGATTCAAATTTGATTTATTTTCAGATTTTGTTAATTCTGTGGTTTCATCATTTTTTTCCCCATTCAATTCATTCGATTTGATACTACTTTTTTCCATATCTTTGATTATTCCGAAAACCATGGCAGCTTCATCATTTATAAGAGCCTCATTATCATCCGCACGAGTAATTTCTTTTGCATCTTCTGGTTGACTTTTATTGTTATTGTTGTCATATTTGTTTCTATTTCTACCATGTTTTCTAACACTTGCATGTAATTGATCTTGATATTGTTGATAAGTTGAACCTTGACTACCACTTAATTTTTTTCTAAAAGAAAATTTTGGAGGATTTCCACAACGATCTTTTGCAAAACTAATTTTAAAAATTTTATATTTATTATAAAATGTTGTAGCTTTTTCCATATCATTATTAAATAATTTATTTAATCTGAATAAAGAATCTTTTTCTTCACAATTAAATGAATCAACTACTTTAATAGCTTCTGCTATATTTAAAAAATTTAAAAATGCACAATCTTTATTATGATAAAAATTTATTTGTTCTAATTCTCCAATTTTTGAGAAATCATTTCTTAATTCATCTTCATTTGGAATTATTGGTTTTGGTGAATCATTATCCCTATTAGTTTTAACACCAAGATAAACATTTCTTGATGCCCCTGCAGTGACTGCTAATGCAATATCTCTACTTAAAGGGCCACTATGTTGTTTAGCCCAACCAACGGTTACATCATATCCATGTACAACTAATTGATGTAATACTTGATGATTTGTATAAAATTTATAAGCGACAGCTGGATCAATAAATGTAATAAAACACATTTTCTTTTCAGGATAATAACATATGGATTCAACTAAACCTCCAGCTCTTACATTATTAGCAATTTCTTCGATAGTTGTATTAGGATGTAAATTACCCAAATAAATTGATCTATTACCATTATTTGATGACTGTTCAACGTTATAATTCATGTAAGGCATTGGTATTAATTGTGGTACAATTGGATGTATTTGACTAAATCTTGAACTTGAAGATAACATTGAATAACCTTCATCACTTATAGTAGAATTTTCAGAATCAAATTCATAACCATCAACGTCATTACCATCATTATTATTTAACAAATCATTTGAATCTTTCGAAGAAGTTGAGTTTGATAATTTTAATGAACTTTGATCAATTTTAGAAAAATCTAGTACGGTTCTATCACATCTATCTTTCCCAAATTTAATATTTCGATAAGTAATATCAAATTTTGAATTTACATCATTGATTTCTTTTGGAATAATTGAATTTTTTCTGGTTGAATCCTTTTTATTAATCAATTTTTCCAAATCATTTTGAATACGTCTTGAATAATTTTCATAGGCTCGTATTGATGATTCAATTGATGTAAAATGAACAAATATTTCTCCTTTGATGTAGTTTATTTTTTCTTCTTCTTCTTCTTCTTCGATTTGTAATTCTCCATTTTTTATTGAATCTGATTCAACCAATTCTTTTTCATCTTTCTCAATCAATTCACCTATAGTTTCCTTATTTTGTACCTCATTATTAAATTCAAGTTTAAATTCTTCAATATCACCAAATTTTTCACATTGTGCAACTAAAAATTGTTGAATTTGGTTAAATCTGTCATCAGTTGTAATATCATCAGGTAATAAATCTTTAAATCTAAATTCAACTTTCAAACATCTAGTGGCTTGATACTCTAAGATATAATTTAAAACTTTTAATTTGATATTGTCATCTTTAGTGGAATAATTATTAAATTTATTATTATCGATATATTCATTCATTGTGATTTCTAAATCTTCTGAATTCAAGGCTTTTCTTAATTTATTTAATTCTTCTGAATCTTCTCCATTAAATTTTGCTAAAAACAGTAATGAAACTTTAGAATTAACAAATGATATATAACAATTTTCATTATTATTATTTTCATTTTTATTAGGTACAAGTTTAATTAATTCAATAGGTCCAAATTCTATATGATTTAATAATTCATTTAATGAAATATTATTAGATAAATTTTTTAAAATTATAGTTCTAGAAGCTGTAATTTGATCAATTGTATTATTAACCCCTCCACCATTTATTGAACCGTTTGATTCATTCGATAATAATGAAGTATTTGAAGCTAATCTTGAAGATCTTCTTTCTGGAGCAAATTGATAACTATTATTTGACGATTTTCTAGATCTACCCATTCTCGGTGAGGAAGATTGCAGATATTGATGTTGATTCTGCTGCTGATGTTGTTGTTGTTGAATTTGATGAGAATTATTCATAGTAAAAAACTGTGTAGTTGGAGTAGGTGTGAAATATGATCCCATTATAAGATTTGTTTGATCTAATGGAGTTAATGGACCATGACGTTGTTGAGAAAGATAATTTTGTTGTTGATTGTGTTGATGATTATTTATAGTAAAAGGTTGAATTTGTAAAGGTGGAGGTAAATTTTCTATCGATCTTGTATGATTTCCATAATATATTTGTTGATACATTCTATTCTTTTATATTAAATTTTGTTCCCCTTAGAATACCCTTATTCTTTCTTACTTCAACTAAGGTGGGTGCTATTTTTGAATGATAATTGTTTGGACTTCTTATAAAACCAAATAGTGAGAGTTTGTAAAACTAACGATTGAATTGTATCTAACTTGAAGTGGTGTATGATACCTGTTTTTTTTTTTCAACAACTACTTTATACTAATGTGTAACTTTATCCCAATAATAAACGATAGTGATAGTAAATTCAGAAATGAAGTTGAGAATTCCTTAAACGAAAGTGATTCCAGATAGCAGTGGGTAGAAGTTGTTATGGTTGATGGTATGAATTGGTAAAATAAAGGTTGATAACAAATATTTTGTAAATGAATGATATTAATAAAAAAGTTGAATATAAATTTCTAATAATAATTCAAAAAAATATTATTGTAAATGATAAAAAAAATAAAAAATATAACAAAATAACAAACTATGATAATAAATATTTTGAAAGTAATTAATGAAGTAGTAGTAGTTAATTATATGACTTTTTGGTGTAAATAAATTGAAATTTATTTTGGTGTATGTTAGTGTTAAAATTAATATATATATTTTAAGTAAGTGAATGTGTGTGTGTGTGTGTGTGTGTGCGAGTGTTAAAATTTATTAGTGAGTAGTGTAATTTGACTCAATTTTAATTTTTTTTATTTTTCGAGGAAGGAAATTTAAATTTTTGTTTCAGTTTAGTTTTTTTTTTCAATATCACAATAATAAAATGTTACCTTACTTACTTTTATAATTAAAACAATAGACTAGTGATAGAAATAGGATATCAAGTACTTGATTGCTTTTGTTATTTTGTTATAACAAAGGTATTATCAATTTAAGGAAATTTATTTTTTACTTTGAATATTCCAATTACTGTTCGATATTTTTGAAATTTCCAATCCACTTACTTCTAGTATTCACTGAATATAAATATACAAATGATATTTGAATATGAACTGAAATTGGAATTGACTAATATAAAGAAAGCTTGTTTTGTATCTAAAAAGATTTGAAGAAACTTAAAGTCCTATGAAAAAATGGAAAAAAAGAAAATAAAATTGAGTACGAAAATCAGATTATCGCCAAAAGTTTTTTTTTTTTTCAGTAAATATTTTGATCTTTATAATTGGCGTTTTTATTGTTGAATAATACTTGAGTTTTGAATCTCTGGTTTTAAGTAGTGATGATTAGCTTAAGCAATAATGTAGAATGCGCGCTAATCGACCAGTTGCGAAGTGTTGACTCCTGAAATTTTGTTCGTTGGTTCACCAAATTTTGACGAATTGATTAATGTTATTTATTTACCTTTTGATTAATACTTGTTATTAAAAATTATTTTTAGCAGTTATTATTATTATTTATTATGTTAAAAATTAAATTAAAACTTTTTTTATTCTTTCACGTAAATCCTTTTTTTTATTTTTAATTTTAGGTGAAAATCTAAAATTTAAATGTATGAAACGTATGAATAAGTTAATTAATTAAGTAATATTGGAAAATTTGATCGTCTTAATTGAATCGTTTTAAACCTTGACGAATAAACTTGAAAAAATACATAAATCACTACTAATAAGGGGCAAATGAATTATTCTAAAAAAATTTTTTGTTTGATTATATGTTAATTAATTTATTAATAGTACAATTTTTTGATTTTGCATATACCACAACATGAATCTATTGTACATAAAATATATGAAAAAGAAGGAAATAACAACGTATGATTTCTTAAATAAATATTAATTTTATCCCATTTTGTTCTCTCTTTCCCTCAAATCTAATTTGCAATATTTTCGTAAATTAACAATTAAATTATATCTCTTATACAAAATCTGATATCTTGATATATGAATTTCCAAAAAATACAATAAAATTGGATTATTTAGAAATCATCATCCATTTGATTATCAGCTTGAATACCCTATGGTTATTTTCTTTTTAGTTTTTATCAAAAAACTTAGAAAACTGCTTGCAACATTTTTTCCCATAATTAATATCGTATTCTTTCAAAGACTTTGTTACCAACACCGAGATTTCGTGTTAAAATTAAACTTTTGAAAACTCCAATTAAAAAGGCGTTTTCATAAACTTTTTCTTCCAAATTAAGTTTTAGATTTTTAAAAAGTGAAAAGGGTTTTGTCTATATCTTCTATCAATAATCTTGTGATACTCGAGTAAACTTTCAATTAGCTTGTGTTAACAATTTATATTTTTGATTTAGTGTCATAGTTTATGGTTATAAAATATCTAAAATAATCTTAAAAATCTAAACCTCAAGGGATTTTAATATTGTGATCTCTTTATAAAAGATTGAATGTATCTCGTGTAATGGTGATTGTTATAATCTTTCATACCCCAGATGTTTTCAATGATAAATTTTTAAATTACTTTGCTGAATGTATAAATTGATGTAAGAATCCGCTTTGATTGAATATGAAATTTTTCATTCACCAAATTCTTTCAATGAATAAAGAAACCGGTTTTATCAAACACAAACAACGCATATACTCCCGCATTGATATTTCATGGTTACATTGTAATTAATGAAAGACGTGATTTTCAAATAGATTTAGTGATTTGGTTGTATTCAAAAATAAAAATTGTTGATAAATAATTCCTACTTTCATCGCGTTTCCGCTACTTGCACCAGTTGATAGTCCAATTGATTTTTCCAAATCGGCCAAATATTTTTTTCATATTGTGTTTTATAGTCTTGATCTATATCAACTCTTTTTGATCGTGTTTTTGAAGCAGATTGATTAAAAAAAGGTTGTAAAAAATTTTTGACTGCAAAAAAAAATAGAAAATCAAAATTTATTAATTTGATTAACTTTATTTAAGTCTTTGACTACCATAAATTATCTTGATAAATTGCAATGGTGCATGAAACTTTTAAAATTGACAAAATACTTGATCACGTCTAGCTTGTTGTTTAACTTCAAATTTTTTCGTGGTCACTTGACATCTTTAAGATTCAATACATGACCAATCGTCGATTCTATTGCTTATAGGAAATTTGCAATGATATAACAGACTTTGTGATAAATTAAGTTCATTCCGAACTGGATATTTTGCGAAGCCAGGAGCTAATGTATTTAGAGTCGGATGAGATAGTTTTATTAAAGGTACTAACATCAAGTTCACTTAACACTTCAAATGTGGTAGAGTGATAATTGTTCAACAATTTTATGTCCTAAAATGTTGAGTGCAGTATGTCAAGACTGCTTAATTAGTTTAAATGCCCTTAAATCTGTAGTCGGTGTCAACATCTACGTTTACTAAAGAAAGTAGTTTTTTATGGAGATAAAGTCAAAATAATGGACAATTATTGGGCAACTTTCCAATCAGTCAATCAGCTCCTCTCAAATAAGCTGTTCTAATACAATTTTATGTAACGCTTTGATCATAAGAGTTTCTCTTGTGTTTTAAACTCTACTGCTATTCTTCATACATGAATCAAATTTTTTGCAGCCAAACTGTCGTGTATTATTGGTACTGAAACAAAAGTAAAAATTGACGGATCTAAATAAGATTCGAAATGCAAAATCCGACAAAGAAATCAATACTTTAAAAAAAGCTCATCTACTGAATTAAGCTACCAATTATCGCATACTTTTGAGATCAACAATTTTTTTTTCTCTTTTCTCTTTTGGTGAAATCTTTTAACTAAACATCATCTTTGTATTACAAAAATCATAGATTAATCATATCAGATCAATCAATCAATCAATCAATCAACTGATCCATCAATCGATTAATCAATTAACTAATCAATCAATCATTTAATCATCAACGAAGTATTAGGATAACAAATCATTATATTCACTAATAGTAACAACTTCGTTAGCATTAATACATATACTATTTTTTTTTTCAAATACATCTTATAGATAGAATCATATTAAAATGGCTCAAGAAGTTCCTACTTTCAAATTAGTTTTAGTCGGTGATGGTGGTACTGGTAAAACCACCTTCGTTAAAAGACATTTAACTGGTGAATTCGAAAAAAAATATATTGCAACTTTAGGTGTTGAAGTTCATCCATTAGGTTTCCATACTAATTTTGGTGAATTAAAATTCGATGTATGGGATACTGCTGGTCAAGAAAAATTTGGTGGTTTAAGAGATGGTTATTATATTAATGGTCAATGTGGTATCATTATGTTTGATGTTACTTCAAGAATTACTTATAAAAATGTACCAAATTGGCATAGAGATTTAGTAAGAGTTTGTGAAAATATTCCAATTGTATTATGTGGTAATAAAGTTGATGTTAAAGAACGTAAAGTTAAAGCAAAAACTATTACATTTCATAGAAAGAAAAATTTACAATATTATGATATTTCAGCAAAATCAAATTATAATTTTGAAAAACCATTTTTATGGTTAGCTAGAAAATTAGTTGGTAATCCTCAATTAGAATTTGTTGCTTCACCAGCTTTAGCTCCACCAGAAGTTCAAGTTGATTCTGACTTGATGCAAAAATATCAACAAGAAATGGAACAAGCTACTGCTTTACCATTACCAGATGAAGATGATGCTGATTTATAAACATATTAGAGAAAAAGATTTTGAATGCAGTATCATTACATGTATTACTTTTTAAGTATAATAATTAACTATATAGTATAATATCAAAAGCATATTTGATTATATTGAATTTCCTATGTATTGTAGCCTCTTTGTTGCATTGATTCTTTTTGCTTAAGAGTTAAATCCATTAATTAGATCGACATAGAGTAATCCTTAGAACGCTCTTACAAATTGATATGCCCTGCTTGTCATCATGATATCATTATTAGTCATTTAACATTATATAGACCCGCTATATAACTCTACATTAATGTTGTTGCCTCATTTGTAAAAACATGGCTTTCTGATACTCTCTGGTATTATTATATACAGATGGAGGTGGATTTGGTAAACCTGTGAAATGAGGAGGTGGAGGTAAATTAACTTCTTCATCATCATCCTCATTATTATTTTTTGATTGCATATCAATTATCATAGCATCTTCATTTCTTTTACGTTGATCATTTTGATTTAAAATTAAATTTTTATCATCTGGACCACCAGGTACTCCTTTATTCAATTTATCCAATGTGATTTCATATATTAAATTCAGTGGTTTCCATTCTCCTGTTTCTTTTGCTTTAAATTCATAATAATCACAATAATATTTTATATGATTTTTACCTTGTAAATGAGATTTTCTAACACTTCTCGTATCATGAGTCAAATATGACTTGCAATAATCACAATAATATTTAGGCATATGGTTGAGTCCTTGAAATTAACCGGCTGGATGATATTATGTATTAATGATGGTTAACACTAGATGGAATCACGTGAATTACCAGTTTTCACTACTTGTCCAATGGAAATGTATTATTTAGTACTGTGTATTTGGTAGCATATCTCAAATTATTTGAAAATAATATACACTACTAAATATGCGAATCGCAAATTCTGAAATTGTATGGTGAAAAAAAATTGATACAAGACCAAGGTCAATTTGACAGATTAAACTAAAATCAAACATATACATATATACACACTCACAATGTTCAGACCAATTGCCGTATGTAATAATAATGGGTTGCAGGAAACAATAACAGGTGGAGATATCATGACCGGCTAATTTGAAATTCCAATCTGTTTAAAATGTAATTACTCCAACATTTCATAAAAGTTTATACGAGGTCAAATAATATACTGCTTGAAATCAAATGAAAAGAGTAGATTTGTTAACGATATAGTGGTTGACCGGGTTTCAAGCTCAAACTTGAATGGCCAATGTGATATTGACTGATCTCCCATCAGGTCCGTCTGCTAACAGGTTTAAGCAAACTGTTGTTCCCACTTAACAATTCCCGATGTTACTGAAAAATACTAACAATTTTCCTATAGCGTATATGCTCAAAGAGACTTTTGTCTGCCACACCAAAAAGACTGAACTTAATTGGAGATTTATACGTTCAAAATATTAGACAATTCAAACCAAAAGCTTTAACACAAGAAGAAATCGATTCAGCTGTAAAAAGATTCCAATTACCAGGGAAACCAACCATTCCTCAAATTCATGAATTATCAAGTGAAAATGTTAAAGAATATGAAACTAGTGATGTAAATACTGCTGCTTACGATAATGAGAAAGTTGATACAACTGAAAATACCAAACCAGATAATGATGACTGGTTTGTGCTCGATGATGTCGAAGAAACTGCTCATTAATTTTCAAGTATTGGATTAGGATTAAATTGATAATAAATGTAGACCAATGTTGATATAAAAATTTACTAAAATCAAATTGATCTCTTCTGTATTTATTAGCAAATTGTTTATAACTATAGCGAAAAGCTTTGGTTCCTCTTTGCTTTGTCTGGATAGTTACCTTCACGACTATCCACTCGTCATGAATTTAAGCTCAAAATAGACACTCTGAATTCTGAAGTGGAAATTTTGTGTAATTATCATAAATCAAAACAAACTTTATCAATAAATCTTATATCAAATCTATAGAATCTTAGAAACACCAAAAGCATGACGGATTCATATTCATATTATAAAAGAGCCAACTTAATATCATCGGCAAACTATTTGAACTCCACACTTCAATCAAGAGCATATATAGACACCAAACTATTATTTCCCAGCATTAATTCAAAAGATTTGATCAGAACTGATCAAGACCATGACAATGAAATCGTAATCACAGATGAACTTATGCAGAATGACCAAACCATAATTGAAGTTATGATGGATTTAATACAGTCTATTGACAAGTATAGAAGTCAGCAAAAGATTATAAATGAATCAATAACGTCTAAAAACAATACTATAGATGAATTAAATAATGAAGTGAACCATTTAAAACGACAATTGACTATGAAGGAAAAGAAAAACAGAGATTGCGTAATTGAAAGAAACAAATTCATTAATAAATTCAACCATGTATATTCAATAAATAAAACTCAGAATAGGAATTTGAAACATCTATCTCATTCAATGAAGGATATTGCAATTAAAAATAAAATTGATATGAAAAGGAAGGATTTGATAATTGACGAGTTGAAGAGCAAACTAATAACGAGAAGAAATTTAAGTACGACCATCGAATATGGAATTCCTTTGACACCCAGAATAGAAAGAAGCGATGAATTTCCCATGAATGAAATTGAAGATACTTCCAATCAAATTACGAATTCCACGAAGGAGAAAAAGAGTTCAGTCTCTGACATTCAAAATTCAAACAACGATGAATTAACAACATATATTGATCAATTATCAAATACAATAAATGATATGACTTCAGAAAATTATAAATTGAATAATCTAGTCAAACTGATTGAAAATTATTTATCATTAATTAATTTAAATCTACTATCCTATAAAGACATAAACTTAGATGATTTAATTCCTAACCCAACAGAAACAATAAACAATTCAACAATAAATGAAGTTACAGATGAGATAATAATGAAACATTATAATGAAATTGAAAATTGTGAATTTTTATCAAAACCTTTATTAGAAGAATTTAATAAATTTTACAACAATTTGAATAATGTTTTACAACTAATAAGTTTTAATAATTTTTCAAGTACGATTAATATGGGTGGTGATTTAAATTCTGATTCAATAATTAAAAACTTGACTAATGATTTAGCTATAACTAAAGAGAATTTACAAAAATCTTTTCAAACCATTGAAATGTGGAAAGAAATTGCACAGAAGAATAATGTATAGATTAAAGATATACTAGTTTGATAAATACATAGCTATTTGTATCAATTACTTTATTCATAAGTTGCAGGAATAGCATCATGTTTTCTTACATTACCTAATGAACTCTTTGAGGTAACAATTGATAATGGGAAATCATTGGTAACCTGAATCATTTTTGTACTAAATGCTGCTTCTTTTAAAGGCAAAGAATATAAATCTTCTAATGAATCACGTAATAATAAGCCAGTACAATAAATATTTTTATATTCTTTATCATGTTTTGATATTGTGATTTCATTATCTAAATTTAAATTTTCTACTGGACTGATTGGACCTTCACTAATTTTATCTTTATTTCTTTCATCATCCATGATAAAAATTTTATTAATTCTGATTATGTCACCAGGTTCTAATAAATCAAATTCATTTTCTTTTCTACCTTTGAAAGGTTTGATAACAACTACTTCATCACCAACCTTGATATATTTATCAGGAGAAGCTGATAATAATGGATCACTAACTTGACGAATGATGCCATTTTCAAAACTGTTGAGGTCAGGTTTATCATCCATCGAATCTTGCAAATTTGATGTGAGCGCAGTTGAAATAACAGGGGGTGATTCAAATTCGTTAACTTTGGAAGAATGATTAAGTGGTTGTGCTAAAATTGTTGGGACCAATTGATCAGTTTCATCGTTGGTATTAATTTGTTTAGTTTCAAAATTCAGTGAAATCAGTGCATCAACTTTCGGGGAAAGAGAAATGTTTGAACCATTATCTTGACCAATTTCAGGAACAATAGGTACTGCTTCATCATTTGTAATTTCTTTAGAAATCTGAATATCCAAAGAAGGTGCTTTAGTTTTAACTTGATCGTTCTTTGTTTTTACTGGACATGACTTCTGATCAGAATGAGTGGGGACTACTAATGAATCCAATGGAAAACTATTTAATCCAACTTTTGAGCTGTTCTGTTGATATTCATCATTAGAATGACTTTGAAATGAATTTTGTTCCCTAGTAACTGAATGAGTGGAACTAATTGCGGGTATGTCTTGTACTTCTTCACCGGTATTAACAGTTAATTCTTTTTGTTTTCTTCTGTGACGAAACATTTTCAAAAACCTTAATTTACCTTTCTTAACTTCACCATTTTCAAGATCTACTGGTACATATACGGAATCTTCGAGCAAACAGCCAAACAAAAGAACAGCAATTACACCTATAGCAAATGACAATACTGAGAATACCAAAATAACCGTGTTTGAAACACCCATTGTAAATATCAATAATGGAAATTTGATGAACTGTTGGGTGAAAAAAAGTTGGTTGTAAAACAAATTTATAAAAATTGGTTGCAAAAATTATTTAAAATACAAAAAATGCGCTATCAATTGCCAAACTGATTTACACACATAATTGAAGGGTTGAAAGAAACTCACGGTCACAACAATGATATCCATTCTTCTGCTAATTCAGGAGACTAGTTCTGATCAACAATACTCATTTTAAGTCCATTTTAGCATTTTTGATAAAATCATCAAATTCATCTGCGTTAACATTTATATCTAGTTCTTTCATTAAATTCTGCTCATCTTCTAATTCCTTTTGTTTCTTTAAACGACTTTCTTCGTCCAAAAGCTTATATTTTCTATTACTTTTCTTAGATTTGCTTTGTTTCACCTTTTGAGCTCGCTCTTTCAATACTGCATTTCTACTGTTTCCAGGATTATACAAATCATCCAACCTCAAAGCTAATAATTCTCTTGCTTTAATTCTATTTCTTTCTTGTAATCTTGATTCTTGACAGGAAACAACAATGTTTGTGGGAATGTGTCTGATTTCAACTTTTGTATTAACTTTGTTCACTTTTTGCCCACCTGGTCCACCTGATTTGATAAATTTTTCTTCAATTTCGTCCTCCTTGACTAGCCATAGTGGTCTTGGTGGTAGTTTGTTCTTCTTTGGAATTGCATATAAACTTATTGGTGTAGTAATAAATGGTCTAATAAATCGTTTGAGCATAATGTTGAGTGGTTTTAAATATAGTCCAGTACTCAAAATAGTCACTATTTAATCAGTTGTAACAGCTATAACCTCCAACATTTGAGAAGAATAATTTGTCCTGTTCAATACCTTAGATGATAGTATGATCTCAGCTCTTACAACTGTCGGAATGACTTGAACGATGAAGCTAAAGGAATCTGTAAAAAATGTTTTGAGGGCTACCACATTTAGTAGATGTACCTAATTTAACTCGATTTGGAAATCTAACAATATCTGTTTATAAAACACGTCTTTTTATTTTTATTTTATTTATTTTTTTAGTTCATGAAATAATAAATTTATCATAAGTAATTATAGTCAAAAATTCGTATCAACCAAAAATCACGATAATTTATCATCTTTTATTCTTTTGCTATATCACTATATATTTCATCCCAGATTCAAAATAAGTCGGCATCATCAGCTTTAAAAGTCCACATTAATTCATAACTAATCTTTCATAAATCCACATGTCATTTGAAAGGCCAAGTGTTTATTCTGCTCCAGTTTTACAAGGAGATGATCCAGATGATAATTCTTTCAATGAAATTACAAGAGCATTCAGATCTTTTATTTTAGAGTTCAGATTGGATTCCCAATTTATATATAGAGATCAATTGAGGGAAAATTTATTATTAAATAATTATTATTTGAAAGTCGATAGTGAACATATAATTGGCTTCAATGATGAATTGAACAAGAAATTGACGGATGACCCGTCTGAAATGATACCATTGTTTGAAAATGCTATTACAGATATTGCGAAAAGAATTGCTTATTTATCAAAAGATGAAGTACCAAATAATTTCCCAACTTGTCAACTAATTTTATATTCGCAAGCCAATAAAGTAAGTATTAGAAACTTAGATTCTGAACATATCGCGAAAATAGTGAGAATAAGTGGTATAATTATTTCAGCGTCAGTATTATCATCTAGAGCTACTCAGGTTCAATTAATATGTCGTCAATGTAAGCATACTATGCAAATGAAAATAAAAAATGGGTTTGGATCAATTCAATTACCAAAATGTCAGAGTCCTCATAATGCTGATCCAAATTCAACTCAAGACAAATGTCCACTAGATTCATATGTCATCGATCATGATAAATCCACATTCGTAGATCAACAAGTTTTAAAATTACAAGAAGCTCCTGATATGGTTCCAGTTGGTGAAATGCCTCGTCATATATTGTTACAAAGCGATAGATATTTAACAAATCAAGTTGTTCCAGGGACAAGAGTTACTATTGTTGGTATTTATTCCATTTTCCAAGCAAAAGTTCAAGGTAAAGACAAGTCCGGAGCAAGCAGTGTAGCTATTAGAAATCCTTATTTGAAAGTTTTGGGTTATCAAACAGATCTTGATAGCGGAGCAAATGGTCAAGGTATAATTTTTAGTGAAGAAGAAGAAGAAGAATTTTTGAAATTGTCAAGAATGTCTAATTTATATGAAGTGTTTGCAAATTCCATCGCTCCATCAATTTATGGTAATCAAGATATTAAAAAAGCTATAACATGTTTGCTCATGGGTGGATCGAAAAAAATTTTACCCGATGGTATGAGACTTAGAGGAGATATTAATGTTTTGTTACTTGGTGATCCTGGTACTGCTAAATCTCAATTATTAAAATTTGTTGAAAAAATTGCACCAATTTCCGTTTATACATCTGGTAAAGGTTCATCAGCTGCAGGTTTAACCGCATCTGTGCAAAGGGATCCACAAACAAGAGATTTCTATCTAGAAGGTGGTGCTATGGTTTTAGCTGATGGAGGTGTGGTTTGTATCGATGAATTTGATAAGATGAGAGATGAAGATAGAGTGGCTATACATGAAGCTATGGAGCAACAAACTATATCTATTGCAAAAGCTGGTATTACTACAATTTTAAATTCAAGAACTTCTGTTTTAGCTGCTGCAAACCCTGTATATGGTAGGTATGACGAATTTAAATCACCTGGTGAAAACATTGATTTCCAAAGTACAATTTTATCAAGATTTGATATGATTTTTATTGTCAAAGACGATCATAATGAAAGAAGGGATATTTCAATTGCACAACATGTTATGAATGTACATGCAGGTGGAAAAACTCAAGAATTACAACAAGAAGGTGAAATACCTATTGAAACTATGAAAAGATATATTCAGTATGTTAAGTTAAGATGTGCACCAAGATTAACTGCAGAGGCTTCTGAAAGATTGTCATCACATTTTGTATCTATCAGAAGAAGACTACAAATTAATGAAAGTGAAATGAATGAAAGATCTTCCATTCCAATTACGGTCCGTCAGTTAGAAGCTATTATACGTATAACTGAATCTTTAGCTAAATTGAGATTGAGTCCAATTGCAACTGAAGAGCATGTGGAAGAAGCTATTAGGTTATTTACTGCTTCTACAATGGATGCTGTGGATCAAGGTGTAGGAAATATAAATGATGCTTCTTTGAATGCTGAAATTAAAAAAGTAGAACAAGAGTTAAGAAGAAGATTACCTATTGGATGGTCCACTGCTTACAGAACTTTAAGAAAAGAATTTGTTGATTCTGGAAAAGCTAGTAGTTCTGCTTTAGAAAAGGCATTATATATCATGGAAAGACATGATGTTATTAAATTTAGACATCAAGGTCAAAACATATTAAGAGTTGGTGTATAGTGAGTTTAACCATAAATATATCGTTTTATTATATTTTCTATTAATTTCATCAAATCGTAAAAAACTTTCTTATATATCATCATGCTTTCAAAATTATTATAACAGAGTCGCCTCTTAAAAACAACTTACTTATGTATCTTTCTTTCGGTACTTGCTTTTTCTTACCAAATTCATTCGTAACTAGGTCTGTCCATAATTCTTTCACGTTCTCCATGATCAAATTACAGTGTCTGTCAAATGCTCGGATTTTCCCAACTAACTTATGATTATTTCTACATGATATAATTACCGGTGAATTTTGCTTTTTAGCTTGGTTTAACAAAGACATGGGACCATGTAGGAATTCAAATTCTTCTAACTTTGATAGTTCTTGTTCCGTAAGTTCTGATCTTGGTCGATCTATAAATTCACTAGATTATAATTGTTAGTAAGTTACTCTTTCATAGGTCTAAACTTAATGTGCTTTTTGCATACCTCATATTGAAAATTGTAGCTTGACGAGTTGAAGAAGAGTTGTATGAAATTGTCTTGTTTATTGGTTTTAATAGTTTTATGTGATTTATTGTATAAACAAATTTGTTTCAAATTTATGTGGTTTGTTTCGCGCAATTATTAGAGTAAAAAAGATACAACTTACTGTAATTTTGCAATTTTTGACCATTTTCGTGGTTAATTTATTAACTTCATGCTATGTAAACTTTTGAGGTACAGCTAGTGGGGCGCTTAGCAAGCAGCCCCTTTTGATAATATTTTCTATACGGTCTTTCAATACCTTTGACAGACATTCAACACCTAATGATCTATAATCAATATGTGCTACATTCTTACCAATTGTAACTTTAGCTTTATCTTCTGGTAATGGTTCTAAAGCTTCCCCGAATTGAGCTTGTAGTATTAAGGAAATTTTTTGAATCCTAGATTCAATATCATCACTTTGTATTAATTTTCTCTTCTCCTCATGTTTATGATTATGGTTGTGAGGTTTAGAAGTTAACTTGACTGAGGCTGGTGATGAATCTATCGAATACAAAATAGCGATAATACTATCGGCTAACGAATCTGCCATTAAATTGTCATTGATCCATTCAACAGTTATATACAAACCGGGAGTATTAGTTTTATCTATATATATGTCAACAACATCCATGATAACAGACTCCCATATTTTTTCATCATCAGCCACAATATCTATAAAGCCAAACATCTGCTCAAGATGCCATTTCATTAAAGAGATGTCAGCATTAATTTTCAAATTCATTTTCGATTTAACCATCGATGTCGACAACTGTGTAAATTCATTCAAGTCTTGTAGCTGGACAAGATTAAGATCAAAATCTTTAGACACCAAAATACCTGACACAATCTGTCCAGGATTGTAAACAATGGATTTGCTTGACTTTTTATCATCTACTTCCATTTTGTCCTCTAAAACCTCTATCTGATCACTAACTTCTACTTCTTCATCTTTCTTCACTTGTTGCTCAATTCCATGTTTCAATTGCAGCAATTGCTCTTCAGCCAATGAACCTAATACTTTTGCTACTTTCAAACCTTTGAATTTTATGATTAGTTCTTCGCAGATCTTAGGATTATAAACCTTCACCTCTTTATCGGTCCCTCTTCTTGACGAATATTTACTTAACAACGCTGACTTCAATCTACCCATTGGAACTGAGTCGCCGTGGACTAAAATAATTTTGGATGGGGAGACTTTATCAATGAATTCCGAATTTTGTTGGAAATCAACATGTGCAGCAAATGATATTTCTTCTACACCAATTCTTCTTGGAATACTTACTTCGGTATTGTTTTGTGATTGTATAATTTGAGGTTCTTTCAATAAATCTTTAGCCATGGTTCCTTCAACAGAATAACCTGTTAGAATCACTAAATTTTTTTGCTCTGGTGCCCATTTCTCGAGTAATTGTCTCGAAACTCCCGCTTGTAACATCCCTGGAGTTGCAACTACTACAGAAGGTCCTAAATCTGAAAATTTCGATAAATTTTTTATAGATTTTATGTACTTAAAGTCAAAAGGACTAGATCTAGAATCACCTGATGAAGAGAGCCGTATCTTATCATTCATAATTCCTGTGTAAGTTTCATAAACGGCCATACATTTCCTAGCTAAATCAGAGCAATAATAAACGTTAACGTTTTGTAGATCTTCATTTTTCAGCCAATATTCATCAAGGATCAATAATAATTCTTGAGCATTACCTAATGCAAAAACAGGTAGCAAAACTCTTCCACCTCTTGTAAGTGTAGCATGAATGTGACTCGTTAATTTCTTCTCTAATTCAGCTTTTGGCTCTAAGGTACCCGTACCAAAAGTTGATTCCGTAATTAAAATGTCTGGTTTATTTGGTGGCACTTCAGCTGAATGTAAATGTCGATTTTCCTCTCTTGAATAATCACCCGTGAAAAGTATTTTGAGTCCTCCAATTTCTATAAAATACATACATGCTCCTAAAACATGACCAGCATGGTAAGCTGTGAATCTTACTCCATCTATTTCCATTGTTGAATGAAAATCAATAGTTTCAATTTTATCAAATGATCTGAAAATATCATCATCTGTGTATAAATTACCACCTTGCTCTGCACCTTCATTTCTTGAATTTCCAATTGATGTAACTCTAACAAAATCTTGCATCAACCATCGGTAAATAGCTTTTGTGGCATGAGTCATGAATACTTTACCTCTAAAGTTTGATTGTTGCATAACATAAGGTAAAGATGCTGAATGATCAACGTGAAAATGACTTATCAACAAAATGTCAACCTTGGATAGATCATATTCATCAAAATAAGGAAATGAAGCATGTCCACTATAAGCTGGATGCATACCAGCGTCCAACATAATAACCTTATTTTTATATTCAATTATGTGACATGATCTTCCAACTTCGTTACATCCTCCTAAACCAAAGAATTTGAAGCTCTCCTCATTGGAAAACTCATCTGTCTTTTCTGCACTCATGCTTCATTGATAGTGTGGTGATTTGTATGAGTATTGATTGTAACTAAATGATTTAAAATATGTTGATAATTTGTAAACATTATATTCTTCTTAAATTTAATATTTTTTTTTAATAATTTACTAATTTGCAACACGGTTTTAATATGTTAACACATTTCATTCACATCAACTAAAATCTCAATCGGTGTTTCTTCACAGCATTTCTTCAATGATATAGCAAATACAAGTGTTTTAATAAATTTTGGATTAATCTGGTAATATGAAGTTGAAATTAATGACCAGGAATATTGAAAAACTCAAGGATGCTTTATCACTAATATCAAATTTAAGAAAATTTGTGATTTTAAAGTTCACATCAGAAGTGTTAAATGTTATCCTGGTAAATGGAGGGTCAGTACTGTCGGAACCACAAGTTTGGTGTAAAATACCGATATCACGACTATTTGAAACTATTGAAATTCAAAGCATGAGAGATAACACGATTCTGATGGAAATAAATGTAGATTTGCTACTACAAACTTTAAAAAATTTTGACAAGGCTAATAGTGAAGGCTTGAACATTAGACTACAAAGAAATGAAACGAGTGGTGAACCTGGTGCTGTTGCAAAATCAGGAAGGACGGCCTCTTTGGCATTATTTTACTCCAACATTAATATCAATTCAAATATCATAAATCATACTTTTCGAATACCTGTGAAGATTTTGAGAGAAGCTCAAGATATGCTAAGTGAACCTACTCATTCTGATATGGGATTAATCATGAGACTACCGAACGAATTTATTACAATGTTTAAAAGATTAGACAAATTCAGAAAAACTCAAAATGACACCGTTCTTATTCAAGCTAGCAAGAGTAAAGGGTTACTGTTTGTATTGGAGGAGGAAGGGAAGTTTAAAGTTACAATAAGTTGGAATAATAAGCTTGAAGTTCATAAACCTAATAATTCGGATGCAGATTCACTAAGAGAGTCATTACGAACAGCAGAAGGCTTATCAGATGCAAGTCAGGTCAATACTGATGTCTATCCAGATGATATAGAGTCAAACGTTAAATTAAAGGATTGGCAGCTGGCTTCCAAGATAGTTGGAAGATGTAAGACTGTTATCCTATATATTGCTGAAAGAGAATGCAGTTTACATTGCTTGTTGGATGAGACAGAAGACGTCGAACTAGTATATTTTATAAATAGTGTTAGAATAGTATAATATCTGGCTGATGTAGATTTTAATCAATATAGTAATTGACTTCTATATTGAGTCATTGAGTCATATGTAATAGCACAAAATTGAAAATCTTGCTTCAAGTCATAATATGAGATTGTAGAATCTTTTTCTCTTTTTTCAATTTAATATAGAAATACATCACTACAACAACTTGTTTGCTTTGAAAAGGACTCGATTGAGAATTTGGTTTTATATTTTTTGCTGCCATAGAATTGCTTAATGTCTGAATTAAAGTCATTAAAGAGGGAAGAACCAAATTATTTTGGTGCTGGTCCTGCATTATTACCAACTGATGTTTTAACTAAAGCTGCTTATGATTTATTATCTTATGATAATGATATCATTGGAATCGGTGAAATCTCACATCGTTCGAAACCTGCAACGGCTGTAATTGATGACACTAAACAAAACTTACGTACATTAATGAACATACCTGATAATTATGAGATATTTTTTTTACAAGGTGGTGGGACCACTGCTTTTTCAGTCATACCATACAATTTATTTGCTAATTATGCTAAAAGAACTGGAAAAAAGGGAAGAGCAGCATACGCAGTAACGGGTACATGGTCTGCCAAGGCTGTTGAAGAAGCTAAAAGATTAGGTTTTGAAGCAGACGTTGTGATTAATACCAAAAATTCAAATTATGGAGATATACCTAACTATACATCATGGGAGCCTATAAAAGAGGATACTGCTTATTTATGGGTTTGTGACAATGAAACAGTGAATGGTAATGAATTTTTTGACACTCCAGGTGAAGAGTATTTGCCAAAAAATGTGGAATTAGTCGCTGATATGTCATCAAATATATTATCAAAAAAGATAGACGTTAGCAAATATGGTTTAATAATGGCTGGTGCCCAAAAGAATATTGGTATTGCTGGTTTAACGATATATATCATACGAAAAGATTTGCTAGATCAAGCCACAGATGCTGAATTGAGAAAATTAGATATAGCTTTAGTTCCAATTGCATATGACTTTCCAATGGTGGTTAAAAACAATTCAGCATACAATACCATCCCATTGTTCACTTGCCAAATTTTGAAATTAGTTACGGAAAAGCTTATTAATGAACAAGGAATAGCTAACATTCAAAAAATCAATGACAAGAAAGCAAAACTATTATATGGGGTCTTGGATAAATATTCTAATTTTTACAGGTTGCCAGTCACAAATCCTAAAGTTAGATCAAAAATGAACGTTGTTTTTAAGACACCATCAGAGGATTTGGATGCCAAATTTGTCAAGGAAGCTGAAGCTGCCAATTTGAAGGGTTTGAAAGGTCACAGATCTGTTGGAGGTATTAGGGCATCAATTTATAACGCAGTTTCTTACACAAGTGTTGAAAAATTAGCCAATTTCGTGGAGGAATTTGCCAAAAACAATACGTAAATATTAAATTCATATAAGTCTATAGTTTAAATTTATTTATTAATGTAATTTTAAAACTTTCTCCATAATTGTAACCTTGTAGAATAATCATTAATTTTTATCTTAAACAAATTTGATTTAACTGAATTTCGCAGCAAATTGATGTTTTTAAACAATTTTGAAAAATTATGTAGAGAATGTTTCAAAATTAATGCTACTACTATCATTCATTAAACAACGAAGCAGACTGATTCTACGATGTGGCTATTGGCAAAACTCACACTCACCAACATCAACCTGCTTAAATGTCTACTTCACGTTTAGTTTTTCATCATCATCAAAATGTACAGCGTCATCTAAATCAATGACAGTTGAAGAGAAAATACAAAAATTAACTCGAGATCAATATTCAAAAAATTTAGAGGATAGAATATCAAAAATACCAATAGAAAATTATAGAAATTTTAGTATAGTGGCTCATGTCGATCATGGAAAATCTACCTTATCAGATAGATTATTGGAACTAACTGGGGTGATACAACCTGGTTCGAAAGCTCAAGTCTTAGACACTTTGGATGTGGAAATTTCCAGGCAAATTACAGTGAAATCTCATGTAGCATCCATGATTTATAAACATTCAAATGGAGAAGATTATTTGTTACATTTGGTTGATACTCCTGGTCATGTTGATTTTAGAGCCGAAGTTAGTAGGAGCTATGCCTCTTGTGGTGGTGCATTGTTATTGGTAGATGCATCTCAAGGCGTTCAAGCTCAAACTGTAGCAAATTTTTATCTTGCTTACAGTATGGGTTTGAAATTAATTCCCATCATAAACAAAATTGATCTTGACCTGGCTGATATTCCAAGATCAGTTGAGCAAGTAGAATCTACTTTTGAGTTAGATCCAAAAACTTGCATTCCGGTAAGTGCTAAAACTGGTTTGAATGTTGATCGTATATTACCAGCAGTGATTGAAAGAATACCTGCACCAGTTGGAGATGAGAACAAACAATTAAAAGCATTATTAGTTGATAGTTGGCATGACCCTTATGTTGGAGTTGTGATGTTGGTTCATATAGTCGATGGTAAGGTTAAGAAAGGGATGAAAATACTTTCTGCTCATTCTAATAAAGCCTATGATGTTAAAGAGGTTGGAATTATGCATCCCGAGCGGACTCCAATGGATCTTATAAAAGCGGGTCAAGTAGCTTATATCATTCCGGGCATGAAAAATCCTAAAGAGGCTTTAGTCGGAGATACTTTTTTCCAATTGGGAAAAAGTGAAGGTTTAAAACCATTACCAGGCTTTGAGGAGCCGAAACCAATGGTTTTTGTTGGTGCGTTTCCAGCAGATGGGAAAGACTTTAACGCTATGGATGACCAAATGCAAAAATTGGTGCTAAATGATAGATCGGTTTCGCTTGAGAAAGAAACTTCAAATGCATTAGGCCTTGGTTGGAGATTGGGATTTTTAGGATCCTTACATGCCTCGGTTTTTAAAGAAAGGTTAGAAGATGAATATGGTGCTAAAATTATTTTAACCGCTCCTACTGTGCCTTACAAAATCGTTTATCGAAATGGTAAAGAAAAAATTGTAACCAACCCCGATGATTTTCCCATGAATAAAGTTGTCAATGATGTAGATTATTATATGGAACCTTATGTTGAAGCAATAATGACTTTACCAAATGAGTATGTGGGTACAGTAATGACATTATGTTTGAATAATCGAGGCGAATCGAAAGATGTTGAGTACTTAAATACTGGCCAGGTTTTATTAAAGTATGAAATACCAATGGCGCAATTAGTCGAGGATTTTTTTGGAAAACTCAAAGGTTGCACTAAAGGCTATGCATCCTTAGACTATGAAGAAAGTGGGTACAGAAAATCAGATATTGTGAAAATGGAATTGTGTGTCAATGGTGAACCTCAAGATGCTTTGACAACAATCACTCACAAATCTCAAGCCCAAGCAAAAGGAAAAGATTATGTGTCAAGATTTAAAAAATATTTAAGGTATCAATTATTTGAAGTGGCAATACAGGCAAGAGTTAATAATAAAGTTATTGCACGAGAAACCATAAAAGCTAAAAGAAAAGACGTTACTCAAAAGTTACATGCTGCAGATATTTCTAGATATAAAAAGTTATTAGAAAGGCAGAAAGAAGGTAAGAAACAAATGAAAGCAACTGGTAAAGTTTCTATTGGAAACGAAGCATATCAAGCATTTTTACGACGTGATGATTGAGTAAATAAAATTTTGTATATACATTAATTTAATTAAATTTTTGAGTTTAATTTCTTAAAAATTTTTTATAAAACACATTTTGTGTTTCATCTACAAAGGTATATCCAATGTTTTTCAAAAAATCTTGGAAGTCTGACTCAGAGCCTTCAGGTAGTATAAATCCACACAACACTTTTCCAATGTCATGACCATGATTTCTATAATTGAACAAACTAATATCCCAATCACTCTTTAAAGCTTGTAGGAAATTGAACAATGCTGCTGGTTTTTCTGGAAATTCAAATTGATACAACTTTTCATTTTTAGAGTCCAAACTATGAGATTTACCACCAACCAAATAACGACCGTGTGATTTTGCCAATTCATTTTCAGAAATATCAACAACTTCAAATCCAGATTCTATCATCTCTTTACTAAGTTCCTCTTTTTCTTTCTTTTTATCACTGACATTGAATGAAACAAATATATTTGCATTTTCTTCACCACTACTTCTATAGGAAAATTCAGTAATAGCTCTGGGATAAATTATTTTTTGTAATCTAGCAAATTCACCTGGTCTTTCTGGTATGGTAACAGCCAACGAGATTTCTTTCCCTTCACCTAAAACAGCTCTCTCACTGACAAATCTCAATCTATCAAAATTCATGTTTGCGCCGGACAATATTGGAACGTATGTTCTATCTTTATGATCGATCTCTGGATGCTGCTCTATGTACTTTTTCAATCCTGCAATTGATAAAGCACCAGAGGGTTCTGTGATGGACCTAGTATCCTCAAAAATATCTTTTATAGCTGCACAGAGCTCATCTGTATCAACTAACACAACTTCATCGACGTAATCTTTACAAAGTCTCCATGTTTCATTACCTAAAATCTTAACAGCAGTACCATCTGCAAATTGACCAACTTTATTCAAATGAGCTTGTTTCTTTTCTTTTAAAGAAGTATATAACGCATTTGCGTCGTGAGTTTCTACACCAATAATTTTGACATGTGGTGCAATATGTTTCAAGTAAACTGCGACACCTGCAATTAAACCTCCTCCTCCGACTGGTACAAATAATGCATCTAGTTTATCCAACCTTAATTGCCTCGTTATTTCTAACGCAGAAGTACCTTGACCTGCAATAACATACGGGTGATCAAAAGGCGGTATATTCACTAAATTGTTTTCAATACTTAATCTTGCGCATTCTTGCTTTGCTGAATCAAAATCATCACCGTATAGCACTACTTGAGAACCCAATCTTGAAACATTTGTAAATTTTATGGAGGGTGTGGCAGTTGGCATAACTATAGTTGCGGGAATATTTAATTTGCTTGCGGAGTAGGCTACACCTTGAGCATGATTACCTGCAGAACAAGCAATAACTCCTGACATTGGTTGTTTAGAATTAGAATGCAAGTTCGCAATCATATTATATGCACCTCTTAATTTGAATGAAAAAACTGGTAACAAATCTTCCCTTTTCAAAAAAATGTTAGCACCTAATTTATGTGATAAGTTGATTGCATGTGTCAAAGGAGTTCCAGCTTCAGGTACAACATCATATACTCTAGAAGTCAAAATTAATTTTATATAATCAGGTTGCCTAATTCCGCTTTCTGAATCTTTTTTGAAATCTGAATCTAAAAGGTCTGGCCATGATGTTGATGGTGATGTTGCAGTAGAATTCGATCTTACAATATTGTAGAAAGCCTGGTTACGATGTAGTATTCCAGCTTTATTGTGTAATAATTGCCTAGATAATCGTAAGCCCGGACAACTCATGATGCTATATCGAGTGAATCTTTTAGATGGAACAAGAAAAATTGATGCTTTTCGTAGATGATTTTGAATTAAGGAAATGTCAAGATTTCAAATTATAAAAGACTCCGACTATGATTTAATCTCTTGATTGAAAACCCAAGTAAATTAATTTTGGATAAATTAAAGTTTCGATGCAAATTTTCGTATAAGTGGAATGAACTATGATTGTTAGATCACACATACACGTTTAAATTTGAGTCACCTTTGAAAAATATTAAAGTTTTGAAAAATCTGAAAAATTATTTGGTAGCAATTGCATTTTTCACTTAAAACGTAGAAAAAAAAAAGTTTGGTGATGCAAAATAATGTACAACAATATTGATCGTAGCAATTATTTCCTAAATTTTAATACTTCGGATTATTTTTGGATCAGATCCAATCTTATGCTTTGGTAAAATCCATTATTAAAGCTGTGTAATTCTAATGATACGAAGGTGCGTTGCAAGCTGTTCATCAAAAAGGATTTAGTCGATTGAATTTATGTAAGTCTCGAAAGATATTTAGTTGTAGTAATGAAAAATTATCCCATGAAATAAAAAAATGAAAAAGATGAAAAAAAAAAAAAAAACAAATCTGGCTGCAAAAAAAAAAAATAGCAAATCCAGATATCGGAAGAATCGCCCTTACCTTACTCTATTTAACTTAAACTATAGGCGTTAACCTTGAATAAATTGATTTTAAAACTATTAGGATGAAAAAAATTTTACGAATTCCTGATCCTGCACGAATTGATTAGGATTTTCAAAAATGTAGGTTTTAAATTTATTTAAGAAGCTTCAGTTGAATGAGAATGCATATTTCATCAACAGTCGCCGTAGAGGCTATTATCACAATGCACGTTTCTAATGAAGGCCTACTCATGATTAAGTCAAATCCAGAAATCAAGAAAAAATTTAATTGTGTACTTGATTGAATTACCCCTTAATTATTTAATGTGTTGTATATATTTTGGATAACATATCATAAAACTTAAAAAAGTTCAAAAAGTCATAGATTCTAGCTACAATAGAGTAGATTTGAATCTTTTGTTTCTGTTTCAAATAATACACTAGATCCAAGTATTTCACCTTCGTTTTTTGTTATTTTTGGATTTTAAACTTGCCTAAATATTTAAAACAAACCAAAACTTGGATTTTGCAACAATATAGTTTTTCAGTTCATTTTTTGATTTCAAAACTAAGAAACATTCATAAATTACAATTATTCAACAATCAAATTTACAATTGTTAAGCTCAAAAGTATTAGGAGACTTTAAATATTAATCAAGGTAATATTTCGTATATTATGGTGCTAAATTATGGAGATGAAAATTGTTCTGAACGCAATTTGATGGATGTAGGTGGTGCTGCTATTAATGAGATTGACTTAAATACGTCCATGGCACCTGAAACAGTAATGGTAGACACTGATGAAACTAGCTCGTTCACAAATACAGAATTTGAATTTGCTTTAGCAGATTGGGATTATTTGAAAATTGCACAGCATTCCATACAAAATCAGATTGTTGATAATAACGGAATTGATATATCTCCATCAATTTCCAATCATACTTTACAAAGCTTAAGACCTACTTTTTCATCAGAGTATGAGACTGACAATACTGAATTTATAAGTTTAGTGGACAGCACCAACCAAACTAATATAAATCTAGCAGCAACAGCTAATCATAATCCGAACGACAAAAAGAATTACATACACAGTATTCACCATGTGGCTGATAACATGAAAGCAAATCATGAATTTGCTTTTCATCACACTTTAGCAGCAAATTATTGGGATTATATGTTGGAAAAGGAAAACTTGTTAAATGAAGAAGGTTTTGACTTTCATCAATTTCAAGAATCAAATGTAGCTGAGCATGAGCATGAGTATAAAGAAACTGGTAGATTAAAAAGCAGAGAAACTAATAAACTGCAGATTCAAAGTCTAGAACGCAACTTTGATTATGAAGATGCCGGAAAAATGATTCAAAAAGATTCAGAGGATATTGATTATGATTTCGAAGTACCGAGTGTCAGATCAGCTTCAACTTCAAATTTATCTGAAGATATTGATTGTGACACATCAAAATTATGTGATGGGAATGTAGCAGAATATAAATCCATCTACGAAAGATATGAAAATGAGGTGCTCGAGAGAGAATTGGAAGAAGTTGAGCACCTATATGATCGACATCTTGACGCGGATCCAAATCAATCAACCATAGAGCAACAATTATATCATTACCTGGAAACTGAACAAAATTACAATAGATATGGTGCAAGTTCATTATCACTGTTGATGCTGGAAAGTTCAACTGATTCATCAATCCATTACGATCCTAGCATCAATGAATTCAACTCGCATGACAAGCAAGTCATAAATTCTACGATATATGAGTGGCCAGATGATGAAACGACAGGTACATTAAACTTATACAATAGAATAAAGATACAATTAAAATATCTTGAACCCAAAATTATAAGTGATGCAGTTTTAAAAACCATTAGAGAGGAATTTGTAGTTCAGGATTTATTTTTAAGTGGTGATTCACCACCAACCCCAGAAATTCCAAAGCTGATACGAAAAAAACTGGACAGAGATGTCGAATGGACTCCACTATCGGTATATAAAGCTTATACTAATATCAAGTCTCCAACTAATGGAAAAGACTCTTATAACCGATTAGTTCCTTATAGTTCATGCATTGGGACTTTAAATTACAGACCTAAAGATCATGCTGCTTGGAAACGATCACCAAATAGACGATGAGGGTTTATTTCTGATTCAAACCCCACCTTCATAAGTGTAATTAAACCACTTTATTTGAAATAAAAAATTAATTTATTATATGCATCACAATTTTTTTACTTAATGATATCTCTGACTTTTGCAACAAAATTTGACATCCATTTGTAGTAAGGACAAATTTGAAAATAGGGTTAGTATTGATCTTGACATATGATACTGACCAAAGTTTTACTCAAGGAGTCTTAGTAGCATAACCAATGTTTTTGACATATTGAGTCGAGAATGTAATCTAGCTTGTATATTTCATCTGAGTGTGAGCGAAAATACTTAAGTACAAGAATATTCAAATTTGTTTCAAATTTTATGGTGCTACCAATATTTCAATATTTGTGTCATAATTGGATTTTTAAATTAATTCCTCCAATAATCAATTTTCATTTACTAATTACATAAAACATCTAAAAGATTTTCATTGTACAACTCTTTTTGTCTTAACGATAAATTTAAAAAACAAAATTAACCTAGAATAAACTGGATATATATGGTGGATTATACTCTTCAAAAATATTTTAGGAAATACGATGTTATTATTTAAAATAACTAAACTTTTAATTAATTTTGAAATTTATTTATCATGTTTCCAGTTGATTACCCCTTAGTTAACTGCATATACCTCTTAAAAACACATTTCACGTGATAAGCAGTGATTTAGAATTATTAGTACTGCATATTAGAAGAAACATGCAGAGATATGACAATCACTCCAGATTTTGTAAATTTTTATATAGAAGATCTAGTCAGAAGCAAACTCATTTTTTGAAAAATTTAAAACAATCATAAAACATTAGTTCAAAGGTATTGAGATCATCGAAAGAGAAAAAATGACTCTGATCCAAGATGAAGTAATAGCCAGAACTATAAATACAATAGATGGTGTAAATTTTATAACTCAACCTGCAAAATCAGTTTCTTCATCGTTTAAAAATTTGGTAAAAAATGCAAATGTTTTGATAAACTCAAATGATCCTTATGCTGTGGTAGAAAATTATTTAATAGACAGATTCAACGTTCAAAAGGATAATGAAGATCAAAATCAAGGTGATATTGAGTTTGTTAGTATAACTACAGATGGAAATACTTTGTTAAGAAATTTACCATTTTTATCATCATCATCTTTCAAGAATAATAAAATTGTGAATCATGTAAGAATAGAAAATTTAGATTATCATGTTGTGACAAGTTTGAAAGATTTAAAGTATCCTGTATTAGTTTCACAAACTGCAAATGATATTGATCAATTATCGAAATTGGCTTATAATTTGTCTGAAAAGTTAAATACATCTGTATTCCATTTTTACCCTGCTGAATCAACTTACAAATCTAAAGAAAGTATTAAACAATCAGAAGGTGTGTTATTGAAGGATTTGAACAATTTAAGTTTTGAAAAAATATTGAATGATTTTGATGTTCAGCCGTTTGAAATTTTAAGTAAATCTTCAAAACTGAAAAATGCTTTGTTATTTTTAGGTCAAATTGATGATGAATTGGTTAGGGTTGCAAATAAGGAAAACGTATTGCTTGTAAGTATAAAACTTTATCAACCATTTTTATTAAGTACATTACTCAAAACCATTCCTTCAAACGTGGAAACATTAACAATTGTTGAACAATCATCTATCAAATCTGCATCATTTTCACCATTATTGCTTGACTTTTTTTCAGAATATTCAAAATTTCAAAGTTTAAAAAATTTTACAAAGATTGTATCTGCAACATTTGGACCAGTTGTAGATTATTCAAGGGCCATTTCAAACTTGATTTCAAACGTAGAATCTGACAAGCCTTTACAAAATTTGTTTTTTGGAGATTCAAAATCTGATTTTGAAACAGATTCATATAAACATGATAAATCAGAATACGTGAATGCTGCTTCCGAAGCTTTTAGTTTAGAACAAGCATATTTGAAAGTTTTAACTCAAGTGAATGATACAAACTTGAATATTTTGAATGAATTCAAAGCTGATAATATTGGTTTAGAAACTAATCCAGAATATGGATTTGGTTCATTTTTGTATGAGCAAGAACAACAAGATAATTTAAGTAAATTGGTTCAATCTGCTTTAAAAGAAAACAATTTTCACACTCAAGACAATGAAAAGTTGATAGATTTACTACTACAATGGGTTTTACAATCGCAACAAAAGGGTCAGGTTGAACAAAGAATTGCTCAAGAAATTGTTGATTTGTTAAAAACTGACACCAAATCAACTATTGCGAAAGAACTTTTGGCTTTATCCAAATATTTTTCAACTTTGAAAAATTGGCTTATTGGTTCAGATGCCTGGTCGTATGATTTGGGTTCCTCAGGTGTTCATAGTGTTATCACATCCGGTAAGAATATTAATATGTTGATTATTGACTCCGAACCATTCAATGATAAGAAGAATGAAAAAACTGTCAATGGCTTCAGGAAGAAAGACGTTGGTTTATATGCTATGAATCATGGAGATTGTTACGTTGCATCAGTGGCAGTGTATTCATCATATACTCAAGTATTACAAGCTTTTATTGAAGCCGACAAATTCAATGGGCCTTCCATAATCTTAGCATACTTACCATATCACAAAGAATCTGATAATACATTAGAAGTATTACAAGAAACTAAAAAGGCTGTTGATACTGGATTCTGGCCATTATATAGATATGATCCATATGCAGAAAAAGAAACTGATGTTTTCAAGTTGGATTCATCTAATTTAAGGAAACAACTCAAAGACTTTTTAGATAATGAAAATAGATTAACTATGCTTGCCGCAAGAGATCCATTATTATCAAGAAATTTAACAAGTAATGCTAATACGGAAATTAAAATCAAACAAGCTGAAATAGCCAATGAATCATATGCTGCTTTATTACAAGGTTTATCGGGGCCACCTTTGACTATTGCTTTTGCTTCTGATGGTGGAAATGCAGAAGCTGTTGCTAAAAAAATTAATAGGCAAGCAATTGGCAGAGGTCTTAAGTCTGTTGTTTTACAAATGGATGATATCTCAATGGAAGATTTACCAAATGAAACCAATATTGTTTTTGTTACTTCAACAGCTGGACAAGGTGAGTTCCCAAACAATGGTAAACAATTTTGGGATGGTCTTAAAAATTCGAATGATTTGGATTTATCAGGTATAAAATTCTCAGTTTTTGGACTAGGTGATTCTCAATATTGGCCAAGAAAAGAAGATAAACATTATTATAATAAACCTAGTAAAGATTTATTTGGTAAGTTAAAATTATACGGTGGTGTTGAACTTGCTGAAATTGGATTAGGTGATGATCAAGATGCAGATGGGTTTTCAACTGGTTTTAATGAATGGATTGTCAAAATCTGGTCAGCTTTGGGAGTTGATAATGTGGAAGGTGTCGAAGAACCAAAACCTATAACCAATGAAGATATGAAACTTGGATCCGACTATCTTAGAGGAACTATAGCTGAGGGTTTACAGGATGAATCAACAGGATCAATTTGTGCAGTCGATCAACAATTGACTAAATTCCATGGTATTTATATGCAAGATGATCGTGATGTTAGAGAAGAACGTAAAGCGCAAGGTTTAGAACCTGCTTATGCTTTCATGGTTAGAGTGAGATTACCTGGTGGTGTTGCAACTCCTAAGCAGTATTTGAAAATGGATGAATTAGCTGATGAAAGAGGAAATGGTACACTTAAATTGACTACTAGAGCTACTTTTCAATTACATGGTGTCGTAAAACATGATTTAAAACCAGCAATAAGAGGTATGAATGCTGCTTTAATGGATACTTTAGCTGCATGTGGTGATGTCAATAGAAATGTTATGGTTTCTGCTTTACCTGAAAATGCTAAAATACATGGACAAGTTTCAGAAGTGGGAACTTTAATATCAAACTATTTGTTGCCAAACACAACTGCATATCATGAAATATGGTTAGAAGGAGAAATGCCATCTGATAAACCAGGTGATAGAGAAGCTTGGGAGAATCGTAAGGATGGACCAACTAAAAAGAAAACATTGATTGCAGGTAATGTTTTAGCTGATGTTGAACCTCAATATGGAGTTACTTATTTACCAAGAAAATTTAAAATTGTTATTACAGTTCCACCATATAATGATGTAGACGTTTATGCACATGATATTGGTTTAATTGCAATTGTTGAAAATAATGATGTTATAGGTTTTAATGTTTTAGCTGGTGGTGGTATGGGTTCCACTCATAACAATAAAAAAACTTATCCAAGAACTGGTTCAATGTTTGGATTTATTAAGAGAGATCAGATTCATATTGCTTGTGAAAAAATCATGTTAGTTCAAAGAGATTATGGTGATAGAACTAATAGAAAACATGCTAGATTAAAGTATACTATAGATGATTTAGGTATAGATGTGTTCAAGTCAAAAGTTGAAGAATTATTAGGTTATAAATTTGATGAACCAAAACCATTCAAAATTGAAAATAATGTTGATCATTTTGGTTGGTGTAAGGATGAATTAGGTTTTAATCATTTTACTGCATTTATTGAAAATGGTAGAATTGAAGATACACCTGAATTACCACAAAAATCCGGTTTAAGAGAAATTGCAAATTATTTACAAACAAATAACAAGTCAGGTGAATTTAGACTAACAGGTAATCAACATATTGTTTTATCAAATATTAAAGACGAGGATTTATCAGTTGTAAAACAATACTTAGCTAAATATAAATTAGATAACACTGAATTTTCAGCATTAAGATTATCATCGGCTGCTTGTGTTGCTTTTCCAACTTGTGGTTTAGCTATGGCTGAGTCTGAACGTTATTTACCAAAATTAATTACTAAGTTAGAGGAAGCATTAGAAGGTTACGGATTAAGACATGATTCAGTAGTCATGAGAATGACTGGTTGTCCAAATGGTTGTGCAAGACCATGGGTTGCAGAAGTTGCATTGGTTGGAAAAGCTTATGGTGCTTATAATTTGATGTTAGGTGGTGGTCATCATGGTCAAAGATTGAATAAAATTTATAGATACTCCATTAAAGAAGATGAAATATTAAAAATATTGACCAATTTATTTGAAAGATGGAGCAAAGAAAGAGATGATGGTGAACCGTTCGGTGATTGGTGTATTAGATCAGGAGTTATCAAAGAGACTACTGAGGGTAAATACTTCCATGAAGATATACCTGAGGAAGCCTAATTATTAAGAATGAGGGTTATGGTGGTTATTTATTTAATTATTTATTGTTTAATATGAATTTTAATACATTGATATAGATTTAAGATTATTTAACTTCTTATGATTTCTGATTATTGACTATCTGTTTTTTCAAGTTTTGTATATCCTCAATCAAACTTTTAACTTGTAATTTTTTCAGTCTTTCAATATTTAAAACATCTTTCAATTTAATATCTAATAATGTCACACTAACACCATTCATCCGTCGTATCACTTTCTGATATGTTTGTTGTGATATTCTATTCAAGTGGTCTTCGTTCTTCTTAGCTATTTTAGCTCGTTCAGACTTTAAATGCTTGATTATAGCGAGTTTTTGTTGCTTCGAGTAACCCATCTTTAAATATTATACTATATCATATTATGAATGGTATTGAATTGTAAAAAAGTATGTCTTCAAATGGTTTGTTAAAATTAGAATGAATCAAATTTTAGTACTCGAATTCTTTTTGAATTGTTATTACTTTATTAATTTAAATTAAAGTGGCAAGAAAAATAATACTCGAAGTTTTACCAAATATCTTTAAATTCAAACCACACTCATTTTATTCCAACTACTACGCCAAGATGGTACTCGAAGCTACTATGATAGCCATCGACAACTCAGAATATATGAGGAATGGGGATTATTTAACATCCAGATATGATGCCCAATTAACTGCCACAGAATTTATTTTTCAAAATAAAATTAACTCAAATCCAGAAAATACAGTTGGGTTATTAGCATATGGAGGTTCTGGACCTCAAGTATTAAGTACTTTAACCACAGATTTTGGTAAAATATTATCGGGAGTACATGAAACTAAAATATCTGGTGAAAATAACTTTAGTAATGGGATACAAGTTGCAGCATTAGCTTTGAAACATCGTCAAAATAAAGTACAACAACAAAGGATAATAATATTTGTGGGATCACCTATAAAGGAATCCGATAAAGACTTAGAAAAGCTAGCAAAAAAGATGAAGAAAAACAATGTTGCAATTGACGTTGTAAATTTTGGTGAGGAATCAATAAATACAAATAAACTAGAGAAGTTTCATTCAATGATAAATAATCATGATAATTCACATTTAGTCACAATACCTCCTGGTCCAAGATTATTATATGAAGTTATAGCATCGTCACCTATCTTAATGGAAGAAGGAGCTTTTGGCTCAGGAAATGATATGGACTTTTTTGGTGGTTCTGGAGGAGTTGCTGGTGCTAGTGATATCATTGATCCAAATATGGACCCGGATTTAGCGTTGGCATTGAGGTTATCTTTGGAGGAAGAGAAAGCAAGACAGGAAAGAGAGGCCAATGAAAAAGCTGCACAAGAAGCTGGTAATGCTGAAAACTTGGAACGAATTAACGAAGATAAGATTGAAGAAGATAAAATTGAAGAAGATAAAAAAGATGAAGATGAAAAAGATGACAAAGATGTAAAAATGGAAGAAGCTAAATAGATAAATGTCATGTTAATTTTATTCCAATCAACATTAAAAAATCTATTTTACATTAACTCTAGTACTTGCTGGGGAGATATTAAAGATAGTGTTTTAAAATTGCAATTTTCATGACACAAAATCATTTGGTGTAAAGTTGCAAAATAAATTAAATCTCTTTGCCATTACAAAATAATTTGAAATTTATTTTCGATAGGTGTATCCATTCAATTTATTAATGAATAGACGTTATTATAAACTGGAGCATGATGTTGTGCTTCTGCCACAACAAGTTCAATCCGTATTTCTCCCAACACCAATTCAAGCTGATCAGCACACAAGAAAGAATTCACCCTCAAAACCTTCATTATTCATCCCACATGGTAATGAATTGATTTTAAAACCTATCCAGCTGACTCGAGCACACTTTTATGATGCTTATTCAAAAGTATGTATTGTTTAACTTCTAATTTTTATTACACATTTGTTCTAACATTTTGCAAGGGAAAATGGAATCTTTCAAAAGTTCCCTGCCCACCATTTATTGAAAACGTTGGTTATATGAAACCCCCAGAAAGCTATAATGAAATAACTAGATCAGAATCGGTTTCAAACTATATGAATTTGCCTCATTGGAAAAAAATCCAGTATTTCACCAAAATTATTTCGAAATTAAAAAAAACTTTTAAAATTAATGGGGTATCAATTTCGTTAATTGATAAAGATAAATGTTATTACAAATTCGAAACCACTTTGGACTTGAATTGTGTTCCTAGATGTGTTGCTATTGATTCTCATGCAATCTTATCGAGTGGGTCATTCGTATTATTAGATGCTTCGAAGGATTGGAGAACAAGGAAAAATCCTTTGGTTACCGAATCACCATTTATTAAATTCTACTGTGGAGCACCACTTTTGGCAACAAATAATGATGTTATTGGAATAATTGCAATTTTCGACTCTAAACCAAAATTATCGTTTTCGGAAGAGAATTGTAGAGCATTAATGAGTGTGAGTAGTGATTTAATGGATTTTTTAAATTCATCACTTGAAGATGATAGTTCAATAGCAAAAATAAAGACAAGAGAAATTATGGACTCCTTGTTGTTATATGGAAATTCAGATAAACGAGCAGCATTAAAAGAGTTGAGAAAAGAGATTGGTAGACCTACAAGTGGTAAATCATCATTAATTTTTGAAAAAGATGGTTCAGGTGGTCCATATAATGCGAATCAAATTACTAGATTTATTAGATTCAATAAGCAAGGAGAACAAAATGATTTAACAAAGAATAGAAATGAAAGAAATCGAAAGTTGAAGTCTTTTGAAAGTCAACAAGCTAACTACGAAGAACAAGATTTGAAGCTCACATTAATGCCTAAACATAATCAATTGATCAAGCAGAAAGAATTATGGAAATCTTTATTTGCATTGGGCTCATTAAACAAAGCTGCTTCTTCACTATGTACTACTTTGGCCACTTTCTACAAATTTGATTTTGTATTTGTATTAGAAATTAGAATTGCTGAACAATGTTGTATTCCCAAAGAGTATTTCCCGGCAAATGAAAATAAAATTGATCTTGGACTGTTCAAATATGCAAATAAAATCACGAAATCAAAGTATCCAAAAGACGAATTTATGACGAGAATGACTGGAATGTATAAACATAAAAGCCCAGACCATTTGAAACATTCCAGCAATGCAATTTTAACAAATTCCCCAACTAATCTGTTTTTTGAAAAATCTATTCATTATAAAGCATTTTTATCAGAGTTTGGCTTGGAATATATCAATCCTAGAGTAAACACAATATACAATTACGGAATCATAATGCCTTTCTTCAGACACGATTCAAAGTTGTTAAAACACAATTCATCATCTACACGGAATTGCAAAAATATTGATTTATACTTAAGAAGCGGTGGATTCTTGATTGGGTTATTTTCAGAATTAGTTAAAGAAGAAGTTGACAGTGAATTGATATCTGCAATTTTTGATCACTCTGTTACCTTTAGAAAGATATATATTAGTACTACTCAATGAAAAATGAACACTATTCTTGTAATTCCTTTTCTCTCCTTGATTGCATTTCCATTTCCATATCATCCATTTCTTGCTGTGTAGGTTGTAGTTCCTCTTCCTCGACAATTCTATGTGTCAGTTTATGACTAGTGGCAGCAAGAATAATATCTTCATCGTCGTCGTCAAAGTCATTGTCATTGTCGCTGAATTCATCATCCTGTTCATTGGTAGAATTTAATGGTGGTAACAGTTGATCTTCGTTATCTTGATGTTTATCTTCATCGTTTTCAACCTGATTCATATTAGTGTTGGCTGCAGGTCGCTCATCATTCCCCTTATCCTGCTCCATAAAACCAAAAAACACATCATTACTTTCGTTTGTCGTTACAGCAGTTGTTCCTGAAGTCAGTTCGCTATTATCATTTACACCATCTGCTCTAGGAATAGAGTACAATTCATCATCAAGATCTAAATTATTATTATTATCTTTATTTTGACTATTTTCATCAATTATTCCCTTTGAAACTTTTAATTTATGAATTTCCTTATCAATTAATTCGCGTCTATACAATCTAAGTTGTGAAGATTTGTGACCCAAAGATCTGATTAAATATGCACAGTCTTTGAAATTAGCTTTTGGGAACATACCATGACACCATAATTGATAAAATTGCAAAATTGAAGTCAAATTGGAGTACTCGTGATCATACTTTAGTTGAGTTGGGGTTCTATAATTTCTGTTAACCAGTGCTTTATTGTGTTCCAGTTTTTGAAATTCCTTGTCATTTTTGGCTATGATTCTGTTTAATCTTTGATGATTTTTCACTAGATAAGGTATACCCTTTTTATTGTATAGTATTCTGTCATTGTCAATTTTGGCAATTTTTCTTTTTGGTCTGATTTTGACACTATCGAGTCCTAAACTAGGATCAACCAATGGATCTCCTATTGGATTTGATAGAGCATTTGGATCGGGCTCGGATTGATTCATTTGATGTTTTCTTTGGTCTTTGAATAACGTATTAAAGCGCGTAATGTTTGATTGAAAATTCAAATGATAAATAATAATAATGATGATTTTAAAATCACGCGTCCTGATTGTGGCTAGTTGTTTCACGCAATGAATTGGTAGTTAATCATCTAGACTTTTAACAATTGATCCATTTATATCCTCTTTGCAAAGAAATGACGTACATAGCTGAATATCTACCGAGACTAGGTCATTTGTCGATTGAGATTACCTCTATTTCCCAAGAAAACTTATCAACAATTGAAGTACAAGGTAATGAAAATATAATTTTAGTGTTAAATCACTCACCATCTATTAAGATCAAATCCCCAATCCCTGTTACCCATATATCTTTAATTGGAGTGAAGTCCGAAGAAACTAAGCTAAAATTAACGTTGAAAGTACATGCGGATCAAAATCCAGGATCTTCTGAGGAGGTTGAACCGAAATGGTCCTGTAAATGGTTGAGAACACATACAACTAAGCATCATTCAAGTAATGTATTCAAATTTATTTGCTCAAATTGCTCATATGAGATTATAAACTCCTTGAGTTATCAATTCAAAGATATGCCAAATGAGTTTTGGTACGAAATGATGGATTATTGGCATTGTCATAAGCCGGAGGATAATCATCCTACAGATAAGGATTATGGAATACTTGTCCCAAAGGATTCAAAAGATATTTTCATTGGGTCTTACTATTTACTACTTTGCAAAAGTGACAATGTAATTGCAAAAGATAAACTATATCACTGCAAAGGTTGTAATAATGTGGTTGGAGAGAAATATCAAAATGTTATTAAGTTATTGAAATGGAAGATCGACTTAGAATATACAAATGAAGATCAAAAAGTAATCTCCAAGTATGACCCAACTTTATTTGTAGCTGATTTTTTTAATACGCAGTTGCGATCACTGGCTCTGAGAAGATTTAAAATCAAAAGTAATAAAAAGTGGATATACTTATGGATTATGAATACCGGAATTGATGTCACTTTAAACGATCAAATCTTAAACAACTGTTTAAAGATACTATATACTGAGATAATCAATTCTAAAGATGAAGGTAAATACGAAGAAATAGAAAGTCAATACGAGGAAGTTAGGGAGTCTTTCCTTAAAACACTACAGCAGAATACAATACCGTCAAAGACGCTAATTGGTAGTCTAGAATATCTGATTAGTTTTATACCTACGAGTTAATCAAATAAATTTTGAAAATATGATCTTACGCCTTCTCAAGTACTTCTTTTACAATAGGTACAACTTGTTTTCTGGAAGCACGAATATTAACTTGATTGTAAATAATAAAGTGACCCTTATTTTCGTTCACACTTTCATTAATATATTCTAATAGTGGTGATATTATATCGACACCGTAAACGTCATTATTCAAATTCAATTGAACTTTAACCAATTCTTCTAAGTTCGCATACTCGGAATTTGCACCCTCATAATAGTAACAAAATTCTCTTCGGTACTCATCAGTCTCTTTGACCGTATATGAGGATGTTATTACTAGCAAATCTATTTGATTCAATTTCAACGAGGCACTCAAGGATCTTAGTATTTCATCCTTGGAATATGTTTCAAATATCCATTTTAATGGTTTACCAATGGAACTGAAACCAACATCATCTCCTTTAGAAAACTTAAATTGTTTATAGTCTTTTCTTAAAATATCCATAAATGAAAATCCAGCTAAGTCCTTCTTGGCTTTCTTCAATTCTTTATAAAATAGCTCGATTTGATGAGAAGTTTGACCTAAATCTGTAGAAATAAAAAATTGTGAATCAGTAGCACTCAATATTTCTTTATATTTGGCAAAAACTTCCAAATCCGGTTCTTCAACTTTTTGAGTCATATTACTAGTATCAATTAGTAATGGAGCTAACAACATTTCCACAACATCGTTGTTTTCGATCCAAAATTTATCATTGTTGGGTTTTAAATCATAAAAATATTTAAAAACTAAACTTGAATTTGACCCACATGTTCTTATAATTCTAGGATTAGCAGTTAAAAATTTTCCCTCATCAGCGTGATGGTCAATTATTCCAATAACATCCAAATATCCTTCATCAAATGCTTTATTTATTGCAACTCCTTGTAATCCATTATGATCGACAATAGATAATTGGCTTTTTTTGGAATTTTGCACAGATTCAGAAATAAGTAATTCAAAATCTTCAACGAAATATAATAAATCTTCAGTTATATCATGATAATTTTGTAACACTTTTATGATATCTCTCCTCAATTTTAAATCAGCTTTTGGTACATTGATCAAAGGAATAATATACTGTTGTGGAGTCTTCAAGCTGTAAGATAAATAAGCATAAGTAATGGACGATATTATCGAGTCCATGTCCGCTGATTGATTACCACTAACAAATGAGTATGGAACCTTGAGGGTCTTGGCATTTAGTGCTTGCTTTAAATTAACAAGATATGTCCTTACTGTCATAATCTTTCCTGATTCTATGATATGGAGTTTATGATAGAAATAACTCTTGAAAAAGGTGCAGGGACCTAAACTCAAAGATTATCTCACTGCAAATGAAATGTTTCAAGATAAAGAATTTGTTGCACAAAACACTACGTTACATCGAATTGAAGTAAAGTAGACTAGAGTCATGTCAGATTTAAGTCACAATAGATAATAATAATGCATTTTAAATACAAATATAAGTCATAGAATTGAAAATGTCACCCCGAAAGATCAACCCATACAGTATCTTCAAATTATCCATATTTTATCACCTTCAATATAAATTTTATTATCATCTTCTAGTTTCTTGAATCCAGCTTGCAACTCCAACTCGGTAAATTGATCTTCTTGACCAACGTCACCGTTTATAGCTTGAACCACCGAAGAATAAGGTGCAGATCCGTTGTCGAACAAATCGGATCTAAATATCCTAGCAATTTTACTTGATAATTGTGCAAATCTTTCTGAACTTAATAATGATTGTTGTACGTTGGATATGGAAGAAGATAATGGAGCAAGTGGTAGTGGTCTTGATTGTGCCGTTGTTTGTGATGGTAAAGGTGTATGTGAAGAAGTTTCGTTATCCAAATCTGGCTCATCCTGTTCATTTGTTAAATGTGTGTTACGTAAATGGTCTTCAAGTGGAACTTCTTGCTCTTGTATTTGTAATTGATCTTCTTCTCGATCTTGATCTTCATAATTTCTTCGTCTTCGAGTCGAGACTCTTGGTACATAAACTTCTTCTTCTTCTTCTTCTTCTTGATCTTCGTCTTCTTCACTACTTTCATTAGCGTTACCTGATTCAAGTCCTTCATCTCTTGTTCCACCTGTTCTTCTTTTCTTTTTAGCTTGTTTACTTGATATTTCTTTGAATAAAGCATATCTCAATAATTCTTCAGCTACTTTAGCATCTTTCACTTCAACAGTTCTTGATAATCTAACTTTTGCATGAGCTGATGCTAAACGAATTAAAGTTTCCAAAGTTCTTGCTGTGATTGGTGCAGTGTTTCTTTGATTACTTCCAATTAAATCATTACGTAAACTCGAATAAGTAGACACGATATAATCTGATGCATTTTTACTTAACACTGGTTTAATTCTTTGTTTTGCATATTGAATGTATTTCTTCAAAAACGGAATGGATAATATTGTTGGTGACTTTTTGGATCTTGAATTAGCAGCTACACCAGCATGTAATAAAGCATTAAATTTTTCAAAAATTGGTTGTTCTAATAATTCTTTTTCATTCATTTCATCATCTCCAACAGCCAATACTACACTAGATTTTTCTCTGATAGGTTCACCTTCAGCCATACCTGGTGGAATAAATCTGTGCATTCTTAATACATGCTCAGATATGACTCTATCTTTTATTGGATTAACATCATCAGTAACAACAAATAATAAATCGAAACGTGATAATAATGAATCAGGTAATGCAATATTTTTATGTGGATCTTTATGCACATCATATTGTCCAAAAACAGGATTTGCAGCAGCTATAACAGAACAACGAGCATTTAATGAAGTATGAATACCGGCTTTTGCAATAGTAACTGTCTGTTGCTCCATAACCTCATGAATTGCAACTCTATCAGCATCTGACATTTTATCAAACTCATCGATACAAACCACACCTCTATCAGCTAAAACCATAGCACCTGCCTCTAATCTTCTTTCCCCAGTTTCTTTATCAGTCGTCACTGCTGCAGTTAAACCAACACCAGAAGAACCTCTACCTGTAGTTGCTATAGCTAATGATGCTGTATTTAAAACAAATCTTAAAATTTGAGATTTTGCAGTTGAAGGATCTCCAACCATCAAAATATTAATATCTCCTCTTAAATGAGAACCATTATCCAAATTTTTTTCAACACCACCCATCATCATTAATAAAACAGCCTTTTTTATATAATCAAATCCATAAATTGATGGTGCTAAAGAGTTTGATAAAATTTCAAATATCTTTCTATCCTTTGATAATTTATTTATATTTCTGATATCATGATCAGTGATTTTTTCTTGAGCAGCAACACCAGTAGATCTAGCATGTAACGGATATACAGAATTACCTATAATAACAGTTTTGAAAGTTGAATTATTATTAGCACCACCACCTAAAGCACGATAAACACCAACAATTTGAATACGATCACCTGGCTTTGTCAAATCAACAAGATCATCATCTAATATAACATCAACCGACTTTGGTAATTGCCCAGCTGGAGCAGTTTCTGGCATTTCCTGTACTGAAATTTTTTGATGATCCCTATAAGTTGAATATCCATATTCTGTTGTTAATTTATTACCCTCCATATCTTCACTAGGATAAATTGCTGGTGTTGATATTGCATCAAATGAAGTTGTCTGATCTTTGTATTCTCTTGCATAAAATCTACCAGTTTGTTCTGCATAATGAACTGATCTTATAACTTTTGGACGAACTAATGAAGCTCTTGTAACAATTCCTTCGATTGATACCATCTGTGACAAATAATTTGAATCTATTGATCTTGGGGTGACTGAATGCGAACCAAAAGCACCTTTAAAACTTAAATAATATTGTTGACTAGAATCAAAATCTGAGGGAAATGAAGAATCGGATGGATCATAAATAGTTAAAACAGTATCTCTCAAAGCTCTTTCACATGCTGGTAAATAATCACTTGGTTGATTTAATAAACCATTCCAAAATTCTCTATCATAATCTCTTATTTGATCTATTGATACATTCAATCTGTTTTTATTTTTTATTATTAAATTTTTAATTTGAGCTCTATAGTCAACACCAGTATTGGAGTCAACTCTATCTAAAAATTCTTGAAATTTTCGAACTCTATCTCCAAAAACTGCGTCTAATGGCTGTTGTTCATCTAGTTGTGTATTATCATCCATGTTTGAGTATGTTGAGTAAAATTGAAATAATTAAAACGAGTGAATGGGTAGTTGTAGATGTAATAGCAAGATGAATGAGTAGTAGTAGTAAGAAAATAAAAAAAGTGGAATAAAGATTGAATATGAAATTATTTAATAAAAATAAAAATTAGTATAAGACGCGTTAGTTGATATATACAGTACCACATTATTATTATTAATTAGTCTATCTAACAATACGTATTTAATTAATTTACCTAATTGAGTTTAATTTGATTTTTCGTCAGTTGGTAGCTTCCAACACTACATACACCAACTTTCTAATAAAATATTCTTACTGACTTCATCTTCATCATCATTAGCTGAACCATGTTTAACATTTAAAGCAGAATTGAACTCTTCAAATTCTAAAGCGGTAGTTTGAACTTTATACTTCCTTGATTGTTCAGTTTCTAGCAATTTGATATAACTCCAATCTAGGAAATCTTCTAGATTATAATTTGGTTTTTTAAAAGGTTCTTTAAAAATTTTAGCCAATGTAGCAATATTTGGATGATAATGATTCATCAAAGTTTCCAATTCCCATAATGATGAATTTATGGCGTTGGTATTCATTGGATTTGATTCCAAATTATTGTATGGATCATTTATCAGTTCGATGTTTGTATTGTGTAACATTATCATACAAGTTGGATGCCTTTTCAACAAATTATAAATGAACGGTATTATCATAACAACACCAGAAGCACTCGCTGTTAACGCCAACCTTGCTAATTTCTTAATAAATGAAGCAACTAAATTGGACGATAAATGCGTCGAAGATAAGAATAAGTCCACCAATCTGAAAAACCTTGATCTATATTTGGTATAAAGTAAGTTTGAGTCCAATAATGAATATAATTTTGTATAAAAATCGGGATATTCCAAATTGTGATTCTTCATCAATTCGTATAATGAGTTTAGGGTTAAAATCGGTATCATCGAATGATCTAATTCCTCATTTGCATCCTCCCATTCACTTGAATCTTCATTTTGCTCCTGTAAATTGTATAGATCAGTTAAGAAATCCATTAATCCTTGTGGTTGGGACATAAACGGTATAACTCTTTTATGTAGAATCAACAAAGTTGTTTTATATTGTGAAATGGTCAAAGGGTATGATAAGATGGTAGTAATTGATTTTTGAAATTGTGATTTAAAAAGATTGAATTTATAAATCGAAGATAAATATGTTTGAGAAATCCATGTAGATTTTGATTTTAATTCTTCCTCGTTAGTATCAAATAATAATTTATTCCGTATTATTGTTATGAAATTAGCATATATTAATTGTAATTTGTCGGGTGCAAGACTACTTTTCCATTCTTTTAAAATATTTGGTAAATTACTGAAGAAATAAAATTGAAGGTCCCAATACTTGACAAAAAATGATTCGATGAACTCTAATAAAACAAAGCTATTCGAAAGTCCATCCGGTAAAATGACTCCGTTTTGACCATTTAATAGTACTTTCACTATTGACTGATATGTCTTAGTTGGAAATACTTTAGTATAAGATGCTTCTATCCTGAGTATATTGAGTAAAGTGTCTAAAGCATCCAATTGTAATGACGTTTCATAGCTCAACTTTGATTCAAGAAGCTCGAGTAGTATACCTTTGAAGCGGTCATTCTTTGTTATGATCCAATTAATAACTATTTTAGTTTCCTCATCTTGATTTTTGGTTTTCTTTAATTTCCCTTCTCCAAATAAAATTTTAAAATTTTTAAATAAAATGGAAACAATCTTTCTTCCCTCCGATTCCAAATTTGCATCTTTTTTAAATTTTAATTTTGAGATGATCTTCTCAAGTTGATCAATCAAAATCGTGAAATTGTTATATTTGGCTTCATTTTCAATCTCCATACCCAACTTTTGTACATCCTTAACCGAAGTTGTGGTACCTCGCTTAAACTCTGGTGTTTCCAAACTTGAGTTAGCCTTTCTCTTTGTTGTCATCTTTAGATTCTTGTTGGTTGTCTAAAGATGAGATGCTTGATAATATATTTTAGTACAATAATTGTATTATCATTTTGAGTACTCGTACACTACCGGACTATATATTTTTCAATTTTTTCATCAATTAACTCTATCGAATCTCTTCTTACTCTTTTTCTCTTTGTATGACCTTCCAAGTTTTATACTACATGATGAAATCTCGCGTTTAAAGTCATGGATTAAGACCCTTTTGAAGTTGAGTTGAGTCTTTTAAACGGACTCGATTCCTTTGAAAAGTTAATGGATTCTCTCCATTCGGGTTTTAAGTGATGATTGGTGTTTGGCGCAAAATTTTCTTGTTACATTTAATACAAACACCTTTGAAGAGAAATTCTGATCCAATTATTAATTTGGTTGAAACATACGTATTTTACACAGTCCTTATGATTAAGGCTAACCTTTTGGGATTCTACGCACTTAATGGATATCAAAATTTCGATTGAGGTATTGGAATATACTCATTATTGTCTCAATAGTGATGCCATGCAAATGAGCATATTACGATACTTCAAGATTAAGATTTGGATCGAGTTCAGCAGTGTTCAGGCATAAAAGGATAAGGACATACTCGAATCATGTTGAGCAATATTCCTATCCAATGTCGGGTTGAGTAGATTTTGCAATCTCCTAGTAATTGGGGCAGCCAAATTTGTCTATCTATGAAATTCAATTCATCCGCTGATTGAAAGATTGGATCTCTTCTTGTCATTATCTCTATTTTGTAGCCAAGACAAAAAGTTAATTGATTGTTTGGTAGATGCAATTATAATAATTCTTATAAATATACCTACTTTAATCAACCCTCATGGTTTTTACTTAAACTTTCTTAATTTTTATACTGGAGATCAAAATTAATCTGCATTTACACGAAGAATTACTAATAAATCTATGGAATCACATTTATATTGAACATGGATGAATCTTAATAAGTTTATCTTATTTACATAATAAAATTTATTTTTTTGATGTTCCATTAGAATCATCTAAGTCATCGTTAGTTTTCATCACCACGTTCGAAGATATGAACGATGACGAAGATGAATTCACCATAAGATCGACGTCAGACTACAAACAAAGATTTAATTTTGTATCAAAATACTTAGTTAGTTTTATAAGTTTCATATTTTCAACTATTTTTTGTACCGTTTTATGTTCTGGAGCAATTATTCATGATTGGATAGGAAAAATTACCGGAAGTGGGAGACTCAAAAAGCCAGATATTGAAACAAGGAGTAATGGTTATATACCGAGACCCGCTTACGATAGCATAAAGGACTTAAAAACTACTAGTGATTTACAGTATTACTTGAAACAATTGAATTTAGATTTGGAAGAATATGATGTTACTACTCCAGATGGATTCATTCTAATATTACACCACATAATTGATCCAAAAGAAACTAAAGAGCAAAGAGATGAAAGGAAACCTGTATATTTTCAACATGGGTTATTATCCTGTTCTGCAACGTTTATAGTTAGTGGACGAAATTCATTAGCTTATTTTATGTTCGAGCAAGGATATGATGTGTGGTTAGGCAATAATAGATCATGGTTTAGAGCTAAGCATGCAACTATAAAGGGAGACTTGTATAATAATGAACAATATTGGGACTGGAGTATAAAGCATTTAGCTTATTATGATTTGCCTTCGTTTATAGAGACTGTTCTAAGTATGAAACCAAAACATGATAAATTAATATTATTGGGTCATCTGCAAGGCGGGTTACAAAGTTTCTTAATGTTGAGAAATCCAAATCTAGATTTTATACATGAAAAAATTGAGATATTTGTCCCAATAGCACCAGCAATATATCCTGGTAAATTATTCTATTCAAGATGGTTCATCTCGATTGTTAGTTCCTTACCTCGATTTGCATGGACTATTATGTTTGGATATCTGGCTATTTTGAGAAACTTATGTTTATTAAGATATTTTTTATGTGAATATTGGATCTTTGGAAAACTATCTTACGTTATGTTTAACTATTTATTTGCTTGGAATGGATCAAATTGGGGTTCTAATAAAAAGATATGGCATATTTTATTTATTTTCAACATGAGTTATGTTTCAGTTGATTTATTTCAATACTATCTTGGAAAGTTTAATAAATACGGGTTTATGCTGACACTACTATCTAAAGAAGTATATTTCAATGATAATGAAGTCGATTATTTTATAGACTCAGAAAAGAAAAATCTAGAAGCTATAACTGAGGAAAGATTAGATGGAGAGGCCAAATCAGATGAATCCCTACTGAAGCTGTATTTCCCATATAATAGAACCTGGTTTACCGACAATCTTGAAAGAGTACCAATACTATTAATTCTAGGTGATAACGATTACTTAGTTGACGGCAAAAGATTATTATCTCATTTTGTACATTATGAACCATATTACAATTCAAATTTAAATTTCAATCATGTCATCATTCCAACTTATAATCATTTGGATGTAATTTGGGCTGAGGATGTGATTGGTACTGTGGGATATGAATTATTAAGATTTATTGATCGAAATAAAAATGAAAACACCATCGCCACTGAATCATGAGAAAGTTGGAATATTAAGCGTTTCTAGTACACATTACAGCATTACTTATTCTTGCGTTAATCTCTTCAATTTTGGAATTTCATTCCCCAGACTCTCCGTCCAAAGCGCAATATTTTCTGTATTACTATGGAATATCTTTTGCGCTTTCTGAAGCGCCTTTTATCGGAATAAGTTTATGTGCTTTAGCGAAATGTGTCAAAATAAAAATAAATTATTCCCGTTAGAATAATAGCATTGAAATTAAGAAGAATTAGCCCAATTAATCAATCACTCAACAGGAGAAAGATATTAGTGAGCTTATTTTTAGAAGTATGACACAACAACAAAAATCTCGAGAGTAAAGATCATTCCCGATACGATCGATATTTTGTTTCCACTCATTACCGAGAAAATCTTAAACTAAGATCGCTTGAAATTTATTTCAAATATACTTTTTTGTCTTACTATCAACGAAGTGGGGAATTTCGAATCATTAAATTACTACAGATATAATTCATGTTTATTGATATACCATAACTTCAATTTTGTATTCATAATCTATAAGTAATATATGATTATAAATTCATCAACAGTATCATTTAAAAATATATTACCTTCGTTATTTTATCCACATCAGATCTGATCTCCTTTGGTAGATTTGAATGAATATAGGATATTTAAGTTATTGGAAACATTCATTAAAAAGTCTTTAAATAAAAGGAAAATTTGTACAACAGAATCTAGATTCATAATTGCATAAACTTCGAAATGACAAAGTCACAAATCAAAATTTGGTTAGATGCTGATGTTGGAAATGACGATGCGTTTGCGATCTTGTTAGCAATATTCAATCCCAGATTCAAGCTTTTAGGAATATCAACAGTTCATGGAAATGCTCCAACAGAAATGACCACGCATAATACTTTAGTTGTTTTAGATCTATTGAATGTCCATGATATCAAAGTTTATAGAGGTGAAGAAAATCCATTATTTGTTGAGCCTACCTACGCATTAAATGTTCATGGTAAATTTGGAATTGGAGGTATCCATATACCTGAAACTACTAAAAATCAGGTTGAAGAGGGAGAGAATTATTTACAAGCAATGTATAAAGCTATATGTGAAAATGAAGGTGAAATTTGTATAGTAAGCACTGGTACTTTAACAAATATAGCCAAATTAATTGAAAAGTATCCTGATGTGGTCGACAAGATTAAATATTTATCCATAATGGGAGGATCGTTTGGTTTTGGAAATATTACACCATTCGCAGAATTCAATTTTCACACTGATCCTCATGCAATTCAATTTGTTTTGAAAAAATTTAAACAATCAAAAATTATTTTGTCACCATTGAATTTAACTCATAAAGTTATTGCCACAGAGCAGATACGAAATGATTTTTATAATGAACTAAACCCTAAAAAAAACAGTAAATTGAGGGAATCATTTTTCGATATTTTGATGTTTTATAGTTTAACCTATAAAAAAGAGAATGATATGAGCTTAGGGCCGCCCTTGCATGACCCAATTGCTGTATATAGTTTGTTACCATTTATGGATAACAACTTTAAAGAATACGGGTATATTTTTACGAAGAAAAAATTAAACGTTGAAATTAATGATAATGAAAGGTTGGGAGAATGTATTTACATAAATGAAGATGACGAGGATTATAATCAGGAAGGCGTCAACATCGGGGAGAATCTAGATACCCACAAATTTTGGAGAAGTCTTCTCAATTGTTTGCATAGTGCTGATATCAATGTCAATAAGGGTTCAAATTTTCCAGAATTATAGTAACATTGATATATATCCAAATTATGAAATAATGAAATAACGAAACGAAATAAAATTTACTGTCTATAATATCTATGTCTATTTTTCAGATGAATTAATCACACGTCAGCTCCTTTTTGTTCAACTGGAACTCTAAAAGCACCAGCCAAATAAATCAGCGGTTCATCAATGTTATGATGTTGATAACTCAATACTCCGACACCACCCGCGTCCAACATTAAAGCAGGATCGGTATTGATCTCCCTCGACACCCATCTTGCAACTAAAGATCTTAATATATGACCGTGGCCAACAACTATAATATCACAAGGTTGACCATCGTTCAATGCTTTCACGTGAATCGATCTGACTTTCTGGATAAATCTATCCAACCTTGTTGTGACTTTTTTATAGTTTTCACCACCTTCGCAACCGTCACTCCATATAGACCAATCATGATCTGGTGGATCAATGCCTCTATCGTGTCTTGATTTTCTGATTTCTGCCGTCGTTAAACCTTCATATTGCCCATAATTCCATTCAGTTATATCTTCATCATACTCGACTGGAATTTTCGATCTTATTTCCGGAGGGATAGCTTTCAACAACAATTGAGTAGTATGTCTTGCTCTTAATCTAGGACTTGAAAATATTTGAACGATATTTTGAGGCTTTATCATTTGAGATTCATGTTCACCAATTAATAACTCTCCAGTTTTTTCCATTTGTAATTCTCCAAAATTCGTAAGATCTAGATTTGAAAAGGACGTATGTTTTCCGGACAAAGACCAATCCGTCTGGCCATGTCGAATGAAGATTAATCTTGGGCAGTGGGTCTTCGGCATCGTTTTGTATTCTCAAATGGTTAAAATTTGATCAAGATGTTGATAATTTTGAAGATTGAAAAATAGCCTTGCGCTACCATTTTTGAGCTTGTACAAGGTGCGATATTTATGGATTCTCATTTCGATTGGAAATTGCGCTTTTGAATGATACTGCACCCTATTTAAATTAAACAATGTGAAAAAATAATAGGAACTAGATTTGATTCACGTCAACCATCATAACAAGTTACAAATCAAAGAATTGTAACGGTCAAAACTCATCAACACAATATAATTATGTCATCAATAACAGCCAAAAGTCAAATTACCGGAAAAATAGTACAATTATTAAAAACATTACCGAAAGACAGAATAAAACATTATGCCTCATTCAAAGATTCTCAATTAAAAAGATTTGAAAATAAACAAATACTACAGGATATAAGTGAAAATGATTTAAAATTACAATACATTGCTCTCAAGGAACTAGTCAATGATAAATATAAAAATTATTATAAATTAGATGATAAATTATTAAAACCTAAAGGGAATCCTGAATATTATACTAGATTATTGAGTGAGATTAAAGGTGAGAAAAAAGAAACAATGTTTAGTGCTATTAGAACTGTTGTATTTGGTAAATAGAATTTTCGTATGTTTCGATTTAATCAATGAATCATGAATAACTGAATTGTAGATAGCGAAATGGTAAGTGTTAGAGTTTTTATTGAAATTTTAGTCTAATTTTTTTCGATTTCATATCCAACGTGATTAACTAATATTTTATAAGAAATACATGAAACACCAAATTTAATATCTCCAACAAGTCACACTTGATGAGAATAAAAGGAAACAGCAAGAATAGCACCAGCAATGTCATTTCGTAGGACCTTACAAGGCTCAAAGCCATTGCAATCAATACTTACAATCACTGTCCTTCTACTTATATACATATTATATCATTTCAATTGGTTTAATTTCTTAAATTCCTCATCAATTTCAACACCTGAAGAAATAAATTCATTGCTACAAAATAAAGATACCAGTGTAGTCATCCTCAAAAAGACAGAATTAGTCTCTCAAGGATTACAAAGACCATTTTTAGATGAATCATTATTCCATGTACGGAATTGGAATTTACATGGAAATTCACTAGTCGAAAATGATAAATATATAAGATTAACATCTACCGCCCCACATTTAGCTTCAAACATGTTTAGTAAAATGCCAATTGAAGCAGAATCCTTCGAAATGGAATTGACTTTTCATATACATAATGAAGATGCTAAACATGGATTAGTAGGTGATGGATTAGCGGTTTGGTTTTTAGATAAACCTTCAAATATTGGTGATGTGTTTGGAATTGAAAATGGATTTAATGGATTAGGGATTATGATGGATACTTATAAGAATGGTAAACGTGGTACATTTCCATTTGTTAATTTGATGTTGGGTGATGGTCAGACTTATTATAATAAAGGTACTGATGGTTACGAAACTAGATTAGCTGGTTGTACTGCAAAGGATATATTAAACCCTAGTTCGAAAGAAACGAAAATGAGATTAGTTTATATAAAGAATGGATACTTATCAATTGATTTCAATTTTTATGGAAAACATGAAGATTGGACTAATTGTGTTACCTTGACTGATGTAAAATTACCTCATGTTAAATATTTAGGATTAAGTGCTGAAACTGGCCAATTATTTGAAAATGTGGATATAATAGAAAATAAAATATTTGCTTTGTATAAACCTGATGGAAATTTTGTTGAGTCAATTGATGAATTAGATGACCTAATCAAGGAACAAAATGAATACGAAGAAGTTACAAATTCGTTGCAAGATATAAATGCAAAAGTAGAAAATATAAAATCAAAAACTGGAGGAAGAAATAGAGCTTTCAAAAGAAAATTAAGTAGTCAAAGAAGAAGAACTCTTAAAAGACTTCAAAATGCTGAAAAAAGAATAAAAGAAAAGGAAAAATTAGCAAGATTACAAAAATATGGTGATGAAGATGCTACTTTTTTTAAAAGGATTTTCAGGACTATATTATGGTTTTTGAAAATCATTATATATTTGGCAATTTTCATAATATTATGCTGGTTTGCATTAATAATTTATAGAGTTCAAAAACAGAAAAGAAAACAAAAAAGCACTGGATTATTGGATTAGTTATTAATATATACACGTAATGAATGACTTAATGTACATGTAACTCGTTACAAAACTATGATCTCTTCTTGGCAACGTTATTTTTTTCCTCTGTTGAGGTTGATGAACTTTTCTCTAATAGTTCATTATTTTTGATTAATTCAAAATCTTCTTCATTAGTAGATAATACAATTCCAAATGTGTTATTTGTTGCACCAATTAATTTGTAAACAAATTTCTGCAATGGTTTTGTAGTTGGTTCAAATGGATTAAACTCATAAGATTGATCTATTATTTTAAATCCATTGTTGAGTAAAGCTTGGAATAAATTTTTGTTGAATGAGTAACAAGATGTGGTTATAAAAATAGATCCATTGGTAACATTTGACTTTGAATTTTTCAAATATTCTTGATATAATTCTCTTGATCTTAAGACAGCCCATTCAATCAATAAATTATCAAAATCAACTTTTTGAAAAACCTTACGAACATGAATTCCACTGATTTGAACAATAAAGTTATCAACAGTTGATTGTTTCAAATCCGGTTTTAAAGTTACTATAGCAATTGGTTGTTCTCTGTAACTTATAAGATTTGAATTCTCCCCATTCTTTCCGATCTTGTTCTTTTCTTTAACAAATTCAGTTAATTTGAATCCAAATATGTCATCGCAATAATTCTTATTTACTAAATTATTTGCAATTGACCCAACATCTTCTCCCACTATGTACGAAATGAAACCAAAACTTGCAAAAATAGAAGCAATAACAGGGACTCCTCTTAAAATATTGAAAATAAAATCATTTTTATTTCTCATTGCAATGAGATAAAACTCATACAAGTTTTCACTTACTGAAATATAATCCCATAAGACAAATCCTAATATCACAGGAATCAATGTAGTATATACCATTATCGAAAATGGATGCCAAAAGACATATCTTGTTAAATTTGATTGTGATTGCTTGTAGTAGTCTCCATGCAAAATCAATGCCGCTTTTGATAAATCAGGTCTCAATGATGTTTTGACTAAAGTTGCTGGTTTATTTGCATCTAACGGACTATTTAAATCTATTTCTTTTTGTTCAATCATATTCTGAGATTATGTATTGACTGTATTTAAGTTTCAAGAAATTGAAAGAGTGAAAGTGAATTTAATTTTTAAATGGATCAATTGATAATTTCAAAGTTATTTGGACCACATCTAATGTATAATAAAGTAGAAGGTGCTAACTCATTTCAAAAAATGAATTTTTTAGCTAGTTTAAAAAAGTCCGCCTTTTATTACTGTGTACATCATCGTAAAATTTAAAACGTGGGTGTAAGTGCGATTCCAATATTTAGATACCATAAAATCTAAGTGAAATACCATTTTATGAATTGAACCCAATTTATGTACTTTGAAATCCTATGATAAAATTATTCAGATAGATACGACAAAACTTGTTTGTAATATCGAATTGAAAAGCTGTAAATGAACCTTACATATGATCATCTAAGGTCACAAAAATTATGAAGTTAAATGCGTCGTATCTTCACGACAAATTATGTATTTTACAGAATTTCTACTCAAAAGTTTCTTCTGACGGACTTTGTTTTACTGCTAGCTCTTCCTCTTATTTAACTATATGAATCTTCTACGATAGATAGACTTCTTCAGTGTATACTAAAATTGAGCATGAAACTTTATAACTGTTTTGATGCAAAATATTTGCGACTGTTTTTAATCTAATTTTTTTTGTTTCAAAATCAATCGTTTATTAGATCATTAGTTTAATAACTCACTTATGCTGTATCATCATTTGCTAGCCAAACATATCAAAAGCTTTGCAACCCCAAGGAAACATTTTGGTAACAAAATTAGGTACACTATACCACCAATTCAAAATAGTAATGTTGTAATTGCATTTTGTACTGCGGTATAGACTTTTTATTTTGTTTCAAACAGACTGTTTTGTGTTCTATAGATACGAGTTTGAAGTATAAGATCTAACTCTGAAATAAAGGAACTCATAATCGAATTTAGAATTAGCTTGAGATCTTGCGACCTCATTAAAGGAACCCAAGTCTATTGTGTTGTATTGGGACATAGAACTAAATATTTTGTAAATACCGAAATCTACTTCATTATCAGGATTTTTTTGCTAGTTATTTCTTATCAAGCCACCTTACAGTCCACTTTTACATTTAAAACTTTTGAAATACTTACCAGAAGTTTTCCTGATATAACATGTGTTGGGAACGCGGTAGATATGATATTGTTTGTAATTGAAACTTGAACAGTCTTGCAACCAAGTGAGCTCAGACAGAAATTATTTTGTGCCAACCATGACTCTGGCATGTAGAGAGAATTCCATACACAACTTAGTGTTCTTGAAAATAGGTTCGACTCGTAAGCAGTTATGATTTGTGGATCAACTCAATTTGCAAACCTTTACTTCACTTGTATCAAGGAATAGAATTCGATTATTACTAATCTAAAACGGAAATAATTCCGAGATTTGTAACAGATCCCGTACTGTGGCTGTTTTAATTTATCTTTTAACCACAAGATGTCTTATCAAATTACATATCCTTATTTCAAAATCATCAAACCGTTGCATATATAAATTAATATGATTCCAACCTCAACACCCAACTTAGCAGAGATTATTGGCTCAAAATAATACTAATCATGCCATCTGCATCTGATCTTGATTATGAACATCCAGTTGGTTTATCATCAAAACAAGTTGAATCAATAGCTATAATTGGAGGTGGTGCATCGGCTGCAATAATTCTAGATACTTTACTTAAAGAACCGGACTCGAACATTAAACAAATAACGATTTATGAAAGACAAGATAAGTTAGGTGGAGTATGGTATTTTAATCCAGAAACCATAGAGACACCCAATCATATCATTAAATCTGGTAATATAAACTTTGAAAATGATCCTCAATTACCAAACCCATTTGAAGGAAATTTAGACAAGGATGAGAATGAATTGAATCTTCCTAGAATTAATCAAGAGAGATTTTTACAAACACCAAGTTATTATGGTATAAAGACAAATATTATCGAAAAGATGATGACTTATAGTGATAATAAAAATTGGGGTATAGATGGAGATGATGAAGACAGAAAATATGTTGTCGGCACAGTTGTTCAAAAGTATATTGACAGTTATATTGATAAAAATTTGAATGACCCTAGAGTTAAATTGCATTTAAATTCTACTGTTGAAGATGTTGAACGAATTGACAGACACGATGAAGTCGAAATACCATATAAGTTCAGATTAACAATACGTGAGGAATTACCCAATTCTGAAAAAGATCGTTGGTATCGAAAAAACTTTGATTCAGTCATAGTTGCATCAGGTCATTATCATGTTCCATTCATTCCTCATGTTCCTGGTTTGAAACAACTACAAGAGACATACCCCAAGGTAGTTCAACATGCAAAGTTTTATAGGTCCTCAGAGTCATATAAAGATAAAACTGCAATTGTTGTTGGTTCAAGAGCATCAGGAAGTGACTTGACAAAATTTATAGCTAGAGAACCGGGTACCAAAGTTTATCAGTCAATTCGTAATTATGAAAGGACCAAAGTCTTATCATCTAGAACAAATGTCGAAACTAAACCAGAGATTACTTCAATAGTTCTATTAGATGAGTCAGAGCCTTACAAGATAAAAGTTTTATTCGAAGATGGTTCAATTGTCTATGATCCAGATCATATCGTTTATTGCACAGGTTATTTATTTTCTTACCCATTTTTGAATAGATTGTTCAATAATAAAATCACGCATGAAGGACAAACAGTTTCAAACTTATATCAACATACATTTTTAATCAACGAACCATTAATTACAATTATAGGTGTTCCAATTGACGGTATATCATTCAGGGTATTTGAATATCAAGCAATCTTGTTATCAAGATATATTACTGGAAAAATAAATTTACCTTCAAGGAAAGAGCAAACTGAATGGGTAAACAAAAGATACGAGGAGAAAAGTAACACAAGGTTATATCATACAATTGGAGTTGTTGATGCATTACCATTTGCTCAAACTTTGATACGGTTAGGACAAGTCTCAGCCAAAACCAAAGTTGGTAGAGAATTTCCAATTCTAACTGAAGAGGAAGTCTTGATTTATAGAGAGGCTGGGGAAAAATTGAGGAAATTTTGGGATGAGAGATGAGAGAGTTATCTTATAGATTTGTTATAGATATAGCTTTTGTAAGTATTTAATATTACTGCAAAAGAATATAAGAAGTTGGGTTTTATTTTTTCTTCATTTGCATTAAACCATATGCATTCATTATTTTTTACCAACGATATGAAACTACGAAGGTCATTTAACTATACTTACACAACCTCTTTTAACAATAATTATACTGGATTTGAAATTGGCTGCAAAATGGATCACTCTTGGTAGCGTAAAATCATGTCTTAAGACCGACCGAATTTAATATCATGTTTTAATCTTTAGTACCGACGCAACATTAATTCGTTCAATAAGCACATTATCAAATGATCAGTGCGCTTTTCATATATGATAACAAAGGAGATGTATTAATATCGAAACTATATAAAGAAGATGTCAAGAGGAATGTAGCTGATGTTTTTCGAATACAAGTGATAAATCAAGCATCAATTGGGAAATCAAATAGAGATCAAAGAACTCCGGTTTTAACTTTGGGTTCAACTTCTTTCATTTATATTAAACTGGGAAATGTTTGGATTTGTGCTGTTACTAGGTCGAATCAAGATTGTTCATTAATATTAGAATTTTTATACAAATTGGAAGCATTGCTTTGTATTGTACTATGGGATGATAATAATAAAAAGAAACATCAACAAGAAAAACTTACGTTATCAGACAACGCGATTGTTAATGGATTTCCTTTGATTTACGATATATTGGGGGAAGTTTGTGATTATGGATACCCTATAAATCTAGACATTGAATATTTGAAGAAATATGTTGTTGGATTGAATGAATCTACGGTTACGAATATATTTAAAAAAGCAAACTTCAATCCATTGAGTCAATTGAAAAAGAGTACACCACCAGTCACTGACACAGAACATCACAATGTAACATGGAGAGCGCCTAATATAAAGTATAGAAGGAATGAAATTTATTTGAATGTTGAAGAGAAATTAAACATTTTGATGAGTGCACAAGGTGAAATTTTAAGGAGTACAATAGATGGAGCAATAAAGATGAAGTCACATTTATCAGGAATGCCACAATGTAAGTTCGGGTTTAATCAAAATACAATATTTTTGACAAACTATGATATTCAAGATGATGAAAGAAGTTCGGTAGTAGCACTAGAGGATTCAAAATTTCATCAATGTGTCGAGCTAGATGCTTTTGAAAATGATAGGACTATACAGTTCATCCCACCAGATGGTGAGTTCCAACTAATGTCTTACAATTGTTCCAATAATACAAATATACCCTTTAAAATAATTCCACAGGTTCAAGAAATCAAAAAAAATAAACTTATATATAAAATAGCATTAAAAACATATCAACCTCCGAAACTAGCTGCAACAGATTTCAAAATCAAAATTCCAACTCCAAGAAATGTAATATCAACTAATTTTTTAGCATCAAATGGTAAAGTCAAATATCATCCAGAAGAACATGCAATGATTTGGAAATTCAATAAAATTTATGGTGAACAAGATAATATACTAACGGCAGAAGTTGAGATACAGTCACAACCGAATAATGATTTTAGCAACTGGAATCGACCTCCCATTACTATAGATTTTAATTTAGATATGTGGTCAAGTTCTGGATTAACAGTTAAATATTTGAAAGTACAAGATAAATCAAAGTATAAAACTGTCAAATGGGTTAGGTATACTACGAAATCAGGCTCGTATGAAGTAAGATATTGAAGTTCTGCTTTTTATACTTGACCCTGACACGTTTTAGAGGATCGATAGATGTGAATGAAGTTTACTGAATTAATGACAAACTAGAATAGACCAATAACAAAGTAGAGAATGTCAATAACTACAATCAACTCTCAAGGAAATTTGTAAATTATGTCTCTCTAACCTACTAGCTATGTCCCTCGTTAATTGCACACTTTCGTCGAGACTCGTCATCGTTAGAAACTCAAAATTAATCAAGAGACTAACCACAGTAAGCCCCACTATTTCTATAGTTGAGATCTATACCACTATCTCAATAGGGTTTCAAAACTATGCAATCGTCACAATAATTTTCTCTTACCGTTTCGATGGTTGAGCCTAAAATTTTATGGAACAAAAGTATGACACAAAAAATTTAAAACTTGTTTGAAGATGTTTAATACTTCACGACTTATACTAAATTAATACCACAAGCGTATATGAGAGATTTGGTTGTTCTTGGAGGCTCATCACATCCGTTACTTACAAAATCCATATGTCGAAATCTAACAATTGAACAAAGTAGACTAGATTCAAGAAAATTTTCAAATGGTGAAACATCAATAGTTGTACAAGATAGTGTTAGAGAAAAAGATGTATTTATTGTTCAGAGTGGATGTGGACATGTTAATGATAATTTCATAGAATTATTGATTACTATAGCTGCATGCAAGACGGCCAGTGCCAAAAGAGTCACTGCTGTATTACCATTATTTCCATATTCTAGACAACCTGATGTTCCATTTTTACCAAATACTACGGGAGCACCTAGTATTACAACAAAAAAAGATGATTATACTTTTGAAAGTGCCCCAAGTACCCCAAGACCATTATCAAGGGAAGGAACTAAACCTTTTGATTTTATCAATGCCAATAGTTCTAATATAAATGCAAATCCAGAAATATCAAAATTTAAAACTAATACTTTAAAAACTCCTCAACCAATTAGGTATACACCAAAATCAATAGTTACAAATGCATCATCTACGAATTTTTTACCAGAGATTGATGCACAAGGTAAAACTAAAAGTGGATATAAACAATGGATAGCTCAAAACGGTACACTTATAGCGAACTTATTAGCAACTGCTGGAGCAGATAGAATAATTACTATGGATTTACATGATCCACAATTCCAAGGCTTTTTTAATATACCAGTAGATAATTTATATTCAAGACCAATACTAAAACATTATATAACAGATTATATTCCAAATTATCAAGATTGTGTTATAGTAAGTCCTGATTCAGGTGGTGCTAAAAGAGCTACATCAATAGCTGATTCAATCGGATGTTCATTTGCTTTAATTCATAAGGAAAGAAGAGCTAAAGTAGCAAAAGGACCACCACTGACTTCATCATCATCTTCAACACCAAATAATGCTTCGCAACAACAATTACAACGTCAACAACAACAACAACCACAACTTCATAATCAATTACAACAGCCGCCCAAAATGGTTGCTACAACTATGCTAGTAGGTGATGTAAAAGATAAAGTATGTGTTTTAATTGATGATTTAGTAGATACTTCATATACAATAACAAGAGCAGCAAAATTATTAAAAGATCAAGGAGCTAAATATGTTTATGCATTAGTTACTCATGGAATATTTAGTGGTGATGCAATAAATAGAATTAATTTAAGTCAAATTGATAAATTAGTTACAACAAATTCTGTACCACAAATTAATAATGTTGCTATATTAGGTGATAGAATGGAGGTATTGGATGTAAGTAGAATATTCGCTGAAGCTATTAGAAGAATTAATAATGGTGAAAGTGTTAGTATGCTTTTTGATCATGGATGGTGAGAGAAGAATGAGGCAAATTTATTTTAGATTTAAAATTTTAAAATGCTAGTAATATTTATTTATATTTCAATTAGTTTTGTTATTTTAATTTTTTTTAATTGACTTAATCATCAATATACCTATTTATAAGTTATGTAAGCTTATTTTGCGTAATGCAATTTGATATCTAACCATTGTCTGGCTTTGACTTCCTCTGGAGTTAAAAATTCGTCACCATAAGTTATAGCTTTAAAATAAAAGAAAAACCAAATTATACCAATTGATGCAATAGCTACTAAAATAGTCATTTTTATCTTTTTAGTTTTATTATTTATATTTAATGAATCTTTTGAATTATCTGAACATATAAATTCAGCTAACCCACCTGAAAATAAAGCCGCTATTAAATGAGCAGGTAAATAATGATGTAAAAATTTTTGACGATTCATTAAATAAAATGGGAAATAATGAGCGCTCCATCCAATAAATAAAAATCCTAAAGTATTATATAATCTTGATCTTGATTTATCACTTAACAAATGATAATTTCTACGACGAGTAATTTGATCAGCTAATACAATTCCAACATAAATTGATAAGAAACATACTTCCAACCAAAATCCAATCACATTTCCAATAAAGAAAATTTGCTTTTTAGTATCATTATTATTATAAAATGAAACACCACTCAATGCTAATGGCCAAGTATCTGGTTGTGAAGCAAATGGATGTGATGAACTTAATTGATTATTATGATGAAACATTAATCCTTGCAATTGCCACCATTTTTTTAAAAATGGCATAGTTTTAACTTCTTTTGGAATATATTTACTTCTTTGATCATTTTTATCAAGGTTTGTAACTTTTCCAAAAGTCCATACATTATCTTTATCTTGAATTTTTTTATTTCCACTAACTTCTTGTTGACCAAATGCCCATTCTGGTAATAATTCATCATCATGAGTCCACATAGCTACAACAGTATCCATATGTAAAATTCTTAAATCAGTTGCTAAAGTTTTAATTTTTCTTCTTTGGTTTTGTTTCTTGGGTGATGAGCCTGGTACACTTAATCTTAATCTAAATAAAGTTTCATTATACCTTGATTCAATTTTTTCATCAAACACCACAGTAAATTCTTCATTTGTTGGTTTTAATGGAGATGCAACATCATGAGTTAATAAATAACCACCTGTTCCAACATGTTTAAATCTAACAATATCATTTGTATAAACATCTTTTCCTTTTTTACCATCATCATCTGCTTTCACTGGTACTATTTCCCATTGATTATTTGGATCTTGTTCTGGAAATTCAACATCAACACAAGTAACTTGTTGTTGATTTGAAGAAATTCTACCATCTTCATAACGTAATGGATATACATGACTATGAGAATGTAAATTTGCTCCAGTATCTTTATGTTGAATTGTAATTTGATCATAATATTGAACTTGTTTTGAATTTTGAGCTAATGGTGATTCTAATAAAGTTTCTTGAAATTCCGATGACATAAAAGCATCACCTGGACCAGATTTTATAAGAATTGCAAAATGTAAATAAAACCAAAATAAATAAATTATAAATGGTACAACAATTAAAGCCCAAAATCTTGCTAAAAAATGTTTTGAAAATTCTTGTAAAGTTAAACCTTTTTTATAATCTAATAAAATCCATAATTCATGTATAACAGCAATACCAATTGTAAAATAAGTAAAAACACCAACATATTTAGTTGAAATAACACAAGATAATGAAACTCCTGTTGCTAATAACCAAGTCCACCATTTTTGACTAAATGGTTCTTTTCTAAAAGTTGAAAATTTACAATAACTGAAAATTGTTAATGCAACACTTAAAATTAAAGTTGCATCTAATAAAATTAATCTACTATCAACAACTTGAGCATTATCAAAACAAACAATTAAACTTGCTAATAAACAAGCTTGTACTTGAAATCCCAAAGTTTTCATAGTTAAAAACATAATTGGAATAATAGCAGTACCTTGAATTGCAGATAAACCTCTATAAGCAATATAAGGAACATTATTTTCAATATATGAATCACCAATTGCATCAAATTTAAATTTACCATTGTAACCAATTAACCAACCAACAAATGCAATTAATAATTTAGCAAAAGGAGGATGTAAATCAAAAAAATAAGTTCTTTCTAAATAATAAGAAGCAAATTTTCCAAAATGAACTTCATCAAATACAACTTGATCTGGAGTACCTAATTTTATAAATCTTAAATAAAATCCAATTGCTGTTATTGTTGCTAAAACAATATGATATTTATATTCAGGATCATTAGATTGTTGTTGAATAGTAGTAATTTTCTTTTTTAAAGAAATTGATTCATCAATTATATTTGAATTTTCAATAGGTGTATTTGACTTTTTATTCCTTTTTCTTATTTGTTGAGACATGATGATAGGATAAAGACTATGTTTCTAGTAGTTCAAAAAAAATTAATTGAGCATATATGAATATTGAATGGTTTGATTAAATGAATGTGAAATTTATTGTCAACTTATATGGAAAATAAATTGAATAAAATAAGTTACTTATATTTGAAACATAAAAATTATGATCTGTCTCTTTTTTTTTTTTTTTTTCATTGTTTTGGTGTTTTGAAAAATTATTTAATTTAAATTTACGAAATAAAAATATTTTTGGTTCGAGTAGTAGACATGAGACACGTAGTATTTTGTAGAAATAAGTGATTCTGGTTCAATTTCATGGAAAAAAAATCGACTAACTTTAAGTTTTTCGAAAGAAGTATTCAAAATTTCATTCAAGATTTCCAAATCTCAAGAGAGACAGGAGTTGTACATATTTTGAAAAGTTAGAGTGAAACAACTAGATTTATAATTTGGTTAGGTCTGGTAATAATAATACGTATTTTTGTGTAATCAGTAGATGCTTGAGTACGACATCAACTATGACGTTACGAAAAAAATCGATGTTCCACACGCAGAAGTTGTCCTATTGACGTGTAAAATTTGTCCAATTCAAAGCATTTTTTGATAAGCTGGTTGGTTCTTTACATTGGCTTACTCTTGATACTTAATGCTTCCTACTATATGTTGATATATTTCATGAGTTGTTTGAGATTTGACTGCTGTATCTGGTAGCACACAGTTATCGCATTAAGAACAAGAATTTGAATTAAATATGATTATGTATTCTACACAATTAAGACTTCTTTACATAAATGAATAATGATTCAATTCAAACAATTGATAATGAATATGAATCAAAAGAATTAGATGACAGCTCGTCACTGTTGAACACACAAACTCAAACTAGCAAAATACGAAAGAAGAAACGAAGAAAGAAAAAGAAGAAGTTAAATATGAATGAAAACAATGAAGAATCTTATTATAATGGTGAATTATTAGTACATACTTATAATACTTTACCACAATCTGTACAAAAATTTTGGAATAGAAGACATGAATTATTTTCAAAATTTAATGATGGTATTTTCCTTTCTGAAGAATTATGGTATAGTGTCACCCCAGAACTAGTTGCAAAATATATTGCTCAATTATTTGTTAAAATTTTACCATCAGAAGCTAATTGTGGATTAGATGTTTGTTGTGGAGGAGGTGGAAATACAATACAATTTGCTAATTTTTTTGATTCCGTTGGAGCAATTGATATAAATCCTGTAAATTTATATTGTACAGAACATAATTCAAAAGTTTATGGAGTTGAAGATAATATTTGGAGTTTATGTGCTGATTGGGCAGAAATTACAAAACCAAAACAAGATGGACTGATAAATTATGATTGGATTCCAGAAAATGTGAAAAAATTACGGAAAGAATCATCTCAAGATCAAACATTTGATTTTATATTTAGTTCTCCTCCATGGGGTGGTACAAATTATAATAAAAATGAATTTAATTTATATAATATGGAACCTTTTAATATTTTGGATTTATTAAATTCAATGACTAAATATTCAAAAAATATTGGATTATTTTTACCAAAACTGTCAAATTTAATGCAATTAAGTATGGCTACAAGAGAAGTTTATGGAGATTATAAAAAATGTAGAGCAGTATATATAAATTCAAGAGGTAGATCTGTTGCTTTACTTGCTTTATTTGGTGATGTTTTTACTGCAAGGTTTGATGAGTTGGATGATATTAGTGAAGAAGCTTTATTAGGAGAAGATAATGGTTTGGGACATGGAATGGAATTACAAGAAGATGTGGCGAATGGTGATAATGATGTAGATGATAGTGAGTCAGACAATTTAGAATAATTGAAAAAAGACATTATTTTACCGAAGTATGAAACTTCGTATGAATTAAAATGTATTCTAATTAACATACCCGACTTATAAGCCAATCAAAGTTACATAGGCGGTCAAATGTTTGACTTTCTTATGTGCGTAGGACGATTTGTTTCTTTAAATTCATTCCCTAAAATTTGTGCGTGAGACATTTTTATAAAAAAATCAAAATCAAAACAATCTTGTGTTATTTATAGACAACTTCATTAAAACGACACTTGGACATAAATAATGAATATAAGAAACGAAATAAATTCATCTTCATCATCAGCATCAAGATCATTGTTAGAATCAAAAGTTGATAGACTCATAGTACAACTAAATGATATAGAAAATTCATTTCATGAAGATAATAGATTATTACAAAATTTAGTAAAACATCAAAATAATAAGATTGATAATTTAACTAATTTATTACATACTTTAATTAATGGTACCAGTTCAAGTTCAAATTCAAGTTCAAAAAAGAGAAAAAATAATAACCATAATCAATTGAATGATAGACTAATTGCTCAACAAGATACATTAACAAATTCACCACCAACTCTTAATGAAAATGAAGATGTTCAAGAAGTTGTTGGAGATGATGAAGTTTTAAATTCTATACATGTTTTACAAAGTGGTGGAGGAGGAGGTGTTAATGTAAGTGATTTACAAAGTTCAAACTTACAACAATTGAATCATTTACAACATCAACATCAATCCCTTTTGGATCAAAGAAGAACTCATTTACATCATCAATTACACGCTCCTCACTTGTCTGTTGACAATAATATGGACCCTGCATTACATAGAGTCACCAATACCGATCAACAACAGCAACAACAACAACAACAACAACAAGGTCAAGAAAATTCCTCACAAAATAAAAAACGTAAAAAAACTGGACAATATACAAGAGAAAGAGTAGGTATACCAGATCGTAAAATTAAAATTGAATTTTTACAAAATCCAAGTACAGTAAGAGAAATTTATCAAGAATTTTATCATGGATATAAAAATCAAGAACCTTTATGTGTATTAGATTCAAAATATGGTAAACATGATTGGAGAGGTGATTCAAGATCAAAAGAAAGTAAAAGATATCAAAGAAGAAAAAGATTATGTGATGCTATAAAAAAGGGAGCTTATAAATATAATAAAACTGATGATGAAATGATTGAATATCTAGAAACTTTTAGAAAACAAAAATCTTTGACTTGGATTATGAATGGTAATTTACCTCCTGATCTTGAAATTTAAGAATTATATTGATTACAAGTTTAATTGTTTTTTAATTCTACAATATTAGTGACATAGTCTTTTCAAAAGATATCTATGTAATTTAATTCCATATTATATACTAATTATTTTATACTATTTACAAATATTTTGATATTGAATTCTCATACCTACTGATGTAATGATCTTAAAACATGTTTGATGATGAATTTCCAAAATGAACGCCAAAACAGAAAAAAACGTAATCATCATTATATTATAACACTAAAAAAATTTATCTAATTCTTTGGTGGTTCTTCAGATGAAGATGATGATGAATCTTTATATAAGTCTTTGAACAAATCAATTGCATCTGCTTGCAATTTCTCGGTTGCAGATTTTAATTCATCTGCAACAACCTCCTCTCCTGATTGAGCTTTAAGAACAATCTCTCTTAATTTGGAGATTTGTTCTTTGACTTTATCAACAGCTTCAGTGGATAATTTTTCTTTATGCTCATTGAGTGAGTTTTCAGTGTCATTACACAATTGATCTGCTCTGTTAGCATTCTCAATTGCTTCTCTTCTGGCTTTATCTGATTCAGCATATTTTTCTGCATCATTGACCATTTTTTCAATTTCTGCATCTGATAAACCTGATGAACCAGCAACAGTAATAGAAGCATCTTTATTTGAAGCTTTATCTCTAGCAGATACTTTAATAATACCATCAGTATCGATATCAAAAGTAACTTCAATTTGTGGAACACCTTTTGGTGCTGGTGGAATACCACTTAATGTGAAATTTCCAATTAATTTATTATCTCTTGTTAATTCTCTTTCACCTTGGAATACTCTAATTTCAACTGAAGTTTGACCAGCTGAAGCAGTTGAGAAAATTTGTGATTTTTTAGCTGGAATGGTAGTATTTCTTGCAATTAATCTAGCAAATACACCACCCATGGTTTCAATACCTAATGATAATGGAGTAACATCTAATAAAACAACATCTTTAACTTCACCAGCTAAAATACCACCTTGAATGGCAGCACCCATAGCAACAGCTTCATCTGGGTTAACAGCTTTTGAAGGTTCTTTACCGAAAATTGATTTTACAGTTTCAACAACTTTTGGCATTCTTGACATACCACCAACTAAAATAACTTCAGAAATATCTGATGTTGATAATCCAGCATCTTTAAGTGCTTTTTTACATGGTTCAATGGTTTTTTTGATTAATGGTTCAACTAATTGTTCAAATTGAGCTCTTGTGATTTTTTGATTAATATGTTTTGGTCCTGAAGCATCAGCTGTAATGAATGGTAAATTGATTTCAGTTGAAACAGTTGATGATAATTCAATCTTAGCTTTTTCAGCAGCTTCTCTAATACGTTGGATTGCCATTCTATCTTTTTCTAAATCAATACCGGTTTCCTTTTTGAATGCATCAACAATATATCTAACTAATGCAATATCAAAATCTTCACCACCTAAATGAGTGTCACCATTAGTTGATTTAACTTCGAAAACACCAGCACCAATATCTAAAATTGAAATATCAAAAGTACCACCACCTAAATCAAAAACTGCAACAACTTCTCCATCTTTCTTTTCTAAACCGTAAGCTAAAGCAGCAGCAGTTGGTTCGTTAACAACTCTTAAAACGTTTAATCCAACAATTTTACCTGCATCTTTAGTGGCTTGTCTTTGAGCATCATTGAAATAAGCTGGACAAGTAACAACTGCACAAGTAATTTTTTTACCTAAAGCAGCTTCAGCAGTTTCTTTCATTTTATTTAAAACAAATCCACCAATTTGTTGTGGAGAATATTGTTCACCTCTTGCTTCTAACCAAGCATCACCATTACCATGTTTAATGATTTTATAAGGAACTTGATTAATATCTCTTTGAACTTCTTTATCTTCATATCTTCTACCAATTAATCTTTTAGTAGCAAATAAAGTATTTTCTGGATTAACAACAGCTTGACGTTTAGCTGGAATACCAACTAATCTTTCATTATCTTTTGAAAATGCGACAATTGAAGGAGTAGTTCTACCACCTTCAGAATTTTCCAAAATCTTTGGAGTTTTACCTTCCATAACAGCTACAGCTGAATTGGTAGTACCCAAATCAATACCAATAACTGGTGGAGTAATTTTTTCAGTAGTTGTAGATTGTGAACGAATAGAATTAAATCTACTTATTAAAGATTGACATCTTAAATTTTTAATTGAATTTCTTGCAGATAACATCTTTAATCCTATAACTTATTGATGATGATATGTATATGTACAAAATGAAAAAAAATATTTAAAATTGGTTGATGATTTCCGATGATTTATAAAATATTAAAATGAGGTTGAAAAATTAAAGTCTATTTGAAAAATTTTATAACAATATTTTAAGTGGTATTTAGATTGTTAATAGAATTAGAGAGAGAGTGTCAAAAAAGCGACATAATAATATAAGAAGAATTTGAATGATGCTAATAGAATATTATAGAAAAAATAGAAAAAATATTAATGTCATTTCAGAGGAAGGCAAGACATTGAAAAGTTTGTTAAGGTGCCATAGGGACTTTTAGCGCAGGGCAGGTTTTGGCACTAACAAAGTCTCGAAAATAGAATGCTTTAGGGAGTCCTCAGTTAATGAGATATGGCTTCAAAAATAGTTTCATTAATCTTCAAGTCAGGATTAGACTACTCTAGCTCTTAAACGTAATAGTCTTTCGTTTCAAAAATTTCTCACATAGTTTCAAATCTAGCTGCAAATTTTTTTTTTTTGTTGCAAGCAATGTTAGTAAAAATGTTCGATTTTTTCCATTTTTGTCTGACCTTTGTAACCACCAATCAATTGTATCCGCTTGTTTGGTTACTATCATAAGCTTGGTTAAGCCTTTGAAGAAAAACTGGGCTCAACAATGTTGAGTCAATGTAATGTCTAAAATCTCCCAAAATCTAGTATTCCGAGGAACTCGCTACCAAAACGGAGGTGCGCCAAAAGTCCATATACCTACTTACAAGAGCTTGATAAATAATTAAAGAATAGTAATTAGCCTCACATATTATTGAAAGACTTCAATATATATTTGCCATTAAAGAAAATGTAAGTATAAGATTCAGCTAATAGACTAAAATGATATGGTTACATTAATTCCGGTTAAGGTTGACTAAATATCTACTTGAAAGCATGACTAGTAGTAAAAATTATTAAAATGTTTCAGATTTTTGCCACCGGATCGTGATACAGAATTAAAAGTTATCTTAAATTTTTCACTTCATACAATAATATTTCAATTTTTCGCTTCATATTCCATTTAATGAATTACTATGTATTTGACAGATTTAAACTCACCAATGTACATGTTTGTTGTGATAAAGTACATTTAAATTTAAATGATGCAACAACGATCGATTAGGATAGTAACGGTCTAAGTTTTACAGTGGATGTTGATGTAGCTGATACCATGTTTATATTTTTCACCGTTTTTCTAAGAATAATTGAAGGTGCCAGTACTTTCAATTACCAACTTCCTCTGTAGCAATAGAAGTTTCCCTTGAAGATCCGTCTATCATTTTGATATTATCCTTGATTATTGGCAAATTTACGACATCAGACTTACTTTTAAATTTCCGATTATATGTTATTTGATCATTTTTATAAAGTAAAATTCTATTTGCACTGGTTGAAAACGTATTCAAGATACTTTTCAATAAATTCGATTCCAATTTAGTTTTCTCCTGAAGTTGATCAAATGACATTTTGTCATTATCATTAAAAGAAAGAATAATAATTGCTTGCAACATATTACAATTGATTGGTATTTCTCTATTTTCTGAAAATTGACCCATTATTGTTAATCTATGAAGTTTATAATGAGTCCAATCCAATAACCCTTTACCTTTTGAAGATCTGTTTAAACATAATTCATTTTGAAATTCAGAAGGTAGCATAACCGATTTGAAGCTTTCATCAGGAAGCATATTTGCCCAAACGCTTGAGTCTAATATTAACGATTTAAACTCAATTGATTTTCCAACAGCGCCGAGGTTGATCGTTGTAATCTTATTTCTCGATACATCTTTGATCAATTCAATGATGCTTGAATTCTTATGGCGAATAACGGAATTGATATATTCTGCAATTTCAACCTCTTCTATTAGATTGACTTGCTTATTTAACAATAATCTTTTGAATAAATCCTTCTGATATGAAGAAACAAAACCGTTTTCAAAATCTTCTGAAAGTCCCCTAATAATAATTCCAATAACTCCCAGTATAATTTTTACATTGCAATCTTGTCCCAATTTACATTTAAAATACATGTCAATAAGTTTGGCAAGTTGTTTGGTGACATTGTTCTGATATCCAACTTTATTGAATACTGATTGCAAAATGTTTTGACTATTAAAAATGGGTCCTCTCACAGCATATTTAACATTGTCAACATGATCAAATAAAGACTTAAGTTGCTGCACCAAAGTAATTAAAATGCTGGGCTCCGGGATTGTATTATCCTGTGAATTTAAGTAATTAGTAATTAATGCTTCGATTTGACTTTCAAAATGCTTTTTTAATTTCTGGATGGCACAATCTCTAGTAGCCTCAAAATTGTTTGATTCATCTATACCGGAGTCGCCACAGCCGTAGTAAAGATGATCAAACACTCTTTGAATATCCTTGAAAGAACTTGTCAACTCACAAACATCCATTATCATTTGTTTATTATTCTCAAGATTATGAGAAAACAATGGTGTCGTCAAAAAAATATCATACTCCTGAGCGTCTATATTATCTTCATGAAATTTTTTAGCAAATTTGACTTCCTCGTCAATAATGTTAAACATTGTTTTGGTTTTTGTCGATCCCCTGAAATCACAACGTCCATTCAAATTATCATACTTACTATTTCTAAAATATTCATGAATGGCGTGTCTGATGATTTCAAAAGAGCTTGTAGATTCTTCTGAATATCTATACATCATTTTAATGAATGTAATGAATTTCTCATAAAACAGAGATATATCAACTTGTATTTTGGACTTTTCAAAATACTTATCTTTCAAATAAACTTTCGTTAATAACACAAATAGCTGATCCATGAAAGTAAGGATCCAAAAGTACGATAAGTCTCTATCATCCTCTTCACTAGTTTCAAAAAGGTTCAATTCCCGCGGGTGATTTGTGAAACAAAATCTATTGAAGTAATTAATTCCCATCTCATATGGAGAACCTTTTATTTTGTCCTCAAATTTCGATGTAACTTTGAATAAAATCTCAAGTTTTTCCAAAATTTTTTCATATCGATTCCAACATTCAAGGGCAACTTCACAAGCTTTTATGACTTCTTCATCATTATATTTGATTACATTATTATCATCGGAATGTAATGAACTAATAGCAGCATCTTCTTTAAATGTATCCAAATTCTCCCTCCAGAACTGAATTAATTTATCATCAATTATATTTTTAATATAATTTGAATTTTCCCTTTTCTCACAACAAGCTTGGGTTACACTTAAATAAGTTAGTTCAAACAGTAAAGGTTTTTCTTCAAAAATTAGATCGATCAAATTAGTGCAAATCTTAGTCTGAGCATTGAATATCTGGAAATAAATGGAATTATCAATATTATCACTATCAACTTCGAATTTTTTGCGTTTTGATAAGCTATTGTATGAACTCACTAATGATAAATGTGATCTCGACCTTTCCTTCGATTCAGTCGTTGATGATATTTCATTTTCACGTAAATGTAATATCTCTTGTATTGTTTTTGTCATTGGTTTAAATTGTAGGAAGTTAAGACATTATCCAATTGTGTTAACAACTAGTTCAAGTCGATGATTAAGCTTATAAATCTCAAATGTTTGGTCTGTAATATCTTGAATTCATATTTTTCTTATTAAAAAAATAAGCGTTCTAATGTTAAGAGATAACTGCGGGTTATTTATGTTTCCGATAACTTAGTTTATTGGTTAGATAATTCTTAGAACTGTATGACCGATCTTGTATACTTAAATGAAAATAAGAATTTTGTTTACATTTGAACCCCTAATAGTGAAGTACGTAAGAATTAGATGTTGTATGAAGTCTACAAAAATGATCATTTCATCTAGGGGTTTTTACTTAATTTGCAATCAATTATGCTAATTACCTATCAAGAGACTCATTTCACTTCAAATTATGCTAAATCCTAAGGCTCCTTTGAACACATGAAGCGAGTATAGACCTATTTGATCACCTAATTAGGAACTTTCAAGTAAATTTATGAACTATTTCATAAAGTAGAATTTTTGGAAATCTTACATGACTGATTGCTAGTAAAAGTTGGAGAACTTATACTCGTTAGCAACAACGAAGTGACTTTTTGACCTTCTAGTTGTTTATTTGTTTTCCCAATTTTTAAAATCGAAGCTTCTAAATGCCATGACACCCACAGAATGATACTTGTTAGAAATAACGTATTCTTGATATTCAATACCTCATTTATCTACACCGTTTTTCCATAACGAGATTGCCGTAGATTTAAATAATCTTAATACAAATGTAAAGTGCTCGAGGTCTGGACTTGAAGTATACACATTGCTGAGAAATTCAAATGGCTGTGCATAATGGTATCATAATGTATTAGCAGTTCTTAAACTTGAACTCCCGAGATACACAGCTCTTATTTTTTGATTGAATATGTCATTAGTTTTCGTTATCGTTACCAACTACCTCTGTAGCAATAGAGGTTTCCCTCGAAGATCCATCTACCGCTTTAATATTATCTTTAATCATGGGCAAATTTACCACATCAGATTTACTTTTAAATTTCCGATTATATGTAATTTGATCTTTTTTATAAAGTAAAATTCTATTTGCACTAGTTGAAAACGTATTCAAGATACTTTTTAATAAATTTGATTCCAATTTAGTTTTCTCCTGAAGTTGATCAAATGACATTTTGTCATTGTCATTAAATGAAAGAATAATAATTGCTTGCAACATATTACAATTGATTGGTATTTCTCTATTATCTGAAAATTGACCCAATATTGTTAATCTATGAAGTTTATAATGAGTCCAATCCAGTAACCCATTACCTTTTGGAGATCTATTAAAATTTAATACATTTTGAAATTCAGACGGGAGAATAACCGATTTGAAGCTTTCATCAGGAAGCATATTTGCCCAAACGCTTGAGTCTAATATTAACGATTTAAACTCAATTGATTTTCCAACAGCGCCGAGGTTGATCGTTGTAATCTTATTTCTCGATACATCTTTGATCAATTCAATGATACTTGAATTCTTATGACGAATAATGGAATTGATATATTCTGCAATTTCCAACTCTTCTATTAGATTGACTTGCTTATTTAACAATAATCTTTTAAATAAATCTTTCTGATATAATGAAACAAAATCAACTTCAGTATCTTCTGAAAGCCCGTTTACAATGATTCCGAGAACTTCCTGTATAATGCTTACATGGCAATCTTGTTGTAACTTACATTTAAAATACATGTCAACAAGTTTGGCTAGTTGCTTGGTGATAGTATTTTGATCTCCGACTTTATTGATTACTGATTGTAGTATGTTTTGCCCATCAATTGTGTTTTCTTTTCTAGTAGAATAAGGATTTACCATAGCAGAATTAGCATTGTGAATTTGCACGAATGAAGACTTAATTTGCTGTACCAAAGGGATTAAAAGGCTGGGATCTGGTATTGGATTATCCTTTGAGTTTAAGTGTTCAATTATTATTGTTTCGATTTGACTTTCAAAATGCTTTTGTAATTTCTGAACAGCGATATCTCTAATAGGACCAAATTTTTTTACTGCTTCAACATCATCAGAGTCATCATCATAGTTTTCAAGATATTCAAACACTTTTTGAAGATCAACCAAGGATCTTGTCAAATCACAAACATCCATTGCCATTTGTTTATTATTTTCAAAATTATGAGAAAGAAATGGTGTCGACATAAAGATATCATACTCTCGAGCGTCTATATTATCCTCATGAAATTTTTTGGCAAATTTGACTTCCTCGTCAATAACATTTAATATCGTTTTGGTTTTAGTTGGACCTTTGAAATCACAACGTCCGTTCAAATTTTCATACTTACCGTTTTTAAGATACTTAATAATAGCGTGCCTTGCGATTTCGAAAGAACTCATAAAATCTACCGAATATCTATGCCTCTTCTTGATGAATGTAAGAAATTTTTCATATAACAGAAATATATCAGTTTGTATGTTGGACTTTTCAAAATATTTATCCTTCAAGTAAATTTCGGACATTAACACAAAAAGTCGATCCATGAAATCAAGTTCCCAAAAGTATGATATGTCGTCACTTTCCTCATGATCATTACCCAAAAGTTGATATCGTTCTTTTACCTCAAAACAAAATTTATTAAAGTAGTTTATTCCCATTTCATATGGAGAACCCTTAATTTTTTTTTCAAACTTCGTTGAAACTTTAAATAAAATCTGAAGTTTTGTTAAAATTTTTTCATATCGATTCCAATATTCAAGAGCAATTTCACAAGCTTTTATGACCTCTTCCTCATTGTATTTGAGTTTGGTATTTTCATCATTCGAGTCTAAAGAACTAATGAAAGCATCTTTTTTCAATTTATCTGTAAAATCCTTCAAAAACGAATGAAACTTGTCAAATAAAAAGTCCCTAATAAATACTGAATTTCCCTTATTCTCACAATAAGCTTGGGTTAATTGACTTAAATAACGTATGTCATATTGTAAAGGTTTCTCTTCAAAAATTCTGTAGATCAAACGCATGCAAAATTTAACTTGGCTTTTATTTTCTTGTTGATCATTGCTAGCACTACTTGAATCACTATCAATTTTGCTACTATTGTGTTTTGATAAGCCATTGTTGAAACCCGCTGGTATCAAATATGAATTCAAGGTAATCTTCGATTGAGTTGTTGATTGTTCTTCATTTCCCCCATTTCCACGCAATTCTAAAATTTCCAGTATTGTTTTTGTCATTGGCTTAAATTGTAAGAGGTGAAGACATTATCCAATTGTGGTATTCACTAATGGAAGTCGATGAGTAGCTTGTAAATTCAAATATTTGGTCTGTAAACATAATTCATATTCTTCTTATTACAATTAAGTGTCCAAAACGTTAAGAGGTAATTGCGAGTTGTTTGAGCTATTTATGGATCCGAAAACTTAGTTTATTAGTTAGTTAATTATTAAATTTGTATGATCATCTTGTATAACTCACTGAAACTGAGCATTCTGTTCACATTCTAAAACCATTAAACATGTTCCCGGTATATACAATAGGAGTTAGATGTTGTGTAAAATCTGAGTTGAATCATTTCATACATCGGTTCTTTTTCAATTTGCAACCAATTATTCTAATTTTCTTTCAAGAGAATCACTTCATATTTAAACATAGAGATCCCAAGTCCCCATTGAACATTTGAAGTTCGTGTAGACCTAATCCACAATTAAATAAGAGCAATGGAAAGCATAAGTAAATTTATCGAACATTTCATAAAACAGAATATTTTTGGAAAGCTAACATGACTGGTCAATAATAAAAATTGAAAAGCTTATACTCGTTAGCATCACCGATATGACGTATAAATTGAAAGTTGCTATTCTCCTAGTCGTCTATTTTTTTTCTTTATTGCATTTTTTAAGTTTAAAATATAACACCAGAAGATACACAATAATATCATTCTTTACCGCCTTTGATTGAATGTGTCATTATTTTCCATTACCGTTACCAATTACCTCCGTAGAGATGGAAGCTTCCCTCGAAGACCTGTCAATCTTTCTCATGTTGTCTTTAATCATTGGCAAATTGATTACTTCAGACTTACTTTTAAATTTTTTATTATACAGTATTTGGTCATTTTTGTATAGCAAAACTCTATTTGCACTAGCTGAAAAAGTATCCAAAATATATTTCAATAGATTTGAATCAATTTTGGTCTGTTTTTGTAGTTGATCAAATGACATAATATCTTTTTCATTAAATGCAAGTATAACTATTGCTTGCAACATATTGCAATTGATTGGTATTTCTCTATTTTCAGAAAATTGACCCAATATTGTTAGTCTATGAAGTTTATAATGAGTCCAATCCTGAGATCTCCCTTTTTTCGAAATATTTATAGGATTTAACACCTTTTGGAACTCAGTAGGTAATTTTACTGATTTGAAGCTTTCATCAGGAAGTATATTTGTCCAGAGGCTTGAGTCTAACATCAATGATTCAAATTCAACTGATTGTCCAATAGACCCCATATTAACAGTCTTAACTTTACTCTTTGATACATCTTTTATCAACTTGGTAAACCTTGTATTTGGGCCAAAAATGCATCTGAAATATTCAGCAATTTCTAACTCTTCCTTTAAATTAGTTTGCTTATACAATAACAACCTTTTACATAAATCTCTCTGATATACGGAAATAAACTCAAGTTTACTTTTTCCAGCTGTTGGATACAACATAAAACTGATCATTTCCACCAACATTATCACATTAAGATTTTGTTGAAACTTGTTTTTAAAAAACATGTCTATGATCTTAGCGAGATGTTTCATTATGCTACTAATACTCATCCCGACTTTATCCAATGCCGATTCCCACGTTTGAATAGTATTAAAAGGGTAGTATGGACTTAAGGTGACTTGATTCGTATAAACTGATAACAAAGAATAATCCTTTACAAATGAAGGTAACGTATTCGGATCTAATGAAAAATCTGAACATAAGTATTTCATAACCAACGCCTCTGCTTTGGTATTAAAATGCGCTTTTAGATTCTGGATAATGGGATCCTTACGGGAAACAAAATATCCGGTTTTGTCCACGGGATTTATTTCATAATCGGAGGTGACAAATCCATAGTGTAGCGGAAACAACACTGTATAAATATCGTTTTCGGAATCTATCAACTCACAAATGTCTGTTTGCAACTGCCTTGCATTGTCTGTATTCAGAAACATCATCAGCTTCACTAAATCTGATTTATATTCTAGAAAGACATTTAAATTGTCTCCATGAAACTTTATGGCAAAGTTGACTTCTTCGTCAATGATACTTAATATGGTTTTAGTTTGTGTCAGACCTTCAATCTTGAAATATCCCTTTAAATTGTCATACTTTTGGTCTCGTAGATATTGAACGGTAGCAAATCGTACAATCTTAAAACGATCCCATGATCTTACTGAACATTTAATTTTTTCCTTCATAAAATTAACAAACTTTTCGTACGATAATCGTATTTCCGTATGTAGATTTGACTTTTCAAAGTACTTCTCCTTCAAATACATTTCGGTCAATATAACAAAAAGACTTTCCATAAAATTGATCATGCTAGGATACTCCGATCTTATATTATCCCATTCATCAGTATAGAAAAGTTTAATGTCTTCTGGAAAGTTTTTATAACAACATCTATTAAATAGTTCAAGTCCCGCCTCGTAAATTGAAAAGTCCTCCGGGATATTTCTAAAGGTCATTTTACGTCCAAAGTTCTCTTGTACATTATATTCGAAATTGAAAATAATCCGAAGTTTTGTTATAATTTTCTCATAGCGTTTCCAGTATTCAAGAATAATTTCACAAGCTTTTATTATTTCTTCATCATCATATTTCACTTCGTGAGTATTATTGTGTTGTAATGAGCCGATAGTAGTATTTCCTTTCAAATTTTCAAGAAGTTTTGATAAAAATGAGTCAAGCTTTTGCATCAATAAGTTTTTGACAAATTTTAAAGTCTCCTTATCATCACAATAGCTTTGAACAATCCGACTCATATAAGGTATTTCGCATAATAAAGGTTTTTCATCAAGAATTTTGTCTATCAAGTGATTGCAAATATCAGGATGATCTCCAAAAATTTGATCTCCAAAAATGTGTTTGCAACTGGCAAGATCATTAGTATCAGTCTTGTTTTTCACCAGTTTTTTAAGTTTCTTGTGTTTTGAATTATTCTGCTTCAAACTAGACGGTGACAAATGTGAGTTCGATCTTTTCTTCAATTCAATCACTGATGATGCATCAGAACCTTGTAGACTCAAGATTTCTGGTATCGATAATGTCATTGATAATGGAATGCAGGAATTTGAGACATGAATTAATCGTGCTTCCAGTGGAAGTTGTAAGTCACTTGTGTGTTTCGCTAAGGTAATTTTAAATTCTTCCCATAAAAATCAACTTTCGAAACTTAAGAGGGAAATAGGGGCTATTTTCATAAAATAGTCTTTCCATTTCGAAAAGTTCAACTTCTACATTGATTTCAATAGAGTATGAGTACTAGCATTTACTTAATTTACATAGGCAAAGACAATAACAATAAGGTGAACAACTTCAATGCTTTAAAAATTAGTACATTAATTATTTTGGGTCTTTATATCTCCCCGTCCGTTACATTGGAGTTAATCGTAAAATTGCAATTGAATGAATCAAGCAATATGGACGAATATAGACAAATTCTGGCGCGTTAATACCGCATTTGATGTATCACTGACCTGTTTATCGTTTTAGCTTGTACCGAGTAGATACTCCAGCATAGCTTCACGTGGAAAACTGTTGGAATAAGTTGCATGTCTCTCATTTGTGTAAAAAGTTAAAAACAACCCTAAATTTGTTATTTGATATGTAAATTATCAAAAAAAATGAATGATTTTCTAAAATGATTTTCTAACATCTTAACTTTTTAACAGAAAATACAACGCAAATATATATTGTGTCATTAGAACGTGACTCTTGACCCGTCTTTGATACTCAAAGTTACTTTATCATACGCTTTTGGTAATGTTGAATTTCTTCAATACGGCATGTCTTTTTTCAATATATTGATTCTTAGATCTATGCCAAACCTGTTTCTTTGTGCGTTTGAATTCACCAACTGCTGTATTTAAGCATCTTAGATATATTATCCAATGTTTGATTCAATTTTGTCTTGGTTTTGTTATTCCATCATAAATAAAATAATAAACTATAGTTCCATCATCATTAATTAATGCAATTGTAATTCTATTTGGCCTTCCTTTACCATTTATATATTTTAAATTATCCCATTTTGTTATCGTATCATCATTATTATCGTCATTATTTGTTTTTTCATTTGTTTTTTCATTTGTATCTTTCATTTTATCCTCATTAGTTTCATTATTTGTTTCGTTATTTTCATTATCATCCAATTGTTCGTTCCGTATTTTATCGGTAATTCCATCAACTTCATCATTAACGTTATTTTCATCATTTTTAATAATTCCTTTAATTTCCTCAAACCAATTATTAACATCATGAATAGATAATTTAGTATTTCTTAAATTTTTGCATACTATCCATTCTTTTTTATTTGGTAAGTCTGAAGATGTTAATTTAGCTGGAGGTAAACCACTTAGTATGTGATCATTGTAAACTTGAACTCTTGTCCACAAATTATAATGCTCAAGATTTAATTTAACTTGATCCGTATTTGTTGAAGTGTATTTCACTGTCATTTTAATACTTGCATAGTTCTTAGTTACTAAGTTCAGATGAAATTGATTTTGTATTCCAAAAAGAGTATCAAGATGATTAAGTCACGTGTTTGAGCACGGGATCAATTAGATTTTAATTAAATATTTAACATAGATCAAACATAATTCAATTCATCTAAACTAAAGTTATTCGAATTAAGCCAAAACTGGAGGCGAGTGAGTGATTTATGAGGTGAGTTTTTTTTCAACTAAAAATTTGATGTTCACCTATATATATCTCCACTTAACCTTTTGAGGCGTGTTTTAACTCAAAGCTTTTACTTATTCTGAGGAGTATGGAATGTTTTCTAGCTCATTTAAACCTTGATACTTTGCATACTTTTGAATTATCGATTTTTATTATGATGAAAACTTTTGTTTCAAATTTTTGCCGTATTTCTAGCATCTTATCAATTTAAATTTTTTATGCAATCCATTTAATTAATTATTTCCGATTAAGTTAAATTACAATATTAAATACACAAAATCAAGGATTAGATCATAGAGTCGACCAGCACTTCTCAAATAAATTGTAATAAAAATTGTAAATCCTTGTTAAATTGCATTAGACCATTAATAACTGTGTATTTCAAATGAACAAGAACATCGACATTAATAGAGTAAAGACTTAGTGAAATCTAAATTATTCTCGTATCTTTGTTTCAAATTAATATTAAATTTAAATTAAATTAAAAAAAAAAGAAACTTAAGTTTGTAAGTACCGAAACTTTAAATTTAATTTTATTGAGAAAATAAAGTTTATGCGTTGACGCTAATATATACAGCACCAGAAAATAAATTAGATACTGACAGTATATAATCGGGTATGCATGATAATGCAACAATTGGGAAAACTGAGAATTCATAGTAGTATAACAGAGACATGGGACGATAGTAAAAGAGGAGCTGATATGCCGATGTATGGGAAAGAAATAGAAAAAGCAGAGGGATAGCTAATATGGAAGATACTAAAAGCTTTTAGGCTGTAGACTATAAAAGCAGTTGGAAATTCTCATTTTATTGTATAAAGATTTAATATAAATGATATTTTTTTGTGTATTTAAGATAGAATATCCAAATTACATTAGAAGTCAAAAGCGACAACCATTCGAAAGACTGAATTGTAGTAAGTCCTTGACATTCTCTAGAAACAATTTTAAGCACCGTTTGAATAGATCCTGGCTGTTTGAATACAGGATCTATTCAAAAGGTACTTAAAATTGTTTTTAGAGAAATGTCAAGTAATTGAAATGTTTTTAGAGAAATGTCAAGTAATTACAATTTAATTTAAATTAGAAGTCATGAGAGATTCATTCCGCTGAAATCAAAAATCAAGAATCAATAGAAAATATCAAACAAAAACAACAACGCCAAAGAAACTACTACTGAAACTCAAGAAATTGGTGGAGTCACCGCTCCAGGGAATATCCAAATCAAATATTCTATAATATGCGTATATCGAAAATTTAAAGACTTGAACCATTTAAACATGAATAAAAAACAGAAAGAAACTAGATATTCTCAAATAGCAATTCGAGTTTTTCAAGAAATGTTTTGATGCAAGTATAACCTATGTATTTAATTATATATAATTATAAATAGTGATAAAGAAATAGTAAATATCGCACTAACCGTTAGATTTTTATGAAAATCATGTCATTAATGCAGCATATATATCCATTAATTAATCTCAGCACTAATACATTAAATACTTAGGCTACTTACATAAAAACTGCTTTTGTACGACGAATGGTGAACCAATTTAAAAAGTATTATTTTACGTCCAATTTTTCACCCACTTACCACAATATAATTTTGTTATCTCTCAATAAAACGTATTGTTTCACATTCTGTTCAATTAGGAACTTATATGCTTCATACATGACGTACTATAATTCCGATTCTAAGCCTAAAGTTGTGAAAAGCCATTTAATACTCCTTACTCTACTCTTCTATTCAAAAATTGAACACTTGTCAAGAGGCAATTATCAAGGACTAAATAGACGAGCAGAATGAAAGCAATCATTGGCTCTAGTCAGATGTTTTTAGTTACCTTTTTCTTTTGCTTAGAGTGCTGAGAATAGAAGTAATGGTTAGTTATACATATAGTTTCTAAAAAAAATGGTACTTCTTTATCAATGATACAAAGCAAAAAAAAAATTCAGACAAACAATAAAAAAAAAGTGGAAAATTTTCAACAATTTTTGAATATGAGCCTTCCAATTTCTCCCTTTCGATACAATAATAAGTCTTTCAGAGAACTTACAATTAAACTTTTGGAATTTGATCTTCTATTTCTTTTCATATTTCCTAAACTTAAAATTCAAAAACTTTATCTTGTATTCTAATATTTACTGAAAAATTAACTAAACAATTTGAGGATTTGATTTGCATAAAAATGAAATTGAGGTAAATCAATTTTATTAAATGATGAACTGTAACGATTTTCTCTGCCTTTCTCCCCAAAATTATCCTTTTTAATTGTGTTTACAAATAAGTTTTTCTACATATTATTACAACCTCAGATTGTGTTAGTTCATCAACAATACATTAATTTATTAAACAAGTTATTGCGTTTTTTAAGTGTACTTAGCTCCAACATTCCAGTTAAAATGATTGTAAATGTAAATTAACTTTAATTTTTAATTTAATACTTTATATTACTTACATTATTACTCTTTTAAAATATGAAAAAGATTTACAATAAAACTTTAAAATATTGAATAAACGATAATAATAATTTTTCAATACTACTTACTACTTACATACTTCAATTTCCACTTACTTGTCTGTCATATTTGATTTTGTTCCTTATTCTACTAATATTTCATTTTTTTACAATTTCAAAATCGTTTCAGAACTCATTCAATAAAATATATAAAAAATAATCTTTTAATAACAACTTAAATTTTACTTGAATTTTAAATATTTAAGCTTAGATCCATTCATTACTTTGATATCACTGGTTCAGCTTCTTATTTATCTCATCAACAGCATTTACTAATTCATTAAATTCATATCATATTAACTAAGCATCATTTCAATTTCATTTTATCATTAATCCATTAAACAAATCTCAATATAACCATGTCATATCTTGCAACCTCAAGACATCCACCCTCAACTACCACAGATCATTTAAAATCATCCACTTCTAATCAGAATCAAACTCATAATCATACTCATAATAATAGCATTAATTCAAAATTTTCTACAATATCATATTTCAAATCAAGAAATAAAAATTCAACAAATCAAAACCACCATAATTCAGATTTGAATAGTTTATCAAGTGTGAATTCAAATCAAACAAATGCATCCACTATAGCGACAACATTACATCAAACCTATTCAGAAATATCAGCTGAATTTAAACAAAACCCATCACATATAGATTTATCATTAGCTGGAAATGTATTAGATAATTTAAATTCTACTTATAATTTATCAAAAATTGATACTAAAATTTCAGTTGATTCTTATTATATAGAAGATTCAAATCAATATAAATTAAAATTACAATTATCAAAACATGAAATTGATTTACTAAGATATAGTTGGACAAAAATGATAAATGAAGAAAATAGAATAAATGCAACAATGCCAGGAAGTTATTATAATAATCTTGATACTTCATCAAATGCTGCTACTTCATTATTTTGTAGACAATTATATGGTAATTTATTAAATCTGGAACCAAATTTAGAAAAAATGTTTCCTTCTATAAAACATCAAGCAATAAGTTTTGCAGCAGTTATTACATTAACTATTTCACAATTGGAAAATTTATCCAAAATTGATTCATATTTAGAAAAATTAGGTAAAAAACATTCAAGAATTTTAGTTATTGAACCACCATCTTATGAATTATTAGGTGAAGCTATAATAAATACTTTTCATGAAAGATTTGGTAAAAAATTTACAACAGAATTAGAAGTAATTTGGATTAAAGTATATCTATTTTTAGCAAATTCTTTATTACAATATGGAATTGATCCAACTTTAAAATTACAAAATAATTCATTTGCATCAAATAAATTTCAATTGAATCATGGAAATAATAGTGTATTGGATTCAAATAGTGTAATAGAAGAAAATTATCTGGATCAAATTGACTATAATTCAATTCAAAATGAACTGATAATGAGTGAAGCTAATAATAATAATCAACAAAATCAAAATAAAAATTATACTAATTCTACTATAACTACTTTACAAAGTTCAAATAATCAATCAAATATTCCAAAACCTATAAAACAGCAAAATTCAAAGAAGAAATTTGGTAAGTTAAGAAAAAAAGGTGGTGATTGTATAATTATGTAGAGATGATTATATTATAAAGCAAATAGACGAATGTATTTATATCGATTTTATATTCAACTTACTCACTCAATGTAAACCCGATCACTTTCAGAATGATAGTTCACTACACAAATTCTGGTCGAAACGATAGAAAATGAGCTTCATGAAAATATCTATCTGAAACAGGATAATCTAGATTATCTCTTACAAAACTTGGTAGCTCAATCTGAGACACGAGCCGAGTTTTCATTTTTTATATTTTGCGAGACGCGTCTGATGTCATACATAATCAAACTTCGTTCAATGATACTTCTACATCAAAAAAGTATCACCATTTTGCAAGTATACATAACGACTCATTCGTGAGTAACTTCTCATATTAGAGTTAAAGTGCAAAATAATACACCAAGAATCAGGAAGTATTGTAAAATTGTTAAATTCTCCTTACAATTGTTTTGTGTAATCTACTAGTAACCCGATTGCCTAATTGAGTTTAATTAAATTTCGAGATTTTTCACCAATAAATAAATTATTAGTTAGATTGTATGATATTATATTATTATTATAATACAACCAGAACCAAATATCATCATCATTCATTTAAAAAGTTGATTTTCAACAAATTTATTTATTCAAACATATCATTCATAAAAAAAAGATCCATAGATCTCAAATCCAGACCTTTTATATTAAATATTCATAAATCTGCATCTTACCTTTTATTTGTTATTCACAATCACAAGAATTGGCAACCAAAAAAAAATTTTGAAATCACAATTATTTACCACACCTTCTCAACTACATATCTTAGTAAGGTTAAATCATAATCGAGTCTTACATCAATTATTATTTTCAAGTAAACCAATTTAAATTTCATTACCAATTTCAAATTTCCTAAATCATTAAATATCAAACATAAAATTGCATTGAGTCGAACCATACCAAATGACTTCAAATTCACCACAATTTAATGATTTCTTTTCAGAAAATAATTTTTATTCCGCCCCAAATACTCAACATAGTTCAAATCATATAAATACTTTAAAAAATACTATTCAAGTTCCAAATTCTATAAGTCTGAAAAGTATAAAAGATGGATTAAATGAGAATAATGTTAGTGGCAATAAAACTCAAAATCGAACTAGTCGAACTTCAATTATTAAATCATCGCCTAGTTTAAAAGCTTTGGAAAGTATATTAAATGAAAAGAATAAAAAATGGAAACCAAATTCAATATTGGAAGAAGATGAAGAAGATGAGGAAAGAGATAATTTTGATTCTGTATTACATAAAAAATATAATTATGATAAACCTTTACCAGTGAATTATAAGAATCAAAATAATACATCAGATACCTTAACTACTTTTCAATCATATGAAACTGCAAACGAATCAATGGAACATGCAACAACACAAATTCAATCAAATTCTCAAAAACAATCCAAACAAAATAATAATTCTCATAAACATAACAAATCATTGACATCATCTATCAGTGTAACTGGAAGTGGATATAGTACTGATGATACTCCTGTTTTAGAACAACCTCCTACTTTTCAAAATTATATACCACATAATGTTGAATCACCACAATTAAAAGTTATTGAAACTGGAAAAATTACATCCAAAGACAATACTTTAATTGATGATAGTGTTACCACTGAATCAAACATAAACAATGTTAGTAAACCGAGTGGTGATGATAGTGAAGAAACTATACGATTAGTTGAAAATTCAAGAGTTAAAAATAGTAACTCTAAGAATAATAACTCAGTATCGGATTTAAAACTCAAAAATGAGAAAAATAATAAAAATAATTTTTACGAATCAATTAATAATTATAGTAATTCCACTACAAATAATAATTCCAAAAAAAGGGATAATAATAACTTGAAGTCAAATTCAACTTATTCATATACTAGTAGGCCATTTTCACTGAACGTATCAGCCCCACTTGATAAATCATTACCAACATTACCAACAACTACATCACAAACAACTCAGATCAATGGTATGAATAAATCAATGGAGAATGGATCTAAATCAAAAAGTATGCTTTCATTTATACCTACTTTGAAAGATGATCCACACCAAATAATTTCAAAATCACCACAACAAAAATCACCACATCAAAGATCTAATTCAAATTTTTCATTAAATACAATGAAAAATGAGACTCCAAAATTAAAACATAAAAGATCAGCTACATTGGATGATTTAAATAAAGTAGCTCAACAAGAATCACGACAAATTGTACAACCAGAAAAGAAAAAATTTAGTTTCAAATCACTTTTTAAATCAAAGTCCAAGAACCATTCATTGAATAAATCAAATGATGAATTGTCGAAATCACAGCCTCCGGTTAAAGTAGCATCAAAATCATATTCAACAACTAATATACCATTATACCAAGATCAACATCCACCTTTAACCAAAACCAAATCAAATACATCTATTATCAATGTGTTTAAAAAGAATAAATCTACAGATCAGCTCAAACCGAAGGAGATAAACAAAATTGATTCAAATCAAAATTCATCAAAGCCATCTTCATCGATACCAAATCTTGAGAGTAAACAAAATGAACAAGCCTCAGTTGAACCAAGTATACCTGAAACGGACTCGCCAATATTGTTGGATGGTAGTGATACAAGAGCCAAGCCTGGATCAATAAATTTTATACGAGAAATAAGTGATTCTAATGTTGGATTTAAATTTAGAGAACCAAACAGCACAGAATCGGGACTGGAAAATTTCCATGATGCAGAAGAAAATGAGGAAGAAGAAGAAGATGACGAAGAAAAAGACGACGATGACGATGATAAATTATCATTTGTTGAACATGATTATGATTCAAATAATATTTTGGAAAATCCACCAACAAGAAAAATAAACAATCAATTTGGTGAAGAAATTTCATTAATGCCTCCATTTTTAGAAAATTCACAATTTGGTTCACCTTTTAAAGTAAATTATCAAAGTTCACCAGAAAGATCATCAAGTCCAAGTCGGTTAACTCCAATTAAATTCCCATCATCTTCATCACCAGTACCAAACAGAAATCCAAAAGATGATAAAAGCCAACAACTACTTGGTGAAGCATTGTTTCCAAGATCACTTAATGCTCATGAAGTTGAATCAATTGTGTCTTTGGAAAGATCAAGATCATTGAAATCTATCAAATCAAATAAAAGAAATTCATTTGTCAATTATAACGGTAGTGATGATAATATTGTACATTATAATGGACCTGGTTTATCACCAAATACTAGTGGAATTACAAGATCAAACTCGATATTAAAAAATTCAAATAGCAAAATGAGTAATTTGAGTAAAGAAGTTGACCCATCTAATATATTACCTTCCCCAGAACAACCAAATGAATCAATTGATGCAAATTTAATGGATTCAATGGAATTTATGGAATTTAGTGATTTTATTGATGTTGATAATTTAAATTTTAATTATTCTCCAAATGGTATACAATCGGTTTCAGCAAGTCCAAAAGTTGAACCTTCAAGTAATGAAAAATTGAATTTAGTAGTAAATACTAATATTCAACAACAATCAGAAGAGAAAGAAATTAATTCACCATCACCACCAAAAATTGTTGTTAACGTATCACCTTCATCAGAATCACCGAACAATATTCAATTAGATACTATATCAATTCCGAATAGTTTGAATAGTCATAATTCACCAGTTCCAATTATTATAGAATCCAGAACTCCTTCACCTTCACCTTTATCAATGGAAAGAGAAGAATCACCAAAAACAAGTTTAGAAGTTGATGATGATAAGAAATTTGATTTCAATTCTGAGTTGGGTACTTTAAAACAAAATGAAAATAAAGTAGAGAATAAAACCAATGATGAAGATTTAAAAGCATTGAAAAGTTCACCAATATTGGAAAGTGTGTATAAGGTCAATACGTTCAATAATACTGAAGATGGTAAATCAACTTTTAACAATAGACCAATTTCAATGTCATTTAAAGGATTAAATGCACCATCTTTTTCCGGAAAATTTACACATCATAATATGAGAAGTAGTGATTCACATCAATCATTCACTATATCATTTAATGATTCCTCTTCATCTGTTGGTGGTGGTTTTGGTACAACAGAAGATGAAGACGATGAAGAAGAAGAAGAAGAAGAAGAAGAAGAAGAAGAAGAAGAAGAAGAAGAGAATCAAGAACCAAAAAATGAAAACGATGATGATGTTATTTCAGACTACTATGATGATGAAGAAGCATTACTTAATGAATACGAAAAAGAAAATTTAGTACCTAATATCAAAAAATCACCACAACAATTACAACAAAAATGGACACCACCTCAAAAATCAATTTCAACATTTGGTAAAGAAAATAATAATTCTAATAATTTTGATAATTTTTCACCAATTCAACCACCTCCTCCATTTAATACAAAATTTAGTCATAATAAAATTCCATCAATTTCTGATCAATCATCAACGAATTCATCTCCGAGATCATTCACTTCAATATTAGGTAAATGGAAAAAAGGATATTCTTATACAACAAATAATAATACAATAAGACCACCTCCACCACCACCATCAACATCTTTATCACCATTAAAACAATCAGGAGTTAGATTTAGTTCAAGAATCATTTTATATGATACTTATAATGGAGATGAATATGATAGACATCCAGATACTGCAACATGTAATCAATTAACACCATCATTAGCTCAACAAATTAAAGAAGAAATGAATATGATTAAAAGTGAAATGGAGGTTCATGTTGAAAGTAGATGTTATACTCAATTTTTTTAAAAATACATGCATTAAGACAATTTATAAAATATACCCAATTTTAATTTTTAAAAAACAGGTTTTTAATTTTTCTTTTAATTTAGTTATACATTTTTAATACACGGTTTTATATCATTTATTGCATTTTACTCTATGACTACACTTATTTATTTTCTTGTTGTTGTTTAGCATGAGTTCCTTTAGCACTTTTAAAAATTCGATCTAATACGTCATTTTCTTTTGAATCAATTTTAGCAATTACATTATCTGGATTTTCCATTTCAACAACAACATATTCATTTTTTCTAAAATCTAAACAAGTAGTTTTAGCCCATTCAGCATCATCATAATCTCTCAATGTAATTGTTTGAGGTTCATCATTTATATATTCTGGATAACTCATTTTAATCAAACTAGAAGAAAAAAAAAGTAATTGAGACAAAACTGATGATAATAAATCAAAAAAAATAAATAATGGTTCATCTTATTGATTTTATTTGCAACAAATAATGGATCCTTCAATTAACAACAAAATTGTAGTACCAGGTCAATATATTATACCGACATACAAGCTAGATCCAACTACAAAGAAACCTGTAAATTTTATTTGTGGAAAGGGAACAATAATAAATGAAATTGAAAATAATCAAATAAATAAAACTTTACCAATCATATGTTCAACTATTGTAGGTAAAACCTTCATATCGAAACTAGATACACCACCTATTGAAAATTCAAAAGATTCAAATGATTCAAAAGATCCTGTGCCGACATATGTAGTCAATGTATATCCAAAACAAAATTACAACTCATTACAACATCAAGATTCAACTTCCACTACAACAATCACAGCCGCGAGTAATATTAATTTACCAAAAGAAAATGATATAGTATTAGTTAAAGTAACAAGAATATCTCAAAAACAATTATGGTGTGAAATATTAGCTATAGATAATAAATTAAAATCAAATAATATCTTGAGAGATTCAGGATTGGGATCAAATGGATCAATAGCTCATTCATCAATACCACCTGGAGGTGGATCACAACATAATCATAATCAACAAACTATTGCTTCATCATTAACTACAACTCCTCAAGCTCAAATTTATGATTTAGGTGAAAATTTTAAAGGTATAATAAGATCACAAGATATAAGATCAACAGAAAGAGATAAAATTATTATTGGAGAATGTTTTAAACCTGGTGATATATTAAGAGCTTCAATTTTAAGTTTAGGTGATGGAAATAATTATTATTTAACTACTGCAAGAAATGATTTAGGTGTTGTATTTGCAAAATCTGAAGGTGGAGCTGGATCATTAATGTATCCTGTTGATTGGCAAAATATGATTGATTTAGAAACAGGATTGATTGAAAAAAGAAAAAATGCAAATCCATTTGTATAAGAAAAATAGATGTATAATTAATTGAAATATTAATTATTATGTTTACTTAGACTCTATAAAATGCTTAACTCTATATTACAATATTACTATTTACTTGTTTTTATTCCATTGGTTGTACAGGATATAATAATTCATCTCCTTTACCTCTTAAATCAACTTCACTTAATCCAACAATTTCACCAAATTTTTCAAATCTTTCATAATAATTTTTTTGTTTATTATCACTCATTTCAATCATTTTAGGCCAATATTTTTCATGATCATAAATAAAATTAACATCACCTTTAAAATCTTTATCTAATTGAATTTTTGGAACATAATTTATAAAAGGTTGATCAAATACTAATTTTTCTCTTGTTAATGGATCAATAAATGGATGAATAATTTTTAAAAAAGTCCAACCTAACCATGGAATATTCGTTAATAAAGCTTTTCCTAATCTTTCAGGATAATGAGTTTGTAAAATATGTAAAACTTGTCTTCCAACTCCAACTGGTGGAATTTTACCACCTTGAGTTCCTACTGGATGAGCTTTAAAATCAATTAATAAAGCTAATGAATCTTGTCCTGAAGGCATAAAACTTATAACTTTTTCTAACATTAAGACTAAATGTTGTACTTGTAATTGTGAAGTTTTTGTATTTTGTCTTCCAGGTTTTAAATATAAACATGGTCTTGAATCATTATCATAACCTAATATTACTTCTTTACCTGTTTCATTTTCAACTGATGTTAATTTTCCATTTACTAAATTTTCTGAATCAAATGGTTTATTTATACCAAATTCTCTTCTCCAAGCTAATGTTAATTCTATTCTATCTATTGCTTCTAATGATATCCATTTTGTAGCTCTTAAATATCTTAAAAAACATTCTCTTGTTAACCAAGATTTTTCTTCAACTAATAATGAAGTTAAATCCTTTTTATGTTTATGATTTTCTTCACTTGATGCAATTAGTAATTCAGGATTTTGAAAATGTTTTAATACTTCATTATATTTTTGTTTTTGTTCAATTGTTAATTCTTTTTCTTTTGGTATATGTGATTCAGGAGATGGTTCATCAAATGGTATATATCTTGGTTCTGAATCTTCTATTGTCACCGTGTCATCATCTTTAACATGACCGTTTGAGACTCCCTTAGCAGTAGTTCCATTATTTGTGGGTCCGTTATTATTGACAATATCTTTTTCATTTATTGATGAAGATTCAGAATTTGAACCGGAATTAATCACTTTATTTTTTAATTTGTTAAACATTGTGACATATATGTGGTTAATTCCTTATCTGTATGAATGTATTAGATTTGCCCTTTGGGAATCAGGTTCTTGTCAATAAGCGCTTTTGAAGTCTTTATCAATATTATAAATTATTATATCCGAAAATGTTTATAATTATCTCAAAATTAAAATGTATAAATATGTGAGATTTTGAGATATACGATTCCAACTAATGAATACGAGTTGTATTAATCAGTTTGAATGAAGATACCTATCAGTTGGAATATGAAATGTAAGACTAGTAATGATGAAAAATTTATGAAAAGTAAGATTTTCTATTGTTTATTTTATTATGATGATAAAGTTTTTATTTTAACTCATTAAAAAATTTAAATTCGGAAAACGGCTAAATAAAGTAATTAATAGAATAACTCTAAATATTGATTATGTCATAATAGATCTAAAAGATTAACTTTTGAGGCCTTATTCATTTGATCGTTTTGGTCAATACAACAATGAAGAAGAAGATAGTAGTAATAAAATTGAACTGGCTTAGCTAGAAATATTATGATTCACTTGTGTAAAACACGTCTTGTCTTTCTCCTAACAATTGTAAATGGTTAAGTAGAATACTAACATTCTAAATGTATGGAAATCAGAGGATTTTTATCTCCGATTTTGTATTTCACGGCCGGATTTAAAGTTTTTTATTTAATAATACACGCGTAAGATATGATTACTACAAAACGAAAAGTAAGAACTTACATCAATTGTATATACTTAATGGTTGAATAGCTGTTTATTCTAGATCCTACCTATCAAATAATACAGGTCATATGTTTATTTTAATTTGAAACTTTTTGTTTTGCATCAATAATTTGTTGAACCATTTCAATAATACTTTGTTCAATTGGAATATAATCAAATCCTAAAAGTTCTTTAGTCTTATGATAATCACCAGTTAATGCATCTTCTTTAATTTGTTTTGCATTTTCTTCAAAATTTCCCTTTGGTACACCCAATTTTGGAAAATTTTTATTTATAATATCACATAATAATTCATTCGTAAAAATAGAATCAGTTAATACCATTCTTTTACCATTTGTTTCTTGAGCTTTTTCAAATGCAACAATGTGTGCTTTTGCAACATCTCTTACATCTATATAATCTCCATTTACAGGTGGAATTGGATCATTTGCATTTAATTTTAATAAACTGTTTACCATTTCAGCTGAAGAATTTAATTGCAGAGGATCTTTTATTTCAAAAGCTTGTGGTCCAAATACATAAGTTGGTTGAATATAACCTACTGTAAAATTTGGTTTTTCTTGTTCAACAAATGAATGAATTAATTTTTCAGATAAAGTTTTTGAAACACAATATGCCATATAACCATTTTTAAAACCATCTTTATATTCTACTTGATTCCAACTATCTTCTGTAAGAATTTTACCTATTGATTTTCTACCATCTCCTGTAGTATCAACTATTGTTGCCATTGAAGAAGTATAAACCAAATGTTTAACATTTATACCAAATTTTTTAATTGATTTTAACATATTTGCAGTACCATTAATAGCAGGAATTATAATATCTTTTTCTAAATCATTTGCAAAAAATGTAACTGGTGAAGCAGTATGTAAAAATATAGTAGTTTCAGGATGAGCTCTTAATGCATTATTAAAACTTTCTTCACTTGTTAAATCTTTAATTATAACATATTCAAAATTTGGATCATTATTAACTAAATTTTTTAAATTTTCTCCTTTTTCAATTGATCTAACCAGTCCTACTGTCTTGTAGTTTTTGGCTAATAATTGTTTAATAATATGTTGAGCTATAAACCCATTTGCTCCAGTTACAAATACTTTCTCTGTCATTCGTGAATAGTTTGTTAGCTAGAATTAATGAAACGAAACATTTTGAAAATGGACGAATTGTTCATTATGATTTTTAAAATAATAAATTAGTTGAAGATTGAAAAGTAATTTTGGCGGTAAATTTTACTCCAGTTGGTTAATTGTAACTCGTTACAAAACCGTTCATCTTACATATTCTTGCATGGAGAACAATAAGAAGCGCCCTAAGCCCTGACTTAATTTATTAGATTCCGCGTCTAATTAAGAGATACCATTTACGACTTAACTTCCTTTTGAATGTTATAAATTCATACTACTTATCTATTCACCTACTTATCATTTTTAACTTCTAATATTTGTTCAACTGAATCTTCAACAGATTTTTCTAAATCAATAAATTCAAAACCCAAAATTTTTCTAGTTTCTTCATTACTCCAAAATTTAATAGTTGGATCTTCTTTATCTCCATTTTCTGGTTTACCAACTGGTAACATTAAACTAACTTCTGGGAAATTATCTCTTATAATATTTAATATTTTTTGAGTATTATATGAACCAGAATATAACAAGAGTCTCTTATCTTTTGTATTTTCTTTTTCAAAACCATCAATTATTGATTTACATACATCTCTTACATCAATAAATAATCCTTCACCAGGTGGTAATTTTGAACATGATTGTAATTTTAATATTTTATTTATAACTTCAGATGATGTATTTAATTCTTTTCTATCTCCTATTGGAAAAGCTTGAGGTCCAAAAATCATAGCTGGTAAAACTGTTGTTGCTGCAAAATTTGGTTTTTTATTCTTAGTATATTCCCATAATAGTCTTTCTGGTTCTAATTTTGCATAATAATAAGCTAAAAGTGGATTTTTTATAGCATCTTTTTCAGTCATTTCATTCCATGTTTTTTCATTAAATTTTGTATCTTTATTTGATTTTGGATTAGCTACTCCTGCACTTGCTATTGATGAAGTTAATACAAATCTTTTTATATTATCTCCATATTTTTCAACACTTTGTAATGCATTTTTTAATCCATTTACTGCTGGATTTATAATATCTTTCTGAACATCTTTTGATTTAAAATGGAATGGAGCAGCAGTATGTAAAAATACATCTATATCTTTATGTTTTTTTAAAGTTTCATCAAATGAATTTGATCCTCCTACATCTTCAACTATTTCATAAGAAATTCTATCTGTTGATATCTTAGCATTTTCAAGATTTTCTAATAATTTATTTCCTTTTTCTTCTGATCGCACAGAAGTTATAACTTGATATTTAGATGGTGAAGTTAATAATGTTTTAATCAAATTAGATCCTAAGAATCCGCTACCCCCACTAAGAAATATTTTTGACATTTTAAAGTTTGATAAAGATTATAGGTTGATGTTTAATAGTTGCAACAAAAAAGAAAAGGTCCAAGCAAGTTGATTCATTTTATATATAATTCATATTGATGATGTAATCATTGCTTACATGCGTATACGATAAATTTACACGCGTATTATGCGTTTAAAATTACAACCTTCCTTGAAAGCAATATAAATCATTTCTTTCGTTGCTAAATACCTCTTAAGTTTATATTTTCTTGATTTTGTAACCACAATTTTGTGTAATTGGATATTTGTTTCAAGAAATAGTAACAAAAATTTGCAACTTTAGCTCTACGATCATTACAAGTATGAGGGGTTTGAACGTGTTTTGTTTATAAAAACTTTTTATAGACTATATTCTCATCAATAATTATTTAATGAATCAAAAGTCTAAAACGAATTTATTCTACTATTTACTATATTCAATTTGTTTAAATAATTTGTTTGATAGTATCATCAATTGATTCTTCCAAACCAATAAACTTAAAACCTAATAACTCTCTAGTTTTCTTATTATTAATAATACTTTCGGAATCTTCAAATTTTGGAGCTTTTGAAGGATCAAGTTTTGGTATTGGTACTTGTGGGAAATCTTTTTTAATAATATCATAAATTTTTTGAGTTGAAACAGGACCTTCTGATAATAATAATCTTTGATTAGCTAATTTATTACCTGGTTCAACTACTTTAACATGAGCATGAGCAACATCACGTACATCAATGAAATAACCGACTAATTGTTGTTCAACATCAGTACCTTCTTTACCAGCTTTTATAATTGCATTAATAACTTCATTTGAAGTATTTAATTTTGATTTATCTTTAACTTCAAAAGCTTGTGGACCAAATACAAAAACTGGACAAATGACAGTAACTGCCCATTGTGGATTATGTTCTTTTATAAATTCAACTACTTTTTCATTTGCTAATTTTTTACTTCCAATATAACCAGTAAAACCATCACTCTTAGCTTGATCATAAGTGATTGGATTCCATGATTCTTCATTAACTTCTTTACCTGGAGTTGCTAAATCACCAAATCCAGCTACTGCAGCATAAGAACTTGTAATAGCTACTCTTTCAACATTTTTACCATATGTATATATAGCATTAAGTGCATTAACAGTACCTTCAATAGCTGGTTTTAATAATTCTTTTTCAACATCTTTAACATCAAAAAAAAATGGTGATGCAGTATGTAAAAAATCAGTTATATCAGGATTTGATTTTAAAGCTTGATCAAAAGCTCCCTTTGCTGTAATATCTTTTACAATTTCATAACTAAATAAATCAAATTGTAAACCTGCTTCTTGTAATAATGATTTCAAATCTTCTCCTTTTTCTGTAGATCTAACTGATCCAATTGTTTTATAACCTTTTTCAATCAATTGTTTAACAATATGTTGAGCAATGAATCCAGTGGCTCCTGAAACAAATACAATTTTTTGTGAAGACATTATTAATTGAAATATATGTTGAAGTTGTTGTTGTTATTTTAATGTTTTAATTTATGAATCTTATTCTACTCTTGAAATTAAGTGGATTGTTGTCCCTTTTATGTAATTAACTAAAGTATGTAAAACCACCACATCTTTCTAGAATTAATTAAAAAAGTTTAAATTATCCGTTTGCTTTGCTTAAGTATGGCGTGGTACTATAAATTAAATAACCTTTTAAAACCTCAATGAAATTTTCAATTTTGGAATAAATCCGAGCCCGAGTATAACCATTTGATTTGCTCTCTTCTGGTTTTCATGCAAAACAACTAATAATCTCAACAAAAGTAACATTTGAAAAGTGAGAGTATAGCTAAAAGTATAAAGTATACAGCTGTCAAAAAGAAGCTGTCAAAAAGAAGCTGTCAAAAAGAAATACTCCTAGTGACTAGCCACAAAAGACTCAAGAGTCATCATCGGATTTATCAAACATTTTGGTGCATGATTTAGTAGTAATAGTCCAAAAAAAAGTATTTTCAAGTGTTATGGTCAAAAATCTATTTATTTTCTGTTTTAAAGTTTAAGATCGCACCCTTGAATGAGAACAAACCGAATCCGAGTTTGGTTTGAACCCGAACTTTTGACGTATTTGGAGTAAATGTCGGGTCTACCAAACTACTTAAGTTCAAGTATTTCACATATGTATCACATAGAATTAAGTGTCCTTTATACTCTTATATAGAACACGTGACTCATTCAATAGGGGTATCATCTTGAAGTTGATCTATCATTGGATCGCGATTGATTTAATTTTGATAGCATAAAAGTTAGATTAGATTTACTGTATTAGATAAGTTAAAATTAAAATAAATTTATATAACCGATTGAATTACGAAATCGAGAATCTGTACGAATTTCAATGCACTTGAATTAAAGTTCCGCTTTCTTTACATACTTTAAGTGAACAACATTTTCATATTTCAAAGCTTAAAGGGCCTTGATTTTGTTCAATAGTATTTTTAAACTATGCCTATATATCACACCTGATCTAATTTATTATTGGGTCATACAACGGTTTTATAATTCCAATTCTCAAAAATGTTTAGCGTTTATCCTTGTGTTCAATAAAAAAGTTAAATAAATTTTTTTGCAACAAAATCCATTAAATAAAACGTTTAATATTTGTTATTTCAAAATATTTTATCAATTTATTCCACAGATTGATTTATCTAATTTAGAAAATCTCACGATTCAATAACTGATGTTTTAAGTATATGAAAATTTTGAACATGTCGAATAACAAGGGATTAGTTTCCGAAATCGGTAAGACCAATCCTCAATAATGTGATTAGAAAATTTTTTTTTATTTTTCTTTCTTTTTACAATTGTTTATTTTAATAGAACCAACCAAGATATAACAACAAACAAACAAAGTCCTTCGCCTATGCCTTGAATAGGATTAAAATCCAAATACACACGAACACCTTGACCAAGTGAACATACTAAAACAAAAAATTTTAAAATTTTACCATCATTTGTTAATCATTTAAAAAATACTAATAAATATCACTACTTAAGAAAAGGAGTTTTAGACGTAAAGAACTCCATTCGATGCCAACTATTTTCCACAGATATAATGTATTCTTGAAAAAATACCCATTTAGGTCGAATATGATCACGACCAGCATTCTCTTTGGATTTGGAGATATTACTGCTCAGCTGTTATTTAAACATCAAATAATAACTACTAAAACTGATGAAAAAACAGGAGAGAAATATGAAGAAGTAGAAATAAGTGATTACAATTTTGCAAGAACTTGTAGGGCTGTGATTTATGGAATGTTATTTTTTGCTCCAATAAGTGTAATGTGGCATGGTAAAACTTTACCAAAATTAAAAAATCCATTTATAAATATTTTAGAAAGAACAAGAATGGAACAACATGAACATTCTCAAAGAAAATTACATTTTTATGATTCTGTTTTTAGAATGGGTATAGATCAATTGATTTTCCCAGCATTAGTTTGGATTCCACTTTATAATACAGTAATGGTAATTTTGGCTCAACATGATGATCCATTTGGTGTTATAAAAAGTAAATTAGAAAATAATTGGTTTAATGTTTTAAAAGCAAGTTGGACAGTATGGCCTGCGTTTCAATTATTTAATTTATATTTTGTTCCTGTACATTTGAGAATTGTTACTGCAAATTTTTGGGCAACTGGTTGGAATTGTTTTTTAAGTTTTGTTCATAATACTGCTGGACATGGGAAAGGTAGTGGTCATAAAATAGAAGAGTTAGTAGACATAGAAGACGATGATCAAGAGATCACAATGGTTTATGACTAAGGTTGAAGCTTCAATGCATGAATAGACTTATAAATTTTACTATAGATTGAATTGAATTAATTGAAAGTATACAATAATGAACTAAGAATTAGCTAAGTGAAAATTTTCACTCCCTGATTAAAATGATCGAGTTTTTTTCTCTAGGTTTTTGATTGATTCTAAAAACTCAATTCAAGTAAAAGTTGAGTCGACCTTATATTGATGTTTCAGATTTAACACATAAATTTGAAAGTCGTGTGAAGTTAAACAAAATGTTGATAAGATCCATTTATCATTTTTACAATTAAAGTCAAATCATAGCAATACTTCCATTATGAATTTAATGTGGGTCAGAAATACTTAATTCATCAGCCTCAAAAGAATTGCATATCACTTAACAACCTTGCGCTTATTCATTTCTGCGTATCAATAACCTTAATCTAAATTATGAAGTTTTTATTCCAAAAATATCATCAATTACTTCTAAGGAAGCCTTTATTAGTAAACGTTTGTAGTACAGGAATTCTACTAGGAACTGGAGATGTTTTAGCTCAATGGTTGTTTCCAGTACATCCAAATCAACCTTTCGACTATTTACGAACTTTAAGAGCAGTCATATATGGAAGTATAATATTTGCACCAATTGGTCATGAATGGTACAAAATTTTAAATACAAAAATAAAATGGCATGGTAAAAATGAAAAAACAATATCGACTTTACTTAGAGTTGGAGTAGATCAATTAATTTTTTCACCTTTTATTGGAATACCATTATATTATACATCAATGACAATTTTAGAAAATAGGAAACCATATTGGCCAAATATAAAGGAAAAATTTGAAACAAGTTATTGGGTAACATTAAAAGGAAATTGGTTAGTATGGCCATTTTTTCAATTTTTGAATTTTTATTTGTTACCGGTTCATTATAGATTATTAGCTGTTAATATTGTAAGTATTGCTTGGAATACTTATCTTTCATATATTAATAACAATTATGCAGTAGAAAATATAGAGCAAAATCATTTACAAAATAAAATATGAATTAGATTATAAATAGAAATTAAATTATAAAATTTGTAGAGTAGTTCAGGCATGTCAATCAATGCTTTTATTCAATCTATCATCTTGTAGATACAACATAATCGTTGTTTGTAGCAAAGTCACGGGTTAATACACTACCTCGATATTAAAATTACTGGTGATCGAATTTTGTGTGAAATTATAATAATAATATATGTACCTTTGTTAAGTTTCTTAATTTATTTATTTTTTCTCCAACAAAAATAATCAACATTCAATAACTCACTATATAACATTTATATCATAGAACTCATTAATATAATAATAATCATCATCACTATACTATACTAGAATCTTGCAATATTCAACAACATAAATTATAATCGCTATTTTTAACGATTCATCCAATTGAATACAATTGGTATAATAATAGTGTATTTTTTATAATCTGAAATTTCACCTAAAAACAAAATGATGAAAGGGTTTAAAAATAGATTGACTCGAAATAAGAGTCAATCGTCTACCAAAAAGACAGATAAAAAGGACAAAGATAAAGAAAAAAGATCAAGTTCACCTTCTTTATCAAATTCAGCAACTACAAACTCTTCAAATACCAATAACCAGAACAATATCACAACTAGTCAAAGTTCAAAAAATTTACTTTCTTCAACTAGCACAACCTCATTAAAGTCAAATTCTCCAAGTCCATCTAGAAATAATAGTGCAAATAGTGCCATATCCATAAAATCAACAAATAGTAACACTACAATGAATTCAGCAAACTCACCACATGGACTGCCAAATACGGATTCACCAAGAATAGTAATTCAGGATGACGGTAATTATAACCATTTTAATAATGGAAATGATAATGATGTGTTCGGTTCACCGAGTCAACAATCTTCGAATAGTTCAGGAGTATTACCCGGAGGTGCAATTTTAGCTTCAGGACCATCATCTGCTGCAAATTTGAATGTCAATTCAAATATATCACCAACTACTATGCCATCTATTGTTACTCCAAACTCAAGCTCGGCAGCAAATGTATCATTTGGTTCTACTTCATCATCAACACAACCAGTTACCCCTACACCTACTTCTCCAAATAGTTCTTCATCTGCATATGATAAAGCTCATCACAGTCAGCATGGAGCACAAACGCATTATAATCAATTAAATCCAAATATCGCTTCACCGGGAAAGGAATCATTTGATATAGATTTGATTGTTACACCTAAAAGACATTCATCATCTAGATTTGAACCAACCAGCTCAGACAAATATCAAGAGATTAATAAATTACCTAATTTTGATGAGGTATTGCCAGAAGAACAAATCAATTTGTTTATACAAAAAATTGATCAATGTAATATAATGTTTGATTTTAATGATCCAACTTTTGATATAAGAGGTAAAGAAATAAAAAGAATGACATTACAAGAGTTAATTGCTTTTATATCGAACAATAGATTTTCATATACTGATGAAATGTATAAACATGTGGTTACAATGTTTAAGAAAAATCTTTTCCGTCCCATCCCGCCTCCTGTGAACCCAATTGGAGATGTATATGATCCAGATGAGGATGAACCAGTTAGTGAATTAGCATGGCCACATATGCAAGCAATTTATGAATTCTTTTTAAGATTTATTGAATCTCCGGATTTTCAACATCAAATTGCAAAACAATATATAGATCATGAATTCATATTAAGAATACTAGAGTTATTTGATAGTGAGGATCCAAGAGAAAGAGATTGTTTAAAAACCACATTACATAGAATTTATGGAAAATTTTTAAGTTTAAGAAGTTTTATTAGAAAATCAATTAATAATGTATTTTTACAATTTGTTTATGAAACTGAAAGATTTAATGGTGTTGGTGAATTATTGGAAATTTTGGGTTCAATTATTAATGGATTTGCATTACCTTTAAAAGAAGAACATAAGATTTTTTTGGTAAGAATTTTGATACCTTTACATAAAGTAAAATGTTTGAGTTTGTATCATCCGCAATTGGCTTATTGTATTGTACAATTTTTGGAAAAAGATCCATCATTGACTGAAGATGTTATAATGGGATTGTTGAGATATTGGCCTAAAATTAATAGTCCAAAAGAAGTCATGTTTTTGAACGAAATAGAAGATATATTTGAAGTAATGGAACCTAATGAGTTTGTTAAAATCCAAATACCGTTATTTGCCCAATTATCAAAATGTATTAGCTCACCTCATTTCCAAGTTAGTGAGAAAGTCATGAGTTATTGGTCAAATGAATATTTCTTAACTTTAATAACAGAAAATGCTGAGGTGGTGTTACCAATAATTTTTGCATCATTATATGAATTGACCAATTCTTCTCAGCCGGGTATAGAGAATGGAATAATGCAGCAAAAATTACAAAATTTTCCCAATGCTACAGTAGATGCAAATGGTAATTTGGTGGATGGTGGATTAGTTTTACAAGATATTCAACAAGGTATAATACCAAGTGCAAATGATCCTAATCATCCACATCATAACATTTTCCAAGTACATGCATCTGTAAATAATAGTAATAATAATCACAATGATGGTAATAATTTATCAAATGAAGGTGATTTTCATGATGGGGAAAATGATATTCCAATGTCAATAAATGGTGAAAACAATCAACACCAACATCATCATACACATACAGATTTAAACGGTAATGAATTATCTGATGAAGAATATTATGATCTGTTTAGTTCAATGCAAGCAGGGAATTTAAATTCAGGAAACAATACAAACAATACAACAAACTCAAATACCAATCCTTTAGGTGACGAATTTGGTCCTGGTTTTGAAGATGATAATAGTATGTTACAACATAATTCTGCAACATGCACATGGAATAGGTCATTACATTCTTTAGCTTTTGGAGCCCTCAAAGTATTTATGGATCACAATCCTATTTTATATGATCATTGTGTTTTATTATATCATCAATCAGTAACTGAACGTCAAGAAAGAGAAGAAATAAGAAGAAAGAATTGGGTCAAATTGGAGACTTATGTTAAGCAAATCAAAGAACAACAATTACAACAACTGACTTATTGAAAAAAGAAATTGTGTAAGGTTATTCCATAGTAATACATTAAATTTCATGATCTATAAAAAACATAAATCCACGATACATATCTAAATTAACATTATATTGGTTTCTCTTTTGCTTATTGCAATAGCATTTGCAACTCAGATTATCACTCTGTGGAGGATAACAATTAACTTTCATTCACCACACTGCTGTCACTCCACCGTTTTAACGAATATGCTATTTGTAATTGATGAAATGCTTTCTGATAATACAGTCTACATAAGTCGCTGTGAATACGCACTTAAAAACTCGAGTAATTGTCCAACTGAAGTGTTCATAACTTTACGTTCTTTATACCTGCTTTCTTTCTTGTTTTGTGGTTTCAAATTGAATCCAACCACTTTAATTCATTACTAACTTGATTCAATTGTATTAAATTCCCATTCAATTCAACGATTTTTTCAAGATTTTGAACATAATCACTACTTTCAGTTTTTAAATTATTTAAATTCGTTATTAATTTCCTTGAATTATTTAAATTGACTTCGAGATATTCTAATTTTAAAAAATCTTTAGACTGGGGATTTGATGGTAATGTTCTTAACTGATTTATCCACTTGTGATTTTGCAGCGTGTATGTATTAGAATTGTTCTGTGCGGGTTTATAATTACTTGAGCTATTTACATTATTATTCAATTGTTTATTGATAGTACTCTGCTTGGTTTGGGTCGTCATCTCCAAATGATTTAAATTGCACTAAATATAGAATATTTAAGATCAAACGTAAATTGAAGGAAATTTTATCGAGAGTTTGGTAGCTTATATTTGTTGTAAATTCACCAGCGTAATATTTTTTATTTACAATCTATAAAATACATGGTCCAAATACTATATTCTTACTCTTTCGAAAATGGAAAACCATAAGCACTTAATAATGTTTTAGCTTGAGAATCATTTTGAGCAGTAGTTTTAAAAGTTATATCTATACCATTCAAATTTGGGAATAATTCTTGAAAATTCTCCAATTCAGGAAATAATTGAACATCTTCAGGAGTTAATCCAAAACTTATATTACCATTTCGATCACCAGAACTAAATTTTATACCTTTAAATGCTCTAATTCTTGGTAACACTAGTTCAGTCAACGTTGATATAAATTGATTCATATCTCTGTCGTATAATTCAACTTTACCACCACATGACTTACCTACTCTAACTTTCCATGGTAAAATATTTGATTTATTAAAAATTTGTTTGGCTTTAACATTTGATATTACTGATAATTGTAGTCTAGTTGATATATTCAACCATTGATGTTCCAATGAATTCTTGTTATAAGAATGTATTACTATGCTTTCTAGTTTTGGTATATTTCTGTTGGTTATAGGATACTGGTTTTTGGTTGATCTAGTTCCACCTCGAGGATTTCTTGATGATCTGAATACTTTATATGGTGAATCATTACCCCATGATCTTCTTTTGTTACCCTCAATTATTTTGGCATCATGATCATAGAAATGTAATAACAAATCTGACTCTAGTGAATTGTTATAGTAATCTGATACTCTATCTTGTGATATTTCAGTTGGCTTATACTTGATCGACCTTATATCATCTTGTGGTAATAGTATGTTTTGTAAATTTGGTTTCAATTTTGCTTTTTCAATATTGACCAAGTGATGCACTGGTTGGACTGTAGAGTACCCTGGCTTGCAACGTAGGCTTGAATGCGAGAACAGACGTATAAAAGTTTTGCTCATTTCTTGATACTTGATTCCATTCTTTGGTTCAATATTCAAAAAATTTTCAAAACTGTAAAACCACAAAACAAAAAAATTCATTTACACTTTGGTAGCGATAAATATCCGGAATGTTGTTTGATCGAAAAACCTAAGCGAATTTGATAAGATAATAGATCCATCAGGTTCAACTATTATTAATGAAATTTGCATTGCCTGATGATTTTCCACTTTATTCACCTGAACAAATTATCAGCAGTGTTTCTACGGACAGTAGAATCATGAAAATTGCAAAATTTGAAGAACCAAAGACCAAATCCGATTCAAGACAAAATAATGAAGTACATGATATGTTTATGGCCATAACAAAATATACTAATGATTGGATAAATTCGAAAAGTTTAGAGCTATTAGAAAATCAATTGATGATATCAGAATCAATAAAATATGCACAGGATGTATCTGAGTCAAATGTTTTACTATTGAATGATATCTTTCTGGAGAAATTAAATTTACAAACATATGAAGTTAATCAATTGATTGAAGCTGAAAATCGCAGAATAAGATTAGAGGAAGAAGCTCGAAGGCGTAGACTTGAAGAAGAGCAAAGACTCAAAAGATTGGAAGAAGAAAGGATACGGAAAGAAGAGCAAATTAGGAAAGAAAATGAGCTAAAACGAATCGAAGCAGAAAGAGTACGAAGAGAGCAAGAAAGATTACGTCAAGAGGAAGAAAAAAGAATCCAGGCTGAAAAAGAAAGACTTGAAGCTGAAAAGTTAAAGCGTGAAGCTGAACTTAAGGCTGCAAAAGAAGCAGAGTTGAAAGCTAAACAGGAAGCTGAGATTGCTAAACAAAAAGAATTAAAAGAAAAAGAATCACAAGGTCAAGTTACTACTAATTTTGCAAATGTTGAGAAAGAATTCCTCAAATACAAAAATGACATAGCAGACATAAAAGCCAAAGTTGTTGAACCTATTAATTCAAATAAAGAAATAAAAAGACAAGTAAATCAATTTAAAAGACAAATAAATCCTAAATTCGGTCAATTGTCCCATTCAATACTACATACAAACTCAATAAGTCAAGAAATATGTCATATAATCGAACAGATCCGTCCATATGAACCTGTTTATAAATGGATTTTAAATTTCATAGCGAAAGCCATAGTTGATCAAGCTGAAACAGAAGTAATTGTTCGTCCGTTTGCAGCTAGACCATTAGCTTTATTATCATATTTCATACTAGACAAATTTCCCGATTTCGAATACTATCTTACAGCAAGATTCATAAAAAAATGTCCATATATAATAGGTTATACATGTGCTATTGATTCAGAGGAGGGAAGATTAAGAATGGGGTATAAAAGAAATGAAGATGGAAAATGGGAAGATGATGTTAAATATGATGAAAGAGTTTCTGGAATATGTACAGTATGGGCAGTAATGACTCATGCACGAGATTCAAAACAAAGTGTTGGTATTTTTTCACAAATTGGTTCATGGCAATTTATAGCAAGACTTTTAAACACTAATTTACAACTCATTAAAAACACTCATTTTGAACTTATTGCAAATTGGTGGGAAGCAACAGGTGTAGAATTTTTGAAATATTATGGCCAACAAGGAAATAAAATTGCAATTCTAATGTTCATTCAGCTTGTAGGAGCTGTTTCTAATAGAAGATATCCATCTGCTGCAAGATTACATTTGATTGGCGAAGAATGGATTAAAAAGGGTAAAATACAAAGATTAAAACTTATGGAGAGATAGATATAGATACAAATTATTATTATTATTCGTGTACTCATTTATTCATTATATTTTTTTGTTAGATTATTCAAAGTCGACCTCTCAATCATTCTCTTCTTCATCAACATCTGATTTATCTTCTTCTTCTCCTTTCACTTCTTCCTCTTCTTCTTTCTCTTTTTCTACTTCTACTTCTACTTCTTCTTCGTCTTCCATTTCACTTTCTTCTTCGTCGATGTCTTCCATTTCTTCGTCTTCTGATGATGACAATTGATCTTTATAATTGACTTTTTGAGCAATTCTACTACTTTTTCTAGTTGGTTCAACAGTTTTGATCACTTTCTTTGGTTTCGCCTTGGTTTTGGTTTTGGTTTTGGTTTTTGTTTTTGATTTTGAGAATGTCACTCTCTTTTTCATGGTTGTTGATGCTCCTAGTTTTTGACGTTTTGAAGAAGTACCATTTCTATTATCATCATTTCTTCTTTTAGAATCTGTTGAAAATGATTTTTTAATAACTGCAATCAATTTACTTTGAATTGATTCAGGAATGAAAATTGTAGATACAATAGATTGAGCTTCTTCAGCACTACCCATTGGTGCATATATTTCTTGAGGTAATTTCAATTTATCACTCCATGTTTGTATTGACCAATTTTTTAAATCACTATAAATTTTTAAAATTAATTGTGCTAATTCAGATACCCTATATAAATTTGAGATTTCTTCAGGTTTAGGATTTTTATCATATTCAGAACTTGAAATTGAAGCATCTCTATATTGTTTAATTCTGCTTACCAAATAATAAAGTAATGATATATTTTCTGGTTTAGCTATTAGTTGAACATAATATACTAGGAAAGTTGATGAAAATTCGTAAGCTTCGTATTTTTGAGAATCATCAGAATAATCACCCATTAAAGATACAAATTTTTCATGATGAGTTATATTGTGAGTTAATCTTACCAAAGATTTTTCAAATTTCAAATCCTTTTTAGCTTCTGATCTTTTAAACATAGATTTTAACCATAATGTATTATTATCACCATTAAAATTATCAGGCGTAGCAAAAAACATCAATGATAAATATTTTTCGGAAATTGATTCATTAGCAAGGTATGTCTTTAATTTCTCTGAAAATGTTGTTTTAACCAATTCATTGTCATCCACTAACAAGAAACATAATATACGTAATGTTGGTGAAAGCATAACTTCATTATATACCGGCAACTTAGCAAGTTTTAATAAATATAATCCAGATTGTAATCTCAATTTTGCTTTGTAAGTATCTGATGTGGGCCATGTTGGGTCATTCTCATTAACAATTTCACCTTTATTACCAATAATTGAAATTAATAATTTCAATACTGGTGCAGCTTTTTCTTTGCAATTATCGCTTGATTCATGAGATTTTAAAATATTTATGAGCAATCTTATAGTCAAAAGCTTTAAGTTTTCATCTTTATCATTTTCAAAATTTTGAAGTAATATATTTTTGATTAGATTTGGTGTTAATTCCAATTCTTTGTCCAGTACGGAGTATTTATCAACTAAAAATAATTCAGCAATTGTGCTCAAATGAGTTGCAACTTTTTCAGTTTCAAAATCAAATGGATAAATTCTCGATAAAACAGAATCAATTAAATCTTCCTTTCTAGAACTTAAACCAATCAACTTCATTGCATATTTGGCTTCGTCTGGCTTACCTTCTATTGCAAAATTTTTCAATGATTCTGTAAACGATATTTCTTGTGGAAATAAATCTGGGAAACTTTTAATAAAATGGTAAATAGTTTTTAAAGAACCTGATTTATTAGTATCATCTTTGGTAGTACATAATTCCATTAAAGATCTAACATTACTTTTGAAAACTTCAGCATTTGAATTTGAAAATTGTTCAAGTAATTCATTAGCCATATGATTATATTCATGTTTTGAATTCTTAGAATAATGTATTAATTGATCAACATTTGATTTGTTATAAAGAATTGGGGAACCTCTCAAAATTAATAAATCAATATTAAAAACCATATCTGATGTATTTATAGCCACATTATTGTCCAATTTTATATTTTTAGCATCTGAAATTTTATTCAGTAACTCCTTTCTTGAATTAACTATGGTTTTAATATCAGATTCAGCAGCTATACAATTTGAAATTAATTGGAAAAACCTTGCTCGATTTAATTGAAATAATCTTAATAAGCATTGATATGTGTTGTGATCATCAGGGAAAGAATTGCAAAACCAATTGATTATTTTTTCAACTTTCAGCATATTTGTTTTAATAGTTTCGCTAGATGGTGGTTCATTCTCTTTATCCAAAGTGCTAGCTCTAATAGTTTCATCAGCTAAGTCCATGAAGTTTTTAATTACTTTAGAGACTTGTTGTTGTCTTTTGTTTATTGCTAAAAATGCTTCTTTTCCCTTTTCATTTAATGATGAATAAAATTGAAGTAATGTATCCACACGTTTAACAGAATTGAGTTCAGTCAATGGTACTAATTTTTCAAATAATGAAAAATCAACCAATGCTGTAATGTTTTTATCATTTATATATATCAATGACAAAATTTGATTTGGTATTTCTGAAATTGATTTCTTTACTGCTGTTTCTATAAATGAATCATCGCTTTGCTGTATATAATTCTGATAAATTGATGATAAAAGATTTATGGATGTCACCCTAATATTCTTAACTTTTTCACGAATCAATTGAAATAAGATTTGCAATATATCATTATTTAGTAATCTGAGTAAATTTGGAAATGAAAGGCTAGAAAGTGAAGTACAAGTAGCATCACGAACTTTTTGATCAGTATCAAGTAAGCATTTTTTGTATTCATTTGACAATATTGTACATATATCTGACGTTACAAACTGATTATTTGAGATTATATTTGGCAAAGATTGTACAAACAGAATTCTAACTTGAGGTGATATATCTGATGATTTTTTCAACCATATGCTCCAAACTGTTTTATGTATAATGAAAAAATTCACCTTATGTAAAGGGATTGTAGTACTGAAAACCTTGCATCCCAACATTTGACCAATAGTTTTTGTAGCTAATACTCTAACTCTATCATCACTTGCATTTAATTCATCTTCTATCAAGGCCATTACTGATGACAAAATCGACGGGATAAATCTCCATAATTGAAATGATAATTGATGAATTTGATTTAAAATTTCCATAGCTTGTTGAAATTCTTTTTCATTTCTTTTTTTCAATTCTGGTTCAGTTTCATCTTCTATTTCTAATTTATTTGAATTATGATATAAAATTTCTGAAAAATGTTGAGCCACCAATCTACTCATTCTATCAACATTATTTTCACAAATAGATAATGAAAAATTAAATTCAGGACTAATTGTATTATTTAAATTATTTGATTCATGATTATTAAATTTGCTCAAGATCAATTTTATGATATTATTAGGAATTGTTTCAGATTCTGATACCATTTCAGATAAAATATCAGTCACTAAAGTAGTTAATTCTTGTGGAAATGAATCTTTAGTAGCTAAATTAAAAAAAGTATCAAATAATTCTTCAATTAAATTTTGAGAATCTGGTAAATCAATCATTAAAATTGATGATTTAGTTTCAGCTAATCTTTTTAAAAGATAAACATATTGAACATAAAATTGAGGTTTTTCATTTTTAATTTTAGTATTTGCTATTCTTGAAAATTGTTTAAAAAATGCTTTAAAAATTAATGATAATTCTTCTTCTGAATATGGAGCATTTGGTGCATAAATTCTCAAAATATCTGATATACAACAACAAACAAAAGCTTGTACTCCAATACTTGAGTTATTTAGTAATTTTGAATTGATTAAATCCTTAGTAATTTTATCTAATGAATGAAGTTCTAAATTTTCATCTTGAAGTACTGATAATTCTTCATGTAATTGGGAAACACGTTTCAATAATTCTTTATTACTTATAGATTGTTTAATAGTTGTAATTATAGGTTTATTAAATTTCAAACCATTGATCCCATTGTTCTCAGTTAGTTCAGTTGAGTTGGGTTGATTCTTGTTCGGCCTAACCATTAGCTACGTGGGTTTTTGTGATTATGATAAAGGTTTTTAAATGTATGATTTTGATGTAGATTACTTGTAATAAGTTTGGTTGTAAAACAAAATTTATTTTGATCAGACGCGTTTTTTTAATTTTTGTTTATCTTTGCTTACATAATAAATTAAAATATTGGTGAATCATCATATACAAGTAATGAAAACTATAGACTTAATTATCAAATCAATCATTGAATAGATTCAAAATTGAAGAGAAGTTTCAAAAGATTAATCATAGCAGGGATTGATTCTCAAAATTGCTTCATGTCAAACTTAAATCGAGACTTTGGACATTCGACTCCGTGAATAATATGTATTGAATCTGGAATCAAAGGAAACAAATTGAAACTAACATGTGAAAATGCTTTCTCTTGGGACGTTTTGCTGTTTTATTGACACACAGCTTGAAACTTGGCTGTAAATAGAATGTTCAAACTTTTTAATGTTTTCCTAGAAATTTCATTCATCTTATCTCGGGTAATTTTAATAAAACCGAGTTATAATACAAACTCGGTCTTACCTAAAATGGTTAATTTACGAGAATAAAGAAGGTTTAAGAGTTCACACTTTAGATAGAGAAATTCAGCCGGTTAATAATTTACTACCCGACAGTTATTGCTGCTAAAACTTAACTATGAATATTTGTTGAAAAAGTCATCTAGAAGAATCATTTGTTTAAGACTTCAAAACTTTGGATAAATAAGTTCATTCGGCTAGTAATTTTCACATTATCCGACCGCTAGCTGCATCAAAACAATTTATATAAATTGAAAGAGTAGTTCATAAAAAATTATCTATTTGATTACTACTTTCTTGTGTTTATCAAATTTCATAATGACAACTAAATATCCTGAAATTCCAAAAAAAACTTTTGCAGATTATGGACAAATGTTACATGGCTTTTGGCCAAATAAACCAACTTTTACAGAAAAAGATTATCCTGAATTTGAAGGTAAAGTTATAATAGTAACAGGAGGTAATACAGGAGTTGGTTATGAAACAGTCAAATCATTAGCTGGTTCAACTAAAGCCAAAATATATATTTTTTCAAGAAATGAAGAAAAAACATTAAAAGCTATTAAAGATATTGAATTAGAAGTTGCAAAAGAATATAAATTAAAACCTAATCCAATTGGATTTATTCAAACAGATCTTAGCGATTTAACAACTATAAAACCAGCTGTTGAAAAATTTTTAAATAAGGAATCTAGATTAGATCTCATTATTCATAATGCAGGAGTAATGACTCCACCTACTGGATCAAAATCTAAACAAGGTTATGAATTACAATTAGGTACAAATGTATTAGGTCCATTTTTATTACAAAGATTATTAGATCCAATTTTCATTAAAACAGCTAAAACTAATCCACCTGGAGTTTCAAGAATAGTTTGGGTTGCTTCAACTGCTCATCAAGTTGCTCCAAAAGGTGGAATTTTTTGGGAAGATAAAAATTTTGAAAATATTCCAATTTCTTCAACTATTAGAATGCAAATATATGGACAAAGTAAAGCAGCAGATATATTATTAGCTAAAGCATGGACAAGACATCATCCAAATGTTAAAGATGATGTAATTAGTACTTCAGTTTGTCCTGGATATTTAAAAACTGAATTATCAAGACATTCAAGTTGGTTTGAATCTTTTATACTTAATCGAGTAACATGGCCAAGAAGATTTGGTGCATATACAGAATTATATGCTGCTTTTTCTCCTGATGTTAAAGATGGAGATTATAGTATTTCATTTGGAGTACCAGCTCATACTAGAGAAGATTTAAATTCAGTTGAATCAGGTGATAAATTATGGAATTGGTGTGAAAAAGAAACAGATCCTTATGTATAGATAATCGAGTTGTTGTAATGATGGATGTTAGTATATATAAACTATAATAGTGAGACTTTATCTTTTTGTTCTCTAATTTGGAATGATATGATAACGAATTGGAACTTTAATATTTGGAATGATATGATAACGAATTGGAACTTTGACATAATTTGCAAACAACTTAATCCAAATCTTGTCTACGGTTGGACATTTGTTGAAAATCAATTGATTCAACTACTTACTGATAAACTGATTCATATGATATAACAAAGTATCACGTGATATATGGTAGCATTTATTTCTACTAACAATAAAAAAATAAATTTCCATTTATCCACTTTACTTAAAATCTGGGGAAATATAACAAACAAACAATACAAAATATAAAGAATCATAACAACAACAACAACAACTTTGTATTTACAACACACCATAACATATACCATACACCATCTACCATCTACCCCTGCAGTACATTTATTATCTCATCACTACTGAGAATATCATACTACCTAATCAAAGAAATCTGTAAACAATATATCGCACCAAAACTAAAAACATAAGAAATTTAAAAAACCATATCAAAGCTGTAAAAGCTGTTCAAAACAATGGAAACTTTCAACTCGGAAAATCAAATCAAAACTAAACAGAATGGTATAAAAAATCATAATCAAGAAGATCCAAATACAAAGAAACTAATTCGTACAAATAATGGAGTAAGATCTTCTCAAGCATGTGATAGATGTAGAATAAAAAAAGTTAAATGTGATGGATTAAATCCTTGTCATAATTGTAAAAAAGCTCAAATGGAATGTAAAACATCTGATAAATTAACAAGAAGAGCTTTTCCAAAAGGATATACTGAAAGTTTAGAAAAAAAAATAAAAACTTTGGAGAATGAAATTTTACTACTACAGCAAGGTCAACAATTATCAAATCAAAATCATAATAATCATAACAATGAAAATAATTCATCAAATTTAATTTCAACTCCCTCAAATAATTCTATTAAAGATAGCATCCAAAATCCTACTCCAATACCGACAACAACAACTTCTAATGATAAAGTTATATTTCAATCAACAAATCAATCTGTTCAAATAAATAATCCAATTGATCAAATTTTTAATCTTGATAATAAAGGTATTATAATAGGAAATGATAATTTAAATTTTGAATCACAATTTAACCATTTATTAATAAATTTAAATTTACCATTTTTAAAAATTACAAATAGTCATAATTATTTATTAAATGATCCTGATAGTTATTTATATAATCCTTCATATACTAAAAGTAATCAATTTCATAATAAAGATTTAGATTTGGTTTATAATCCATTAACAAGAACTGGTTCTCCTGATAATTTAAATGAATTACCATTAGATGTTTATGATTTATTTATAAAATTAATAAATAATTTTAAAAAAATCCTTAAATCAAAAAAGGAATTAGATAATCAAATAACTCAATATTTTTTAAATTATAATATTTTTATACCAATTTTTGATTATGATCAATTTATGACAAACTATGATGAATTTCATACAATGTATCCTTTTATTTTCACTTATGATGATTCAACTATAAATGGTTTCAATTTATCAAATTCAAATGATTATTTTATTGTTAATAAATTTTTAATGACAATTATACAAATTTATGCAATGATTATTATGAATAATCCAACTATAAATTTAAATTTATTATTAAATCATTCAGATCCACAATATTCTATAAGTCGAGATATGTCAATAATAAATTCTTTATATGATTTTTTACCATATTTTAATGGATTTCAAATTTCAATTAATCAATTACAAACATATTTGTTATTACTTTATTATTCATTATTAACAAATAATAAAGAAAAATCATTAATTTTATCATCATTAATTAATGCATTTATTGGTATATTAGGTATAAATTTAAATTCAAAAAATTTATTTTTTAATGATTTAGCATTAAATGTACAACAAAGAAGAAATAGAGTTAAAATTTTTTGGAATTTTAAAGTTTTATTAAAATGTTTTAATTTAAAATTTGGTTTTAAACCAAGTTTAAATACAACAGTTATAAATCCTGTTACTATAGATAGATATTTTCAATTAACTCCTGAAAAATTATCTTCATTATTAGGAGAAAATGATGATTTATTTAATACTTTATTAAAACCAAGTATTGAATTTTTAAATTTAATGAATATTGTTATACCATCTTCATTTTCCCCCAATTATTATCAATATTTAAAGAATGATAAAAAGAAAAAGGAAAAAGATCATCAACATAGTCATCATAGATTAGATTGGATATTAAATGAAGATGATGGTGATGGTAATGATGGTAATTTAAATTATAATTTTAATCAATTTTTAACAATTGAAAAAAATTTATCTGATTGGAGACAATCTTTAAAATCAAAAATATTATCGTTAACTCCATTTTGTACTAATATGGGATTACCAAATATTTTAAATATTAATCATAATAATTTATATCATGATATGAATAATGAACAACATATACCACAAGAAGTTATGATTCCATTTTATCAAACTGGATTACCTGATATTTATATGGCATCACAATTAATTAAAATTCAATTAAATTTTCATTATATTTTGATAAGATCAATGAATTATCTTAACTTTATAGTTGATAAAGATTTAAATTTTATATACTACAAGGAAATTGCAATAATAGCTCAAGAAGTTTTACAATATTTTTTATTAATATTTGATCATGTTGGAAAATCTCAAGAAAAAATAAATTCTCCAACAATAAATTCAAATTCTATAGTAATGGGAAGTTTAGGACTTGATGTTGATGAAGATGGATTTGTTATAAATGATTTTTCAGTAAAAAGAAGAAAATCAAATATAAAACAAAATCCAATAAAACGTATAAAAAAGGAAATCCCCATATCTCCTTTTAATTCAATGTTAAATGGTTTATCATTAACTGTTATAAATTTAAAAAAATCAATAATTTTACAAATGTTATATTTATTAATTGTTCAAATGAAATTTATCAAAAGAAATGATATCCTAAGTAACATTAATGTATCAGTTTCAAATTTAATAAAATCAGTAGATTTATTTATTTCAATTTTTATAAATTATAAACCAGGATTAAATAATAATTCAAATTTATCAGATGATGAAATTTATAAAAAATTAATAAATGATGAATTAAAATTTGAAATTTTAAAATATCAACAACAACAACAAACTCCAATTGAAAGTGATGATGAAGAAGAAAACTCCCAAAATTATTATAAAAATATTGATTGGGATAATGAAAATTTAGATGAAGATTTAAAATATTTAAAAATTTGTAAATTTATAAAATATAAATCTCAATCTATTTTAAAACAATATCAATCTATTCAAAATCAAAATAATGGAAATGGAAATGGATTTGTTAATTCTAGTATTCAACAACAACAACAATCGCAACAACCTTATACACAGCAACAATCACAACAACATCAACAACAACCTTATACACAAGAACAATCACAACAACAACAATCACAACAATCACACCAATTACAACACCCACCACAACAACAACCACAAAATCAATTTCCACTACAATATCAACAACATCAACATCATTTTACAACTCCTTCAAATAATGAGTTTACAATTCATAATAATAAACCAGATAAAGATTTTGGAGCAGCTCATGATTTAATGGATTTAAAAAATAATTTTTCACAAAGAAAATCAATATCTAATCAATCTCCCAATTCTACAAATAATACATTTATAGGATAAAATGAAATAAAATGAGTAAAGCGTATATTAATAATTGAGATTTCGTAATCCGTTATATCTTTGATTCAATAAAGTTAGAATCTCCCTTCAGTGGTATTTTTTTAATTTCATACCACCATCTCATAGCTAATTCAATTCTATTTAAATCTAAACTATCACTTAAAACTTTCCATAACATACCAATTAAATAATTTTGTTCGCTGACATTACTTTTTAAAATCAAATACCAAATTTGATCAATCCATTGTAAAAAAACAGATAATGGGAAATAAGGAATTAAATTAATTAATGCTAATATTGCTGATTCTCTTGCTGTTTCAGGAATTAATCTATTTTGAAATTTATAATCTTTTTTAAATCTTGGTAATAAATCTTTAACAACTTTATCTTTTGGCTTTTTAGCTTTATTTTCATGTATTATATCATTATTTAATCTTTTATCTTGTTCCAAGGTATTTAAAGTTGAATTTGCTTCAATTTCCAGTATTGGTTGAGCTGAAGAAAAACTTGGATTATTTTCATCTTCAATTGATTTTTTAACTGGTATACCTGGTATTATTGGTTTACATTTATCAATTAAAAATTGAAAAAATTCATCTGCTGAATTTAAAAAAATTGAATCTTGGGGATATGGTTGGGGGTTTGATAATATTTTTTTACCTATAGTTTCAATTGCAATACATAATTGAGTAGATGATATTGTTTTAGGAAATTGTTTTATTAATAAATTAACATATTCAATACAATCATTTAAATCAACATTTTTACTATTTGCAAAATAAAATAATAATACTGAATGACTTGCTTCAATTATATCATCATTTAAATATTTTTTATCATCTGCTAATTCTTTCACGATGCTATATATTTTTTTAGCAAATTGTTCATTTTTAATATTTTTCAGTTGTAAATAATTTTCCCAAAGCCCCAAAACAAATAAAACTTTCAGTTGCATTATATAATTAGTATTTAATACATTTGGATATAAATTAACTTCATTATAATTTAATAATGATAATGATAACTTTTCAAATTGATCAGATGATAAAGATAATTCAATACTTAAATAATATACAAAATTATAATTATCAAATCCACCTTGACCAATTGATAATAATATAAAATTTAAATAATATAAATTTGAAATAATTTTTAATGATATTGATCTATATTCTCTTTCTATAACCACTAAATCTCTCGAATTAAACCAAACTAAATTTGATTTATTACCTGATAAAAAACGACTTAATAAACCTTGAAAAATAATGATTTCTGAAAATAATAAATTTTTCATGAAATACCAAAACAGTTGATATAGTGGATTATTATCTTTAGGACTATTAAGATTATTAAAAATTGATGATTCACATGATTTTGATAATTTATGATTAAAATCTGTTAATTTTATTAAATTGTTTGAAATTAATTCATCATTTCTAGGATTATATTTTAAATTTCTTAAGTATGCAGCTAGTAAAAATGAAAATTTATTTAAATGTTTAATCACCGGTTTTTGTAATATATCTTTTTGAACTATATCTTCAATATTTGAAGAATTTGGATCAAATTTAAAAAATTCATGATAAATTTTTGTTGAAACCGTTGGATCAAGAAATATCATATCAATTAAAACATTAATCATAAATGAATCATTAATTTTTGAAGTATATTTTTTAATATTTTCTTCATCTTTTTGATAAATTAAAGCTAAACTTGTAACACTTAAATATAAAATATTTTTATCATGAATATTACTTAAACTATATTCCAAACAATTTATAAATAATTTTTTAATCTTATGATCCCAATCTTGAAAAAACCAATTATATTTAAAAAAATTTTGTTGTTCAATATATATTTCATTTCTTATATTATTTGATAACATAATCCCACAAATAATTGGTAAAACTTTCCAAGAATTTACAATGGGATTAAAACTAACAAAATGTTCTAATTCTTTCCCAATTATCAGATAATATGTTTTGATTGATAAAGTTGGTTTTGAAATTTTTAATTTTTTATCAGTTATTAATTTAAATACTTCAATTATTGGATAATTTTCTTCAAATGTTGGTATTGGAAAAGTTTTAGATCCAAAACATTTTGGTGAATTTAAAAAGCTTGCAATAACTAAACCTAAATTTCTTTCATGTTTTATATATGGTATATAATTATATAAATAACCTAATATATTATTTATTGTTGTATTTGGTTTTGGATTTCTTAATTCATCAATCACGAAATCTAATTCTTGTGGTGTGAAATTTGGTTGTCTTGAATCACGATTTTGTACTGAATAATTATTATCATTACGATTATTTATTAGAGCTCTACCTTGTGGTCCTAGTTTATCATATAAATTGGACATCGGAGTTGAATTCTTCTTGAATTGTGGAGTAAGTAAATCGTAAATTTGATTTTTTTTCACTGAGTTTTAGTGAGAAGAAAATTACCGTGGGATCTGGAACCATTACTACCAAATTATGTCTATTATTCGTACTACAATACAAATACAAAATGTATATTGAGATGCCAACCTCTTCCACCCTCTACACATATCTACGAATAATTCACTTGTCTATATAATAATCTGTTTCTCTTCTTTCTTCGGGGGCGATAATAGCACGCACTTTCCCGGTATTTTTATACTATGAAATGTTCTAGATTCGGTCTTATAGCAGACAATCTTCATGTTCGATCGATATGAAGTAATATTGACTTTTATCATTAAATTTTATTTCGTATTTTGAATTTATAAATTTCAGTAAGTTTACTTGTTCTCTTACTTCTTGTTCTTCAGCTTAATGTACCTCGAGTCAATCTTCCTCCTGGTTGAGTATTCCGGACTACTTGTGCTTGCTTCAGCGTGTTCGCCCTAAAATATCCCTTCCATTTGGAAAAATTGACCCAGAAGAAACGTTTGACATTGGTTCAGTTAAGTTCAAATCACCTTCAGTACAATCAACGGATATTTTAGAAGATGAAATTGCCCCCACGTCCTTCCAAGATGCCATTCACTCCTTCCTTAGTATCATGGTAGGTCAAAAATATCATTGCTTCTATCTCAATTATATTTAGTATTGCTTTCATATAAGATTATTTGATTATCTCTATTAGTTTCATTTGATACTTATTGTCCCATAACCCCTCCCCCATATCTTAATATCATTAAATTATTATTATTTCTACTATGATTCGTTTTAATATTTCTTTCTTTAAAAGCTAAATTGAAATATTAGTAATTTCATCAGTGCTTTGTTTATTATTAGTTAAGTTCTTAGTCACTTTAAAATTAGTTTTATTATAAATTATATTTATCATATTATCATTCACAGTTAAAATTAGTATTTAATACTTTTATCATTATTTATAGTACTTTCAATGTCATTCAAAAATCAAAATTTTAGTATTAGTTATATCATTGATATTTCTTTCAAAATAATTCATAATTAAACTTTAGTATTAGTTATTAAATGATTTATATTTCATTCATAGTTCATACTTTATTCATAGTTCATACTTTATTCGTAGTTTATACTTTTTTCATTATTAGTCTTAATTTATATTAGTATTACTTATATTTTCATTTATAGTTAAGTCATTTATCATTCAAAATTTAAATTCATTCTCAATCTCTTCATATTTCATTATTATTTCACTGTTATTTATAATTAAAAATTTAGTATTCATGTTATCATTTAGTATAATTCTTTCACTTTTATTCATGATTAAATTAATTATCATTATTATTATAATTCATAATTCTCTTGCTATTATTCATTATTAAGTATTCATTTTCATTTATCTTTATCGTTAAAATTTATCATTAGTTTATCATCAGGATCATTAGTCCTGGTATTATTTATTAATTTATTATCAGGATAATCAATCCTGGTATTAGTATTTCAATTCATATCTAGTATTCATTTCAATAGTATCATTATTCAATTTAGTAATATAATTATCATTCATATAAATATTCATTTAGTATTCGTATTATCATTCGTATTATCGTACTAGTATTTGTAGTAATTTTCATATTAGTTTTCTTTCATGTTAATTTTCATCTTAGTTTTCAACATAATATTCATATTAGTAGGCTATTCAATATTAGTAGGCTATTCATATTAGTATTTATATTAGTATTCATAGTAAAATTCATATTAGTCTTCATAGATTCTTTAGTATTCAAAAGTAGTATTCATAATTAGTATTCATATTACTATTATTCGTTTTCCGTTTTTAATAGTTCATGCATTTTAGTATTAGTACTCTCAATTTAATATTAGTCTTATTACTATTCTTCGGATATATTCAATTTAGTATAAGTATTATTCTCAGCATAATTATTATTCTTATTCGTAGTTATCTCAAACCTAGTATTCATAGAACTCTTATAATTTATATCACTCATTTCATTTATATCATTATTATTCTTAGTATATTCTTAGTATTCATAGTATTCATAACATTTATATTATTATTCATTCAAATTATCAGTATTATCATTATTAAAAGTTAAAATTCATTATTAGTATTCTCATTATTAGTCAATTTATTATTCATATTAGATTTCATATTAGTTTTCATATTAGTATTCTTAATAGTATTCATATTAGTTTTCATAGGTTATTTAATATTCATAATTAGTATTCATAGTTTAGTATTATTCGTTATAATTCATTCATTTAAGTATTAGTATTCTCAATTATATAAATATTAGTATTATTAGTATTATTCAAATTATTATTCAAATCAGTATAAGTTATATTTATGTCATTCTCATTAATAGTTAGTTCATTATTTGTATTAGTTCTCACATGAGTTTTCATATTAGTATTCATAATAATAGTCACAACAGTATTCATATTAGTTTTTATATTCTATAAGTGTTCATATTCTATTAGTATTCATAATTAGTATCATAACAGTATTCACTAGTTTTCATATTAGTTTTCATATCATATTAGTATTAGTATTATTACGATTATTCAAAATATTATTCAATTTAGTACAAGTTTTATTCTTAGTATAATTATTATTCTTATTCGTAGTCATCTCAAACTTAGTATTCATGGAACTTTTATAATTTATATCATTGATTTCATTTATATTATAATTCTCATTTATAGTATTACTATTCTTATTATTCATAGTATTCATAGTATATTATATTCATAGTATCATTTATATTTATAGTATTCACAGTAATCTTAGTATATTCTTATTATTCATAGTATAGTCTTATCATTCTTATTATTCTTAGTATTCATAGTATATTCTTATTACTCTTAGTATATTCATAATAGATTCTTAGTAATCTTAGTATTCATAGTAAACTCATAGTATTCTTAATATTCATAGTATTCATAGTATAATCTCATTATTCATATTATTCTTAGTATAATCTTATTATTCAAAGTATATTCTTAGTATTCTTATTATTCTTAGAATTCTTATATTCATAGTATTTATATTAAATTCTTAATATTCATAGTATTCATTTCATTTATATTATTCTTCGTAGTATCATTTATAGTATTATCTCATTTATATTAGTTTTCAGATTATCAATCTTGTTCAATTCAGATTCTTAAAGTTATCATTCTTATATCCTTATTATTCACTATTATCATTAAGATTGTCAATTATATCATAAATTCTATTATTATTCATATATTTAATATCATTCATATTCATATTATCAATAGTATTCTTATTATTATCATTATTATTTCTATAAGTCTTATATTTAGTATTATTATGTATTATCAAATTTAGGTTTATAAGTATTATTCGTATTTATATTTGAACTAATATGTTTGTTAGTATTAAAATCAATGTCTGGATTACCAGTATTGTTCATATGTATCAATTTATTCTATAGTAATTATCATCTTGGGGAGTAGGTTAGGGACTAAATTTAAAATGGTTTCAACATGTGTCCCTTCGACTTGAAATCATTTGATAAATGAAAAAAAAAAACATTTTTTTTATGATGTTTTTGATTGTGAACCCGGTCTTATAGCACCGATTAATTTTCGGATACTGAACAAATTATAAAGCTGTAGGATTGTTGTTTGGATTGGTCAAGATGCTGTAAGTAAGTGCGATTTTAACTGAATGACTGAATGACTAGATTGTTTACATTAACGATCTTGAATTAGAAGTCTGTTGATCTCATTGAAGACGAACTTTGTCTATACACAAGACAATCGTAGAGATATCGTGAAACATAAGATTCAGAAACCTAGTTTTCACAGAAATATCTATAACCTAACCCAATCTATATACTGTCCTAGAATTTATACAAATAATGTAAATAAATGCTAAATTAAATTTTTATAATCATCTATCCGCTAGTTTCTTCCATCATTGATCTATAAGGTATATTTGAATAATTATGAATTTTATCCCATTGTTTGATTGTTAAACCATCACTTAATATTACTTCTTCACTTACTAATTCATAATTTCCAAACCAAGGTAAGATTTTAAACATCATAGCCCAATATAAAATACAAATTAAAATACAAATAGTTCCAACCAGTGCATAATTTGGCCAATTTTCCAAACCCTTGGGGTTTGGTGAGCCCGATGAAATAAAAGGTCCAATTATTAAATAAATGCTAATTAAAAATACTGAACTAGTACCTAAAAAGCCAGCTTTTATAGGTGCATGCAAATCAGGATATCTTTTACGAATGATATATATACCAATAGCAATCAATGCTACGGCAATTTGTTGAGGATAACCCTCTAATGATACCATATATGAATAAACGTCCCCTTTAGGAAATCCAACAACAATTAAAGTTGTGATTGAACAACTTAAAATTAAAGTTCTTAAAGGTGCTCCAAATGGCCAATTTGATGCCATGAATTTTGAAAATGGTAAATAACCTTCTCTAAATACTTCTTGATCTACTCTTGATATTGTATAAATAACAACAAAGATATTACCACCGGCACATAATGCAATTGAAAATGTTAAAAAATGACGGCCTAAAGTTTCACCTAATATTTTTTCAAATAAAACAGATCCTACTAAAGTTGATGAATTAACTATTTCTTCATCAGGTATTACTTTCAAATATGCAAAATTTATAATGAAATAAGTAACTGTCATAACTGCCAATGAAACTGGACCTGCAATTTTCAATGTTTTAACTGGATCTTTAATTTCGTTGGAGACAGTATGAACTGAATTCCAACCACTAAATGCAAAACTAGCTTTAATCACAGCACTTGAAAACGAAGCTAAGCTAGCTGAACCTTTCACTGTCCAAAATGTATCCCAAGTTAAATTATTTTCCAACTTAGTGATACTTTGTGGTAAAAGCATAACGTATAATCCTGTCAACATCATTATACCTACTAAAACTAATTTTAATCCACCTAATATATTTTGAACTTTCACTCCATGACTTACACTTACTCCATGAACTAATGCAGCTCCATATAAAAACAACAATCCACTAAGTCTTAATCTAAATGGAGTAACTTCAAAACCTAAAGAATGAACAAAATATTCACCAAATACTAATACATTACTAATAGTAAATCCAAACATAACAGAATATATTGAATAAGCAACAGTTGCTAATAATTTTGGTTTTGTATAAATAAATTCTAAAAATACTTTAGCTCCACCACTTCTTGGAACTAATGATCCCATTTCTAAAAATACATAAAGTCCACCAAATGATGCAATACAAGCTAAAAACCATGCTAAAAAAAATAAAAAAGGAGATTGTCCAACATCAATATATATTCCAGATGTTATACTAAATATTCCACTACCTAAAATTCTACTTATAAATAAAATTATAGTTGAAAATAAACCTAAATGTCTTCCTTGTGGTAAATCTTCTAAATCTGTTAAATGAGAAGATGGATGTTTTAATTTTTCTTGTTTTTGTCGTTCTAAATCTTGAAAATCTTTATTTAGTAGTATTGATTCATTTGATGATGTTGATCCAGCTTTAGCACTTACTGTTACTAGCTCTGGTATTTTAGTATATTCTGATTTATCTATATCCAACATTTCAATAGTATTACTAATGTCTTCAACTATTAGATTAGTTTCTGTATTTGAGTTGGTTGTTGATTCTTGTTCTTGTTCTTCTTCTTTTTGAATATTGTTCATAATACAATATATAAATTTATTTATATAGCAAATATGTTTTCAGATCAATGTATTTTTTTAACTGTGTATATATTTTTTTCCCAATTAGTAATAATTTACATCATCAGCCATAGTTACACAGAAAGAGTCTAAAAGATAAAGAAATGATACAAAATCAGAGAAACGTTTCAAGTCAAAAACAAGAGAAAAATGACAGATAGATATGGTAGCCATTGCTAACAAAAGTTTCTTAAAATTTGCAACAATCTTTAAGATCGCGCGGTTATTATGAACAAATTAATATTGGGTTATTCTTAACGCACGTTGTTGGATATACGAAGATTGAAATGATCAAAAGGTTGTTGTTTGTCAATATATCAATGGTAACTGGCTGATTTTATAACTAAACGACAGAGAATGTACTTCGGGTTATCAATTTTTTATTGGTTGTTTGTCTGTACCAATGCTCAATTTCTTTTAAAACTAAGATACGAGCCAAATTATCTTCCGATCTATGAGTCTTCAACTGAATTTTTCGAACAAAGTGATATAAATATTCCAACACATGAGGTAGATTTGACTAATTTTGGATTAAGATCAAATTATTCATGGCAAGATGTTTTAGAAGAAATTGATTTATCACCAAATCAAAAGTTATTTTTCTTACAAAGGCATGCCGAAGGGTATCATTTGACAGCAAAAAGTCATTTCAATTTTAGTTCAATTGATTGGAGATGTTATTGGAGTTTACAAAAAGGTAAAGATGGAATTGAATGGTATGATGCAGAATTAACTGAAAAAGGTTATAAACAAACTCACAAATTTACAAAAAAGATCAAATCTGTATCTGATTTCCCGATCCCACAAAGATTTTATGTTAGCCCCTTAAGAAGAACTTTACAAACATGGTGGGAAACTTGGAATGATTTGACTGAAAAAACACCGATTATAAAAGAATTTGCTAGAGAAATTTATGGAATTGATAGTGAAAGTGAAAGACATAATAAATCATATATTGAACATCATTTTCCAGAATTTGAATTTGAATCAGGTTTTCTGTTTGACGATGTTCTATGGAGTTCTGAATATAGAGAAAAAACTGAACATTGTCAATATAGAGCTGCTTCTTTATTGCGAGATATATTTGATGAAACGTCTGAAGATGACAAAATTATAAGTATTGTATCTCATTCTGGATTGATATATTGTATTTTGGATGTTGTGCAGCATAGATACTATGGATTAAGTCCTGGTGGTTTAATACCAGTCATTATAGAAATTCAAAATGATAAGAAAATTTATCCATTAGATGACGCATACTCGAATTTCACAAATTGGTGTCCGTATGAGACATCTCTGATTTCAGAAAGAATAGCTATTTCAACTGACAACGTTGATGATTGTGAGGATGCAAGTCAATCCAAAGAGGATAGTTAATATGAGTAGATGGTAATGTTGTCGCGATACTTATTTATTAAATACATGTTTTTGATTACTTTTTACTATGATACAGTTTTTACATACTATAAACAAGTTAAACCTATGAACATGATTATTAAACCCAGTCAACAGGCGTCTTCGTAGCCTGTAATAATTTATCCTCCTCTGATCCAGGTTCAGGATGATGATCATAAACCCAAGAAGCTGTTGCAGGTAACGACATCAAAATACTTTCAACTCTTGATCCAGGAGTTTGTAAACCAAATTGAGTACCTCTATCCAAAACTAAATTAAATTCAACATATCTTCCTCTTCTTATTTGTTGCCAATTTTTTTGCTCTGGAGTGAAAGGTGTATTTTTTCGTTTTTCAATTAATGGGATATAGGAAGGAATGAATGCATCAAAACAACTTTCAACTATATGTAATATTTCATCTGCTGGTTTTGAATCAAAATCATCAAAAAATATTCCACCAACTCCACGAGTTTCTCCTCTATGTTTTATATAAAAGTATTCATCACACCATTTCTTGAATTTGGGATATAATGAAGTATCATATTTATCTAAAGCATCTTTATGTTTCTGATGGAAATTCTTAACATCTTCTTCATACAAATAAGATGGAGTTAAATCAGCACCTCCACCAAACCACCAAGTTTGTACATCACCTGTATCAGGATCAGTGGTTTCAAAATATCTATAATTAGCATGAGTTGTAGGAGCATGTGGATTATGAGGATGAATGACTAATGATAAACCACAAGCAAAAAAATCAATACTTCCATCTTTATCACTACCTTTTAAATTAGAATGATCGGCTTTCATTCTTGCAATTGCTTGTGGAGGTAATTTTCCATGAACTACTGAAATATTAACACCACCTTTTTCAAAAGTAGTACCATTTTGTAAAACCATTGATTGACCTCCACCTCCTTTATCTCCTCTTACCCATGAATCCGTATGAAATCCAACAGTATCAAGATTTGCTATTGCTTGAGTTATTTCTTGTTGCTTTAGGCGAATTAATGCCTCCATACGATCTTTTATTGGTAACGTCGTATCATGAATTTGATCTGGTCCAGCCATTTTCGATAAGTTTAGATATTATTTGGGTAAAGCTTTAAAATGATTGAGAAGAATTTCAATTGGTTGAATAACAAATAGTGCTATAAGTGTAATATCAATGAGCAAAGGGTCAAATTATGTCAAATCATGTCATATTCAGAATCGTTCGTATGACTTTTCATAAAAATCGTCTTTGTGTTAGTATGTCAAACGCTTAATTCCGTAATAGATAGAAGGCTGTAAAAAATAGTGAAATAATAGAGTTCACAATAATAACTATCCCAAATTTATTCTACTAGTTACAATTCATCATGGTAATCAAATGCATCTTCATCGGTATCGTCTGCCTGGAAATTCAATTCATCGAGTGTGTCTTCTTCAAGTACAACTTCCTTTGGATTATCATCAATTCTATCAAGTAATTGATTTACCTCCGCTTCATAATCAACCCATTCAGGTATTAGTCTTTTAGCTGTGTCAATTTTATTTTCAAATGTCAATGGATTATTGCATAAGTCAATCATTTTAGCATCTTTCAAAGTATCATGGGAACACCAAGTTTCACACCACAACCAATCTTGATCTAAACTTTTAATTTTAATTGACCTTTGCAAATTATTTGGTAAATCTTGATCCAAATTACTCAAGGAATTAGCATCGCTAGATAATCTCTGATAATGACTCCTCAAACGATCACCAGCATTCATGGATTTGAATTTTTGTAAATCAACTACAAATAATGCACTAATATGATACTTCAAGTCTTCTTTCAAAACCTCTGACCAATAACCTTCTTTCCAAAATCTAAAGTTTTTAGTATCCTCATTTGTTTCACACATAGGAGTAAATGCATATGGAGCCCTTTCCAAATCCATATCAACCAAAGGAGTTAATTCTGTACGGCATATTTGATCGGCGTCAATGAATATAATTCTATCAAGATCCTGTGGAAACAAAACATCTAAAAATAAAATTTTATACCCCCAAATTTCTCTTTGTCTAGTTGTTTGCTTTCGTAAAAAATTTGGCCATTTATATTTAATTAATTCAATCTCCACGTTATAAAAATCTGACAAAAATGGGATTAATGATCTAAATTGAGACGAAATAAAATTATCTAATATCCAAAACTTTATCAGATTCTTTGGGTTATGTTTCCTCACTGAAGCAATCATTATGCTCGCAAGTTTTTCATATTGTTGACCACCTGCAATTGTGAATATATTAATATCAGCATATTTTGCCTTTTGATTTGCAGCATGAGATGGTTCCTCACTAGTGACTCGAGCATTTAGGGTGAGCCTATTCAACGAAAAAATTGGTATCGTTGCATCTTCTAATTTCGCTGTGTTTGATTCAAACCTGTTTGTCGAAGCTGATAATAAAGCGTGATCAGAAACTGTTCTCAATGAATATATACCCGGTTTTGCCCTCAATTGAAAATAATTTAGTGCAGACATCACTCTGGTATCACCTGAGTAATTATCATTTGAAAGTTTAAGTTGTAGATTCAGTGGTGTTTTTCCAGATTTTATATCTCTCGCATATCCCTCCACAATTAAATCGGATAATTCGTATGAAATTAATGTTTCTCCTCCTTTCCAATAAAAGTCACTCAAATCTAATTGTTTTGTACTATATTTCTCACTCACAACCCAATTGTTAGGCTCATTTACCTTTAATGAATACCGCAGGGTGGGTAAGTGATCGAACTTGATTTTATATGTTTGATTCCATTTCCCATTTGTGTCAAAAATTGGGGTTGAGTCTGGATACTGTCCACGATAAAATCTTTTGGGAATCTCTTCCTGATTGTATTCAGTTTTAGGTTGTAGTAAGATCCTGATGTTTATAAATGAGTAGTCTTTTATGGAGTTAACAATATTGATCAATTTTTGTGAGCGTTCCAATAATGGGTCAATGATAAGTAATACATCTATCGGATTTGATGAATTGTGTTTTTTTATATCAATCAGATTTGAAAAATCGAGTGATTCAAAATCGTATCTATTTACATCAGCCAAATATAATTTCTCATCGGTGTAAAATGATTTTGTGATAACACTAGTCAATAAGTCAAACCAATCCAATATGTCTAAACCTGACCTTATACTGTAATATTCAGCTAAATTTTTATCAAATTCATCCGGATAGGTATCAACAATGTTTTTAATTAAAGTTAGCCGTTCATTAATTTCATAATTAAAAAGTTGATCTATTTCTTTCAAATTCAAGATTGATGGCTCTAGCCTCACATATCTTGAGTTCACCAAAAGGAATGAATGATGTGCGGGTAATTGATTCTTTTCTAATATTTGAACCACCGAATCTTTCTTCAGTATAGATAAAGTTGGCTCTTTTAGACTGCTAATAATTTTATCAATATCGGTGTTTGTTAATGTGTTTAGTTTAAAAAGTCTCTCCAATTTTTCGAAATGATGAGTGTTACCAGTATTCAACACTCTGATCAGTGCCGGGTGTTTTTTAATAAATTCCAAAAGATTAATTAACTGTTCAAAGTTGTTTTCATCAGAAAAATTAGATACTAACCAAAATTGAGCCAGAGATTCCAAAGACTTATCAATTTTTTTGAATGCTATAGTCATATTCATTAAATTCTGGTTTACTGATTTATAAATGATGTCAGCTGGATCTAATGGAACAACTTGTAAATTGCGCTCGCTCTTCGCATTTTTGTAAAGTATTGTGTCTTTCAACTTGCCTTCAACAGGGCCCAATCTCAAATAAGTTTTTATTAAAGAAATATCTTGTGCGATTTGATTACTCATTGATAATTGCCAGTTTGATGAGGAAAGATCATGAATGACACCATTGACAATAACTGATGGTCGATCGATTGAGAATTTATCCGCAACTTCTTTTAATCTTGAAGCTTCTATTTTAGTGGAAGCATCGATCTTATTCAACAATTCTTCAGTCTCATCTGGAGTTTTTGTTTCCATATACTTGTAAATCAAAGCCAAAGCTTCTTTTGTATCCAGCAATGCTGCTACGTTGTATAACCTGTTTGCAATTTCAAAATCTAAAGGATCATCACCTATGAGTGGTAAAATCCCAACTTGTTGTGGAATACCCGTATCCAATATCAACTTTGAAAAAGTGAAAAAAGCTTTCAATTGTTGTTTATCTCCTAAATTAATAGCAAATATTAAATCATGCACATTCTCTCTTAATGGTGGAATTTGGTTTGACTTTAACTTGTGTGAATCAGCTCCTAAATATAAATTTTGACGATCGGTTGAATAAGTTTGATAGTTTTCATTCAATTCAATATCATTTGCAAATAATACACCTCCTTTGTGAAATGAATTTTTTTTGAATTCCTCTGCATAAACTTTGAATCTGTTATCATTATTACCCATTATTGTATTCCCATTTCTGAACTGATTCTGTTTTACTGCCGATAGTAACGCAAACTTTGAAATTAAAATCTTTGACTGCACAGTATCGAACCCCAATTTGACTAAACGCTTAATAGTTTTTAACTCTTCACGAACTTTATTATTAAGTTCAAATATGTCTAACTCTAAAAGGTTTATCGGTGATCCATTTATATATATCCCAATTGAGTCTTCTGATAAACCTACTTGCTCATTGCTGATCACTTTAGATTTGACTCTATGAAAATTGAATTGGTCAGAAAGATTATTTATATATGGTGCAAATTTGGGTAAATCATTAACTATTGTTTTCAAGAAGTCATATTTAGTGATTTTGATACTTCCAGAAAATAGGAATGCAACTAATTTAAGCCCTAGATCATTGAATTTATCTCCAATAGTATATAGATCGGTTGATTCCCGTATGGATTGAAACTCTTGGCGCAAGTTTACATTCTGAATCAACTTATTTTTGGTCGTCGAATTTTTCAATGTCATATCCACTGCATAACCAGATAAGGAGTCATGAATTTTGCTGCCAGAAGGTATATATCTCCAAACAAACCTTATCTTACCACTATCAGCCTCTTGTATTAGTAGTCTCAAAAATTCTCTTGTTTGGTCCGCTGTTGGGTCACCATATAATATCAAAATTGGTGCATTTGAGTTATTTCCAATGATTCTGTCAAAGGGACTAATGGTATCAGTGGTTTTATCAGTTTGCAAAGCAAATAAATCATTGACGGAACAATAAACTTTATTATTGTATGAAACCCAACTTGGAATCAAGCCATTCTTTGTTTCGACTTTATCACCAAACGAATCCTTTGAACATATTTTATTCAAACCAAGCCTACTTAATGTGGTTTCGTAATGTTCGTAATGAGATACAATCCTTGGGTTATATACTTTATTCACTAAGTTGAAATTTATAAAATCCTTTGATGAAGCATCTAGACCAAGATTGTTGATGACTGCTTTATATACATCTTCATCCAGTGAAAAATCTAACTCTATATCATCTTGTTGAAATAGTAAATGTATGGTGGGAAGATACAATGATTCATCATAACCTGATACACTTTCAATTATACTTGCAATGAAATCTATTTTTCTCCATGGGGCCACTACATCAATTGACAACAGGCTGTCACTTATGTGTCCTAAGGCAATTGAAAGAATTAAACAAACAGATAGTAGTATTCTTGAATTTGAATGCCATAGTAGCATGATTCAATGTTAATTTTTTGGCGGTGTTTTAATTTCCAAGTAACAATACCTATAGAAAAAATCATTAATTTTTGCAACCTTTTTGTAGATGCAGAATTTTAAAACGTTAAATTCATCAATATTCATTAACCATTACTCATTATGTACTAGACTATACACTGCTCTAAGTCGGATCATCAATCTATGACAATAATTTCTTGCCTATCTCGAGTTTTTGAATCAACTACCTCCAATATTTCAATATCCTCCTCATCTATACCTCTCAGCAGCTCTCTCAGATTTCCCTCTAATTTCTCGTTGTCATCGCTATAGGTTTGATCCTTGTCTCTTATTTCTAATATTTCTAATTCGTCATCATCTGGAATTTCAGAGCTTTCTTTAAATTCCAGTCCACATCTCTTCGAATCTTCCAATCTTCTCATTGCTGCTTCCAATCTTGCTTGACGTGCATCTAGTGGTGGTTTTGTTACTTTAGAATCCAGTCCTAATGCTCTACTTTCATTTTTAAAATTGACCTTGTTAAATTGTGCTAATCTTCTAGCTCTAACATCAACTATTCCTGCTCTCAACATTCCAAATCCTAATTTATTTTCTTCACATCTATATCCTGAATTTCCAGATGATCCATATCGTATTTTATCATATTTATCTTCGAGCTCTTTCAAAAAGTCATAAAATTTCTTGTCATGAGCACCATGAAAATTGTGAGTCAATTCATGTAAAAAAGTACCAATGATGTCACACATTGGTAGAAATTCATTCTCATTATGATGATATCGTAGTCTTAATAATATTTTTTGACCTTTGTTTACGTTCAAACCCAACAAATTAGCTTTTTTTGGAAACATTTCACTTAGTATCCCAACTTTGAAGTTGTATTCATGAATTATTGGTGCCACTGCCTTTACCGCGTCATGTAATAACTGATTCGCGTAATCTCGTGTTTCATATCTCATTAATGAACCTATTTTTGAAACATTAGCAACTGGAGATGGTCTATTCGGTTTTTTTATGGGGAATCTACCCCTTCCCTTCTGGACCATTGGGTTCTTCAAGGATTGAACTGAGTAGTTAAAGTAGAATTAACATTAGGTAATAAATTCAACTCTAAACTTTTTTTATTTTTCGATTCTGTGTTTTCAAAACGAGAATAAGTATTAGTCTAGTATAATAAATAAATTGTAAAACTCTATAAGCATTACATTAACCATGCGTTGTTCTATATAATTCATCTAAAAAATTAATCATAAAACTCCCTGGAGTTGTGGTAGATTCGGAAGCATATTTTCCGGCCTCATTATAAAGCTGAACGGCATGAAGTGTTGCCTGATAAATATCACCTGTCCCTTTACCTGATTCGGCTGCTTCAACTGCAATGAAAGATGCAATTGTACTACCTAAAGAGCATCCAGTACCAGTAATACTACCCATTAAAGGACTTCCACCAGGGACAATGTCATGTCTTCCATCTCGTGATATTATGTAATTTTTTGGTCCTGTAATTACTACCACAGATAAGAAATCATTAGCTATTTCCCTTCCATATCTCAATAGCTTATCCTCTTCAATTTTTGCAATTGAATCAACTCCCCTCATATAACTCTTTTTTCGCTCGTTGATATTATCATCAATTACAATTGAATCAAGTTCCCTCATATATCTCTTTTCTAGCTCGTCGATATTATCATCAATTTTTGCAATTGAATCAACTCCCCTCATGTAACTCTTTTCTTCCTTGTCGATACATGAGGAAGTCAACTTCCATATACTCATTATTTCACCAACATTTCCTTTGATGACTGAAACATGACCATGATTCAATAGTTTTCTACAAGCTTCAAATCTAGCCTTTGATGCACCACATGCCACGGGATCGAAAACAATCGGTTTACCTGCATCACTGTACACTTGAATAGCTGTTTTGAATACTTTCATTAATTCTTCATTTGGAGTTCCAAGATTAACAACTAATGAAATAACAGGAATATTGGTGACAAACTCTTTGAACTCTTGAGGTAATTCTGACATCACTGGTGAAGCACCTATGGCCAAGGTTACATTGGCACTAAAGTTTTTTACAACGTTGTTTGTGATATGATGCACCAAAGGTTGCTGTCTTACCAAACGCCTGATACTTTCCATTGATATATCTTCCTGAAATCTAACCACAGTTTGCAGCCATAACGGTTCAGTCCTTAATTGCTTGCATAATTCAGCGGTGGATTTACCAGCATTTTCACTAGCCATAATACAAGAAACAACCGCGACACCATCGATACACTTATCCTTTATACTACATAAAGTATTAACTCTTGCCGCATTAGATTGATTTATACCTCCAATTGCAACAGATTGAATCCTCTTCTTTGATTTTTTAAGTTCATACAACATTTTTCGAATACCTATTGGTCCAACTCCTTCTGGATTTGTAACATCTTTTTTAGTGTTGGTGGCAAAAACAGTACCTAGACCAACATAATCAGCTAAACCTTGTTCTACGACTTCTTTTACTTCATCACAAGTTGAGCATGTAACACCTAAAATCTTATTCAGTCCAATTAGTTTTCTTACTATTGAAGCTGGCATATCATCTTGACCTACATGAACACCCTCGGCATCAATTGCCAAAGCTACGTCAATTCTATCATTGATGATTAATGGTATCCCTTTTCTCTTGGTTAATTCATGAACTTCTTTTGCTCTTTTTATGAAATCTCGAGTGGACAAGGTTTTTTCACGTAATTGGACAATTGTAACTCCATTTTCGATAGCTCCTTTAACCTGATTCAAAAAAGTGGATGACTCTGGAATCATGCTAGAATCCGTCACCAAGTAAACTGAATAATCCACCATGTTTGTGCTTTAAGACTGGCTTATCAACTTGAAAAGCACACAATCTTGCAAAATGATATCAAGATACAGTTTGTTTTAGTGACTCGAAAAAAAATAGTATGCGCTTAGAAGGGATTGGTGCTAAAAATCTCTTACTTTTACTAACTATAAAGACTACTATTAAACTATAGTTGCAACAAGTATATGAATGCTACGACACTCTTCAATTATGTTAGCCTAGTTGTAGGAATACACTGAAAGACTTTATCTCTTACCGAATAGAATGATACAATCAGTAACCAAGGCTACAATACTGTTTATGCAGAACCTTATAGCCTCCTAAATACAATGCAATTGTTCAATTTTTCGGTGTCAGTACTTGTAGATTTTGGGGAAAACAAAATCGATATAAATTTTCCAAATTAACGATCGACGTGCTTTGATGGTCTTATGAATTGATTTATAAGATTCTTAACTTTATTGTGTGACGTAACAACGACTTTGCCTTTTTTTCAGGATACTACTTTCAACCTATTACCATCCCTAGTTGCATAGTTATAGTGCTCACTCATCTATTACAACTTCTTCTTCCTGATCCTCATTCAATCCACTAATGTCTCTTAGAAAAACATCAATATCTTTGACTTTAGACCTTCCCACCTTATCAATCAATCGCCTAGTGCTTTTTATACTGAACTCTTCACACTTTTTTATAGTTCCACTAACGTGAATACAACTTAACGTGACATCAAGGCCATCAATATTATTGATCATGCACATAGCTCCAATTATTGTTTCAAATTGTGATCTACCACATCGAATTATCCCTGTTGACGTTTTATTAGAAAAGTATTTAACCGTCATCAACATCCCAGCTGAACCCGATCCTATATCTCCATAATTTTCCTGTAGTGACTTTCTTATTGCATGAAGAATCGTTTTGTAGTTGATATTTGATGGAGATGATTTGTGTAATGTTAGAAGTACATTTTGCTCAGATGTAACATAATCTTCTATCTCTTCTCTAGATGTGTTCTTTTGAATCGGTGGATATAGTATTTCGAATAAAATGTATCTGTGTTTTACTCTGACCATATTGTTCGGTAATTATCAAAACACTTTAAGCATAAATTTGATTAGAAAAATTTGTGCGAAATTCTCAACCATATAATTTTAATAAATAAGGTATTATTAGCTGCAATGCTAACAGCTTTGTTTAAAAAAATCTAAAATCTTAGTACTGCCGCTCCAGATGGAATGAATTCAGTTCAAAAGATTAGAAAATGGTAGAGATTTCATGATTATAAAAAAATCAAATTGGCAAGCACCCGTTAATCTGATTTGGATACCACCGGCAGACCTTCTTTCTCGTTTTAGTCCACTTCAACCTGTGTTCCATGAAGCGGTTCAAGACTTCATGATTTGACTGTTATTGGTTAATAATTGTATTCGTTGAAATATTTGATTGAAAATTTTGAGGTATTGATTTTTAAGCTATGTAGGCGCTATAAGGAGAGTTTTAGATGCATCTTTTAAATTTTCTGGATGCTGTTGTAGTTCGAAACAAAGTTAGAGATAAGCGCTAAATCATCGTAGCAGATGTGAGAGTGTATGTCGCGTGCATTATAAACTTTTATTGATATCTTCAAATGACTAGATACTCTTCGATAATTTCTTTAGCTAATTGGTTGTTACCATTAATAGTATAAATCAATTGCAAATTATAAGCAGCTTCCCATTTTAAGTCATATACATCTTCATCTTGTTCTTCAATATCATTTTTCAGTATTTCCAAAACCTTATTATAAAATTCAACTGCTAATGAAGTCAACCCAAGCATATGGAATAATCTCCCAAAATTATATTCAACTTCTTGTCTTTCATATGGACTTGAATTATTTTGCAATCTATTGTCTCTGTATTCTAGAAATATACTTAACCCTTGAAGTAATTGAATATTTCTATTCGTACTTAATCTTTGCATGGATCTATGCACATGTGCTAACCCTAGTAAAAGGCAAAGCATTGGGTCTTTGTTGAAATATTTGTACGCCCTATTGATATAAAATACCACTGAAGAATAACTTTTATTTCCTCCAAGTAATGTAGCATATATATATATTATATCAAGATGAGCTGGTCCAAGATCAACATTAGTTAAATCAGCAGTTATATTCGACCTTCCGCTAATTTCTTCTTTTTTATAGCAATAATCATAAGATTTTAATTGACGAAGGAAAAATTTTTGATGATTATAATGAGCATTTTCTCCAAATGCTGATAAAGAACAACAAGCTAAAAAAAATTGACACATAAAAGGTGAAAATTGATTATTCAATAAAAATACTCTTACTTGTTGAAATGCCATATCAAATGATTTAGGTTGTGAATAAACAAACATAAACTTTAACAATCTTAAAATAGATTCTTTGGCTTTATCATGAGCAAAAATGTTTGCGGCCAACCCAATGTTAATAATATCAATAGCATAAGCTGAATTACTTTCATATATTGATAGAACTAATGCAAATTGAGCAAAGATATCAAACCATTGGTCATAGGTTATTCCTCTGTATTCTGTTTTATTGACTAAAATTTGTTTGCTATATGGTTGTTCTTCATTTATACCTTCCAACAAATTATAAGCTCTAGCTAATTTGTCATCAAGATTCATTTGAGTATTCGAACGATATCTTAAAATTCCTTTAAATTTTTTCGACTTATCTTTGGGGAAAAAACTTTTCACATTTGTAAACATTTCAATCAATTGTGAAGCCAATTGAATCCAAGCTGATATTGCAACTCTATCGCCCTCGTTGATAGCTTCTTGTAATCTTTCCATACGACGGTATTTCTCTAATACTTTGGAAGTTGCATTGGCTTCCATTTCTAACTTTTCTTGTTCAGTGTATCTTTTTCTAGTTGTTTTTCGAACTTTATTTTTGATAATGGACAAACCTTTTTGTTCTTCTAATTCTATCTCGTCTCCAACTGAATCATCCCTCGATGTGTCTCTTTTCACTTCTTTAATTAAAGCTTTTGCTTGGGCGTCATCACCTAAATGATACAATGTTTCAGCTAATGCTAATTTATAATCAACATTTTTTCGATCATAATTCAATAATTGAGAAAAAGCATGTTCAGCTCCTTCATAATCTCCAACTTCAAAATAACATTTACCAAGATAGCTGACTAAATCGGTTTCAACCATTCCTGGAGCAGCCAGAGCTTTCTCCAAAAAGGTCACAGCTTCTTCATAATAACCAAATTCAGATAAATTTTTACCAGCTTCATAGAATAAATCTGCAATTTCTTCTTGATCTCCAATCAATAAATAATTAAGATGTCCCAATGCTTCATCTTTTTGATCTAATCCTAATCTCAACAAACCTAACTTGAATCTAATATCAATGGGTAACTCATAAGGTTTAGAATTAAATGCTTCTTCTTCAGCAGGTTTTAGTTTCAATTTATTTTTAAATCTCTTTTCAGCATCAAATTCATCATCAGCATCTTCATCCCAATACGAGTTTTCATTCATCCTACCTTGAATCCATCTAGCAGCTAATTTCAATACATTAATACCGAGTTTGAATGAACGATGTTGCATATGCAATTCCAACAAAATATTTAATTCGGGCCAGCCGAAATCCGGATATATTTCATCAGATGTTGGATCAGGTTGAATGTTACTATCCAAAATTCTCATGTATAAATTAATCGCATCATTCAATCTCTTTTGATCAACATAAACACTTGCTAAATATTTAATAATATTAGAATTTTTAGGCCATAATTGACGAAGTCTTTGAAACCCATCTAATGATTTACCATAAGATTTTTTTTCTTTATACAATAAGGCTCTTTCTAAAATATATTTTGCACTTTTGTTTGTATCAGGGGTAATAGCCCTTGTATAACAATATATTGCTTGATCGATATGTTCTAATTCTACTGATAATTCTGCAACTTGACCCCAAAATTCAGTATCCCATGGATGTAAATTTGCTGCCAATAACCAAGAACTACAACATTCATTTAATTTACCCATAGTTTTGTATATTTCACCTAATGACTTGTAAGCACTAAAATTTCTAGGATCCCCCTTAATAACTTCTTTATACAACTGTTGTGCTACTTGTAAATCATTTCTAACAAATGCTTCATTAGCCATCGATAAATTCATTCTTACTTCTGGATCTAATTCTCTATTCGTTTCTCTAGCCATTCTCTTTTTAAAATATGATTTATTAGATTTTGATAATTTCTCTCTTCTATTCCGTACTTTAAAATTACTTGCACCTTTTAAAGCATCTTTAAAGTCATAATCATCATCGTAATCATCTTCTCCTGATAATTGCAAAAAATCATCATCGTCATCATCAAAATCTCCATCTGATTGTTCAAAATAATAATTTCCATCTCCATCATCATCTATATCCATATCATCTTCCTCGACCCCAAATTTGGCCATATCCAATTCATTTAATGCTTTATCCAATTTATCTTCTTCATCATCATTATCTTGTTCCATTTGGTCTGCTAATAATGTGGTAACATCATTATTTCGATCGACTAGATCTGGATCTATTATATCAACATTTGAGGTTCCATTTCCATTGGTTTTCCGTAGGTTGCCTTCATTTGACATTCTGGAGTTTAATGGTGGTGTTAAAGCATATGTTATAAGTAGATATTATAAATATCATAATATTAACTCTTTTGTTTTTGTTTCAAACTTTACCCGTTGCAAATTTGGTAGCTTTGTTTTCTGAAACCAGGTTTTGAAAGAAATCTTGAACAGCTTTTACAATTGAACTATCTTTACCGTCAGAGCTCCTTTGAAGTCATAGGAAAATAGGGTGATTCTGTATTTTGGACAATGTAGTCTCAAATTTGTTTCTCTGAAGTAATTTCTTGATGACTGCAATTTCTACGATATTGGTTAACTAAAGCACATTCACATTCGCCTATAGTTCTTAAAGTTGGGATTCTACAAGCTGTGTATGCCAGCTCTTATTTGATAGGCTTGAGGTAACAATAACAGCTTTTGCTCGACTGCAACTGATTTCAAGTTTCGAGTTCATTACTTTTATTAACCTAAGCAAAGTATCACAAAATTAACAAATTAAAGAGTGTGCGAGAATCCTTTATTTTAACTATTGTACTGCATCTACTAAAATAGTAATAAACTACTTAGATTTTGTTTACATTAAAACTACTCATATTTATTCATATTTATTACTTCCTTATTCTTTATCAGAACAAGATCTAATATTAATACAACTCATCGATTCCACTCAATTCATAACGTTAGATCTAAATCTACCATTGCTAGCCTTTTAATTCAATCCAATCAATTCCGGAATTTACTGACACGAAGTTATCTATCAAAAATCACTTAAATCTTTTCCAATAATTTCAAGTATAAAATTATAAAGTCTTGGTATAAATAATGTCTGATCTTAGAAAAATTGCATTATCAAATACTAATCTTAAAAGTATGAATAATTCTCCACCTAATTCAGGTACATCAACTCCATTAAAAGGAAAAATGGAAAAAACAGATTCAGTTTTAAATTTAACAAAACCAGAACTATTTGGTTTATATAAAAATGATTCATATGTTGATTTAAATAAAGATTTTAATGAGACTTCTGAATCAGATATAAATATTTTATTAAAAGCTCAAAGTAATGATTCCACTTTAACTCCAATTACTTCAAATACAAATGAATCAACTTATAATATACCATTACCTGCAAAATTAGTGATTTTATCAAGTTCAGCATATATTTATAATGAAATTATAAAACATATTAATTATAATCATTTTAATGAAAATCAATTAGTTAATTTTCCATTAACTATAACTCATGTATTTCTTTATGCATTTGTTTCAAAATTTAAAATTGGTAATTATATAAATATAAATGGTGATATTTTAAAAGTTTTTGATAATATTTTTGCATTAACTTTACAAGGTTTATTAATGGCTTCATTACATCCAATATTTGATAGAATTTTACCTAATTTTTTTACAAGAAGATTATTATCATCAAATCCAAATAATCAATCACCTTCATCATCAGTGAATCAATCAAATTTTTTTAATGATTTAATTAGATCATGTATTACCTTTTTAGGTATAAGTTATGCAATTAGAAAAATTGAATGGAGTAGTTTTTTACAAGTTTCAATTATATGGTCGTTAATTAATCCAGGTTTATGGTTATTATTGGATGGAACAATTTCAGGATTTTTATCTTCATTATTAGTTTCAACTTTAGCTTGTGTTAGTATATATACACAAAATTATCAATTTATAAATCAATATTCAAAAACTTCAGATGATATTATTGCTTTATGGTTATGGATTGGATCATTTTTCTTTTGTGGGATCATTATATTTGGTAAAATTGGTAGAGGAATATTCGGTCCAAACTAAGATATTTATTTAGATATATACCTGTTTAATAAATTATTTTAAATTTCTTTACAACGGTTCTAGATTGAACTTAGCATTGAATCTACAATTCTAATATCTAACCGTGTTGTTCTGAAAATTTCGCGACAAATGTAACTGACACAAAAAGCTGTATTTAGATTATCAAGATCATGATTACAAGTTGCATCAATCTAACAACTTACAATTAACACTCATGACTATATACGCATTCAACATATTTGATCGACATTGTCATTGCATATACAATAGAGAATTTACACAGTTATCACAGCCGCTGCTGCTGCAACAAAATCCTTCATCCTCATCAATTTCAATACCATCCAGTTCAACTTCAAATAAATCTGGAATAAATAAAAATAATTATGGTGATAACTCCAAGCTATTATTTGGAATAATATATTCATTAAATCAAATATCATCAAAGTTAGTATCTTCCTCGGAAAACCCGTCAGAATCAACAAATGAATTAAAAACTTTCACAATAGGACAATTCAAGATTCATTTTTGGGAATCATTAACAAAATTTAAATTTATATTAACAACAGATATAAATGTAACAAATCTATCGAATGAATTATGGTATATTTATTCGACTTTGTTTTTAAAATATGTAGTAGATAATCCTTTACTGCCAATAGAATTTAAAGTTATTGAACATGATGAAGAAGATACAAAATCAACAAAAAATTTAAGTGTTGAAGAGATGAAAGAAAATGAAGCATATGGTATGATTCAAAATTGGAAATTTATTGAAGAAACTGACATATATTTAAAATCTTTACCAATATTTGTTTAATGATCTAAATAGAGACTTTTTAGAGTAAAGAGTCATAAAAGAATAAATTTGCATGCAAATAAAATTAATTTGATAAATCGATCTCTATAGATTACTTAAGTTTCACACAAAATTTCTTCCCTAAAGTAGCTCTGACTACCACCGGTTATAACGACTTGATCACGTATTCAAGACACTCGATGAAGCATTGAAGGCATATTTTGTATGAACATATTGTTGTGTACCTGAAAAAACCATAAATCTATGTATTAATATTAATTATTGAGGTACGGAATAATAACCTTATCAGTAAAAACATCCTTACCTCAATATTTAAATAATTATGGAACTAGCCGTAAAAAAGCTTCAAAATTCTAATTTTGTGTAGCAAAAGTTTTTTGACAGTTTTTGTAAATAGAATATATAAAATCACATCTGAATCACCACGATGATAGAATTCAATATATTTTAATAGAACGAAGATTGTTTGATGATTTATCGATAAAAACGTGAGAGAAAAGGAGAGTAATGAGGATGTTAAAATTTGACGAAAGACCGAAAATATTTAATTCAAAATTTCATGAAATAATAGTTGTAATATTAGTATGTCTTGCACAATTCCTTACACAAGCAGGTATAACAATGTGTTTAAGTACAATGAATATTATTTTGAAAGATTTTGAAAATTCAAATACATCATCAGCTTATACTACTTGGTTTATGGGTGGGTATGCATTAACTGTGGGGAGTTTTATATTAGTCAGTGGTAGAATTGCAGATTTATATGGTTTCAAAAAAATATTTAATATTGGATGGATTTGGATTATTGTTTGGTCAATTATTTCAGGTTTTTCTTTTTATACTAATTCAATAATATTCTTTATTATATGTAGAGCTTTTCAAGGTATTGGATTTGCTTTAATATTACCTACTGGTTTAGGTATATTAGGTCATATTTATTCAAATGGAGAAAGAAAAAATTTTGTATTTGGATGTGTTGGTGCAAACGGACCTACTGGAGCTTGTGTTGGAGCATTGATGGCAGGAGTGGTTGCTCAAACTTGGTGGTGGCCATGGATATTTTGGTTATTAGCTATATTTAGCTTCATCTTGTTAATACTTTCGATTGTATATATACCTCATTTTGAAGGTGACACTACTGGAAATAGGTTACAAAAATTAAATATACCTGGTTGTATCATTGGTCTTGCTGGATTAATATTGATGAATTTTGTTTGGACACAAGGACCTGTAGTTGGTTGGAATAAAGCTTATATTATTGTTTTATTAGTGGTATCAGTATTATTAATTGCAGCTTTTTTTGTTTATGAGTTGAAATTTACAGAATTTCCATTATTACCAAAATCTATTTTCAATATTAAAATTGGACTTGTTTTAGCTTGTATGTCATTTGGTTGGGGATCATTTGGAGCTTGGCAATTTTATTATTGGAATATCATTTTAAATTTAAGAAATTATACTCCAATTGAAGGTGGATTAACTTATATTACATTCTTAGTATTGGGTTGTATAGCTTCATTATTGGCATCATTTATTATTTCACATACAAAACCATCATTTATAATTTCATTTTCAACTATTTGTTTCATGGTTGGCTGTATAATGTTGTCTGTAACTCCTATTGAACAATCATTCTTTAGGCTCACTTTTGGTATGCAATTTATTCTAGCTTGGGCAATGGACCTCAGCTTTCCTACTTGTTGCTTGATTTTACTGGACCTTATGAAAAATAATCAAGGAATGGCAGGTTCATTAGTATCTACAGTTGTAAATTATTCAGTTAGTTTATTCCTTGGTATGTCAACTTGTGTTGAAATAGAAACCTACAAACATAATCAAGATCAATTATCAAGCTATAGAGCTGGGCTTTATTTTGCAACTGGTATAGCTGGTTTAGGTGTGATTTGTTCATTTATTTTCATATTTGTACAAAGAAAAGACGCAAATGGTACAAATGCATTTATAGAAATTGAGAATGTCGATGACAGCTCAATTGAAAAAAAAGATATAGAGAACATGTAATATAATTAATGCTTAAAATCATCTATTTGGCTCTTCAATTATATTTTTTGTAGAATATTTCGTGAAATTTAAAAATTTCCCCTTATGGTTATTTTTTTACCCCATTGAAACTTTAATCTAGAATTCTCATTTTTTGCATCATCATTTAATTCTTCAACTTCAGCAAGCAACAATCAATTCCACCAAACTCAACCAAGTTGGACATGCTTTCAACATTAATAGTGGTGCTAGTGTCAATTGTATCCTTGTGTCACGGAAGAGTATTTTATTTAAAAACAACTACAAATGCAGCATGTTTAACAATAACATTACCAACTACAATTGAAATTACAAAAACAATTGGTCAAGAACCAGTTCCAATTGTTGTATTTGATTATAATCATAGAAATTTATTTGAAGAATTACCAAATTTTGATTTTTTAACAACAGATGCAAAAATTGATGAATATATTGAATATGGAGAATTTGTATTTGATTCACCAGATTCGATATATGCTTCAAAAGATGAATTAAATGCTGAACCATTAAAATTTGGAGTTACTCCGGGGACTTGGTGTATATATAGTCCGAAATTATCATCATACGAGTATAAAGTCGATGTTAAAGAGAATGGGTATTATGAAAGATATGATGACCTTTGGTGGTCTGCAATAAATATAGTTGTTTGTTTATTTTTAGCAAGACTATTCAATTTTGGTACAAATCCTCCTATCATTTATAAAACTGTCACATTAGTTCAATTAGCTAAAGTTTCAGTATATTTAACATCATTGATTTTTACATATTTTAATGAACCAGTTTTGAGATATTCTGAATATGTTGTGAAGGGATTAGATGATATTTTTACAATGTTATTTTTAATGGGATATGGATTAACTTATGGAAATTATCGTGATCAAAATGTTAAAAAAATCTTTTTTGTTACTTTATTAACTGTAATACCATCATTTGCGGTAAGATATTTCGATTTAAAAACAAATGTAAATTACATTGAAATTAATAATCAAAGTTATAATGTTGTTCAAGGTGTATTAGGTCCTGCTGGTTATGATGGATTAAATCAAATTGAAAATATTACGTTACAATATAAGATAAATACATTTAGTGGGCCAATAGCATTATTATTTGCAATTTCAAATTTTATCAAAATAGTAGTATATACATTATCAATACGTTCAACATTTAAAAAATTGAAAATTATAAATCCAAAAGCAAGAAAATCTTATATATATGTAGTGATAATATGGTTATTTGCTTGGTCACTTATAAGTGTAGCATTATCACCAAATTTATTTTATAATTATCAAAATATTACAAATTATGCAAATATATTAAATGAATATTTAATTGAATCTTTAAGATCAAAATATATTATATTTGCATTAGATGAATCTCATTGGATTATATTTTGGTTACTTTGGTATTTTGGTCAAGGTTTATTAATTGATAAAGAAGTTGATGTTGTTGAAGTTGATTCTGTAGTTGAAGTTAATTCAAAACCAATTGTTACTGAAACTATTATAGAGATAAAGAAAGATGAATAAGTTTATGAATAAGTCCATGTTAAAGTGACATTAGTTAATGATTCTAGACATTGATAAAATAAGACACCAACTTTGTTTTGTGTAATATTATTATTTAATTTTTGTGTAATGTAAATATTATAATTGTAAACATACAAATTTTAGTGTAAATCATTTGTTTCATAATTAATTACAACCAACCAAAAGTAATCATTATCAATCTCACATGATATTAATATAAAAATAGAATAGAATCCTTAGTTATGAATTTTTATGAAAATTTAAAACCTTTGGAAGAACATTCACCGAATAGAATGAACAGATCACCTCCAAATAGACGATCTTCTTTAGGATTTGAATGTGTTAGTATTCCAACTTCATCAAATACATTTGATTCAAAAATACCACAACCTCCACAGCCTCAAATTCAAACTCAATTGTCAAATGTTTCTTTTCAATCAAGAATTATGGCAATGCAACAAAGATTAGCTAGAAAACCACCGCCAGCAAATGTTTCATTTCAAGAACCTTCTTATCAATACCCAAATATTACAACAGAATTACAAGAAGCAATATATAATATAACAGAAGAAATAAACAATAAACAAAACCAGCTAGATCATTACGAAGAAGAATTGCAAAAATTACGAAGAATATATAGAAATCATGAAAAAAAAGTTGTTGATATAAATTCAGAATTTATAAATTTTCAATTACAATTTGATTATTTTAGTGAAGAAATTATAAGATCAGTTCAAAATGAAGAAAAAATGATAGAGATTAAATTGAAAGAAAATCAAATTAAATTGGATAATCAATTGAAAGAATTTGAATTTGAAATGAAAAATGAAATGGAAGAAATTAAAAATATTGATTATTCTTTATTGATTGAAAAGTTGGATAAATTGAAGAATGTTGAAAAAGAATTGAATATAAAGATTGAGAAACAACAGATTGCAAATGATGAAGAAGTTGCAATAGAGCGTAAAAGAATTAAAGACGAGTATGATACTAAGATATCTACATTACAAGAAGAGTTGAAAAAGAATAATGAAATAATTAGTCAAAAGCAGTCAGAATTTAACGAATTAAATGTTGAATTCCAACAAGCATTAAATGAACTTGATATATACAATGCCAAAATAGAATCCACAAAGCAACAAATAAATACAATTGAACAAACAATGACAAATTTTAAAGGAGATAAACAAAGTATAGAATTACAATTAAATGAATTAGATAATCAATTAAAGATCAAGACCGAACAATCGAATTTAGAACAACCTGAATTTAATAAAGTCCAAGAGGAATACAGAGAATTAATTTCTAAAATACAAAAACATGATGAACATAGACGAATATTAGAAAATTCAATAATGAATTATGAAAGTAAAAATATTCGAATATATGCAATATCAAATGAAGAAGAATATATTGATAATATAGTTGGATTTGATAAAGTATTTAAAGAGGATACCCCATATTCATCCATATATGATGAATTTTCTTTATTCATTACCAACATATTAAATGGTCAAAATATATCAATTATTTCACAATTTATTCCTGGTACATATATTATATTTGAAGCAATGAAAAATCTTTTAAATCATGATGATATTAAAATTGATTATCAATGTATGAATGAAACTACTGATTTATTAACAAATTCACTTCTCCCCACAAATTCAATTTTTGGAAGTCAAAAAATGATAGTTAATGATTTATTTCAAGTTAAACGATTTATTGATGATAATGAAAATAATGGTGTTCTTATTCATGTTTTAACAGTTTCTGGATTAAAGAATGGTAAAGTATTTGAAAGTAAGTTGGTATTAATGGATATAAAGAAAGTAGACCTAACGAGTCAAATTAATATATTAAAGAATTTGAATGTATCATCATCTTCAAAAAATACATCATCGACTGACAAATTAATACAATGGATTTCAACAAAGAGTAAAAATTTAATTATAACCGAAATCAATAATTTTGAAATCTTAGAAATACTAAAGAACATTAAGAATAAAAAATAAATATACATATTTTTAAAGTGCTACATAGTTGAAACTAAATCATGCAATACCCATTTCAATTCGTCGTTAGAACCAATATGAGCATCAGGTCTAAGCATGTTATTTTGATGTTGTTGTTGTGATGGTGGAGGGGGTTGTTGCAGTAGTGGAGGTGAAGCTGAACTTGATTGTTGTCGATCAACTACATCTGTTTTATTGGTAGTATTTTCAGTATTCCCCTCACTATTAACTGCTGTAGTATCTATTGGTTTTTTAGTAATATATGATATAGGTTTTGGAGGTAAATGATAATTAAAATTTTTACCTTGATAATCATCATCTTCTAACATTACATTACTTAATCTTAATTTTGGACCATTTGGTTCAATTAAATGTGGAAACATTTCAAAAGTATCATATAAATCTTCAACTGATAATATTATATCTTTACCATTATTAAATTGTTCTTCTTCATATTTTCGTTTTTTCAATGAATTATCTTCCTCTAGTCCATTATTTGTTGTTATTTTTTCATAAGGTACATAATCATTATTTGTATACTTATTTTTTCTATATTTTGCAACATCAATTGTACTTTCTACTATATTTTTTAAATGAGCTTTTAAACCTAATAATAAAACTTCCATAACTCCTTGATTTAATCCTCCAGTTAATCCATGTTCTCTCATAGTCATTAACATTAGCTTAGATAAATTATCAGCATCAGGAATTTCAAAACTTTCAGTTGATATTGGAGCATTTATACCATTTAATACATCTTGTTGCCATTGTACTAAATTATTAACTTGTAATTGTTGTTGTTCTTTATCTTGAATCATTGGGATTTTTGGTAATAAAGTATGTCTTGTTAATGTAATACCAGCATTTAATTTATTTCTTTTACCAGAATCTCTTGTTATATTTTTAATTCTTCTTCTTTCTTTTATTGGTAATCCCATAATATTTGATTTAAATTTTTCATATTGTGAACTTTTAACATTTTTTGAATTTTTATTAATTTTTTTATTCCAAAATGATGCTAATTCATTTGAAAAATTTAATGATGAACTATCTTTTAAAGAATTTGCAAAATTAAGCATTAATAATTTATTATGATATTTAAATAAATTTTGTGATTTTAGCAAGGGATGTATAATTTCAATTAATTCAATTCTTGATAATTTTCCAATTAAAAATAAACTAAGGGTTTCATGATATTTTTCCCAATTTGAACCTAGTTTACTTTGGAACTCTCGTATTAATTTCTCTAATTCTATTCGTTTACCTGATTTATCTCCTGATGATGATTGTATATTTGATGATGATGAAGTTGTACCATTTTTTTGAATTTGATTTGTGGTGGTGGTAGTGGTTGTAGGTACTACTGAAGTAGTTGTTGTAGTTGTTGCAGTTTGAGTCATAATTGAAATGAAATGATAAATGAATGCAAAATTAAAGAATGCTTAAATTATATAAATGATATGGTTGCAAAATTTAAGTTTGTTTTGAAATGAAAATTATAATATGGGGAAAAAAATATCTAAGTAAATTTGGGTATCAAAGTGGATTTAATATAATAATAATACAATTAACTATGAACAAGGAAATTAATAAATCAAGCACTGAAATGGAGCTATTACTATTGATTGATGTAGATATGATATGATTAGATGTGATAAGTTTGATTGATTGATTGATTAATCGTTGTTAATATTTGATTATATTCTATTCTATTTTATTATAGATTTTCTAAACGCTAGAGATTATTCGATTTTTTTTTTTTTCAAATTCATTTTGTTTATAGAGTATTCAAAAACGCGCACCTTAATAATTTATAGCTTAAGTAGGTAATAATGAGGCTTGTGATCACTATAATCTCAGGCATTATTGAGTATTATTAAAATCTTATTATTATGGCCAATTTTCACTTTCTGCGATCCTCAAGTTTAAGTCAGTTAGTCTTTTATGTTGCAGTTAACTATATCAAATCGTAATAATTTGCGCTTAACGCATGTAATTTTTTGTTTTAAATTAGCTACAGTATGCACTACCAAGTGGTAAATTGAAATTTTGGACTGAGTTAAAAATCAACACCTTTTTAAAGACGTGTTGTTAAACCTGAATGACAAACAGAAATGCTTCTTAAACATTCACTTGACAAAGATAGTTGTTTCTTTTGATGAAGTAATTACCTAAATATTTTCATCAATCAAGAAGTCACGTCAATAAACAACTTAAAGTATCGGCCTTATGCGTGTAAATAAATCCGTATGAAACTAGAACAATTCCGTATGAATCGATAGTAAATTTTATTCGACTTAGAATGATTATCAATACGTAAAAATTTATAATGCTTTCAATTTCAATCGGTTAATTGATGTTTAATTAATCAAATTCATCTCCGTTTAAACTCCGTTCATTTTTTACATAAACTATTTTTAGACTGGTAGCAACAATTATTGTTTCGCTTAAATTCATCGCATAAATTTTTGTTTCTTAGTAATAAATAATTTATTATGTAATATAAGGATAAGTACATAATATAATAATAAATTTTAAAGTTTGTTTTCTAAAGTATGTATTAAATATTACATACTGTATAAATTTATATATAGAATCTAAAACCTTGTTTCTCATCCATTAGTTTCAATTCTTTTTATATCATTCATAAATAGCATCCACTAATCAACTTTTCAGTTGAAACTAATACATCAATTGTTGCTAATAACAAAGGTCATGGCTTCTTTGAAGGAATCAGATACTTCAACTAATGAAAATGAACAAAATACAATGACTGATCCACAATTTATTAATCATAATAATAACACTGTTTCAAATAGAAATAGATCAAACCGAAATCTAAATAATAATAATAATGATAGTAGTATGGAAGATGAAATAGATAATGAATTAACAGCAGAAGAATATGGTGCACCAGAACCAGAAAGAAATCCAGGATCAGATAGTATATCATTTTTTAGTCCTGAATTTGCACCACAAAGAAAACATATAGCATGGAAATTTTTAATAAATATGTTAGCTTTATGTACTTTAATTATGGCTGCATTTTCTATATATTGGGGTTCATATTATGATAGACAAAATTATTTAAAAAATTTAAATTTTTTGGTTGTTATTGGAGATGAAAGAATTAATGGAGTTGAACCAATATTTGGAAATACAATGAATCAAATATTACTGACACCATTTGCTAAACAAATTGGAGATTGGCATATTTATGATTATCAAAATTTTGCAAATGAAGCTTCTAAAAGAGGTAATACAGTTGAAGAAGAAATTTTAAGACAAGTTCATCATCAAAAATATTGGGCTTCAATATATTTAAAACCAGAAGCTACATTAAATTATCAAAATGCTTTGGAAAATGGTGATTCAAATTATAATATTACTGCAAACACTATAGTAGTTCATTATGAAACAGGAAGAGATTTTTTAAATATGAATTCATATATAATACCTCAAATTCAAAAAATTGAAAAACAATGGTTAAAATTACAACCAAATACAATTGAAAAAATTATAAATAATCAAATATTAATAGATTCAACACTGAAAATTCAAATTATATCAACTCCATTATCTTTTGAATATATAGATAGAATACCATCAAATGATGCTATATTAATTGCTCCTTTACAAGTTGGTAATATTTATATGATTCTTTTGACATTTTTTGCAGCAAATTTTTTTACAAATACTCATATGAGAATTGCAAGAACAAGATTAAATAAATTACATTATTTAGTTTATAGATGGATGACTTCTGTATTATCATTTGCTGTTTTATCAATATTTTTTGGATTAATTAGTTTAGCTTTTCAAGTTGATTTTACTGTTACTTATGGTAGATCTGGTTTTTTAGTATATTTTTGTATTACATGGTTAACAATGATTGGTGTTGGATTAGCTAATGAAATTGCAATAATGATTATAGTTGGTATAATACAAATTCCAGCATTATTAAGTTGTTGGATGATAAGTTGGATTATCCTTAATATATCACCTTCATTTTCAAGTATGGCATTAACTAATAATTTTTATAGATATGGTTATGCAATGCCAACTTATAATGCTTTTGAAAGTACAAAAACTGTATTTTTTGATGTTTATAAAGGAGCATTAGGTAGACATTTTGGTATTTTGGTTGCTTGGATTGTTGTATTAACTGTTATATTCCCATTTGTTTTAATTAAATTTGGTCGAAATATGGCTAAAAAAGGTCAAAGGGAAGCTGCAGAAGCAATATCTAAAGCAAAAGCTCAATTAGAAAATGAAAAATCAGGTGCTTAAGACAAAAAACAATTAATTATGATAGATTTTTTTATCTTTATAGACTATATATATTCATTATTTGTAATATTATAAGACAATTTTTATTTGCATGCATATATAATATATTTAAAGTATATCGCAGATCCGGCATTTCTATTTTCCCTAAGCATAGATTTCTAAAAATCTTGAGATTTTCCGAACGGCTAAGAAAAAAAATTATGAAATCTGTCAAAAACTTAAAAAAAAATTTCTTGATTGAAAAAAAGAATCTAAAACCAAATTATATTTTGCAGCCAAATATTTACTGTGCAAACATAATATATTCCAAAGGAGTAAAAAATGAAAGCCCGATTATTTTGAAAACAATCAAACTCTCTCGCCTGAGCTGAGATTCATTCTATCAAAATTATTCAAATTTATGCCGTATGAAACAATCTACATCATGCAAGATTTCTAATCTTTTATCTCATATCTGAAAAATTTTGTATAATGATACGAATAAATATTAAGTTAATATATGGATCTTATACCCCATTTTTTATTAACTCGATATAAACGTCTTTAAGCCCTTTCTTTCTTTCATCATATTCAAACCAACCCTTTTTTTATTTGTCAACGTCAAAGTATTAATAAGTATGGGGAATAATATACATGAAGAAGAAATTATAGAGTCACACGATATTGAAAAAAATCCATCACTTAATAAAGAAAGATACGTTCAAAATGAAATAGAATATACAGACTCATATGAAATAAAAGAAGAAGAAGAAAAATCAGAACAATCTTCAAAGGATGAATCATCAATAAAAAAATTATTAACAAAATGGGGTAAATATTTAAATGTTGAAACAAGAGGTATTGAAAAAGTACCAATAGAAGAAAGAACAGATACATCATTATTAATACCTTTTACAATTTTTTTTTCACCTCAAATGGCTGTAAGTGCATTAAGTACTGGATCATTAGCTCCTATAATGGGATTAGATTTTAGAAGTGCTGTATTATGTTCTATATTTTGTAATATTATTGGTGCTATGGTTGTTGGAGTTGTTTGTTTATTTGGTTTAAAAACTGGTCTTAGACAACAAATTGCTTCAAGATGTATGTTTTAAATGTTATTGTTTGTGATTTTATTTGATATACTAACTTATAAAATTATTAGATTTAACTGGAAATATTATGGGAAGAATTTTTGCATTTTTTAATGTTATTAGTTGTATTGGTTGGAATGCAATAAATCTTATGCCAGCAGCAGGATTATTATATTCAGTAAATCATAATTTTAAACCTTGGTTAGCTTGTTTAATATTAGTTTTAATAATTTGTTTTGTTTCATGTGTTGGTTATAAATTTGTTCATTATTATGAAAGATATGCTTGGTTACCAACTTTTATTGTTTATATTGTTATAATTGTTAGATTTACTCAATCAAGAGCATTTGAATGGGGTGATATGAATGAAACTACTGCAAGAGGTGTATTAGGTTATATTGTTATTGCAACTTCTTTTACAATGGGTTGGGCTCCAAGTGCTTCTGATTATTTAGTATATTTTAAACCAAATGTAAGTGGATTTAAAGTTGCAACTGCAATGACTTTGGGATTATCTATTCCCGCAATTATATCATGTATCTTGGGTGCTGCTATAACTTCATGTATATATACACCAGGTAGATTTCAAGATGCATATAATGAAAATTCATTTAGTGGATTATTATATGAAATTATTGTAGGAGAAAGTAATAATAAAGGTTATAAATTTTTAGTTGTTGTATTAGCTTTATCAGCTGTACAAAATAATTTAAGTGGTGGTTATTCATTATCATTAGCAACTCAATGTATATCAGAAAGAATTTTTCAAAGAATTCCAAGAGTATTGTTATGTATTATTGGTAATTTAATTTCTTTAGCTTTTGCTATTCCAGCTTATTATGTATTTGAAGCAGCAATGGCAAATTTCTTATCTATAATTGGTTATAATGTTTCAATTTATGTTGGTATTATATCAGCAGAACATTTTATTTTCAGAAAGGGAAATTTTGCAAATTATAATACGGATAATTTTAATAATAAATTGAATTATGGTATATCATTTGCTGGTATATTTGCATTTTGTTGTGGTATTGGTTCAACAGTTGTTTTTATGGATCAAACTTGGTATTCTGGTGTATTCGCTCAACATGTTGGTGATATTTCTTTGGAAATGAATATTGTTATTTCTTTTGTTGCTTATTGTTTAACTAGACCAATAGAATTAAAATATATTGGTAGATAGAAGAAACAAGTTGTATATTAATGTATGATTTTATTTATTAGGATTGACTTGTTTCGATTGAATTGAATTTTTGACTCTGTCAATTTACTAAACGCTTACTGTATTGAAAATAAATAGTGTAACTTACATATAAGAATGGCTGCAAACTGAAAAAAGGTTCCCCTCAATTACCCCAAACAGTAACCATTTTTGTGCTACCACATTTGAGATCTAGATTTTGTGTGTCAAAAGTTTTGAAATTTTGAAAAAGTTATACAGACATTAAATTCAAAATTAAGGTTTCCTGTATTTTCTACACGAGTGTAAACTGGCTTAGTTGGTAAAAAGTATTAAATTCTGGTCCGTTAAGCTTAAGCTTTTATGCTCAAATTATCAATTATGGATGGACCGGTTTTAAATCCGTATCAGAGAGATATGCAACTTTTATAAAGATTGGACCGAAATCAAGACAACTTAGGATTTTTTGAAATACGAGTCTATGATCTGGTATTTATTTATAGTCAACTTTAGTTTAGTTGAAATGAAACAGAGCTAACTCATATTTAATATCAATTGAATAGTTGTAACCCATAAATTTACAAACTGGTTCTTTCAATTTATTCTAGACCGAGAAATCACCGAATTAGCTACATTTCATGTAATAGCCCCGAAATTCCTTTTTATTCTTTGTATTGAAATCGATTGATCTTTAAATTGAAACTGAAATCTCGAGAGATCAAGCAAAACTGTTGTAGTAGAGATTGAGGATCGAAATCTTTCAAATCATTACACAAACATAAATTGACACAAAATTCAAATCTCAAGAAAAATCAACTTACATTTTTAAATCCTAATTTTGCTACTTAATTGAATATTCTAATTCAGCATTAATTTTTCAGTTCACTTTTCTACTATATTTACTAGACTCAGTTAATTTTTTTCAAATATGGTTGGCTTAACTGCAGAAGAAGAAAGATTGAAAGACATTAAATATAGACAATGGGGTCCATATGTATCTGAAAGATCTTGGGGAACTGTTAGAGAAGATTATAGTGTTGATGGTAATGCATGGGACGCATTTAAATTCGAAGATTATGCAAGAGTAACACGTTGGTCACAAGATGGATTAGCAGGTGTTTCAGATCGTCGTCAATTGGTTAATATTACTATGGCATTATGGAATGGGAAAGATCCAATTTTAAAAGAAAAATTATATGGATTAACTAATAATCAAGGAAATCACGGAGAAGATGTTAAAGAATTATATTATTATCTTGATAACACACCATCTCATTCATATATGAAATATTTATACAAGTACCCACAAAATGAATTTCCTTACGAACAATTGAAATCAGAAAATGCTAGTAGGTCAAGATTAGAAAAAGAATATGAAATCACAGATACAGGATTATTTGACAATAATGAATATTTTGATGTTGTATTTGAAAGTGCAAAGGATTCAGCAGATGATTTATATTTCAGGATTACTGCCTATAATAGAAGTGATAAACCTGCTCCGTTACATATTTTACCAAATGTTGTTTTAAGAAATACTTGGACTTGGGGGACAGAAGAAGATAAGAATCAGTTAAAACCTCAAGTAAGACAAATTAATGATTATACAATTGAAGTTGAAACTGAAAAATTCGGTAAAAGGTATTTATCTTTTGCACCATCACCAGGTGAAACTGATCAATCACCAGATGTAGAACCACAATTAATTTTTTCAGATAATGAAACTAATACTAAAAAACTATATGGACAAGAGAATAAAACTAAATACGTGAAAGATGCATTCCATGAGATTGTTGTTCATGATAATAAAGAGGCTGTAAATCCTGATAACGAAGGTACTCAAGCTGCTGCTTGGTATATTTTCAATGAAAATGGAGGAGTTCCACCTGGAGATTATGTAACAATTCGTTATAAATTTACTAAAGAAAATACTGAAGTTGATGAATATAAACTAGATCAAATTTTTGCAAAACGTCAAAATGAAGCAGATCAATTTTATTGGAAAGTATCTCCATTACCTATAAGTGATGAATTAAGACAAATTCAAAGATATGCATTTGCTGGATTATTATGGTCAAAACAATTTTATTATTTTGTTCATAATTATTGGGCTTATGGTGATCCAAATACTATGAAACCACCAGTAAATAGAGCAAATGGTAGAAATAAAGAGTGGAGTCATTTATATGTTGATGATATTTTATCATTACCTGACAAATGGGAGTATCCATTTTTTGCAGCTTGGGATACTGCATTTCATTGTATTCCTTTTGCAATGATTGATCCATGGTTTGCAAAAAATCAAATTGATTTATTATTAAGAGAATGGTATATGCATCCAAATGGTCAAATCCCAGCTTATGAATGGAATTTTAGTGATGTAAATCCACCAGTACATGCATGGGCAGCTTATAGAATTTTTAAAATAGAAAGAAAAATGTATGGACATGAAGATATAGATTTCTTAGAAAGAGTTTTTCAAAAATTAATGTTAAATTTTGCTTGGTGGGTTAATAGAAAAGATGCTGAAGGTCATAATGTTTTTGAAGGTGGATTTTTAGGATTAGATAATATTGGTGTTTTTAATAGATCAGAAGCATTACCAACTGGAGGTAATTTGGAACAAGCCGATTCTACTGGTTGGATGGCTTTTTTCTCATTACAAATGTTAAATATTGCTTTAGAATTAGCTAAAACTAGACCTGTTTATGAAAATATTGCATCAAAATTTTTTGAACATTTTGTTATAATTGCAGATGCTATGACATTTAGAGGTGCAGAAGTTGAAAATGAAGGAAGTGCTAAGAATTCACTTTGGGATGAAAAAGATCAATTTTATTACGATGCCATTAGATATGGAGAACATCATACTCAATCATTACCTGTAAGATCATTAGTTGGTTTAATTCCATTATATGCATCATTAACATTAGAACCAGAATTATTAGATAGATTTCCATCATTTAAAAAACGTTTGAATTGGTTTGTCGAACATAGAAGAGATATTGCTGAGAGAAATATTGCATCAATGGAAACAAGAGGTGTTGGTGAAAGATTATTATTATCATTAGTTTCAAAAGAAAGATTAATTGCTATTTTACATAGAATGTTGAATGAAGATGAATTTTTATCACCATATGGTATCAGATCTTTATCTAAATATCATAAAGATCATCCATTTGAAATGCAAGTGAATGGTGAAAATTTCAAAGTTGAATATTTACCAGGTGAATCAGATTCTGGAATGTTTGGTGGTAATTCAAATTGGAGAGGTCCAATTTGGTTCCCAACTAACTTTTTATTAGTTGAAGCTTTACAAAGGTTTTATTTATATTATGGACCAGATTTAAAAGTTGAATGTCCAGTTGGTTCTGGTGAATATCTTAATTTAGCTCAATGTGCTCAAGAAATTCAACATCGTTTGATACATTTATTTTTACCAGATGAAGCAGGTAATAGAGCTTGTAATGGTGATAATGAAAAAACAAATAAAGATCCATTTTTCAAAGAATATGTACCATTTTATGAATATTTTGATGGTGATACTGGTAGAGGTTTAGGAGCTTCTCATCAATGTGGATGGACTGCTGTTGTTGCTAAATGGATTCATGATAATGGTGTTACTTGTAGAATTCCAAAAACTCCAAGAACTCCATTACAAAGAAAAAAATCATCATGTTATCTTCATGATAGTTTAGATACAAGAGATGAAGTTTCTAAATTCAAACCAAAATCAGGTCCATTTTCAGGTAAATTGGTAAGAAGAAAATCAGGTAAATCATTATTAAACTTAACAGTAAATGCATTAGATCTTGCTGATGATGAAGAAGATGCTTCAGCAAAAGCTAGTGCAGCAATCAATTTAGTTGGATTAGATCATGGTGTAAATGTTACTGATGAAATTTTAAAACAAGAGTTAACTGAGTTACAAAAGACTCAATCAGGTGCATCAGTTGATTCAGAATTCGAAGTGGATGATGAATTTTTAGATCAAGTTAAGGCAGCCTTTAAGAAGTATAAATCAAGAACAGAAGATGATTATGGTGATGAATATGAAACAAGGTTAAATGATAATTAAAGTAGACATTTTTATAGATATAGATCCAAGTCGTGTATTTAGACAAACGATAAGATTGACTTGTAATATTTAAAAATGACAATCCTCTTTATTAGCAAACCACATAAAGAATCTCCACATTGAAACAATGTCTGATTCTTTCAATACATATGAGAATGACTTTCAACTAGCTTTACAAGAAGCAAAAAGTAAAATATCACAGATAGAATCAGTAGATGGAGGTATGTTTTAAGTGCGAAATCACATTGTTACTTGTCACCACTTTTACTAACCTCAATCAGAACAACGTAAAACCTATCTAAAGTCAATTGAAGCGGCAAATGATGAAGCATTGGAAGTTTTAGATCAAATGAGCATAGAAGTTCAAAACTTACCAACTAATCAAAGATCCTCATACAACACGAAAATACGTCAATATAAACAACAAATAGATGAAACTAAAAAAAAATACAAACAGTTAGCTGACACACAAGATAAACATGAATTATTTGGTTCTAGATATCGTGATGAAGAAGAAAGTATAGGTGACAATCAAAGAAAACAATTATTAAATAATCATTCTTCATTAGAAAGATCATCACAAAGATTACAAGATAGTCAAAGAATAGCTTTAGAAACAGAAAGTATTGGAGGTAATATTTTAAATGATTTAAGATCTCAAAGAGAACAAATTTCTGGAGCAAGAAATACATTAATGCAAGCTGATACTTATGTTGATAAAAGTATACAAACTTTAAAAAGTATGGGAAGAAGATTAACTGCTAATAAATTTATAAGTTATGGAATAATTGCAGTTCTAATATTGTTAATATTTTTAGTTCTTTTTAGTAAATTTAGATAATTCTTTGCCTAAATGAATACATGATTCTCTTTATACCTTGTGTTAATAATATATTTAGTGTTATAGGTTGATTTGATTGTTCTTAGAATGTTAAACGGCTTTAATTCCAAATTAAAAATTAAAAAAAAATAGGTTAAGTTTGATTCACTCAGCTCAGAACTAAATTTCATTCATTCACCAACCATCATCAACAAATGCTAAGAAGTACCATATCCCAAATATTGAGGAAACCAAATAATATAAATATAATACCCTCATTTAGCCGACATATCCAAACTCATCACAAAATACAACCAATTTCAAAAAGATTTTTCAATTCCTCATCTTTCTTAAATCATGGTCATCTTCATAAACCAAAACCAGGAGAAGAACTTCATATAACATTTATAACGAAAGATGGTCAACAGCTAACATATGAAGTAGCAGAGGGAGATAATATTTTGGATATTGCACAAGCTCATAATTTAGATATGGAAGGAGCATGTGGTGGATCATGTGCATGTTCTACATGTCATATAATTGTTGATCCTGAATTTTATGATGAAATACCAGAACCTGATGATGATGAAAATGATATGTTAGATTTAGCTTTTGGATTAACTGAAACTTCAAGATTAGGATGTCAAGTTAAAATGACAAAAGAATTAGATGGAATAAGAGTTGCATTACCTGCTATGACTAGAAATTTACAAAATAAAGATTTTAATTAAACTGAGTTTTAATATTATGAAATTGTGAAGTTGGAAAACATCGACATGTATATAGAAAGAAATGTTCTCATACATTTGAAAATCTGTTATGATTCATGATTTGAATTTTATGATAGAGACAAACGAAGTTAATACTACACTTAGACTATTTATTTATTAAGATTGACTAATTACTGTAGAGAGATTATTGATGAAGTGGATCTTCTATTCAAAGTTCTATTCAGGTGAATGCTCTTCGAAGAAAAGAAGAAAAAAATCGGACCGACTGCGACTTAGAATCCGAAAATCAATTGAACTTTCTTATTCTTTTAGCAAGATCTTTTTGGTTATTGTAATAAGTAAGTTGAAATACTCATTCGATCGAGATAAACAAGTAGCAAATCAAGAGCATCATAGTGTCTCAAACTAAAATAAGAGAACAATTCATGAGTTACCGATAGCAGTATTTCTATTTCCAACTTTATATACTCTATTGTATTCCAATCCCTTATAGCTTATTCCATATTCGAAACCATAATTATGCAATACTACTCAATTCTATCCTTTTACCAACACAATAATTGTGTGAGCAATAGTTAAAACTTATTGAACCCAATGAACGAATCATTTCAAGTCTAAAAAACATTTGAATATTTTCATCTTCAATATCATCTAGTTCAGATTCTCTTAATTCTTTAAACAATAACAAGCGAACTGATATAGGAATACTTCTAAGTATATTTAAAATCTCATCATTTTTCATTTTATTTCCACATACATCAATTTCAATTAAATTTGAATGTTGTCTTTTTGAATTTGTTTTTAAACTAATCATTGACATATTAAAATTTTTTAATTTATTACAACTTAAATTTAAAATTTTTAAATTTGATTCAATATTATTATTTAAAAAATTTAATTGTAAATCTAAAATTTTATTGAAAGATAAATCTAATGATTCTAAATTTATGTTTTTGTTAAAATCATATTTTAATTTATTAAATTTATTTTGGGCTAAATTTAAAAATTCTAAATTTTCTAAATTTGATATTTGATCGGGAATTTTTGATAATTCATTTATTGATAAATTTAAATTTATAATTGAATTTGGTAATTTCATACGTTTTGGGAAACGAGTAATTTTATTATGAGATAAACATAAATATTTCAAGCTTGTATTATCATCATTAAATTTTAAATCTATTTTTGATATATTACATGCACTAAAACTTAATTCTTTAATTCCTGATGGTACTTTAAATTTCAATTCATTAAAAAGACATCTATCAAGATTTAATACTTTTAAATAATTATTATTAGGTAATTTTAAATCTTCTATATCTTTAATTTTATTAAAATTTACATATAATATTTCAATTTTCATATCTTCACCTTTATAATTTGTTGATAAATCTAATTTTGTTATTAAATTTTCTGTAAAATGAATAGTTTTTAAATTACTTGGAAAATCAGGTTTATAAACAACTTTTAATTTATTTGATCCAATACCTAAATTTATTAAATTTGAAGGAAATTTAATTTGATCAATTGATTCAATTTGATTTACTTCTAAAGATAATTCTTCAATTGAATTCGGAAATAAAATTTTAGATAAATTTAAACCAATATGAGTATTTGATAATTTTAAATATTTTAAATTTTTAAATTTTTTAAAATTTGATTCACTTGAATTCCAATCAATTGGATTATCTGCTAAATTTAAATATTCAAGTTTTGAAAATGATATTAAATTATTTAAAATTATTGATAAATCTTCGATATTATTATTTGATAAAGTAACTTTTTTCAATGTATTTGAAAATTTATAATTATATAAAACATTGGGATTATCTAAATCTTTTATATTTAATTCATTCAAAACTGTTGTTTTAGGTAATTTTGACATATTTGTAGAAAACGATTCAATGAATTGTCTATTTTCAAATCCAGGAATTGTAACCCAAGGGTGAAAGTAGGGACTTTTCTCTTTATTGATATGTATTTCTTTACTTGCAAGATCAAATATTTTTTTTTTGAAAGGATCATCATCAAACTCACATTTATTCACCAAAAGTTTTTCTATAGAAAAATCGGAATCGTTTCGAAGCTTGATTCTCTTCAATCGTAATTCATGAATTGATTTTGGTAATAATGATAAATCTAACTTATAAAAAGGCATACCATCTTCATCACAAACTGTATTTAAATAAAGTTGTTCAATTTTCAGAGCATATAATCCATTAATCAAAGCTCTCCTACAATCATTTAACCATAATTTCTTTAAATTAGGAAAATTCAATAAATTTAATTTAAATACTTGACCATAATCATCAATTGTTAATGAAACAACAGTTTTACAAATTCCTTCATCTAAAAAATCATTTAATATATCTTCAAATTGTAAATAATATTGAAAACTTTTCAGAAATTCTAATTCAATATTATATTTTAAATGTGTACCATATTCATGTGTTAAATCTAAAGTTTGAATAATTGATTTAAATCTTATTATATCAATTAAATTCCAAATATAATAAGCTAAATTTAATTCAACATTTATATAATTATCATAACAATATTGATCTAAAATTTTAAAATCATTTTCTGATTTTAAAAATGATAAATTTGATTTATTTATAAAATTTTCAACACGTAAATACATATGTATATATGATGGTCTATTAATTCTATTATTATATTGTAATGCTCTACCATTTTCAATCACATAATGAATTGAAGATCTTATATTAGGATTACCAATTAAAAATGGTCTATTATATGTTGTTAATAATTTTATTAAATTTTCAATTCCAGCATAATCGATTATTTTTGTTAAAATTTCATTTGGATATAAATCTAACAGTATTCGTTTAAATTGTATTCCTTTAATTTGATCCATAAGTTGGTTTATATAATTGATAAATGATTATGAGTCATGAATAATGATAAACTTTTTAATTGATGTAGTTGGATTGAAGGTTTAGATGTGTTTTGATTAAAGATTAAGGTACGTGTATTTAAATTTAGACGTGATCGGTTTCACTTTGAAATTTTATCTTTTTGATCAATTACTTAATTTTTTATTTTGTGACATTTATTTTGCGACAATTCAGTTTTCTAAAAGCAATATGCTTCTAGGATATAAGTTTTTAACACCATGACCACAACGTGCAATATAAGAATTTGTGATCATTATTGGAAATTGAAAAGTTGAAGATTTATGTTGCAAACAAATATTAAAACAAAATTCGCAACAAATTGAGAGATTTGGGTTGACGGCAATAAATTCATTCTATTTTATAATCAATATAAACTTGTTGGAACCAATAACTTTGCAGCTACTTCTATATCTAATTATAGTAGTGATTTATGACCAAATACTAATACTCTTTTACGTTGATATCATGACGAGCAGACAAAAGAAGCATGGCCAGCTGTTCCGACTAAATTGGCCACGAGGTACAGGGAAAAACTCGTAATCGCATGCGCCCATTTGAAACATTATTACCGCGATAAGTAAAAAGAAAAGATAAGAAATTTAACACAAATTATTATATGTTCCGTTTTTTTTGGGCCATTCGATTGAATGATCTATAACTGATACGAGCTTGCCGATCTATAAGTAAAACAAAGCTTATTTGAATATTCACCTTAAATCTGGACCCAATGAGATCATTTTATAATTTTATAGATAGGAGATAACTTCCAATCATCCTGTATTTTAAATTTAGCTTGAAGAGGTATTCGCTACTTTGCTTTTTCTGTTAAGCAAAAGTTGCTCATATGAGTGTTTAAAAAAAAAAACTGAATTAATATTCATCATCACAAATATGAGATAGCTCACTATTGAGCAATTGTAAAAACAAAAAACCTTCCTTCTACCCTTAAACGGATATTTCTTTTCTACATTTTCTGGGGTTTTGGGACTGCCATATGAAAAGAAAAGTTTGGAAATATTAGTGATCTAAAAGCAATTTTTGAGCGAATTTATTTCGAGGATGCGGTAGTATTCCCTGAAGCAAATATAACAGTGGCTTGAAGTTCAGAACAAGAAATAATGTACTCACTTGAGCTTATTTTTCTGTTAGGCTTTTGTTTTATGCTAAATAGGAATGAGTGATTTTCATCAACATTGCTGTGAAGTGTTGAAAGATATGGCTTACGTATTTACTTTTTTTTAAAAAAAACCACATAAGCACATATAAAAAAAAAAAAGTCATGTTGTTTCAGAAAATTTAAAAATGAGTGAATTAGCTGTTTTCTTTTGACCAAATTTTATTTTTTAATCTTTATTCTATTTCTGATTCAATCTTGTTTATGCATTTATTTGAAACACACAATGCGAAAGATTTTTTTTTAATAATTTTGACATAATCTTATATCTTTAAGCCAAATGTGTCAAGTATCGAGGGAATAAATTTTGAACACGTAGTATATTAACAAACTAATCAAAGGATCAAATACTTTGATGACCGTGAATCTTTGGTTTATCTATGATTTGTAATCAGTTTTGATTCAATGATATCATGTCTTTATTGAGCTTTATCTCAATATTCTATCTAATATCGGAAATCAATAATTTTGCGCAACTCAATGATTGATTACAAATTAATGACTCAGACAAAAATGATTCATTAGTTGGAAGTTTCAATTTATGATTTGCTACTGCTGAACAACTTCAGATTTGTTGTATTCGTAATCATGTCTTCCAATCAAAGGTTTTTACACATGATATTGAAAGATTTTCTCATAATGTCATTCATTTGTTCATTCAATTACAATTTGACCGATTTAGGAAACATAAAACAAATAGAGTTTCAACTTTTTATCTGATTTGAAATAAAAAAAGAAAGAAATTGAAAAAAAAATAGATATCCAATCACGCAATTGATCTCCGAAGGTTAAGTCTTTTCTTGAATTTCTTCTTATTTGCTCAAATGAATTAGTCAAGCCAAATGATTGAGGTTAAACCACAGAATGGAAATTAAGGATTTAAGGGAAGTTTATATGACTCACGGTTGTACAACTTTCAATGAGTTTAACTTCTTTCATAACTGCTATTTGATAAAAAGTTATAGTAGTTAGTCTGTGAAAATTTTTTTTTATTTATTTATTTCTAATGGTTATATCAAAACCAGTTTCAGTTTTTTTTGCAATAATTTGAACACGAGGTTATCTTCTTAAAAAGTAGGGTTGAAGTGTGAAAAGTCTTATCTTAATCCTTTAATCATTGATCATCAACAATATACGCGACTAATCTTATGACTCTAATTATAATAAATCAAATTTTCTCCATCTTTTTCCCCTATAAAGAATTGAAAATTGGGGAAATAAAAAATATTATATTAGTACGTACATCTTGATCTTTGTACTACAACTAACATCGGTAACAAAAAAATATTTTTATAATTTGTTGGATTTTCACATAGTAAATTTTACAATTACGATGAAAATGAATTTTAATATGTAAAATATACAAAATATAGATAAAGAAATGATACAAAGATACTAGTAACCTGAAATATGAGATAATTAAATGATAGATAGAGATAAGTATAACTAGATCTATTCAGTAAATCAGAAATAAGTTAGTCATAATACTACAAAAAGAATTTTATAGAAAGAAGTGAAAGAAAATGAATAGAAAAGTAAACACCAAGTAACACCACTGTTTGTTTACTTTTTACTACTACTGGTACCAACTACTACCACTACGAAGATCCACCACCGTTACTTTACTACTAACTAACTTAAAATTTTCTCTTACCAACCACCACCACACACACCACAGATAAAAAAATATATCAAAAACAAGTAAAAAAAATAAACTGTGTAATTTCATGTAAAAAAATATTTTTTATTTTAACTGTGTAACTCTAGATCTACTTAACTTATCTTATATGCAGTATATTTTTCAAATATGGTTTGTGGCATATTTAAAGATTATTAATTATTTATAGTGGTTAAACTAAGTGAGTAATAGTTAACTATTAGTACATAGTTAAGCTATATATATAAAATACTATAACCACCACACTTTAAAAAATTTTTATATATTTATATTCACAGTTTTTTTTACAACCAATTATATATATAAAGATCAAATATCATATTTTTAATTTTGAATCATCCATTGATCTACTTAAGACAACAAACAATTATACGTTAATTATCTAATCGATTTATTTGATATTACACAATACCTTATTCATACAAACACTGATACTACAAACACTATAAAGCAAACAATTTATTAAAACTTTTCACACATAACAATTCATAATGGCATTTAATAACACATCTTTCAAATTTGATCAATTCAATCCATCAATACAATATCATAATCAACATAATCAACAACAACAATATCAACAATCTGCATCTACATCTACTTCAAATTTATCATCTTTTGATGATGAAGATATATTTGAAATAAATATGGAAGAAGATGATAATATACTAAATAATAACTTAAATGAAGAACAAAATTATAATAACTACACAACATTATCAAATAAACATTCATCTATATCTTCAATATCATCTACATCACCAATAATATCATCAAAACAATACAGTAATTTAGAATCATCAATAATATCCCCAATTTTATCACCAACAAATAGCTCGTACTACAACAATTATTCAAGATCATTTGAAGAAGAAGAAGATGGTGATCATTTACTATATGAATGTATAATATGCAAGAAAAAAATGGATTCATTATCAAGTGAATTACATAATTGTACAAAAAATTTATATTCAACCAGCTCGAACAATACTGATCTTACAATAAATGATGAAAATTTTAAAAATGAAAATGATTTTATTATAAAAAATAATAATGAATTAATTCAAAATAATTATAGAAAATGGTTATTTAAAATAACTCCTTCTTTTCCTTATTAAAGGATTAATGAATTAATTGCATATTTTTTATAAACATTGTTTTAAGGTTAGGGGATGGTTTTACTGGTTTATAATCCATCATTGATGAGGATAGTTATTTTTTCAAATTTTTCAATTCAGTTCTTTATATTTTAGGTTTGGAGTTACTTGCTATTTAGGGTTTTTTATTTTTAACTTTAATATTTTGATTCATAGTACCCTTTTTTTTTAAAGGATAGTTTTGTTATATAGTCTATTACATAGTCCTTAATTAATATAAACGATTCTTTTATTAAACGATTATATTTTGTATAAGATTCTAACTTGTTGCTGCGGTATGTTTTTCGTTTCAAGTTTTAATTCAGTTCTAGTTCTAGTTCTGATCCTTAACACGCAAACTCTCACTAAAATTGTTATTTTTAGTACAAAACAAAATGACAATAAAACTCCGAATACGAAATAATAAAAAATGTACGAAATCAGGTGTTATATGCAGTATAAAATTTGATTATTTAATTAAGTAGTGGAGTAAACTATATGCAGTATTTTCCAATTAGATAGGGTATAAATATATTTAGATTAAGCCTAAGAAAATACTAGAACCAATTAGAATAATATATCATCAATATCATTTATTATCCTATTATGAAAAGAAAATCCAGGTAAATTAACCAGCCAAAACTTGATAGGTTCAATTTAGCTGAAGAATTTAAACAAATAGGAGTGAGGAAAGAATTAGATTTCACCTGTCCTATCCTTTGAATGGATAAATATAGATGTTAGATAAAGTACAAATTATGAACAAATAATAATTAATAGATAACTTCAATGCGCCAACGATTGATAAGAGGGCTACCTGGCGTTTTATTATTTCGTTCTAAATCATTCTAAACCCTTCCCCGCCCACCAGTCGAAATACGTCTCAAAGAAATCACTAATATTAGATTTTTTAAAGTAATGTTTTGGGTCATACTGACGACGACGGCCAGACGGCCAAACGGTATATACTAAATAAAACTTGTCATCAATTAGATCTAATTAAACAAAATTTATTCATTTTCAGTTGTGCATTTACGAAATAAAATACGTTTGATAAAATTTTTTTGGAATTAATCCTAATTTCAGGATTAGTTGACAAGAGTATTTCAAGTAATAAATAATAATAATTGTTATTTTGAGGAGGTAATCTACCTATTTACGGAAAAAGGGGTAGTAAATAAGGTCCTTTAGTCTCTATTTACATTTATTTCAAATTCAGAATTACTCTGCCTATTTCAAAGTTGGTTAGATCTACTTGTTGGTATTCATATTACCTATTTTCACAACTATTGAAGATAAATAAATACATCTAGCATTCAAAGAACTATCTTATATATCTACACTTTAGTGTAGATACCTTTTTGAATTGCCTTATCTACATATGTTGAAGACCTGAATAATAATAATAATAATTAATTACATATTATAAATTATAATTGAGATCTCTTCCCCCTCTTTACATTGATTTTTCACGTAAAGATAATAAAAAAAAGAAATTTTCTTGTTGAAATCTGGGGTAAAATAGATTTTTAATTTATTTTGTAGATTTAGTGATTTATTTTTCACCTTCTCTTTTACGACTATGATGATTGAGTTTGGGTAAAGATTGATTTCAGATAAGACGTGTTCGTTATTGAAAGATTTTGAAAATTAATCACTTCAAGTAAGGAGAATTGTTGATTTCAAGTTTTTTTTCAATATCAGTTAGATCTATCTAGTCAATCAAAAAATAAAAATTGAATCTAATTATATCTAGTGATTAATCTCAAACTTAAATTAGTCAATTAATATTGACTTCATACTTTTAGCGTGTTCGAGATTAAATAATTTGTTAACCCTTTTTAACCCTTTTTACCCATTTGAAATCTTATCTTTATCTTGATCACCTGATACATAAAAGTCATATAACAACCAGCCTTGAAAAATCAATTTCCCATATATAGCTCTCAAATCTTTCAATTCATTGCAGTTATTAATTTAAGTATAACTTCAAAGATTAATTGATTCGATTTATTCATCCAGAATTATTTCAACTAATTTCATGATGCAAATGTGAGTTGTACCAGTTTTGCAACATAAAACATGTTGGCGTCACGCGCTTTCATTTCTGTTAAAACTCAACCTAGATGGTAACAATAACCGTTTTGATTACAGTTGTCACCTATATACTTTGAACTGTAATAATTTTAAAGAGAATTCATATTCAACAAACCACCTTTTGTTGTGGAAATCCGATGTTTTTAATTATCAAAACATTCTTTATTAGCTCCTGGACCAATAAAATTAGATCAACTACTATTCAAAACAGGGCTTGATCATTAAACCTCCATCGTATTTTGTTTCAAATCATGAACAAATTTATTACACAAGTTTATTATCCTTTTGAAGGACACAATTTTTATACCCACAAATTGCCCAATAACTCAAAAGATTAAAACACAATCTCAATTACTCTCATACAAATAACATTCCAAATTCAACGATACGTATTAATGTTTAACAAACTATGTTGTTTTAATTAAGAAATGAAATTTATTAAATTTTGGGATTATTGAAGTGGTTCTGAAGATTCCAGGACCCACCATGTTCTTTATCCATTTATCTCAGAATTTTTTCAAATTTGTATATTTTGACAAGATAATGAATGATCAATACGTACTTCCAAAATCAGAATGTTATTTTTATAAGGTTCATGGTTCTCAAACTAAAAATGAACGAGTTGTTTGAACTAATATATATTTATCTCAAAATTTTACAAGGTCGAAAATGCGCTATAAAATGATGCTCCACTCAAAACGAGAACTGCAATCAATTATTTATCGAATTTTAGTATGTACAATCTTTCGGTTCTTTTGAGCTGATTACTATGCGAATTCACAAAATTTGGTCAGTGGTATTTAACAAAGTACACTTACATTTTGTTAAAGGATAAGTTAAAGGTTACTTTTATGCATAGCTAGCTTAAGATAAAATTTTAATCACTTAGGATGGAGGAACTTTGCACAGTGAAACAACTAAAATTGCAACTTAAATTACGTAAAAGTATGGAGATATTACGTAATAATCCTGAGGTAAGAATATCACAAAACCGACTGTTTCAAAAAACCAATTCATTGGTTATAACCTGTCTACTCTTGAGCATTCGTTAGTTTTGTCAATATATACTACTTGTTTGTCCTTGATACCTCAATTCGTAGCCATATCTTTAAATACTGTTGATTCACAATTGCAAAATTAGTTAACGAAGAGTCGGTGAATACATTTAAACAAAAAATTGGAACTCAACTCACAAACTGGTCAAGAACTCAAGATAAATAACAAGTATCCAAATCATTGTCATACAAACTACATTCAAAGTTCCGATTAAAGTACATGTGGTTTTGCTAATAATAGTTTTGGACGAAAATAAAAATTATAAGGAAAAGGCACTGTAGGATTCCCCGATACCCAAAGATTTCGGGTTCCTTCTCAAATGTAGTTTTTTAAAAACTTAATTTTTTTAATTCAGTGACAACTAACAGGTTCCAGTTTGCTTAATCTGAATGTTATTTGTATGGACTTATTGATACTCAACTTATTAATGATGAAGTTACTATAAAAAATATGCATTTTTTATGAAATCATTTGAAGTCAAAAACTTGCTAAAAAATGGTGTTTCAGTCAAAACGAGAACTACAATCGATTTTTGATAGAGTTTGAGCACAACATAAAAATTTAACTTTACAAGCTCATTGTCATTCGAATATTCATAATATGAAACGTTAGTCCAAACAAAATACCTTTGGAATTACTGGAAAAATGAAGTAATATAAGCTCGCTATACAATCATGTGATATCAAAATTTCAAGACAGGAAAATTTTGTTCTAACAACCTGGATCAAAAATTCTTTTTCCTGATCCAGCTAGAGTATATTTGTTATATGCGTCGTCATACACCGTAATGATAAACAACAGATTCAGTCAACACGTGTACGTTTATATTGGTCCAAATAATAAAATCATCATTCTACAAAACCTTTCAAACAACTTTATCAAGGTCATGCTATGCTCGTTTTTCTGAGAACTTTTGGATGCCCGGTTAAACTCTTGATTCAAATATGTTGATACCATCTTATCTTCGAACTTTACGTTTTGCTATTCCTGAAAACTTTGAATTTATCGTTGGTGATGTGTTTCATATATTGTTCAAGTAAGTTTTGAGAAATTACGATTTTAAAACATGGTGAAGGTTGAAAATTGTAAAATCAGGAAGTATTTGCAACAACAAAGTAGAGAAAACACGTTCAACTAATTCAACTGGACACAGTCTCAAATTTTATACCAACTTACAATTCACGCCTAACAAATCATGAAGAAATAATTAAATATATCTACTTTTATTCTCATTATCGATGTTCTCATCCAGCTCGTACGAGGTTGTGTTTCTTTCTTCGCAATAATTTGTAGCAAGTTCTCAAAGACTGTGGCTATACAAATTAAAAAAACAGTGGCTGTGTAAGTAAGATAATTGACTCTTACCAAATTAAGCCAACGTTTCTCAGTCAAAAAATTTAAATCTAGATGCTGCTGCAAAGTGCTGTTCGTACCAAGTTTTGGAATGAGAATGAATGACTAACAATTTTTTGTTCATATGTTTTGATACTATTTATAATAAAATATTTTATTTTTTATTGTTTCAAAACACAAATTATGCATAGCAACTTAAAATCTGAAACAAGATATTTAATTTAGTGACTTGTAAATATATTTGTGACATGGCTCAAAAATCGACATTCGTTTGCTTCATATTAGTTCAATTGTTACAAAGTAGATTACACCTGATGTATTATAAAATTCAATGACTTGAGTATGATAATAGGAACTAAAAGCGATTAGTACTGGAGTCTAAGCAATTGTTAAATTCGAGTCGTTCATCAAAAAAAAAAAGCCTTCAATTAACTTTTTGCTCCAGAAAAATCAAATCGATACCTTTCATTTAAATATTATCACAAGCTAAATTTAATCAAAAGATCGATAGATGATTTAACTAAATTGAATCATCGAATAAATCACAGGGGTAAATTAATAATTTTAATCTGACTCACTAAAAACATAATCACAACAATAACGAGAGGATCAAATCTAGTTTTACAACTGATAGATCAATATACGAAAGATAAAGAATGCAAATAAAATTTTATATCACATGTAAATTATAAATGAAGTCCGAATAAATAAATAAACAAAAATCATCTCATCACATAGCCTGTCATGAAAGCGCAAGCCGCATTTTAACAGATAAATTCAATTCAAATTGAAAGCCACGATGGTAATTTTTTGAATTTTTTAATCACATGAAAGTTTTAGATTATAATTGTTTCTATTTTTAAATTGTTATCTACAGTAGAATCGAAATTTCCAATTACGTATTCTTCTTACTATACATTTTTTACGTAGATTATTCAAATGGTTACAATATTATTTAATATTTTGTTCTAGAATTCGATTCTATTATTACTTTGATTTGCTTAAATCAAGGCACGCATACATATTCATTTGTTCTTGTTGTTAATTAAAACCTTAAATGGTAAAACAACAACAATGTTTGATTCATTCAAGCTTTACTTGACAATTGGATCAATTAGTAAGAAACTGAGGCAAACAAAAATTAGATAGATGCCTTAGTTATAAAACATATGATTTAATTTTTTAAATTTCATTTAAAGGGTAAGGTAATGTGCATGTCAAAGAGAGAATAAAAGAAGTAAGGGGTCCTTTTTGTGCTTTCCTGTCTCCCCGTGAATTAATTAAAACTGGTTCAGTACTTCGGAGTAGCGTTTTATGGACGTTAACGTTGTAAAACGAGTTAAACTACACATTTTAATTTTCCTAAATTGGATCAATTACTATGAGATGCCTCTGACGGATTTAATGTATATCGTATTAAACATTTCTGCATAAAAAACGCATATAAAAAAATTAAATAAAAATAAAAAAAAAAATGAATCATCATATGTTTTAAAGGAACTATGAATTTTGTGTATTGATTTACAGAAGTTTCTTTAAATGATAAAATTTCATGTTACCTTATTGAAATAACTGTGGATCATGATGGTAACTTATCATTCAAGTGATTACTTGAATCAAAGAGCCAAATTCATTCATCAACTCTGTTTATCCTTATAAATTTTTTTATTCATCAACTTGCAAACAAAGTAATCGTTGTCATTTTCCACAGATTTTAGTTGTAAAGTAAAGTAGAATAATAAATTAAATCGGAGTTCAAACTTATTATTATATTTATTACAACGACGTTAGTTTGAAGCCATGACTAAATTTGGCACAAGTCATAGTTAACTTTGAAAGTGTTAAGTCAAGTTTTAAATTGTGCATATCTTTACTTTTTTGACACTAATTTGATTAACTCCTACCATTGCTATAGAAAAATTAAATTTGGGCTGGGTTAGTCAGTCTAAAATTTAAATCTGATGCTAAAAAAACGGATAATTAGTAGGATTGTTACTTTGGGACTATTTATCTTTGTCTATTTTTTATTTGGTGCTTAAAATACACGGATAATTATTAGAATTGCTATTTTGAGATAAATCGACTGACTCTTGTAAGAGAAATACGGAAACGAGAAAATGAAATTAGTGATTGGATATAACATTGAAAAAATCAACCATCTGATTTCTTTCATTTCTTCAATTGGAGCAGCTATATCGTCAAGTATTGTTTTTGTTGAGTGAAATTCTCCAAACTCAGTAAAATCTCCTCAAACCACGTTTAGTTTTTGCTTATCTTACAAACGTACTTTACAAGAAGTTTCTGAAACGTATCGAGCAAGATTTATGAAACACGTCCAGTAAAATTAAACGGAGTGACTCGGAGTTAGTTTTAAACGTTTTATCATTAATCTTTGCTTAGTTTGCGTAAACCTCGACCTAAGAACTAGCAAATACTTTTAACTTGCAAAATATTTTTCAATTTAATTTGCTGTGGAAATAAATTAATATCAGAAGACAAAATTGAATGAATTTGAATCTTAATGGTCAATGACCTTAATGATCTTATCAATATTCTTGAAGAAAACATATGATCTGATTTACAACATTCGTTTCGTCTAAGTTTCACACCTGAAAAAGATTATTTGTTTGAAAATGTGTGTTTTTTAGAATGCGTTTTTATTATTATAGCAAGCTCGTAAATTTAAAAAATTAATCCGTATAAAGATACACAATTTAAAATAAGTCTTACATGTGAAAATTTTATGAATTCGTTTTTTTCAATAAAATAATCAGTAACGAATTACGTATACAAAGAGAAGACGAAAACAATTAGATTCTAATTTCCAAAATCAGATTATAAAATTTATAAAGCAATATAATGATATCATTAGAACTAATCACATGCTCATATCGTTTGTAATGGACCCCTGTAAAAGCAATTGATGACCTGATTAATTCTTGTAGGCTAATGGATAAAAACATTCTATCCATATTTCAAAAAGGCTAACGGATACTTTTTTAAAAATTGTTGCTGTGTTTGTTGTCTAATGGAAGCGTAGTACGGACTTTTTCTATATTCTCCGTCAGAATCGGTTAGTACAAAACGTATTAAAATTAAAATTTAGGTCCATCATCGTTTGCTTTTCTTTTTTTTTATTTTCCTTTTTTCGTTAGGCTAAATTCTTTTTTTTTTTCCATTTCTCTTGTTGTAGTCTATTAATTTTATTAGTAGGAGTTAAGCAACCGGTTAAAAGTTTAATTTTAAATTCTATAAAATAAATTATTAAAATTAATATGACATGATTTAAAAATATTATACTCCAGAAGATTGATGATTACATTTGTTCATAATATTGCATGTTTTAAATGGATCTGACATATGACTTTTGATATTAATGGATAGGATTGTATTTGAGGAGATAAGATATCCCTTCTTTATTTTTTTTGTTCTGCTATCATCAAACATAGATAAAGATTGACTAGGAAGAGATTAACTATACAAATAGAAAAAGTAGAATATTGTATATTCTAGATTCATTTCTTATTGTGATATTATGTATCTAACTTTTATTCTATCGTTAAACATTGATCTGCTTAAAACACTAAACTTAACTTATTATCATATACATAATCTATTTGTTCATATATAACAAATCTCTCATATAGGAGTTAACAAATTATATTATAATACTACTACTGTATGCATATAAACTTAAAGTTTATAATACATTACACATATTACATAATACATATTACATAATAAACGGAAAATAAATAAAAATAAGATTCTAATTTTTTCCTATGATATTTTTTATAACTTAAAGTTCATACCAAACTATATATAACCATTTGAATAATCATCATTTTTTATATTTCCTTTTTAACAACAATCAACTTTTTTTACAACCAACTGTTATACCAAAACTAGTTTAATACTTTTTTATAATTTACTACATAACATAACTTTTAGTCAACTAATACTACAATCATATTGCATACATTTAATTTACTTTATTTTACAGTCATATTTTTACAACCAAATAATAATTTACAACAACAAATATGACACTTGATATACTACCAATATTGGATAAGTCACTTATATCCAAACCATATATAACAAATGAACAACAACAACAACCATATTACAACAACACTAATGCATATCAACAACCAAAACAACTACATTCACCTATTTCAACACCATCTACTCCAAATACACCACAATATAAAAAACAAAAATTACATTCAAATCCTGTAAGAAATAACAATAGCAATGGTTATATGTTGGATGGTTTTATGTTTAATGATCAATATAAATTTATAAAAAAAATTGGAGCAGGAACTTATGGTTTAATATATCTTGTTGAAAATATATATACAAAAGAAAGATTTGCAGCTAAAATGTTATTAAAACAACCACCACAAAGAGATAATAACAACACCAACTCATCATCACCATCATCTTCATCTTTAACTAAATCATTAATACAACAACAATTCTACAACTACTTTACTAATCAAATAATATCAAATCCTCAAAAATTAAATTTAGAAAATATAAAAAATCAAACAAATTCAAATTGTCCTTATTTAACTGAAATTTCATTACATTTAAAAGTTCATAATCATCCAAATATTATAACTATACATGATGTTTATCAATTAAATTTAAATTTTGCAATTGTAATAATGATGGATTATTTTGAACAAGGTGATTTATTTGGTAATATTATAGATAAACAAATTTTTCAATCACATCCAAACAAACAATTATTAATGAAAAATGCAATGTTACAATTAATTGATGGTGTTGAACATTGTAATTTAAATTCAGTTTATCATTGTGATTTAAAACCTGAAAATATAATGGTTAAATATAATCCAAATTATAAAAGAAGTAGTAATGATTCATCAATTATAGATTATAATGAATTACATTTAGTTATTATAGATTTTGGATTAGCTATGAAATCAAAAACTATATGTTGTAATTCATGTAGAGGTTCATCATTTTATATGGCACCAGAAAGAACAACAAATTATAATACAAATAAAATTATTAAGAGTTTAATTGATATGTCACAATATCCAACATTAAAATATAATTCACAAACAAATCAACAAACAAATGAATCAAATTGTAAATATTTACCTACATTAGCTGGTGATATTTGGTCTTTGGGAATATTATTTATAAATATAACATGTTCAAGAAATCCATGGCCAATTGCATCATTTAATGAATCATCAATTAACCACAACTCATCAAATTCAAACGATGTTTTCACAAACTACATATTATATAATGATAAAAAAATCTTAAGTTCAATTTTACCAATAAGTTATCAATTTAATTTATTATTAAATAAAATTTTTAAATTAAATCCAAATGATAGAATTAATTTATCATCATTATATAATGAAATTATAAATTGTGATTTCTTCAAGGATAATAATAATAATGGTGACTACTTCGGATATAAAAAGACTTTAACTCAACAACATCAACAATATAATAATAATAATAATCAGTTATATACACCACCTGAATCTACTGCTTTTAATTCATATTCAAGTGAATTTGAAGAAGATGAAGAAGATGATGAAGAAGAAGATGAAGAAGAAGATGAAGACGATATGGAAGATGAAGATGAAGATGAAGAAGAAGAATATTATACTGATGATGAAGATTTTGACCAAAGTACATATACAAATGAATATTACAATCATCAACCTCACCACCCACAAAATAAATCTTCAATACCAAAACAAAATGAATATGATGAATTTTATTTTACAAATTCAATATAATTTTAATTACATTTTAATCAGCATTAGCATATTATCAATTAATAAAAGAGCATGATAATTTTTTTTTTTTTTTAAATGGTTTTTTTTAGAAAGAAAACATTTTGGTATATAGGTTTTACTTAATAATTAATAAACAATAATAGCATCATGTTATCTAATAACTAGAATATCCTTTGATTTATCATTCTCTAGCATACTCTAGCATATCCATGAACTTAATGATCGATTCGATTTATCTTCATGATCCTTCTTTAATTTCTACCCTTGATTAATAATTTCATGGCTATGTATACTTAACTCCTACATTTTACATATTCTTACATTTTAATTCCAATAGTATAGAAATTTTCTATTAAGTTACTATAGACGTAACACAAACATCTTTAATTTAATGTTTTGTGTTATTCCGAGTTTTTCCACTATGAAAATTTCAAAATTTCAAAACTAAACGAGAGAGAAGTTTCATTTTGTTACACACAACAACGTTTATTCGATTTATTCGACTTATTGCTACTAATATAGGTTTAATCGTGACTTTATTTAAGTCACAGTCATATAGGTTTACTTTGTTTTTACTCGGTTAGTAGACAACAATAAACTAAATCGCAAATTTAATAATCTAATATCAATTTTATTTATTTATTGGGTTTGTATTTTTCATTTCATCAATTAAAAAATCCTAAACTTTTTGACCATTCAACTCTAGAATCGAAAATGAATGGTATAAGGAGGGGAGCAAGTGTAAGATAAATTGAAAGAAACAGATTTCGTAGGACAATTTTTTATAGTGATGTAACTAACAAAACATCTACGAAATCTTACAATTTCTTCAAGGATACTCATGAAAGTAAATTAAGGATTAAGGTGACGATCGATCGATCAAGAACCCTTAAAATTTTCGAATAATCCCAGGCGGCTTGATTCGATTTTCATAATTAAATATTAAGGCTCAGTTTCAACTATAAATCGATTCTTTTCTTTTTTTTTTGAAAAATAGGTACATGCTATGAATTCTATATATTTTTAAACTCCTAAACTTGCATAAATATCTTAAAGATCGTCAATTATTTCTATTATTTTTGATAATTTTTGATTTCTATTTCTATTATTCTTTGTCACAGCTTGTTTCTTCTATATTAATTAATTGCATTTGTTAGTTGAAAGTTGTTGTTCAAGTAAATTAATACGAAGATCATAAGTTTGCGTTTTTCATATCGAAACAAAAGATATTTCCTGAATTTGCATAAAGTTTAAGACAAAATGGATTCAAGTATTGTAAAGAACATTAATATCTCCGTCAAAACACATAAGTTTTGATGTACCTTATACATCAAATTGTACTCTATTCTACTCTTTAATTTTTCTTTATTTTTTTTTTTACTAAATATAATAATTTTTAAAGTTAATTTCTAACGTAAAACGGTGTTGAAAATATTTATTCTATAAACGTTTGATAAAAATACAACTGAAATATCATTCGGACTTTTTAGTCTATTCTAACCAAACTGCTAAATAACTGATATTAAAGATTTAAGAGTAAACAAAACACCAAAAAGAAGTGATTCTTCTTGAACTTGAAATAAAGATCTCATCAGATTCGATATGATAAATTTCATGGATCTATTAAAAAAATCTAATAAAATTTTTTTGTGTGAAATTTTCTAAAAAGGAAGTAGTCTCAATGAACGGATGAACCACAGAGAGAGGTTAAATCATATTCCGGAGTTAATGTTTGAAAGATTAAATAGGAAGTCCTAGAAAGTAAAAAAAAAAATTTTGTAACGATATACAAACCTCGGATTAATTATTATTTCTAGAAAGGGTTTTTTTTCTAACCTTAACCTAAATTTGAAACGAATAAACGAATCATTCGATTTATTTGTTCGATATTGATTGAGTCTATATTTCAATACAGAGTAAGATGGAATTTATATTTCATGAAAGATAGCTAAGATTGAATTAAGTATAATTATTGAACCATTTTGTCTGTATCAAATTATTATCGTAAATTGCTTTTGACTTTTAATCTGTTTCATATGTTTTGAATATAGCAAAATGGCTACTACTTTTCGAACCTAAATGGTTAATACTTTGGGTAGGTTAAAAAATAATAACCATTTTGATATATTCGAAATTGTTAACGTTTTTTTTTTTTCAAAATTACTTGCAAAGTGAATTAGTTCATTTGATATGTAGATGTAGTTAAATCACTTAATCAATTGCTGACAAGGTGAGCATTAAAAGTATTTCCAATCTATGACAAAGGATAAACCTTTGATCCATTGACAAACGAGCCCTACGCATATTATCAATTTTGACCTTGTAAAATTCCATTATAATAAATAATAGGAAACATTTGGATCCTTTTATTACGAACTTTTTTGAAACTTAAACACTTAATTCAATGACAATGACCATTAATTTCCAGTATCTAAAAGAATTGTAATCTTAATTTCAGATTTAAATCCAATCTCAAAATCAAATCTCAAATCAAATCTTAAATCAAATTTTAAACCAAATCTAAAATCCATTATGAAATTCAGATCTAAAATCTAGTCCAAGATCCGATCTAAAAACTGGAACCAGATTCAGATCTAGTTTGATTCAAATCCAAAATGACTTTCATTTCAAAAGTTATGAGAACTTCTGCTTGCTCTATTAGTCCTAGTAGTTTTACTCAAATTGAAGACTTCAAATTTTTAAAAAAATTCAGAACTGAACTCATTTTGTAAAATCATGAGGAAGATCAACCATGCGCATCACAAAAGTCCACTGCAATCGAAGGAAAGAACAATCTTCTCAACTATTGATGGAATGCTTGATTCTTTAAGGTTAGCCTCATGTGTCAATCAACTATACCGTTATGTTCCTATGTAGTTAACTCTCGGATAATTTCTTTCCACTACCTAATTTAGCGAAGCATAAATCAACGCTATTATTTTATTCCTCGACAGTTTTGGGAATTGATTTGAGTAGGTCCATGGTAGAACATGATATCTCTATTTTGTACCAATAATCAACTGTGTACCTGAAATGAAGGCTAAAAATATTCATGATTTTCATTTCTGCTCTTGGAGTCGGCGCATCATGATTTTAAATATCTCAGGTGAGACCCTTAAAATTTAATATATTGATTTAACTAGACAAAGCCACAGTTAATTGGTGAATAAGATCGACAAAAGTCGATCAAAGAATTGACTCGAACTTAATTGCAACCTTTGAACTTTTACCCAATTAAGATCAATCAACTGTCGTGACTATAATTTTTGACGGTATTCAACTACTCCATTTGTAATTCAATTTTATCAATTGAGACTTTTAAAACAATTATTGAAGATATTCATTTTTTGTTGTCAAACTATATTTGGTGAACTAAAATAAGTTACTTTTCTAGAATGAAAAAAGTGTTGATAATTTCAGAAAGAGAGAAAGAAAAAAAAGAATGTCGGAGAGAATAATTTCAAAATTGGAAGTCATCTCTTTTTTGGGTTGAGATTCAGCTTGAATCTTGAACATTTTACAAAACAACTTTAAGCATCTAAAAAAACGATGCACCCACAAAGTTTGTAACTCGGAGAAAGTTGTTCTACACCTAATTGATCGACCTCTTAACGTATTTAGTTTGATGATACTTGTTAAAAATTACATCTCTTTTTTGGTAGCATCGTTCCCAATTGAAGCGTAAAAAAAAATTGCTGTCTTAAATTTAAAGAAAATAAATAATTGCAACCATTTTTGGTAGATCTATTGTAAATCAACAATCAATTATTCATTTGGAATCGTATTAATATCAAAGACACTAGAGTTAATCTTAATTTTGATTAACTACCTGTTTGAGATATATTGAGATCATATTAACACTGTCGTTAAATATCCCATTTTCATAATTGGTCTTTGATCTATTCTTTGACATCATCATCCATCAAATTTCATGTACCATTTATAAAACTTTAAATCAAATATTAAATATATAATTTTTGCTTGTAATCACACTGATAGGTACTTTGAGTTATTGAAGTATCACAAGCTTTGAAACAAAATCATGGAGTTAAATGAATCTCAACAATCATTAACAAGCTCATCATCTCAAAAACCAATAATATTTTCACCACCAACTTTAAGTAATAACAGCACATCAAAATTTACATTCAATCAACAATTACCTGAATTACCTAATGATTTTAATTCTAATAGACAACAAAGTGTTGGATATAATTTACAACATGAATTTGAAACTTTAACTGCTGAATTAGATTTAGATTTAAATAATAATCAAATAAAACCTTCTCATAGTGCACCACCTGAAAAAGATTTACAACAACAACAACAAGTACCATTAAAACAACAAAAATCAGGAAATGATCAAATAACATCAGATCCATTAGTTGATTTCTCAAGACCTACATCAAATTCAACTTTAATCGCTCCTTCGGCGTCAAAATTAAATCCTTCAAATCCATCTTCAAATTTATTAAATTCAAATACTTCAACAAATTTTAATAGATCAAATGAAATAAATTCATTATCACCGACTCCAAGTGTTGCAGCTTCAAATCCTCAAATAAATTCATTACTTGATTCAAAAGGGTTAAGAGGAGCTACAGGTAGCTTTTTACACCCACCATCTGCTTCAATCCCAGATAGACCACAATCTGCTAATGACTTTACGAATATTTTTAATAGAGCAGGACATGCTTTTACAAATTTTGGAGCATCAGGGCTACAAAATCAGCAACAACAACAGCAACCTCAACAACAACAACAACAACAACAACTGCAATCACAACAATTAAATTTGGCACCACAATCAAACTTCTACTCTGATCTATTAATATTCAGTAATTGGATTGAAAATTTAAATCCACAAGATACAATATCAATGATAGATTATTTATGTGCAAGTTTACCAATTGATGTATTATTAACATTTCAAGCTAAATTAGATAATCATTTACAAACAAATAAACAACAAACAACAGTTCCTCAATATGTAATGTCATCTTATGATAATTTAATAGGACAAGATCTCAACCTTGATTTAGAAAATTTAAATTTAAATGATCAAAAAATTAAATATAAACAACAACAATTTGATAATCAGCAACAACAAAATCAACAAGTACAACCACAAAATTATTTAAATGTCGATAAGCAAAATCTAGCAAGACCAAAATCGGCAGATCCATTCCTCAACAATCAAAAATCAGGAAATCAACACACAATCAATCAAAATCGTAATCAACATCAAAATCATTCATTAGATAGATCAAAATCTCCAACTTCTCATTTATATGAAAAGACAAATTTTTTACAATTAGCAGCAGCTAATCCAAGTCATCCTCAATATTATTATAATCAATACAACAACAACAGTGGTTCAATAATATCAGGATCAAACAACAATAATTTAAATAATGTAAATAATCAAAGTAATAATTCACAATTTTATTCACCTCAAAGTTTAAATAGTGCAACAAGTCCAGGAAATGGTTTACATCAGGATGGAAACCTTGACATGTCAAATACTGCTTTAAAATTAGGTGCTTTAGCTACAATAAATTCAAGAGTTGCTTTGGATAGTAATAGAAAACATCCACATGCCGGGACTAATACTAATTGGTCAAATCAACAACATCATCATAATAATCATAATCATAATCATCATCATCACAATTATAATAATAATAATCATCATCATCAACAAATCTCCCCACAAAATTCTAATAATTTTCATAATTTAAATCATTTAAATGCAATGAACTATGAAGATTCTTTAAATAGAATATCAAATTCATCATCAGTACCTACAACAAGTTCATATTATAATAATAATAATAACAATAAAAATTTTAATTCAACAATGGGATTAAAAAAAAGAATATCATCACCAATATCAAGTCATATGCAACAACAAAATATTTCAACAAGTTCATTAAATAGTCAATTAGGAAATATAAATGTAAATTCATCATCAATGCCATTAGAAGTTTCAAGTTTAGAATATTTAAATAATATTCCTTCTTGGTTAAAATTATTAAGATTACATAAATATACTGATTTTTTAAAAGATATTTATTGGAAAGATTTAATTGAATTAAATAATGAAGAATTAGAAGAAAAAGGAGTTGCTGCTTTAGGAGCAAGAAGAAAATTATTAAAAGCTTTTGAAATGGTTAAAGAAGTTCATGGTGATGATTCAAATGATAAATAGGTAGAGAAAAAAAGGTAATTAAAAAATTAATATAGAACGGTATAGATAGTCTAAAATAAAGTAAATGTGAAATTGTAGTATTATTAATTCATTATTATTTATTATTATTATTGTCATTTATCTTAAAACTATTCTATTATCATTCATTAAAAGTTAATCACATAATTATACAACAAGAATTTGTCTTTTTAGCTTGTTTATAAAACATTCTTGAAGAACTACTTAAAGCTTCAGATTTATCAACTAATGAATCTAATTTTTCACCTCTTTGTAAAACACCTTCAATAGTTTTATGTAATATAACTTTAGTATCATCTAATTCTTGTTGAACTTTCATTATTGAATCAGCTTGAGAAGGATCTTGATATTTTTTTAAATATATATCTAATTGTGATTGATAATTTAAATTTGAATTTGTTTCAGTTAAATTAATCCATTCGTTTTTAGGATGTAATGATAAATATTCTTCTAATATTTTATTTATTAAAGTATAAGCTGGTCTTACAGGATATTCTTTATCAGTTATTATTACACCACTTAAACCTTCAGATCTCGTGTAGGTATGACCAATATAATTACCTTCTTCAACACTTTGTCTTTGACCAACAGGTGTTCTTTGTGCTACTGTTTCTGAAAAAAATGTCATAAATTGTGATACTCCATTTCTTTCAAAAAATGAAAATTGTGATAAATCTCTTGATGATGTTAATTCTATTGTTTTATCACCATTTGATTTTAATATACCAATGTAATATACCTTCATTTTTGATTTGTTTGCCTGTGATCTACTACTTTTTTTGGTTAAATTAGATTATGCAACAGTTTATGGGGTTAGTTAGCTTACTATGAGATCTTGTACTACTGATGAGTAGCTATTGGTATTGATTAAATTGATTCTTGATAGTTAGTTGAAACAACGTAGCAATAAATTTTAATTTATTTTTTATCAGAAATAAAATAAACAAAAAATTATTTTATTTCTTTTTCAAGTTGAAAGATAATCAAAAGATTGAGATCATTAGATACTTCTATCCATGGATTGAACAATAACTACATAGCTCCAAGATATAACTTACCTCATCATTTGGATTTCGACTAATCTTATGTCCAAAACTTTTTCGCCCATTTTATAAATTCGTCAAACTTCAAAATCACACGCGGCTAAATCTTCAATTATCACATAATATTTATATCGTCTACTACAACCAATTTTTTTTATCAACAACAACAACTAATCAACCAATTCATACTACACATACTCACTAAATGATACTATAACAGCACTTTTAAAGAATGAAATCAAAGAAATCATTTCAAGTAATACCAATTGATAGAAATCTACCTCATAAGAAATCACATGATACTATTAACAAAAAAAATAATAATAATAATAATACAATACCAACTTTAAAAGTTGTATTACTTGGAGATTCAGGTGTTGGTAAAACTTGTTTAAGATCACAATTTATTCATCATGTTTTTACAAATGCTTATAAAGCAACTATTGGTGGTGATTATTTAACTACTACAATTGAATTACAACAACCACAAGGGAAATTAAAATCAAAATCATCCAAGAATAGTGATTTTTCAGAAGAAGATTCGGAAACTTTATCAGATTTAGAACCAGAACACAATGAAACAATCAATACATCATCATCAATCACACAAAAACCATCATCAAATTCAATCTCAATTCAACAACCACCACCACCACAGAAACCACAAAAATTAAATTTACAAGTATGGGATACTGCAGGTCAGGAAAGATTTAATTCCATATCAAAAGCATTTTATAGAGGTACAGATATATGTATATTATGTTATGATATAACAAATTATGAATCATTATTAAGTTTAAAAAATTGGTTTCTTAAATTTATTGAAAATTGTCATGTTTTAAAACCTGGTTTTATCATTGTTGGGAATAAATTAGATAAGTCGAATAATAGAGTTATTGATAAAGAAGAAGTTAGGGATATTTTAACTAATGATATAACCTCTAAGAGTCAATTTAGGCTAAGTGATTATATAAATGATTGGGATTTGGATGTTATTGAAATTAGTGCTAAAAATCATAATTTAGTTAATGATTTATTTCAAAGAGTTGGAGAATTAGGTATGATTTTAAATTCTGAAAATAATGAAGAAGAATTAAATACTCATACAAATTTACAAAATTTTGATAAAATAGATTTATTGGATTCAAATAAGAAATCAAAAGCTAGTAGTTGTGCTTGCTAAATGATGAATAAAAACAGACATACTTAATATAAACTTTTTTATTTATTACGTTTTAAATGATTATTCAGGTTCTAATTGTTATAATATATACATTAAATATCTTACCCCATCAAAAAATAAAGTTATTTATTTCTTTTCTGGATTTTTTAATTTACCTTCATCTAAAGCATCTTCAATTTGTTGAACAGCAGGATCAGCTTCTTCTAATACAATATGTTCAACAACTTCAGTATTATATTCTTTATCATCATCATCATATAATTCTTCTTTATAATGATCAGGATTTTGTTTAAAACATGATCTCATATTTTCAAATTTTTTTATACAATCTATACCTTTTGGTTCAGTTTCTGAAAATACAAAACATGAAAATGCATCTTTAAATTCTTCTCCACAGGGGCCATGAGCCATACCACCTAAACATGGACAATCCCAATTAATTTCACCAGTTTCTGGATTATAAGCAGCTTCTTGTTTTTCATCATCTCCATTTTTATTAGAGTCACCTTTTGAAGATGATGATTTATCAGTAGAATCATGTTTTGAAGATGATGTATTTTCATCTGGTTTATTATCAGAATTCGATGTTTTATCATTTTTTGAAGATTCGTCAGCTTTTTGTTTTGAATCACTTCTTGAATGTCTTGTAATTTTATCAGGATCTATATTATCACTTGCTCTTTGTCTAACATCAGAATCTGTTGAAATATCTTTTCTTTCTGCTCCTTTTGCATCTTTTGTAGTTTGTTTTTTAATATCTTCTTTTTGATTTAATTCTTCTTTATCTTGTTCTTTTTGTAAACGTTTTTGTTCTTCTTCAAATAATTCATTTTGATCTTCTGCCATTTCATTACCTACTTTAAAATCTTTTCTTATATCAGCAGCAACTTTAATTGGTGAAGAATTATTAATTGATGAATTATTTAATGAGTAATATCCAATTGCTACAGCAATAGGAACAATTGATCCAATAACTAGTTTAGTATTGAATTTTGATGATGAATTGGATGCATTGGTTGAGTAAGATCTTATAGATCTTGATGCTTGACGTGCAATAGATGATCTAGTAAATTGTCTATACATTATGCTAAATTTAGTTTGGAAAATATATGTATAAATTCTATAATTAAGTTATAAATATAGTGAAGCAATTTGATGTGAAAAATTGAATTGAACTTTAGTGGATTGATGTAGTAAGTTGTATAATCTTGTTAGAAATTTCCTCGAATAACTCTGTTGATTTCAAATGGAAAGATGTTTCAAATTATAAAAGAAAAAGATCTAATTCAATGAGTTTTAATTGCTTTTTTGTCAGTATATATATTAACTTCAATTGGTTTATGCTAGTTGCTATATATTCAAATATATTGTGTAATTTAAAACCTTAATTTTTCAACTAAGATGATTGAATGATGATGTAGAAAAGTATTATGTAAGCAGATGACTTATGATTATGTAATACACTACTATTCTAGAATATTATTAATATATGTAATACATGTATCAACCATAGATACAATAAATAAAATGAATGATACAATTGGCAATGAAAAGTCGTAACGAGTCGTGATATTCATAAACTATACAATAGAGCTATATACAAAAACTATGGGATGTCATGCTCTTATTAAGCACCATTATTATTTTTATTCTTATATCGTATATCTTGACTTAAATTAGGAATATATTCAATTTCTTCAACTTCATTTGGTTTACCCAGATATTCTGAAAAAGCAGCATATCCAATAGATACAAATACAATAACAACTGATATAGCTCCAGTTTTTCTTAGAATTTTTAATAATTGTTCTGATTCTTTTGAATTTTCAATATGTGCTTTTTTTATATAATCTTTTGATGATTCAAATTTTGATTTATTTTGGTTGATTGGTGACGTTGATTTATTTGTAGCATTTACTTCTGAATATGATCTTGTTTGAGTTTGTTGTATTATTGGATTTATTTTAATTGATTGTGGGGTTAATGGTTTTAATTCTTGTATCATCATTTTACGAAATGCTCTACTATGCTTCGATATCCCTAATATAGCTCTTAACATTTTGATTATATGTGGTTTAAGTAATTGTTTCGGAGCGAAATGTTTGAAAAAATGGGTTGATGTTGGTTAATTATTAGTTATGAATTTTTCATTTTCTTATCAAAAAAATCAGTAAATAATTTTCTCTCTCATTTAAAATCACTTTTTTATTATTCGCTACAATTTATGATGTCATTCATAACGTTCGTAAATTTACTATATTCTACAAATGAATTATTTTACATACCCTATACCTCTATATCAATTTGAAAACTCATCTATTAGATTATCCATTAATAGTGGACGATAATCCTGAGTTTCAAAATTATCTTCATCAGAATTGATCCATAAAACGTCATCCTCAATATATCCAAAAATCAGTTTTTTCTCAAAATTAAACCTATAAATTGGATAACCTTTAGTAAAATGAAATGAATCTTTCAATAAATTCATCGTTATATTCTTTGAAGAACAATATTCAAGTAATATGTCTTTAAATGTCGTCATTAAATTATGGGATGGTATACCATTAGCATTCAATGAAGTGGAATCATCGAATTTAAGTAAATCATCTGCAGTAGGTCGAATTGAGCCTAGTGATCTGGGTAAATTTGAGCATTCTGCATCATCAAAGTTTGATTTTATAATTTTCAATGCTTTGTTTAAATACCAATTAATTAAATCCGTTATTACAGAAGAGTTACAATGAATTAATTTTTCCTGAAAATATTGAAACCAATTAGCATAAAATTCAATTGCTCTTTTTGAATCATTTTTTCCAAGTTCAACTAGCTCCATGATCCATCTATTGAATAAAATATATTGAAGTGGACTAAAACATGACTCAAATTTTGAAACCTCAGCTAAGCAGAACGACCATTCATACACAAGTCTCTTATCATGAAAGCTAGTTAAAGCGTTCTCAAGCCATCTTGGAAATGACCTCTCAAACAATTTTACTAACGATTGAGCTTGAACTTGATCGTATCTACGAATTGTTGGTAATCTCATTTGAAATATTTCAGATACTTGGAGCTTTATTTTCTTTAAATCGCTAGCAGTTCCAAAATTAGTCCATATCGAAGATCTGTTTTCTAATTCAAAGTAATCTCTGATTTTTGTAATTAAAATGCTAAAAATTTGATCCATATTAACGTTCGTAGCTGAAAGTAAAATCAAGTAATCATCAATAAACCAGTCCGATCGATCAATATCCAAAGGATTCCATTCTTTAATTCGTTTAAAAACATACCCAACAAACACTGCTTGAAAACATTTAGAAAGTAGTTTTTCTTTCAAAATTGAGGAAGAAAGACTGACCCAAGTTGACAAAATTTCAATGTTCAACTCATCTGTTTCCGCATCGTCGTAGCCACTTCCTTCAAATAATTCATTAAACTTGATTATGTATTGCTGAATTAAATAGTTGAAAAATAAATTACTATTTGGAGTTAGTTTTGTGCATATCTCAGCATATTTATTAAGTGATGGTATAATATCAATTTCATTTTTAGAATAATCCTCTAACGGTACTTGTAAAATGTAAGCAAGGTCTTGCTGAGATAGCGTCAAAAATACGGAAGCTTTCTCGTCATCAGTCAAAGAAAGATCACTTAGTTTTGGAACATATTCAAAGTGATAAATCTCTTCGTGACTGGTGTACATATCTTCTAGATCAATTTTCAAAGTGGTTAAATCAAGGCATCTTTTTCCCGGATTGGTATCATCTAATATATTCAACTCTTTATTCAATTTTTTTTGTTTTTCATTGTATGCGTGAAAATCATCCCAAATTTCATCAAAATAATTGTAAACTTCCTTTGCCCTGTCATACTCTTGATCGGTCTCAATTGTTTTGACGTTATTCGCCCATGTAATCAATTCCTCTGGCAAAATAATGTTATTTTGTTCAAAGTTACCAACAAGATTATAAATTTTATAGCTAAGTTTCAAAACTTTTTTCAAAAACAATGCTTTTTCATCGTCTTCAACAGTTTTATATTGTTCATCTTCATCATCAGCACTCGCTATAATTTTGTTTGATCTTGCTCCTAATCCAAATTTTCCCATATTCGAAGTAGCATTAATTGGATCAACTATTCCAGATTGATCATTCCCCAACCCTTTTCCTTCTTGATATCCCATTTTCATCATTAATTTTGCACCTATTCCATATTTATGATATTTGGATGAAACTTTTATTGTTACATCCTGTTCATTATTATTACTCAGGTTAAGATCATTCATTGTACTGGTGTCATGATGAGGTGTATTCTCTTTGGTGAAGTGAATCTGACGTGCCGAATTGGAATCCTTGATTATCGGCGTCTTCTTACTTGCAGATTTTTGAGAAACCATCGACATGGATTGTTCTTCTTCAAAAACTTCATCATCCTTGGAATCCTCGTTTGAGCCCAATTCAGGGTTTCGCTGATTTGCAGCGCTCAGTAAATCCTCATCTTCTTCTTCTTCATCTTCAAAATCTGAATATTCGTCATGAATAGATGCCATCATACTCATTGAACCATTGGATTTATTCAACGTTTCATCTTGCTTAACTTCATCTGAACTCGATTTGGTAAATTGAATATTACCAAATCTATTTGTTGTCATATCATTATAAGATGTTTTGATCGAAAAGTGATTGAAACGCAAACACAAAGTGGTAACATTTTATTTTCGATTAAAGAGAGAGAAAGTAGCTGCAAAAAATTGAGACCAAAAGTTATACAAATATATCAAAGTTCTATAAATATTCCGAATAATTAATTCAAAACAGCTCCATCTTTTACTTCTGTATCCTTATCCTTTTCATTAAATCAAGCAAATTCTTTTCCTCCCCTTCATTAAATTCTCCAGCTCCATTAGCATCTGGTTGAACGTGTTCTAAACCTTGCGTTACAACCTGCACAACAAAAGGTATCTCTTGCTCTCCAGGTAACTTAAATTCCTTGGGAATAAACTCACCATACTTTGTAACCCATGATTTTCTATGATTTAACTCTTCCAACTGTAATCTATATAGTTCTTCATTCAAAAAATTATTGATCTTTTTCAAGTATTTTTTAGGATACAAATATTGTTCATGGTGTAGTTCCGTCAAGTACTTAGTTTTGTAGATATCCAAGAATTGAGTATAATGAAATAGTATTTGTTTGACGGTCTCAGCATATATCTCGCATGGTGACAAATCCGCCAATTCTGCATCTGATATTGAGCATTTGTTTAAAATTTCAAGACATATATCAAGCAACCTTAAATATTCCGGTATGGCTTTGGTCTTAAACGTTCTGAACTTTTCCAATTCTTGTTTCATGAGCTCCAAACTTCTTTTGATTACATTCAAATTTTGATCAAACAATTTGCTAGATTTGGATTCATTCGTTATTATAATGTCATAAACTGAGCTCAATTCTTTAAAAACGTCGTCCAATTCAAAAGCGTCGGTTTCAAGAACATGTAGATTGACGTTCAACGTCTCATTCTTGGAATACATCAATTTAACAGCTTTACTACATTGATCGTAATGATTTGTTAACATTTCCAACAATGACACTAACTCATTCTCTAATGACTGGTTCTCTCTTAGTATGGTTCCTATTATTTGATTCGACTCCAAAATTTTTCCATGTGAAGTTGTAAGCTCGACTTGTACTGTGTTTAATTGATCGAATTCTTTTGTAATCACTTGATGTTGTTTGCGAAATTGATTTAGCGTCTCAATGATGTTACCTTGTAACTGAGTTTCCAATAGTTTTTGTAACTTGGTGTAATTCGATCTATAAATCTCGATATTTATTTTGATTAAATCAGTTGACTCTGTGGCAATAAAATCTAGTAAATTTTTATCGTTCCCTTCATCCTCAATCAAAATATCAGATGGTACTTCAGTACTCTTTAACTGTTGCATGATCTTTTCTAATGCCTTTAAATTTGGATCCAAAAGCTTCTCGAAATCGTTGGTGATTTTGCCAACTTTGGTTTTGTATATAGTTTTGACGCGATCCACTTGTTGACTAACAACATCAAGTTGATTTTGATAAGATACAAAAAACATTTCGGCAATATGCAATTCATCAGGTAATTGAGTTGTTAATTTATGAAAAGTCTTATCCAACAGTGATTGCGCATTTGAGCATAGCTTTTGAGCTTGCTCCAAAGTTTGTTGAGCCTCTGTTAGCCATTGATTCACTTGAGTAATACTGATATCTCCCACGTTATCATTGATCATATGCAATGTTCTCTTCAGGCAAAACAGTGAATTGATTCACATACGTGGTGCCACTTATTTGGGTTTGATAAGTTTGTTTAATGTTCTGATAAAAAAAAAAATCACGAACCTAAAATAATTTTTCAAACTGATATTCAATTCAATATCAACGAAATATATGTCTGGTGTGCAAGCTTTGAGAGCCTTACGTAAAGCATCAGCTAAAGGTGAAGCGATCAATTTATATAGCAGCGATGGTGATGTGACAGACTCAATTAAGGAAGCATCACAAGTATCATTTGGAAATCATAGTGAAACGAAGTATGACTTGGATCTACAAACAAATTTTTACAACGAAGATAAACCACAGGATTTAAGGTCTGTAGTATTTTGTTGGCTATATGAGAAACATACAGATCAAGAGTACAAAGCAAAAGCCAACGAACTTGGATTTGTACCGTTTTCAATTGTGTGTAAGTTTGATTTACTTACTTGGTTGAAAGGTTCAATAGACTCTTGTCAATTCGTAAAAGAAGAAAAAAGTTCAAATAAATCAGTAGATACTATCAAAGACATCAAACTGGAACCGGAAACTAGGAAGCATAAATTAGATGATCCACAACTACAAAGAATAAGTGCATTTGAAAGAGAGTCAATAGATCATAATGCAGCTTTGAGAGGTTCAAAAAACATAGACTTTAGCTATTTAATATCTGATGCTAAAAAGTTCATGCGTGAATTGAAACGTGCCAAAACTGCACCAAAGAAGAGTCAAAATTCTAATTCTTCTAAAAAACAACCAATAATAATCGTATCACCAGCCACCACAGCATTACTTGCCTTATCAAACATTAAACAATTCCTAGAAAATGGTGAGTATACAGTACCTGTTACTAGCAATAGACCACAATCTGGAGTCGTAATACTTAATCATCCTTCAGATAAATTAATACCTCAAGGACAAAAAATTATGGTAGTAGATAATACAGATCTTTTCACCAACCCAGATTATTGGAATAGAGTAATAGCAATTTTTACTACAGGTCAAACTTGGCAATTTTCAAAGTATAAATATAACAAAGCAGAACTTCTATTTCAAAAATATCAAGGTTTTTACGTAGGATATCAAGGCGAATCAACCCCAAGTCAAATTAAAGATTGGAATGTTCGTGAAATTAAAGTGAATAAAGGAGATCAAAGATTCAAAGATAAAGTGATTGTGAAAGATCTTTGGTTAGATTTAGAAAAAATTCTTATAAGTAAAGGTTATGGTAAATAATGATCAAAATAATGAATGTAATATATATACAAAGTTTTACTTTTTGTTTCTCTATTTATAAGATTTTTCTAGTTCTACAAATTGTTCATAAATTTCGTTAGAAGTTTTGTTAAAAACTTTTCTATCATCTCGAGATCTTATGGCAAATGTTCCATTTGCAATATCTTTGTCGCCGATGATGATGATGTATGAATAACCACGTTGAATAGCGTCTTTTGTTCTATATCCAACTGTTTCGGGCCTCTTGTCAACATCCACATGAAAATTGAACCCAGTTAAAGGAGATATTGATTTCTCAGTATTCACAATGTCTCCTGATATAACTTTTTGTAAATCAATTGCGTGTGTAATATGAGACTCATTGACAGGTATTATTACAGCTTGTCTCGGATTGATCCAAAATGGCCATTTACCTTGATAATGGTCGAGTAAAATTGCAAAAAATCTTTCCAAGGAACCAAAAACAGCTCTGTGAATCAATATTGGTTGGTTATCTCTTGTACCATCTTCTGCAACATATTTCAAATCAAATCTTTTTGGCAATTGAAAGTCTAGTTGAATTGTTCCTACTTGATGTTTCTTCTGAAAAGCATCAGTCAAAAGAACATCAATTTTTGGACCGTAAAATGCTCCGTCACCTTCTCTAATTGTCCAATTGCCCTCACCGGTTGCTTCGTTTAATACTTTCTTCAATTTATTCTCAGCATTATCCCAAGTTTCTACATCTCCAATGAATTTTTCTTCTGGTCTAGTGGATAAATAGTATTCAATCTTGTTTATTCCAAAAACATCATAGGTGTCTTTAATTAAATTAATTGTGTTTTTAATTTCTTGATCAACTTGTTCCATATTACAAAATATATGACCGTCATCTTGATGAAATCTACGCACTCTAGTTAATCCGGATAAAGCACCACTAGCTTCATTTCTATGTAGCGAACTAAAATCTGAATATCTTACCGGCAATTCATTGTAACTTCTATCAAACTTTGCATAGATCATGCAATGACTCGGGCAGTTCATTGGCTTTAAACCATACTCATGTTCCTCTATATTCTCACCATGATGTTCTTCCTTTGATAAATCGTTTCCAACAACTTTAAACATATCGTCTTTATAATTCTCCCAATGACCCGATTTTTGCCATAGCTTAGTTTTAAATATCAATGGTGTCACTACCTCTTGAAATCCATATTTAATCTGTTGATTTTTCATAAATTGAATCAATTTATTTAATACTCTTGTCCCATGAGGTAAGAAAAATATTGATCCTGGTGATGACGGATCAGTTGTGTAAAGTAATTGCTTTGTTGAAATAGCATGATTCGTATTGGTAGATGACTCTAGCTCTTTGTTTTTAGTTGATAATAATCTATATGTACATCTTCGTAGCCCTGTATTTCGTAAGATCATTTGTTAAAATGTGTTGCAATTTTTTGTATTTATATTTTTTACTACATATTTTTTTACTACAATAGAAGTACGAATTAACACTATAAATTTACACACGTTATAAACTCAACTCGTCACTTCTACTTTTATTGGCGAGCCTGCTGCTTTACCATTGGATTTCGATTTCGACGCATCTGGTTTTCGTATGGTTATTTTCAAAGGATTGGTCGAGTTACTTGGTACATAACCAGAATAATTGACCTTGAATCCCGTAAATGTCTTGAATTGTTTTTGCTTTTTAACCCATTTTTTACATGGTTTACCAGATTTGTCCAATGCATATAGTGCGCTATTAATACTATTCATTGCTAAACCTGCAGTAGATGACTCTTTTAGTCCGACGTTGATTTTATATTGACTTATACCTCCACTCCCTGATCCTCCTCCACCTGATGTTGATGCATTTGGCGCTGGCGTAACTGAACCTCCATCAGGAGCTGGTGATGATTTTTGCAGATTGGTCGAGGATTGTAATCCTGCTGCTATTCTTCTTTCCTCTTGTGCTATTTTCTTCAATCTTGATTTTGATACAAATGGTTCAAATTTAGGTAGAGTCCCTAGAAACTTTGAAGGTAATTTAAGCTTGATCCATAGCCTTTTAGCAGCAACCATGATATATAAAGTGATATGATGACTTGACCCTTAGTTTGATATCCAGTGGGAATTAATATAGATTTAAAGCCGAATAAAGTGAAATTATAAGCTGAGATAACAAAATTCACGTTTCTTTATTGATAATCTATGATACGAATTGTGATGAATTTGATTCACTTGTGGTTGGAACTAAAGGATCTTTTTGTTGCACAATTCAATCTAAAAATATTTCTAATCGTGTTGTAAGATTTCAAATTTGTTTAAGTAGCATTTGGTAGTAAAGTTTTATCAAATATTTTTAATTTCATGGATCACAAATCCAACTTTAATAATATCTCTTATCAATATGTGGGATCATGTCAAATTTTGAACCAACATTAACAAGAGATAGATTACCATCTAGAATAGATTTATTTGAAAACAATTTGAAATTAGATATTAGAGCTCATCAAAGAACTTATGAAGGTGCTTATACAAGAACTGCGATTGGATGTTTTTCCTTTTCAATCTTAATCATTAAATTATTTTCAAAAGAATTTTTACCTATTGGCACGATATATACAGTATATGGATGTTTACTTTATTTCATTGGTGTTTACAAATCGTCATGTGTGGACGTTTATTACAATCCTGAGAAAGATATGGAAATGTACAAGACAGGTGGGGATTATGTATTAATTTTATCTATCATAAGTTTATGTTGTTACATTGCTTTACTAATATTAATTATGAAAATGTGATATTATGCTAAAGTTCCTAACCCAACAAGTATTAATTGCAAGAATAATTGTAAAGACCAAAATCCGATTCTTTTCATTCGAACTAATCTTGCTTCTTCATCAGCCACATAATCAACAAAATTGTCATATACTTCCTCAGATATATCATCCATTAATAAAGAATCGTATACAGTCCATGAACCTTCGAAATCTTGAATGTTTTTGACTATTCTGTTGTGAATTTCAATCACTGTGTTTTTAGAATTGATATAAGCCACAATTGGTCTAATTAGTGCATAATTGATATATGATAACTCAGGAGCTTTGAATGGAACTATTGCTCTAACATTGATTAATTTAATAGTTAAATCTAATACAAAATACTTTGTGATGTCAGTGTAATCATCTTTAGTTAATCTAGTATGCATATCTGGATGTTTTGATTGTATCTCTGGATTTTTATATTTAGTTGCTTCCTTAGTAATTGATTCTGCTATCATATTGACAATTTCTTTCACTCCAATATCATTATCATGTTCTTGTGGAACCATAACTTCTCCTATCATATCAACTTTACCACTTGTAATCCAGCCAAATGGTCCTTCTAATCCTGTATTCAAATGATCTATATTCAAAGCGTCGACTCTTAAACAAGTTATTCGTTTCCATTTATTATGATTTTTCAAATTATCATCTTCATTTAATGAAAAATCACTTAATCTTTGCTTTTTATGTACAGTAAATAAAGAATTATCATATGAACCACTCATAACATTTGCATTCAAAAAATCATAAAACAACCAGTGTTTTCTTAATTTTGATAATTCACAATTATAAATGGCAACATCAAAAGGTCTAAAATCTTTTGGTTGTTTTAATTCAAATAATACATCTTCCATTTTAAAATCTTCAATTTCAAAATCTCCAGGTTGATATACATTCTTATAATTCGTAGCATCATCATCTGGATTCCATCTAACATGCGTTCTATCTACTTCACCTCTTAGACCTTTGATTTCTAGGGTTTCAATCATACCAGTACCATTGACCCATTTATTGAAAGATAAAGAAATATTAACCTCTTCTATTATTAAATCAAACTGTGTATAGTTTCCATCATCTTCAAAAACATCCTCTTCAATTTCTTCATTAGGTGTTTTTATCAATAATGATTGCTCATAAGCTTCCTGTTGTGATCCTTTTATAAATTTTTCAATCTTTTTAGGTCTTCTACTAACAAAGCATTTTCTGAAACTAATTTTACCGTCTGACCATCCTGGAACTATTGCACTTTCAAAAGTTACAGTCATATTTGAATTTTTAGTTATGAATTCACCTAATTTTCTAGCAACAAATTCTTGAGCGAAAACAGTATTTGCTGTAAAAATTATCAATGAAAAAAAAGTTGTGGTTGCAACAAATATTAAGAAGACGTTACCAACAACTAGCCATGAAAAAAATGCTGAATAATCATCAGTATTATACGGTCGATTTGATTTTTTTAATAGCCACTTTATTCGTATTTTTAATCTTGAGATGATATTATTTGCCTTGGATAGTAGTTGTTCTTTCGTTACTTTCGGTATTTCTTTAGCAACTTCTTTTGCTTTAGGTATAATATTTGACTTTTCATGATCATTTGTTGATGGTTTGTTGTTTTTCAATTCTTGCAATATTATTGAACTCTGATGAATTGATCTGGTAAAATATGGGGAAAATTTGGTAATTGGGTGAGGTTGCTTATAAAGCAATCGATTCAATTGTGGATATGTTGTTGAAAAAATTTGACCAGTGCATCGTATGGGTTTATTTCGAGCAACCTTATACATTAAACCAGGATTGATTCGCAACAATTTGATTCCTCTTTGCTTTGTATTGATTTATTGATTTATGGTAATAAATTTGTGGTTTCAGATATTTGATCGAGAAGAGAAAATGAAGTTGCGATTTTGTGTAAATTGCAAATTTATAGTGGAGGTTGTAGGTGGGACAGCATCACGATTTTGAGATATAGCTATCTACTGTCAAGCAGATCAGTTGAATTGAATAGGTTAGTTAATTCATACACTCTCATGTGCTTCAACGGTAGTTTAAGTCAATAGTAAGGTGATCTATTGATAGAAAATCTGTTCCAAAGAGCCAACTCAAGTTCTCACCAATTGATGACCCAACGCATCAAGATCAAATTCACTTTCCCAAGTTTTTTAGTTGTTTTGCAAGTGTTGTACCCTCAATCTCATTTGATCTTGAACATAGCAACGTGAACGTGTTAGGTGGTTTTTCATGATAATCCTCTTTCAATTGCTAGATTTTGTGTCATAAACTTGAACTATTATAACCGAATTTGACACAAACTTATAAATTCTTATCAGTTCTAACATTTATGAGTAATAAGTATCAACTAAATTTAGTTACAGTCATAACAACTAAAGTTATATACCGTGTCATTATTAAATTGAGTCACTAAATTCGAGGTTTATATAAATCATATCAATTGCAATATATCATGTTTTCATCAATGTTAAATCAATTTAATTTCTTATCAACAAACAAAGATTCTCAAATGACAACAAAATCTAAGCCAGAAACACCATTTGGTAAACAATTTAGAGAAAAATATTTTTCAAATCAAGATCCAGAAGTATTATTATTAAATAATGGAAGTTATGGAACAGTACCTTCACCAATTCATAATAAATTTGTTGAATCAATGTTAAATACTTCTTCATATCCTGATTTACATATGAAATATAATTTAAAAGATACATATATTGAAAGTTTAAAGGTCATTGGTAAAGTCCTTAATTGTGATTATCATAATTTAGCAATTGTTGAAAATGCAACTACTGGAATAAATACAGTTTTAAGAAGTTATCCTTTTAAAAAGGGAGATTCTTTAGTTATACAAAGTACTGTTTATGGTGCTTGTGGTAATACTGTTAAATTTCTTAAAGATAATTATGATATTGATTTTCATGTAGTTGAAATAAATTATCCTACAACTGATGCTGAAATTTTGGCAAAATTTGAAAAAGTATTTAAAGAAGTTAAACCAAAATTATGTATGTTTGATACAGTTACATCAATGCCTGGAGTCATTTTTCCACATGAACAAATGATTAAACTTTGTGATAAATATAAAATTTTATCTTTGGTTGATGGAGCTCATGGTATTGGATGTATTCCTCAAAATTTATCTAAATTAAAACCAAGTTTTTATGTTTCAAATTTACATAAATGGTTTTATGTTCCATTTGGATGTGCTGTTTTATATATTGATCCAAAATATCAAAAAGGTATTCATACATTACCAATTAGTCATTCATATTTAAAAAGTGATACTATTTTAAGTGAAGAAGATGAAAAAAATAGAATGATTGAAAGATTTTGGTTTATTGGTACTAAAAATTTTGCATCAGTAGCAACTATTCCAGATGCTTATAAATTTAGAAATGAAATATGTGGAGGTGAAGAAACAATATATGAATATTGTCATAATTTAGCTGTTCAGGCTGGTGATTTAGTTAGTAAAAAATGGGGTACATTTGTATTAGATCAACCAAATAAAACTCAAATTAGTACAATGGTTACAATTGCTGTACCAACAGATAAATATCCTGAATTTGTTAAAAATTGGTCAAAATATGATAATTTAGTTTATAAAAAATGTTTTGATAAAAAAGCTTATATTCCATGTGCAAGTCATAATGGTAAATTATTTGCTAGATTATCTGCTCAAGTTTATAATGAGTTAAATGATTATGATTTGGGTAGTGATATTTTAATTCAAGCTTTAGACGAAGTTGCAAAAGAAAATGATTTACTAGTTTGATTTTTTATTAAGTTTTATATATTCGTTTTACAAGTGCCTTTTAGATTTAATAAATGTTTAATGTTTCAAATTCGATCAAGAGCTAACTAGAATTTTCGTAATTCAAATGTTCTTAAAATTTTGATAACTTATATTTTTGAAAAATCAATACTATTACAAATACTTATTATTAATTAAAATTAATTATGAATTCAATAACGCTTGGATCTATTTGTAAAGATCTTTCTATAAAAAACGACAAACAAATGAATTTTAATTTTTCATTTATCACTTTGTTGCCAAGAAGTAATAAATTCATCTGAACCAAATAAATGAATCAAAAAAGAAAACAAACCAAAAAAAAAATTACCAAACAAATCAAACCCGTAATTATTTGAAAGTAACGCTCAACGTACTTCTCTTGCTTTATTGAAAATTTTTAATGAAATCCACATTGATTCGGAAATTGCCTATTATTTAAAGGTTGAGGAAATAATCCAGCAGCAGTTAATTTTTGAAAATCCCATTCACCAGCAGTTTCAGTTTTCCAATTCCAAAAAATCCAACCACCATTAAATTCAAAAGCATCTAATTGAGCTTCAATATATTTACGTACATTAGTTTTATAATCTGATGGCCAATTTCTAATATCTTCAATATTTATATCTGAACATGAACCAATCCATGGTGAATTATCATATTGACCTTCATATCTTGCACCTCTTCCAACCCCATTAAGCCATGTAGCACAATCAGTTAATGCTGCAGACCATTCACCAACAATTGACCAATGTGATTCCTTTTTAGCATCCCAACCCCAATTACATGCAACTGAAACATGATCATTTATATCTCTTTCTAATTCACCTGGCGAAAATACTTGATAATGATGATGATCAACTACAACACTCCAAGCTCCTTGACTAACTTGTAATGTATTATCCCAATATCCTGCAGGTTGAAAAGCATCATGAATTATAACAGGAGTTGAAGAACCAGTTTGTCTTAAATTTGAATAACCTTTATTATAAAAATCTTTAATTTGATCTAAATTTAAAGCAGGTCCTAAAGGTTCATTTAATAATTCAATTCCAATAACAACATCTTGATAATTTGATGAACCATATTTTTCAAAAATTTTTTGTAAAACATTTAAAGTAATTTGTACATTATTACCCTTTTGCCAATCTAATGTATCTCTTAAACCAGAATTATCAAAACCATTTTGTGAACCTGGAGCACCATGTAAATCAATCCAAACTTTTATATTATGATTTCTTGACCATTGTAAAGCTTTATCTAAATATTCAACTTGTCCTTGAACATAAGGATCATTATCTAATAATTGAAAAGCCCAATAACCAATAGGAATACGAACAACATTTAATCCTAAATAACTCATTTGTTCAAAATCAGCTTCTGTATACCAACTTGCCCAATGTTGTTTTAAAACTTGTAAAGCAGCAGTTTTACCTAATTGTTTTGTAAAATGATATTCATCTACAGGAGTATTTTGAGGAAATAACCAAGTTCCAAATAATGATGGTTTAATATATGGTTCTAATACAAACCAACCACCTAAGTTTACTCCTCTTACTATATCATTTTGATAATCCCATGCATCGAATCTTTTAGATTTTTCCGTTATTATTAATGAATTTATCGATATTATAAATGTTGATAAAAGAATTAAGAATTTCATAATAATTGTGTGAAATATATGTTGAATGATAGAATTTGATCTTTAATTGTTGACGAATTCCAAGTTGTATATGTATTTTTGAATGTATTGAATTCTGTAAAAATTATTGGGTGCAAAAAAAAGTATATATTAAAATGATCGTATCAAATTTGTTTCAGAATTGAATTGTAGTAAACGTAACGAAATAAATGAAACTTTTTTGAAAGCTTTTATAAAATCAATGTTGTAATCTCAATTTAATATGAAATATGAAATGTTAAAGCAATTTTCAGTAGAATATATATGAAAATAATGTGATATATATATGAGTTGTATGTGTAACTGAAATTTTTGGTGTTTTATTGTCTTTGTGTTTCACTAAGAAAAAAAATAAAATAATTTGTGTGTTTTATCCCTTTCAAATTTGAAAATTACAAGTAACAAAATGATTTATGAAAAGTGAGTTGATGTGAAATGAGAATTGAATAATTCTTGATGTAAAGCAAACTTAACGAGTGATTAATGATTCAACTTTTCAACGATTGATATTTTTGATTGAAAAAAGGCTAGTAGTAGCTATATTTAAAAAGAAAAAATATTAATGAAGATTCGAAAAGTGGTTATATAATTCCATATATATAATAGAATTTCAAATGTTATACAAACTCATATACTTCTACTACATTTTAAATTCTTATTGTTTTTTTAAAAGTATAAATGTTATATGTTATGAAATAGAAGGTGTTTACGTTACATATCTGTATGTATAATATGTATAATATGTGTGTATGCATTTTTACTTGCAATTAATTGTAAGGCACTTATATTTAAGGAATGTATGATGTAATAAAAAAACATACAGTGGTTATATTGAAAATGTATAATGTTTTAAATTAAAAAATTTAGAAAATTTAAGCTAAAACAAATGCAATTTGAAAAAAACGTGTAGATATAGAGAATGGTACTATTGGAGTTTTTTATGATAGTTGTTTTGGTTCGAGCTAGTTTTAAATTGGTTAATGCCATAGAGCATTATGAACGAGAAAAGAGTTCTTGTTTGGATATTTTTCTCAGTCAGTTTATACTTTCCTCAAAATAATTGCGAAATCCATACACAAGAAAATTCATTAATAACAGTTACTCCATAATGTATAAACAAATCATAAGAAGTTTGAAGGATAGATTCAAAAGTTTATTTTGAATTCTCTTTGTTTTTAATCAAAGTGTTTAATCTTAATTGTTCACAAATAAGTTAGATTATATATAAAACTTGTCAATATTTATAAATTGTTTTATACACTAAGGTACTATGAAGTATAAATGGAATTAATGGAATTACCAATCAATTGGATATTTCATACTAAAGTCTAAAACGCAATAAAATCGGAATAAATAAGCAATTGCTTTTTCGAATATTATTTTGAAAATCTATTAAGTTTTTAAATATTATATATTTTTAGAAACAAACAAATAATCCAATACTATTTACTATCAAACACAATCAAGAGGTACAAATAACACATTCCTTGACCTACTATAGTTTGTCTCGGTTTATTCATCTATCTTTATCCTCTATATTTCAAAATGGCAATGCAAATTTTCATAATAAAATTTATCCCCCTTCTCACCCCTTTGTTTACCTTGAATTTGTAACCTATTATTATGAGTTTAATATAATAGAATAAAAAACGTATAACAGATTAGACGTACCTACCACAAAATCAATTAATATTCTACATACACAAAATTTCAAGTTTAAGGCGAGAAGGGTTTAATTGTCAATTATAAATTTCAAGGATTCAGAAGAATGAATATCATGAAATAGCCTTTCAAAAAAGATATAAAGGTTGAGACTCTTCCATACACGGATTTATAAGACTATTGGCTACAATTCTCGAGAGTTCAATTCCTGCACTAAAAATTAGTCCTAAAAACCTAAATAAATCTTAGTTCATTCTAACTATGATTTTATTAGTAGCCTAATTAAATTAATCCGGAAAAATAAAATAATTTAAAAAAGTTTAGATTCAGTTTGATTTTGTGTTTAATAAATTAATTTTGTTTTATCTTATCTAATCTTAGTCTAATAAAAAAGAACAGTCTAATTTATGAACTAAATTAATCTAATTATGGTGTATGTTTTTTAAACTTCTCACAGATATAGCTAAAGCTACAATATTATTTTTCATTAGACAAAGAGTTTTGATGCCAATCTCGGAATTGATTTTAGTTGATGAAATATTACGAGATTAGCCAATTCGTATCTCTTTCAATAATTTTTTTAAGAACTACTTATCGGATTTAAATCCAAATTAAAATGAAAAAAAAGAAACGTAATTTAAAGTTAAAAGCCAGATAAAAAAACAAGGCTAAGTTTAGTCTTTCTTTATTTGCTTTAAACGAAACCTACTTCAATTAAGGTTCATCATTGTGATTATTTCTTTCGATCATATTTACACTACACCCTTATTTGCTCTCCTTGCCATTTCTTGATTAAGTTGATCTTAACTTATAGATCCATTTGATTTTGTGGTGAGGGAAGAAAAACTTACTTTACCTTTATATAAATCGATTTTAATAGTATTGTTTTTTTAGTTACGTCAAAAGTTTGATTTTGTAGTAGAAAGATCAGACTATTAGCAATAATATTAATGACAAACACAATAGAAAAAAAGAACAAAGAAAAGGAATAGTTGATTTAGTGGAGTTTTGTTTGAAATCAAAGGAATCTTAATAATGTATTAGTTCTTCACTACCTAATGGAATTACTCAATAAAATGGCTGGTTGATTTTTCCCAATTTACAACTGAAATTTTATTCTCGTATAAATTATAAATTATTAATCATTTTGTTTTTGTGCTTAAATATTTATACGGTAGTAAAGTAATGTACAGTTGAATATTTATATATAATTATACTATGACCGTAGAAAAACCCTTTAATATTTTAAAACAATTTGAACTTGAATGGAGAAACATTCAAGATATGAAATCTTTAGGAAGCCGAAGACATCAGTTTTACCAGCCTGTATATCCATTCCTTGCGTGACGTTGATTGTTCAATTTTACAAACTCAAACTCTACGGGTATTTGCTTAATGTTTCATTAAATACTATGAATGTGTTTGAGAAAATTCTATTCATGTTCAGGTATTTTTGTGATTCTTGACAATAGATGTCTTGTTTAAGGAATAATGTTTGAACTTTCTCCACATTTCGGTATGATCTTTAACACTCACAATTGCAGTCTTCTGATTATTTTTCCGTAAAGTCATGAAATCAAGATGTTAAGATGCAATTTAAGGTTCACGTGAGCTCTCATCCATCCCATGTCTACATCTATTATACGTTTCAGTTGACAAATCTATCTCTAGGATACATATTGCTCGATCTGAAAATATTTATTTGTAAAAAATCTATTGTTCTTTGCATCAAAACTACTCTGAATGTAAGAAACTTATAACCAAAATAGACACGCTATATCGACAACAATTTTCGATTGACAAATTTTCCGATTAAGCTCATAAAGTACTTTTTTTTGTTTTCTTTAAGAATATGTCAGAGAGGATCGTACTTGCAAAACCTTTGTTACGCCAATTACATCAGCGTTAGATAAGTACCGATGGATTATGAATTGAGGTTTTAAAATACTGCGGTAGAGATGAAAGAAAAAATGTTAAAAATTAGGGCAAAAACTTACACACGTGACATGCACATTTTTTTAATTAAGCCGCAGTTAAACCAGATTGAGCTAGTGTGACACAATAAATAATTATCAAAAAAAGTGAAAAATTATCACCATCTTTACCTTAGCTTAACTAACCAAAACTAAGAACTAGTCTGCTACTTTTGCTTAAACTTGATTATTTCTAGTTACACAATCTACAATACTCATACAAAAATGTCAACAGAAAGTGCCCTTTCATACGCAAGTCTCATCTTAAGTGATGCAGAACTCCCAATCACTGCTGAACAATTATTAAAATTAACTCAAGCTGCCAATGTTGAAGTTGAAGGAATTTGGGCTGATTTATTTGCTAAAGCTTTAGAAGGTAAAGATTTAAAAGAATTTTTCTTTAACTTCTCATCAGCTCCAGCCGCTGCTGCTCCAGCTGCTGCTGCTAGTGGTGATGCTGCCGCTGGTGGTGAAGCTGCTGCTGAAGAAAAGAAAGAAGAAGAAGCTAAAGAAGAATCAGATGATGATATGGGATTCGGTTTATTCGATTAAACGAAACATACCACAATTCACAAATACATCAAAGTCATTCATTTTTTTTTTTGGATTTTATTTGGTTTATTAAGTTTCAATTCAAATGGATTAACAATATATGCTGTATAAGTATAACTGATTAATAAATATAATTAAATCTTAATTAAGTTAGGACTCTCAAGTCTTTTCATTCTTTGAACATCTCATATGTATTACTAGCCCCATGTTTGAGTTAATGAGGCATCTTCTCAAATTGTAGACGAACCCAATACTGAACGTACGGTCAAAGTTGTGCATCTCCGTTATGAGCTGACTTAACACAACCGATTAACAGAGCGATTTGTATTAAAGAGAAGTCTACATTTTCAAAATTTAAACCATTATTACTAAATGAATTTGTGTTACCCTTTATTTATCGAACTATAATTATATATAATGTAATAATAAAAAACCAGGGTGAAGGTTTTAGTTTTATTGTACAACCACATCCACCTGTCTCCTCATTGTTATTATATTCCCCAACTATTTGATTATTATGAAAGAAAAGACTAATTAGCTTATTTTTTAGCTTTTTCAGCTTCAGCTTCAGCTTTTTCTTTAGCTCTTTTTTCTCTAATACCTTTGTATCTTTTATCATTTCTAGCTAATCTTAAAGTTCTGTAAGCAGTTTGATCTGGAACTTCGACAGCTCTAGTTCCTTTTTCACCAGTTGATTGTTCAATTGGGAATGTAGCGGAAGTTGATAATTGTTCATATGAAACGGTTTCTGAAGCTTTAGTCTTTTTGTCAAAGATAACTAATTTTGATTTATATTCTTTTAATCTTAAAACATTGGCATCAAAAGTTTCTTGACTTCTGTTTTGTCTTCTGTGATCAACTGAAATACCAATAGTCCTGGCGTATTTTGGACTTAAACCAACAGCTTTAATTTCAGCTAAGGTGAAACCTCTACCTGATCTGACTTTTCTGTTGTATTTGATGGTTGGAGCTCTAACAGCTGGTCTTAAGGTATCAATAGGTTTTGGTGCAACTTTGGCAGCTTTTCTTAATCTTGATTGTCTTCTTGAAGCTTTTTTACCGGCTTGGTCAAAGTGTACTTTGACTCTTTCTTGCCAATGTTTTCTGAAATGATTATTCAATAATGGTAAGTTCTTTGAGATAGCCATTGTTGTTGAATTATTGAGACGGTTGGTTAAAGATCTGAATTGAACTTCTCTAAATTTTTTTCAACCTATTTACCAAATTAAAATTTTCTGTATAGTTTGAGTCTCGCGCATAGTTAACAGAAGCATTTGGTAGTGAAACACTAGTAAAGCCATTTAGCTACCAATTTACACTTGAGTTTAGAGTGACATTTTCAACAGGGTTACAGCCCTTGTTGAGTATGCTACCAAACCAAAGCTAGTTTTTATTGCACAAATATTAACTATCGCTACTTTAACTATGCACTCAGTAACGAAGCTACTAACAAAAAAAATTTCAAGTAGAAAATTGATTTTTGAAAAATAGAGTTAGTTCGATCAGCAATAACACAACACACAACATGTCAACTCAATCTGTTCAAGTATGTGTCATATAGATGATAAAGTGCATGCGTATTGATGACCGAGAGCAAGGGAAATATTGGAAAGTTAGACCTTCAAGAGGACTCAATGAAATAACAAATCTGTGTCTCGAATTAAGAAATGATTTATGATATTTTCAAGAGAAATATTTGGAATTACATGGACAACCTATTCACCGTATTAAACACTTCAAAAAATACCAGAAATTATCCGGGTTTATCAAAAACTAGGTTCAACGAATTCAGCATGTCATATTTCAAGAAATTGGAGTTTTATACTAACTATTTTGTTTTAGACTTTCGGTAAAAAGAAAACTGCCACTGCCGTTGCTCACGTCAAAAACGGTAAAGGTTTAATCAAAATCAATGGTTCACCAATCACTTTAGTTCAACCAGAAATTTTAAGATTCAAAGTATATGAACCATTAACATTAGTTGGATTAGATAAATTCCAAGGTATCGATATCAGAGTTAAAGTCACCGGTGGTGGTCACGTCTCACAAGTATATGCTATTAGACAAGCCATTGCTAAAGGTTTAGTAGCTTACCATCAAAAATTCGTTGACGAAGCTTCTAAAAATGAATTAAAAAAAATCTTTGCTTCATATGACAAAACTTTATTAGTTGCTGATTCAAGAAGAATGGAACCAAAAAAATTCGGTGGTCGTGGTGCCAGAGCAAGATTCCAAAAATCATATCGTTAATCTTATCTGTTTTATCATCATCTTCAACTACATTATTCCCACACAATACACATCATTATAATTGTACATTATCAAACACAACCAATGTGCTGTTGAGTTTATACAGTATATACTATTCAATAATACATAAAATAAAGTAAAATAAGTAAAAATGTTGGATATTTTTATAGAATAACTGTTCTTATTCGTGTATCTTTCTTCTGTTTCAAAACCCGTTGTATATGGTAGCTAACAATACATCAATATATCTATGGCGGATCAATTATTTTGTAAACAATTGAATTTTACAACCAAAATATAACATGCATTGATGTCAACATCAACAAATCAATGCCTTACAACACCAACGATAGATATTCATAATGAATTCAGATTTCCTTCAGATAGTGAAAATATAATCTTGTGTGACAATAATGTCAATTTATCAATTAAATCAAGAAGTGTAATAATATACAAAGGTCTACTAATAAACCGTCAATTAAATTTTGAAGAAGAAATAATCAAAGCATGTGTTACATATTTTATGATAAAAGATGAGCTAACACAAATAATAGCTATATGTTTTAAAAAATATATAAATTTTTATTATCCAGATGGAAAATTATATACTTTACATCTACCTTTCGATGTTATGCTTGTTGAGAAATATGATAGAGGATTAATATTACAAACTAAAAATGAATTATACTTAATTAATAAAAATTTAGATTTAAAATTTGTTGATAAAGATACTAATAGTGCATTTGCACATAATGAATATTTAACAACATTCAATCAAAGAGCTGGAATTTCATTATGTACTACATTTTTAAATGGATCAATTAATGTATATCAAATTAAAAATTCATCAAGAAGTTTAAAATTTAATTCAAAATCAGGTAATAAGAAAAAACAATATTTATCAACTCCATCTGGTAAAATTGAACCTAAATTAAGCTTTTTCATTCTGGAAAATAGAACAAGTACATTATTATCTGATGCAAGAATTTTAAATCCTGAACAACAACCACCTCAAAATTTGAAAAAAGATGTAATATTATCTAAAATTGAAACTCTTGAAAATAAATTAAATAAAAATCATATTAGAGTATTTAGTATAAATTTTGAAGATCAAGAAGGTATTGTAATTTTTAATAAATTAAAACAAGAGATATATGTTTATAAATATAATTCTTACTCAAAATTTCAATCGGAGTATAGATGCATTGCGTTAGATTGTATTCCTTTAAATTCAAATTTTGAAGGTATTTTAGTTGTGTTAGTAGAAAATGAGGTGATACTTGTTAATCCATTTCTACAAACTAAAACTCATTGTAATATTCCATTTCCAATCAGTCTGTTAATATGTTCAAATCATGACAAATTAGCAGTAAGATTAAATGATGAATCAACTATAATTATTAAAATCATCCTAGATCCAATTACGGATTTAGTCCTGTCTTGTTTAAAATGTTTTCAATATCTTTCTGGATCAACAATTAATCAAACTATTTGGTCACTTTGGAGATCTGTATATACAGAAGAAGGCGATGAATGGGAAGCATTCGTAATAGCTTTATTATCATTAATTTTCCCATTTCAAGATGAATTACAATGCACTCAAAATGAAATTACAAATTTATTACCAAATGCAAAATTATTAAGACAAACATCACATTTAAGTTATAATTTACAAGATCTTATACCATATATTGCTTTATCATTACATCTTTTAAGAGAAGAGTTTCGATTAGACATTACTAAAAAGCGATATTTAAATAACCTCGGAACTTTATTAAGTCAATTGTCAGCATGGATGGGTTGGCCTGATTCATGGATAAATTATTATTCAGTATCTATGCAATTAGATAGAACAGTTAGATTTTTACTGATACAAATCTTAAAATCACCTCCAAATTTATTTGAATCATTATCAAGTTTATTTACAGAAAATATTGTTCGATATTTATCTTTTTCACAATTGGTTGAAGAAAGTGACTCAGTAGATGCTATTGTAACTCCAATCACTCATAATGTTTTGAAATTATTTGAAGTATTAGTTTCTTCTCAATATGGTCCTTCCATTTTGGTTGATATGATGAGTGAATTAGGTATGACTTCATTAGAAAAATTTCCATTAGGAGTATCAATTCCATTAAAAGAAGTATTATCAGTATCTCAAGAAAATCCAGTTTTTGATTGGACTACAAACTCACTAAAACTTACAGGAAGAGAAGATTTGAGTAAATTATTATCAAATGATACATCTAAAGATGTAATACTTGAAAAACCAACCATTGAAAATATAGAGTCATTAACTCATAAAGTCTTATCTTCGGAATCAATTTCTTCATGGGATGATCAATCTGAGGCAAGAAGAATAAGTATAACTAAATTAATATTTGATTTAGATAGAAGATATTTTGAAATAACAACTTTATTACATCAAACTAAAACTCAAACAGCATTTTTGAAAACAGATGAAAGTATTACAGAATATGATTTAGTTTTATTACAAAGAAGTTTGGCTAATATTGTAGCATTAAGAACATTAACTATTCCTTTGGGAAGAGCAGCATTATATTATGGTGGAAGAAAACCATTACTTACTGAAAAATTCCCAATACCTAAATTTAATTTAAATACTTTAATATCACCAACAATGACAAACATAATACATTCTGAAGAAAGTATTTCAAAAGATTTATGTGAATGGGGTCATTTCCATAATGGTGTTTCTTCAGGTTTAAGTATTTCGAAAGATTCAAAGGGAATATCCGGTAGTTGGATAGTTTTCAATAAACCACCAGATTTAAATCCACAACATGCTGGTTTTTTATTTGGTTTAGGATTAAATGGTCATTTAAAAAAATTAGAAGAATGGCATATATATAATTATTTAGGACCAAAACATCCTTTAACAAGTGTTGGATTATTAATTGGAATGGCTGCAAGTTTAAGAGGTACAATGGATAATAAATTGACAAAAGTATTATCAGTTCATGCTGTTGCTTTATTACCACAAGGTGCAAATGATTTAAATGTTCCTATAATGGTTCAAACTGCTGGATTATTAGGAATTGGATTACTTTATTTAGAAACTCAACATAGAAGAATGAGTGAAATATTATTATCACAAATAACTGGTTTAGTTTATCAAAATGATACAGAACAAGTTCATGAAGGTTATAGATTATCTGCTGGAATAGCATTAGGATTAGTTAATTTAGGAAAGGGTGATGATTTAAAAGGATTAAATGATACTCATGTTGTTGATAAACTAATGAATATTGCTTTATCAATGAAAATTAATCAATCAGTTGTAGAAATAGGTAAATCATGTTGTGGAGCAATAATGGCTCTTTGTTTAATTTATTTAAAAACAGAAAATTCAAATGTTGCTGATAAATTAAGTATTCCAGAATCTGAACAATTATTAGATTATATTAGACCAGATTTATTATTTTTAAAATGTTTAGCAAAAAATGTTATAATGTGGAATCAAATTAAATCAACTAAAGATTGGGTTGAATCTCAAATTCCTGATTTTATAATTGAAGATTTTAATAATGCAAAAGGTTTTGAAAATTTAGATAGTGATCAATTAATATATTTTAATATCTTGGGAGGTGCTTGTTTATCAATTGCTTTAAAATATGCTTCAAGTCATAATTTACAAGCAAGGAATACTATATTATATTATCTTGATAAAATGATGAAATTAACTAATCAATTGGCTATAAATTATGATCAAAAATTAGCATATAATACTGCAATAAATGTACAAAACATGTTAGCATTATCTGTCTCTTTAATTATGGCAGCAAGTGGTGATTTACAAGTTTTCCAAAGGTTAAGAGTATTACATAATGATACTAATAAAGAAATGGGATTTGGTGGATATATGGCAATTAATACAGCGTTGGGGTTTTTATTTTTAGGAGGTGGACAAATGGCTTTTAATAATTCAAAATTTAGTATTGCATGTTTAATTATTAGTTTATATCCAATTTTCCCAAAAGAAAATAGTGAATATGAAATTCATTTACAAGCTTTAAGACATTTTTGGGCATTAGCTATAATGCCAAGATGTTTAATTGTAAAAGATTTTAAAACTAATGAACCATGTAAAATTCCAATTACAATAATAATGAAAAATGGTGAAAATTTAGAAAAAATATCACCATGTTTAGTACCTCCATTAAATGAAATATCCAAAATTATAACAAGATCAATTAATTATTTTGAAATTGTTATTAATTTTCAATTAAAATCAGAAATTTTAGATAATTTTATGAAAGATTTAACAATATATGTTTATAAAAAGCAAAATTATCAATTATTAAATACAAATATTAGATCAATATTACAAGATAAAACGAATCAATTTATAAATAAACAAAATGAGAGTAATTCAATAATAAATGATAATAAAATTATAAATCAAAGTTTAAGTCCTGATTTAATTAAAAAATGGCAATTTGAAATGAATGAAATTTCAAAAATATCATATAATGAATTATCAATTTTTAATATAATTGATAATAAATTAGAATTAATAAATTCTATAAAATCTAAAAATCAAAATTATTGTTATTTAATTGAAGATATTTGGAATTTAAAATTATTATTTGAATTTAGTAATCATTTAATTAAAGATGATTTACATTATATTGATATTGAATTTATTCAACAATTAAGATTAAAACTTTGGAATAAAATTAATGATATAAACCATTCAAATTAAGGATTTTCATATGAACTATGGAGTATGGAGAATGGAGATATTTTCACACTTTTGTGGATATCCGTCACACGACTTTTAATTTTAGTAACAAAATTAAAGTAATTAAATGGTTACGAGTCACTCGAAACGTTTATGTTTTAAAACACTCATACTCCTAATTGAATAACTTTTAGGGATTAGCTATTACTTTACGGTAAAAAGTATATTTCTTGGATTAAAAGGTAGTTTCAATTACAAATTTACATAGAATTAGTGTAAATGTCCATAAATTAAGCTGGAAAATCAGGTAATGAATAAGGAATGAGCTTCGAATTAAATGTGTTTTGTGAAATTATTAAGTAATAATCAATGAACTCATAAGAGCATAGTATAGATACTAGTAAACTGATATGTACTTAACTCTACTACACAAAATATAAACTTCACGTCTATTGTCTTTCTGAATGTTTTTTTATTTTTTAATTTTATTTTCAATTTTTTTAACGAGAATTTTATTTTTACTTAAAGCTGTAAAATTAACGTTCACATCTATTCATCTACTTTACCATTAATTCAACTTTCAATATCTTTAAATTCAGTTCTTACTTTTCAACAAGACTACGTTCTATAGCTCATATATTGTTCCATTATCATATCAGTCTCATATCATATACCAGTTTCATCATCAATCCATTATATCCATTTCTTTATTCTCTCCAAGTTATTGTTTACATTCTTTAAAATTCTAAAATTTTCATCCTTAATTTTTCAAAAAACTTCAATATTCCACAATGGCTTTCAGACCTCCATCTTTCAATTGGTCAAGATCTGTTGGACTGAAATGGCATTATCATAATCCAAAAACTACTACACAAAATATATATTTTCAAAACCAAAGAGATATTCTACAACCATTATCAAGTGCTTCTCATATGGCTCAATTAGTCCAACAACAGCAACAACAACCAGGACAACAACAACAAAAAAGATATTTCAGTAGTTATTATTATCAATTTCCTAAAATTCCAAGACCTAAAAGAAATGTCTTATATTATTCAACTTGGTCAAAAGGTAATTCAAATACTTTAAACTCATCATCGTATAAATCATATTATAAATTTACAAAATTACCATTCCCCAAAATATCTAAAAGATCTCTTTCCTCAGCAAATCAAAAATTAAAACTGAAAACTAAAAGATTACATACAAGATTTTTTTCAATTGAAGCAAGATCAAAAAGACAACAAAAAAGACGTTTTATAAGATGGTGGACTATAACTTCCTTAACTATTGTATTGGGAGGTGTAGCAGCTAAAATTAAATATGATAGAGATGAAATTAATGAAAATCCATATAAAATTAGACCTCAATCTTGGCAATTATATGCATATTCGACATTACCTTTAAAAACAATTTCAAGAATTTGGGGTTATGTAAATTCTATAAATTTACCTGTATTTATTAGATCACCATCATATAAATTATATTCTGCAATATTTGGTGTAAATTTAGATGAAATGGAAAATCCAGATTTAAAAAGTTATAATAATTTATCTGAATTTTTTTATAGAACTTTAAAACCTGGTGTAAGACCAATTTCAGAAGATGATATTGTAAGTCCTGCAGATGGGAAAGTTTTAAAATTTGGTTTAATAGAACAAGGAGAAATTGAACAAGTTAAAGGTATGACTTATTCAATTGATGCATTATTAGGTTTATCATCAACAAGAAATTTAGCTGCTCCAACTTTATCAACTGAATTTGATCATGAAGATGATGAAGAAAATAGAATTAAAAGAGATGAAGAATTTGCTAAAGTTAATGGAATTTCTTATACTGTTGATGATTTAGTTGGTGGAGAAAGTGATTCTACTTTTCATATGCATAAATTAACTTATAAAAATGATCATGATGGAACAGCAAAAGGTTCAAATGCTTCATTTTCAAAAGAATTAGAAGTTGCAGAAGCACTTGCTCCAAATCCATTAGAAATGCTTAGAAAAAAGAAATTATATTTTGCAGTTATATATTTAGCACCTGGTGATTATCATCATTTCCATTCACCAACGAATTGGGTAACAACTTTAAGACGTCATTTTATAGGAGAATTATTTTCAGTTGCTCCATTTTTTCAAAAGACTTTACAAGGTTTATTTGTATTAAATGAAAGAGTAGCCTTATTAGGATATTGGAAATATGGTTTTTTTTCAATGATTCCTGTTGGTGCAACAAATGTTGGATCAATAATTGTAAATTTTGATAAAGATTTGAAAACAAATTCAAGATTCGAACATGAAGTTTATAGTAGTACACCATCAAGTTCTTCAAACTCAATATCGGAAAGCACTCCGTTATTACAAAGGGATTATTCAGCTTCAGATATTTTAACAATAAATTCACAAGATGAAAAGATTCGTAAAAAGAAATTAAGAAAAAACACAGTCTATGAAGCTACTTATACTAATGCTAGTAGAATTTTAGGTGGTTATCCATTAACAAAAGGTCAAGATATTGGTGGATTTAAATTAGGTTCAACTGTTGTTTTAGTATTTGAAGCACCTGATAATTATAAATTTAATTTAGAAGTTGGTGAAAAAGTTAAAGTTGGTCAATCTTTAGGTTCTTTTGTTTGATAAATAAAGTAAAATATTAGATTATATATTTAAATTTACAATAGTCAGATTATTATTGTGTATTGAATTCTTACTCGTGTTGTAGATTAATGGTGTCTTAATTTTCAATATTTCTTTTTTTTTGGTGTAAATCAAAACAATTAACTTGAAATTTTAAATCAATAATTTATTGAGTTAACAAACAACAATCCAACACACACTTCACCCCTATTCTATTTCATCGTCACTCACTCATTTGTCATGTCATTTTTAAACACAATCAAAGGGCTAGGTAGAAGCTCCAAGAAAAACAAAAAGGATTTAGAACCTACAAATAGTTCATTATATTCACATTCAAATCTATCAGGTAATAACTTAAGAAGAACTCAATCACCAACCAAGAACTCAAGTCCAACTAAATATAATAATTCATCACCTATACGATCAAATCAAAATACTATAAATAGCAAAACACCACAAAATATACCCACAATAAGGTCGTCTCACACAACTCATCAAGGTTCACCAACAAAACGAAATAGAGGTTTAAATCATCATCAACAACAACATCGTTCACCTCAAAAAGTCAACACTAACAAAAATATACAAATTGAAACTCCATTATTTTTATGTGATCCATATGTTAAAACTGCATTAGTTAAAGGTTCATATAAAACTATAGTTCAATTACCAGCATTTGTAGATTTAAATGAATGGTTAGCATTAAATATATTTGAATTTTTTGGAAATTTAGATTCATTTTATAGTTTAATTTCAGAATTTGTTAAACCTGATTTATTTCCAACAATGAATGCAGGACCAACAACAAATTATTTATGGGTAGATGGATCAGGTCAAGCAATAAATTTACCAGCTTGTCAATATATTGATTATGTTATAACTTGGATATCAAATAAAATTAATGATCAAGAAAATTTTCCAACAAAAAATGGAGCAATTTTTCCTCAATTTTTTATAAAAGATATTAAAAATATTTCAAGACAAATGTTTAGAATTTTTGCTTTTATTTATTTTAATCAATTTGATAAAATTATTCATTTAAATCTTGAAGCTCATTTTAATTCATTTTTTGCTCATTTTATTTCTTTTATAAAAGAATTTAATTTATTGGATAAAAAGGAATTAGATCCTTTACAACCTTTAATTGATTCTTTTGAAGCTCAAGGTAAAATAAATTAAAAATTAAAGGAAAAAGGAAAGAATAGGTAGTATTTATGGACATTATGTATAGGTTGAACAGGTCAAGTTGGCATAAATTTAACGTGAAACTATGAGTTGTAACAGTAATTGGTCAAAGAACACATAGATCTCCATCAAGTTTCAAGAAAGTGGTGGAAAAGCTGAGCGATTTATCTTACACGCAAGGTAACGAAATTTAAGAAAGTCTATAAATTAAAATATATACATAGTAACTTTTATACATGTTAGTATGAAACGCCTAAGCAAAACCCAAAAATAACCTTAAACACCATTAAATAAAATCAAATAGAAAAAAAAAATACAAATTTCAACCAACCTTTATCAACTTTATACTTTTATGAGAAAAAATAATGTGAATCTTTAACTTTATTCACATCGAATTCACCTTTTGGTGGAACTTCTGGAAATTCTAAAGGAACCAAAACATCATAAGCATTAATTTTTGATGCAACTTTAATCAGATAAGGATCATAATTTTGAACTACACTCAATGTAGTTTCTAATTTTTTAGCAGCTTCAACTTCTTCTGGATTATTTGAATTTAACATTTCTAATCTTTTTCTTTCCATATATAATTCATCTGTTATTGTTATACCTCTTTTAATAGATGTTGCCCATTGTTTTTTAATAGCTTTAACTTTTGATGTTAATTCATGATCTAATGGAATATGTAATATTTGATAAGATCCTTTATATCTTTCAATAAATTCATCTCGTAATAATTGAACTAAATCTGTAGTATGTAAACGAACAAATTGATCTCTTAAAATTGAATTCATTTTATTAACGTTCGCTGCATGAGTCCAAAATGAATCATGAACAGATGCAAATGATAATCCTAATTTACCACACCCAGTTGCTGTCATCAACATATGAGTTGCATCTAAAGAATGGATGAAATTTGGTGGGAAACCAGCTTGTTGCTTTCTAGCATCAACAGTTGATGTTCCTGATGGATTTAAGATCAAAACATCTTGAACTAAAGTTTTAACCGAATGATGTTTGTTAAGACGATATGGTTGAACACAAGGTAATCCTAACGGAGTTGTCCAAATTACAGCTGAAGAATGTAATTCATGATCAGTATCTGCTGATTCGCCATAATCCAATGAAACAGATTTACTAATTCTTTTAGCTGCTTCTCCCAACCAATCTTGAATTAAATGAGCATTTTCAAAAAGTTCCCTAATAGAAGCAAATACTTGTACTGTCAAATATTTAACAAATTTATGAGGTTCTTGATCTTCACCAAAATGTTGAATGACTTGCTTTTTTATCTGTGCTAAAGCACCAACAAAAGTAACTCCATAAACATTAGTCATAACAGTTTGTTTAACAACTTTTCTTTTAATTTTATCTTGTAAAAAAATTGCAATCTCATTACCGTTTTCAGCATCTACTTTGACTCTATTTTCCACCAATTTAGCAACATATGTATATACATCTTGTGGTCTATCAGCAGGGTTCAAATTGACTTGTTTTGCACCTTCAATATCACCACCTAATGCAGCATAATGTTGAAGACCATTACAAGTTCCATCTTGATGAACAGGTAAATGAGAAACAAATTTAGTAGGATCAGGTAATTTATAAGCTTCAGCTAATTCAAAACAAACACTCAATGCTTGCCATGGTTTCTCAGCTTTTGTCCACCAATTATTCTTTAAAGGATTTTCAGCAGATTTCAAAATATTTTCTAAATTCTCAGTTGAGAATTGAATTCTTTCAGATAATGGAGCTTTATCAACACCATAAACATTTGCTAATTGTATTTTCAACCAATCTAACCCAGACTCGCCTAATTCTTGACCTTCCCAAAACAAAAATAAAGCTCTAGTTAAATCACCACCTAAATGATTTAAATGTGGTGATATAGGATATGCTCTTCCTCTGAAATCCAAATTATGTGGAAAATATAATTTCTCACCAATGAAACCTCTTGCAATTTCTAATTTATAATTATAATCACATCTTTGAGATCTTGATGCTGCAAAATCCCTAGCTGCATTATACATAGCTCTATTGTGTTCGTATCTTTCTTTTGGATCGGCATCTGGCTTTAATTTTTCGGGAAAATTAGCTGATTCTAATACTGGTGGTATAGTTAAAAATTCTTCACCTGTATTCCAATATTGTGAAATAACATCAAATACTTTTTTGTTTATAGTCCAAGCTGTTGTACCTAACACATTTAATCCTTCAAATACTTCATCAAGATTATCTCTTTTAGCTGCAGCTTTAACGTATGCTTCAGTTTCAGGAGCATCTCTCATTCTGACTAATGGGTTTCTAGAATAAAGACCACCACCACCATAAAAAGAACTCCATGGTTTTGGTTTCACTAACATAGGTAAAGACTGTGGCTGAATAGATTCAGTGAATGAAGTTCCTGTAAGATTTTTGGCTATTTCATTATGAATTTTTATAACCCCTATACGTTGACCACCAATAAATTGCATTCCATGGAAAAAAGCTGGATGATAATCTTCTATTTGAGTACCATTGTTGTACTTTCTGACTTTAACTCTAGCAACTGCCATCATGAAAGATACTAAAATGCCTCCAACTCTTGATCTTGTTCCATTATCCCAGTCTGCTCCGGTTTCATCCATACTATCAATACTTTTTCTTATGATTTTTTTCATTTGTTGAGAAACCGCCAATTTTTTATTTGCAGACAATTTAGGTTCTTGCTGTGCCATACATGAAGTTCTATACTCCAATTCAATTGCTCTCCCAACTGATCCAATTGCTTTAGCTGCTCTCATACCTCCAACAACACCTCCACTTGCATTTAATTTCAATAATTCCAAAATTGTAACAACTGCTGCTTTTTCAGCATCTACTTTTATCAAAAAAGGTGCATAAAAAGCTCTATCCTTTGCTGTTGCAGAATCCCTTTGATCTACTGATTTATCTCCTTTAAGTAAAGCTTTACATAATTCATGTTCTTTTTCAATTAATGGGATTAATTTTTTATACCATTCATAACATTGAGCATTCAAACTCTTGCTTAAGTTTAAATCACCTCGTTTTTGTGCTTCTTCAAAATCATGTTTCCATTTTTCTTTAGCTCCTTCAATTCCTCTTATTTCAATTTGTCTTTGCCTGTCGGTATTGAAGACTTCAAGTACTTCAGTAAATTGTTGTTTTTGTTCATCTGTTTTCAATCTTTTATAAATTTCAAAATAGTTCAATTTTCCAGATTTAATTTCATTTTTTACTTCATCATCTAGATCCTCCACTATTTCTTCAACATCCGCCGCGAATTGTAAAGCTGCTCCAGAATCTGGTTTCAAACCTAGAAGTGAATGTCTGACAACTTTCAAGCCAAAAGAATCTACGGGCAATAATTCATCCAAGTTTTGTTTGTCCAATGGGTTGATATTTACGTTTTGTTGTAATTTAATCGTATCTTCAACAACTTCCCCACCTTGTTGATCTAACTTATAATTTTTGTAGACTTCTGTTAACTCTTGTGGTATACATGTTTGATCAATGAATTTTGAATCAAATATTTTAAACATATTGTCTGCTCCTATTACATCTGTGTTTTGTAGTATTTTTTTAATTGTCCTTTTATCATCCATGAATTCAAAATATTCATTTATATTTCCACCATTTTGTAGTAGAGTTTTTAAAATTATTGCCTCCGTTCTTTCATTTGATTTGAAATTACAAAATTCTTCCATTTGTAATATAACTTTACTTAATTCATTTGATTTCATATTAGAGTCTCTTACTAAAATTTCTAATGATTTATTACCTATCTGAGTTAATTCTTCATGATTCACTAATTTTGATAATGACTTTAGTATTTGAAAAGTTCTTTCGAAATAACTTTCAGCCGAAAATGTTTCCAACATGTTTTTTAGATAATTGATTTCTCTCTCATATGGTCTTCTTGATACATCATCGTTTTTAGATGAATAATATTTCGTTATCTTATCATCATCTGACATTTCATACTTCTCCGGTCGAAGATCTAAATAAGATGAGTTCGTAATTTTATTATTATTTGATTTAACATTTCCTTTTGTAATAGGAAAATCTTTTAAAGGCTCTAGTATTCTATTCGTAAATGGTAGGGATGCTATTGTAGATGACGTGGGTGTAGATGCCGTAGTTATATGATTTCTTATACATTTATTGCATCTTTGTTGCAAAACATTTCTTAATACCGATTTCTTTATCAGTATCATTGTTTTATAAAATATTTACAAGATAAAAATGATAGTGGTTTTTCAATATTGACTATTATGTACAAGTAAATGAGTGACTATGAGTTGTAAATTATGATATATCTATCTTTTCAAAAGTTTTTGGTTCTAAAGAGATAGACTAAGATAAAACTGAAATTTTTTTTTTAAAGGTTTCTTTTTTCTATTAGAAGAGTTGATGCATAAACGTTAAAACGATAAAACATCAAATACTTACTACGACAGATATGTTTAATTGAAGAATTTATTATTATAACTATCTGTATACTGTATATATACTCTGACAAAAGATCCATGCTAAATTACAAGTTAAAGTATCATTAAAAAAGGAAGAACTGAAGGCGTTTAATTATTGTGTAATATCAACATCATAATCCCATTTCTGCCTGTAATGCTTTTAGAGCTTCTTCATCTTCATCATCTTGTGATATTGGTTGATTTTTATTTACAGTTGGGAACGAAGGTAATTCTTCTTGAGATTCTTTGTAAGTTGATTGTCTTTGAGGTTGTTTGACTTGTTGTTTTTGTTGTTCTTTATTTTCATTTTCTAATTCTGCTAATTCTTCGTCTAATTCATCTTCATCTATAAATTCATTACCTACTGGTCTTGATATGGCTTCAGATATTTCATCTGCTAATTCAACTTGTTCTCTAATTTCATCCATTGTATCTTCAACTTTATCAACATCATATTCTCCATGGATTTGTTTCATTGCAGTAGCTCCTTGTTTCATAGCTTTCATGGTTTCTAAATTCAAATTAGCACCTTCTATTGAAACTAATTGAGTTTCTAAAGTTTCTATTTGATTTTCAACTTTCATTAAATTTGCTTCATAACCTTTCTTTCTTTTCAATGCATTTTTAGCTAAATTAGTTTGTTTTGATGCGACATATTTTCTAGCTACTTGGTCTTGATCATCCATTTGTTGTTGTAAATGATTTTTCTTTTTATTTAATGTCGATATATGTTCACGTAGTTCAACTATAGCCTTCTTGGGCAAGTCTTTCTTCTGCTGAGAGTTCCCTCCAAAAAAGTAACCCCACATTCTGTATTTATTATGATTTGTATGAATTGTATTGCTATATTAAACTGTAATCGAGTATTGGTCTATGAAGTGGCTCCTGATGCTCTGAATGATATTGAGGCGTAAATGCTATTAAAAATCAGTCAAGTGAGGATTGATGGTAGACAATGATCTTGCTTAAACTTTGATTTCAAAGTTGATTAAGTTGATGATAAACTTCTTTATTATTATTATCTTTTCGTTTCTTTATCACCATTGAGATAAAACAAATTTAGTTTAAGTACACTACTACTTACTAAAGTATGCAAAACTGTGTATTATCAAAAAATCTAACTAACTAATACCCATAAAAAGAAGAAAACTATCAATACTCCGAATATTTTTAAAAATAACCATCTATTACTTGTGATATGAGCATAATATTTCAATAGTTCTCTTTGAGCACCACTTATATTTATATTAATATCTTCTACATTTGCATCAATTCTTTGAATTTGTTCACCCTGTTCACTAACCATAGTTGCTAATTGTTGAAACAAATTCCCTACTTCATTTATAGTACTCTCTATGCTTTCTACTGCTCTATTTCTCAGTTGTAAATATTGTTGTCCACTATTCTGTTCCTCCATCAATAACATTTGTTGCTGTTGTTGATTCGGTAATGATAGATATTGATCATTATCATAAGGTGAATATATTTCTGGATCTGCTTCGGGATTTCTCGTTGATTTGAATTGTTGTTGTGGTTGTTGTTGAACTAGAAAAGGATTTTCATTTAAATTACTTAGTGATTTATCTGTACCATTTGAATTATGTTCAACATTTAATGGAGACGCACTATTTAATGTTCTATTATTTGAAACGGATGATAGGAAATTATCTTGTCTATTTTTATTCATTATTTCATTCTTTTGCCTAACTTCCAAAACATTTTTAAATTCTCCAGATATATTCTTCATTTTAGAATTAAGTAATGTTAAAACATTTTTACTAAATTGAGTAGTTTGAGAGTCTATAGTTATTGACAGTTCTCCCTTAATATATTTTTGTAAATTTTGTATATTTGTTTCAATTTTGAAAATGTCTTGTTTTATTACATATGTCAATTCTCCAATTTCAATTGGTTTATCATCAAATAACGGTTTCCTTTTAGCTAAAATGGCCAATTTCCCCAAGAGCTCAGTTACATTTGATATATCTTTCGCTATAATACTTGCTTGTTGACTGAATTGTGATTTTTTTGGTGGTTGTGCTGGTGGCTGAATTCTTGTTTTATTTTGTTTCCTATTGATTTTTTCATAATTATTTACACATTGTTGAAACTCTATAGTTCTATTCTGTATTGATGTAGACATGCCAAGGAGATTAATACTCGAATGCGAAAAATGTTGTAATTGATGAAGTTAGTAGTTTGAATATTGATAAATTGTGAGCTATATCTTAGATTTCGAACAACAAAATATTATAGACTAGTGATACGTGAAAAAATCATTATGTGCAGTATTTTTGTGCCTGAGAAATATTAATCAACTATTAAGTAGTTGAAACGAACAATTAGAGATGCAAGTTACGAGAATAATTAGACAAGTTCTTGAATACTATAATCGCCAGTGAAGACTCCAGTAAAGGCTCAAATAGAAGACACAGTTTGGTTAGCTCAAAATTATTTTCAAAGTTATGGAACGCAAAAATTTGTTGTTATGAAAGCTCAGAGTTAACTATGAAGCAAATAAAACCGTTGTACTGACGTTGATTTAAGGCAAACAAAGGTGATCTTTTCATGAATTTAATTCAAATTACTCTTGTGAATCACATTCAAAGATTAATCAACTAGCAAAGTGTTCTGTACAAGACGAAAGATGCCGTCTAGCTGTGAGTTAAATTCCTGCCTTTCATTCTCCTTGACTATGAAATGTTAAATAGCAAATTATTTACTCTAAAACAAAATAATTAAACCACTAAATGCTTTTAGAAATGTTTTGAATGTTTAGACAAATGATACTACGTTTAACGTCTGAAGTAGACGCACCTAAAAAGCAGACTTTATTTCTTTATCTTTATTCTCACTTGAAGAAGTATTTATATCACACTTATTGTGATTTTGATTCATAAAACAATTCTCAAAAGATTAGTCATCATTGGGTTGATTTGGAAATGTATTTTCCTTTCATTCTTGCTGTGGTTGTTGCTAAAATAGTTTCTAGATGTCTTTGATGAATTGTTTCTCGAAGTTGAGTTGAAATTCGATCTTTATCTTTCTCTTGTGGATTTTATTTTACATCTTCAATTTGTTCCAAAGTGGTAGATATGCCAACATGTAAACAATATTTTGAATTAACAAATTGTTTAATGTGATCAACATCATCATTCGTTACCTTTTACCAAGTAATCCAACACAATTTTCATACACTTTATTTTAAAAACATTCAGTGCTGAATGATTTTGCTTTATGGTAGTCAATTTTCTTAAAATCAACAGTGATTAATAACCCGTATTATATTTTTCGATAAAAGCTTCAATGAATTGTTTCATAAGTTTCTTATTACTTTTTGAACCACATTCATCGAATACTTCATCGTTTCATCTTTGAAAAAATTATTGGTGACATTTCTGCGTTATCTGTTACGAAACGACAGTCTCTTAGTTACCTCACCCCCAAAATTTACCAATTTTTGATCAATTGAATGAAAATAAACAACGATCTCGTAATTGCAACATGAGACATGAAAATATCAAAACCCTTTCCTTAATTAGATCCATCAATAGATGATATCCGATTTAGTCAGTACCATAACCGAAACATTGAAAGACTTCATTATTTACAAACCAAATGAAGTTCGTATTGTACTAAAAGTTCATTGTTGAGTCGACACGTGCCCTAGCTTCTACGGAATTATTCGTTCCAAATTTAATCAAATTTATTTATCTAAAACACAAAATCAAATTACGATCTTAATTAAAATTATTCGACTAAAACAACAATAATATACTTTCATCTATACAATAAGATGCATCGTGGGTTTTTACAAGTATGCCTCCCCCTTTTTTCAACAAAGGTTTGGAGCATAATGTAATAAAGCCGATGAAAAGTTTGAAAAATTTTATCAAAAATGAAATTCCGATCTCAAATTTATAAATAAAGTTGAGTATCCATTTGTTCAAATGTTTCAAATATTTCATAAAGTTCAATCAACAAATACTCCATTTTAAAGAGTTCATTCAGCAGATATTCTGAGAAGTTCAGTCAACAACGTCAAATCATAAGAATGCAACTTTCAATTCTGTCATTTTCATTGCTAGTGTTTTTTGCAGCTAACATTTTTGCTCATTATGTTCCTGGTTTTGATTCATTAAGAGTTCAAGCATCAATTGCTAAAAGAGCTAACAACTTAATGGATCCAGCTTATACTTATTTACCAGACAAAGAGCTTGATTTTATCAATGCTCATTTGAAAAAATTGACAAATTTCAATGGTACCAAATGTGATCAATGTAAGAACAAAATAAGATATGGAAAGTCTTTAATTGAACAATATCCAGATCAACAACATTTAGTTAGTTTATTACTTTTCAAATATTGTATTGTTCAAAATAATGGTACTGAAAGTAAATGTGATAATAATGATTTTTTTGTGACTACTCAAAATAAAGGTACTAGTAGATTCAACAATACTTATGATTCAGGTTATGGTTCAGAAACTAGTGTCAACTTTTATGATAATGATTTCTTACACATGTTGAGAAATTTTAATACATCAAGTGAATTAGATTTAGAATATTATTGTTTTTTCAAAGGAAGTTCAGCATGTAAATTACCAAAGACTAAAGATGTTGATGAGTTCTATGGTGTTCAAAGTTGGTTCCCTCCAAAGCAACCTCAACATTATTTCCCTCCAGTTTATAAAAATAATTCTGAAAAATTTAATGTTTTACATATTACTGATTTTCACATTCAACCTCAATATGCATTAGGAACTGAAACAAACTGTTCACAGAACATTTGTGGGTTTAAAGATTCGTTCAATAAAGATTTACCAGGTAAGGATTATAATTTCACTTCTTATTATAAAAAATTCAATCCAAATATATCATCAATCGAATTATCATTTTATCCAGATGCAAGATATGAAAATTCAACATATATTAAAGGAGAGTATTATGATTATCCAAAATATAGAGGTTGGAATTTTGTTAATGCTCCCGCTACCAATTTTGGTGCTTATTTGTCGGATTCACCCGAATTATTGATGAATAGTTCTTTAATTGCAGTTGCAAAAATGCATAAAGAAAAGGACTTTGAGCTTGTAGTTTTCAATGGTGATATAATTGATCATTCTGTGATCACGTGCACACCAGAACGAACCAAACATGATGAAATTCGAGGATTTACCTTGATGAAACATTATTGGGATAATATACCTGTATTGCCAAGTTTAGGAAAGTATGTATTTTTTTTTACTGACTTATGCGCGCTGTCGTGTTTTTACCAATTTTGAGAGAAAAAATAATTGCTACCACATGAAAAATAAAATGATAAATATTTTGCAAAATATTAACTTTTTGCAACATCAAACAACATAATTTCAAACAGCAATAAGTCTAGAGAAGCAACAATGTACTAACACCCTCGTATCCATGAAAGTTTCCCTTATGGTCAATTACCACCTCTCCATCTTGGCAATGAGCTGATGGAGCAATTTCAATACAATATTGATGAAATGGCAAATCTTTGGATCAATAATGAATGGTTTGAAGAAAAAGATAGAAATGATTTAAAAAGACATTATGCGGGATTTTCATATGTTACTAATAGAGGACTTAAAGTTATTGGATTGAATTCAAATAGGTATGTTTAGTATAACAGGGTCGTTGTTGGCCCTTTTGTTTTATATTGTGATTTTTACTAACCACTCTAGTTATTATCAAAAAAATTTATATTCATACGTTAATTTAGAAGCTAACCCTGATCAATTTGGAACTTGGAAGTTTCTTATTGATGAATTGGTTGAATCAGAGCAAAAGGGGCAAAGAGTTTGGATTCAAGCACATATTCCAGTCACTGATTTCGATGCTTTACCTTTACAAAGTAGAATTTTTGGTAAAATCATCGAAAGATTCTCACCTTATACAGTAGCCAACATATTTTATGGTATGTAATTTTGGAAGATAGCTTTGGTTTGTCAGAATTTATTATCGACTCAATATCGTTTTTTTGAATTTTTACACAACCAAACTTGTATCTATCATTGTTTCTTTCATTTATACTAACAGCTTTGTAGGCCATACTCATCAGGACGAATACCATGTACTTTTATCCGGTAATGCTACAACTGAAACTGCCGAGGAAAAGGATTTAGTCAACTTAGCATGGGTTCTTCAATCTATAACCCCATTAACCAATTATAATCCATCTTGGAGATATTATGAAGTTGAAAATGAAAGTTTCAATATAATAAATTCTTATAATTATTATGCATTATTGAATGAGACATTTGTCAATGGTGGAGATGAACCAAATTGGAAATTTGAATATTCAGCTAGAGACTTGTATGATCCAGATCATAAATGGCCATTAGATGCTCCATTAAATGCTACTTTCTGGCAAAATAACGTTATTAAAAAATTAGCCAATGAATCAGATATTGAATTCAGTCAATTATTTGCTGAAAAACAATTTAGATATGGACCAGGTACTCCAAAATGTGCTAATGGAACTGTTATTTCAGATAAGTGTTACAATGAGATCCTTTGTGTCATGACTAATTTTTATTCTGATGATTATCAAGCATGTCTTAGAGATTAGAAAAGGGAGATAGAAATGGGAGTTAAGGGAGATAGAAAAGGAAGGAGTTTTTGGGTGGTTGTTCGATTTATTTGCAAAAGTAAAATTACATTTATAAATTTCTTCATTCGTGTGCATTCATTATTTCGTACTAATTTAGTTTTCGTTTTATTAAATAGATTTTAATTCATATTTTTTGTCTTTCTTTTCACATTAGTTTAGACAAATAAAATTTATCCTAAGAGTTTTGACCGGCCGTGCAAAATTGTATTTTCGAAAACTATTTCTGAGTCGAATGAAAGCTTAACGATCTTGTAAGTAATTCAAAATCCAAATTCGTTATCATTTTTTGATTTTAATTTGTCCCAATTAGGTAACTTAATAAACACGTATAACAAATTCGGTCAAACAAATAAAAACAAAACATGTGATTTAGAAGGACTACCGCTTACTATGTTTTGTACTGTATCACATGACTTACAACTTAATTACGACCATAAAATATGGTAGCATCAATAAATCAAAATGTAAACAAAAAAAAATAAAAAATAAATTAAAAAATTTGATACACGAAACAAATATCAAAATTTTGATATACATAATTGTTTCAGAATAAGTAATCACTTATCATTAAAATATAAGACTGCTTTAGAACTATTTATAAAGTTTTAATACCATCATATATCTAGACACATATTGATAACTAAATTATGAGAGAAATTGTATGTATTCAGAGTGAATTAATGAAATCAAAACAAAAGAGTTATTTCTCAACACGTCGTTAATTGAGAGATTATATTGAAGATTATACAAATAACAATTATACTAACATAAGTTATAGATTCATTTATCAACAGGTCAATGTGGTAATCAAATAGTATGTACAATAGAATAGATCAATTTATATTCAAAATTCAATTATACTAACAAAACAAAGGGTGCTGCTTTTTGGGAAACTATTTGTGGTGAACATGGATTAGATAATAGTGGACAATATATTGGAAATAATGAATTACAAAAATCAAAACTAGACGTTTATTTTAATGAAGCAAGTTCTGGAAAATATGTTCCTCGTGCTGTTTTAGTTGATTTAGAACCTGGTACTATAGATAATGTTAAAACTTCAAATATTGGTAATTTATTTAGACCAGATAATTATATATTTGGACAAAGCTCAGCTGGCAACGTATGGGCTAAAGGTCATTATACAGAAGGTGCTGAATTAGTTGATTCAGTTTTAGATGTTGTTAGAAGAGAAGCAGAAGGTTGTGATTCTTTACAAGGTTTTCAAATCACTCATTCATTAGGTGGAGGTACTGGTTCAGGTATGGGTACTTTATTAATATCAAAAATTAGAGAAGAATTTCCAGATAGAATGATGGCTACTTTTTCTGTTGTTCCATCACCAAAAGTTTCAGATACAGTTATTGAACCTTATAATGCAACTTTATCAGTTCATCAATTAGTTGAAAATTCAGATGAAACTTTTTGTATTGATAATGAAGCTTTATATAATATTTGTCAAAAAACTTTAAAATTACCACAACCATCATATGTTGAATTAAATAATTTAGTTTCATCAGTTATGTCAGGTGTTACAACATCTTTACGTTATCCAGGACAATTAAATTCAGATTTAAGAAAATTAGCAGTAAATTTAGTTCCATTTCCAAGATTACATTTCTTTATGGTTGGTTATGCACCATTAACTTCAATTGGTTCAAAATCATTTAGATCAGTTACAGTTCCAGAATTAACTCAACAAATGTTTGATTCTAAAAATATGATGGCTGCTTCAGATCCAAGAAATGGTCGTTATTTAACAGTTGCAGCATTTTTTAGAGGTAAAGTTTCAGTTAAAGAAGTTGATGATGAAATGCATAAAATTCAAAGTAGAAATTCATCATATTTTGTAGAATGGATTCCAAATAATGTTCAAACTGCTGTTTGTTCAGTACCACCAAAAGATTTAGATATGTCTGCTACATTTATTGGTAATTCTACTTCTATTCAAGAATTATTTAAAAGAGTTGGTGATCAATTTAGTGCTATGTTTAGAAGAAAAGCTTTCTTACATTGGTATACTTCTGAAGGTATGGATGAAATGGAATTTACTGAAGCAGAATCAAATATGAATGATTTGGTAAGTGAATATCAACAATATCAAGAAGCTGGTGTTGATGAAGAAGAATTAGAATATGGTGATGAAATGCCAATTGAGGAAGCTATTATGGAATAGATACATTTAAGCTATCATTTTGGTCATCATGTTGTTCATTTCTCTTTTATCTTTAGTTCTTTGGTTGTTTTGCAAATAAATAATAGTAGCTATTAAATTTTTAAAATTAAGTTTTAATATACCCTCTACATACATAAATAATGCTAAATATAAGTGCCATTTTTTAGTAAAACTTTCACCTGTGAATTGACAAAAGTTAAGAGCCATGAAACTTTTGAAATAAATTGTATAATTTTACAACAATTTCTTCTTTTCAAAACAAAAGTTTATTAAATAAATCGTTTATTAAATAATCTACTTACTTCGTACCAAGCTAGCGTTGGTGTTTGACTGGCCATTCGCAAATTTCCAATAATTTTTCATCCTATTTGAAACAACACATTGTTGGATTTAAGGATTATGTTAAATTGAATGGTTTTTGTTCAAATGGATGTCATCAACAATTTTAGTATGTCTTCAATAAGTACATCAAATTTTAGAGCCATGAACCTCTTAAAATAAACTGTTTGATTTTGAAGTTCTTCTTTTCAAAGCACGCCAAAAATCTATCAAATAAATCGTTTATTAAGTAATCTACTTACAATGTACCAAGATAGCATTCGTGTTTGACTGGCCATTCTTAAATTTCCAATTCTCTTTGGAACGACACATCGCGCACTACACGTAACTAATGGACCGAAAGACTAGTGTTTGTATGGAAATTATCAACTCTTTCTATACTAATTTCAATAACACTCACATTTTGAATTAAAAAAACCAAATTAATTTCCTCTTAAAAAGTTTTTAACAAAATCATTTTTATCATACGTATTATAAGCATCTTGTTCTTGAAAATATTTTAAAGTATGACATTGTTGTTTCCAAAAATTTATTAATTCTTGAAATTCCATTTGACCTTTCATATATAATACATTACTTACATTTAAATCTGTTACAAATCTTTGTCTTTCAAATTCTTGTCTTATTTTTGTTTTTATTGATGATACAGGCATATCTAATTCATATAAATCTGCAAATTCATGAGAATTCCTTATAAATCTTCTATATAAATGTAATACTCTTGTTTTTAATTCTGCTTTTGTTGCTGAATGACGAGTTGTTTCTGCAAATTGTGTAGCTAATGTCATTTCGATGAGTTTGAAATATGTAAAATGAGGTTTGATATGTGATTTGAGTCAAACTTCTACAAGTTCCTGACGTAATGGATGGTTTACTAGTTGGTGATCAATTGATACTTTTTTAAAGATTATTTTCAGAAACATTTAACTGGTTAAATTTTGTATACAGGATTTTTACCGAAATATATAGAGAGAAATAAAATTCAAAATCATACAAACTTTTATTTATTCTCCTTCAAAAACTGATTTGATTTCATTTAGAAATTGACCTGAAGGTTCTAAAACTTTAATAAATCTACATAATTCAAAACACCAATCAAATTTTCCTGATTTATCCAACATTTTTATGATTTGTAGAATAATTTGTTTATCAAATCTTGTTAATTCATGATTTGTATCATCAGATATTAATTCACTATCACCTTCTCTTTTATAGTTGAGATACACAATAAGATAATTATAACATAATTCAACATTATCTAACTTTATAAGTCTATTCATAAATTTTTCTGGTGTCATATTTAATACATCAAAAAACCTACTCCAATATGCTACTTCAATTTTTCTTAAACAGTTAATGTATATAAATTCTGAGTTTTCGGAAAATTCTATCAATTGGCATAATCTTTTCAATGTCAATGATGGTTCTTCATCAGTTAACAATTTGAATAAAAGTAACTCCAAACAAAATTCAAAATTATCAAATGATTTATACCTATTATATGTACTTTCTAAATCACCTTTATGAGTCAAATCAAATTCAATGAAATTATTAAGTATTAATTTATGAGAGACTTTATTTTTGATAATAAACATATGACGATTTATAGTAACATTTTCAAATCCAATTAAATTAATAGTTTTCCGATCAGCCTCAATTTCAAATGGTATCATTTCTTCTGTATCAATAATTATTGGAATCAATTTTGAATCTTCCGATTCGAGTAAATCATCATCTTGAATATGAGATAATTTTTTATTATAAGCTTTGTCTAATAATTCATGAATATCATATATTAATACTTGTTTACCATTAAACAAATAAATGAAATTTATGATTTTTTGAAAATTGATTGTTTTGAACTTAAAATATTCTATCGAAGAATCCAATTTAATTAAATCATAAAAATTACTTGGTTTGATAGCATCAATTGGTTTATTTGAAAAAGATGCAGATCGACTCAGATTTTTCAATAAATATAAATCCCCGGAATGTAATAAGAAAAGAAAATGTTTTTTGTCTATCATACTACTTTGTTTGACTTCTTTGAAGTTTATTTTATGTTGTAACGACGCCAAATGAACAGTTTTACTTATTGATATGAATACTTTGTAATGTTTTGTTTCTGAGTCAAGATGAACTGTTTTATCAATCAGTAGGTCTAAGATAACAATTTTGTAATCGCTAGTTAAGATTATCACATGGGACATATCTTTTTCCTCAATCAATTGAACGTTTATAAAAGTACTTTTAAAATCGTATTTCCATAACAATGAATCGCTTGTAAAAGCAGATTCTTCACCACTCATTGCATATTTAGTTTTTGATGTATCAAATACGATAAATTCGTCAATTAGTTTCTCATCTTGATTATCTTCTTCAAATGAATGCCTTACTTTTCGATTAATTACAATTAAAAAATGATGAAACCAGAATTGGTTTACAATATTTAGCTGTTCTGTAAAATGATTTTTGAGATTCAACCATAATACATGATTGGCCAATCCACCACTCATGATCGGAGTAGATACAGCTAAGTGCCAACCATAAGACATAGCTATTTGGTTAATTTTACTAATTGATATTGCGAATTTCTCGGTTTGAGATAAATCATCGATTGTGTTATCATTATCATGAAACAAAAGCAATTTTTTAAATTTTGGAAGTAATGGAAATCTTAAAAAAGTTCGATAATCCTCAACTATGTTTAAATATTCTTTGTCGTAGACAAATTCATTTAGTATACATGATAAGGGAACATAGTAAATTTTATTTGACTTCAATCCCAACATGTACAATGCTAATGAATTCTTGGATATTACAATTGACCTAGTAGATAAAAAGTCTTTGTTTAAACCATTTGACTCATTTATCTCATTCAAAACATTTTTCGTATCGAATAATACCTTTCCAAACTTTGAAACAATCTTCCAATCACCTGATTCATTTATCAAAGTAAAAAAATTCCCACAACTTGACCATTTAAGTTTTCCTGATCCTAGATCATATGTCTTGATTTTTACTAGATGATCATGAAGATGGTATAAATGTAAGGATTCGTTTTCCTCAACTGAAAATAGATTTGATTTGGGATTGAAGCTAGCTTTTAGGAAGTTACCGGTGCCAACTTTGACAGCTTTGAGTTTCAAATCCTCGTCCTCTTCATCAATTGTTACTTTTAAAATTGTATCATTTTCATCTACAACCAAAAAATAGTTGAAATACTGGTTGAAGAATATCTTTTTCACTTTTTCTTCATGAATAGCATTAAAATTTAATAATTTACTCTCAAAATTATTTAATTTTACTATTTGAAGGACATCAGATTCAATTGACTCATCAATATAATTGAATACTAGTAGATTGTGTGAATTTGGTTCAAGCCAAAAAAGTTGGTTTCCCGTACCAATTTTCAATATCTTGTATACAGATAATTTTATAGATTCAATATCATATCCACCAAGTTCATCATCTATTATATTATTTTTAGTGCTTTCAATATTTTCCAAATTCGGACTAATTTCTTCAACTCCATGTAGGAGCGTTTTAGTTGCAGATTGTATGAAATTTGTTATTGAAAACTTTTTATGAGTATAACTCGACGGTAGTCCCGATTGTATTAATTCTTCATTTGTATTATGTATTTGATACATTGAAGTTGAATAATTTATACTGATTTGGTATATTATGACAAAATTACAATCTGTTTGAATATATATATTTAGTCTTGATTCCCTTCTAGTTGACCTAGAGCATATCAATTTACTCTTGGCTTTCTTATTCAAACCATTATTTTCCAATGAGTTTGAAGTCCTTGTGTGTTTCCCAAGTGGTAATAAACTATACAGGTGATAAACATATACTGAAGTTTTTGTGACTAATACTAGTATTTGATTTATTTGTAGAATATCAATTATTTCTTCCTCTAAGTCAATGTCGGCTGAAAAATTGGGACAACCATTGATCATATCTTGATTTGAGTAGATATGGCTGTTTTTCACTGATTATTGTTCTGATCTTTATTTTGTTTGAAGGTGTCCAATTTTGTACTTGATACAGTTTTCAAGTTGGTAGCCTTCGTTAGGGGGTAGAAAATAATTATAAAAAGTTCAGATTGAACTAGCTTTATGTCATCATCCTTTTCTATCTCTGTGTTTTGCAAAGCTATATTGATTCTTATCCTCTAGCTTTATTGAAGATTTAGCATTTTTAATTTTTGGTTGGATTTGATTTGATGAAATTTGCTAAATTTTTGTACAAAATATCAGTTTGTTGCAGATAAGATCAGTATGTTAATTTAAATTTGTAGCGAGTGAAACTCTATCAAGGAGATTTCGAGGAGGTTTTATGCGATATAAGTTTTAGGAATGGTTTTTATCGCTGGTTGGCATTGACCTAATTTAGCTATAAAGAGTGATTTTATGCAACTTGATTTTCATATTTCGTGGTATAGGGACACGAAAATTCGCCTAAATCTAAAAGTAAAATTGGTCGAGCTAGGATGCCTTTAATGCAATCTTGCTTCAGATCTTAGGGCAAACTAATATGTGATTGTTACTTTCTAAGCAATTTTTATTTTGTTAAATGGGCGAATGGTCTAGTGGTATGATTCTTCGTTTGGGTTATCTCATGCCTGAGCATAAATTTCGAAGAGGCCCTGGGTTCGATTCCCAGTTCGCCCCTTAGATTGTATATTTCTAGAGTTTTTTTTTTGACTGTCATTGAGAAACACGATAATCAAGTCAACATGGTATAGTGTGCTATCCTGTAAAAAAACAATCTTCAATGAATAAGAAGACTCCAAGATTGATGTTTCATGCTTATTTCGTTCGTGAACAATTCTACGACATTCGTTTGAATTAAGTTTCATAATTTCAAACTACGCGACTTATTATATGTAAAGCATTTTTTTATTTTTATCATAAAAAAAAACAATAATAACAAACAGATTGACTACCGTTCCAATTGAAATCAATTAATACATATATTTAGCAATGAATGATTTTCCTGTCACTTATCTCAATTTCAATCAAGATTCATCATGTGTGGCTTTGGGATTGAAAACAGGTTACAAAATAGTAAATGTTGAACAAAAATTTGGAAGATGTTGTAGTTATAAAGATGATAGTGTAAATATAATAGAAATGTTATATACAACAAGTTTAATTGCATTGACACCACTAGGGAATGAAATAGGATCATCACCTAGAGAATTAAAGATTAAAAATACCAAAACTAATAGTACCATTTGTTCATTATTTTTCCCCACATCAATATTAAATATTAAATTAACTAAAGATTTCTTAATAGTTGTATTGGAAAGTCAAATATATGTTTATGAAATAAAAACTATGAAATTGTTACAAACAGTTAAAACTAACTCAAATCCAAATGGTTTATGTGCCGTTTCATACAACCAAGATTATTGCCTATTAGCCTACCCATCACCACCAACAGCTAATGATTCTTTAGTGAACATTCATAATAACGTAACTAAAACAACAGGCACTAGCACTAGCAATGCCATTTTGAACAAAGGTGACTTAATTGTTTTCAATTTGAACAAATTTACTCCCATCATGGCAATCAGTGCACACAAGAATGATATAGCAGCAATGGCCTTTTCGAATGATGGGTCATTGATAAGTACAGCATCTCACAAGGGAACAATTGTTAGAGTTTTTGATACAAATACAGGAATCAAATTATTTCAATTCAGAAGAGGTTCATATCCAACAAAAATTTATTCGCTACAGTTTAGTGATGACAATACGTATGTCTTGGCTACGAGTTCTAGTTTAACTGTACATATATTCAGATTAGGTGAAGAAGAAGCATTAGTGAATAAACAGAAAAAGAAAATAAAGACAATAGAAGAAGAACCTGAAGGAGATGATGATTCTGATGCTATGGATGAAGACGACGAAGATGGTGATGACGATGATGATGAAGAAGAGGAAGTACCTACAAAACAAAGAAAATTATCTCAAGGTTCATCTAACTCTTTCACAAGTATAAATTCTGAGGATTTAAGTGCTCCGATAATTGATCAAAATAGATTATCTGTAGCAAGAATGATACGGAGATCTTCACAAACTTTAGGAAGAAAGGCTGCACAAAAAATGGGTGATTATTTACCATCAAGATTTTCATCAATTTTAGAACCTACAAGACATTTTGCTTCAATTAAAATTGATGCCAAAAATAAAGATGTAAAATCTATTGCAATGATAAATAAAAAACAAAATTTAATTGATAAAAATATTGAAAATTACGAAAATTTATTGCATGTAAATGTTGTAACATCAGAAGGTATGCTTTATATTTATGGTTTAAATCCAGAAAGAGGTGGTGATTGTATATTATTGAGTCTGTGTAGTTTACTTAATGATGAATAATGATTGAATAAACGCGGCTTTTTTAATCGACTTGCAAAAAAAAAAAAAATTATTAAATTTGATTTGTTTCATAAATATTATCAAATCAACATTTGCCACTCGTAAGCTTCAATATACAGATGAGTTCGACAAGTATGTACCAGATCAAGGAATTTGAGAATCTAGAATCTTTTACTAACACCCAGATAGTTACCATCAAGAATGCTGGAAAGACGTATTCAATTGAAATTAATGAAAACAGCAAAGGCATAGATTTGAAACAAAAGATTCAAGAACAAACTTCAATTCCACCTGAAAGACAAAAGATTTTGATAAAAGGGGGTAAATTAAATGATGATACATTATTGAGCTCTTTAGATTTTAGCAAACCAATCATGGTATTGGGATCACCAGATAAACTATCAAAACCAATTGAAAAACCGACTTTCATTGAAGATTCTGGAGATATTACTAAAGTTGACAATAATCCTTCTGGGATCCCAAATTATGGTAACACTTGTTACTTGAATTCAAGTTTACAGGTATTATATCAAATTGATGACTTGAAGAAAATTATAAAAAATTTTAAAGGATCAGACAACCTTACGATAGCATTAAAAAATTTGTTTCATCAATTGGAGCAAAAAAATAGTACAATTAATGTTCAAATGTTTTTGACTATATTCAGAAGTATCTATCCACAATTTGCCGAACAAAGAAATGGAATTTTCGCTCAACAAGATGCTGAAGAAGCTTATTCACAAATTTTAACGACATTAAAATCGAATTTAAAAATTGATGATTTGTTTAGAATTGAATACGCGGTAGAGTCCAAATCATTGGGGAATGATGATGTTTCATATTCTCATGAAGATGCATTTAAATTAAATTGTCATATTGACATAAAGACAAATTTCTTAAGAGATGGAATTATTAGTGGACTAACGGAGACAATAACTAAGCATAACGACGCATTAAATACAGATACTGAATATCAAATTACTAAAAAAATAACCAGATTACCAAAATATTTAACTATTCATTTCATTAGATTTTTTTGGAGAAGGGATATAAATAAGAAATCTAAAATTTTAAGAAAAGTTCAATTCCCATTTGAATTAGATTTATCTGATATGTTGGATGATTCAATAAAAGAAGAAAAAAATAAAGTACGTGATTTAATTAGAAAAGTAGAAAAAGATAATTTAGATTTAAAAAGAGATTTCAAAAAGGCTAAAAAGGATTCAAATGAAGATGAAGAATTAAAATTATTATCTATAAAAAGTAAATTTCAAGATGATTTAAAATCTACAATTCCAAATGTTAATTTTGAAACAACTACTGAAAATCCTTCACTGGTTTATGAATTAACTGCTGTTATTACTCATATGGGTGCAAATGCTGATGGTGGACACTATAAAGCATACGTTAAAGATCCAAATGATTTAGATGGAGAAAGTTGGTGGTTATTTAATGATGATAAAGTAAGTTCAGTATCAAGAGAAAAAATTGGAACATTAGCAGGTGGTGGTGAAAGTGATTCAGCATTATTATTAATTTATAAAGGTTTAGGATTATAAAATTAGATGACTGTAACAATTAGTTTAAAAAGTTATATTTACATGTACTTAGTAGGTTTATAAATCTCTTACTAAATTTTTAAATGTTTCAACTTCATTCCAACAATTGAGACTTTTACCTTGATTATTTTTTAAACATTGTATCACCAGTTCTCTAGATTGTTTGATCTCGGGCGTTATATTAGCCTGTTCTAATGCAGCATTTTCTTTCAATAATTGAGTAAGTTGAACTATCTTATCATTTGCTTGTGATACGGATATTTTGGCATTTTGATCTTTTTTATCATCTTTGAGTAAAGCTTTATTCGTGGTGTCTTTGAAATTTTTAATAGTTTCTTTTTCCAATTTTGTCAATTCTTTAGCAACTCTATCTTGAATGTATTTCTCCGTATATTGAGCTCTAGAATAATCAGACTATTCATTGTTAGTTTCTATTTACATGAGTTATTGATCTAAATTATACATACTTCTGGTGATTGTTCTAATTGTGATAAAAATGTCGAGCTAAAGTCAATTGGAGTAGAAGGTGTAAATACCTTAGTTTCCGGTTTCGATGTATTTGATCCCATGTTTAATTTTAGCTTGAAACGTATCTGTGGTTGTGTGGTACTGTGAAAGAAAGGTGAAAGTTGATAACGAAAGATTTGGTCGTGTCTGATTCTATTGGATAATTTTTTAATTCATTTTCAAAACTAATTTTCATTATCAGAATCAACAGTCAAACCAATTCACCAAACATTAATTATAACTTAGAAGAGATGCCACCTGTTCAACAATATCAATACGTTGGTCATCAACCATCAAATTGGGATAAATTTAAAATGGGAGCAATAATGGGATCAACTGTAGGAGTATGTGTTGGAGTATTATTTGGAGGTTTTTCAATTTTACAAAATGGTGCAGGACCAAATGGTGTTATGAGAACTTTAGGTCAATATATTATGGGATCTGTTGGAACTTTTGGATTATTTATGTCTATCGGTTCAGTTATTAGATCAGATTCTGAATTTCAAAATTTACAAAGATCAATGATGGCATCACAAAGGGCGAAATTAACTGCAATTTACAGAGATTCATAAACATACCCATATTAATACCAACAAAACAGCAAACACTTAATGAATAATGATAAGAAAACAAAATCTTGTAAATAAGTAATTTAATTTAATCCCAAATTCTATTATATTGATATTTATATATTAATATATTTTAATCTAATTATAAATTATTCTATATGCAATTCGATCTCTTTATTTTGTTGAAGATCATATAAATAAGTTAAACCAAATTCAGGTACTTTATAAACATTTGATTTTCCTAAATTTTTTGTTAAACCAGTTAACAAATTTTTTGGTTCTAATATAGGTTCACCACTTAATTTAAAAGTTCCCCAATGTATACCTTTCATAAATTTTGTAGAAACTTGATTACAAATTTTTAAAGCTTCTTCAGGTGAAATATGTCTTGGTTTTTGATGCCAACTTGGACAATATTGTCCTATTGGAAGTAATGCTAAAGTTATTGGTCCACATTTTTTTCCAATGACATCAAATAATTCTTTCAGATAACCAGTATCTCCTGCATGATAAACTAATGATTCACCATTACGTTTTAAAATAAATGAACACCAAAGGGATGTATTTGAATCTATAACATGTCTTCCTGACCAATGCATAGAAGGAACACATTCAATTTCAAATTTATCAGGAAAATTAGAATCTGTTGTAATATATTTAGTTATATCTAATTTATCCCACCAATCTAATTCAATAACTTTATGTATTCCTCTTCTTGAAAATTTTCGTTTTAAACCCAACGGTACAATCCAAATTGTATTATTTCGTATTTTATCAACTACATTCATTTCTAAATGATCTGGATGATCATGAGAAACTAAAACAAAATCTAATTTATCATTAGTTGCAAATTTTATATCATCAAATGTTAATGGTGATTCAGTTAATCTTTTTGGTCCAAAATTTGGAGTTATCAAATGATTACTTAAAATTGGATCTGTTAAAAAGTTAACCCCAGAAATTTGAAATAATGTACATGATTGACCTAACCAAGTAAATAATAATTGATTATGAATATTTATTTTAGATTTTAAAAACCAATTTTTTGAATCTTCAAATAATGATTGAAAATTATTTAATTCTAAACATTTTTGTAAAATTCTAGAATTATTTCTATACCTTGTTAAATCTGGTTTAAAAGATTTTAATTCATCTTCAACATCTATTATTCCATCATGAGGATTTGGTAATTTTTTATGTTTTTCAAATGTATTACCATATATAGATTCAAAAAGTTCCATTATTCTAACCAAAATAAATTCAAATGCAGTTTGTGGTCTATATTCTTCAAATGGATTTACAAACATTCCTGCTATAGTTGAAGATTTAAATTTTTCATAATCTAAATCTTTTTCATTATTTGTAGTTTTAAATTTTTGATATTCATTTTTTCTAGATTCTATAAGGTAGTAAGTTCTAACATGTAAATAAACTTCAAATGATGTATATAATGAAATTAATCCAATTCCTATCTTGAATTTTAGACCAAATGAGCCAAACATTGGCTTCTTGATGACTAATTAGTTGTTATCGTTAGAAAGAAGATGTGATAGATAACTTCTATTGTTTGTTTATTTTTTACGCGCATCTTCGGTTTTATAAATATCACCGAATAAGTCCACTTATTATGTATAAATACAATCCTTCATTATCTATAAACATATATACATCAATGCTTCTTAACAACTCCTGCTAGATTTGCAGTTTGTAAAATATGTTTTTTATAATCATGAATAGTACCTGAAAAATTATCTATTGTATCATTTTCAGCTACCCAAATTTTATTACAAACTTTATCAATAATATTAACATCATGAGAAACCATTAATATACCACCTTTAAAATTTTTCATTGCATCTGCTAAAGCATCTAAACCTTGAGTATCTAAATGATTTGAAGGTTCATCTAAAATTAAAATATGAGGTTGATTTAAACATAATGCAGCAAATGCAACTCTTGATTTTTGACCTCCTGATAATAATTGCATTTTTTGTAAACCTAATGGACCTGTTATACCAAATGAACCTAAATGACGTCTATATTCTTCATCAGATTTACCTGGAAATGCTGAACTCATCCATGAAACTGCTGATAATGATAAATCCATAGCATCAACATGATGTTGAGCAAAATATCCAATTCTTAATCTACCATTTTTATTTACAAATCCTTCTAAAGGAGTTAATTGACCCATTATAACTTTTAAAAATGTAGTTTTACCTGAACCATTAGGCCCTACAAATGCAACTCTATCATCCATTTGTAAATCTAAATTAACATTTTTAAATAAAATTTTATCTGGACTATAACCAAATGTAACATCTTGTAATTGTAATATAGGTGGTGATATATTATCAGGTTCAGAAAATTTGAAAGTAACAACTTTATCATCTTCAGGTGGTTCCAATACAGGTAATTTTTCAAGTTTTTTAATTCTTGATTGAGCTTCTTGAGATTTTGCTGCATTATATCTAAATTTATCAATAAATTCTTGTAAATGTTGTCTATAAGCCATTTGATTTTCATATTCACGACGTTGATTTTTAATCCTTTCTTCTCTTGTTGCATAAAATGAATCAAAATTAGAACCTCTATAATAATCTAATCTTTCAGAATGTTGATGAACAATATCAGTTGCAACTTCATTAAGGAATGCACGATCATGTGAAACCACCAAAATAGTTGATTTATATGTTTGTAAATAATTAGCTAAAAATGTAATAGATGGAACATCCAACATATTTGATGGTTCATCTAGTAATAATAAATCTGGTTGACAAAATAATGCTCTTGCTAATGATAATCTCATTCTCCAACCACCTGAAAATTGTTTAGTTGGTAAATGTTGTGATTCTTTTGTGAAACCTAATCCATATAGTATTCCAGCTGCTTTACTTTCTGCTTTATCTGATTCCATTTCATTTAATTTTTCATTTATTTCAACTAAATGTTCTTCTAAATCATCTCTTTCATTATCTAATTTTTTAACTTCTAAAGATTCATCATCAAATTCTTTTCTTAATGTTTCAATCTCCACAATTCTTTCATTTATTTTATTTTCCTCTTGTAATAAACTTTTCCTCCATACGTCAGCATCTAATACACTTTGTAATGCAGGAGTATCATCACCTCTTATTTCTTGTTCAACATGTAAAATCGTTATATGTTTGGGGACATTTAATTCTCTTCTTGATAAAGCTCTTAATAAAGTAGATTTACCTATACCATTTTGCCCCACTAAACCATATCTTCTACCATAAGCTAAAGTTAAAGAAGCTTCACTTAAAATTCTTTGACCATCTCCTACATAAAGATCAAAATTATCAATTTTAATATCTTTTGATTTTCCAGCACTTGAACCAAAATCTAAAGGATTTATTTCCAAAAAGAAAGAATCATAATCTTCAGATTGTTTTTCATTTAATAATTTTGAAGCTTCATATTTAACAAATTTATTATTACGTTTTGCAACTTTTTTTGCAATTTTTCTTTCTTGTTTTTCTAATTTCTTTTTATCTACTCTACTTTCCATTACTCTACCTGTATGTTCAATATCATTACTTGCTGACAATAAAGCTAATGATGAATTTATATCTCTTTTTGTATTATTTTGTAATATATTTATATCTAATAATCTTTTTGATGTATCACCAGTTAATGCTAATTTTTCAATATTTTTCCTTAATTTATCACTTAGTAGTTCAGTAATTGAATCTGTAAGTTCTTTTATCTTTTCAGTATTACCTCCAGCCAGTATTAAAAGATTATTTAAAAATTTCATTTCTTCTTCTATATTTAATTTTTGAGCTCTAACACTATCTTCAGTTGCATCTGAAATATGTTGAATATATCCAATAGCATATTCTGATACTACTGAGTCTATCGACGGCACAGCCTGTCTAACTTGTAACCCAACATTTGACATATTTAATGTGTTATATTTGATTAGATCTAATAACTAAATTATTTTTTTCACGTATAACGATCTAAAGGAGAAAGTTCTTTAGTGCAGTAACATAAACGAAATCAACAGCATACTTTTGAAGAATCCACAAAAGCCATTAAATGCCATTAGTTGCTCGTGGATTCTTCAAAAATATGCTGTTAATTTCGTTTATAGTTTTGGTGGCGTTGCAATTGCTGAATCAGCAGGTTCAATATCTTCATGAAGGTTTTGATTAAAATCAATTATATTTATATCTACTTAGTCGTTATATAAAATTTATAAAGCAGCTTTAATTTTTTTCTCTAATTCACCACTTTGATTTAATTGTTGTACACCAGAATTACCATTTGGAATATGATTACCACCAATAAAAATATTTGGTACAGTAGTTTGACCAGTTATTTCAGCTAAAGCATCTTGAATTTCTTTACCATCTGATGTTTCATCTAATTCAACAATATAAGCATCTTTAGTTAAACCTTCAATTGTTTTTTTAGTTTGAGCACAATATGGACAATAAGATTTTGAAGCAATAAAAATTGGATGATCTTTTATTAATGATTCAACTTTTTGTTTAGTTTGTTGTGATACCATTGTTGTATATGAAAATAATCTATAATTAGGAATATGTGATGTTCTAATACTAGTTCTTAATAAAGAAGTTCTTAACATGAACTAGAAAATAAAAAGTTTATAAAAATGGCAATTGAATAAATTACTTCAATTATATACTTTTGATTAATTGTTAGTCTATAGCTTATTAATTAACTTTGTACTTAGTAATTGAGAATAGAATTTCCGTTCTATACTTAAAGAAGGATTGGTGTGGATATTGGACTGGATTACACGACCAGCAATAATCTTTAGATCTAACTTTTCTAGCGGTATGATATCATAGTTTAATTCATCAATCTATAAACGTTAATTTCATAATAAATAATCATATAATAATCTACATGCTATATACTCATTTTACATTTAAAGTTTCCCCATTCTATCAGACATTAAATTATGAGGTATAATTTCAATTGAATAAGTATCTGGATCTCTAATAAAAGCAATATCTTTAACAGCTTTACCTTGATTAAATTTAACACTCCAATCTAAATTTGATCCATAACTTTCTTCTAACTCTTTACAAAATTTAGCTGGATCATTACATGATATACATATATGACCATAACCTTGAATTTCTCCATTATCAGTACTATTACCATTATGATAACCTTTAAAATTTGAATCATTTTCAGTACCCCAATTATGAGTTAATTCTAATATTGATTCCTTTTTAGATTGTACTGAAAAATCCATTGTACCTTCTTTAAAATTTGGATCATGATCATAACCTAAAAAATATAAACTAAATTTAGCTTCAGGAAATTCCTTTTTAGAAAATAATTTCATACCTAATGATCTATAAAATTTTAATGATCTTTCTGGATCTTTTATTCTAATCATTGTATGATTAAATCTATAACTTGATATATTAGTTTTACCTTCTTGTTTATTAATACCATTTTCAATAATTTCAATCCAATAATTTTCATAATCTGATAATGCAAAAGCAATATTATGTTGTCTTCCATCACTTAATTTTTTTTGAAATCTAATTCCATTTTTTAAAAATTCTTCTTGAACAATTTCAATATTATCAACAGATATACAAACATGACCAAATCCTTTATCTTTTTCACCATTACCATTATTTATTTCTTCCATTCCTCCATGATTATAACATAATTCTAATACTCCTTCTCTTTCTGCCCAATTTAAATGTTTATTTTCTTCAGTTTCATAATTTAACATATATAAAGTAAATGAATCAAATGGTATAGTTGCAATTAATTTCATACCTAATTTTTTAGTCCAAAATTCAATTGATTTTGGATCTTTTATTCTAAGACATGTATGATTAATTATAAAACTATTGTTAATTTCAACCATGATTTTGATGTCGTTGTAAATTCAATTGAAGAAATGAAGTTTAATTGAAAAATTCAGTCGGAGATTGAAAATTTCTAACAATTTTTAAAGAAAGAATCACCGACCCATCTTTTATATTTTGCGGGACGTGGAGTTCGGAAAAATAATTAAGTCGATGAATTGCATTAAGTTGCTTTTAATGGGGGAGAAACATATTTAATCCTCTAATTAAAAGCTATCTTATTGGAATTGAGTGAGCATTGTTAGAACAGACCAGTGGATTCGACTTGATGCCTTCATGAAAGTTTAAATCTTCAGCATTTTGAGTCAATTAAGTAATGTGTCATAATAGTTAAGTTAAGTTAAGTTATACGATCGTTATTCTCTTACAACTTTTTTTTTTTGCAACAACTCCATGTTTTATAATTCATAAGTCATACTTAGTCAATGATTAGACCAATAAGACTATCTATACGTCTGTTTTCAATTACAACAAAATTAAAATCTTCATATACTCATGTTCCAAGAAAAACAATTTCAGATATTCATGAATTATATAAATCAAATATTCCTATAACAATTTCAACATCTCATGATTATATTACATCAAAAATGGTTGATGATGCAGACATTGATATAAACTTAGTTGGAGATTCATTAGCAAATACAACATTAGGATATCAAGATACAAATGAATTAACAATTGATGAAATGTTATATCATGTAAAATCTGTTCAAAGAGGTAATTCTAAATCTTTAATAGTTGCAGATTTACCATTTGGATCATTTGAAAAATCTCAAAAACAAGCTATAGAATCAGCTATAAAATTAATTCAATTGGGTAAAATTCAAGCTGTTAAATTGGAAGGAGCTAATGAAGATACTTTAAAAACCATAAAAAAATTAGTATCAATTGGTGTACCAGTAATGGGTCATTCAGGTTTAACACCTCAAAAACATAATACAATGGGTGGATATAAAATTCAAGGAAAAGATAGTGAAAATGCTTTACAAATTTATAAAGATTGTTTAAATTTACAAAAATCAGGAGTATTTGCAATAGTATTAGAATGTATACCAAATAAAATTTCAAAATTTATAACTGAAAAATTAAATATTCCTACAATTGGAATTGGTGCTGGTCCATATTGTTCTGGTCAAGTATTAGTTATACTGGATTTATTAGGTATGAAAAATCCAGAAGAAAATCATATTGCAAAATTTGTAAAACCGTATGCTAATTTTTATAATTTAGGTATTGAAGGTTTAAAAAATTATAAAAATGATGTAATCACCAAAAAATTTCCATTAGCTGATGAACATGGATATAAGATTAAAAAAGAAGTATATGAACAATTTAAAAAGGAAGCAGAGAGTATATAATTCATTATATACACTTGTATATAGTTTATAATAAACATTTGTCAATATTCAGATCTCCAATATCTTATCAAATTTCCTAAAAAAAATTAAGTATGCACAAAATCTTGATCTAATCGATCTATAATCTCAAATCTAATCGTAAATCTTTATCTTCTTATCTCATTGGAGATGACAATAGAATCACCAAATATAGATCCAAATATAATAAGAATATATATAATCAGACATGGACAAACAAATCATAATGTTAAAAAAATTTTACAAGGTCATATAGATACAAATATGAATGAAACAGGAATCATACAATCTAAAAAATTAGGTGAATTTTTTAAAAATATACCAATTGATTATTTTATATCATCAGATTTGATTAGATGTAAACAAACTTTGGAGGAAGTTTTAAAATATCAAGACTATGATCCTAGCAAAATAAGGTATACCCCTAATCTAAGAGAAAGAGAAATGGGACCAGTTCAAAATATGTTCTTAACAGAAGCATTAGAAAAATATGGTAAAAATTTTAGAAATTTAGGTGAAAAAGAAGAAGAACTTTGCGCTAGAGTTAATTTAGAATTTCAAGAGCTATTGGATTCAGATTATAATAATATTATAATGTGTACTCATGGTGGTGTTATAACAAGATTTATAAATTATTTACACCTGGATTTAGGTTATGAATTAAGTAGTGAATTAACTCCAAATGATTTAAAAGTTCCATTTAATACATCAATTTCAATCATTGAATTCGATAAAATTGGTAAGAAGGGAGTGATACAACTGTTTGGTAAAACTGATCATCTTGGTGGTAAATTTGAAGTTAAAGATCAATTATTGAGGTAAATTACTTCATTCAGTGTTATAGAAAAAGATAATTTATAGACTTATAGAATAAACGTGTGGAAACGAATCAAGTAGAAATTGATCATGTAGAGAGTATAAGGTCATCTTGGTGGTAAATTTGAAGTTAAAGATCAATTGTTGAGGTAAGACAAATTACTTCATTAGGTGTTATAGAGAAATTAATTTATAGAGATATAGAATAAACTTGCGAAAACTAATTAACTAGATCTTGTAGAGATTAATTTAACGATGTTGTAGAAAGTAACGATTATCACAATAAATAATTTATATTAATATAAAATGCAAAATAAAAATCTATAACTAATAATAAAATGACAATAAATTTTTCTTTTATGAATTAAAAAATGAATAATGGATTGGTATGACGAATATGATGATTATGATGATTATTTAACAATTTTAAATTTTCTATTTATACAATTTGAATTATTATTTGGAGGTATGTGATGTTGTGGTTAATTAATTATACTAAATATTTTTTATTTTCCATTGTATTTGATCTTGAAAATGATGCATATCTTTGGAAAGGATCATTTCTTTCTAATTCATATTCTGGATTTTTAACTTGTGCTCTACGGAAATAAACTCTTTTAATCCATTTCCAAGTTTCTGCTCCTAATAAAAACATTATAGTACAAGCTAAAGCAATTAATAAACCATAATTTGGATCATAATGTAAAAATACTTTTGTATTTATAACTGGAATATAAATAACTGGGAATACAGAAATAAAACCACCAATAATTGACCAAAATAAAAATTGATTATCCCATAAATCAATTGCAGTTTGTTTCCACCATGGATTATCAGTATCTTGTCTCATATAAAATAATGAATTATAAGGATGAATACATTCCCATGCTAAAATTAATGCACACCAAGTCATATTTGCAAATGATGCTGCTCTACCTTGAAATACTAATTTACAAACATCTAAATCTGCATGCATTGAATTACAATCATAACCTAAATCTCCATCTCCTCTACCATAAACAATAACAACAAAACATAATAAACATGAACATGCCATCCAAAATCCATAAACAATCATATCTATAATAACTTCCCAAGTAAAAATTGAATTATTTGGTGGTTTTTCCAAGATATCATCACTTGCTTTTTCTTGACCTAATCCCATTGCTGGAAAACATGATGTTATAACTAAAATCCATAAAACTTCAACTGGTGATAATGGGAAAACAGAAAATCCAGTTTCATCCATAAATGCTAAACCAATCATTAAATAAAAAGCTTGGGCAACATTTTCTGCTAATAATTGTAAAACAAATTTTTGAATATTAGAAGACATTCTCCTACCTTCTTCAATTGCATTTAATATAGAAGCAAAATTATCATCAGTTAAAACAATATCAGAAGCATCTTTTGCAACATCTGAACCATTTAATCCCATAGCAATACCAACATCTGCCTTTTTTAAAGAAGGTGAATCATTAACACCATCACCAGTCATTGCAGCAAATTTTTTTCTTCTATGTAATGCATCAATCATACGAACTTTTGTTTGTGGAGCACATCTTGCAATAACTAATGGTAATACTGGTAAATTATCAATTTCTTCATCTGATAATGCATCAAATTCATTTGCTGTCATAACCATTACTTTAACAACATCTTCACTATAATGATATAAATTACTTGGTATAATTCCAACTTCTTGTGCTATAGCTTTTGCAGTACCTGGATGATCACCTGTTAACATATGAACATTTATACCAGCTTTATGACATAATGAAACTGATCCTGCTGTTTCTTCTCTTGGTGGATCATATATACCAATTAAACCTTGAAATGTTAAATTTGTTTCAACTTTTTCTCTATCATCAAAATCAGAATCTATGGTCCTTGTTGCAAATGCTAAAACTCTTAAACCTTGTGATGATAAAGCTGACATATTTTCTTCAATTAATTTTATATCTTTTTCAGTTAATTCTTGTAAATTTTGAGAATCTTCTGAACCTTCACCATACCAATTCTTACATAATTTTAAAATTCTTTCAACTGCTCCTTTTGTATAAACTCTTGTTTCTCCAGTTTCTTTATCTTTATAAATAGCAGACATTCTTTTAATTGATGAATCAAATGGAAATTCAGCAATATGTTCAAAACCTTCAGCTATTGTTTCTCTACCATAATTAATTCTTGTTGTAAAAACTTGTATAGCAATTTCTGTTGCATCACCATGAGCTTTCCATACTAATTCATTAGTTTCTTCATCTTTACTTTGATTAACAGTTGCAATATTAGCTAAAGTAGCAGTCATTAACCAATTATGAATTGATTTTGGCATTGGTTCAGAAATAGATTTATTAAAATCAATTTCTTCATCTGTTTCTTTAATAAAATAAGGAGAATAAGGAGCATATTTAACATCACCAACAGTTGGATTATAAGGTTCATTTGAATTTTGAACTTCTAAAGTACCAACATTTGGAATCCAAACTTTTTTAGCAATCATTTTACCTTGAGTTAAAGTACCAGTTTTATCTGAACATATATCATTTATACCACCAAGGGCTTCTAATGAATCTAATTTTCTTACAATAACATGTTTTTGAACCATAACTTGAGCACCAACAGCCATTGTAATAGTTAAAACAACAATTAAAGCAGATGGAATCATTGATAAAGCAACACAAATAGCATAAATTGCAACTTCTTTATTAACAATCATTCTTTGAGATCCCATAACAACTATTGCAAATATAACAGCAACCCAAAATAAAAATATAGCTAACCAAGATAATTTTCTTTGTAAAGGAGTACCAACATTTGTACCCAAGACATTTCCAATAATATTATAAATAGTACCAATTATAGCTTTACCATATTCTCTTTTTTTTGGTTTACCATTTGATTTATCTACTCTTTTAATTAAACCATCATTACCTCTTAAAGATTGAGCAATTTGACCAATTTCAGTATTTAAACCAGTACCATAAGCAATACCAGTACCTCTTCCTTTTGAAACAATTGAAGAAGAATAAGCTAAATTTAATCTATCACCAACAGGAACAGGAGTTGAAAAATCTTCATAAATAACATTTGCATCTTTTTGAACAGGTAATGATTCACCAGTTAATAAAGCTTCATCAGTTTCTAAATTCATACAATCAAATAATCTTAAATCTGCAGGAACAGTATCACCAACTTTAATATGAACAATATCACCAGGTACAACTTGTTCAGCAGGAACTGTAATATCATCACCATTTCTTGTAACTCTTGCTGTGGGAGAAGATAAATTTCTTAATGATCCCATTGTTTTTTCAGCTTTAACTTCTTGAACAAATCCAACAGTTATATTTATACCAACAACAAAACCAATTACACCACCAGAAATCCAATCTTGTATAGCTAAAGCAATAATCATTGAAATTATCAAGACTAAAATCATTGCATTAAATACTTGATGAGCTAATATTTTAGTATATGAAATTTTATCACCTTCACCTAAAGTATTTGGACCATATGTTTCAATTCTTTTTTCGGCTTCATTATTACTTAAACCATCTTGAATATTTGTATTAAATTCTTTTGCAACTGATTCAATATTTAATCTATAATATTGATTTTCTGTTTTTGATTCATTTGTATTACCTTGTTGCTTTTCTTGATTTTGTTTTTGTTGTTTTGTTTCAATCATTGATTTATCAGATAATGAAGAATCAGTATTTGTACGTTGTTTTTCATTTATTGAATCTTTTGAACTTGACATCACTTATTTTGGAAGGATTTATTTTAGTTGTATATTATTTGTGAGTTTCGTGGAAAGATGTAGTAAGTAGTAGTAGTAGTAGTAGTAGTAGTATTTCTTTTCCCTAATAGAAGATATAGAATATTATATAACAATTGATTATATAATAAAACTGTAGTAATAGTAATAGTAGTAGTTGTAGTAGTAGTATCTAACGAATATTATTTCTGTTGAAATTGAATATATTGTTATCAATATCTATGATTTAATGTAAGTTAATGTAATATTCTATTAATTATTATAATAAACTTTTTGAGGTTCCACTTAATATAAAATTTAACCTTTTTAATTAGAACTTTTCAATCACGTTTTCCTTTTGATCAATTGTTGACTCTTATTGATCTGTGTGTATTCTATTCTTTGATTAACTATCTTGTTTGATTGATTAGTTAAATTGATTATGATTGACTCTATTCAAAACAAAAAAGAAAAATTCCAAATCATAATTTGAAACAAGGATGAGGAGGGGGATATTTAAATATATTTATATTCCTTTACCATCTATCAATTAGTGAATTGTATGTATGATTCTTATCTTTAATTTATTAGTTATTGGCTGTGTCATGTGACTACTTTACATTGTTAATATTTAAATTTGCTTGGTTCAATATAAATTTTGGTTGTAAAAAAATAAATTAATTTTATTTTAATTAAAATATTTTTTTTTCTTAGCAGCCCAGAAATTTGTTAGTATGCATAATAATAAAAATATAGAAAAACACCCACTTAACCAGTTCGAATTTAACCGATAGAGTTTTGAATTCTTATTCAGTATGGATGGATGGAAGAATTTGTTGTGCTAGAGATAGAAAGTAGTTGTGCGAAAGATGAGATATGTTTTGTCTCCCCAATGTAACAAATCTTCCATTATATGATGTATTTGTTCAGCCTTACATCTCTAATACATTACATCAAACTATAGAATAATGAAACATGGAACACCTTAAGGTTAGTAGTAACAATTAAATTATTAAAGTTTAGTGTGAATAAAAATTTCTCCGTAATTGAATTCTAAATTAATTTAATGCATAAAAGAAATACACACAGCGGTTAAAACTATTTATTGTTTTCTATATAGTCTAACTAAACTTAAGTTTTTAAATTTTTCATTCATTTTTAAATTTTCAAGTGAAAGAGAGGCACATGTGTAGCTCATGTTCCACTGCTGTTCAAGATAGAATAGAGAGACCAAATCAACCTTTGGAAGTTCAACAACGAAATGACTCGCTCAATGACTTATAAACATGTCAACGATTTTCAAATTTCAAAAATCTCGTTAATTGCTCTCAATATAAAACTTAAAATTTTAATTAGCCATAAACGATTTATAATCAAATATAAATCTATAAAGATTTGGAATCTATTTCGTAGATTTTGTTTCTCTCAGATCTGTAACAACTTGATACCAGAGAACTTTAACCGTAAAATATTTCTATTGATATGATTTTTCATCAAAAATGCCTTCCGGACTTATCAATTCTATTTGACGGGTAGGTTTCTTTATCTTTATCACTTTTAATTAAATAGAATTTACGTAAAAATCTGGAGTTTATAAATTTCTTTTTTTTTTGGACTCTTCGCACCGATTTAAAAGACGTCGCACAAGAACTACCAACTGCACGTTTTGTAAGCCACCAATTTTCTCGTCCCTGTATCAACCATAACCATTTTCTTGGTCAAAAAGCAAAATTAAAACAATAAAAAAAAAAACACTTTAAATAAAAAAGCAATATAACCAAGAAATCTCAATCATTCATTTTTAGACAAGAAAATTTAATGAAGTTATAAACCAAGTGTGGTCATCATCCTTATGTATGGATGGATTGATAAACTAAGCAAGAGCACGAACTCGGTGTTAAAGAGATATAAATCGGCAATAAAAACATGTCTTTCAAAAAAGATACTGGATCATGTATCAAATTCCTTCAATAATAGCTAGATCTGTCAAAACATTTCTATTCAGATTTTTCTTTTTAGCTTAACTCGTTTCTTCAAACTTGTTATAAATCCATTGACTTGTTATATATCCATTGTGACTTAAAATTATCAATTGAACGGCAACAAAATTACAGTTCAGGCGATTTATCAACAGATTAATTGAATGAAGAAATTCATGATCTGCTTTACTAATCTTTGATCAGTTTTTACGATTCCAGAAGGCTAGTTGAAACTTACACAAAAATCAAATTGTTTGAAAAAAAATATGGATAAATAAAAAATTGAAAAATACGGGGTGTAATAAATTAACTGGAGTTTGGTTTACTTAGTTTTTGGTTTACTTAGTTTGATAATGGATCTTGTAATTTAGGCTAAGTTTCAAAATACGTCATGAAGGACCTTATATCTATAATTGGTTAATCAAAACATTTTACGATTTAAGATAATTATTATCTACATACATTTATCAAATAATAAAAGTTTATCCGAACTAGTAGAAAAATAAACAGTTGAAATGATATTTTTAAAAAAGAAGAAGCCCGAACAATTTTGTTTGAACTGGAGTAAATTTATCGTAATGTGAAGCTCATCAAGTGTTAACCACTAGAATAGTTGAACGCTTCAAGTGGATACCACCATCTCCTTTCTCAAACAATATTTGAGCCACATCTTCAAAAGACAAATAAACTTTTACATATTTCTCAAACTCAAGTTCTTGTCTCTTTATCGTTTAGAATTATCAAGACATGCAAAAGCTTATCTTTGAAAAATTTAAGATAAAATTATTATTATAATTTTGTAGGGTTGCCAAGTAACCTTCTTATAAAAAAAATCTTGGACCCTCTCTTATAAATTGATTGATAAATCTCAAAATAAAGTATGTCTCCGGGCCATGAAAAACAGTATATAAACACCGAAGAAAATGTCAAAAATATCAGACCAACAAATTACTGATATTTACTGATTCAATTTAAACAAAGATAAGCTTTGTAATTATTATATTTATTGTTTTGTCACATTATCCGTTTTATCGTTCTTTGATCTGTAGTCTTTAATTTTGAAACAATATCTTGAATTTTTGAAAAAGAAGTCTTTCCACAACTTTTTGATCATAGAACTGTAATCATATCCTTCGTGAATGTTTCATTTGTGGTTTACTTTCATTCTATTTTGGGAAAGATATCTCAAGACCCATAAAATTTTTTGAGTGCTTCTTCATCATTTCTTTTTTTGATGAGTAAATGTTGAGGTTTATATTTTTGCAAATCTTTGAATGGGAATTGTAAGGTCGTCTAAGTAAGATTATTTACGGTTATTGCTTCGTTAGAAAATGATACATGAGCTATTTTTAATGATGATAATTGATCTTGGTGGAAAATGTTTAGATTTTTGAATGTTTGAAGAATTGATGATAAATTCTTTTCGTAGCAATGTAATTTTATTAAAATTCAGTAAATAATGTAGAAGAAATTGAAACAGTAAATAGATTAGTACTGAGTTGATACTTGGTTGCCAAAAAAATAAAAGTGTTGCAAAAAAAAATCAAGCTCAATAAAGCGCGAAATTTTTTGGTCCCTTTTACTGCGTAAAAACCTAAAAAAAAAGAATTTGGAGCAGTAGACATAATTTTCAATATTCTACAAACAAATTTTACAACCAAAATTTACATTTCAAAATTCGACAACCAAATGTTACTATGTCTTCTTCCACCACAGATGACCAAATCCTAGATTACATAGATAGAGGTTACTACGATATTGCTAAATCAGCAATAACGGATAAAATAAGGAAAAATCCAAATAAAATATATTTCAAAATCTTATTAAATAAAATAATATATAAATCAGAATCAACAGAATTAGCCATTAAAAATAACTTGCAGTTACTACAGAGTCTTTCAAATGATACTAATTCAATTTTATTATTAAATGAATTTTTCACTGATTTAGAAATGGAAAAAGAAGCAGATTTATGTTTTGAAAATATTATAAAAAAATATCCAATAAAATCAATTGAAATTTGTTTTTTATGGTTTAATAATTGTATTGAATCAGGGGATTTAAAAAAATTTAATAAAATATTTTCATATTTAAATAAGAGTAAATTAAAGAAATATCAATATTGGTATAGTTTTAGTTTTTACTTGTTGATTAAACAACTACAACAACTATCAAACCCAACAGATGAAGAAATATCAAAATTGAAACTATATAAATCATTTGGGAAAAAACTAATAGAGAATGAAAAATTTGTAAACTGTCAACAAGTTTATGTGTATACAAGATTTTTAATATTAGATGAAGATTATCAAAGTATTGAAAATGTTTTAAATCAAATTGAATTTCCATTAGATTTAGAATTACAAATTTTATATCTTGAAACTTTGGACAAGAATGAAAATTGGTTAAAATTATTTGAATATAATTCAAATCTTTTATTTAATGATAAATTTGATGATTTTAATACTTATAAACTTTGGATTAAATCTGGAAAACAACTTGGTAAAACTTATGAAGAATTGAAAGAAAAATTAGGTGATTCAAGAAATGAACTACTTGTAAAAATTGAGTTAAGTATTTTATTTGGAGTCAATATTGAAGAAGATGCAAATACTTACTACAACAAATTTCAAAATAAATTATGTTGTTATCCTGATCTATCTAAATATCAACTACCTTCATCATTTTATGACAAAATTAAAGAATCTTCAAATTTGAAAACAGACAATGCAATAGTTTTAGTTAATAATCAAAAATTTGCCCCTCAAACTGTAAATAGTTGGCAATATTACAATAAAATCAAAACAGAAAGATCAGAATATGATAATGATCCATTAAATGAACTTTTCCTTGTATCAATTGAAAAACAATTACAAATTCCAACTTATGAAAATATAATTTCAAACATTATAATAATAAACAATCTTTTAATTCAAGATAAATATAATTATAAATTAAAGATTTTATTAATTAAATTATATTCAAATTTAAATAACAATAATTTAATAATATCAATTTATCAATCATTAAAAATTAAAATGATTCAACATGATACATTAAATTATTTATTAACAAATTCATTACCTTCAAAAATTTCATTGGAAGTGTATATTGAAATTTTTAAATTTTATTTAACTTCATTTCAAGAAATTAAAGAAACTATTTATAATGGATTTGATTTTGAAATTTATAATAAATTAGAAAGTTTTATTAATTTTAATAAAAGATTAAAAAATTCAATTTCATTATTTTTTATTGTTTATAAAATTTTACAAACTTCAATTATAACTAATGACAAGGGATATATACAATATTTTAATGATTGGTTAATTAAAAATGAAAAATTAATATTAAATGGAGAATGGAGAGATAATAGAGATTTTAGTGAAAAACTGAATGTTCAAATTATTGTTGATGATACAACAAGTATTAGAATTAAATTAATTATATATATGATGATAAATGAAATAAATAATGAAAATAAATTAAAATATTTATTAAAAAATTATAATAAATTAATATCAAATTCAAAAAATTTTACACCATGGTCAAATTTAATTTATAAAATATATTATAACATATTTAAAATCAAGACCAAAATAAATGAAAATGAAACAAAATCATTAATTAATTTTATTTTAAAAAATTTAAAATTTGATAAATTAAAAAATTATTTTGAAAATGATGATATAATATCATCAAAAACAAATCAAAAATTAATTGAGCTAGTTGAATTAATAAATATAATAAAATTCATTTTTCCAAAATCAAATAATTCAGATATAAAGCTATTATTCAATCAATTAACTAACTTAACAAGTGAACTAAAAAATGAAAATTTTATAATAAATTCACAATTATCATTTATAAATCAATTAAATTTAAATTTACCTATTAATGATATTGATTCAACTACAACATTAAATGAAATTAAAGAATCTATTATTTTCTCAACTAAATCAATTTTAAATAATTTGAAATAAGGATAATTTATATTAATATACGCTAGGACAATGCTATCTTTTAAAAAGTACAATATTATGCGTTAGACTATATCTTGTATACTTTAACTCCATTTTTCCTTTTCTTCCATATCCCTTTTTCTTTCTATCTTACTTCCTTCAATCTTTTTGCTTTCTTCCACTTGTATAAATAGATAAATCTAAATCAAATTGTAATATTTAAACCTAAACTACTACTCATCGATCCAATTTGATTTAAACCAGAACTCAACAAGTATTTCCTTTCACTTAATTTACGGTTTTTGTTGTTATCTAATTTAAATTCAGATTTTAAAAATTCAATTAATTCATTTCTTTGATTTATATCATTTACGTTGTTTGTAGGTTTAAATTTTTTATAAATTTGTTTTATTATTGATTTATATATTGTTTTTAATTTTTGATTAAATAAAAATTCTTCTAATGTTGGTATTTTAGTATTTTGAAATTTTGTTTTTGTATTTGCTGTTGATAAATATCGTAGGATTCTCATTGAATAACTGTAGACTTTTGTTGTTCAATTTTATGCTGTGATGAATGGTAGATGATCAAAATGATGATGTTTGTGTGAGAGATGTATTTTATCATATTTTCCGAAATTTAAATTTTCTACAAAAAATCTTCCCCAGATTTTAAAGAAATGAAAACTTACAATGTGTAATAAACACAACAAATCATAAATTCACTAAACACTAATATACTCTACAACGAATCTTCATAACCATTTTTATATTTCCAAACAACAATTCCATCATAAATTTCTTCTTTTGTAATTTCTAATTCATAAACTTTATCAAAATCAATTTTTAAATTTGGTGTATTAATATATAATTCTTCAATTCTATCATAACCAAAGAATTTTAAAATATTTTCTTCAAAAACATGTAATTGTATAAAATCTAATTCATCTAATTCTGTACCATATTCTAAACCTGGTTCAACAATAAATAAAATTAAATCATTTATTATTGGATCACCAAGTATCATTTTTTTATTAATTGGATCTTTTATTAATTTTTTACCACATACTAATGATAAATCATGTGGCATTGTTCCAATTATATTACATTTAACTTTATATGTATTATTATCTACTTTCATTTCATATTCATTATATGCATTTAAACTTTGAATTGATGCAAATACGTCGTCATCAGTCCTTGAACGTTTCTTTGAACTAGTTGATTGTACAGGTTTTTGTGAATTATGTCTGTTTTGTGATTCAGCATTAATAGCTGGTAATGGTAAATCTTCATCACAACCTAATGTGTCCAAATCGTAATCTTCATTCATAGGATCTGGTGATAAATTATTTGAAACACTTTCTTCTTCTTTCACCAGATCAGTAACAACTTGTGGTCGATCTTCTATGATATCGTGTGATTGAGATTGATGTCTATTTTGCGTTTGATTTGAACTTTCTTGTTGTGATTGGGTTGCATTTCTTGAAACATCTTGACTTCCAAATTGATGATCATTATTAATATAAAATTGTTGATAAATTCTTTCAGGTATAATTTTTTTAACTCTATTTATACCTCTTTTTTCTAAAGCATCAATATAATGTCTTTGTTTTAAAATATTTTTATATAAGTCTGTTAAAACTTGTTCTTCTTGTTTGTCCATAGAACTTGGAATCCATTCAACAATTTCTGGATCAAATGAATAAGGTTCTAATTTACCTTTATATTCTCTCCATTTTATTGTCATGGACATAATAATTAATTTTGTATCTAAATTAGCTGATGATCCACCATTTAATGATAATTCATGTCTTATATCTAATTTTAATCCTTCATGAGTTTCTTCATAACATTTACTTATAAAATCTAATTTATCTTTAAATACACAAATTTTTAAAATTTTTCTTGTATCAACAACAATTTCATCATAAGTTCTTTCTGCACAATATTCATCAAACAATTGAGGATGAGCTGTAAAATCTGTTACTTCAAATTTAACTCTATTTTGATCATAAGTTGAAAATACATTTAATACTAAAAAATATAATTTTGTTTTTAATATATTATATGTACCTTGAATGTTATTTCCTGAGATAAGTGGAATCTCTTTTACTTTTTTAACTTCGTTTTGTTTCATTTCAGGCTTGGGTATAGCTGGAGTTTGGATGATTGATGTTAAAATAAGTTGAAGGTAAGGGTATTTTTAGAATTATGGAAATTTAAAGAAATTTAAAGGGACAAAAAAAAAGGGATGTTGTTTTAATACACGCGTCGCGTTTTTTTTTGAAAGTTCTCATTTACACTTTTTTAAGGATCAATATATTGAGTATATAGGTATGTATGAATTTATACTAATCGAGTAAAAATACCATAGGGGTTAATTGTATCATCTAATCACGTATGATTTTTACCAAACATGGCGTTAGTTGCACTGACCATGTGTGCAATGTTAGAGACAAGGGATTGTCTAATATGTTCTAAAACCCATATAATAATATTAGTCTTCGACGATACAAGTTTGCATTATTGAATGAACTCTGGGACATGATCATAAAAGGGTCTTGAAAATTAAGATTCATAGCATTACTGGATCAAACGAGCAAGCTTCATGAAAGTTGTGGTATATGTTTCATGAAAGTCATGATGTTGCAGGCAACTCGCATATTTTAAATGTTAAACCTTTACTAAAATTACCAGGTACCACCCAAAATGACTAAATCGATTCAAATTTAGTATGATCAATCTAGATAACTTCCATATAGCTTGTTAATGAGCCGAGCTCAATCTAAGGAAGCCTATAGGAGAAGGAAATTCTTATTATGAAATTATGGAACTTGTTCTTTTTCTACTAAAGTTCTTCCCATACATTGATTTGATTAGAAGTTGACCATAATTACGAAAATGAGTTAGAAAAACAGGGGGTTCTTTGGATTTTGTAGATAATGATTTATACAATGACCTTATGTCTCAATTACTCATTAAAGTATTCTTTTACTTACTTTAATCATTACTCAAGATACAATCCGACGCGTCAATTAAGTACATAATCCGATACGCAATATATCATAGTAATTGAAAGTGTTTTGTGTAATTGCTATTTTTAATACTTTAAATTTGAAACATTTGTTTTACTGATTAAAAAGATAACAGAATAACACTAAAAAAGTATAAAATAGTAAGGTACAACTTTAATTTTTATATATACCCATACTCATACTCATGCATTTATCTCTGGAGTCATTTATGATTCCGTAACCGCTTTTTGACTAATTTGAATTCACGAAAATAAACAATATTTTGTATAACAAATGATAAGAAATATCAATGAACTATTTTACTTTCCAAATCAAAATATTATTTTCTACGAGCTTCCTTTTCAAACTACAGCATAACGATCAAAACTTAACAAAGTCAATCACCCAATTCTTCTCTCTTCCCCCATACTTATAACAGCAAGTAAGAATACGAAGAGAACAAAACCAGGAATGGCTATGGGGTTTGAAAAAATACATCAGATTTTGGTTAAATGTCAAGGGGTTGGTTATGAATAATAACCAGTATCTTTAATCATTGATATTAAAACACGAGTTAATTTTCAACTCAACTAAACTCAACACAACACATTTAGTAAATAAATCAGGCGTTACACGGGACTTTCGAGAGAATGAAGAAAATTATTTATTTATTGTGGATTCTCTTTATGTTAATTTTTTATTGTGAATATTTGTTATATGCAGTACTTGTATAATAATAAAAAGATTTTATCGTTTTAACGATATCTCCGAAGACATATATAAAAATATAACAAGAAAACATATACAATATATATATATCATCATATAACCAACTATACTCTTTTACAACCAACATTTTTTACAACCAACAACTTATACTAAATAAGCATTAGACTCATACTTATACACAGACTTATACAAATACATTAATTAATTCAATAGATTCAACTTTATACATTTTACTTCCACAAAAAAATTATCAAAATGGCTACAACTGCAACTACAACTACTGCTACTATAAATTTACAACCATCTTCAATACCTTCATCAACAACAACAAATTCAATAAATATAACTAAAAAACAACCAACTATACCTAAAAATGAAATAATACCTTCAAAAACAGATATTGGAGCATTAGCAAATAGAATAAATTTAGAAACAAGATCATTACATGATAAAGTTGATAAATTAGTTACTTTAAAAATGGCAATAGCTCTTAGGAATTATAAAGTTTATCGTCAAGGTTTACAATCTTTTTATCATATTTTTAAAAGTATTGAAAATTCATTAAATTATCAATTTGAAAATAATTCAAATGATAAATATGTTATAATGTTAAAAAAAGTTTGGAAATCAGAGATAAGTAGAACCACTAAAGCTGAAAAAGATCTTTTATTTTATTATGATAATGATAAATCAAAATTTGAAAATCCAAAAATGAAACAACAAATTATTTTTAGTCAACATATATTAAATAAAACTAAAGAAAAACCTTATTTATTATTTGCTTATTTACATGTTATGTATTTAGCTTTATTTGCTGGTGGTAGATTAATGAGATCATCATTTATAAAAGCTACTGGTTTTTATCCTCATAAAAATAATTTAAAACATGAAGAAATTATAAAATTAGGTACAAATTTTTTTACATTTGATGTTGAAAATGAAGATAATTTAAGAATTGAATATAAAAAAAATTATGAATTAATAACAAGAATTGGTTTAACAGAAGATGAAAAATTAGAAATTATTGAAGAAAGTAAATTTATATTTGAACAAAATGCAAATTGTTTAATTGAATTAGAAAATTATAATTTAGAAAAAATAAAGGGAAGTTGGTTATATTTCTTAATGACAAAAGGTTATTATAGTTTAATGATTATTGTATCAATATTATTAGTACTTTATTTATTTAGAACAATTATGAAATTTATATAACCGTTAAGCACACAAGGTTTTTGAAAATAGAACAATAAAAATATAACTATATAGGATATATAAAATACCCAACTTTAATATAATATGATTTACGAATTTGATTTGCATTAGGATATGATTGATTTCTCAATTGTTAATTGTGCTTAGAATGAAAGATCTACCTCACATAAAACCGTTTCAAAAACATTATTTGGTGTATTAAGCTGAAATATAACTTAATGTGGCTTCGAAAGACTCGCCATTATAGAGAACAACTCACCTTTTATACTATTATTAAATGAATTTTTGCTATAAAACATCCACTATAATGGGACTTACATTTATTTTAATGGTAGCTTCCTACCAAATACAAATGATTCATTTGATTTTTCGCTGTGATGAAATTTTTCTCAAAATTAATAATGGTCTAGGCTTTGTCTTTTATCCGTTAGGGAGAAAATAACTAAGTAGGTTATGTTACTATATGCTTAATCTTAAATCTTAAGCTTTTCTCATTGTAATTTCCAACACATAACATCAACAAGCATTCTTTGTTTTATAAAGACCGTTAAAGCATTGTTCATGATGTCAAAATGTTATTAATATTTAAATTGGAGGCGTCAATTTTATAAGTATTTTGCTGCTAAATTTTGTTAAAAGTTGTGGTTACCACACATTTTTGAATAACAAATCCTTTCAAGGCGGATCCAAAACAGTGTCGACAAGTAGCTGAGCCTTTCCGAATTTTAATTCAAAACCTTATATCTGTTATAATTTGATGAGAGTAGGCTCATCAAAGGTTTGGTTGTTCAATCTTTGTTTAAAAAACTTTACATTTAGAATGTATTGAGGTATGGACTTCTACTTGAAACATTTTGAAATTATTTTTGAGTTACAAAACCTTAAGTGTTTTAAAAATGAATTCTTTCATAAAACAGTTGTAAAATTATAAAACGTTCATATCTTTTTAATCATCTAAAGTGGCACATTAATCCTTCATTTTATTGAAGCATTTTGTTGAAGCTGATCATTTTTTCAACGGTTTTTATAGGAAATAAGACATCAAATATTTTATTTGTGAATATTTCGCTTAGAGGACAAGGATTTGATCTGAGAGACAAGGACTAAACAATACGTTCCCAAAAAAAGTCGATCAATTTGAGGAATTGATAAACATCATTGTATTTCTTAGTCATAACCAATAAGCATACCATGACATCAATTTAAAGTTTTATTGTTCATATATAGCTACAACGTGTTGTAAGAATGGTTCTTCGATTGAACTAATTGAAATTATTTAGTTCACTCCTTCGGATTGTTCATCAGATTATCCAAACCTTATTAATAATGCTTAGACGAATGTTGCTAAATTCACAATTTGTTCTGTGGATGCAGAATGAATATGACATATTGAACTAATCATGATTTTAAACTTTAAGGATATTGTTAATGAAAAGCTTAAAAAATTATGACGAAGCCCTTGTTTGGAAACATTTCATCTTCAACTTGAAGAAATTTAAGCTAAGCCCATCATGAATTCTAACTTTATTTCAAAATAGTTTTTGGTGTTGTCCAAAGGCTAGTCAGACAAATATCTCACTCTGCTTATTGATAATTCAAATTTATTGAGGTACGGAACTGAAACTAAAAATATTAACTTAATTTTTGTCATTGTGTTGCAAAATAAAAAAAAATAATTTATAATTATTAAACAATGTTTCGTAATTTCATGATTTGTGAAATTCATCAAACCAAACGTTTACTTTTCTAGTGATCATAAAAAGATTGACTACATAGAATGAATTCTAATTCTTGAAATTTTTAAAGTTCTCAACGGTCGCTAGAAATTTGGTCCACAAGGTTCACCAAACGTTTATAAAAAGTTAGGTTGCAAAATATCTCTAATCTATTTGAAACATGGAGAAAAGATGAAGTGGGAAGAAAAAGTTATTTTTGATCTTGAACAAATACTTTCAGTTAATAATAATAAAGCTCCACATAAACTAAACTTTTTATTAATCATTAATATAAACTTTTTCATTGGCTGTCGTTAGTCAAGATAACACACTTATCTTAAAATATTAAATGTTATTGTTGATGTTTTCAATGGTTCAAAGCTCTTCCGATCCACACCCGAATCAACGAACCACACACAAATTGTGTCAACTTTGCTTATATATTGTTTTAGTAAGATTAGTAAATAATGAAAATTTTAAAAATATAGTATAATGACTCGTAGTTAATCTAGTTGAAACTATACTTTTTAGTCATAAACGAGACTAATATTTTTCCATGAATCATTTAATTGTATAAATCCGTCCACAGTACCAGTATACCTCGTACTATATGTGGTAATTATCATCAACTTTTTGTTTACTTTTTCTTATCAATTAAATTATAACTTTAAATTTTTTTAGATTATTACGTAGTGTTTTGTGCTTTACATTGTTGTAGAGTATCCGATAAAAAGTTTTCCCTTTAAAGAACAATAAATCTAAAAAAAACTGCAAATCATTTACTGACTTGTAGATATTAGTTCCGTTTTTTGATAAAAAAAATTAAAATCAGAAAATTCTCATAACTGATGAAAAAATACGATTTTTTCAACGTTTTGGGAAGAACGAAAGGGTTTCAAGGTAGGGTTAGATCCTATAAATAGTTTTTAGTAGTGGTTGTTGTTTGTCTTTTAGCTTCTAAATTAGACATTTCAAAAGTTATAGTTTTACACAGTTCATCAAGAATAATTTTTAAGGTGGGCTGATTTTAGTTATCACAAGAGAGAACATTTCGAATCTACTGATATGAAAAATTTATAACTTTGTAACCCGATACAGGCCAAGTTTTTTATCAAATTATCACCAATTATAGGTATTGTTACTCAATATATTTATGTATTTTATTAATAGATTAGTTATAAATAAAAAAGCTAACTTGTGATACGCGAATTATGTCATAACTCTTTTAGGTAAGCCCTTTTCTTCTTATCAATAAATTTAAATTAATTAGGACCGATTCTTATTGTTTTAAAATTCGAACGAGAGATAACTAAAAATTTAATATACAGTAGAAGAAAAAAAAAAAAAAAAAAAAAATTAATACATTAAATAATAAAAATTTCAGCTTGAATTGAAAGTAAGTTCGTTATTGTATTGCATTGTATTATAGCGAATGCGTACATTTTATCACATCTGCAAACCAAATATAGAACAATTTTAATATGGATGATTATTATAATTAAAAACATATAATATTGTGCTTTTTAAAAATTAATAAAACCGCCCATCAATTTTTTAAAGTTTTTGATGTCGGGTTTAACTTAATTTAAGTAAAAAGCTTGTTGATAATTTGAATAATAAATTGTTCCTAATTAGGCCAGCTTTGCTGTTTTTGTCTAGAGTGAGAAGAACCGAAACGCGTCTTAGTTATCAAGATAAATTAAGTAAGTTGGTAGTCTGACTGATAACGGCTCTTGGTGATGATGATGATGATGATGATGAGGATGGAGATAATTGGATTTAAAAGAAAATTTATCAAGCGTGTTTATTTTTTATTACATCCTCGTAAACAAGCAAGCAACATCAATCGATCTAAGATCTAGAACGTATAAAAATATTTTCATAAATATTTGAGTAAATCTTTATTCAGATCAAAGCCCCAACTACCCGTAATAATGTAAAGTTCAATTAAGGATACACAGTACATCATCCGTTCAAAAATATCGTGGTGAAATTTTTTCAACTACTAGCTTATTTCAAATTAGGTTTCGAATAATGCAGGGCTTATTAAATAGGACCCCTTTGTTCGTAGAATATTACCTAGCTTTTAGGCTAAGATACATTACATTTATTGCATCAAAAGTATACAAGTTAAAAAAGTTTAAGTTTAAAAAAAAAGTTGCGAAAAAACTCAAAATTGTAAAACATGTCACAAAAACTCCACAATATAAAACAAAAAAGTTGCAAAATAATAAAATTAAAACAAGTTGTTGTTATTCATTTCTTATCAATTAGTTGCAAATCAAACAATGATAATACACAATTATTGCAATTTTTTTTTCAAGCAACAATCAATTTGGTTAGCAAATAGATTTGAAAATCATTGTAAGATTATGATCGACCATGTGATAATGTGGATGTTATGAATATCCGAACTATTTTTAATCTTTTATAAACTTGGAAAAAAAAGTGTATAAATAATCATTAATTCCATCATAAATATTTGCAATTTTTTTAAACTTTTTATAAAATTATCAATTCAAACAATAGAAACCACACTTTCGTTTAAATAAAAAAATATAACTTCAATTCATAAAAAATGCAAATCAAACAAATCATTTCATTAGGTGCTTTAGCTATTTCAACTCAAGCTGCTGTCATAAATCATGAAGTCGTTAATGATAAAAGAACCGACACAGTCACTGTAGCTGCTGATATTCCAGGTGTTCTTGATTTAGGTGTTGGTGTTGGAGCTGATGTTTCTTTAAAAACAAGAGAAGCTAATGAAAAAAGATTAATTGATTTATCAGCTGAAGTTGTTGCTCAAATAGCTGACTTATTAGGATTAGATGTTGGTTTGAATGTTACTGCAAAAAGAGAAATTGATGAACAAAAAAGATTATTAGATTTATCAGCTGAAGTTGCAGCTCAAATTGCTGACTTATTAGGATTAGATGTTGGTTTGAATGTTACTGCTAAAAGAGATGACACTGTTGTTGCTGATATTGGTGCTGATGTCTTAGGATTAATTGATTTAGGTGTAGGTGTTGATGCTGATATTGCTTTAAAAAAAAGAGAAGCTAATGAAAAAAGATTAATTGATTTATCTGCTGAAGTTGCAGCTCAAATTGCTGACTTATTAGGATTGGATGTTGGATTAAATGTTACAGCTAAAAGAGATGACACTGTTGTTGCTGATATTGGTGCTGATGTCTTAGGATTAATTGATTTAGGCGTTGGTGTTGATGCTGATATTGCATTAAAAAGAAGATCAGAAAATGCTTCAATTATTGAAAAAAGATTAATTTCATTATCAGCTGATGTTGTTGCTCAAATTGCTGGTTTATTAGGTTTAGATGTTGGTGTTGATGTAAATGCTAAAAGAGATGATAAAATAGCTGCTACTGTTGCTGCTGATATTGCTCATCTTATTGACTTAGGAGTTGGTGTTGGTGCTGATATCAATTTAAAAAGAGATATTTCAGTATCTGCTGAAGTTATTGCTAAAATTGCTAAATTATTAGGTTTAGATGTTGGTGTTGATGCTGATGTTGCTCTTTAAATAGTAAAATCATGAGATTGATTTGTTTGTCAATAATAAGGTTTAGTTCATGGAGTATGATGTTTTTAGTCCGATACCCTCAATTTGTTAGATTTATTTATAGAAATATCGTTATTGTATGATTTGTTTCAAATATATTACCGCTTAAGAATTGAATGTCTGAAAAGTTTCAGATTTTTTTGAAACTCTAAAATTTCAGGTCATTCTGACCCTGGGCCACTTTTGTTATGAATTGTTGAGACAGCCCACTATCATTTTTAGGAAGACATGTTATTGATACGAATTTTCTCAGATAATTTGTTCCACCTAGTCCTTTTTCGGTACCGGATTTTATCCCCCAAATCTCCACACTAGATCGGAATTATATTTTTCGAAAAATTCAACAAAAGTCCGATCTCAATAATTCGTAAACAAGACCAACAATATGAATAATGCTATAAGAGAAACCAATTTCAGCCTATACACTTTGACAAACTAAACATCAGCCATGTCAAAAACAGCACATAATACTGCGGTCAACTCCTTCAACTCAAATCATTCATCATATGATGTTTTCCGACCATCATTCAATCCAATTTTAGTAAATCCTTTTCTTGTTGATTTGGGACTAGCTGAAGTTATAGGTGATAAATTTAAATTTAAAACAGACAAGAAGATAGTTGAAATTGCTTGTGGGACTGGGAAATTTACTAAAAACTTAATAGAGAATGGTTGGACAACCAATTTAACAGTAATTGAACCATCAAGTGGAATGTTAACAACATTTCAAAAAAATTTCCCACAAATTAAAAATGTTATTCAAGCATCAAGTTATGAAATTCCTTTACAAGATAACTCAGTAGACGCAGTTATAATAGCTCAAGGTTTCCATTGGTTTGCAGATGATGAAAGTTTAAAAGAAATTAATAGAATTTTAAAACCAGGTTCTAAATTAGGTTTAATTTGGCATTTTGATTATTGTTCACCTTCTCAAAATTCAAATGCTGAAGATAGTAAATTTTTTAATGATGGAAGTAGATATTTTAATAGTTTTGAAAAAATTGGAAATAATGAAAAATTATTTGAAAAATTTTTTGCAAATCAAAAATGGAATGAAGAAGTTACTAAATATATTTATGGTTTTGATGTAAATGTACCACAATATAGACATGGTAAATGGAGGAAAGTATTATTGGAGAGTAAATATTTCAAAAACGATACCAAAGATCTGTTTGCTTTGTATGATAGGTTGATTAGTAAAGAAGATGTTTGGAAATATTGGGAAACTAGAAGTTATATTACTGATTTATCTGATGAAAAGAAAGAAGAAATTAAATATAAATTATTTTCAATTATTGATGCAAATGTGAATGAGAATAGTTATGATCCAAACACAAAGTTATTGATCAAACCAATGGTTCTTCATGCAGTGGTCGTAACTGTAAATAAGTGATTGACTACACGAAAATCATACTCTATAATACAATATTTAATATAGTCTATAAATTACCCTATCCCTTTCTATTCACTTTTTCTTAGGTACCCCAGTTAACCAAACTTTGCTCAAATAATCAAAAAATTTAACACTTTCTTCATCAAATTCATAAAATTTCCCATTATCAGTTTCTTTATCTGCGGAATAACTTTCTATACTATCGTAAGCACAATAAAAATATCCAAAACATATATTATTCTTGACCCAACCCTTTTGTGGACCCCATTCAGTTATAAATTCAGTTCTTTCAGATCCAGAAGGTAAATCTTCATTGATTTCATCAATATCTTTTTTTCTTAGTTTCCAAGAACTTTTAAATTCTAATTCTGGTTCAGGGTCGATTTGACCTGGCTCTCTAAATCTAGGTAGGTCGGGAGGAATCAAAGCTGCTCTAATCTTTAATGGCGAATTAAACAAATCAACTAATTCATTGCTTTCAAATGCCGTGAATGGAAATTTAACTCTATCTCTATAATAACCATTTTTTTTACAATATCCAAATCCAGAATTAATCCATAATAATTTACCATCTCCATTAACATGTCCAGGATGAGTTGAACAAACTTCTCTACTCTTTGAGTTAGGATAAAATTTTCTTTCATGTATGGATGTCGCTTCACCTACTGATGCTGCTGAATAAGGGTTGAATTCGTAATTTTCATCACCAGCTGCTGATAATCCAATCCAATATAATTCTTTATCTCCCCATATTGAGGATTTTACGGGTTCTTGCCATAATGATAATGGAAACATCATTAATAATCCAGTAAAATGTTCTTTTTTGTTGAAAGCAACCACTCCAGCTTCTTGATAATGTCTCCAGCCAGTCATATATTTATTATTCAAAGTCTTTTCTGTAATTCGAGGGATATCAAATAAATTATCGATTGAATTTTCATTACTTGGGAATAATGTTGCAAAATAATTGGTTTCAATATAATCATTGTTATCTCTTAGTGAACGATCTTGAAAGAAATAAGTACCTGATTTTTGATACTCTTTGGATTCAAAAAATTCCATAGGAGGTACCAATGGGACAGTATCAGCGTCTAGTAATATAATTTCATTAAAAGTTGAAAATAATAATGCAAGTAACTTATTGGAATATCCAGGAAATGAATACTTAAAATTTCTCTTTATACAAGGGGCTAAATTAACAAAAGTTAAATCTTGTTTGGGGAATTCAGAACCAAATTCTTTAGATTGGTCTAATAAGTTGGTATCCTTTAATATCGGATTATCTTCAGCTAAATTTTCGGCCTGGAACGTTGTTTCAATGTCAACTACAGCTGCTTCTTCAATTGCTGTCAACCATTTCTTTGTGATGTCACCCTTGTGCATAATTTGTATTGGTAGTTTGTTGTTGAGAGCTCTCAACACTTTAATCAATCTTACCAAATCTCGTGAATGTCTTGTTGCTGCTGAGACTACAATTCCTTTTCCTTTTGAATTTTTATATATATAATCAATCGAATTTCTCGCATATACATCACTATTATACGAGTTATCTCCATCAAGTATTGGTGGTTTGTCAGTCAAAAATGGAAACAATTTATCGGTAAACTCATCATACACTTGAGCTTGAGTCGAATCTAGATCTTTATTGAAAAAACATTTACCATATAATCTTAACAAGGTTGTAGAATCTGCCATCTCCTGTAATATTGTCTGGGATTGTTCGATATGTTTGTTATATTCTTCTAAGATTGTATGGTTTTGAGATCTAGTCAATCGAAATTTATCCTTAGCATCCGGATTATTCTTTTCATATTTTTCACGTAATCTGTTGATTCTTTCCTTAAAAAAGGATTCCTTTTTATCTGAAGATTTATCGAATCTATTACTTGGTGAATTATATATAGTTAATTTCCAATCTGGATTAGTTGTGTTAAATTGATCGAATATTATATTACATTTTTCATCATTTGGCCTTGCTTTGATTTGATCAATATCTTCACCAAAATGATTAATGAATTGTTTGTAACCGGAATATAAGTAATTCGAGTAATGTAGTTGTTTCTTGATTTTTAAATCATGTTGTTTAAAAGATATTGAATCAAATCTTTCTGTATCTAATAATAAAAGTTTCAATTCTTTAAGTCCGATTGATGGATGTACTTTTAATATTGTGATCAGTATAATACATATTAAACCAACCAAGATTATAACTCTTCTTAGCGATAATCTCATTTGCCTCATTAACTCTATCTTAAACCATTTAGAATTAGATTGATAATGTTGATAATTTATTAAAATTCATTTGATGTTTAAACAATTAAACTCTAATGTATTCTCAACATTTTTTAGTTAACCATAAGCCATGTTTTTCGGGGAATAAAATTTTGAATAAAAATCTTGAATATTGAACAAATGAAGGATTACACGGACAACTAATCAATTAAGAGACCCATTCAACCTTAGAAAAATTACCCCAGCGACAAGGAGTTGTATTTTGGCTGCAAAAAACACTTTTAATATTTTAAAATTTTAAATCTGTGTCTTGCATCAACTTACATTAAAGTTTTAACTTTGAAACAAGCTTCTTTGAACACGGATATAATAGACTATATATATTTATATTCATATGTACAACTATCTTAACGAGCTTTACCCTCAGCTGCTTTTACATATATAATGTCACCATCCTCAACATAATAATCTTTACCCTTTTGTAATAATTTACCAGCAGCTTTTACACTAGCTTCATCACCATATTCAATTAAATCTTCATATTTTATTACTTGAGCCAAAATAAAAGTTCTTTCTAAATCAGTATGAATTGTACCAGCAGCTTGTGGGGCAGTGTACCATTTTCTAATTGTCCATTCTCTTACTTCATCTGGTCCACCTGTGAAAAATGATATTAAATCTAATTTTTGTCTCATTGCAACAATAATTTTTGGTAAAGCTGATTGAGCCCCAATTTCTTTACAATAAGCTTCTCTTTCTTCATCTGATCCCATTCCAGCTAATTTTTCTTCCAATGATACTGATACTGGAACTATTAAATCACCTGGTGAATTTGCATCAACCCATTCTTTAATTTTTAATAAATGCTTGTTTTTCTTTCTAATATAATCTTTTTCTGATAAGTTGATTAAATATATTACTGGTTTAGCAGTTAATAAAAGCATTTGATTTATAGCATCAACTTCTTTTGAAGTCCAAGTTTGATTGTAAACTCTTTTACCATCTTCCAATATTGATATAATTCTTTTAACTAATTCTGCTTCTTCCTTTTTTTGTTTAACTTCTAATGATTGACCACCTCTTTTTGTAATTTTTTCAATCCCTTCTAAATATTTGGTTGCAAATTCAATATCTTTTAATCTTAACTCATCTCTAACAATTTCTAAATCTGCTACTGGATTTACTTCATCATTGATGTGAATAATATCAGAGTCTTCAAAAGCTCTCGTCATTTGGAAAATTGCATCAACTGCTCTAATGTTAGCTAAGAAATTATTACCTAAACCTTCACCGGCATGAGCTCCCTTTGTTAAACCTGCAATATCATAAACGGTTAAAAATGCAGGAACTTCACTTTTTGGTTTATACAATTCACATAATTTATCAAATCTTTCACTAGGAACAATAACTCTTGCTTCTTCTGGTTCAATAGTTGCAAAAGGATAATTTGCTGGGTTACCTAAAGGACATCTTGTAATTGCTTGAAAAAAAGTTGATTTACCAACATTTGCTAATCCCACAATTCCTGATTTCAAATTGTTACCGGGTCTTCCTAGTAAAATTGGTTTTTCTTGAGCTCCTTTCTTCTTTGGTGGCATTGGTGTTGTGATAAAATCTATAATAAATGTTAACTTTAACAGATTTGAAATTTTTTTTTATTTTCTTCAACTGTTTTGTAAAATTTTTTTGAATCAACGCACTATTCAAAAGATCATATAGCATTACATCATACAATTTAACATCATAAACATTAATATGAACTCAAGGCTAATACTAAGACGATCTTTTAACATATCCGCAACGCTAAGTCAATCATCATGTAAAGCAGGAACACCATTAAACTTAAAAATATTCAAAAAAGGTGATGAACCGGTTGCATTAGAAGATAAAGAATATCCAGAATGGCTATGGACAATGATTGATCCAAAAGTCAATCTAGAGAATATTAAAAATGAGGATTTTTTAAGGTGGAGGAGAATAAAGCTACAGAAGGAGAATAATAAAGTTATAAGGAACAATAATTTCTTATCAAAAATGTAAATAGCAAGAAGCGTTCATATGTACATAAATAATAATGATATATTACCATGGATTAGATTCAATTTCTTCATCACCCCAATTCCTATGTAAAAGAGAGTTAGGCATTTGAACACTTTTGAATAATTCATCTCCTTTGAATTTTTCGTCTTTAACAGTCTTTGGTTTTAACTCATGTTGATTATTTTCAAGTTCATCATCATCGTCATCTTCTTCTTGCACTTCTTCAGCCTCATAATCATAAGTGTCATTGAGTCCCGCATTTTTATTTTCCGTTAGTAATTCATCAATATCGTCAACAACACTAATTGGTAATGATGGCTGATATTTTTTACTTCTTAAGACACTCACACCACCAATTCCAGCTCCATAACTATTAATTAACTCCGATGAGTTTGGCAATGCTATATTAAATATAAAATTTGGGTTAAGATAAACATATACTTCTTTTGTTAAATAAGTTGATTGTGTCATATAATGTTGAAAATTTTTATGAATTTGTTGTTCACCTTGCTCATTCATCAAAGACTTGATAAAATTGACAAGTTTTTTAGGTAATCTCGGTTCATCAACTTCATATTTGTATAATTTGTTTACAGTTTTAAAAATTTGATAATAATTCAAATAATCAAATTGATTTATTGTTTTGATTAAATTTTCTTCATCTGATAAGGATGACATACATTGTAACCATTGTAATAATTCTATAGTCGGTTGTAATTGATTTTTGCAAACATGATATAATGAATCATAATAAAATTCCAAGTTTTGAGGGTCTTTTTTCAGTAATGACTTATCATCACTTAATAAATTGTTAAGACTTATAATTACTAGCTGACTTAAGCCACCAATTTTTTCAGGTTTTTGAAATTTTAAGTTATGGGAGCGTAACCAATCTTCTATTGCCGATAAGTTAAGCCTAAGTTGAATAGCTTTTGATCTTGTACAATACTTGCTTTGACTTATGATGTTATTAAAAATTATACAATCGATGTAATAGAATACTAATGAAAAAGTTTGTACTCGAAATAAATTATCAACATTATGAATTTTTAGGACGTAATCTAATGCACCTAAAACTTGTATATATCTTATAGGTGAAGGTTTCATCAACTCATCTTGAGTTGGTGGATTTAATGTGTTTAAAATGTCATCAAAATTATTTGGATGTTTTTTGTTCTTCTTGAATAAATTCCAATCTTTTGCATATAATGTATTTGAAACATCTATTAAACTTGTGAAATTTAAAATACAGTCATTAACCAATAAGTTCAATCTCGAATTTATTGAAAATGATAAAGTTGCAATTAATGATTGTGCTAAATTGATTATTTCTTGTAAAAATCTTGGAAAGGCGGTATAAAATTTGTTTTTGATAAAATAAAAATGTAAATATTGTAATGATGATAACCAATAACTCAATAGCACTATATCTCCAGCTCCTTTTGCATTTTCTTCTTGTAATGCCATGTTGAAAGCTCCCGATTTTGTATTTGTCACAGTTCTTAAACGAGCTGTAAAACAGTCAAATAAGAAATCTGTTAATTCTTTTGACTCTACTTTCAAATGAGCATATCGTATTAATTGAAATACTATTGCAGCTGGCAATCTAGCATTATGTTGATAATTAGTATTTGATCTGAGATTAAAAATATAATCAATTAATGAAGGTATATCGCTATCTGTAAATTTAATATATTGCTCTGGTAATAATTTTTCATACTCAAAATCAGGTAATCTTGGTATCACAGGATCTTGAGCCAATATATATTCATCATCATTTTCATAAACATGTTCAACTTCATCTTCATCAATTTGTCCTGATAATGTCTGCATTTTAAACTTATTCGTTAGATCATCTTCAATCTCGTTAGGTATAAAAGTATTTGTTGTGAATATATCTTGTTCTTCTCCATTATTACTTGCATTTTTTAACACATTATGAGACTTAAAATAATCTATGATCTCTTGCTTTTCAGGATTTAACAACGTTATAGCATTTTTACCATCATCTTTTGGTGAAAAATATGGATCAGCTTGGTAATTGAGTAATAATTTTATTGTGTCTAATTGATTTAAATAAACTGCCCACATTAATGGAGTGTAGTTTATAATTGTATCAGCAACGTCAGGATCGGCATCATGACCTTCTAATAAGGAACTGACAATATCATCATTATTGAAACATATAGCATAAACCAATGGAGTAACTCCTGCTTCATTAGTTGGATACAATTTATTTACTAATTCTGGATTGGATTTTAGTATACTTTCTAGTGTGACAACATCTCCATCACATGAGCTTAATAGTAATTCAATTATAGATTTATCTTTTGATTCTTCTCCCTCTGAATCATCATTACTCGACGTTATAAGATTAGATTCCAATAATTGTAATGCTTTCTTTGATGTTATTATTTGATTTAATAAAGGATCTGAAAAATTAAGTATATTTGATTGAAATCCACTAATATTCGTCAAGGCAGACGGATCAGACCAAGAATTCATATGTGGATTGGTTTGTTATAATTGTGGTATTAGCCTGTATTGGGTGGTATTTTGTCAAACCTTTTTCAAGTTATGTATGGACTTGATTTCGCTCTTAATTCGTAGATTTCTACGGTTCTAAATTTTTACGATATATCACGATCACTATCAATTAATCAATAACTTTCATTCATAAATACAAAAATTAGAGTGATAAATGCTCATATAACAGTCACGTCTTATTTAAATATCAATACTCAAACACTAACATCTTCCCACACTCGCTTTCACAATTCACATTCAACATAGATTAAAATAATGTCCAAATCTATAAGACGAGCCATAATACCTTTAATCACCTTATTAATAATCTTAGGTATAACAATATTACAAAGGTCAAGACCGGATGATTCATTGTATCAAACTTCATCTGAAATTTTTGATTCAATAAGTCATTTTACGTTTACATCACCTGCCACTAATAACAGTCCACAATCAAAACAAAATATTCAAAATAATCTAGATAAATCAATAAGTAATTCTAAAGATTCTACAGATGAACAAGAAGAGCAACCATTAGATCCATGTACAGTGTTTAATCCCATATCAAAAGGTTTTATAGATCTTAGAGGTTTGTCATCTTTTGGAAATGAAAATAAACCATTACCTTGGAATTCAAAAGGATATGATTCAGGAAAAAATTATACTATAGGAATATGTTCAACTCCATTTAAAAAATTACATGATAATGACATTAAAGACAATTTAAATTCAAGTTTAGTTGGTGGGTATTACATGGAGAATAATAAATACATATCAATTGGACAATTTTCGACTCAACCAAAATTTAGAGGTAAAAAATTAACAATAACGTATGAAAATGGTTCATATTGTAATAATTTGTTTGATCAACGAGGTAACCCATTACAAAAATCAACAATTCTAACTTTTACATGTGACAGAGAAATGTCAGCAAAAGCTACAATATCATATATTGGGAATTTTAATGATTGTAATTATTTTTTTGAGGTTAAAAGTCATCATGCTTGTCCTACAGCTGCGAAAGCCAATAACACAGCTGCTGTTTGGATATTTTTATTCATTTTATTGGCTGCATTATTCGTTTATTTCAGTGGTGGGATATTATATAGACAAATGAGGAAAAATAATACTAGTAAAGTTTAAAATAATATATATTATTAATCATATATACTACTTGACACAATTGTTCCAAAATTTTCGGTTTCTGTTTTAATTTCACTTCTACCAACGATTTTACCACCAGTTTTAGCTAACCTTATGGATAATCCAACTTTACCTCCCCAAACATCTTTACCTAATAATTTTAAGGTATGAGAATTAGAATCATTTGCAACAAAATCTGATCCATCTAATGGCAACATATTCAATTGAGATCTTAATTTGTTCACTGCCCCTTCTAAAGAATCTGCTTGGATATATCCAGTTGAATCATTTGAATTAGGTAATTGATCAAATATTTCTGTAAAATTTGAATTGTATAAAGGATTGATAAAGTCTCCTGCAAATAAATACAAATCATCAATTTGATATTCATCTGACCATCCATCATCTGATGAATCTACATTTCCATCTTCGTCTAAATCTCTATTAGTGTATACTATTGTGTTTCCGAATCCACTTAATAAATCTTCTTCAACACTTGGTGCACTAAATGAAACATACACAACGCCAGTTCCATCAGGTTTTAACTCTTCCAAAGGAATTATAAAATCTTCTTGATATAAATCATTATCTGGTTGTGCAATCACTGATAAATCTTGCAATAAGATATTTGGTAAAGTATTATTTATATTATATTGTAAAACCAATTTTTGAGATTCAATAAAGAAATGTTTGATTACACTTACGACAATTTCATTTTCTTTATCTGTCAAATATATTGGAGTAGTGGATCTTGTGAGTTTACCATATGGTTCAATTTCAGGTATAGCTGATAATTCTTGAGCATATTCTTGGTGTTTTAAGAGTTCATTTGCATTCTCTGAAACTTCCTCCTTTTTAGGTTCTGGTTGTTCTATGTTTGATTCATTGCTTTCACGGTCTAATTTATTTAATTTTCTATTGTATTCGATTGATTTTAATTCTTCTTGAGAAATAGCTGGAATTTCTGATATATCAAATTTATCATTAAAATTTTGAGTATTCAAGTAGTTGATAAGCTTGTTTTCTAAAACATTCAAATCGTATTTGGAATCATTAACAATTAGGTCTTTTTTCTTCTTGTTTATGAAATTTAACGATATAGCTGCTCTATCTCTAACTTCATCATCAACATCGTTCAAACATCTAGTTAATAAGATAATGATATTTTTGGAAACATCTCCACCACAAACAGCAGCAAATTTGGCTAAGGAGATAACAGCTGAAGATCTAACAATTGAGTTCTCAAGAACTAATCGATTATAAATGTGTCTGATATAATATGACGGATTTGAAGTAGTTGGACCTTCATCTCCTAATAAATGTAATATACGAACTGATAATTCGGTGAATTCACAATCTTCAATGAATTCACAAAGATTCATTAAGATCAATTGTTTAGCTCCTTCATTTGGTAAAAATTTAATTAAATCAAATAATGCATCAACGATAGTTGTTTTCAATTCTAATGAACCATCATCTCTTAATAAATCTGTGAGGAATGAAACTAACTTTTTATGCTTGGATGGAAATTTTAAAGCTAGATTTTCAATAGCTTCAATGATTACAATTTTAAAATCCTCGGTAATTTCATCCATTAATGATGTCATCTTGGTAATTAATCTATCAACGCTTTCACCTGATCCATTATCAATAGTACCAGCTCCCATGGTTTTGAGAAGTGTCGTAATGGCCAATGTCGATATAGATCTATTTGAATCATTAATTAGACTTTCAAGTTCCAAATTAATTACCAATATTTTTTCTGGATGTTTGATAGAGATCTTGTTAATCAATCTAATAGCTGCAAATCGAGTAGCAGTTCTTGGGACACCTAATAACTTTTGCAATGTTGTAACAATTTGCATATATTGATCATCATTTAACAAATATTGTAAATTGATTAAAGTCTTGCAAGCTTCCAACTCAACCATATCTGATTTATGTTTTAAGAATCCTGCTAATATGGGATATAAATGAGTAAATAAACCCTCATCATCAATTAAAATTTTGTTAATATATCTAATCAATTGAATAATTGATAATGAATTCTTCAATGAAGATCCCTCAGATAAGGAACTTATTAATTTCATCAACGACATTTTATCATGATTTCTCAATTGATAAATTAATCCCAAAGCATGATATTGATACATATACGAAGTGGAAGGTAAATTAGAAGTAGCATTTCCATAATATTCGTGTAATTGAAATTGATTTGGTGGGAATGACTTATATGATGATATAGTTTCTAAAGTTTCATTCCCAAATCTTTTAACAACATCCTTAGCATGCGGTAACAAGTTATATGATGAAATTAAAGCTGCTGAAGAAACTATTGGATTTTTATCAACAATTGCATTTTTAAACAATCTTTCAGCCGCTGTGACAGTAGTTGGGTCCAAGACTTTTGACAAAGTTCTAATGGCATTTGGTTTGTATACGGCATCATTACCTTGAATATCTTTCATTATTGATGAAGTAACCATTAAAATATCATCTGATGTTTGCGATAATTCTTTTATAGTTAAGTAAACCAATTGTCTCAATGATTCATCTTTATGTTGAAATAATTTTGATATAGAAAAGAATAATGTAGTTGACTCTTGAGCAGGAAATTCTTCACCATTATAAATTAATCTTAATAATTTTGCTAGTAATTGTCTACATTTTTTTGCATTGACAGGTGTAGCATTAAACTGTTGTAGACATTCCTGGAAAACTGCCATTTTGTCAGGCACACCAGACGTGCTGTATGCATCCTGTTTTTTGTAGGACAGTGTAGACATTAGTCAATTGGTGGTGTTGCTGAATGATTTTATTACGTGTTTTGATTCAAGTGGTTAATTTCGATTTTGGATGAAAAAATATATGTATAGATCGTGCACAACACAAATTTGTAAATTTTCAAAATTTATGTAACTTTTTAATATTACGAGATTGATTCAAGACCAACCCATATAATTACACACATAATAATCGAATGTTATCGTTCACTAGTTTCATAAGGCTGCAGCTTGCTCAACCCAGAATATTTAATGTTACACCAAAACTAATAGCTCCCACAATAGGCTCAGTATATCAACCATTCCGATCATTTAAAGTCAGAACTTCCGTGAAAAAATTTTGTAAAGATTGTTATTTAGTTAAAAGAAAAGGTAGAGTGTATGTTTATTGTAAATCAAATGGAAAACACAAACAGAGACAAGGTTGAGTTTAGGCATTCATTTCATTCATGTATATAAATTATTAATATATTATTCGTTTTGGAGTTTAGTTTTACTTCTATATGGTTGATTACCACTAAAGGATGACATTCTAGAATTTGAAAGCTGATCTTGACCAATTAATTTACTAGACAATGTTGAATATATTGCATCTTGCCAAATTTTGTTTACCTTCCCTGCAATTTCATTTTGTTTATCTCTCCATGCGGGAGCGTATTCTTCAAAAGTATTTGCATTGGAATCAGTTCTTTTCTTTCCTTTAATTACTTTAATTTCATTTTTATTTTCAATTCTATTCAAACTTCCAGCTACGGGATTCAAATTTCTTCTCACATTTAAGTATTCTCGATTTAATCTTTCGAATTCTGTACGTACTTGAATTGAATTTTGATGTGAATTTTGAACCATCAAAAGTAAACCATTTATATTCGTAGTTGAATTGTTATTGGAATTTGTAGTGTACCCTTCTTGAATATAATTCTCCGGTGTAACTGGGGTCATTGGACCAACACTAGAAGGTAATATATGCAGCAGACCATAAGAATTTGGGTAATTATGTGAAAACATTAAATTATTTAATGATAAGTTTGAAAAATTACACTTGTTCTGATTCATGTTTGTTACATCTAATAATGAACTTTCTCTCTGTAGCCATAATTTCTGCTGGGTCCTAGTCTCAATATTTTTCGTTTGATGTTGATCTGAGCTGTTACTTCGTAAAAATTCATTGAAATTATTAGTTCCATTTTTTAAATTACTAACAGGTTTAGTTTGTAAATGTGAATGTTGATGCTTTATTGGATTCTTTTGCATATATTGATTATTAGTTCTTTGTAAATTATTGAAAATAGTTTGATCTGGTTGATATGAATTTTTTTGTATTACATTTTGATTTGTTGTAACAGGTTGAGCTAAATTAGACTCCATAGGATTAGCTTTAAATGAAATACCACTTGTAGATTCCGGTAATGGTTCAGCGTACGCTTTTGAACTGATTGGTTCTATCTTTCGTACTACTCCTGTTGATTGAGACAATAAAAGGGATCCACCATATAAATTACTTTTAAAATCTTCAGCTGAACTTTGTACAGAAGAGACTAAATCTGGTCTCTTGGGTTCTTCTTTGTCAATGTTTTCTTGTAAAACTTCAAGTTTTGGTTTTTCTTGCTCAACAGCCGGATCTGGTAAGATTCTATTAATTTGTTCATATAAACTTGGAATATTTTGATCTGAATTCAGATGAGTGGTAGATATTGTTTCTTGACTATCAAATCTTTCCGGTACTGGTGCATCTGGCTCTTCATCTACATCTTCATAGTCTCTATCATCATCATTTAAATTCATTATCGCTTTACCTTTCCTTGCACTCGATTTTATTCCAACTGATGAAGTCAGACCAAATTGTTTAAGTGAAGTATTGGATTTATTAGATTTAATAGATTGATTGGATACTGTTTTAGTCAATGGTTGTAAGCCTGCTATTTTTGTGAAAGATTTGTTATTTCGCTTCAATGCAGCAGCTGTTTGTCTTCCTTTCATTAATCCATCGGTTGATTTCGATCTGTTAAGATTTGGCCGCGACAAATTAGTATTGGATGATGTTGATAATTTTACTAATTTATTATGAGATAAAGATCTATTATGAGTTTTAAGTCTTGGTGGAGGATGAGTTCTTTTACTACCATTATTTGAAATATTTGATGTGGAGACTGATCTTACTGAATTTTGTAATGAAGGTCGTAGATTTGTTGATGATTGATTTTTGTCTTTGCTTTTTGTTGAATTTGATGAGTCAGAATCAATCGAAGGTGACCTTGAAAGTTGTTCATTTTGATTTGATTCTTGCTCTGGGTTCATTGTTGTCTATTATGTACACTGTGATGTTGTTACATATATTTTATACTATCGGACTTTATAAATCTACTTTATCAATCCAAATCACGTGATTAAAACTCCATAATTTTTCAGAATGAACCATAATCAACAAGGTGTTTTCATAAAAATCATATATAAGCATTGTGGTGAACATTATTTGAAAAAAAATCAAGATTATAGTTTAAAACCTTTACTGGTTTGGTTTTAACATTCAAACGTTGCGGAGAAGATCAAACTATACAATTTTTACCATATTTATAAATATATCACTAAATACCTTCAAATTTTCCATAGAGTTTTTTGATAAAAAACATATGAGGAGTTGTTTTTTTCCATTATTAATTATTTATTAGATCAGTAGTCTAGCTTGCTGAACAAAAAAAGAATAAACTTCAAGATGTACGATTTCGTTTGCTATATCAGGCTGAGAACATAGGGAAAAAGTATCTTCGAAAAGTAAAACTCGACATAACAATTACACTTTCATCGAATTTACTTATCATTATATCGATTCTTTGATAGTTCTCATAGATTCAGCAATCAAGACACAGATTTCATGGATCAAGAATTTATAAAAGCCAAAACGTGTTTAGTATCTACAAATGTAACAACCGAGTAATATAGGATTTACAAATCATAAGCTATACACGGCTCCAAATATGAACAATGAATGCAGTAGTGAACTAATTCAATTTGAAAGATCCAACACGTGTAAATCAATGGAAATCAATATCATTGAATCGAGACTAATTAAAAAATTAATGGGCTAAAATTTTTTTAATTAAGGGGTTTTAGATTAAGTTACTTATTGTTTAAAGATTTCAAGATCCTACACATGGTGCAATTTCGTATACCATTATGATATATATATAGAAAATGAGTTCCTTATTTTCATTGAAATTTTCAATTGTCATTAAATTTCATTAGTCCAAACCAAATCAATTATGCAATTAATTCAATTTTTTGTTGTTTTTATTTTAGCATTTGGTTCTTTAGCTCATACCGTACCAGGTTTATCATCACTTAAAAGCCAGTATTTAGCTAAAAGGGAATTTAATGATGTTGCTGAAAATATCTTTAGAAATTTACCAAGAGAAGAAATTGATTTTATTAATTATCATTTACAAAATTTAACAAATTATAATAGCACTAAGTGTGATACATGTAAACATAGATTAAGATACGCGAGATCATTAGTTGATGAGTTGCCAGACAAACAACATTTGGTGGTATTAATGTTGTATAAATATTGTGTTAACACTAATTACAATTCAGCTTCATGTGGTTATAACGAATTCTTCATCAATACTGGGTCTTATAATAATGATTCATTTAATGATACACCAGATTCAAACATTGGAGCATTCACTAATGTTCATATCTTTGACAATGATTTTTTGAGAGTGATTAAAAATTTTGATATTGAAAGTGAAATTGATTTAGAATATTATTGTTTTTTCAAGGACAAAGAATCTTGTGATTTACCAGAAACTCCTGATGTTGAAGAACTATTTAATATTAGTAATTGGTGGCCAGCAAAGCAACCAAAGCATTATCAACAACCAATATATAAAAACAATTCTGAAAAATTCAACGTTATTCATGTTACAGATTTCCATATTCAACCAGCATATGAAACAGGTCAAGAAGCAAATTGTAGTAGTGTTCCGTGTGGTATCAAATGGTCTTATAGCAAGAAACTACCAGGTAAAGAATATAATTTCACTGAATATTATACAAATTTAAATCCAACTTTCAAAGACTTCAATTTTTCATTCTATCCTGATGCTCGTTATGATGATTTGGAATACATAAAAGGAGATTATTATGATTTTCCAAAATATAGAGGTTGGAACTTTGTTAACTCACCTGCTACTCCATTTGGTGCATATTTAAGTGATAGTCCTCCTTTGTTGATGAATTCTTCTTTAGCTCATATAAAGAAAATGAATCAAGAAAACAATTTAAACTTTGAATATGCTATTTTCACAGGAGATCTCTATAATCATGACTCAACGCATGGTTCACGAGAAGAAACTATTGCTGATGAAACTTTGGCTTTCAATTTGATGAAAGATTACTTTGGTAATATTACAGTGCTACCAAGTTTAGGAAACGTAAGTATCATTTTATTACTAACTCATGCACGTTGTTTTAAATTGTTGTGTCTTTACCGATTATAAGACATTAGATTGCTACCACATGAAAAATAAAATAATAACTTTTTTGCAAAATTTGACTTTTTTGCAAACATCAAACAGCACAATTTCAAAGAGCGATGAGTTTAGAGATTCAACAGTGTACTAACTCGAATTTTGCATGATGATTTCCCTTATTCTCAATTACCACCTCTTCATTTAAACAACGACACTGAGTCTGATCATTACCATTATAATGTGGAAAAGATGGCAGAGCTTTGGATCAATAATGAGTGGTTTGATAAAAAAGATGAAAATGATTTGAAAAGACACTATACAGGATTTTCATATGTCACCAAAAGAGGTTTGAAAGTCATTGCTTTAAACTCTAATGCTTATTATGATGGTAATTTATATGCTTTCTTAGATCAAACTACTAACCCAGATCTTTTTGGAAACTGGAAATTTTTAGTTGATGAATTAATAGAATCAGAATCAAAAGATCAAAGAGTTTGGATAATGTTCCATGTTCCACCAAACAATTTTGATGTTTTACCAATTGCTTCCCGAATATTCGGTACGATTGTTGAAAGATTCAGTCCATATACTATTTCAGCAATCTTTTCAGGTATGTATAATTTTGAAATTAATTTTTGAGTTTGAGTAACACACCCTTCCAGCACAAATCACTTTTACTAACTCCTTAAAAGGACATAGTCATAGAGATCAATTCCTGATTTTATACTCTGGGAATTCAACAGCCGATGAAGCTCAAGAAAAAGATGCTTTATTAGTAAATTATGTTTCACAATCAGTAACTCCTTTCACTTCATTCAATCCATCATGGAGATATTACGAAGTTGAAAATGAAAGTTTCAACATCATTAATTCAAACAATTATTATTTACAATTAAATGGAACATTTAATAATGGAGGTGAAGAACCAGAATGGGAGTTTGAGTATTCTGCTAGAGATCTCTATGATCCAGATCATACTTGGCCAACCAATGCTCCATTAAATGCTACTTTCTGGCATAGATATGTTGCTGCAAGATTATGGAATACTAGTGATACAGCCTTTAATCAAAAATTTATGGATTATAAATATAGAAAAAGTCCTTTGACTCCAGTATGTACTACTCCAAAGGAGAAGAAATTGGCTAGAGTCTGTTACAATGATAATAACTGCTTCTTGAACTTTTACTCAGACAACAATATTAAATGTCAAAAGGAGCCAATTAAATAAAAGAAATTGAGCTTTTAAAGCATATTGGAAATGGTTTATTTGTAGAAAATAAAATTGTGGATTTGAATCTAGATTTGGTTATTTACCTAGTGTTTGATATTTATAAAAATATACATTTAGTCTTATGCGTCTTGAACGATCTTTTCACAATCTAATTACTACCATTCTTCTCAAAAAATGAGTCCTTCTAAGAGCTTTGATTTGAATGGATAAATCCTATTCATAGCAATTTTTGATTGGATTATATGATAACAATTGTACATTCCCAGTATAATCACGAACTTCGACTTCTTTTTTCGAACTTGGAAAGTACAAACTTTCAACTTCTTTTTTCGAACTTGGAAAGTACAAACTTTCAACTTTAGCCGAGTCTTCAACATATAAAATACTTCAAATATTATGTACTATTATTGATTTCGCAGATGTAGCGTTTCTAAATGTTGATTTTCAACTCGACTTAGTCATTTTAATGAATTTTTCATGTTAAGTAATATAAGAACATTCAATGAAGTGAAAAATCAAAACACACCAAATATATTAATAATTTACAAGAAATCCTAATTAATAATAAAGAAGATTAAAATTTTTATACTTATTGCCAAATGAAATAGCAGTTAGTATACGAGAGTATAAAGCATAATTTTACAATAAACGGCGTGATCAAACTTTCCAAAAGCGGTTATATATCAGAGAAGAGGCAGAGTTTTTAAATTCGGTTGTTAAGTCCAGTTTCGAGTATATCTAGTTGCAACAAAGTTGTTTCAAATTTTATTAGGTGGGCTATGAACAGTTCAGGACCTACGATAGATTAACCTATTTAAAGCTAGCATCTTCTGTTTTTTTATCATCCACTTCACCATAGTCGATTTCAGTCAAGTGTTCATGACTTGCATCCTTCTTACCGTTTACAAAAGCCAATGAATTATCCCGTTGTCCAATGCTGACAACATTTGGTTCACCAGTATATTGAATTGGATGTTGGTCGATCCACTCCAAGGTATATTTTGTATCATCAAAAACTACTGACTCCCAAGGTATTGGAATTGGACCATCGTAATCAGAAGCATTATTTAATTGTTGTTGTTGATCTTGTTGTTGTTGATCTTGTTGTTGTTGATCTTGTTGTTGTTGTTCTTGTTGTTGTTGATCTTGTTGTTGTTGATCTTGTTGTTGTTGATCTTGTTGTTGTTGTTCTTGTTGTTGTTGATCTTGTTGTTGTTGATCTTGTTGTTGTTGATCTTGTTGTTGTTGTTCTTGTTGTTGTTGATCTTGTTGTTGTTGATCTTGTTGTTGTTGATCTTGTTGTTGTTGTTCTTGTTGTTGTTGATCTTGTTGTTGTTGATCTTGTTGTTGTTGATCTTGTTGTTGTTGATCTTGCTGTTGATCTTGTTGTTTAATGCTGTTATTAACACTTGTGCCAGACTCATTTTCGGTTAAAGATACTTTTTGTAATATATTTGATATGTCAGATCCAGTAGTTGGTGTTGGTGCAACAATTTCTCTTCTTTCATTTGATGCTCCTTCAGTTTGGCTACCATCAAGGATTTGATTGTTAGATGTTTCGGTGTATTTCTGATCTGACATGCTGTTTAAAGTTTATAATATGTATAATATGAATATTATGGATGTACTACGTGAATAGTATGAAAAATGATAACAGTTGTTATTAAGAACAATTATGATGAGTAATATAAATATTATAACCAAGATGAAAATTGTGATATAGATAGTTGATGTATAAAAATTAGATGTGCATCCAATGAAAAGTATAGCTAATGATAGCTAGTTACTAGTATAATTTTCAATATATAAATGAAAAAGTTATGATAACATAGTTTTGGGTTATTATGAAGTACTTTTATAGCTTATTTATCGTCTATTTTGAAACGCGTATTGACTATATTTTAAAATAAATTTATATATTTAATTAATATTATTTAATTAGTTTCACTTCAAAATGATTGAGTTATTTAATATAAACTTTTGTATAGCAAGGTAGTAGGATAGACAAGTAACTTTACAAATTAGGTAATTATTTTATCCAAATAAAGAGCTAAAAGTGGAGATTATAAAAGCGTTGTCAAGTACTCTATAGTTAAGTTGTTTCAGATTTTATTAGGCTGCAAAAAAATCTTAGAGAGAAAAAAAAAATAAGAACACAAAACTTTAATAAAATTTATTTATCAGACTAATATGCATATTATACCAATTAATTAAAACATAATATAATAATTGACCATTACCATTTATAGATTTAACTGAGTTCAAACGTATTAATTAGATTACTTATATTCTATATAAGCTTCTGTTCTTGTAGTATCTTCTATTTGTGATTAATAGATAAGGTACAAAAAGAATCACTTACTAAATTTTTACAATCGGAACCATTAAATTATTAAAACCATGCGAATTAATTGAAAACCAATCATTTCTGATACATTAAATAGCAAAAATGTTTAGTGCGTGCAAATGTAAAGAACAGCACTGAGCTTATTGTCATGTTTTCTTTACAGTTTAGACTCATGAGTGCAATATATTTCCAAGCACTGCTTCTTTTTATTGTCAAGTTTGTCCTTAAGGTGGGGTTACCAGGTCTAGCAATTCTTTTTTATATAATTAGAGAGCTATTTTTTTCATTTAAGAATTACATCTTGTTACCAGATTTAAAATAAGAATTCGAGCAAAGGTTATTTTAGTTTTATTCTTGCAATAATAATCAGTTTGACAACAAAACTTTGGAGACATGAAAAGCTGTGAATAAATCTCCAACAAACATTGGTTCAATACAAGTACCTGATGCTGTAAATGAAGCTTTCCTTTCCAATTATCTCGTTGGTGCCAGGAACGCTAAAAAAATATATATAAAATTGAATTAAAGGAAAGTAATAAGTTTAATTTTCGTGGAAAAATTTTTCGAGGTCACCGTTGGCTGTTTGAGAGCTGAATCCCTGTATCTCTTCAAATATCTATTTACCACTGTAAGTGTAAAGTTTTGATATATTCAAATACCTTTAAATTAATCACCATGGAAATATCGCTATCTATAATGGTTTGAAACGAGTGATAACTATATTTGATAATTTTAAACTAATGGAATAAGTAGGGCTCATTCATTTAAATTAATCCTTTTCTACAGAAATGTAGTTAAGCTATTCATTCCATTTATGTTGTTAAAGTGAAACAAATTGTTTTTAGTCTATACATTTAAAACATCTTGAAGTAAACGTGATACTCTAATCAGTAAATTAGTGCGTTGTAAATCTTTAACCTAAACTATGTGGTTCATTGATCATTGCAGCAGCTTAAATCCTCTCCCTTATTGTTGGCTCATATCAGCCATTGGATTAAAAGTAGTAGGTGCATCAAAAGTAGGATCTTTTGAAGGTATATAAACACTTGAACTTTCACCTCTAAAACTTCCATTATTTGATCCACCTCTACCTCTGCCTCTTCCACCTCTAAAATTACCTCTACCACCTCTAAATCCATTGCCTCTTCCTCTTCCACCTCTAAAACCTCGATCATAAACTTGTCCATTAGCTTGTGCAGCCGCAGCTTCTTGAGCAGCTTGTCCACCATGTTTACCTCTTCCAAATTGTCTTCCTTCTCTGAAACCTGGATCTAGATCTATCGATATATTATGACCATCCAAAACCGTTGATTGTAAATATTTCATTGCATTTAAAGAACCTTCTTCAGTTTTGAAAATTACAAAACAAAATCCACAAGGAGTTAATTTATTTCTATCCAATCCCATTATAATTTTTTCAATTGGTCCACATTTCATAAATAATTCATGAATTTGTTCTTCTGTTGTGAAATGAGATAGATTTCCAACATAAACTGTACGTGATGTAATAGCTCGCTCGAGTTCTCCATAATTATTACGAGCTTTTCGTATTAGATAAGCTGATGGTTTATCTAGTCTTTCTGCTGAGTTTTTAAATGTATTATCTAGTATATCCATGAAGTTGTAATGATGTATAGAATCATGTAATTCAAAAGAAAAAATTATTTTTGGTCTACTTAATATTGATTCACCTTATCGTCAATGTTAAGTTCATTAGGATTTAAAACAGGAATAAGAGCACAATATAATGTTCTGGATAATCCTACATTCGTATCTGAACCTTGGGCTATATACCCTGCAAAACATAAAAGTGGAAGAATAGTATCTGTTTTCATATTTGATAAAACTAAATTTGAATCTCAAGTTCAAAGAATAAGTCAAACAACAAATCCTAAAAAGATTATAAAAGAATGTTATGAATTAATTAAATCAGAAGTAAATCAATTGAGTAAATTAAAACATCCACAAATTTTAACAATTTATGAAGTATTAGAAGAAACTAAAACAAAATTTTTATTTGTAAGTGAATCAATTGGAAATAATTTAATTACAGCCGGGAATTTGGATTCTTTATCAATTCAAAAGGGATTATTACAATGTGCAAAAGGATTACAATTCTTACATAGTAATAATATTATACATTTAAATATTCAACCATCATCTATATTCATCAACAATCAAGGGGATTGGAAATTAGCAGGTTTTAAATTTTTACAAAATTTAAATGAAATATCACCACAAGAAAGAGATTCATTTTTTATATCAAATTCAACCGTACCATTTGCGAATTTAAATTTAAGTTTTACATCGCCTGAATTAATTGAGTCTGGAAGGTTAGAAAATACAACAGATGTTTGGTCTTTTGGAATGTTAATTTATTTTTTATATAATCATGAATTTTTAATAAATGCAGATGATTTACAAGAATACAAACAAGAATTTAAAAAATTTGAAAGAAAATTTTATAATCATAAACCAACTGAATTAAAATATATTTTAAAAGATGTACCTGAAAAATTATTTATCCTTTTTCCTAAAATATTAGCAAGATATCCATATGATAGATTAACTTTGGATCAATTTATTGATTCTGATTTTTTTAATGGAAGTATTATAAAAGCAATGTGGTTTATTGATGAATTTTCTACAAAGACTATAAATGAAAAAATTGTCTTTTTAAAAGGACTTCTTGATGATGATGCTACTTTGATAAATCAATTCCCACCAGCTTTTAAATCACTGAAATTGTTGCCTTTACTTATAGGTGTACTTATAAATGAGTTGACAGTATTGGATGAATCTGTGGTTATAGATCCTAATGTTGATGAATTAATTTGTCTTTCATTGGAGATTATTTTATTAATTTCCAAGTCATTATCAGCATTAACATTTCAAGATAGAGTGTTTAACGTATTATTTAAAGATAATACTACATTTACGGAAAAAGTGTATGATGTTATTTTCAAAGATGAAAAAGTTAAGAAGCTAAAAACTTTCACTAAATTAATAAATGCATCAGTAAAGACAAGATTAGTTTTAATAAATAACTTACCTGTATTACAAGAAAAATCAAATGACAAATTATTCACAGGATTTATAAAAAGTATACTAGATCTTGTATTTACATTATCACCAAAAGAACAAGATCAAAAAGATATTCAAATTCAATTACAAGAAACATTTTTAACAAGTCTACCTAATTTTGTCAATAAATTTGAATTTCCATACATAAAGAATACATTATTCCCATTACTTTGTAAGATATTCCAATCCACAACGGTATACTCAACAAAATTAAAAATTATAGATACATTTGATGCATTTATTGATAAAAAAGTGATTGATAGAATTATAATAGAAGAACAATTACTAGTAGTAACAAAGACTATCAAAAATAAAGATCAAGATATAATCATAAAATTATTAACGCTTTTTGAAAAAATCATAACTAGTGAACATGTAAATCTAGATTTGAAAACATCGATTGAATTGCTATTACCACAATGTTTTTTATTTGCTTTTAATTGTGAATGTGATCAAAAAGAATTCAAGAATTTTATATCTATTATAAATAAAATACAAAAACAATTAGTTGAAAAGAAGTTACTGCAATTACCAACTATAAGTCCAACATCAAAAAATGGCACAAGTAATAATTTTGATACTTTATTACAATCACAAACTATAAAGCAACCTGAAAAAGAAGAACAAGCTCCAAAATCAAAAGTATTACAACCAACAACAAAAGCTTCACAACCAACTTCAAAAGTATTACAACCATCGAAACCCAAACCAAAGTTAACCTCAACACTAACACCAACATCTAGAGCTACATCAAATCAACCACATAGACAACCATTAACATCCCACAAACCAACCTCTACGTTATCATTTGGAGCAACAAATTCTAACACCAACAACAATAATTTATTAAATAATTTAAAAAGTACATTTGAACAAAATAATTATAAACATAATGAAGATGAATTTGATGATTTTCAACTGGCTGCTAATAATATAAAAAATGATAATTTTAATAGAATGAAAAATTTACCAATAACTCCTACAAATCCAACCCCAGCATCTAATAGTTCAATGATGATGAATTATAAACTGAATGTAAATAATGTAAATTATCCACCTGGATTCAACACTGTATTATCTCCCAAGGGAAATCAAACTCAACATTCAACTACTTCAAATTACCAAAATAATAACAATAACAATAACAACACCAATATTAATTCTGATTTATTAGATTTACTTTAATGCATTATTCATTATGAAATGATTAATTTATATTGACTTTGCTCTATGTCGACTGATTCGATTGTATCTTACGAATTATACATATCCACTTACATTTTTGAAATTAAATTGGGAAAATCAAAAAACATTACACAAAAGCTCTAGCATAATTGTGTTTCAGATTTAATAGTAATTGACATAGAATCACTACAATAGAACTGCATCAATCATTGAATTAGATAAGAATACGTTTAAACATGCCAATTCTTATGATTACCGAGAACTCACGAAGCTAAATGTATGATTGTTCTATTTTCTCACTCTTTTTTGTATGGTGCCACAATCTATTTACGCATTCAAGATCTGAAGAGGTTTATTAGACTACATATATTTTTAAGATAATTGATTTCATAAACTTGTGATTTGATGGCTGTTGTAATCTACAGGCTGAAAGTAGTGTATGACTTTTACACAATTTATATATTTTGCCATTAACATTCCTGCCTTTTCACAAATCTCACCTGTATCTATGAATGTTTCAAAGCTGCTGCAAATTTTTGTAAATATTAGCACATTTTTGTTTCATATCTTTGAATATAGTGGCGTGAGATGATAGATTAATTTTGCAACAAGAGAATAAAATTCACTTTCAAACTTTGCAGAATTATGAAGTGTTGTATATTTGAATGATTGAAGAGTATAACTTTAGGTTGAAACTTATTTGGAGTTTTTGATTCTCGTGCAAAGGGGAATTGTATTTACATGAAGAGATTGGAAGAAAAGCAAGAGACACTATCTTGCATAGGATAGGTGACACATGTTTATGATTTTTCAACTTGTTAGATTATAAAGATCTTTTATTCTATCTTACAAAAGATCGAAGTTAACAACATCAGGCAATCAAATGATTCATGAATTTTGTATGAAGAATTAAACCAAAAAAAGTCAAACGCTACCAATCAGTCAATGCGCTTTTAAAACCGAAATTCGGTTAATAAATTTTCATTTTTCTATGTATCGTTTAGCTCGTATAAAATATTAAACATCGAAAATAGAAGAGGGAAAAATAACCTCCGTGAGCTACCAAAAATCTTGCGCCAACGTGACTTTTTAACCTCGAATGAAAAAACTAGTTGCGTTTTAAAAAAAGGTAACTCCATACTTGGACCAAAGTCAATCACAACCCAAGTAACTGAATCCCTCTACTTTATCTATTGATATATTACTTACGTTAGCATGAAGAGTCATAACTGCATTGACAAAAAAGCCAGACAGCGTCCAGCACTGCCAGATGTTGAAAGTTTTACGAAGTGCAATCATTATTAGTGATAAGAAAATTAAAGTTCTTCGGCCGCAACACGCGTACGTCACCCTCGAAGTTTGATTTCCGACGGAGGTCAATTTTCCACCTTCTCGAAAATAGAATAAAAAGAATCTGGAAACGATGCATTAAATAAACTTAAACGAGATTTTGCTATAATGACAAAAAAAAAAGAAACTAAAGACACAGGATTGTTTTGACAGGATTTAGTTAACTAAGGTATTTAGGAAGTGGGAATAATGACCCAATCGTATTGAATCGTTCAATAGCAGTAGAGATTAAGGGGTTGTATAGTGTAATTGGCCGTGACAAAACTCTCATCGTTTATGCACTTCTTATTGCTAATATATAGTGCAATGAATCAATGTGTGTTTTAAATCATTCCACTAATAAAATTATTTTAACGAGATTTATTTATTTTTATTCAAAATCATTTTTAAATATCAACTATAAATTATCATTTTCTTTTATTATTTAAGATTCAAGGATATATCAATTCTGTCTTCTCAACCATCATCTCATTTCATACCCTAGCTTTTGCTCAGTTATACTCATTTTTCAATCACTGCAACAACCACGGCAAACTAATTTTTCACCAACTAATTCCATCGTTTAATTGCTTATACTTTAATTTTAAACCACGTTTTTACAAAGAACCCCATAAACTAAACTAAAAAGATGGATATTGTATTAGAAATCTGTGATTATTATATGTTTGATAGAATATATGGAACATTGTTACCAAAAGGTGGAACTATTGATCAATTTATATCAAATTTACCAATAATAAATCAATTATCATCTTATTTACAATTACCAAAATCACCTATAATAACTTATAATGGATTTAATTCTACAAACACTATAACTAATCAAATAAATTTTAATACAACAAATTTAAATTTTACAACTTTATTTACATATATTTTACAAAAATTATCAAATTATCAAAATAAATGTGATATATATGGTTTGAAACCAAATTTCCTACCATCTGGTGATTATTTCCATTCATCATTTTTAGAAAGATCAAATATTTTAAGAGAATCATTAAGTATATTAATTGTAACAACAATTTTTGGTTGGGTATTGTACTTTATAACAGCTTATTTAAGTTATTTATTTGTATTTGATAAAAAAATTTTTAATCATCCAAGATATTTAAAAAATCAAATGTCTTTAGAAATTGAAAGAGCTGTTACTGCTATACCTATTATGGTTGCTTTAACAAATCCCTTTTTTTTATTAGAATTAAATGGTTTTTCAAAATTATATATGAATATAAATGATTCAACTGGAGGTTGGAAATTTTTATTTGCTCAAATTCCAATGTTCATATTATTTACTGATTGTTTAATTTATTTTATTCATAGATGGTTACATTGGCCTTCAGTTTATAAAAGATTACATAAACCTCATCATAAATGGATTGTTTGTACTCCTTTTGCTTCTCATGCTTTTCATCCAATAGATGGTTGGGCTCAAAGTTTACCTTATCATATTTATCCATTATTATTTCCATTACATAAAGTATTATATTTATTTTTATTTACATTTGTTAATTTTTGGACTGTTATGATTCATGATGGTAATTATATGAGTAATGATCCAGTTGTAAATGGTACTGCTTGTCATACTGTTCATCATTTATATTTTAATTATAATTATGGACAATTTACTACTTTATGGGATAGAATTGGTAATAGTTATAGAAGACCTGATGATTCATTTTTTATAAAAGATAATAATGATTTAAATACTAAAAAAATGTGGAAAAATCAAGTTGTTCAAATGGAAGAAATTAGAGGTGAATTAGAAGGAAAAGTTGATGATAGAGAATATGTTGAAGAATAAAAGAATTTGGAAACTTCATTTCGATACCATTTTGACTATTTTATAAAGACAGTTTTGTTTTATCTTTAAGTTTATAAATTTATATACCTTTTTTTTTCTTTTAATAAACCTTTTTTAATATCTTTGGAAATTGGATACTAAATACTCTTCAATTTCGAAGCTAAACTTTGAACTTACTTGTGAATTTTATATTATAATCCTGCTTTCTTTCAAGTGCTCAAATGATTATCAATCACTCAATAAAACCGTAATAGCTGAAGATTAGAGTTAGAAAGGGTTCGTCCCATCTCAGATCTAAGTGTAGATAAATTCCATATAGCACTATTATCAAAGTTGCTAGATCTCCTCGCAAATTTAAACGAGGCCAATGTAAACTCTAGTATATTCGAGTTTGATTGATACTAAGCTTTTTCAAGTCATTTAGCATAAGTAATAGTATAGTTCGAAAATAATGTCTTACAATTTACTCAAACAAACATAAGATTGTTCTTGAAGCCTTAGAGATAAAATCAGTTTCTAATCAATGTTTTCTATCTAGTTCAAACAAACCAAACACGTCAGGGATAACTATTACACATTTTAAAATTTGGCTCACAATTTTTTTATTGTATTACGTATTCAATAACTTTAAAGTTTTGAATTTTCCTCTTGTTTCAGATTTTACCAAATTGCACAACATTTTAAAGTTAATTGTATCAAGACTAAAAAGAAACTTCATTTAAAAATTTATTCACTACATTTCAGTCGATTTGTCATCAAACAAATTCGTTTTGCATATTTCCACTTACTGAATCTACTTGAAAGGTAATCAATCTTGATACTGATCTTGATAAAGATCTTCAATCATCACAATGACCCATGCATTATCTCATTTGAAATTAAGTACATCGGAACGAGTATCTCTTTCAAAATCCGTTTTTTATTAAATTAGTAGCCTTGGTTGCTTTCAATAAGTAATACACTCATTTTAATGAGGAAACAACTTTAAGTAATGATCAATGTAATTTGTCTTCTTTAAGTTTTAGTCTTCATCATAGCATCTAAAAGCCCCTTAATATTTTTTCATTTTTTTTTTTTTAACTTTAAATTATGCAAAAAACAACAATGTCATCAGTTGAAAAGTATATACCATTACCTCAATCAGCAGGATATGGAGTTTTAATGGGATTTGGAGCAGTATTAGCAATTGGAATGTGTTTGACTACGTTTATGTTAAGAAGATATAATAAAGAGATCATAACATCAGAAGAATTTGCAACTGCAGGTAGATCAGTTAAAACTGGATTAATCTCAGCTGCTGTGGTCTCTTCATGGACGTGGACTGCCACGTTATTGACAAGTACAACTCAGTGCTTCTTGAATGCTGTCTTTGGAGCGTTATCTTACGGTCGCCTCGGAAATGCTGGAAGCTTTATTTTGAAGTGATAAGGATGATCATGAGAAACTCTTTAAAAGAACTCAGCACGTTTATTTGTTACCAATGTTGAAATAGTGTACTTTGTATTGCAAGTTTTAAGTGTTTTGTTTGCGTAGTTCTAGCGTCTCACTGAGTAATATCAAGGTTGTAGTATACTCCTCACTATTTATTGCTTGTTATTAGCATTTAAAATTTTAGATTCCGCATCGATTATCTATTAGCATCCGTATTATTAAATGCCATTTTGCTAATGCTGGATGCTAGTCCAACCTATTGAACAATTAATTACGGTTTAAACTCATAAGAAATTGAGTTCTCTGACATAGGTGAGTTGTTTTGTGTTTCACACGACCTATTAAAACTAGGTGAAACTGAAAAATGTGCCAAACTGAAATACAATGAAAGCTGGAAGATTGAGTACACAGTAAATGAAAAATTACTAGATTTCTACGACTCTATTTTTTTATCGCTACAATCAATGAGTTTGCTTTACATATTGCTGCATACGTTATTCACTGAGTGTAATGATAGATATTGAGGTAGATTTTGGTAAAGGCTCTCAACCATCATCTAATCCATGAATTATCTCATTTTTAAAATAAAAACATCTGAATGAATCAGTTTAGACATTCTTTGATCTAGCAATGGTTACGCTGAAACAAAAATGCTCCATGGGCCGAATGAGTTTAGAAAAAAAGATTGTGTTTTTCAAATGGCGTAAAAAAGATAAGATCTAATGGTGTGATTCTATATAATATTTTTTAGTTTCGTCTAACGTATAGAACATACAACTTGAGGCGGTTAAGATTTCTGAAAAGAAACTTATTACCAAATTTAATCATCTTTGAACTACATACAACCCTTTTAGATCTGGTAGATCTGACTTGATCTTTATTGATAAGAAATAAAACGGTACATTATTATCGTCAATTTTAAACTTTATGAAATACGAGGTAGAACATACTTTATTATTAGGAGATATTAAAGTTTGCATGCAGTAAATTAAAATATACGGCGCGCGGGCCATAATTAATTTTATTTTTTAGTATTTTGTGTATAATTGATAATGATTGTGCCTTGATTTTTAAATCAATAATATTTCAGATCTTTTTGATCTTTGATTCTTGATCTTTGGTACTTGATCTTTCTTCAATAAACATCCTCGATTATGTATTAGATTGTAACCATTCATTCGGGCCATTCTTGTTAAAAAAGTCTTGTCTTATGAGATAAAATAGTTAAATTATCATAACTTTTGACCTTGAATTTGTAACAGTATGTAAATCAAACAGATTTTTTAATATGATCAATTCACTACTACAAGTTTTTGAGAAAGATATTTGAGTACCTTGAGGATAATCGAGTAACTAAGATTAAATACTGAATGAACGGATCAATCAATTCTGATGGGACTTGAAATTGTACCTGTTCTATTAGGCTGAAGAATCAATAATATATAGGTTTGTCTTTCTAAAAATTGAAGAAAACACTGGCAAGATATAGGCATAATTAGGGCCCAATTACGAGTGATTTGAGAAATCTTTGTAATCTGCTAAATCCATTCGCATGTGTTTTTTTTATCAAGTTTGTAATCGTTTTTCTCTTGTCAAATCTGAAACTCAAAAAAGTTGTTACAGATTTGATTTGAGCTCTTTGATAAATTTAAACTTTTCAAAATGGTTTGATTCAAAAGCATGATTAGAAGAATCATCTCAAGCCTGAATCAGGAATGAATAAGGCGGTTAATTTTCTACGAATTACCACATATGAGACGGAATTTTAGAATGAATAAACTCTATTGTTTTATTTTGACGAATGGATAACAATAGAGAACAAAGAAAGCTAATAATTAAATTACTCCATTTACAGGGTGAAAATTATTACGTATTGCGTTGATATGTAGTAATATTTTTCATGCATGGAAGGCACCTTACACTCCTGAATTTTTTGATCTCTTTTAGGAAATGAACTGTCTCCAAAGTTCGTCACCAGTCGACTGATACATGTTTGTACTAATTTGCAATTCAGATTGATCTAAAGTAATTTCGTTGATAAGGCGAATTAAATTATTTTTAGACTCAAAGTGATGTAATCTGATAGTCTGATTTATTAGAAAAGATTTAAAACAGCACAAAATCTGGGATCACATAACACAAAATCTATGATGTTTCAAATTGCCGGCTAACGGGCTTAATCCTGATAAGAAAGGTTACTTAGTTTCTTATCGGTGAAAAACCTTTAAATAAAGGAAGAGATTTAACCAATGAATTTAATTATTTTTACTTCCCAATCATACTAAGTAGTGTTAATAATTCCGTTTTTTGACATTTTGAAACGTATGTTTTGAATTTTTGAGCTGATTTATGAAACATAATTTATAACAAATGAGATATTGTCATAGATCAATATATTTCACCGTTTTCAATATTGTAATTAACCATAGTTGAAAATCTTATTGTAAGACATAATAATACATCTCATCAAACTCCACAAAATTGGAATCAGATTAGGTTAAGACATTAACCTGTAAAATTTATTGCACTGATTAACTGGTGTTATCGCACGACTCACTAATGACTTACCTTTGACTACTAATTTAACTGATAAGCTAAAACCTTACTATTATTAATATCGATTGTTTTTTCAGATAAGATAATGAAAAAATATTTTAATACTTGATACATTTAAGAAAAAAAAAAAAAAAAAAATTACGTAAGCCAATTATCAATTTTGCAACTTAAAATTTTTCACAAAACAATCAATTGTACTTGTAAGATAACGAAATGTATTTACAAAATGATTATAAAAATAAGTAAAAAGAACCCTATGTTTCAACTCAGTTTATTTATCATCAATAAACTATTCCCTTCATCATTGTCAATCAATCAACTATTCCCCTCATAATCATCAAACAATCAAACAATCATGTCATCAGTTGAAAAATATATACCATTACCTCAATCAGCAGGTTATGGAGTTTTAATGGGATTTGGAGCAGTTTTTGCAATTGGAATGTGTTTGACTACATTTATGTTAAGAAGATACAACAAAGAGATCATAACATCAGAAGAATTTGCAACAGCAGGTAGATCGGTTAAAACTGGATTAATCTCAGCAGCAGTAGTATCATCATGGACGTGGGCAGCCACGCTCTTGACATCAACAACTCAGTGCTTCTTGAACGGAGTCTTTGGAGCGTTATCATACAGTCTTGGAGCAACGGTTCAAATAACCTTGTTTTCATGTATTGCAATCAAGGCTAAATTACGCGCACCAGCCGCGCGTACTTATTTGGAAATTGTTAGAGCAAGATATGGTACAACAACTCATATTGTCTATATTTTTTGGGGTTTATGTACAAATATATTAGTAACAGCTATGTTATTAACTGGAGGATCAGCTGCTGTTAATGATTTGACTGGTATGCACCCAGTGGCAGCATGTTTATTGATTGGATTATCACCAACTATTTATTCAATTTTTGGTGGTTTAAAAGCTACCATATTAACTGATTATGCACACACATTAATTATGCTAGTTATTATTTTAATATTTGCTTTCAGTACTTGGGCAACAAATTCAAAATTAGGTTCTCCTGGAGTTGTTTATGATATTATAAAAGAATTAGGTAAAACTCATCCGGTTGAAGGTAATGCTGAAGGTTCTTATTTAACAATGCATTCAAGATCTGCAGGTATTTTCTTTGTTATTAATATTGTTGGTAATTTTGGTACTGTGTTTTTAGATAATGGTTATTTCAATAAAGCATTTGCAGCTAATCCAGGTTCTGCTTATAAAGGTTATATTTTAGGTTCAATTGCTTGGTTTCAAGTTCCTTGTATTACAAGTCTTACTATGGGTTTTGCTGCTTTAGCTTTACAATATACTGAACATTGGCCAATGGGTAGATCATTAACAAATGATGAAGTTGCTGCTGGTTTAGTTTTACCAACTGCTAGTGTTGCATTAATGGGACAAGCTGGTGGAGTTTTAAGTTTAATTATGATTTATATGGCTGTTACTTCAGCAATGTCATCTGAATTAATTGCTGTATCAACTATTTTCACTTATGATGTTTATAGAACTTATTTCAATCCAAAAGCTGATGGTAAAAAATTAATTTGGATCTCACATGTTGGTTGTGGTGTATTTGCTTATGTTATGGCTGGTTTTGCAATTGGACTTTATTATGCAAATGTTTCAATGGGATTTTTATATGAATTAATGGGTATAATAATTGGTGGTGCTGTTTTTAGTTTAGCAATGACTATTTTAAGTGCAAAACAAAATTGGGCTGCTGCTACTTTTACTCCTCCAATTGCTACTGCATTAGCTATTATGACTTGGTTAGTTGTTTGTAAAACTAAATTTGGTTCTATTACTTATGATAATTTATTCAAAGATGAAGCTATGTTATCTGGTAATGTTGTTGCATTGTTATTTCCATTAATAACAGTTCCTTTATTTACAATAATTTTTAAACCACAAAATTTTGATTGGAAAATTTTAAATTATAAAATTACAAGAGTTAGTGAAGAAGAAGAATTATTAGAAGCTACAAAATCAGAAAATTATAATGATGATGAAAAATTAAATCCTGTTAAATCTCAAATTTCAATGATTGCAAGTGAATTAGCTGAAATGGAAAGACCACAATATACTGAAGAACAAACAATTTTAAGAAAAGCATTTAAAAGATGTTCAATTTTTTGTCTTTCTATGACTTTAATTTTATTAGTTATATGGCCAATGCCAATGTATGGAAGTAAATATATTTTCAGCAAGAAATTTTTTACAGGTTGGATCTCAGTATTTATGATTTGGATATTTTATACATGTTTTCAAGTTATTGTATTTCCAGTATGGGAAAGCAGAGGAAGTATTGCAAGTACTGCAAGAGGTGTTTATTGGGATTTAACTGGTCAAACTTATAAATTAAGAGCTTGGCAAGAAAGTCATCCAGATAAATTGCATGCTGTTAGATCTCAAATTCGTGCTCAATTATCAAATCCTCAAGTTGTTGATGGTAAATCTGTTGAAACTGAATATCCAAATATTGATGATGAATTGGAAAAGAAATAATAAGCAGGTCTTAGTTAATATTTTATTTTTGAGTGTATAGTACATATATATGATAAAGTGTGTTTATTAGGAAATTTTTTAATGATATAAATTTATAAAATTTACTATGGAGCGAAAATTTTGTTTTGTGTTCAATTTCTGATTTGTGTGATGTTTCAGATTCTATTGTAGGATAGCTACCATATTTCAGTTTTTTTTAGCTACCACAGAATTCATAAAATAGTATAGGATTACTATAAAAGTATAGAATCTTATTAGCTTGTGCCATCTAATACTTAGATGACCTTCGTTACTAGTTAGTATATAACTGTCTATTTTATAGCTTTATGTAATTAAATTAATAAATGAAGAATAAAGAAAAAAAAAAAAATCATTAATATAAAAATGAAGTAAACTAATTAAATTGTATCGTTTTTTTTTTTTTTTTTTAGTATTAATTGTTTATTAGATCAGTAGTTTAGCTTGCTAAACAGTAAAAGAATAAACTTTAACTAATAATTTCTATATACTTGTTTTGTAATATAATCTTGAAATAGCAATTATGGATCACCATTTAAAAACCTCTGCATTTTTTTTATATATTTTTCATTTTTTAACTATATTGTCTTTTAAAGTGTTCATGATTTCATTTCGATAAAGTATTTAAACTGAATCAAGATGTAGGAATACCGGTATCCATTTGTTAATTTCGTTTTATAGAGATATAATGGATTTTAAATTCATTCACTTGTTTGTGTTGTAATTTGCTCCTACAATACAACATCTATCTAGTGTATAAAACACCTAAATATAAACCTTGAAAGTTTTTTTTTTTTTTTCAAAATCAATTATTTATCAAAAGTTCAAAAACATAGCCTTTTACCAGAAAAAAAATAATTGATAGTAGTCTAGTGTCAAAAGTTTGGCATACGAAGTGGAATTTAATCAAAATCTAATTTTAACCATGACAAAATCAGATGTTTTTTGCCACGTCGTATATTACTTTTTTTTATAACTTGAAGCTTCAATCTGGCCAAATTTAGATTGGATTTAGTTCATATTTGAAACCTTCAAATCAATATAGAGTCTAAAACTAATTGATATGGTTGACGGATATGTACAAGTCTTCTATCCTGAACTTATTTGTACAGTTTGGAACTAATAAGATGCGTCAATTAAAGTTATAGGGCCATGCATTGATTTGCAACTTCATTATTCGTAATTCGAACCAGCCGTACATGGTCGTCAGTGATGCTTGCCATTTTTCACTTGGTCTAGCTTTATTTTCTTCTTCTAAGCATCTATTTCATTAAATTATTCACAGTTATTTTAATCAAGACGGAATTGACCGATAAGAGTTGCTACCAAATTTAAAATTATAATAAAATTTTATTTCGTTATTTAGGGCCATTTATTATCGCCTCGGAGCGACAGGTCCAATAATAAAAAATTACTTAAATGGAATTATGATAAGAACCTTCCATAAAAATGCCCAACTAAATACATTTACATCATCGTAATTACATATCACTCTCCATCTCAGTGAAGTGTGAAAACTAACCTTTCATAACAACTACAAAGATAGCTCGATACTAGTAGTATCAGTTGACCCTTAAGATTAATTGTTCTCGTACTATGAAGCCATGGTGAATTTCGCAGTAAGTTAACTTTAATAGATCATTCTTGTTATAATATACATCGTAAATATATTCTACTAAGTTAATGTACATTTACTTAAATATTTAAAATAATAATCGTTATCGAGATCAATAATAAATTTTTCAATTTTTTTTTTAAATTTTTCATTATAAAGTTATTTTGTTATCATTTATCTTAATTTATCGTATATACCCATTGTAACTTTATTTCTTTATATATACTTGTAAATACCCATTTGTCTTTTAAAGCTCTATGCTTTGATTTCAAATCGAATCTTCCATTTCTACATTTCAAAATTTTCCAACAAATCAATCAACAATCAATCATAACTCATCATGTCTACAAATACTATCGGTTGGACAATTGATGATTGGAAAAATTTACATTTCAATTCAACACCAGATAAATCATTTCAAATTTTATTAAATTTATTAAATTCACAACAAATAGCACCAAAAGATCCTGCTTGGATTTCATTAGCTTCAGAAGAAAATTTAAAACATCAATGGGATTTTTTACAATCAAAATCAAATAAAACAAAATTACCATTATATGGTGTACCTATTGCAGTAAAAGATAATATAGATGTTAAAGGATTTGAAACTACTGCTGCATGCCCTTCTTATTCATATAAACCAGAAAATGATGCAACAACAGTAAAATTATTAAGAGATTCAGGTGCAATAATTATTGGAAAAACTAATTTAGATCAATTTGCAACTGGATTAGTAGGTACTAGATCTCCATATGGAATAACTCCAAATACTTTTAATTCAAAATATGTTAGTGGTGGATCATCAGCAGGTTCAGCTTCAGTTGTTGCAAGAGGTATAGTTCCAGTTTCATTAGGTACTGATACTGCAGGTTCAGGTAGAGTACCAGCTGCTCTTAATAATATAATAGGTTTAAAACCAACAAAGGGAGTATTTTCATGTAATGGAGTTGTACCAGCTTGTAAATCATTAGATTGTGTTTCCATTTTTGCATTAAATTTACAAGATGCTCAATTAACATTTAATATCATGGCTCAAGAAGATGGTGATAATGATGAATATTCAAGACCAATGCCTATAAATCCATTACTTAAATTTTCAAAAAAACCAAAAATTGCAATTCCTTCAAATTTAATATGGTGTGGAGAAACTGAAAATCCTACTTTATATAATAAAGCAGTTGAAATATTAAGTGATAAAGTTGGAGCCGAATTAATTTCATTAGATATTGAACCATTACTTGATTTAGCTAAATGTTTGTATGAAGGACCTTGGGTAACAGAAAGATATGTTGCAGTAAAAGATTTCCTAGCAACAAATCCACCATCAAAAGATTTAGATCCAACTGTATTAAAAATTATAAAGGGAGGAGAAAATTATTCAGCAGCTTCATGTTTTCAATATGAATATAAAAGACAGGGTATACTACAAAAAGTTAAAAAATTATTAAAAGATATTGATGTGATTGTTGTACCTACAGCTCCTTTAAATCCAACTATTGAACAAGTTCAAAAAGAACCAATTAAAATAAATTCATGTCAAGGAACTTATACAAATTTTGTTAATTTAGCAGATATGTCAGCATTAGCTATTCCAGCAGGATTTAGAAAAGATGGTCAACCATTTGGAATTACTTTATTATCTCATAAATTTAATGATTATGCATTATTGGAATTAGCAAGTCGATATTTAAAACCTTATGCTGAGACAGTACCTCATTTTTATGGATCATTGAAAAATAAATTAATTGATTCAACTATTCATGATGAATTAAATTCTAATGTACCTTCAAAAACTCCACAAGAACAAATCAAATTAGCTGTTGTTGGTGCTCATCTAAAAGGATTTCAATTACATTGGCAATTAGAAGCTGTTGATGCAAGATTTGTTGAATCTACTACTACTTCATCTAATTATAAATTATATGCATTACCTAAGACTGGACCAGTTGCAAAACCAGGTTTAAGAAGAGTTTCAGAAGGTGGGGAAAAAATAGCTATAGAAATATATTCAATACCGAAAGAAAAATTTGGTCAATTCATAAGTTATGTACCTGAACCATTGGGGATTGGATCAGCTGAAACATCTTCAGGTGAATGGGTTAAATCTTTTATTTGTGAAGAATCAGGTTATAATCTTCCAGGAACAGTTGATATTACATCTTTTGGAGGTTGGAAAAATTATCAAGAACATTTAACAATTGAAAACAAAAAGCATAAAAAGCCATTTAATTCAGTACTTGTTGCCAATAGAGGTGAAATTGCCGTAAGAATCATCAAAACTTTGAAAAAATTAGGTATCAAATCAATAGCCATTTATTCAGATCCAGATAAATATGCTCAACATTCATTATTAGCTGATGTTGCTATTCCATTACATGGAACAACTGCTGCTCAAACATATATTGATATTGATAAAGTCATAAAAGCTGCTAAAGATTCAGGTGCAGAAGCTATTATACCAGGTTATGGATTTTTATCAGAAAATGCTGATTTCTCAGATCGTTGTGGAAAAGAAGGAATTGTTTTTGTTGGACCATCTGGAGATGCAATTAGAAAATTAGGTTTAAAACATTCAGCTAGAGAAATTGCTGAAAAAGCAGGTGTTCCATTAGTTCCAGGATCAGGATTAGTTAAAGATGCTAAAGAAGCAAAAGAAATTGCAGCTAAATTAGAATATCCAATTATGGTTAAATCTACTGCAGGTGGTGGTGGTATTGGATTACAAAAAGTTGATTCCGAAAAAGATATAGAAAGAGTTTTTCAAACTGTTCAACATCAAGGATTATCATATTTTGGAGATTCAGGAGTATTTTTAGAAAGATTTGTTGAAAATGCAAGACATGTTGAAATTCAAATGTTAGGGGATGGTTTTGGAAATGCTATAGCAGTTGGAGAAAGAGATTGTTCATTACAAAGAAGAAATCAAAAAATTATTGAAGAAACTCCTGCACCTGATTTACCTGAATCAACAAGACAAAAAATGAGAAAAGCAGCTGAAAGTTTAGGTTCATCAATGCATTATAAATGTGCTGGTACAGTTGAATATATTTATGATCCAAAAAGAGATGAATTTTATTTTTTAGAAGTTAATGCAAGATTACAAGTTGAACATCCAATAACAGAAATGGTAACTGGTTTAGATTTAGTAGAATGGATGCTTTTAATTGCTGCTAATACTCCACCAGATTTTAATCAAAAAATTGAAATTAAAGGTGCATCAATGGAAGCAAGATTATATGCTGAAAATCCAGTAAAAGATTTTATGCCATCACCAGGTCAATTAACTGAAGTAAAATTTCCTAAATGGGCTAGAATAGATACTTGGGTTGAAAAAGGTACTGTTGTTTCTGCTGAATATGATCCAACTTTAGCTAAAATTATTGTTCATGGTAAAGATAGAAATGATGCTTTGAAAAAATTACGTCAAGCATTAGATGAAACTGTTGTTTATGGTTGTATTACAAATGTTGATTATCTTAGATCAATTGCAAATTCAAAAATGTTTGAAGAAGCTAAAGTTGCAACTAAAGTATTAGATTCATATGATTATAAACCTCATGCTATTGAAATTTTAAATCCAGGTGCTTATACTACAGTTCAAGATTATCCAGGTAGAAAAGGTCATTGGAATGTTGGTGTTCCACCTTCAGGTTGTATGGATCAATATTCATTTAGAATAGCTAATAGAATAGTTGGTAATGATAGTTCAGCTCCAGGTATTGAAATTACATTAAATGGTCCAAAATTATTATTTCATCAAGAATGTGTTATAGCAGTAACTGGTGGTAAAGCTCCAATTGAAGTTAATGGTGAAAAAACAAATCAATGGGAACCAATTAATATTAAAAGTGGTGATAAATTATCTATTGGTAAATTAGAAACTGGTTGTCGTGCTTATTTAGCTATTAGAGGTGGAATTGATGTTATTGAATATTTAGGTTCAAGATCAACTTTTGCATTAGGTAATTTAGGTGGTTATAATGGTAGAGTATTAAAATTAGGTGATGTTTTATTTTTAGGTCAACCAGAAATTTCAAGTTGTACAATTCCAAGTCCAATTTCAGCACCAACTAAAATTCCATCAAGTTTAATTCCAAATTATGAACATAAAATATGGCAAGTAGGTGTTACTTGTGGACCTCATGGATCACCTGATTTTTTCAAACCTGAATCAGTTGATGAATTTTTTAAATCTACTTGGAAAGTTCATTATAATTCAAATAGATTTGGTGTTAGATTAATTGGTCCAAAACCAAAATGGGCAAGATCAGATGGTGGAGAAGCTGGTTTACATCCTTCAAATACTCATGATTATGTGTATTCAATGGGTGCAGTTAATTTTACAGGAGATGAACCAGTTATATTAACTTGTGATGGTCCAAGTTTAGGTGGATTTGTTTGTGAAGCTGTTGTTGCTGAATCTGAATTATGGAAAATTGGTCAAGTTAAACCAGGTGAATCTATACAATTTATTCCAATAACTTATGAAACTGCTAAACAATTAAAAGCACAACAAGAAGAAGATATCAAAACATTAAAGGGAGATTTACCCAATTTAGAAGGCAAAGCATTAAATAAACCTGAAAATCCAATACTTTATCAATTAAAAGTTTCTGAAAATGCTCCAACTGTTACTTATCGTCAAGCTGGTGATAGATATATTTTAGTTGAATATGGAGATAATATTCTTGATTTAAATAAAGCTTATAGAATTCATAAATTAGTTGAAATGGTAAAAGAATTTAAACCAAAGGGAATATATGAATTATCACCTGGTGTTAGATCAGTTTTAGTTGAATATACTGATGATATTAGTCAAAAAGAAGCTTTAAATATATTAGTATCATATGAAAAAGAAATTGCATTTGTTAATAAATGGGAAGTTAAATCAAGAATTATTAAATTACCAATGGCATTTGAAGATAAAAAGACATTAGATGCTGTAAAAAGATATCAAGAAACTATTAGAAGTGAAGCTCCTTGGTTACCAAATAATGTTGATTTTATTGCAAATATTAATGGAATTACAAGAAATGATGTTAAAGATATGTTATATACTGCTAGATTTTTAGTATTAGGATTAGGTGATGTATTTTTAGGAGCTCCATGTGCTGTTCCATTAGATCCAAGACATAGATTTTTAGGTACTAAATATAATCCTTCAAGAACTTTTACACCAAATGGTACTGTTGGAATTGGTGGTAATTATATGTGTATATATACAATGGAATCTCCAGGTGGTTATCAATTAGTTGGTAGAACAATTCCAATATGGGATAAATTAACAATAGCAGATCATTCACAAGATTCAAAACATCCTTGGTTATTATCACCATTTGATCAAATTGAATTTTATCCAGTAAATGAAGAAGAAATTGATAAATTTTCGGAAGAAATGAATGCAGGTAAATTTAAAGTTGAAATTATAGATTCTATATTTGATCATGGAAAATATTTACAATGGATTCAAGAAAATTCAGAATCAATTGAATCATTTAAAAAATCTCAAATTGGTGATAAATTAGAAGAATTTAATAAATTAATTCAAATTTCAAATTCTGAATTAGAACAAAATGGTTCAAAAATTCAAGAAATTGAAAAATTTGATGATAATGCTGAAATGGTTTATTCTGAATATTCAGGTAGATTTTGGAAATCTTTAGTTTCAGTTGGTGATAAAGTTGAATTAAATCAACCTTTAATTGTTGTTGAAGCTATGAAAACTGAAATGGTTGTTAATGCTCCAAGAGAAGGAAAAGTTGTTAAAATATATCATAAAAATGGTGATATGGTTGATGCAGGTGATTTGGTTGTAGTTTTAGAGTAAAATTATGATTATAGACAATATGTATATTAGAAAGTATAGAGTGTAATGAATTTGGAAATTTTAAGTTTAATGATTTCTAGAATGTTTAATCTTCAAACAGCTTCAGTCAAGATTGAAAGTTTTGCATTGATGATGGATAGAACTTATCATTAGTTTCTGATCACCAATTCACTGTAGAATTGTATAGATTCTTCATCTAAATTGAATAAAGTAATAAATCGCGTAAATATAAAAAAATTAATATTTATCAAAACTACAAATATTTACAACCAACTTAATTTAACGACCAACCCAATACAAACAATGTCATTAGCAGATCAGAAACAAATATCAGCTGCATCACTACAGCCGGAATTATGGACTTCATCATCCAATGATGCATTAAAATGTTTTATAACAAATGAAGAAGAAGCAATAAAATTTCAACCAATTTTTACATATCCAATATTTGGAGATTCAGAAACCATATATGGTTATAAAGATTTACAAATTTTTTTATGTTTTGATCATTTTACATTTAAACCATTTTTAAATATTAAATATTTGGAAAAATTAAATGATTCTGATTTAATTGATATAAAATCAACAATTGGAAAATATTTACCTGATTCTACTATTTTTAAAGATGAAATAAAATGGGTTGATTCAATAAAGGAAGAAAAACAAAATTATAAAATACCGGGAAATAAGGTTGATGAATTTAAAATAGATAATATTGAATATGAAATTTATAAAATAGATTTATCTTCACCTGAAGGATTGGAATTACATAAAAGATTACAAATATTAGTACTTTTATATATTGAAGCTGGTTCATTTATTGATTCAGAAGATAAATTATGGGATTTATATGTATTTTATGAAAAACCTCAAGGAGAAAAAGAACCTTCTATAGTTGGTTTCACAACAGCTTATAATTATTGGACATATCCAGGAGCTTTAAAATTTGATGAAGGTATAAAAGAAACAAGAATTAAAATATCACAATTTATAATATTACCAATGTATCAAAATAAAGGATTAGGACAAATTTTTTATACTCATTTATGTGATAATATATGGTTAAAAGATTCAAATATTATAGAAATAGTTGTTGAAGATCCAAATGAACAATTTGATGATTTAAGAGATAAAGCAGATTTAAAAAGATTATCAAATTTAAATTTTGATTTTAGTAAAGTTATACCAAATAATATTGATTTGAATTGGGTAAATAAAACAAAAAAAGATTTAAAATTTGAAAATAGACAATTTTCAAGATTATTAGAAATTATATTACTTTATAAATTAAAACATACAAAAGATGTTTCAAAATCAGATGTTAGAAAATTTATAAAACAAAGATTATATAAAAAGAATAAAGAAGGTTTAGATAATTTAGATGAAAATAATAGAAAAGACAAATTACAAACTGCTTATCAAAATTTAGAAGATGATTATTATAGAATATTAGGTGATATAAATTTACCTGCGAAAAGAAAAAGAGAAGATTAATTGGAAAGCATTTGGATAGTTTATTTGGATAAATCTCTGACTTTATAATAAAAGAAATGAAATGTTATGAAAATTGAATGAAAATATTTGATTAACTTTGTTCTCAAATCCTGAAATTTTGATTTACACTTAGTAAACGAGTGAACATCATTTCATGGAAAATATCAATTTTCCAAATGTCTACTTTGACCTAGAAGATTCTTCCTCGACTGGCCATATAGCTGCTTTCCTCTTTTGATTTGTTGATTCTTTTCTCAACTTTCACCATTTTATTCTTGCTTTTTCAAATATTTGAACCTTTTTATTTGTATGAGGTCTGTGTTTTAACTTTTCCAAATCTATAGTTGAAACCAACAAGATTTTGTTATTACAATCCAAGTTCCTCTCTAATCCTTTAATATTAGTCTGCGATTTACTAGGCTAATACATATAGTTCATAAATCAAATGAGATTTTGAGCTGTTGCTCGTTGTTTCACTCTTTAATGTCTTGCACATTCAATTGCATCATCAAATGGATGATAGACCAATCAAGCATATGACTTATCCAAAAATATTGAGACTACGAACTGATATGTCTTTTTATTCCCATTTTATGAGAATCATACGTCTCTGGTTGAAGTAACTAAAATAGAATTCTGTCAAGATTTCGTGATAGATCAATTCTATGATTTAAACTTCATTTACCACATATCGAATGTTGTTATCCATTACTAGATGATATAGATTAGTAATGACCTCTTGTTCAGAAGTACAAGAATCAAACTTTAAACTCTGATGAATGATCTGATAAAAATAAAGTAGTAGAATGACTGATGATGTTCAATCAATGATGTCAATGACGTCATTTTGATAAAATAGAAATTAAAATATTATTACGAGTTTTAAAATAATTATCGTAAATTTTTACTATTATGTCATTTGGATTATTCTAAATCGAAATTGAAGTCAAGTTTATCCTTCGAAACACAACACTCATAGGACCGTTTTGACTGAATCAGTTACTTGCTTGATGAAGATGGAGATACGACGTTGAAGTGAGTCTACTTTATTCTCTATATTTACAATTTATATAGCGCTAACTGAGATATTGAGAGATAGAAATCGATTACCAATTATAGTCGAAAATTATCCGTAAAAGTAACACAGTTTCAAAAGTATTATTCATTTTCATCAAAATGCAATGCAATCTGAGTTGAATAATTTCCAAAGGATTCGTATCAGATATAGATCTAAGTGAAAATTTGAACGCTTAAAAATTTGCAATACTCAGACCAATTCTAAGACAAAATTACAATTAAAGTTTTATTCTATCAAACATTTACATACGGCACACATTGATTTGAAACTTCATCAATTGATTAAAAATTGAAATTATTGATATTGTGGTTATGTTCATTAGATTAACCAGCACTATTAAACTGTTGTTAGTGCTACCAATCTCTACTAAATAGAATTAAGCAATTTCATTCACTAAATAGGAAATATAATAAACATTACACAAAAATAGTACATTCGTAGTAGAGTAGTGGTAATAAAGTTTAGATTTCGTAGTAATTAGACTGATGATGGAAGTAACAATATCCCTTCTTCTTCTATTTAACTAAGTATTGTGTAATTTAATTAAGAAACTTTTTAAGTGGTAATAATTTTTCAATTCTTCTTCTATTTTAAATTTTAATTTTAATAATTGCTATCATTCATTCTTTTTAATACTAAAACCTAAAATTCTAAATAAAAATTGGTTTAATTTATAAACAATTTTAATTCCACAATTTCAATTTCACTTCATTTTTTCACGACTTATAAATTTTTAAATTTTTCATACTTTTTATCTTCAATTGACTTTTTGAATCTAAATTAAATCAATTAAAATATATCAAAAATGCATAGAACTTATTCATTAAGATCATCAAAAGCTCCAACTGCTTCACAATTACAATCACCACCTCCACCACCATCATCAACAAAAAATAGATTTTTTGGATCTGGTGGTTTATCATCATCAATTAGAAAAGCAGCAGCAGGAGCAACTGGTCCAGAATTATCAAGAAAATTAACTCAATTTATTAAAATAGAAAAAAATTTTATGAGATCAGTTGAAGTTACTTCAAGAGAAAGAAAAGATATTGCAAAACAATTAAGTGCTTGGGGTGAAGGTAATGATGATGATGTTAGTGATGTTACTGATAAATTAGGTGTTTTAATTTATGAAATTGGTGAATTAGAAGATCAATATATTGATAAATATGATCAATATAGAATTACTTTAAAATCAATTAGAGATATTGAAGGTTCAGTTCAACCATCAAGAGAAAGAAAACAAAAAATTACTGATGAAATTGCTCATTTAAAATATAAAGATCCCCAATCTCCAAAAATTCCAGTTTTAGAACAAGAATTAGTTAGAGCTGAAGCTGAATCATTAGTTGCTGAAGCTCAATTATCAAATATTACAAGAGAACAATTAAAAGCTGCTTTTAATTATCAATTTGATGCAACAAGAGAATTAGCTGAAAAATATGCTTTAATTGCTGGTTATGGTAAAGCTTTATTAGAATTATTAGATGATTCTGCTGTTACTCCAGGTGAAACAAGACCAGCTTATGATGGTTATGAAGCTTCAAAACAAATCATTATAGATGCTGAAAATGCTTTAGCTAATTGGACTTTAGATTCTGCTGTTGTAAAACCAACTTTATCATTACATCATGAATATGATGAAGATGAAGAAGAACCACAAATTGATGATGCTGCTCAACATGAATTTAATAAACATGATGATGTTCATCAAATTCATCAAGATGGTCATCAAACTCAATCACACGTTTAAGAAACTGATTTGTTAAAATAATAAATTTGAATAACTATGAATAAGAAGTTAATTGAGTTAAATCAATTGAAATGGTAAATAATTACAACTTCCTGCCACTGGTTACTTCAACTTAAATTCTTCTCATTATTCATTCAAATTTTCAAAAATTACTGTTTCATTGTTTGGTTTGCTTTTCAAAAATTTACTACTACTACAACTACTAGTTTAATATATTTACTTACTTTTTAATCTTATATTTTTAATAATTATTATTAATATTGAATGTACTACTATTGTTATTAAAATAATTGATTCTTGATTGTCCTCTCTTTAATCTTCTGTGCAATTAGATTAGATAGATGTCAAATGGTTTAATAGCAATTTCGTTATTGGAAAAAACGGTTATCTTAACCATACTTTATGCAAAAGCAATAATAATATTATTGTATCACAAAGAAATGATTCAAGACTACATATAAATATTTTGGCTGCAAAAATTAGAAAAATTGTGATCTTAAGCATGTCAAGATTTATAATTAATTTTGTATTATACGATATGAACTAAAAACACATTCTTCTCAAATAAAACTCTACTCTTAATTAACCAGTTTCTAATTTATTTCAGTCAGAAATCAATTGTCTTGAATTAATTTCAAATGAACTATCACTTTGTTGATCAGAACTTCTTCTTTCTCCTCTACTTTCTTCTCTACTAACTTGTCTTCTTCCTTCTATACTTTCTCTTGTATCTTCACCACCACCATTTTCTTCTCTATTTTCATCTCTATTTTCATCTCTACTTTCATCACTACTTTCATCTTCATCATCATTAATTTTTAAAGTTAATTCAATATTTTCAGGTTTTAATAACTCAAATTTTTTAGTTTCTGAATTTTCTAAATTTTGATTTTTAATATCAACATTTAAAATAGTTTTATTTAATAATATTAAAATTGTAGAAAATGAATGAATAGCAATTTTTTTATTATTTATTGGGTTTGTATTTGGTTGTGATGATGATGATGGTGGAGGAACTAATTGATTAAAATTTAATTTATATTGTTTTGAATTTGTTGATTCTTCTTCATTAGTGGTTGTAAATGTATTTAATTCAATCGATTTTTCCATAAAATAATTTATAAAATTTTTTAATCTCTTGTGGTTTTGAGAATTATTTATCGATTCATTATTAGACATTAATAAATCTTGTTGAGATTGATTGGGGGATGATTTTCTTAATTCAAATTCTAAATCTTGTAAATTTTCATCAAAATTTAAATCAGGATGAGGAATTTCTTCGTTTTGTTGTTCCTGGTTGTCACCAAAATCCATGTCTATATCTCTTTGATTTTCATCATCATTTTCATTAAAAATTCTTGATTGTTCAATTTGTAAAAATTCAATATTTCTTGCTTGTTCACTTTCTTCATTTGCCATACTTTCAGTTAATTGATTAATTTCTTGAATTCTTGATTGTTGAGAAAAATGATCTGATATTGATCTATTATTTAATGTAAGGGATTGATTAAATAATTGATTAATTTCTTCTATTCTATTTATTGGTTGATGATCTATTTGAATTGATTGATTTCTTAATTGTATCATATTTGTTTGATAATCCCGATTATTTTCAATTATTGTTGAAGTTGGTAATGATATTGGATCATCTATTATTAATCTTCTATTTGTTAAACTTGAAATTCTAGTAGTTGTTGTAGTTTCTTGGTTATTTCTTCTTTGTTGTTGTTGTTGTTGACCTTGTTGTTGTTGACGTTGCAGTTGTGTAGCTTCACCAGAAATAACATGAAAACTTTCATCACTTTCACCATCATCACCTTGATGCTGTGGTTGTCTTTGATCATTTTCTTCTTCATGATTTTCAAAATCTACATCCATATTCATATCCATTACATCATTATCAAATTCATTATTATCAATCAATGAACGTCTTTGACTTTGTGAAGCATCAATTTGCTGGTTTTCTTCATTTTCATTTAAATATTCTTCAATAACATCTAACTCATGATTATTTCTTCTTCTTCTTCTTCTTTCATCAATTTGTAATTCATCATTAATATTAAATTGAATATTTGATAATTCATCATTATTCTCATTTAAATTTCTACCATTTAAAATTTCATCATCATCAATTTGATTTAATTCAATTGGAGAATTTAAGAAATTATCAACTTCTCTGTTTTCTTGTTCACTTAATGATAATGCAAAAGTTAATGCTGTATTTGTTGTTGTTGTAGCATTTGTAGTTGTTGAATTTAAAGTTGTTGTTGATTGATTGAAAATGGGAAAATCTAATTGATCAAATCTTGCAATTTCAATTTTTCTTCTTTTTGAAGGTGATACATGTTGTTGATTTTCTGAAACATTAGTTATTATTTGTGGAATTGTTTCATCTAAATTTAAATTTGGTAAAAAATCAATTTTGATATCAAAACTTTCATCATTTTCAAAAAATCTTGATCTTTTTAAACCACCAGTTTTTGAATTATTAATTGAATTAGTAATAATTGAATTTGTAACTACTTGTTTATTTAATTTTAAATTATTTAATAATTTTAATTGAATATAATTTAAATCATTTAAAATATATGAAATTTTAGATTTATATAAAATTGATAATCCATAAAGAATATTTGATGCATATTTAATATTTTTATTAACTGGTTGAATAGGTTGTTCCTGAGGTTGTTGTTGTTCAAATTGATTTATAACTTCTTTACAAATATTTGGTATAGATATATTTAATATATTATCTTTTTTAATAATTTTATTTCTTGATGATACTTTTGAACCTAATGTAGCTAATAACCAAGCAGTTTGAATACCTGATGGTTGATTTGATATTACTTCCATGGTTTAAGTAAAATTGACGAGGTTTGAGTAGAAATTGAATTGGTTGTAAAAATCTTATTAAAAAGTGGTTGTAAAATTTAAATATTTATTTTGGCTGCTAAATTCATTTTTATTTATATAAATTTCTCCCCTTACGCGTTAATTTAATTTATTTTATTATTTCTCTCTCTTACTTAATAAAATATGAAACATATAATAATTATACATCACATTTTTTTTATCTCCCCTCTTTCTCACTTAGAAAAAAATATAATACATACCAATTATACATATTACCAATAATTTAGAACACCAAAAATATCAATAATTTACAAAACAAAAAAATATCAAATTTTATTCTATAATTTTAAAAACAAACATATATATATAATAAACCACTAAACCAGTAAAACCAGTAAAAAAACTAAACATAACCTCAGTTATTAAAAAGTTATGTCATTTTATAATGAACATTTTTTAATTTTTCATAAATTAAAACAAACCATTTAATAGTTAATTCATAATCATTTGAATCAATTGCTTCATATAAATAAGTAAAAGTTGATTTAATTGTTCTTTCATTATACCATGATTGATCATTTTTAATATTAAATTTTGGATTTCCATAAATTATTGAATTATAATAATATTTTTTCAAATTTGAACCATCTAATATTCCATTTATACTTTTTGTAAACTTATGTTCATTATTAGTTATAATTGTAGGTTCTTTACTTTCCAAATAAGTATAATCTTGATCATTTAATTTTAAATCTTTTTCTAAATGTGATAATTTATAATTTGAAACTTTAAATTGTGCAAAATGTTGTAATTTTTTATAATATTTATACCATGGATAATCTTGAATTAATCCAATTTCAACTTTTGAATTCCATAAATCAAATATTTTTGATTGTTCTACAGTATCATTAATTAATTTGGAAAATTGATTTAAAATTTGATGAAATTTAACTGGTTCATTTGTATCTAAATCTTGAAAAATTGAATATTTATATATAAGATAATTTGAAACTATTGAATTATTCCATTGATGTAATTTTGAGTCTTCAACCTCCAACAAAGTATTATAAAATTTTTCAATAGTTTTAAAATATTCAAAAGTTTTATAATCAACAACTTCATGTTCACTTAAACTTATACCTAATAATCCAATAAATCTAATTAATGAACCATGTAATAATAAATCATCATCAATATTTTGTTTTATAATCCAATTTTTTGAATAATAATTTGAATTTGGTATATATTTTGCACAATCTTTTTTAGGATCATTTATAAATTTTAAATTTATAATTGGAGTTGATAAATGTTGTTGAAAAATTTTTGATTCTGAATTAATTATTGAATAACCTAAATTATTATTTATCTTGTTGTTATCTTGTTTTTCCCAATATTTATGTAATGTGGTATATTTATCATTATTATCTTCTTCATCATCATCAAATAAATTTGAATTGATCTCATCACTTTCATATTCTTCAACATCATCAACAAAAGCTTTTAAAGAAGATGATTTCTTTGGAATTGGAATTAACCTCGAAGTTTTCCTCAAAATATGATTAAAAACAGGATTTGAATCAACATTAAATTTACTTCCCATAATAGCATCACCATCAATATTAATATAAGAAACAATAGATCTTTTTGGATTAAAAACTTTTGTATCATTAGTAAAAGATTTAACACCTAATAAATTTAAATATGAACCATCCCATGAAATAAATTTTATATTCCTTAAAGGTTTCCAACCTTGTTTTACTAATCTTTGATAATTTCTCATAATTTCTAATAATATTGCATGACCTGATAATGGATTATTTGAAGTATATGAATCTCTTCGAGCACCAATTATTATATCTGCATCATTCATTATTCCCTTTATTGATCCAACTATATTTGTTAATTTTTGGGTTGAGGTATTACTAAATTGACTATTAATTTGTAATTTAAATTTTGAATTAAAAAATGGTGAATATTCCCAATTTTCAAAATTTTTAGTGGTTGAGACAGTTTTTGTATCCATTATTGGATTTAATAATTTTTTACTAATTGGAATAACTGGAATTTTTGATTTTAATGAATTACAATCTCTTGATATTGCATTATTTAAATTTAATTCATCATATTGATTATTTAAATTATTAACTTCATATATTGTTAAAATTCCAATTGCTCCATAATATTCAGCTAATGCAATTTTCTCTCCAACAGTTATATTTTCTTCATTATGATTTTTTATAATAAAAATTTTATTTTTTAAATCAATTTTATTTTTGTTTAATAAATCATAATCTTGTATATCACCATGATTAACATATATATAATGACCAGTTACATTAGCATTAATTCCGAAACTATAAAATGCAGGAGTTTGAAATTTAGGTTCTAAAATTTCAGATACTTCATAAACAATTTCATTTTTAGAATCAATTAATTTTAAATTTGAACCTTCAGGTTGGCTTATTTTAAATTCATAATTAAATTTTTCAGTTTTAAAACCAAATTTTTTAAAATTAGATTCAACAAAGTGAGTTAATTTGGGATTATCATCAGAAATTAAATTAATTTTTGATTTTAAATTTATATTTGTAAAATTTGTTAACCAATTATTTATATTATCTTCAATTGATAAATTTTCATCATCATCATGTTGATTCTGTGGAATTTTCCCAATTCCTGTCATTTGTAACCAATTTCTTTTAACATCACTTTTAGTTAAATGAATTCCATGCCATCTTCTATAATCTCTTGCTAATGAAGTTCTTGGTAAAAAAGTTAATTGAAATATTATTAACCCAATTATTCCTAAACAACATATCCATATAAAACTTGGTCTTTTGGCTAATTTAATTATTTTACTCATATTATCATCATCATCATCATTAGTTTCAGATGGATGACTTCGAGGTAATAATAATGAATTTTCATTTATTTCTCGTGTTGTTGGTGGAGTTATGGGATATGTTTGTGGTTTATTTGAATCTAAATCTTCATTATCATTAGTAATATCTTTCGGTATCCTTCCATCATGTATTGTTATAGTAGTATTATTATCATTTTCATCTTCTTCTCCTTCATTAGTTGAACCATGAGTTGGAGTAGGTATAAGAGTTATATCATTAGTTGATGAATCATTATTTCCATTATTTAAATTATTATTTGTCGAATCATTTTGATTTGATTGCTTATCCGAAGTTGAATTTGGAGGCATTCTAATTAATTTGAGGTTATAAACGTTGTTGCAACAGTTTGAATTAAGAAATAAATTAGACTAGGAAAGATTATGAATTTGTGAGTGATTTAACTTATATTCTTTAAATATGTGTTAAATTTAGTTGAATTGTTTAGTTTATGCTGTAGTTATCATGTATGTTGATATATTGGTTGTCATTTCAAAGAATGAATATATAGAAAAAGAATGAAATTGGTTGTAAATTTATTTAGGCTAATTTAAAATTGAATTCTATTAATATAAATTTGAGGATAATTGTAGAGAGTTCTAATAATAATAAATTTTTAAGCAATTATACATAATTAAATAAATAAGAGAAATAAAATAATTTATAGGGGTCGGAAATGAATATTATTTATTTAGGTGGCTTTCGGTAACTAAATTTAGAATTGAAAATGCATTATAATTTATTGGTCATGAAGGAAGGAAAGGAGATAGGTTCAGTAAGTTTGTGGCCTTATGTTTCCTTGAGAAAAGTAGCTATATACAACAGAACACGTCTCCTTCAAATGAGTTTCAACGGAGATGGGCGACTTTTTTTTAATCTTCAAAACTCCAACAACTACTTATTTTGCTCCAACACTAAGCTTTTCACCGTAATAAGTTTGGGGAAAACAACAATTCAAGTCTCAATAGGCACCAAAACATAGCTTATTTCAAATAAGATCGTTAAACAACTATTAAGTTTGTATTATTTTCAGTTCTTCTTTCTCTTTCTCTTCTTCTTGTAATAATCCTTTAACAATTTCATAATCAAACATATTAGAACCACTTTGTAAAGCTTTAGCTAAAGTAATTAATGAAGTTTGTTTAAAATCAGGTTTTGTTCTTAATTCATCTAAATCATTATTAAATTCATTTGTCATGATTTTTAAAAATTCATTGTTAATTTCTTGTTTTGATTTATCTAATTGTGTTGTAATTTCATTTATATTAGGTATGTTTTTTAATGCTATTTGTGGATTTATATTTGTTATTGATGATATTGATGTTTCTGTAAATGGAATTTTTGAAAGTTTTTGTTTTTGTTCATATGTTAGATCTTCTGGTGCAAATTTGGAAGGTTTTTCTTCAATATCTAATTCTATATCGTCGACATTTATGTTTTCTGGGTCTATATTATCATTAGTTTCATTTATGGTTTCTTGAACTATTCCTGATTCAGAATCTGAATCTGATGATGATGACGATGATGATTCTGAAGATGATGAAAAATCTTCAGTTCTTCTTTTCTTCCTCCTTCTGTTCGATGGTTTTTTATTCTTTTGATTTGTCGGGAGCGTAGATTTGGCCATGTCTGCGTAGTGATATTGATGTAATTGAGTAAACTTAATGTATATTTATTCATTAATCTCGTATATTTTTAAGATATTCTTGCAGATGAGTGTATAGTCAATTTATATACAGGATTTCTGGTTTTCGTTTTCAGACCATAGACTATCAAACGATTGAAAGTTCGATGATTAGTAAAGAGCAGCAGCTAAATAATAATGTAGCACATTCATTTAACATACAAATCCGCTCATCAAGTATCCATCATTTTTTTCTTTGAATAAAGTCCACAAATTTTAGCATTAATTCTACACAGAATTAATCGACTTTCTTTTAGATTGAAGAAGATATAGGTTCTATTTCTTAAACCATCATAATTGAGTCCAAACATTAACCCATACATAGTATCAATCCATTATTGTCATATGATATATCATAAAGATTCAAAGGGGTCCATCAAACTCCTGTATAGCAAAAGAATCGAATGTAAAAGGCGTTTCAGTAAGTAATTGAATAAGCCATTAAAAATCGAACATTGGGTGTAAAAACTGCTACCAAATTTGGTGTAGATCTTTTCTTTCCAATAATAAAATCGGTCTATGCTTTTCCAATTTTGTACTCAACGTGGTGTTCAAGAGTAGATCTAATTGTTGAATATACGTTTTATAAATACTCCAAATAGCACAAGATTCAAGAAATGGCTTGAATTAATTGACTTATCTTGTTAAATAGAATACTAATTGCTAACAAAGAATGCGATTTAGATGATACTGAAGATTTCCTAACATTCCGCTGGTCTGATTTAAGTGTTTTTTAAATAAAGAATGTGTAAGAATAAAAGTAGAAAGTTATGATTAAGTTTTCAACAAGAGAAAGAATAGAGCACAGTGCACCAAAAATTTTACCCATCACAGTTGTTAGTACGGTGCCAATAATTACTGCGACGAAACCGAATGCTTATGCTAAATCATAATGAGAAATAGAGAACTCTAAGGCATTTTGAACTCTCATATTGTACCACTCTTAGTATTATAATTCTTGTTATGATTAGGTGATTCAATTACTTAAATTAGGAAGATTATTGGTTTTGTACTCTAATTACACAAAAACTGTTACTATTGTAGAATCTAAATTTAAACTTTTTCTTTTCACCTAATACCAAACCATCATCAAAAATTTTTAAAAAATTATTCAAATCTTTCTTATTTTTCATATATACAGATGTAAAACATATTAGTTCATATATGATATAATTATAAGTCAGATAGAATTAGACCAAATTAGCATATTATATTGAAGTTGACATTAAAGCTATCAATTAAAGAGGAGAAAGCGGAAGAACATAGGTTCTATTTAACATACTTTACTAAATGAGTTAAACGTCAATCTTATTTATCTTTGTTCAACTCAAATATTCAAACAGAATCAGAATCAAATTCATTCTCAAACAACTTCAGAAATATCAATACCACAAAACCTTAGCTAAGGATCAATCACATCGAGAAAAATGTATACACCAATAGAATATATTTTCACATTAATTTCAATTTTAAATTTGATCACTGCATTTATTATCTATATTATAAACAAAAGACAGGGTATATCAATAAATAGTGGTAAAAATTTTAAAAGTTTTAGAATTTGTATCACAATGTCTTTAATGTTTGGAATGTTTTCAATGTTATTATTATTTAAAAATTTAGAAATTGGTGCAGGTATTGGTGATAATGGTAATAAAATTGATTATTCCAGTTTCAAGAATAATACTACTATTACAACATCAAATATGTAAATATATCTATAAATAAATACGGATTTAAATAATAAAATAGAATTTAATAGGGGATCAAAACTGAAGTATTGATACTAATAAAGTAATTTACATTTAAAAATTTTGGTTAAATTTTTATCTTATTTTAATCAGTTTTAACTCTTTTTTCTTCACTTTCATCTAATCCTTCTAATACATGAGGTACTTTTGGTAATCCAGAACTTGTTGGTTTTACTAATGGTGTTGATAAATCAGAATGAAATTCTTTTATAATTGAATCAACATCATCAATATTTAATTGTCTAACATCACCTAATTTTTTAATTTTATTTGTTACTTCTTTACATTGTTCATCAGTTAAATGTAAATTTAATTGATCAACTCTTGATTTAATAGCATTCCATCCTGTTAATCTATTTGCAAAATGAATATATCTTGTTAAACCAAAATCACTTGGACTTAAAATTTCATAAGTTGATGGATTTGCTAATATAGCTTTAGCATGAATACCAGCTTTATGAGTGAAAGCACAAAATCCAGTAATTGGATTATTAAAAGGAATATTAACTTGAACAGCTTCTGCAACTAAATTTTCTAAATCTCTAATTTTATGAACTTTATATTTTGATAAAACATAATCCCTATCAGCAGCAATCATTCTTGCCATTAATCCACCTAATGGAGTTATACCATTTCTTTCACCAATTCCTAATACACTTACATCAATTAATCTAGCTCCACCTTCTAATGCAGTATAAGCATTTGCAATAGCACAACCAGTATCATTATGGAAATGACATTCAATATCACAATTAACAACTGATTTTAAAGTACGTACTAATTCATAAACTTGTCTTGGATTTGCACAACCAACAGTATCAGCAATACCAACTCTATTTACACCAATTTTATCAACAGTTCTATAAATATTTAATAAATCAACTAAATCACTTCTAAAACTATCTTCACTTGAAAATCTAATTTCAATACCTTTTGATTTAACAAATTCAATAACTTCAATAGCACTTTGAGCAATATAATTCATATCTTTTCCATGACTATATTGTCTTAAAAATTGTGAAGTACCAATAACAACATCAACTCCATCAACTCCAGTTTCAACAGCAACTCTTGCATCATCCATATGACATCTTATATGAGTTAAAATTTTAGATTTTAAACCTAATTTACATATAGCTTCACAATCTTTTCTACTTTGTTCACTTGCAACAGGAGAAGTTAATTCAATATAATCTACTCCAAAATCATCTAATGCTTTTGCGATTTCTATTTTTGTTTCAGTTGAAAAAAATGCATTTGCAAATTGTTCACCTTCTCTTAATGTACTTTCAATTAATTGAAAATTTCCAACATTTGATAAATAATCTGCTGGATTTGGTCCATATGGATTTTGTTGTATTTTATGACTTAAGTTTTCACTTATTTCTTTAAATCCGTTAGACATGGTTCTTTTGTGGTGGTGAAGGTTGTAGTTAATTAATTTTGTTTACTGTAGTGGTAGATTAGTCCAAATTCGAGGAAGTTGATTTATTATCTAATTAAGATCATTTCGGGAAGAGATAGATAATATTTGCGACAATAGGAAAAAATGACAGACTATTTATGAGAAACTCCTTTAACGGTAATTTAAAACGATTGTATAAGCTAGTACAAGCCAAGTCGATCAAGTTTGATTGCATATCATTTTGCTTTAAACTATAGATAGCATTGGTCGAACAAGCAAACATTGTCATCAATGATTAAATGAGCAAACAGTGATCTTGATTTTTTTCCATTCACCCAATGCCTATAAAGTAGCATTATTGAGTCCAATATCTACCAGGAAAAGGTTCTAAATTATAGATGCGTCGACCTAAAGAACGTAATCATAGATTACTTAACTAACGACAATCTAATCTTGTTGAAAGGATGGACATATAATATGTTCGTAAAACTTTTGATAAATTCAAATTCTAGTCAATAAAAGCTATGCTGCAAAACGAGTTAAAATACATCGGTCTAAATCTTATCATAGAATAACTCCGTTCTCTTAAATTGTTCATTCAAATCCCCTACAAGCTATAAATACCAGTGAATATTTCATGAATAATCCATTGAATTACTAATCCAAATTACTAAAACTTCTTTATACTCAATTCAAAAAAGATTTCAAAATATTTAACCACAAAATGTCAGTTCAGTTAACTTATAATAATCTCGGAGATTCAGGTTTAAAAGTATCACCATTAATAATTGGATGTATGGGATATGGAGCACCTGAATGGGCAGGTTGGGTAAAAGATGATGAAGAAGAAATTTTTAAAATTTTAAAGAAATGTTATGATAATCAATTAAGAACTTTTGATACAGCTGATGTTTATTCAAATGGTAAATCTGAAATATTACTTGGTAAATTTTTAAAAAAATATAATATCCCTAGAGATAAAGTTGTTATAATGACAAAATGCTTTTTTGCAATTGATGAGAATAATTATGGATTTAATTCATTAAGATCACCAGATGTATCTCCAGCTGATTTATATAACTCTAAGGGATTATCGAGAAAACATATTTTAGAAGCCGTAAATGGTTCAGTCAGAAGATTAGGAACATATATTGATGTATTGCAAATTCATAGATTAGATCCAACCACACCTAAAAAAGAAATTATGAGAGCTTTGAATGATGTAGTAGAACAAGGATTAACTAGATATATTGGAGCATCATCAATGAAAGCAACTGAATTTGCTCAATTACAATTTATTGCTGAACAAAATGGTTGGTTTAAATTTATAAGTATGCAAAATTATTATAATTTATTATATAGAGAAGAAGAAAGAGAAATGATACCATTTTGTCAAAATAATGATTTGGGTAAAGTAGCAGTTATACCTTGGTCACCTATAGCAAGAGGTGTATTAGCTAGACCATTAGATGTTAAATCTCAAAATAAAAGAGATGAAGAAGATAAAACTTGGCAAATGTTAGGATTAGATAAATTAACTGAATCTGATAAAACAATTTTATTGAGAGTTGAAGAATTATCTAAAAAACATGCAGTAAGTATGGCTGTTGTTGCTACTGCTTGGGTTTTAAGTAAAGGTTGTTATCCAATTGTTGGTATAAGCTCTGAAGAAAGAGCTGATGATATAATCAAAGCAACTACTTTGAAGTTGAGTGACGATGAACTTAAATTTTTGGAGGAACCTTATATTCCAAAGAAATCGTTGTTTTAGATTCAGTGATTGTATATACTAGATAGGAAGACGAATAAACAGTTTTTGAGATTGTTATAACGTCAGTTTAGTATTAGTTTAAAATTTACACAAAAACGTCTCTCAAATTTAAATTAAATCTCGTAAAAAGTATTACTTGTTTTCAATTAATTTATAGTTCTGATATTTATCCTTAAAGTTTGCAACAAACTTTGTTGTATCAACAGCATCGTGAAAATGTCTCAGCAAGCACAACTGAATCCAAAAAGAAAAACGTTTCGACAAAGAAGACGGGGAAAGTCACAACAACAGTCAAACAAACCAAATAATTCTAAACGTAATGACGAACATAAATCATCAACAATTGATTCAACCACATCTAATGGAGAATCAACTCCTGAAGTAGTTGAGCAAAAATTCCAAAATGACTTGGATTATTTATTAACGAATCAAGACCCAGAATCATTACACTCCCATTCTCAATATGAAACGGTTTATGTACCCACTGGTAATTTTACTGAAGTTGCAATTGGCGTACAACATGAAGATGATGAAGATAACAATAACAATAGACAACAACATAGACCTAGAAACCGTAGAAATTTTACAGTTGCTGACGTGATTGATGGATTAGACGACTTAGATTTTTCTGATGATGAAGAAGATGATTTTGTTCATGTTGATGCTGAAATAGTTGAAGAAGAAATTATAATTGAAGATAGTGGCCAAAAGAATAATCGAAATAAAAACAAACCAAATAATGTAGATTTAGATGCTGCATTTCCAAAATATGATGGTAAAAATAAAAGAACCTTCAAGGAAAGAAAATCAGCTCCACCTTCTTCAAGTGAATCAAAATCAAGTTTTAGAAATAAAGCAAAGCAACCTAGAGTTAAAACCAAAGGTTCTAAAGCAATCAATTTTGATCCCACAATCGATGATAAAAATTCGGAAGGTAGAATTGATACGGATAATTCCGAAGATCTAGTCATTCCTTTTGAAATAACAAAGCAAGAAAAAATCAAAGAAGGTCCGCAATTTGATAGACAAAAACAAAGAAGAAGAGAAAGGAGGGAAAGAATTAGATTGAGAAAGCAAGCTGAGTTGGATCTCAAAGCAAGTGACGACTCTTCCAACGGAGATAGAGTTCAATCAAATCCAATTGAATCAAGTAGCGACTCTTCCACTAAGGAAGTAAATAAGGTTGAATCTAAACTGGAAAATAAAGTACGCCCTAGAGGTCCAAAAGTACCAAATCAAGAAAATCAAGAAAATCAAGGTGAAAAAAGCAATTCCACGACAAACGATTCACAAGTTGGACATAAGCATAGTGCCGAAGGAAATAGTATGTATACTTTGAAAAATCTTCTCAGTTTTAAATACTAACTTTATTTTGAGGAAGGAGACCAAGACGGCCCAGAAAACCAAAAAATCATGCTGATAATGAGAGACAACCAAAAGGGCCTGATTCAAAGTAACGATCAACTGCGGAAAAGTCATCTCGAAAAGAAATCAAGCTTGAAGGAGATATTTCCCGAAGTACATCTGTTGAGATATGAACCAACTGAAATGGAAGCAGTAGAAAATAATAAAGTTCACCCTTCAGTGCAATTGTTAAATGAACAACTGAGTAAAACCCAAACAAAAGAAGCAACATCACAACTGTTCCCAAAAGCACCAACCAACTCCGCATCGGATAAGTCTACAAATAGATTTGGAATAACGTTAAAGTCCACTAATACAACAAATAGATTTAATCACTTACCCGAAATTCAACCAATTCGAACTATTATTGGAGTATCCCACTCACAGATCCTTAACTCAGACTTAAGTGATGTCAAAATCAAAACAATATTAAATTCATCATCAACTTCAAAATATGTAAATAATGTTAAAAATTTTATTATTAAATATCAAAATGATCCAAAATTTGAAGAAAATAAAAAGTCATTCATCTTACTCTGCATTAATATAGCACTTTATGAGGCTCAAGGTGTTAATAAAACTCAATCTATTTTCCCATCAGTAGTTGAAATATTTAGCACATATCAAGAATTAAATTTGGAAAATACTAAAACAACAATTACTAAATCTGAAAGAATGAAACATCAAAATCAATTAGATTACTCATTTTTAGGATTTATTGGTTATATTTTGATTTGGGCATATGTTTTACAAATTAATCAAAATCAAGAAGAAGACAATTTTATTAACCAATTTAATTTACAAGATCAAATAAATGTTTCACTTATAAAATCAAAAATTGGTGGATTTCATTTATGGGATAAACTTAATAAGAATAGTTCCATTAATTCAAAAAGATGGAAACATATAATTAAATTTAGAAATACTTTTCCCTATGAAGAAGATCAATTTCTTATCATTTTGAGATTTTTCAAAATCGGTGATATTCCTTGAAAGTACTATATAGGAGCGTAGAAAAATCATAAACGTACGTAGAATATAGCATAATCACAAATGTACGTAGAATAATCATAAACATATATTCTCTCTATATTATTAATCTTGTTGAACTTTTGCGTAATTTGGTGGTCTTAACCTTCTGTTTAAATATTGAACTAACCAAACAGGGAATAAACTGACTAACATAATTAATCCAGTTTGCCAAATATAACTTATTGATGTAATATATTTAAAATCAAAATAATCACCTAGGAATGGAATTGAACCAATATAACATAAGAAAGTTAAAACTATTGTTGCAATCATAATTTTATTCCATTTATTTATCGATAATGCAACCATGAATAATTCATTATAAACTAAACATGAAAATGATAAAGTAACCATAGATTTAAATTTAGATTCTTGTAAAGTTTGTAAAAATTGTGAAATAATTTGAATCACACATCCTTGATATAAACTAATAAATACCCACATAAAGAATGTTTTATATGATAATGATTTTCCTAATGTTAATTCTTTATATAATTCTGGATAAACTTTTGTTAAATGTTCATCAATATCACAATCTAAAGTTAATGAAAATACTGGTGCCATGGTATATAATGTTGAATAACCAACCATTAACCAGCCTTGATATAACGCTATAGGTTCAAATTTAGAACTTATTGAGTATACAGCTTGAGCAACTGAAATTAAAAGTCCACGATGAATGATAAATTGACCTAATTTTGCAGATCTCTTGTATGAATTTCTACCATGCCATAATAATAATTTAGATAAATAACAAAATTGATCAATACTAAAATCTGCAGCTAATGAAGCTTGTTTACCTTCTTTTCCAACAATACCTACACCAACATCGGCCGATTGAATCATACTTACATCATTACCACCATCACCTATACAACAAACTCTTTTACCTGTAATTTGTCTAATATTTATTGCTACATCTGCTTTTTGTTGAGGTGAACAACGACATGCTATAACGGCTGGTAATTTAATAGCTATTTCAAAGAATTCTTTGCTATGATATTTCATATAAGTTCCTAAAGATTCACCATCAATTAATAAACATGTGTTTGTATTGTTTCGAAGATATTCCATTTGATCCATTGCAGAATCAGGATTAATTAACTTTGTGATTTGATGAACATATTGACCTCTCGAAATTAATCTTGCACTGATTGAAACACATTTAGCTGTTTCGACTTTATCACCTGTCAACATCCAAATTTTTATTCCAGCATTTCTCAATAATTCAATAGATGATTTGACATCATGTTGTAACTTATCTTCAACACCTGTCAATCCTAAAAGTTCTAAATCTTTTTCCAAATAATAACTGATAACATTTTGCATAGAATAATCTCGATCTTGCATTGATAATGAAGCTTCTTTATAATTTTCAGTAAAATCTTGAAATGAATTTTCTGATAATGATTTTCTACCAATTACTAAAGTTCTTAAACCTTCTCTTGCCATATTTCCAGTTTCTTCATCTAACCAATCATTAGAATTCACAATAGTTGACATGACTGTATCTGCCCCCTTTTGCATAAACCAAATTTGACGATCTTTGAACTTACTTCTAACTAATATACCCATTCTTTTAATTTCTGAACTGAATGGAAAATTATATAATATTTCAAATTCAAGAATTTCACCAGTACTTAAATGCGTTAATGAAATAGAATGTCTATCACGTTTGAAAAGTTTTAAACCAACAGTTTCACAAAATTTAACAATAGCTATTTCATCAGGTGATGCTGCTTGATATGTTACTTCACTTGGATCTTCTGTATATTCATCATCATAAACAGGTGTTACATTATGACAAATTGCCAAAGTCAACACTAAATCACATACTTTTGCACTTAAATCCTTCTTTTTCAGCGTAAATTGTGGTGAATTGATATAAATGATAAGATTATTAACATATTCACTGACGATATCCAATGTATCACCAGCATAACTAACTGAACCCAAATGTAATTTCTTAAGTTCCATTTCATTTCTTGTTAAAGTACCTGTTTTATCACTCAATAAATATTCCACTCTACCTAAATCTTCAGGTATTGTAGATGTTCTAACAATAGTTCCAGGTATAGCTTCATCATTTTGTATTTGTGATGCATAAACTGATTTTGCTAAATCCAAATTGACTCTCAATGAGACGGGAATTATAGATGAGAATAAAATTAAAAATCTCATTATATCAATATACCATGTTTCACCTAATGGAAACCCATGAGCCAATACCAAAACAACAGAAAGTGCTAAAACAACAGCACACAAAATTTTAGATAGACTGTTTATTTCAATTTCTAGTAATCCTGTTTTAACTCCACTTTTAGTGGTATTCATCAGTTGCCTTGTCTCAAGTCCTGTATATATCACCATACCTATTGCTCCACCGGAAGCTAAGACCGTATTAGCCCATAACGTTTGATCAACTGATAACGGATATGACTCTGCATTTGAAGGAGATGTTGTTCCATTAGCAGTAGGTGGGTTATAAACTAATTGACCATTGAAAGAATGAATTGATTTTGTTGGATTACCTATAACTAATGATACTGAGTTTATTAATTGAGTTAAAGAAGATAAATTTTGTGTTACACTCGGTGCTATTCTTAATTTCCAATCTGTTTCACCATCTAATTGATCTGTTTTAATAAAGACTTCACCTGTTTTTTCAGTTGATTGTAGTAGTACTAAATCTGCAGGAATTCTTACATCTTTATGTAATCTTATTAAATCTCCAACTCTTAAATCTTTCGATGATACTGATTTTGATTCAGGAATTAATCCTGTTGAAATTCTATTTAGTACTTCATATTTTTCGGAATTTTGTTCTGAATCTCTTCTTCTTCTACTTATATCATCACTAGCTTCTTTCAACATAGTCACCATTAATACAAACGCTAATGGTACGATATATGAAGATAGATAACCTATTCTTAATTGTGGGACTATTTGTGAAAGTGCAACTATTAAAAAATATAAATTGAAAAAAAATTTAAATTGTTCATATAATATTAATGGAATAAAAGTTATTGGATTATATTTTGCATTTGAAATTGAATTAGATGGATATATATTATTAGCCCTTTGAAATGTAGTTTTTGCTGAAATATATCTTTCATTACTTAGATTATTTATTCTAAAATCTGAAGCTCCGGATTCTTTTAGTCTGTCTTGATTTAGCTCTCTTTTAGCATTGTTGAACTGTAGGATTAATTTTTTGTAAAATCTTTTAAATTTTGATGAAATTGAATTGCTTGGTAGGGTATTTATTGAAGTGTTCGAGGAATTAATGGAGAACCTACCATCGTTTAATAATGATTCATCTTCTTCTCCAGTAAATACATCTTGATTTGAATGTAAGGTTCGTAACGGTATTCCTGAATTATTACTATTATTACCTATGGAATTGAATGAATTATTTCTACTACTTTTAAACAACAGATCATTAGATTGTAGATGTTGATTATTATCAAATAATTTATTTGTTGCATTATTTAATGCTTTGTCCAAATCTTCGAATAGACTATCATCATAATTTTTACTCGGAGTATATCGTTTTGATGACGATGACATCACTTTTAATTGTGAAGATAGATCTATCTATCCGTTTTATAAATGTGAATATGCTGAATATGTATGCTTGATTTGATCCCATTAACTTAGCGTGTACAAAATCAGTTCTAAATTTGAAGTAAATTGGTTTTGTGATACCAAACATTGTGTCGTAAACTATGAATTAGAAATATGACAAAAGTCGTACAAAAGACAATTTTATTTTACGCAGTTTACAACGCGTTTTCATTTTGCGTTTTCTTTTGCGTTTTCTTAAGTATACAAAAAAAACTTGAGAATTAAATTTGGCAACCAAAAGAAAATATTACTCATTATTATCAATGAAGAAATAAATAAACATATTCTTTGGATTCACTAAGTAAAGAGATTGGGGAAAAGAAGAGTGATATATGATTAAAATTTCAAAATAAAACAATTAAAACAAAAACAAAAGCAAAAACAAAAACAAAACAAAAACAACAACAAAAACAAATACATCAATAAGATTGAATGAAGAAGTAATATGCTAAAATGATTTTAAGAATATCAATTATTTAGTTAAATCCTAAAATTGGTAATTAGAAATTACTCATTCCTTGCCACAATCATTAAATTTATGTTTTGTAAATATTACTCATTTAAACAGTATTAATGTACTATACATCTACATCAAACTTTATATCATGATTAGGAAGGTCAAATTGTGTATTGGTATTCAACATGATAAAGTATAAATAAAACTGGAAATTCTTTTACATCTAAAAATTGAAGATTAGAATAACATTAATTGAGATAGGTTTCATCATAGATATTAAATTTAATTTTATTTGATTCAAGGTATTTCATCTTATTATCATTAATTTTTATAATATAGGAATCTCATTATATCACCATCAAATATCCCAACTTTTTAATTCAGATACAAATTTTTTTTTAATAATGTCAGAAATGATGATGTATACATATGCGTACTATGGAGATGTAAAAGGTTTTAGTTCTTTATTTAATAAAGAGGATTATAAAGATTATGACGAATATGAAGAACATGATTTACTGGTATGTATTTACCATGGAGTTAATCTTAATATTGAATTCTGCGAGTATGCATTAAATAATATTCCTGATTTTCCATCTAGTTGGCCTGGTCCAAGTTTGAACTTACTATTACATTCTAATTTATATGAAAAATATATTGATAGATTTGACAAATATTTGATATATTGTATGGATAAGTTTGAAAATGTTCATATCGATTCAATCAAAGATGAATTATCATTCATTTATTCGATAACAAATAATAAGAAAGATTTTGATAAATTAAATTTAACATATAGATATTATTTCACAGATTATTATATTAAAAATTTTAATGTACCTGATTTTTATGATAGAAATATTACTGAAATTAAAGGTCAAGACTCAGAATTTCGTTTTCATTTAAAACTTTTCAGAAAACAAGAATTTTATGTTTCTAAATTAAAATATCCTGAAGCTGAGGATTATTTTGAATTATTGTTAAATCCTTATTATATAGATCATAAAAATTTAAAAGAATTTATACAAAATAAAGATTGTTATTATAAAGAAGAAAAAAATTATAAAAAGGAAAATATATTAAAAGATACAAGTTTAGCAATTTATTGTTTTAAAAATAATCTTGATATTGATTATTGTATAAGTAGATTTTTGGTTGTTGATTCATCAATTTCTTATGATTTATATTTAAAGAATAAAATATTTTTTAAATGTAATACATTACCAAATTTTGATTCAATAATGTATTTGAAAGATAAAAATATTTATTTATATTATCATTTTATTTATTATTCAATTATTTATGCATATTCATCAAAAGCAAAAGTAAATATTGATAATTTCAATATTGAATTTATTGAATATAATATGTATGAAGGAGCAAGAAAATCTTGTACTATTTATATATTTGATAAAATTAAAGAATTTATAAATAAAGGAATGAAAGTTTATAAATATATTGATTTAAAAAATAATGAATATTAAAAAAATCCAATAGAAATAGATATAAATTCATTAAGTATTAAACCTGAATTTGATTTTTCAATTTATACCAATTATATGGTTAATTAATAATTAAGATATTCAATTTTTTCATTTATATATGTATATAAAGATCTTTAGAATTTAATAGTTTAAAATATTAGTTTATTGATAATAATAATAAATGAATCTTTGCAACAACATTTCTATTTTTTATATTCTTGCAAGACCATATAAAGTTTAGTAAGGTATAATGCAAATCCCAGATATTATTTATTTTGTTGTTCTCTCAACTATGTCTTTCATAAGTGTAGTCAAATTGTAGAATTATAGACTGATAAATCCGATCTCATTTGGTAGTACTTAAGGAGTGGCTGCAAAATAATATTTCATTCCTAAATGAAAATTATCAAAAGCCAATGGGACAGAAATCCTCTAGATAGTTTCTAAGAACCGTCACTTTTTGCTGTGGGTACTATCACAAATTTTTGCATTGACTCATCTCAATGTACTTTGTGGTGAAACATATGTAAGGCCTTATTGTCTTGAAGACTTAAAGTATTTTACGAAATAAATTTAAAATTTAAAAATTGAACAAAAGAAAAAAAAATAAAAATTGATAAGAACCAAAATAATAAAATAAAATAAATTATAATAAAAACACCGACCCTTATTCAACCACGTTTTTTTACAACCGATTCATACACCATTAATCTAAAACACATTTGAAAGACATTCATCTACTTGAAATATAGTTACAAATGCTGCAGACAGATGATGATTCACAAGAATTATTAGCAGTAATAGCTTCATCAGGTTCAAATCATAGTAAAGATAATTTATCAAATTTAAATAAAAATTCAGAAGATGGTGAAAATTTAATAAACCTAGCAAATGTACAAGAATTCAAGACCAAAACAGTGTTTGGTAGGATAAAAGAATTTATAAAAATAAATTTTTTGGGTTATAATAATGAATTTGAAAAATATATATTAAATAATGAACCAAATGATTGTTCATTAATTGCAAAATATTATAAGACAATAGATATAGATTTGAGAAATCAACCCAATTTATCAATAGATTCAGTAACGTTAAGTAGTATACATATCCCACATCCTTTAGTAAGTTTTACAAGAAATGAAGCAAATCAATCAACTGATGAAAATATAACGAAAGAATTACAAGAAAGTCCGATAATTGTTTTCATACATGGTCTTGGAGGACAAATGTCACAATTTGAACCATTAATGGGATTATTATCACAATGTTCTGAAATATTTTCAATCGATCTACCTGGCTTTGGTAATTCTAAAATAGATTTTAATAAAAATAAAAAATATATATCACCTATATCAAAAGAAGATCAAATCAAAATATCATCAAGTATTAAAAAAATGAATTGGGATGATTTTAAAACTGAAAATATAGTCAATATAGTATATGAATTTATAATGCAAAAAATTCCTAAAAATAAAACAATTGTATTAATAGGTCATTCTATGGGTACTCATATATCAATTAAATTAGCTAAAAAACTACCTAATCTGAAAGTAGAAGGATTAATTTTACTATCTCCTCCTGAAATATTAGATGATACAAAACCTACTGTTGAAATAACAAAATCAAGTCGATCACTTACTAAATCATTAGCATTTTTAAAATTTTTTACATATTTTCCATTTTTGTTTGATTATTTTAGAGTTTGGGACAGATTACCTGGATTAAAAAGTCATAGTGTTACTAGACAATTATCTAAAACAAATAATAGATTTTATAATAGTTTAAGACAATTTAGATGGAATTTAGATGTTAATTCTACTATTTCTTTAAGATATGTTAATGGATTTCAAAAAGCAACAACCACTGAATTAATTACTGCAATTAAAAAATTTAATGATAATCCTTTAGATAAACATGTTTATGAGAAAACTTTATTAATATGTGGTTCAAATGATCAATTAACAGGAGTTTCATCAATTTATAAAGCTCATGAATTTTTAACTAAAACTTTCAATAAAAAAGTTTCATCAATAATTGAAGTTAAAGATGTTGGACATTCACTTTTATTAGTTAAACCAGAATTTATAAGTGGAATGATTTTAAATCATATTGAACTGAAATTTCCAGAAAGATTACATTTATCACCTGCTTGGGTATTAAAAATAAAAGCGTTAATTTCTGGAGATAAATGGGGGTTAAAAAATGAATTAAAATGGCTGAATTTAAAACCAATTTCTTCGAATATTACAAGAAATAATGGAAAAGATATTGCTCCATTATTGGGTATGAAAACTTTAAGAGAGGAAGATACTGTACATTCTCCTACAATAGTTGAATCATTATTTTATGATACAAACTCAAATAATACAGATATAAAAGGAAATCTAATAGCTATAATTGACATTTCAGCAGATATTCCACCTTATAGTCCAAAATCATTTAAAACAATAAAATATTATAAGTGTGCTACAGTATCAAAAGTAGTACCAGATCAAAGTTCAATAAGAAGATTTATACAATTAATAGATGATATATTAGTTAATAATATAGTAGAAAATCCTTTAATTGGAGTACATTGTCATTATGGATTTAATAGAACTGGATTTTTAATATGTTGTTATTTAATTGAAAATTTAGGTTGGTCAGTTGAAGAAGCTGTTGAGGGGTTTAAAATAGCTAAATCTCCTGGTATAAAACATCCTCATTTTATAGATGCATTGTATGTTAGATATGATAAATAGACTACTTTTTCAGAATTATTTGAAAATTTGTATTATGGATTTACCGTAGCTTAAGAAATATATACGGCTGAATCAATTCAGTCTTACTAGAGAATTGACTGAAATTCAAGGACTATTTGTAGGCTACTTTAGCACTGAGCAATTGAATACTAGTCTGAAGTGCTTGTCTCGATCTTCTTGACGATATGTTAATGGACCCGTGGTACTGTTCCAAATAAAGTTTTATGGTATTTCTATACATAATAAAATATTTTATAAATCTTACATAAGACATTATACATTGTATTATGTAATGTAATTTAGTATTATATACAGGATTATTATTTATCTATGAAAAACTCATTCTATTTATCAATAACTACAACCACCAACTACTCTTACCTTCTTTGAAGTTTACGTTCTTCATATCACACCCACTTATCGGCTCACCATTGACTTATGAAATTTGGAGAAGCCTTAACAGAAGGTTTAGTATCAGAATGGCAAGATCAATATGTTAATTATAAAGAAGGTAAGAAATTAATTAAAAAAGTTAAAAGATTAAAAGACGAGTATGAATTAAATGATTCAACAACAAATGATTCAAGTAGAGATTCTATAAATAATAATAATGGTACTAACAATGATGATAGAACACCATTGTTAGGACCAATTGATCCTGATATAAATTATACAAGAGATCGAGATCGAGATCGAGATCAAGATCAAACAACAACTACCACCAACAAAAATAATGATATTGTACCACCACCATCAAGTAAATCTTCAGTTAGACGACCGTCAATTTTTAATTATTCAACAAAATCAGATAAAACTGATTATTTTACAGAAAGGAGGAAATTTCAATTATGGTTAGATGAACAATTAAATAAAGTTGATGAATTTTATTCAGATAAAGAAGAAGATGTATATGAAAGATTTTTAATATTACAAGATCAATTATATCAATTAAAAGATCAAAAAGCACAATTAAAAAGACAACAATTACAACATGATGGTAAAAATAATGATACAACAAAACCTAGTGATCATCAAATGGTTGATAAAGTAAGTGATTTAGCTTTTCATACAAAACATTTTTTAAGTGGATTAAATAGATGGGAATTACCTTCATTACCATCAATGAGATTTTTAAAAAATTTCAAAAAACATCCTAAATATGAAGATGATATTTCATTACATATTCAAGATTCTACAGATTTAAATTATGCAGAAAATAGAGTAAGAAATGGTATAGTTGATTTAAGTGATAAATCTCATTCTGATGATCAAACTTCTTATGATTCTGAATCTGAATTTGAAGATTCTTTACAACAACATAATTATCCATCTCGACAGCAACAACCACCTAGACCATCACAAGAGATCCCACAAACAGAAGCACAAATACGAATTAACAAACGAAGAGATTACACCAAGAAGAAACAACATTTTGGAGTACCATATTTATATGCTAAAAAACAATTAAAAACAGCATTATTAGAACATTATAGATCATTATCAATATTAAAATCTTATAAAAATATGAATAGAACAGCATTTAGAAAAATTACAAAAAAATATGATAAAGCAATGAATACTCATATAATGGAATCATTTATGGAAAGAATTGATACAACATCATATTTTTTAACAAGTGATTTATTAAATAAAATTATAAATCAAGTTGAAGAATTATATATTGTATTTTTTGATCCTGAATCAAAAGATAGAAAACAATCCTTGGAAAAATTAAAAACTATTGCATATACTATAAATGCAAATGAAATGAAATCAAATACTTTTTATTCTGAATTTTTCAGTTCTGGATTATTTTTGGGATTTGGTTTACCTTTATTTATTTTAGCGTTATATGTTGCCTTGGATAAAACATTAGGTGGAGAAATGACGGAGGGGAAGTTTTTATTACAAGTTTGGGGTGGATTTTTTTTATTAACTTTAATGTTTTTATTATTTGGTATAAATTTAGCTATATTTGAAAAATATAGAATTAATTATAAATTTATTTTTGAATTTAATATGGCAACTGCATTAAATTATAAACAATATTGGGTTATTCCATGTTTTGCATTTGGTTTATTATCTTTATTAGCATGGTTTAGTTTTAATAATTTTTGGCCCCATAAATTTCCAGGTAGAGATTGGCCATGGATATTTTTTGGTGTTTTATTAGTTATATTTTTATGGCCTGGTAATATATTTTATGGTTCAAGTAGAAGATGGTTACAATTTGCAATTTTAAGATTAATTTTATCAGGTTTATATCCTGTTGAATTTAGAGATTTCTTCTTGGGTGATATTGTATGTTCATTAACTTATACAATGGGTAATTTACCTTTTTTTTTCTGCTTATTTGCGAATCATTGGGTTGGAACATTACCAGGACAAGATGAAAGTAGGAATAAATGTACTTCATCAAGATCACATCTTATGGGATTTTTTAGTGCTTTACCAAGTGTATGGAGATTATTACAATGTATACGACGTTATATGGATACTGGTGATTGGTTTCCTCATTTAGCTAATATGTTAAAATATTCAGTTTCAACTGTTTATTACATGACATTAAGTCTTTATAGAATTGATGGAGTAGTAAGAAATAAAGTTGCATTTATTGTATTTGCATTTATAAATTCAATATATTGTTCAATTTGGGATATTGTTATGGATTGGTCATTATTACAAAGTGGTTCAAAACATTTTTTATTAAGAGATTATTTATTTTATAAAAAACCAATTTATTATTATTTTGCAATGATTATTGATATTATATTAAGATTTCAATGGGTATTTTATGCATTTTTCAATCATCAAATTCAACAAAGTGCTGTTACTTCTTTTTGTGTTGCTACTGCTGAAATTATAAGAAGATTCATATGGATTTTTTTTAGAATGGAAAATGAACATGTTACAAATGTTATATTATTTAGAGCTTCAAAAGAAACTCCATTACCTTATTCTGTATCAGTTAAAACAGAAAAAGCAATTAAAAAATTAGTTGAATTAAGATATGATAATAATCAAAAACCTCAAGAAAGTGATTTTGATCCATCAAGTAATGAAGAAACTGTTGGTTTTACAACTGGTCGTGAAAATTCAAGACAAGAAGAACGACGTAGAAGTTCAATAGATTTAACAAGAATTTCAACAACTTCACAATCAACACCTCAATTACAACAACGTAAAACTTATTTTAAACAAATTACTGATAAATTAAATAGTGCTCATATAAAAGATTTTCAAAGGAGAAAAACGATTGCTCCACATGAAGAAGATAGTGATGATGAAGAAGAAGAATTTGATGATTCAAGTATTAATGTAAGATCTAAAAATTCAAGAAATTCAATGCCATCAGTTAGAGAAGAATAATATTAATTATGTAGTAGTTGTTATAATGATATGCAGAATAATGATTATAGAAACTTTTCTCCAAACTCTATATGTTTTACTAATTTTATTTTTGAAAATATAAAGCTATTACAATTTTATATAACATCGTACTTAATTGAAGTTAGCAACAAAATCTTTTGTGATTTTATGTAATTGTTCTAATTCTTCTTTTGATAATTCACCTTTTTGATTAATGCTATCTAATATATGTTTTTCATTAGCTTCTAAATGTTCAGTAAAAGCTTTTTCAAATTCACCAATTTTATCAACTGGAATATCATCAACGTAACCGTTAACACCAGCAAAAATAACTGGAACTTGTTGAGCAGCAGATAATGGGTTATATTGTTTTTGTTTCAAGATTTGAGTTAATCTTTCACCTCTAGCTAAAGTTTGTTTAGTTGAAGCATCTAAATCTGAACCGAATTGAGCGAAAGCTGCAACTTCTCTATATTGAGCCAAGAACAATTTCAATGAACCAGCAACTTGTTTCATGGCTTTAACTTGAGCAGCTGAACCGACACGAGAAACTGATAAACCAACATTAATAGCTGGTCTAATACCTTTATAGAATAATTCAGCTTCCAAGAAAATTTGACCATCTGTAATTGAAATAACATTAGTTGGAATATAAGCTGAAACATCACCACCTTGGGTTTCAATAATTGGTAAAGCAGTTAATGAACCTCCACCGTTTTTATCAGACATTTTAGCAGCTCTTTCTAATAATCTTGAATGTAAGTAGAAAACATCACCTGGATAAGCTTCTCTTCCTGGTGGTCTTCTTAATAATAATGATAATTGACGATAAGCAACAGCTTGTTTTGATAAATCATCATAGACAATTAAAGCATGTTTACCATTGTCTCTGAACCACTCACCAATAGCAGTGGCAGTGAATGGAGCAATATATTGGGTTGGAGCAGCTTCGGAAGCAGTAGCAGCAACAATGACTGAATATTTAAGAGCATCATGTTGTTCTAAAGTTTGAACTAATTGAGCAACAGTTGATCTTTTTTGACCAACAGCAACATAAACACAATATAATTTTTTCTTTTCATCAGTACCATTATTCCATCTTTTTTGATTTAAAATGGCATCAACAGCAACAGCAGTTTTACCAGTTTGACGATCTCCAATAATCAATTCTCTTTGACCTCTTCCAATTGGAACTAAAGCATCAACAGCTTTTAAACCAGTTTGCATTGGTTCATTAACTGAAGTTCTTGGTAAAATACCTGGAGCTTTAACTTGAGCTCTTGAATGACCAGCAGCTTTAATTGGTCCTTTACCATCAATTGGGTTACCTAAACCATCAACAACTCTTCCCAACATTTCTGGTCCAACTGGAACTGAAACAATTTCACCAGTTCTTTTAACAGTTTCACCTTCTTTGACTAATCTATCTGAATCGAATAAGACTACACCGACTTGGTCAGCTTCTAAATTCAAAGCCATACCTTTGGCACCTGAAGCGAATTCAACTAATTCTTCAGCTTGAATATTGTTTAAACCATAAATACGGGCAATACCATCACTAATTTAATAGTTAGTATACATACTTGTGTTTCAATATATTAAAAACATGTTTTACATTTGTAGTGTGCTCGGCCCAAAAATTTATTATCCAATGAGGTTCAAATAAAAATTATGAGGTACCGACCCATTACAAGAACATGGAATCAATTGAATTGATTTTGATAAATGATGATTACATACCCAACTGATAAAACTTTACCGGTTTCATTTAAGTTTGCTTGGTCTGAAACACCTTTGATTTTGTCTTCTAAAATTGATGAAACTTCAGTTGGAGCAGCTTTAGCTGAAGCAAATCTTTGAGCATTTATTAAAGTTGGACGAGCCTACAATTAGTTAGTATTGGGTCCTTGACATGTGAAGTGTTTGAATTGATTGGTCTGCCTCGATTTAATAAACTTCGCTTTAATTCCCATGCATGGTCCAAATAAAATCATGTACTGATTTAAGATTTAACAAAAAAATTTTTCAACCAATTCGATCTCATTCTTTGATATAATTGACAGTCAATTGATCATGAATTTGGTATTGATTAATCTCCAAATACTTAATCTTTATATTTTTTTTTCAATTCCAACTCCATTTAAATTCTAAATACATACAACTCTTAATGATGATCTAGCAGCAACAGCAGCAGAACGAGCTGCGTTACGTAAAACTGGACGAGCTGACAACATTATATATTCTTATGATCAGTTTTATTTTTTTTTCTATTAAGTTGTTGTTAAAACTGTTATTGGTGAAAATAGAAAAATTTTGTTAGGAATATAAAAATTTCGCTGAAAAAAAAAATTGTTAAACAATTATTTTGTTAGTATTTTTCACTCAATACATTTATTCTATGAACAACCAATAATTTTGTTTCCGTGATTTAACATTTCGCATTAAAAATAATTTATAAAACGACATTAAAATAACGAGAATTTGTCGTGGTTTTAATCGTATCGTAACTACCAAACGTTGCTGCGAAAACACGGTATCTCGACCCCGAATATAACATACGACATTAAAGTTCATTCTCTACACCAATTAAAATTGATCGAACAAATGTTTTGCAACCAAATCTAGAGTACAACACTTACGCTCAAAAAACGGAGGTATATCATCATGAGCTCCATCAAGTATCTAGGGAAACACGTCTTTTAGTATTGATACCACTATCAGCTACTGGACTACGTCGGGACTGGGATATAAATCGGCAGTCTAGTAATAAATTGTAGTTCGTCTTCCCTCTTTAACTTAGACGTCTTCTCTTCAGATGAGACTAAGGTAGAGATTATTCTTGACTTCTAATCCTGTACTCAGGTTAAGCTAGTAATAAGTTTCTCATATAGCTCGACCCCAATGTTAAATTAACATTTTCAGTACATTTATGTGTTAGATGTCATATTTTTAGTTCGAGAAAAAAAATGTAGACAATAATAAAATTTTTCAGAATTTTTATCAACCTTTTTTACAACCAAGTTGACATTTATTTATAAAAGGTTCAATAATGTGGACTTCAACTTCAAGAAGATCACTTGTGAATACTTCAAGGTCTTTAATAAGATTCAATTCAACGAAACCCACTAATGATAATTCAAAAACTTCAACTCCAGAATTTAATTTAAGTGATATTTTTAAAAGAATTGATCAAGTTACAGTTAAAGCTAATGAAATAAAAAAACAAAATCAAGAAAAAAGGAAATTTCAAAGAGCTAATAAACATCAAAATAATCAACAACAAGATCAATCTAGACCTCCAAGAACTAATTTTAATAATGGGTCTCAATTTAAATCAAATCGGCTACAAAGTCAATCACAATCATCAAATCAACAAAACAATAGACAAAGACAAACATTTTCCAGACCGTTTCGTGGCTCCTCTGATCAACAAGGACAAGGACAACAACAACAACAACAACAATACTCAAAACCGTTTCGTCCACAAAGTCAAGAAGATGGAACAACAAACTTTTTTCGTAACCAATCAAAAAATAGAACCAACAGAGAATTTAATAACGATCAACAATCATCATCATCATCATCATCAAACTCACAATCAACAAATTCAACCAAATATCATCAAAAAAACGGTGAATCAAATAACTTCCAATATCAAAAACAAAACGACCAACAACAACAAAGACAATTTGGTGAAAAAAACAGTTCATTTGAAAGATTTTCAACAACATCTTATACTCCAAAATTATTTGAGTCAATTGGGACTAGATTTCCAAATAACGAAAGAAGATACAACAATGCTGGCAGATCAAAACCATGGCAAAATCGTGGCCAAGATTTTAGAAACAGCGATAACAAATCAGGAACAACAACATCAGCGGGATCAGGTCAAAAGTCGTTCAAAAGACCTGGTAGACAACAACTGAGAGGTCAACAACAAAAATCTCAACCACCCAAAAATACAATTGCACAACCAATTGAATCAAAAGAATTAATTGCTGATTCATTAAAACCACAATTAAATGGTGATAAATTTTTTCATGGCAAAATACCAAGTATATTATCAACAATTGATTCAAGAATTGCTTCAATAACAAAATTATCATTATTAGATTCAAAATATCCTTTTAATTTACCTAAAGACATTATAAATCAATCTTCGTCCGTCAAGAATCAAAATAAATTTATATTACAAAATAATTGGAATTTAAATCCAAATTCTGAAATCTTGAAGGAAAGAATTAATAAATTAGTTTATGGAAAAATTGAATCAATTAATACTGATGATAAGTCACCAGAAAATAAACAATTAATTCATAATATTGAAATTAATCCTACATTATCTCAAAATGATAAACAATCAATGTATAATACTATAACTGATTTAAATAATATTAAATCGATTTTTAAAGATGCTCATTGGAAACAAGTAAGTAAATAAAAGTAACAGAGTAGGGGTTTGAATGTATATAGATGTATTTATTTCAGAAACAAAATGACAATACACATATCAAGGTTTATAGAGAAATCGTCACGACTATAATAGATTATTTACGAAGGGATTAAACAGGTTATAAATTCCGTTCATTAATTTATATTCCTATGCATATATTTAGATCAAAATCAAAATTAATTCTATTGTTTTATTATTATTATCAGTAGCAGTGATAATACTTCTCTTATCTAAATTGCTAATGGTTATGGAATTAATAATCAAAACTTTAACTATTATAATTAGTTGAAATTATTAAGTATGTGCCACAATTAATTTTCGGGTCGCTTCACAACGCAATAATTTTTTTTTCTCTCGAAACCCAAAAAATTAAATCACCTTATGTTTTAGATCCATTTAATTGCATAATTTTTAAAAATAGGGCAAGGAGGCAGGGGAAGCTGAGAATAACTTTATACTTTTATGAGTATGAACTGTAGTACTTTAAATGGGTAACGCTATCGAATTGAAATTCAATTTTGACTAGAAGTTGTGAATGGGTTAAACAAGATGAACTCGGACTTTTAAAAATGTATTTTATATTTTATTAAATAATGATCTCCATGATATAGTTCCTTTATTTAATTGATTCTCATTTTCACCAGCATGGCAACTACAACTAGCAGTATTAGTTAGACTATTACCATAATTTAAAGTATTTTTATAAGAATATAAAAATGGTGAAATAGTTGATATAGTTAAATAAGTTAATAATAATATAGTTGATGATTTTTTTGATATTATGTTTCTTGTTGTATATATTGAGCTCATTTTTTGGTTTTATATAAATTGATTTATGTTAATATTATTGATTAGGCGTAGGGTTGAATGTATTGAGTAAGGGACAGGGAATTTTCAAGTATGAATGATAGATGTATATATTTATGATAAGAATGATATGTAAGGATAAAGAGATATATTTATATATTTATATCTGTATGTATATATGTAGTAAGTAGTAAAGTAACGATATTATGATATGATATTATGGAGTTTATAACTTTACATAATAAATTAATAATAATAAAATAAATAATAAAAATAACACATTTTTTAGTTGCAAAATCGAATGTTTTTTTTATTCATTATTACTAAACTAAAGTATGGTTTTGAGTGAAGGAACTTAGTTTTTTGCTTAAAAATAATTACTGATGGAGTTATACGATTACCTTTTAAAAGCATTGATGTTTATACGGTAAAGGACACAAATGTTTAAGATTAAATTAGTCTGATATGTCTAAATTTAAACTATTGAGTACTCAAACTTTGAGTATTAGCTAAAATAATATTTTACTAATTTACTAATATAATTTTACGGATATTTGTTTAAATCTATCGTAATACCCCACTAATATTATTTATTCATTGAAACATATGATAATGGTCATCCATCTACTCCTTATTTGGAGATCATTCAGGACTGAATTGAAAGGTTCTACTAGGTTTTCTTATCTTGTAATCAATTGATCATTGGAGCAGTAAGAGGTTATTGCAAATATTTACAAATATTACTAAGTATTGTGTTTGTATGTATAATGTCTAATCTTAAATTTTAAGATTTCTAATTTTGTGTTACAATATTTTGATGTTACTTTTTTGCTTCTGTGTTAGTTATCTAAAGACACTAGATTTGTACGACGGCCATGGCAAAGTTTGAGTCGGCAAAGTCTTACGTACGTTGACCAGTTCTAGTCCAAGTTGGGTCGACTCTGGTACTAAAACATAAATTTACCGAAAGGAGCCAACAACCCTATATCAATTTCACTTTCAATTCTTTTTTTAAGTCAGATCCTGAACATCATCAAAAAACCCTACTATCTTGTCCAAGATGACTCCCGACTATCGGTATACACAAACCTCAATTTAGATGTTGTTTTTCAATATTTGAAGCAACATAAGAAAAAAACAAATTGGTATGTATTTCTAATTTTTAATATTTTGAAATTTGTTTGTTTATTTATATTCTGTAAAAATGAAGTAATTTTTTAATCATTATCAACATCAAAACACGTCTAAAATTAAATAGACACGTCTATTTTAAATCACGTCTATACGGTTTATAACTAACTAAACTAATTGCTAAGACGTGTATACGAAAGTAACGTGTTTCAAAAGCTCTGGGTATTTATAGACTCTTTTCTTCGAGGCTTGTATTTTTTTTGCCATAACAGACGTCCGATTGGATGATTATTTGCTCTTTTATTACTCAATATAATGAAAATGAACAAGAACAACAAGCATAGCATCTATCATATGTGGAACGTGTATACACTTGATCGTATAGACTCTAATTATGTTACTCTAATTTAATACCTGCATAGTTTTTATACTTTGTATGGTTCAAAACTTGTCGAACACATACATTCGTAGTTCAAAAGTTGGCTGTATTTACTTTTTGTTTGTTAGCTAAAACAATCAATAAATAGAGTTCACTGAAAGCTGCATTTAACGAAAATGTATAAATCTGGATTTATTGGAAATGTATTAACGTTTATAGTTTTCTTAACGTTGCAAAATTTAAAATGATTTGGCTGCGAAAAAAAATGAATCAAAATTTATTCTCTTTCATTCAAATAATTGGTTGTATTTATAGAACCACTAATACTAATGCTGGTTTTCTTTTTTGAACCTTAGTACGTAGCTGATTATATGATTATATATTCCAAGCAAATAATTGAAACATTGCAGGGGTAAAAAGGAAAGAAAGGTTTGTACTGATCTGATCTAGGACGGTATCGTAGTTTTGTGTTTCATAAATTTCTAAGAACACAAAATCTTTTGACTCACAACTTAACGGAATTTTATTCAGTCATAATAACGCCATAACCAAATATACAAAGAGCTAAATTGAAAATTTCCTACCATGCTTTGATTTGAAACTTGAACCTCCTTCCCCATCCAAATATTGAATCATATAAGTATAGAAAAAATGTCATTTGAAATATTAATCATACCTAATTCATGGTTTAGAAATCCAAATTCAGATTTTACAAATCTAAGATATTTAATAAATAAAGGATATGATAAACCTGTTCAAAAATATGGAATAATTCAAACAAAAAGAATTATTTCAAATGATTCATTTTTTGAAAATTTAGCTGTTTTACCAAATGATGAATTAAATTTATTTTTATTACTTGGTTCAAATGAGAAAATTGAAGAATTAGAAAAGAATGGGGTATATAGAGATTTTAAAAATGAAAATATTGATAATGCATTTGAATGTGATATACCTAAAGAATTTGGAAGTTTATTTTCCTTGAATGAATTATCAGACTCAAGAATTAGAATAGTTGATGAAGATTTTAAATTTGATGATAATATATTAAAAAGAGTTTTAACATTATTTGGATTAAGAACATATAATTATGAAGTATCCAATCAAGATGAAATAAATTTAAATTTAACAACTTTTTGTTCATTCTTGTACAATTCAGCATCCACGTTTTTTGAAATTATAATATCAAAATGTTTAAAAAATTCAAAAATTTATGAAGAGTTATATCATGAACCTTTATCAAACTACAAGTCATTAATAATTCATGCAGATTGTATAATTGAACATAATTTAATTGATTATTATATCACCAAATGTAAATTTAAAAAATCCCACAAGGCAAATATTTCAATTGAAAATGCTGGAATTAGTTATAAACAAATTAAAGCTACAAAAAATTTTGAAATTGGATTTTTATATAGACGTATAGAATTATAGAGAAAAAGATATCAGAAATTTGCATTCATAGATGTTAGTTAATTCTTTTTCGAGTGGAATTTTAGAACTCATTTTTTGCAAGCTATTTAAGTCGTTTGGATTGAAATTTTCATCAAATTCCGTTTGTAGCATTCCACACGCGGAATTTTGTAAAACTATTACGAATCTCAACCCAAACAGAAATGAAATTTGATACAACCACAATGGAATTTGAATGAAGATACTTATAATTCAAACATCATGGTTCTTAAATGAAAATCAAGATTTCAAACTGTTAAGATATTTGATCAATAAAGGTTATGATAAAAGTAGAAAAAGATTTAATTTAATTCAAACTCAAAGAATTAGATCTATTGATTCATTAATTCAAGATTTAGGTATTTCTGAAAACCAGCAGTTTTATTTATATTTGTTCATTGATGAGGAGATAACTGGACATAGACCATTTGGTGATGAAACTGTGGAATCTTGTTTTGATTGCGATGTGGATGAGGTTTCAATTGATTTAGATAACATCGAGACATTTTTAGTTCCTGATCGTTTTATACTCGATAATGATGTTATAAACAAATGTATTGCAACAATAGCTTTTAAATCAATGAAAGATCCAAAAGAATTTGAATTGACGTTATATACATCATTCATGAAATCAATTGGTTATAAGTTTTTAAATTATGTATTGGATCAAAAATTATTTCCATCATCAATGACAAAAGGTCAAAAAAACTTAATTATAATTGCAGAATGTGTAAAAGAATATAATTTGGACAAGTATTATCAAAATTTTTGTGAATTTAAAGTTGTAGAAGATAATATTTTGATTAAGGTTGATAATGAAAAAAATTTAGATGAAAACATTTGGTGGAAAGCTTCAAGAGATTTTCATCTTACTATTCTTGAAAGAATTATTGATTTAAATTAAATTTGATTACAATGGGATCAGGAATCAAAATGGAGGAAAAACCTTAGAGAGAAATAGAGATATCTGAAGCTAAGAAAATTCGTGACTTTGGAAAGTTAAAGTATTTGCGAGGGTGCAACTAATATAATTCTGTGGTTTTTAGAGTTTTGAAACATTGGACAATCGTAGTTTCATGCGATGAAATATTTACATCGACACTGTTATCTTGATCTCCATCGTCATGAATCCTTTCAATGCATTTTTGTCGATGCGGCTATATCCTTGGTCCAACACATCATTCTGCAACATTTTGATTGATTAATAAAATCTTGAAAGAAGCTGAATTACGAAATATAATAAATTATTATATTTTTCAAATATTTTTAATCAATTACTTATCCAATTTTAGTTATTGTTTTTAAACCCCAGAAACTAAAACTTAGACTAAAAAATTAGAGTTGAATATGTTATAACCAAACAAAGTAAAATACAATTACAAAAATTTGATTTTAAACTTTATTAAAATATATATAAATAGGTTTAAACTTTTCATCCCAAAATATCTCGATTAAAAACTCTTTTACATTATAATTAAACTGTTGGCATGATATTTCATCTTCTTATAAAATGCTTAGAGTAAGCTCTAATTGAATGAAAGTCTGAACGGAAATTTTCAGATTTCATTCGACGTATACCTGAATTGAATCATGTCAACTGAAGTATATGAAGAAGAATTTGAATTTGAATCAAATACCAATAGTAAAAATCAAATACAAATTAATGAAATTAATGGTGATCAATTAACTTTTGAAATCAAACAAAGACAAAAAGATCTACAAACAACAAATATAGAAATATCCAACAATCCAAATAACAATTCAGATACAACTTACTTAAATTCAATAATTGGATTTATATTATTTTTATTACTGCCATCAACAATTCATGAATATTTAGAACTTTTATTAATTGGTATATTAAAATTATTTGGTATTACTTTATTACTTTCATTTCAATATGGAATAGATTTTATACAATTTTCATGGAATGGTGTAAAGACACTTACAAAATTTATCCTTTTTTTTTAGATGGTTCATGTTCGGAGTTTTAAACAACTGTTTCAAGAATATTATGTGAAAGTTTCATGGCTAATGTACTTTGTGTATATGGATTTATAACATTAATGAAAAATTTATCCGTTTTATGTTTATTGAAATCGTCTCGGTTGTTTTTAGTTTACGTCGAGCTCTCGCTTTAGATTAGTCCAAGGTTTTTACTTTTGTCCCCCTGTTCTAACTCCATACTTACTTTTGTGACACAAGATATATACTTCCTTCACCCGTAATGTAGAAACTCAGATTATGTGGGGAATTTTTCATTTTAAATCAACAATCTTTCTTCTTTTAATCAACTTATATATCAATAGTTTCGTCTATCATAAAGATATATTCAAAATTATTTCATCTAGATAACATATTAACAAAAAAAAGATGGTCAATTTCAACGTTAATGGTAAAATTGCTTTAGTCACTGGTGGAACAAGAGGATTAGGTTTACATTGTGCAGAAGCATTAGTTGAAAATGGAGCTAAAACAGTCATAATTACATCAAGAAAAGCAAAAGCTTGTGAAGAAGCTAAAGTTCAATTAGAAGAATTAGCAAAAAAAAAAGGAAATAATCAATGTGAAATTATATCAATACCAGCTGATTTAGCTGATGAAAAACAATGTGAAGAATTATTTAAAAAAATTAATGAAAAAATTGATAAATTAGATATTTTAGTTGCTAATGCTGGTGCAACTTGGGGTGCTCCATTAGAAGATCATAGTGTTTCAGCTGTTAAAAAAGTATTAAATTTAAATGTTGCAGCTGTTTATCATTCAATTCAATTATCTGTACCATTATTAGAAAAAGCAGCTACAAAAGAAGATCCTTCTAGGATTATTATAATGTCATCAATTATATCTGTTTTAAGTAATGATTCAGTTGGTACTTATGGTTATTTAGCTTCAAAAGCTGCCGTCTCACATTTAGGTAGAAATTTAGCTGTACAATTTGCTCCAAGACATATTAATGTTAATTCTATTTTACCTGGTTTTTTCCCAACTAAAATGGCAAATGGTTTAATTGAAGTTGCTGGTGATATGATGAGAGAAACTAATCCAAGAGGTAGATTAGGTGAAAAAGAAGATTTACAAGCTGCTTTAATTTTCTTATGTTCAAAACAAGCTAATTATATTAATGCTGTTGAATTACCAGTAGATGGTGGAGCAAAAAATAATAGTCCTGCTTCACATTTTTAGATACTTAGTTTAAAGAGATTTTTGATAGTTAGATTTCTTATTTATAAGTTTTAAAATTAGCACAATTGATTTCCTCTAAATTTAGATTTCGATTTGACTGAACAATGATCTTTAAAGAAACATACATGTCTTCAAATGGGACCGGATGATACTCAATATCAATAATCTATGTTCAATTCTTCATTCATGTGGTCCTTGTTGGGTTAAGATTGAGTATTTTGTTTCATTTTTACACTCTATGCAGTAATTAATTTTCTATTATCAAATTGCAATTCAACATCTACATACAACAATTCAAAATCAATTGAAAGTCAACAAGGATGTCTACTCACGTTACATTAGTTACTGGTGCTTCTAAAGGTATGGATTTACACTTTTTTCAAATTCTATATTCTGTTTTCTTTCATACTAACTTTTTCTCAAGGAATTGGTAAAGCAATCGTTGATATACTTTTACAACATCAAAATTCAAAAGTTGTAGCAATTGCAAGATCAAAAGAATTACTTGAAACATTACAATCAAAATATGGAAGTGAGAATTTTCAATTTATTGCAGGAGATGTAACTGATTCAAATATTAGTCAAAGTGCTATAGACTTAGCAACTACAAAATTTGGACAATTAAATTCAATTATAGCAAATGCAGGAATTATTGAACCTGTTGGTCCTATACAAGATATATCAATTGAAGAATGGAAAAAATTATATGATCTAAATTTTTTTAGTATAGTTCAATTAATTCAACAAAGTTTATCAGAATTAAAAAGAACTGGAGGTAATATTATAGCAGTTAGTTCTGGTGCAGCAAATTCAGCATATAGTGGATGGTATGCATATGGATCATCAAAAGCAGCATTAAATCATCTAATTAAATCTTTAGCAGCAGAAGAAAAATTAATAAAAGCAATATCTATTGCTCCTGGAGTTGTAAATACTGATATGCAAGAATTAATTAGAAATTTTGGATCAAAAATGAATGAAGAAAGTTTAAAAAAATTTATAAATTTACATAAAGATGGAAAATTAGTTGAACCAGAAATTTGTGGAAAAGTTTATGCTAATTTAGCTTTAAAAGGTTGGTCTGATGATTTAAATGGTGAATTTATTAGATTTGATGATGCAAAATTGAAAGATTATCAATAGGCTTAGCTCGGGAATTGAATTAAATGGTGGGGTTCTTCATATAGGAGTGTTTGTATAAATTTGAATACGCCTTATCGAGATTATTATTACTGAACAAAAAAACCCTCACTCAGGAGATTTTTTTTTGGAACCGATCTTGAAAAACCGACTTTATTGAATGAAGGGTCAATACTACGAAAAACACATGATTCAAACAGCAACCTACTCAAAGTTTTAGAGATAAGTCATTGACTTCTTTTAAATTCCAACAAAGCTCCTCAATATACTAAGCATGTAGTCTAGTAGATTTTTCATATTTAAGATTCATTTAGATCGCGCTTTGTAAAAAAAATATAACGAGATTCTTTTTGATAAACTTTTTTTTTCTTTTTTCAGTTTGTATTATTCAATTGATATTGAATCGTCAAATTAAAGTTTTAAACTTTATTGAAATCATAAAATAACTAAAAACATCATCTCAATTTGTAATAAAGAATAATAATAAAATATAATAAAATATAATCAAAAAATGTTTCAAAGATCAACATTGTTAACATCAAGATTATTTTCAAGAAATATTCAAAAACAAAATATTCAATTATTTAAAAGATTCAAATCAATTAAATCGACTCCTACTCCTATACAACCAAAAGTTAAATTACAAAGTAATACTTTGTTAATATTGGGTGCTTTAGTAGTTGGAACAACAATTGCAGCAGCTATATATAATAAAAATGAACCTAAATCAGCAATTGAACCAGAATTACCACAAATACAAGATGGACCTGATTTTCCACCAGGTAAAATATCAGTAGTATTTGTATTAGGAGGACCAGGTTCAGGTAAAGGAACACAATGTGATATTTTAGTTCGAGAAAAGGGTTTCACTCATTTATCAGCAGGAGATTTATTAAGAGCTGAACAAAAAAGACCAAATTCAAAATATGGTGAATTAATTGCAAAATGTATAAAAGAAGGTTCAATTGTACCACAAGAAGTTACTGTTGAATTATTAAAAAATGCTATAAAATCAAATTATAATAAAGGTCAAGTTAAATTTTTAATTGATGGATTTCCTAGAAAAATGGATCAAGCATTAACTTTTGAAAATAGAATTGCAAAATCTGCATTAACTATATTTTTTGAATGTCCTGAAAAAATTATGTTAGAAAGATTATTGAATAGAGGTAAAACTAGTGGTAGAGCTGATGATAATATTGAAAGTATTAAAAAAAGATTTAAAACTTTTATTGATACTTCTATGCCTGTTGTTGATTATTTTGAAAAACAAGGTAAAGTTGTTAAAGTTAGATGTGATCATCCAATTCCTGTTGTTGCATCTCAAGTTTTGGATGCTTTAACTCAGAGAGGGGTTTAAATAAAATAAAAAAGGAAATAATGATGATGATGATAAAAGATAGATTGATTTAAAGTGAGAAATTTTCTACAAATTTAAATGTTCATAGATTTAATAAATAGAGCTTGCATTTTTTATAAACTGTCTCTTACGTTGATTCCTTCATCTCTGAGTTTGTAGTGATATCTAACATACCCAAAATTTAATTACTCAACCCCAAAAATACGAAAATTGGTAGTGCTCAAAAATTCACTATCAATTTATTATTAGTAAGATAATCTAAAACGTAATAAATCTCATATCTAAATAACACATTCTACAAATTCTAATGAGTGTAAATACAGGTCTACCTCCAAATTGGACAATTAAAGTTTCCAAAACACATAATAAAGAATATTATTTAAATCAATCAACAAAAGAATCATCATGGGATCCACCATATGGAACAGATAAAGAAACTTTAAATTCATATATTCAAAAATTTAAAAATAATGATTATAAACCTGTTACAAATAAAGATGGAAAAGTTCGAGTTAGTCACATTTTGATTAAAAATAAAAATTCAAGAAATCCAAAAAGTTGGAAAAATCAACAAATTGATCTAAGTAGAGAAGATGCTATAAATTTAGCTAAATCATACCTAAATAAAATTTTATCTGGTGAATTAAAATTTTCAGATTTAGCTCAAGATGAAAGTGATTGTAGTTCACATTCAAGAGGTGGGGATTTGGGATTTTTTGGTAAAAAGGAAATGCAACCACCTTTTGAAATTGCTGCTTATGATTTACATGTTGGAGAAATTTCAAATTTAGTTGAAACTGATAGTGGAATTCATATACTACAACGTACTGGATAATTAAAAGAATAAAAGAAGATTATTATTAGAACAGAAGTAAATTAAAAAAATATTAAACCGAATTGCATTTCTGTATATACATAAATACTTGTCATTAATATTATTAATTTTTTTTTAAAATTTTATGTTAAATACTTATCTCATAAATTATTTTGAATAACCATTTGTAACTAACCAATCTGAAATTAATTTAGAATCACGTTCAGCCCATTTACCTTTTGCTGTAATAATATCTAATGATTGAGCTAAACCTTGATTATAACCCTTTGTATCTTTTGTTTTAAAAAATTCTTCAACTTTTTGTTTTTGTTCTTCTTTTGTAAATCCAGAAGTTCCCAATGTAACTACTGAACCTAACATTGATAATCCTGGTGGTAATAATGAATAAACTTTATCCCAATTTATAGTTAACCAATTCCATAATTTTTCAACACCAGCTTTATGAGCTCTTAATCCTTGCATTGGAATATAAATATCTTGTTGTTTAACAACATCAGTTTGCAACAAAAGATCAGCTACTTTATCCATAATTTCTGGTTTTTCAAATCTACCTAATGAACGTAAAGCAGCAATTTTTTCTTCAATTGATTGAGGATTTTTATAAATTTTTAAAATTTCTTCAAATGTAGATTCATCTCCAAATTTTGCATTAATATTGAAAATTGTTGCTCTTAAATTTGGATGAATGGCTTTTTTATCTCCTTCAACAAATTTTTTGAACGAGTCTTTGGAAAATTCAACAGCTTTTGGATCATCTGAATTTGCTGCTGAAGCAAATAATGAAGATTTTAATTGTTGATCAGCAAATGAATCTGAATCATTAAATTCCCAACCAATTTCTTTTAATTTTTCTCCAATTAAATCTCTTGTAAATAATTTTAAAGCATCATTTACTTTTTGATCTTCAAACATTAATGCTGCTTTTATTGATCCAATTCTTCCCAAAATTTCATCCCAAACAACATAATTTGATTCTTTTGACCATGATTTAACTAAATCTAATAAACTTGAAGTTTGAATAAAACCCGAAGATGCTAATGATCCAGCATCTGCTACTAATCCAACACGATCTTCAACTGATAATTTACCATCAACTCCAGCTTTACCTAATTTAGTCCATCTTGATGAATCATAAGCAGTACGATAAATACCTGCTTGATCACCATTAATTTTAAAAAAATCATCATTTGTTGGTAATTTAAAAACTTTAGATCTTTCATCTAATACTAATGATTCATCAATTCCATCACTTGTTTTTAAACCAAGGAATACTGGATATAATGTTTGATCTTCTTCTTTTTTAACATCTCCCGTGGCTAAAAATCTATTTTGAGTAACTTTAATTTCATTATTACCATTATTTTCTTCAACTTTTATAATTGGGAACCCAATATTTTTTGTCCAAATATCCATAACTTTAACAACATCTTTTCCTGAAACTTCACTTAAAGCTTGCCATAAATCTGAAGTTTGAGTATTACCCCATTTATGTTTTTTTAAATAATTTGATACTCCCTTAATGAAAATATCTTCACCTAACCATCTTGAAATCATTTTTAGTAATGAAGAACCTTTTGAATAAGATATAGCATCAAAAATTTGATTAATTTCATCAGCTCTTTTTACTGGAACTTCAATAGGATGAGAAGCTCTCAAAGCATCTAAAGTTAAAGCATGTTGTAAAGAATCACTTACATAAGATTCCCAAACTTTCCAATCTGGATATAATGAATCACAAGCATACCAAGACATCCAAGTAGCAAAACCTTCATTTAACCATAAACCATCCCAAAAATCCATTGTAACTAAATTACCAAACCATTGATGAGCTAATTCATGCATAACAACTTCAGTAACTCTTTGTTTAGTATTTACATTTGTATTTTCTGGATCAATTAATAAATCAACAGTTCTATAAGTAATTAAACCAAAATTTTCCATTGCTCCTGCTGAAAAATCATGTATTGCAACCATATCACATTTTGGTAAAGGATAAGGAATATCAAATTTTTTATCAAAAAATGCTAATGTTTTTGCTGCAATATCTGCTGAATATTGACCTAATTGTTGAGATCCTGGAGTTGCATAAACTCTTATAGGAACTCTATAATCTTTATTTTCAACATATTTTAAATCACCAACTATAAAAGCAACTAAATAAGTTGACATTAAAGGAGTAGTATTAAAAGTAACTTTCTTTTTATGATCACCTATAAGTGTTGTTTCTTTTTCATCCATATTTGATAAACATACTAAATTTTCATCAGCAATTAATGATATAGTAAATTTAGCTTTTGCAGATGGTTCATCATAAGAAGGAAAAGCTCTACGACAATCAGTTGGTTCCATTTGAGTAGTTGCTAAATATTTAGTTTTACCATCTTCTTGATAAGTAGATCTATAAAATCCAGCCATTTTATCATTCAACTCACCAATAAATTTTATATATAATTCAGCTTTTGAACCTTTAGTTAAATGATCATCAAATTTAAAAGTAACAGTTTGTTTTTCAATATCAAATGAAATATCCTTGATGGGAACATCATTAATTTTAACTTCTTCAATTTCAATTTCTAAAGAATTTAAAGTAATATAATTAGTTCTTTCATTTACTTCAAATTCAATAATTTCTTCACCATTAAATTTAAAATTTTCAAAATTTGGTTGTAAAGTTAAATTATAATGTAATGGTTTAACATTTGTTGGTAAAACTTCTCTATCTTGTGGAGTTGATGAACTTCCACTTATTTCTGATTTAAGATGTGAACACATTGAACAATAATTTCTTTTAGGAGTAGCAATTGATTGAAAATTGGTTGTTGTTCTTAGTAGTTCGTTATAGATATTATTCTGGAATTTACTTTTGAAAAATAAGTCTAATCTTTTATTATTAGTATTTTTATTCTTAGTTGAATTTATAAATGTAGTTGTAATTGATGTTGAAATAAATCTACTATTATAATTTCTTATGAATGATTTAACAATTACTGGTTTAAAGATAGTAGTAGTTGATTGAATAAAATTCATACAGAGAGATTCTGTTTAACTATTTAAATTTGTATCTAATAAAGATATTATAAGAGTATAAAATATTAATGCGTGTTAAATACTTAGGCTATTATTATAAAAACCTATAACAATCCGGAGTTTAAAATTTACTATATGGAATCTCAAACGATAAAAGTACGAAGATACAGGTAAAATGTGAGTTAATTAACCTTTTTAACTAGGAAACCCAACGCTTTTTAAACCAAATTGAGAATGTTTTGTGTAAATTATATTATTATGTTAATTGCAATTCCGTTTTGACATGCCATTCAGTTGAATACTTAATATTTAAATATTTGATGCCGTTTAAAACTGTACAAGCAAAATAGATAGACGTATGCGATGCTTCAGTGCTACGTGAATCCGGAACTATTCTTGGGCGAATCTTAGAACGAGTAAAAAATTCCTTAGGACGAGAATAATTTAGCCAGGTTAGTGAATGGCTGTTTTAAATATTTTTTCTGAAACACATAACAATAAAGTTTGAAACAAAACCAAGTAACAATTGAATAATGCCGTTTGTTAGAATTTCTTGAAAAAAAATATTGATGGCGAATTTCAACGTTTGAATGTTTGGGGATTCATATCGTAAATATAATAAGTACATACTGAAACGATTTAGGGGTTTTTACTTAGTTTAAGCTTACAATATACGACGGAATTTTAAGGAGATCCTTTTTATGCAACTAGTTAACCATTAATTCTTCGTTATATATTTCAGACAATATAGACGTATTTACTTCTTTGGTTTTTTCTTTTTAACTAAATCCGATAAATCATTAACTTTACCTTCATTTTGAGGTTGTCTTTTTTTAACTAATGAAGTTAAATTATTAACAATTGCATCTGTTGCTCCAGCTGTATCACCACCTGATAAACTTTCACCTAATATCCCCTTTATAATATCTAGTTGTTCTTGTTGAATATCTTGGTTGGGATCTTTTATTAATTCTTGATATTTATCATTTAATTCATTTATCATTTCTTCATTATCTTTTCTTTTTGTTGTATCTTTTTCATTTAAATTTCTTTCTTTTGTTGATTCAATAGCTAATTTAATTTGTTCAGCTGCTTTTTGTCTTGAATTTGGATCATCAGTACAAAATTCTAATGCTAATGATAATTTATAATGAGATTCTGATATTGGACTTGAATTTTTTGGATATAATTCTAATCTTAAATCTAAAGATTTTTGTAAATCTAATGCAGATTGTGGGAAATTTTCAGATTCTAATGATACTTCACCTAATATATCGTAAGTTTCTGATAATTTTTTTAAATTTATTATATAATCATTATCTATTGGATCTGACTCTGATTTAATATATGGTTCTTTTATGTTTTTTGGTTTTTCTAATGTTTTTAATTTATCTTCAAATATTCCTCTTGCAACATCTAATATCATCCAAGCCATTTCAAAATCATTTGTTTCTTCTGGTTGTTCCTCTTCTTCATTTTCCTTTCCTTCTCCTTCTATATTGTCCTTGTTTTCTTCGTCTGCCTCTTCCTCTTTCGTTTCAACTTCTTCTTCTACTTCTTCATTTACAACTTCTCCATCAATTGGTTCAGCATCATAGAATTGAAATTTATCATCTTCTTCAATATCCTCAACTTCTTTATCAACTCCTTCATTTTTGACTTCTTCTTCCTTAGTTGTTTCTTGATTTGTTGTAGTAGTATCAATACCACCTAGTATACTACTTTTACTAACACCATTTTGAAATAATGCTTTACCATATAATAATAATAAATCTCCATCTTCTTTATTATTATGTTGTTTTGAATATAATTGACATGCATCTCCATATTTTTCTGATGCTAATTCATAATTTTTTTGAGAATATGCTTTTGATCCATCTGATACTAATTTGTTTATCTCTAGTGAATAAGACATCTTAGTTCAATTAACGGATATTTTGGTAATGAATGAAGTGATTATTGATTCAATTAATTAGTTCAATAGAAATATGAAGAATATTATGTTTTGTTTATTTTGTGTAATGAATTCATTTTATACTATAACGCGTTTATTATTATCAACCAAAGATAAGATAACATTTTTGATGGGAAAAGTGGTGGAAATTGTTGCTGATTAAAAAAGTGTTTAAATAAAACAATCAGATCCAAGATATGCTAACTGGCTTAGTGCTTCACTCAAATTTATTTGCAAGACAACCAAAGGCAATGTAAGTTGAAGTGTACCATAGTATATCAAATGATTTGATTCGCGTTAGATTTGATACAAAAACCTCCTAAAATACTCAATTCCTTTCAAATGTGTATCATTTGTCTTCAACATAGCCTTGTCTGTTAGAATTGGACCTTGTTCTTGTGTATAGTAGCTAAATTGTCCTGATTGATATTTGCAATTGAATACAAAAGTGGTTGCAAAAATTGTATTTGTTTATTGTGTGTAAAAAATCAAATCAAAATATGGAATTTTATTAGGGAAAAAATAATACCACACAATATACACACAAAATATACTATACACTTGAAATACAAACATTTTGATCCAAACATCATAAACTACTCAATTATACCACTTTTACTTCCAATTTAATGATAGATATTCAATGAAACAACTGCTAGTAATAATTTAATTTAGTTTTCCTGTCAAATTTATCAATTTCCTCATCAAAGCTATATCTATCTATCAATTTTCTACGGAATTATGTCAAATAAATCATTAAGAAGAAAACCACCACCACCAATAGATACAGAATTACATAATGAGAATAATACTAATAAGAATACCTCACTAATTAATCAATTGGAAAATTTACATAGAAAATCATTCTCAAATATAAATAATCAAAGACGACTATCACAGATTGATCAAAATATTTTAAATTCACAACAACAACAACAAAAGGATCTTCCGAATATTCCTTATATAACAACAACTCCGACAAGAAACTCATATAATGATACATTTGATAATTCAATTAATGAATCTTTCACATCATTTGATTCACCAAAGCCCAAAGGGCCGAAAGATTTATGGGAATATAATCAAAATGGAATAACACTGCCACTTCAAGATCAAAATAATAATAATTTCATTCCTTCATCATCAACTCATGCATCAATTCAAATTAAAAGAATACTACCTAAACGAAGTTATCAACAAATTTCAAGATCAAAATCAAATTCAAATTCAACAATACCTACTGATGAATCTTCACCTTATGATTCTCCAAATCATGATACACCTGAAGAGAGTAGAGATTCCAGTTTTATCGAAAAAACACCAAAAAACCCACCGTATCCAACAACTGGAATTGAGGAATATTTTGATGAAGATTTAACACCTGAAATGATATTTGAAGTTCCTTCACCTTCTCAAAGAAGAACTAAAGCAATAATTAATCAATCTATAAATACCACTTCACCAAAAATTAATGAGGTACCTAATTTAAGTACTAGAAGTTCATTGTCTACAATTTATGGTCAACATTATCAAAGACAACAAATGGAAGAATCATCACCGTTACTGAGTAATTCACCACCCATTTCACCATATGAAGAAAATATACCTAGACGTAAATTGTCTATGCGTTCATACAATAATTATCCAGACTCTGAACCATATAGTCGATCACCATCACCAAAAAGATCTTATCATAGTAAAAATAATTCATTAAATGGATATGATAATAATTATTTTAGTCATAATATAGCAAATCAATATCAAACTCAAACTCAAATTCAATCTCCTGATGAATATTCACCACAAAGTAATAATTTTAATTCAAGACCTTCATATCGAGTAGTTTCAGATAATCCTTTTTATGATGAAGAAGAAAATCAAAATTATGAATTTGAATCACCAGCAACAGATTATTTTGATTATTCAATATTACCTGAATTACCACCAAGTAGAGATACTTCAACTGCTAATACATCTATAACAATTGGTCCACCATTACCTAAAAAATTACAAGAATTACCACCATTACCATTAGATTTACCAGATTTACCTTTTAATACTTCTTCATTACAAGCTCAACATTTTGAAACTTGTAGAGAAATATGGTCAATATCAAAATTATTTAATTGGAGTTGTAAATTACAAATTTGGTTAAAAGGAACATCTGTTTCAAAACAAGAATTAAAAAAAGCTATAATAAGATTAATTGCATTTCATCGTAGTGATATATCATTAGATGTTTTAACAAAAAATTCTCAAGCTGCATTTGATTCATTTTTACAAGCTCAAGCTATTGAATTAGTTGAATTACTGAAACCTAATTCAAATGGTGATAGATCTGTAGTTATATTTAATGAAGAAGTAATTGTTAGTGGTGTATTACCAGGATTAACTGAATGTTATTCACCAGTTCCGCATATAAAAGATGAAAATGAAGATTCAACAATGACTTGTTATTCAACAATGTGTAATTTTAGTAGAATGATGAATCTTGAAAGAAAAATGAGAACAATGAATATTAAAGAAATTGTATTAGCAAATGATTGGGCTGCTCATTGGAGATTAACTATTGATGATCTTAGAGATTTAAATCCAAGTTTAATTAAAAGACAATCTCTTATATTTGATTTATTAAGATATGAACAAACTTTTATACAAAGAGCAAAATGTTTTGTTGAAATTGTTGGACCAGAATTTATAAAGGCTGCAAAGGGATATTTAGGTTCAAATAATTCAAAAATTAAAATTTTTGAAGAAGAAGTTTTAAAAACTAGTGAAAAAATTTTATTAATTCATCAAAATCAATTATTTGAACCCTTGTTGAAAATTTTAATTTCTGAAGGTAAATTCATAAAAAATGTTATTGAAATTGTTAGTATCTATATTGATTGGGCAAAAGAAGTTAGATCATATTTAATCAAATATATGAATAATATGCCAATGATTGAAGAATTATTAAGTTTATCAAATTTAAAATCATATATAGATAATAAAATTGGTCAATTATCAAGAGTTAAAGAATTAAAAGTAAACGTTCCAATATTATTTATAAGTACTTTTAATTCAAGATATCAACAAATTCCATTACAAATTTTAGATATTCAAAAAAAATATTTAGAAAATGAACCAGAATTTTTTTTATTAAAGCAAGCAAGTGATGAAATTAAAGAATTAGGTTCTAAAATAAATGATTCTAAAAAATTTGCAGATAATTTACATGCTTTAGAACAATTAAAAATTCAATTACTGTGGAAATCAAATTTAAATCCAATTAATTTAAATTTAAATTCAATAAATAGAAAATTAATATGTAGAGGTGATTTAACAAGAAGAACTGATTTAAAATTTACTTCACAAATTAATCATTTAATTGTTTTAGATAATTATATTATAATTACAGAAAGATTAAAAAATCAAAAACCAAATGGTGCATTATACAAAATTTATGATTATCCAATTCCCATAGATTTTTTAATATTTGAAGAAAAAATTGTAAATAATTCATCATCATCTCCAGCAACAATAAAATTATCATCTTCACCAATAACAAAACCTTCAAGAAAATCATTATCATTAGATGATAATAATGAAGATCATGATGATATTCAATATTCTATAAAATTAAGATATGCTGGAAAATTTAAAAATTCATATACTTTTACATGTAAAACAGAACGGGAATATTTAGATTGGATAAATTATTTAACAATTGCAAAACAAAAAATGAATGAAAGATTATTTAATAATATTGTTTTTAAACCAATACCAATATCAACAACATGTTTTGCATATGAACAAAATAATAAAATTAATAAATTACAAATTGTAACACCATTTGATCCAATATTTGAAATTTGTCAAGATTCAATAAAAAAATTTGAAACATTAGGAATTTCAAAAGATATTTATTCCTCGAATAATAATGTTAGAAATAGAATGGTATTTAGTAGTATTCAAAGTAGTTTTGAATTTCAATATAATGGTCGATTTTTTACATTTATTGGATTAAATTCTGGTTTATATTGTTGTGAATCTCATTCACATTGGAAAAAAATTTTAAATGGTAATGATTTTAATAAAATTCATGTTGATACAAATTTAAAAATTGTTTTAATTTTAAATGAAAAAAATTTAAAATATTATTTATTAAATCAATTGATTGAAATTTATTTTGGAAAAAGATCAAATATAATTGGAATTTCATTGTCTAAGGATCCAATATTATTTTTTTCAATGAAATTATATAAGAATATAAAAATGTTATTCTTTGCTAAAAAGAAAAATAATATGACAAATATTAAAATAATTATACCAGAAATTGATAATAATGGAATATTTAATAGATTTAAAGATTATAGAAAATTTTTTATAGAAGCTGAATGTTATGGTATATCAATTTTTAATTCATCATTTGTTTTATATACTGATAAAGGTTTTGAAATTATGGAAATTATAAATTTAAATCCAAGATCAGTACCTGATTTATCTGAATTGGAAAATGATAATGTTAATAACAAGAAAAAAATAGATTATCAATTTTCAAAAAAATCAGTCTCAACTACTAATATCAACAATGGTTTAGATTCAAATAATCATCAAATTTTGCAAACAATTAAAAAATTAATAAATTCGATAAATATTCAACCAATAGGAATGTATAAATTAAGAAATAATAAAGAATTTATATTAATTTATTCAAATTTTGCAATTTTTATAAATCAAAGGGGAAAAATTTCAAGAAATGATATCCTTTATTTTAATAATGATTTAAAATTTAAACAAATAAAATTTAAAAATAATTATTTATTTTTAATAAATGATGAAATTATTGAAATTTTACTGATTAGTGATTTATCAACGGGTTCAAATAAATTAATTCAATGTATTTTAGGTAAAGATATACATTTAATTTCAAATGATGATGATGATGATATGTTATGTTTTGTAATGGCAAATCCTTTAATTCCTGGTTTACAATTAGTGTTTAAACTTTAAAAGAGTTGTTGGATTGAAAGAGTGTTTGAGTTTTGAAACTTTTCGAGTGTTTTGTAATGTTTATAATTGTAATTTTATATATAATGAGTAATAATGTGTAATTTGAAATTCTCTAAGCTAATCCTCATCGATTAAAATGTAAAAATAACGAATAGTTTGCAACCAAAATTTTGAGACATTAATAATTCTTGTTTTTTTTTCCTTCAAGCCATTTAATAAGTTATTTACCTATACATCCTATTGACAAAGCAATAAAAATTGCTTAAAGTGAATAAAATCTAATTGCTTGAAGTCTCAAAGACGATTGAAAAATTAAAATTCTCACTCAACCACATTCATAGTGAAAAACAAACCACAGCTATAGTAGTGACTAACGAATTCTTCTTTTCTTATAAATAGACTTTAAAATCGAGTCTTTTTCAGCTCCATTAACAAATTCAAAAATCACTTCTGAATCGTAATTGGTTAAAATTGCATCCACATTAGTATCAAGATAAAATAAAAAATTCCTTAACCGAGTCGCACCTTCAGGTTCACGTTCTGAAGTTACTTCTTTCAATTTTAAGTCTTTCAAGTTGGTACAATTATCTAAAACTAAACAACCTAAATCTTCAATTTCGTTATTTGATAAATTTAAATGAGTTAAATTTAATGGAAAATTTTGAGAACTTAACATTGAAAAAGTTATTTCATTATTCTCTAAATCCAACCTCTTTAAATTACTTAAATTGAAAAAATTTCCTTGAATTATTAACAATTTCAAATTATTGATGCTCAATTCCTCTAATGAAATGGGAAAATGATCAAGATCCAATAAGCCAGTATTTAAGTTTATCATTTTCAATTTGGTCAAATTTTCACATTCAAATGACACTTGAGGTGGTGGAAATGCTTTAAAATCTATTGGCACTGAACCTTTCAAAATTAAGTCTCGCAAATTCGGTGATTTGAACCATACATGTCCTTCCGCATGAGTAAAAAGTTCCGATGGATCAAGTCGGCCTACTCTACAGCCATGACCTGAGCAATAATTGTCTGACACATCCAACACCTTTAAAGATTTCAATTGATTTAAATTTGAATCTACCAAATCATAACCTATGTTATTTTTTGTAAACTTAATCCGCTCCAGTTCAGGAAAATAAACATGACCTTCAGTTGGAATCCAGCAATTTGTGATAATGATTTCGGACATTTTCTTTGGTAAATTGACTAAAACTTCGTCTAACTCAAGACATCCCATACTATTTAATTCCAAACAATCGAGGGCTTTCGGAAACTCAACACTTCCTATGTCTAGGGTATGCGTAGTATCGCAAATCTTTAAATTCTTTAAATTTGGTGGAAACCGAAAGGCAGCATCGATAAGAATCCACCAGTCTATTTGTGAAAAGTACAGAATCCTAAATCGGTTTTCTTCATATAACTCGTCTATCCTACGACGATGGAAATTGTTAATGAAATTCAAAGTTTTTAACGAATCGGGGAACAAGGTATAAACTAGGTCAAAAAGTTCAGGACAACTAGAAATATCAAGTAAATTTAGATTCTTATACTTGAGTACATCACCTAAAGTTTCAATATCACAAGAATCAAGTCTTAAATTTTTCATGGACAATGGAAGCTGAATATCATCCAAGGAACTCATCTCGCGGAGACTTTTGCAATTAAATGACTCAAGCTGGTGTAAATCAGTTAAATTCAAATTAATTTCATGACCTTTATCTAATGTTAGTTCCTTTAATGTTGTTGGAAATTGAATTGGGAATACATTGAAATGAGATGTTGTCAATGATTGTATGAAGGTGCTTTCAACAAAATTTAGGAATGATTTGATTTCATTCTTTTTCAATTTCACATTGCAATGTTTCAAATATTGATCCAAATGTACACCTACAATATAAACTTGATGCAAGATTGAGACTAGATCAGTAAATGTAGTATCTTTTAAAATTTTAACCTCATAATTGACTAACTTGAAACTTGACTCACTAACTAGTTGATTGATTTGTTTTACATTCCCAATAATTATTGAAGGTATAAACTCAAAGTGTTGATAAAGATCTATCAATGTTTCAATTGAATTGTTGTTATTATCTATCTCATATTTTGGATACTTTCGTTCTAAAACAATATATTGTAAACCTGGAATATATAATAAATTTTTGATTATAGATTTATCTTTGATGTTACTAAAAATTAATGATAATATTTCTTTGGGTAATTTGAGAAATATTTCCATTTGAATGGCGAGTTGTGATGATCTTGATATGAATTGATGAATAATTTTGGTTGCCACTTTTTTGAAAATCAAAAATTAATTAGACGTGATTTTCGGGCTACCATTTGACGTTTCAAATTTATTTCGTCTAAATTTATCTTAAAGATTAGTTTAACATTTGGCATTTATGACTTCCGATCACTTTAAATGATTTCTGTGGTCTAACTTTGCTTAGATTCAGTACTTCGGTTTAAATTCAGATTTACATTTTCTTAGAGTCCAATGTGAAAATAAACTAAATTTTGATATAAATTTCAATTCTGTTGAAAATCTTCTTGAAAACATCTCCTTGCTTGCATTATCAATCTCTCACGTAATAGTAAATACTTTTAAAACTTAGATCTCATGATTTGAACTCACAGCTTATAAGTAACAAAGTAACAAACCCCTGACTAAATTCCAAACATCTTAGTTTCAAACTTCTCTTATATCGACGGATTGGGTATCCTACTTTGATATCATGAAGTGAAATATGAAATCCGAGTAAGTAATTGAAGGACCACTTTGTAGCGGGTGAGTAGTCCAATAGATAATACTGAATGATGAAATTTTGATCCTGCCTAGTTGCTTGATGTAATAGTTGAGTGACACAAGTTAAACATTATAAAGTTGACCTTGGCATAACTCATTTGCGATCTGAACAAAGAAATTGCGTGACCCAAAGCTTGATGCAATATCCTAAGACACCCTTTTTCATCGTCGAATACAGTGAAGGAATTTTGATAATATTCGTTTTTCCAGTCACAAAAATTGATTTCTAGAATATTACAATTACGCAATTTTTGTTGACAATTAATTTATGAATTCATCATATCATATTGCTTTGTCAACAAAATTCAAGTAAAATCTATTCAATAAAAAATAGCTATGATTATTAGTATTGGTTTTGGAGTACAGAAGAGACTGCGTTTTGGCTAATTGAATACTCAATCAGCTAATTTAATGACTATTTGATTGAATATTTGATCATCTGCCTTGGGATCTTGATTATTGTGGTTTCAAGTTATATTTAAAGTTTTTGAAATAATTTAGATTAGAGTTGTGAACTAGGAAGAAATCAATCATCAATACATACTAATTCATCTTATCATAGTCCATACACAACACCGGGAAATACATTATCAACAAATTTTCAAGTGGCTTATAAAGGTAAACATCTCAAGAAGAAACTCAACACTAAATTCAAGAAACCAGTTTACAAATATTATCGTCAAGAATCAGAGCTTGAAAGAGAGAAGAGAGAATACAACTATGATCATGCAAAAGGAGAAGATACGAAAACTGGTGGAATACTTTCAGGAAATATAAATGCAGAGATATTTATCATTCACTATAATTTTTGAAGTATTCATTCACACCCAATGGATTTGTTAAAGCCAGAGGGAAAGAGTACTTTAACTATTAAAGTCCATGATAGATGTTTTAATTTAGATACGGTTTACCTCAATCCTTCATTCAAAGCAAACTTGACTAACTTGGGAACAGTTGAATATATATATAGTCCCACAAAGCCTATTTAGCAATCATTGCAAAGTTTGAACCAAAACATCATGCAGCCCAAGTGACAGATAACATTAAGGAGCTTAAATAAGTTTCCGATGGACTTTGACAAATTCAATTCCAAATATTTTGAATACTATCAATACCGGATGATTCGGAACAAGAAAGAGTTCGATCCAACATCTTGAAATTATTCAAACATATCGATGAGTATCGACACAAAGACTTGGTACAACTTTTTAGAGTTTAGCAGATTTTAAAAAGTATAAACTTTATATATATGGATGTTAATACAAAATCAACAAGACCTTTTGAATCTTCATTCCAATCATATTTAGATTGAATAAGTGTGTAAGTGCTTCCTTTGAGCAATACATTCAGCCATCGTATTGCTCAAAGAAAGTCTTACACACGTAGTAATTCAAAATATGATTGGAATGACCTTTTATGTTGATTATTTTTATATTTTACAATTCATTCAATCAAGAAAGTAAAAGTAGACTTTAGATCTAAAACTTGAATGATCTAAATAGACAAACTTGTAACTTTAAGGATTCTTTCGTTCCTACAACCTCTTCAAGCTTATAACAAACAACGGCATTCATTATTGACTGATAGTATTGTATTTTTATAGGACAACTTGATCTACACGTTTGATGATTTGAGAAGGTTCATAAATGTTATCTTTCGATCTTATCAACTAATTGTAAAGCATTTTGATTTCTCAATATTTAATATCACAGGAACATTAGAATCATCAGTATCAGGTATACGAAACATCAAATGATTCAGCAATCATTGAATAGTTCCAGCTATTTCTAAAGTTACACTCGTAACTGTAGCTTAAACCCACTTTGATGGTTCCTACGCCTTAAAGAATGATCCTCCTATTGGTTCGCGATACTCCGGACATGTAATCCCCTTACTATTGTTCTTTTTAAAACAATTAAATACGTTTAACATTCTTATTACTTGTTTATCGGATTTTAAAGACCTTTTATATTGTTCTGAAACAATTAAATAATTTTCTACTCGGATTAATTCAATTGTTCTTTATGTTTTTATTTTCTAATAACGAATGGCTAATATGTTTGAAATTTAATTATACTGGTTATACTCTTAATGAGTAGTTTTGTAAAAGCATTTTCAGCAATTGACATGAGTATTTCACTTCTTCACTTATATTCAATTACAATTTTTTTTCATACATGTAAGAAAGAAAGAATAAGTATATAACTAAAAGAAGTATTCTATACATATTGATAGAAATGATTTTCGATATTCAACGGCTTAGACTAAATCAAGAAGAATATAAAATCCCGGTATTTTTTAAAATTGAAGTCATAATGATTCATCGGAATTAAAATGGTATTTTGTTACTCAATTAGGTAATTAAAACAGGGATTATAATCTATATAATAATTGCGAATACGGAACCGTTTTGATTTTCGTCCGTGAATTATAATAATAATTTAGAAGAATTCTTGATTAAATTTTGTCATATTATATTCAGCCTAATGGATATTTAATTTAAGCATATGATTTAGCTTTGTTTGATTCAAAGTGTAACCTGTTAAGTTTGTTATTATAAATTATCAAAAATTTTACATTCTTCATACAACTCTAATCCATCCACTGGTTCATTTCAGTTTGTACATAACAAGATATACTTCATTTGTATGAGATTTGTAAATCCGGGAATTTGTCAGATCAAATTCTTCTACCACTACTACTTCTCTTATCCTTACGCCATTATTAGGTCGGTGAAACGGTAATCTCTCTCGCTAAACCAAAATTATATTGGAAAAATTAATAATCCCATACAACCGAGGAAACTTTATTACTATATAAGAGTACTGCATATAGGTTGGATGGAACAATTACTATGTAATTATCACTACCAATTGCATAATACTGATAAATCTGGGGTAACAAATTTTTCATTTGCTCATACTTTAAAATTTAACATGAGATTAATAAATTTAATAATACCGACGTAAATATTAATAGTGTCGAACGAGTTGAAATTTATATATATAAAATACAATTTTTCACTTTTATAAATTTTTATAGATTTTCCTTTCTTCTTTTTTTCATATTTTTACAACTTAGTTTTAGTTACTTTTATATATACTATTACTACATTAGTCACAAACTACAACAAATACAACCAAAATGCCATATACTGAAATAGATGTTACAGTAGAAGAAAACAACTTCCAAAAAGAAGTTGAAGAAATTAAAAAATGGTGGTCAGAACCAAGATGGAATAAAACTAAAAGAATTTATACTGCTGAAGATATTGCTAAAAAGAGAGGTACTTTAAAAATTGATTATCCTTCTTCTCAACAAGCTGATAAATTATTTGATTTATTAACAAAACATGATGCAAATAAAACTGTTTCTTTTACTTTTGGTGCTTTAGATCCAATTCATGTTGCTCAAATGGCTAAATATTTAGATTCTATTTATGTTTCTGGTTGGCAATGTTCTTCAACAGCTTCAACTTCAAATGAACCTTCACCAGATTTAGCTGATTATCCAATGGATACTGTTCCAAATAAAGTTGAACATTTATGGTTTGCTCAATTATTTCATGATAGAAAACAAAGAGAAGAAAGATTAACTTTATCAAAAGAAGAAAGAGCTAAAACTCCTTATATTGATTTCTTAAGACCAATTATCGCTGATGCTGATACTGGTCATGGTGGTTTAACTGCTATTATTAAATTAACCAAATTATTTATTGAAAGAGGTGCTGCTGGTATTCATATTGAAGATCAAGCTCCAGGTACTAAAAAATGTGGTCATATGGCTGGTAAAGTTTTAGTTCCTGTTCAAGAACATATTAATAGATTAGTTGCTATAAGAGCTTCTGCTGATATTTTTGGTTCAAATTTATTAGCTGTTGCAAGAACTGATTCTGAAGCTGCTACTTTAATTACTTCAACTATTGATCATAGAGATCATTATTTTATTGCTGGTGCAACTAATCCAGAAGTTGGTGATTTAGTTCAATTATTAGTAGAAGCTGAAGGTAGAGGTGCTACTGGTGATGAATTAGGTGCAATTGAAGTTGAATGGACAAGAAAAGCTGGTGTTAAATTATTTAGTGAAGCTGTTATTGATGAAATAAACAATGGTAATTATAAAAATAAACAAGAATTAATTAAAAAATTTACTGATAAAGTTAATCCATTAAGTAATGCATCAAACAAAGAAGCAAGAAAATTAGCAAAAGAATTAACTGGTAAAGATATTTATTTCAATTGGGAAGTTTCAAGAGCAAGAGAAGGTTATTATAGATATAAAGGTGGATGTCAATGTGCAGTTATGAGAGGTATTGCTTTTGCTCCTTATGCTGATTTAATTTGGATGGAATCTGCTTTACCAGATTATGCTCAAGCTAAAGAATTTGCCGATGGTGTTAAAAAAGCTGTACCAAATCAATGGTTAGCTTATAATTTATCTCCATCATTCAATTGGAATAAAGCTATGCCACCAAATGAACAAGAAACTTATATTAAAAGATTAGGTGAATTAGGTTATGTATGGCAGTTTATAACATTAGCTGGTTTACATACTACTGCATTAGCTGTTGATGATTTTGCAAATAATTATTCACAAATTGGTATGAGAGCTTATGGTCAACAAGTTCAACAACCTGAAATTGAAAAAGGTGTTGAAGTTGTTAAACATCAAAAATGGTCAGGTGCTACTTATATTGATGGATTATTGAAAATGGTTAGTGGTGGTGTTACTTCAACTGCTGCTATGGGTGCTGGTGTAACTGAAGATCAATTTAAAGATCATTAAACTACCAACCAGTTATGAAGACAAAATGTTTTTTAAAAAAGGTAAAAATTTAGTTGAAACCTTTTATTTTAATTCTACTTTTATAGAAATTAATACAACTTCTGTATAATACATGTATTTTGGAAAATTTAGTCGATTTGTAGTAGATGGTGATGTCCTTCTATAAAATACTTCAAAGATTAATACATAATATGATGGTGCGGCTTTTCCCTAATTCAATCTTTTTTTCGTTTCTACACAAAATGTCAAAATTCTAAATCAATTCTTTTCATAGAAGAAGACCCTTTGTTAATGAAAAGATGATATGGGATTCATAATCCCAGGAAAACCATTATTAAATCTTCGACAAAAGAAACGACTAAAAAGATCAGAATCAATCAAACCATTTCGTAATCAACAAAAAAGAAAACCAGATCAAATTAAAAAAATAAAACGAAATTCCATTATTTCATTATCATCATCATCAAGTAATCAAAACGATTTAGTTAGTAGAAGGGTTTCTTTTACAAACATTGATAACCCCAAAAAATTAACTTTAAATCATTTACCTATTGATATTATCACTAAAATATTTATCTTGGCTGGTCCAAATAATAACTTACCATTAATAAATAAATCAATTTATTCCAATCTAAAAATATCTGGTGTAAATGATTTTAATTCCGTGAACGAAGATATAGATTTAAACAAAATTGGTAAACCATGGAAAAATTACTCAATTTTAATTCAATTAATCAAAACTTATTTCCTAGTTGATTTAAATACAAGAATAGATGAAAATAAAATCACAAAAAAAATCAAATATTACGAAGATCAAGTAAATCAACTACCTAAAAATTTTATTGAAGTTGAAAGAAGTTCATTTTATCAAAAATTACTCATAAATTTAAAGATTTTAAAAGAAAAATTTAATTTTTATTTATCAATTGAAGGTAAATATGTTTTAAATGAAAATTTATTAAATTATAAATTTATATCAAGTCAATTATTAGAAAATTTAGACAATATAACATTCAATAATAAATCCACAAACAGTAATATCGGTAAAGAGAAAACTAATGAATCGGAATTAATTAGATTTAAATCAATTGATGATATTGAATTAAATAAAAAATTAAGATATTTATTTTTAAAATTTAAATTTGAAGAAATTGATACATTATTAAAAATTGTTGAAAATGAGTTAACAAATAATATATTTCAAGATTCTTCTATATATGAAGATAATTTTGAAAAATATAATCAATTTTTAAAATCAAAACAATTGGAATTTTCTAAAGTTGGGACACCAATTGATGAAATTCATCAAAACAAATTATTGGTAGAAAATCCGATTCTAAGAAACTTTAATGATGAAAATTTACCCAATGAAGGTTTCAAAAAAGATGAATTTAGTTATTTTAATTTTAAAAATGGTTATATAATAGGTCATGAATTTTTTGGAGAAATTTTAACAAATAAAAATCAATTTAAAATTCCAGTAAAAATATTTATCAAAAGTATTTCATCAATTAGATATTTTAACTTGTTACAATTTTTAATTTATAATTATCCTCATCAACCTATAAATAGTGAATTTATAATTTTAAAAATTTTAACAATTTTAAAACCTGAAAATTTAGTACATACAGAAATTAAAATTCCATTTTTAAGTATTATTACATTAATTATGTTTGATGATGATTTATCAAATAATATAAATCAATCAATTATTGAATGTTTTAAATTATATAATCAATATTGTTTAATGGATGATAAAGAGATAAAAAAATTTGGAAAAAACGTTAAAGGTCAAAATATCTTGGAAAATATTTATGAAGGTTTATATTATATGTGTTCTTATTTATTAGGACAGTCAAATTCTGCTGATAATGATAATGATAATGATAATGACAACGATAATAACAACGATAATGAACAAACTAATTTAAAAGAAAATATAAGAGAATTATGGATTTTAGCTTTAAAATTAAAAAATTATAAATTAACCGATTTACTTTCAAAATTTAGTAAAAATCCAGATATAGATATTTTACATAATTATTCTTAAATATTTATACCTATTTATTTGATATTTACTCATTATAAAAAACCAATTCTACTCTGGTACCGTATTATTTCTTTAAATATATGAACTGATTTAATCTACAATACTCAATATTGTTGATCGATTATGGGTTGATGTGAATGTTGTTGGTGATGTGGGTGTTGCTGTTGTTGATGATGGTGTTGCTGATGCTGTTGCGGTTGATGATGATTTAGTTGTTGTTGATGATGACTCAGCTGCTGCTGTTGTTGCTGTTGTTGTTGATATGGATCACTTAAATGATGATGAAGTGGATGATTAGGTAAAGTAATTTCATGAAACCAAGGATGTTGTAAAGCTTGTCTTGCAGTTATTCTCAGTTCAGGTCTCATTTGTAAAAGACTTGTTAATAAATTTAAACCCATTGAATCTAAATTTGGTACTAATAATCTTAAATCTTGTGGTACAAATATTTGCCAATTATTTTTATAATTTGAATAAGAACTTATATTTGGCCAAGTTCTTTCATTTGGAGTACCCATTAATCTAAATATTTTAATTAATTGATCTTCATTTGCTGTACCTGGAAATAAAGGTTTTCCTGTACACATTTCAGCAAATATACATCCTGCAGACCATATATCTATTGATGTAGTATAAGCTCTTGAACCTAATAAAACATCTGGAGCTCTATACCATAAAGTAACAACTTCATTTGAAAAAGTATTAAAAGTTATACCAAAAGCTCTTGCTAATCCAAAATCTCCTAATTTTAATTCTCCTTTATTATTAATTAATAAATTTTGAGGTTTTAAATCTCTATGTAATACTCTATTATCATGACAAAACATTATACCTTTTAATAATTGAAACATAAAACTTTTAACAATTTTTAAATCTAATGCTCCATTATTTCCATGAACTTCCATATATTTTTTTAAATCTTTATCCATATATTCAAATACTAATGTTAATTTATTTTCTGTTTGTATAACATCATATAATGTTACAATATTTTCATGATCTAATTCTTTCATTAATGAAACTTCTCTTATTGCTGTTGATGGTGTACCTTCTTCTGGATCCAAATTTATTTCTTTTAATGCAACTAATGCTCCTGTTGCTCTATTACGTCCTTTATATACTGTTGCATAAGTTCCTTCACCTAATTTTTCAAGTTGTTGAAATCTGTTTTATTTTGTTAGTAAATTGGAAATAATGAAAAATTAATACCGAATAAACACATACTGAGACGATGAACCAGTCATTGATCAATATTTCTAAATGTGAAAATATGTTCTGAGGAAGATATATAACCACTTTTTTTGAAATGGTTAGTGGTTGATAAGAACTAATGATAATTACTAAAGTTGTATCAGAAATTCAATTAATTGTTCAAAATGGAAAAACTAAAAAATAACTTTTGTGTCATTTCTATACCAATTTTTACGTGTCTCACAATATTCAGGAGAGAGGTTCACTCATAATTGAGAAGGAATTGAAAACTAGGTTCTATTACTTTACCGATACACATCGTCTTCTACAAACTTCCAATTCTAATGACTTCTAGGTGCTTTTTTCATCAAATTTAAAGAATTTTCAACCCATCCATCAGCACCTCCTTCCATTGCAATTATATCTAATATACGTAATTGTGAAATATCAGATGGCTCATTTAAAAATTCTTTTATTTTATTACAACTCATTATAGCTGCATTTCTTGTACTTGGTATTCTTAACATTTCTTTTTCTACTTCCCAACCATTTAATATTGATAATTTTTCTACATGATCAACCAATGAAGCATATGTTGAAGATGAAACAGGTTGTTGATGTTGTAGTAGTTGTTGTTGTTTCGATATATGTTTCTTAGGAGGTGGGTATCGTATTTTATTACCATTCAATGCATGTGAACAACAAGGAATTACCATAAATGGGAAACCAAGTAATGGCATCCAACAAGTTAATTCATCAGAATGATTACCAATTAAAAATGTATTAGAAGGAAATTCTTGAGTTGTGCATACATTAGGTGAATTTAATAAATTATTTGAAGATAATTGAGCTTGTGTATCATTTATATCATTGAAAGTTCTTCCATTATCTTGAATTTCTGGAATAAGTTTAGAAACAGATGGATGAGGTTTTAATAATATACTAGGTACAATTATTTGTTCAAATAATTTATCTTGAACAAATTTAGGATAAGTTTTCCAAGATTTTCTACTTCTTGCATCAATTCCTTCACCTTTATAACCTTCCATAATTAATATATAAACTAATAATCCATTCCCACAACCTAAATCTCTAAATTCAAATTTATCCTTTGCAAAATTTTTTATATTCCAATATTCAATTAAAAATGCTGCAATTGCTAAATCTTCAAATACATGTTTATTTGGATCAGTACTTTCTTTCCAATTATTTACTAAATCAGATGAATATTTTGATTTTAAATAAATATATTTATTTTGAAAATTTACTTTTGGTACTATTAAATCATGATTAACTCTTTTTGAATATCCTATTTTAACCCCATTTGAATGTTTTGTTGATGTTTGTAATAGTCGTATCGCAGTTCTAACAATTCTATTTGATTGATCTATTGATTTTATGAAATTTAATTCATTTTCAAAAGGTAGATAATGGATTGAAACTTTTTGATTATCATATAAAATCCCAACACCCAATACTTGTGGTAAATAATAAGGAATTTCTTCTTTTGAATTAATATGAGGTATATATACTATTAAAATTGTATTATTATCATCACTTTTCAATAATAAACATGTTTGATTGACAATATGATCTTTAAATGGATTTCTCGGTATCATTCTTCTAACAATTTCTATTCTATTTGATAATTTAAGTTTTGAATCACTGATAGGAATCTTTCGAATATTAACATCTTGTAGATCTCGATGAAGTAATTTATTTTCATTTTTAACATTTTCATTATCAATTGTATTTGATTCTATATCTGGTAAAACATCAATTAAATTACTTGTAAATTTCGTATTACCTTTTTCAGGATCATATGAATTTTCAATCAAAATATCAGCTCGTAGCAAGACTGTTGAATTTATATTTGGATTTTTAATTACATTAATCATTGCAGTTTGAAAATGTTGTGGTTCAAAATTAACTTTTGTTTCACATATAGGACACCATTTGGAACCCAATATTGAATCCGTATTTATCGTTATATCTGGTTCATTTTTTGAACCTCTTTGTTTGTTATACCCCATTGGATCATTGATCTTCGTTAATAGACTCTATTAATGTCTCAGTTTCAGATATTTTTTACGGAACCAAACATCATCTCAAAAATACGCGATCGAAATTGTCAAAAGTATGGAGAAAGAAGCTCTTATCGCACGAGTAAAGACAAAATACACTGATTAGCCGATCGCTGCTAAAAACACTAGTCAAGTAAGGTATGGGTGGACAGACTCAATCCAGTTGCAATACATTACCAATTTTAGAAAACTTAAGTTTGATCTATTTCATGTATTAACCAGCATACTTAGTTATAAATCTATGAAAAAGGCATCAGTAACATCATTATACTTATGCTTTTTATAACAATATGGACATTTAAAAACATCCATACCCTTTTTAGATAAATGCCAAATACTATCTCTTAAAGCTAAATGTTGACAATAATTTAATACAACTACTTGAGTTTTTAATAAATTTTCAACAACAAATTTTTTCTTTTTACCAACTACTGAACCATTATTACCGTCTTCTACTACAATTGTTTCAATTATATCACTTGTGATTGGTATAAGTTGTTCACGAGATATGGGGCATATAAAAATTGGATGATTTTTAAATAAAAACCTATTAGAATCAGGTAATTGAAATGGTAATTCATAATGATACGTTGCAACATTATTGAAAATATAATTTTCATTCGGCTTTTTATCATTGTTTTCTGTTTTAAAATTATTCATTTTTAATTGAATTTGATTATATTTGTAAAAACTAGGTAAGTATAAATGACCAGCAAGTATACTTTGAAATAATGATGAATCTTTTGACAAGTTTAAATCTTTACAATATTCAGCTATAAAATCATTTGATATATTTGAAAATAAATTTTCATTAGAATGAACATTTTTGAAAGAACTTAAAAGATCAGATACAAATTCAATTTGACTTTGTCTTCCTATATCTGGATTTTTCTCATCATTTTCCAATACAAATCCTTGTTTAATTTTTTCAATAAAATGATGAATTGCTAATTCTTTACTTTTCTGTTTGGAGAAATTCTCAATACCACTATTAAAATCTGGTTCAAATAATATTAGTGTCATCAATGGAGCAATTTCATGCAAATAATTTTTTAAAAATTTTGTAAAATGATCTTTTGAATAAAAATAAGCTTTGACTGCATCATCATAAGAAAATCCCAGAGTTTTCCCATTTAGTAAAATAATGAATTGTAATATGTGAAATTTAAATTCAACAACATTAAAAGTATCTGATTCTTCAAATTCATGTGTGTTTTTCAAAACTTTTTCATTATATTTCGTATGAAGCCAACCTAACGCTTGTGATAAATCATGTCTGATACATATATCATCAACAATTTGATTCAATAATTTAAATCTTTCCAATAAATCTTCATTTAAGTAAAGGTTAGAAGGTATTTGTTCTAATATTGAAGGTACAATTGAACTTTGACCAATTTTTAACAAATGTAATACTATTGCTTTCATCAATTCTTCTTTGTTCTCTTGCTTTATATTTTTATCCTTTATCTCCTTTGATATAACAGTCTTTGTCAAATAAGCTAACGTCGCTTCATTTAAGGTTTTATCAAGATTGAAATCCTTTACAGGATAGTTATCCATATTTAAAGGATAGGTATATGCTTCATCAAGATCAATACTGTATTTAGAATTATTCAATATATTCTTCAGAAATTTATTATTTGCGGAGTTATAAGATTTTAATCTACCTATTGAGGATTTGTACCAATTTTCAGACTTTTGAGGTAGTAGGGATATTTTGGCTTTTGATTTATTTGAATTATTGATAACTGTATTGGATTCCGATGATTTGGATTGTAGTTCTTCTTTAATTATTTCTTGTTGTAAATCCGATTCAATACTCTTTAGCTCCTTTAAAAAGTCATTTGAATCTTGTGTTAATAAGTTTAGTTGTTCAGTACCAGAGTCATTAAATAGTTCAATTTCATGTGTTAGATTCTTTAGTAGCGCAGTCATTTGACGATAGAACTCCTGAGTATATGTAAGTTATATGTTGTATTGTTCTTGTATTGTATAAAAAGTGATTAGACTATTATTGATAAGGGGGAAATTATAAAATCACTAATTTACAATAGAAGATATAAATAACAAGAGATATACAAAAATTTAGAACTTACAATCTTTTCAGTACATTACACTACAACCTTAATTGATAAACTCTATTTTAATAAACATTATTTACAAGTCATCATTCATTGGTCATTCATATATCCAAATAATCTGCTTTCACTAATAATTCTAAAGCCAAATGAGTCGGTATATTAAATTCAGGAATATCACCACTTTCCGCTATGTCTTTATATTTGAAATGATAATATAAATATTCAACAATACATTCTAGTATATCACCTTCCATATCTAAATCTATTTTACCTGTTTTACCCTCTTCAAATCCTTGAGAATTTCTTAAAACTGATGATATTGATGCTACTTCTTTCAGTATTATGAACTTAAATTGATCCGAGGATACTAATGTTACAAACTCATTCTCTATATCAGCCATTTCAAAACCTTTCTTTCTTGTTAAAATGATAATGATTCTTCTGCAAGTTTATGATAAGAAATATAATGTAATAATTGATTGTAAAGTAGATCTTTTGAATCAATGTCGCGTGTTTCCAAAGTCTTTTTTTGAGTGTCCTGAAACTTTGGAATATTACACTTATTATCAAACTTAGTATGTTAGTTCAGTAATTTAAACGAATATCTTACGTATTACATCAACGTATGCCGACAAACCCAAGTTATAATTGGCTGAGACTTCAGAATGTTTACTATGATATAAGAACTTGTTATGATCATTTAAATTGGTCAATTGATAATATTCATTCTAATTTTAAAATCTCAATTTCAACAAATTCAACTTTAATTGCATTAGCATCAAAAAATGTACCATATCCGAACTTAATTGATATATATAGCATAAGTGGTAATAAAATATGGTCAATTGTATATAATAGTACTCAGTCTGATTATATATTAGGTTTTTATTTCAAAAATGAGGAGTTAGTTTTACTACTTAATAATGGGAAATATCGACATTACTTGGACTTCAAGGGGAATTTCAACGAGTATCAAATATATAGTGATATCATAAGTCTAGATAATATAAGTGTCAATGGAAACTCAGATCAGGATAATTTAAATGGAAATGAAATAAATTCTGGGAGATTGATAACTAACTTAGAAAACAATGAAACCGAAGAAGTCACAAACATACTAGAAGCACAAGTTTACCGACAATATCTCATAATTCGACTAGAAAATAAATTAATCATAAGTGATCTAAATACTCATCAAAACTTCGAAATCAAATTGAATCAATATGTACCGAAGGATATTGAAGGATTTGCAGCACATATAGAACACAAATCAGAGAGATTGCTTATTAATTTGGCTTGGAAAAATACCGTCTTAGTTATTGGAATAGATTTTGGATTGTCTAACTATGAAATTTTAGATCAAGAATTGACGGATGGTCCATTTAGTAGTATCTCAATATCGGAAAGTGGTCAATTAATCTCGCTACACAATGAATCAACCAGAAAGATATTTGTCGTAAGTAGTGCATTTGACCAAGTTTTATTGGAATATGATACTGCGAACGAATCAAGTTCTCCTTATCAAGTTGAATGGTGTGGAAACGATGCGATCGTCTTATCATTCAAGGACGAGGTCAAGTTAATTGGACCAGGTCAGCAATCAATATCATTTTTCTATGATATAGATGACGATGATGAATTTGATATTGACAATTTATTATTAAAAAATTCAAGTAAAGATGATCTTAGTTATACCATTCCTATATTACATCACTTACCCGATGGCATAAGAATTTTGACTTCAAATAAATGTCAATTTTTATCAAGAGTTCCTGAAAAGATTGTTTCAATGTATCAAATAGGTTCAAATAGCCCCAGTGGTTTATTAGCCGATTGTATCGACAAATTTGAATTAAATGCATCAAAAGCCAATGCGAACATAAATTTTTTGAAGAATGATAATTTGTTGCCTTTAGCAATGGAAGATTGTTTGAATGTTGCACTTTATGAATTTGATCCCGTGTGGCAAAAAAGAGCCCTACGAGCAGCATCATTTGGTAAAATTTACGACACAGAAAATCAGTTTGATTCGAACGAGTATTTAGGTGCACTAAATATTGTAAAAGTTTTAAATCAATTGAGAAGTTTTGAATTAGGTTTATTTTTGACTTATTCAGAAATTGAAATCTTAGGATGGGAGGAAGTTGTCAAAATGTTACTTAGAAGAGATCAACACTATTTATCTTTGAAGATAATTGACAAATTAGAATTAAAAAACTTGTTACCTGTGGTATATATTCACTATTGTTGCACCCTTATCAGAAATGACTCTTCATCATCAGATTCAAAATTATTCAAACAAATACTCAAGAAATTGATTTCTGGTGGGAATGACAAAACGAATTACATCACTACATCTGACATTGTTGATGTAGCAGATGAAGAAGGACGTACTGAATTACGTAACTCCTTGATCAATATAGATCCATCAATAACCAATAAAATCCGTGAATACATAAGTTATGAAGAGTCTGAGTTGGCTTTGATCAAATCTTTCCAATCTGGAGATTATGATTTGAGTGTGCTAATATTAATATACCTTCAAGAAACTACTTCCTTATCGGACTTTTTCAAAATTCTCAATCAGAATGAGAAACGAGTCAAGGAAGACGAGCTGAACATTAATGGAGAGATTGACTCACGAACCGAAAATATTCCCGTGGAAGGTGATGTAATTGGACATACTTGGCTATCATCAATTGGAGAACTAGAGCCAAGAATAATGGAGAAATTTTTATCACATCAAGACAGATCTGATGAAGTTGACTTATACAAACTCAAACAATTCCGAAAATTGAACTCCAACCCTGAGGGTGAAGATTACTACAATCAATACAAAAAATTACTTCAAAAATTAATTAGAAAGTCTACACATCATACAAGCATAAAGACATTTCAGAGGGAACTTGACCTTTTGGAAAAGCAAAAAAAATTGGAAGAGATATACTCACAAAGCTTTTATAAATATCAGTCAATAAGCGCTGTAATCAAACAGCTAATTTCAATGCATCAAATAAAGCCAGCTTCAAAATTGGTAAAAGAATTTCAAATAGGTCAAGAGAAATTTTGGTATTTAGTACTATCAACCTACTCAAAGACGAAGGATTATGATAGATTATATGAATTTGTATTTGGATCATTGGATTCAACTAGTGCGAAATCTCCAATCGGGTTTGAACCTTTTATTGACGCAGGATTTGAGTTTAATTTTCCTAGACGACATATTTCTGCATACATATCTAATTCGGTTAAATATAAATACGATGAGAAAGTTAGATTATTTATTAGGAATGATGATTATGAACTGGCTGCTCAAGAAGCTTTTAAAAATAAAGATGTTGAAATTTTGAAAAATCTTAGCAAAAACGTTCCGCAAACGAATTCGACAGCTAGTAATATCATAAATAGTTATATAAAGAAACTAGGATATTGAATACTAGAATTGAATTGAGAATCTACTTTAGTGTAAATGAATTCTTGTCCTCCTCAAACTTGTTTCAAAAACTGAGTTTTTGTGTAATAAATGGGACTTATTCTGCGATGCTTCACTTTTTTGATTTTTGAGTTTATGTAAAACACCAGTTTGCTCAGTACAAGCACGATATCACTATGGTAGAGATAGAAGAGATAACGACTGAAGCAATTCTTCCGGAAACAGCAGAGAAATCTGCAAACGTATCAAAGAAGGAACCAACTCAATTGAACGATGATGGTCTAGACAGAAAGACTTTATTTGTTAGATCAATTCCACATGAAACAACTTCAGACCAGTTATCAGAATTTTTTTCACAATTTGTCCCAGTCAAACATGCAGTGGTTGTCAATGACGAACAAGGTCAAAGCAGAGGGTTCGGTTTTGTTTCATTCACAATGGATGATGATACGTTAACAGCATTGGTTGAATCAAGGAAGACCAAATTTAACGATAGATTTTTAAGAGTAGATATAGCTAAAAGAAGAGATAGGAAGGATAGAGACAGTACGACTCAAAAAAAGTCAATAGAACCAGTTGAGAAACGACGAGCCAGATTGATAATACGAAATTTACCATGGAGTTGTAAAAAACCAGAAGAGTTAAAGAAAATTTTCAATAAATTTGGAGCAGTATTTGATGCATATATACCGAAGAAAAAATCAGGACAAATGACTGGGTTTGGATTCGTAATAATGAAGAAACAATCTGCAGCTATAAGAGCTGTAAAAGAGTGTAAAGGATTAAAGATTGATGGAAGAGAAGTTTCAGTTGATTTTGCTGTTGAAAAGTCTAAGTGGGAGAAAATAAGGGAAGAACGAAACGAAGAAAATGATGAAGAGGAAGATGAAGTTTCAGAGCATGAGAAAGATGATGACGAGGAAGTAGTGGTAGTAGATAATGATGAGGATGAAGATGAAAGTGATGATGAGGATGATCCAGAATTTGGGGAATTAAACGAAATAAAATCAGATGATGAAGTTGACTCAGATGAAGATGTCAAAATAAAAGCGGATAGTGATATTGAAATAGAGGAAGAAGAAGAGGAAAAACCTCGAAAGAAAAGTAATAGACAAGAAGCATATGCTGTTTTTGTCCGTAATATACCTTACGATGCTGACGAAGAAACATTGAAGGAGCATTTTGAGTCATTTGGTCCCGTGAAATATGCATTGCCAGTCATAGATAAAGAAACTGGATTAGCTAAAGGCTCTGCATTTGTTGCCTTCAAGAATGAAGAAGCTTACTTGGAATGTCTTGAAAACGCTCCATCAAACACGGGATCATCTTCAATGTTGATTGCTGACGATGTATCACCACAATATGTATACCAAGGAAGGATCTTATCAATTACGTCAGCTGTTGACAGGGAGTCTGCTAATAAATTGGCTGAAAGAAATTCCATTAAAAGAAAAGAATTATTGGGTAAAGCCCCAGGAGAGAAAGACAAACGTAATCTATTTTTATTGAATGAAGGTAGAATCACAGAAAACTCAAAATTAGCACAAAAGATATCAAAAACTGATTTAGAATTAAGAGAGAAATCTTACAAATTAAGAGTACAGCAATTGAACAAAAACCCAACATTGCACTTATCGTTAACAAGATTAGCCATACGAAATTTACCAAGAGCTATGAATTCGAAAGCATTAAAAGCTTTGGGAAGAAAAGCAGTGGTACAATTTGCCACTGAGGTGAAAAATGGTGATCGTCAACCATTGTCAAAAGAAGAAGTTTCTAGATCAACCAAGCTGAAAAAAGAAATACAGGAAGAGATTGAAACCAAATCGAAAAATTCAAAACATAAAGGTGTTGTGAAACAAGCAAAAGTTATTATGGAAGTTAAAGGAACTGGTGAAGCTGGTAGAAATAGAGGATATGGGTTTATTGAATTTAGAGATCATAAGGCAGCTTTGCAGGGTTTGAGATGGTTAAATGCTCATGAAGTTACTAATCAAGAAATAATCGAGGGTTTAAGTGAAGATGAGATAAAATTGGCTAAATTGGAAGGGCTAAGTAAAAGAAGATTGATTGTTGAGTTTGCTGTTGAAAATGCTCAAGTTGTGAAAAGGAGGAGAGAAAAAGAATTAATCAGTAGAAAGTACAACGACTCCAACGGTGACGGTAAAAACGAGTCAAGCAGAAAGAGAAAAAGAGATGATGACGATGGAGAGACTACCTCAAATCGAAATGATAAAAAACAAAAGAGAAAAGGGTCACTGAAGAAAGGTAACATGAACAAAGGAGAAATAAAAAATCAATCCTCATCACAAGACAAAGGCTCGAAACAGGAGAAAGAACCTAAAAACAAATCGGGACTTTCAGATAATGTCAAATCAATCATTGGACAAAAGAGAAGAAGAAGAAAAGGTAAAAAATAATTATTTTGCATTACGATTATTACACAAATTTATCTATGTAATATACATTCGTCATTATTTAAATTCAAGCCTTAGTCTCTATTATATCATTTTCTCGTTCTTTTTATTTTCATTAAGTTCTTTTACTTTTTCGTTAAAACTTATTTATCATTACATATCGTTACAATTTATGAATTAAAACATGTTGTCAAACACTTCGTGAATCTATTGGTCGTACCTTCATGAAACAAATTCGTAAGTGAGTATATTTATAAGAAATAATCACTTCTTTGTTGTTTTGTATTATTATTTTTGACTGTTAAATCACCATCTTGAACAGCACTAAAGATTTTAAAATTTGGTTCTAAATCTTCATCAACTTGCATCACACTCGCAACATTTCCACATCTATAACAATAATTTGGTGCTGACCACACGGTAACAACATCTTTTTCTTTAAAATGATATCTAAAACCTTCCATTACTAATTGATGAGCTCTGGCGATTAATTGTAAATTATTTATATGATTAAACTCTCTTGAAACTTTAGAACCAAATAACCAACCTGCACCTCTTGGTGAGACGGCCCAGGTATCAACATTATCAGGATCTGACCACACTAAATCACAGAATCCACCTTCATGAGGAACTTCTTGAGCTCTTGATAAAACTCTAATTTGATCCAACATTCTAATTTCTGGTGATAAACCACCATGTACACATAGTATCTTTCCATCTATTATAGCAGCTAAAGTTAAAAAATCAAATACTTGACAACAATATTTCCATACAGTAGTTGATCCATATTTTGTTAAACATTCTTCATAAAAACCATAAACTTGAGTAATTTGTCTTGATTCATGATTTCCTCTTACTAACGTTATTCTATGAGGATATTTTACTTTTAAAACCATAAGTAATGTAAAAGTTTCTAATGAAAAGTATCCACGATCAACATAATCTCCTAAAAATATATAGTTTGTTTGATTATCATCACTTGGTAACCCGCCAGATATTCTGAATAATTCTAACAAATCATGGAATTGACCATGAATGTCTCCACATACTGTTACAGGTGATTGTACTGGTTGAATATTGGATTCTTCCATCAATAATTCCTTGACTAATTCACAAAGCTGCTTCATGTCTGATTCTGACAATGCTACACATTTTTTGATTTGCTCAAGCCATTGATCTGGTCCTCGTTCCCCCATTTTGTAAATGTTTTATGTCTATGTTTTTTTGGTAAAATTATGAATTGTGATGTATTATAAATTTTTTGATGAATAGATATATTAAATTGAGTATTTGGACTACTGTCACTATATTTAGATCTCTATGGGTATTTCTAATGAACTGAAAAGCTAGTATCCCAAAAGTTTGATCAGTGAGCGCAACAGATATAGTAGATGAATAGGTATAATTTTTTGATAGTTATCAATATAAAGAATTATTAATAATGATTGTGATGATGATATCATTAATTTGTGATTTATTATTAATTTCCATGATTCCATCATTTTTTCCCAAATTTGGTAGCCAGAAAAATCCGTAACTTTTGTATCATGAATTGCAAAAATAAATTTTTCAGTTTTACAATTCATGTACTGATTGAACTAGTTCTACTACAACATATATATTCTACGATGTTATCTAGAAACACGATAATTGGTCTTAGACTGAACATACTGCTTAATCTAATACGAGATTTGTCCATCAGCCAAAAATGTCAAAACTCATCATCATCAGCAACCGCATCAGGATCATCCTCAATCGATCAATCAAATATCAATAACATGAAAAGTAAAAAATCATGGAGTGAAGCGTCAAATGCATCTTCATCAAACTCTAAATCATCCTCCGTACAGTCAGATATAAGTGAGAATTTATCAAGAATAACAGAATCAATGTCAAGTGGTGAACCACCAATACATATAGCACAAACATTACAAAGAAAATTTAAATCAGGCACAACTTATAATCCATTTGATTTTAGTATGAATAGATATAGAATGGAGAAAAAACAAAATCAACAAGTTAAAAAAGAAGATCCATTTGTTAAATCAGGAATAAATCCAAGAACACTTTATTTAATGCCTGAAATTTTATCACAATTTTTAACTAGTACTGGTCAAATTTTACCAAGATCAATTACTGGATGTAATGCTAAAAATCAAAAGAGATTGACTGCAGCTATAAAGAATGCAAGAAACTTAGGATTGTTATCTACTGTACATAAACATTATAGATTTTTACCATCAAGAAATATATAGTAACCATATTTGTATTTTTACATTGAAATCAAGATTAGTGATTGAAAGGATTTGTAGTAATAATTGATAAGCACCAATTACTTCTTACACGTTAGATCAGTTTCGAGATATGGTTTGATTAATGTGTCTACTATACATATCCTTTTTGTTATAAAATACACTACTCTAAGTTGTATAAGCAAATGAAAGTCACTCCCAAATTTATAAAACATTTAAATCTAGAAAAAAACCATCCAACTCTTTTACATCAATTTTCAATAAGTCAACTTTTACACTCAATTGATCCAATTCTAGTTAATAAATATATCAAATCATTTAAAATGTTATCAAGATTCATTAAATCATCAGGTTCAGCCTCAATTGTATCATCAAAAAGATTATTTTCAATTTCATCAACTAGATTAGTTGATGGATCAATTGGTAAAGATTCATTTTCAGAAAAAGAAAGAGCTCAAGAAAATGTTTATATTAAAAAGCAAGAAGAAGCTCAATTAAAAAAATTAAAAGCTAAATTACAAGAACAAAAAGATACTATAGATAAATTGGAAGAAGAAATTAAAAATAACAAGAATGGTAAAAAGTAAGAAAGGAGATATTATCATTGGTTTTTTTAAATGCTTTCAGATTCTGTTATGACTTTGCTCAAGATTAATCATGATTTTATATGAAAATTTGGTCTCAATAAATAGTATTCAAAATTAATGAAATAGAAAATCAAATCTTTTGTCACCGGATCAATCTTTTATTCCTTCTTCATTGTTTGAGAGATCTAAACTCTAAAACTTTCATAGACTCTTGTGTGAGAGATCTGAGCCTAAAACTTTCAATGATTCTTAAATGATGAAAATGGCTTATAATCCAGTGATCTTATTTGCATCTGAGTCTATTGCCCCTTAAAAGTATTATAATACCAAAAGTCAAGCAATATTGTACCTAGAACCAGAGATTAGTTGGGATTTAAACTGTGCAAATTTGGTGTTTCTCCACAATCTTTTTTAACTAACGGACTCACCGAAGCATTAAGCTAAATTTGTTTAAGAAGATGTTCGAAAGTAAAAGTATTAGAGTTTGACCGAACCTTCTACAGCCTTATTTTGTTTTTTTTTTTTTTGACTGTGTGAATAGGAAACTCCTTGTTGATCCATCCTGTTACCTGCTCTAGAAAACGAACATTTACGATTACATCAATTTGCATCTAAATTTAGGAACCAACTGTAATTTCCTAAAAATTAAATAATTAAGTAGGTTTGCACCTACAAACGATTTCGCAGTTGTGATGAACACTTCAAGATGAAAGTACAGACTTATCATAAAGTCTTTATCGAAACAAGCTCAATATCCAAAGACTTTTTGATTCACGAATATGTTGTAAGAGAAAACTTAAGTTATTTTCGGACTTACGTTTTGCATAGTTTATACTTCCGCAACCATTAGGAACATCGAAATCTGTTAAACTCTTGAAACAAACGTTTCATCACCTTGACCAAAACTGTTCAAGTTGTTCTAATAAGGTTTCCAAAATAGTAGAATTATAAAAAGAAACGGTTTTTGAAAGTATAATTCCAACAATGGCTAATGGAACGCTAAAATGAAAGCAAACTATCAATGATATCGTTAATTTTGACTAAAACTTAAACTTCAATTTTTGAATTTTTGAATTTTTTTTAATTAACATGTTCATTCATTAATATTTGATGCTTTTGAATGTCAACTTGAACTCCCAAAGTATTATTCTGATTGTTACTAAAAGTTGATTTAGCCTATTGAGTAGTTGTAAAATAAGTTGTTAGTTAGTAGAAAAATTAATTATTACTTAAAATAGAAATAATAAATATTCATAATAATAATTTTTATACTTTGCAACATAATTTACAATCTTTTTTAATTCACAACTTAAATTCATAATCTCGAGTATCTGATCATTTCACTATATCAACTTAATAGTAACGATACATATTAAGTAATTCATTCGCTGATACAAAATATTGATCAATGGGCTTGAACATTTTTCAGAAAAAACCAACTGAGGCTAATGATAATAATTTGGCAAGTTATAATATTTCAAGTCCTAAATTATTAAATTATAACTATGACGAAATAGAACAGACTCCCCCAACAACAAGTCGACCATTATTACCTACTTCAGATAGTTATCATGTTCAATTCAAAGTAAATAATGGTAAATCTCAATCACAACAAGAATCAACAAAACTTATCGATCCAACTAGATCTAGGACTTATAAATCTCAAAGAATAAATCTACCTAATAGTTCAAATGGTTCAAATAGTCCAAATTCAATATTAACCCCTCCACAAACATCTACTTCAAATTTTACAGAACCTGTCAATAATCGAACTTCTGCTACTAAAAGGAATAGATCACCAAATACTCCAAATTCTTCAAAAATGTCAAATGCATCTCATATGAATAAATCATCCGATTCATTAAATCAAATAAGAGCAAGGAGAATGAATGCTTCAAAAAAGCCCAAACAAAGAACAGTAAATAATTCAAGAAATGGAAAGGGTAGGCCAATTCGAAGAAGAAATAGTATGGCTTCTTCAAAGGATTCTTTGATATTGATGAAAAAGTTAACCAATGAATCAAATACCCGAACCAAAGGTTCTAAACCTATTATTAATGACAGAAGCTTGCAGAGTGATATACTGTCTAAACCAATAGCTAAATCAAAACCATCAAATAATGGCAATCGTAAACACAAACGTGATAGGACGTCTGATCCAAAATTCAAAACTCCATATCCAATAAATGATGAAATTATAAGTATTATCATAACGGACGAAGTAGACGAGGAAGGGGCAAACGTTGAAGATTATGAAGAAATAGAAGATGAAGAATTTCCAGTGGGATTCGAGCCAGTTATTGCAAGAAAAAGCCAAAGTCCACAATTAGTCAAAATTGAAACATCACATGCATCGAATAACAATCAGCAATCCGCAACTCCTACGGTTGGTGCATCTGAAAATGTAAATAATGCAAGACTATTATCGCGTCAAAATACTTTGAGACAATTAACCAGTTCTTCCCAGCCCCACGAAGGTCCTTCATCATCGTCCCCACAATTAAATTCAGGATTATACAATAGACGCCAAGACACAACCACTACAAGCATTTATTCTTCCAGTACTGATGAGCCTCAAATTGATCGAGAACAAGCAGTTGCGTGTATTTTAGAGAGAACTGGAAGTACGGCTCAGAATGGTAGAAGAGGAAGAAGAAATCCTGAGTCGAAACGCAATCCTAGGTTGAGAAACCAAGTATCAACCAGCTCAAATATGAATATGTCCAGAGGTGGAACAATTGATGAAAATTTGGAAAGCCATGAACCTCAAACAGAAAGCATACGAAGATCAAGTATCACTTCAACTACGCCCACATTCCATACTACTTTCTCAAGTATTCCAGAATCATCCACCTCATCAACTGCTTTAACATCTACAACAATCTCCCATACAATAAGAATGCAACAAACAAGATCAGCAATAATAGAAAGACTCAATAGAAGAATTGATCCAACTCTGTATTCATCAACAGAAATAACATCAACCATAAGAGAAGAAGATCAACCACCTCCATTAGATGAATATGCTTATTCACATCAACAATTTGAAAATTCACCACCATATAGAGAAAAATTACATAAAAGAATAGATCTTTTATCATTTGATCCAAGATATCATGTCCCCGTATTAAGAATTAATAAAAAATTAATTAAAAATTCCCAAAATTTGAAAAAAACTATTCGAAAATTAATAAAATTACATTGTATACCCACTGAAATTAATATTTGGGAAATTACAAAAATTGATGATTTAAAATTTTATCAAATTTTACCTTCTTTAATTATGGAAGTTAATGAACAAGATAATGCTATTGAACAAATAAGAATTCAAGAAGAAAGAGAAGCTCAACAAAGAGAATATGAAGCTGAACTACAAAGAGCAATTGCTATTTCAATGGAAGAACAAAGTCAAAGACAATTATTTAAAGGATTTAGGTATAAAAGTTCCAATAATGAAGAACCACAAGAAGTAAGAGAAAGTTCGAATGAGATAGATAATGTTAATAGACATGATCTTCCTCCTCAAGAAGATGAATTTATAAATGTTGATGAAGCTGTAAGTGTATGGCAAAGACAGCAAAGACAAAATCGTCATCAACAAGAAGTTTCGAGTCAACAACAACAACAACAACAACAACAACAACAAAATCAATTAAGAGTACCTGGATCATTTAACTATTTATTACCTGCTCATGCTAATTCTTCTGCTTCTTCATATATGACAGCTTATTGATTAAGTTTGTTAGTTTGTATTTTAATTCATAAGAAAAAAGTAATATATAGTCTAAAAATTAATATTGTAATATGATGTATGATAGAGTATTAAAAAAAGAAAAAATTTAGATTATTAAATTCATTAAATTACTTCTATGTACTTAATTTATTTAAATTATGATTTAATCCAAAACTTCTTTTCAATGGTGAATTTTGTATGTCAGTTTCGTAACTCATTTGATTATTTAATTCAATATCATTAGTCATTACAATTTGTTTTAATTTTTTAGTTGATGATTTTTTATTAATTGTTCCATATTTTTTAACGAGTGTTTCTGATTTAATTGAATTTGTATTACTTCTATTACTAATTTTATGAGTTAAAGAAATTGGAGATTTAAGATTTATTGATTGTTGAATTGAGTAAACATCTTCTTGCTCATCATCATCATCATCTTGTTCTTCATCATCACCATCACTTTCGTCTGAATCTTCTGATTCTTCTGATGAATTATATTCTAACATTTCTCCTAACATTGATCTTCTATTTATAAATTTATTAAATGCTTTATCTTGATTTTCTTGTGATTCATCATCTAATTCAATAAATATATCACCATGTTCATTTTCATACAGTTTTGTTGAACTTGTTGAAATTGTTTCTTGATCATCATTTTCTTCTGTTGTGGTTGTAGTAGTTGATGTATGAGAATAAATTGAAGAATGAATTGAAGGAGATTTAGCATTTGGATGAATAAATTTATTATTAAAAGAAGATGAATTTGAAGAATTTTTTGAAATTAATGAATTTTGATAACTTATATTTGAATTTCGTTCATCTTTAAGTTGTTCCAATTTAATTTCTTCAAATATTTTATTTATAAAATTTGAAGTTTCTCTATTAGTTAAAAAATTTTGATAATTTAAAATTTCTAATCTTAATTGTATACGTTTTGATAACACTTGTTTTAAATAACTATTCCATATTAATTGAATTCTTTTTTCTTTATTTATTGAAACATTACTAATAATTCTTTTTTTTGTAAGATATGATTGATCTATATGTGGTGGTGGTAATGGTGGTTGTTGTGAAGATAATGTTGCAATTGATGCAACTAATGATGGTTCAACATTTTGTAAATTTGTTTTGATTTCATCATCTTCTTCATTATCTATTTGTGGTGATGGTAATTCTTCAATTATTCTCGATGGTTTATTATTTTGAATTTTTAGCGTTGATTTATTTTGTAAATAATTTTTATCTTGTTGATTTATATAATTTGTTAAATGATTATATTTACCTAAATTTTCATTAACAATTTCTTCATGACTTAAATTTTGGTTATTTGTTGCACCCATCAGATTTTTTAAATTTTTGTCCATTTTTGAAACATGATATATTGGAGTTGAACCTAAATTTGGATTTGTTGAAGGATTTGAAATTTTTAAATAATTTGAATTATTATTATTTTTGTTAAGTTTATGAGGTGGTAATAATTTTATCGAGGCTAATCTTTTTATATCTTGATTTTGACAACTTTCACGGTTTTTTGTATTTGATCGCTTAATTGATTTTGATTTTGATCTCTTAATAGATCCTCTTGCTCTTTTTGATGATGCTTTAAAACTATAAAATTTAAATTTATTCAAAAGTTTAACCAATTGTAATTTAAATCTATACCATAAACTTCCCCTTTTTGATTTTATTGCATTTGTTCTAATTAAACTTGAACTTGATTGAATTGATGAATTTATAATTGAAGAATTTGTTGAATCATTATGATATAATTGAACATTTGAAGTTCTTGATTTTGGTTTTTTTTGAAATAATGATTTACTTTTACGAAGTGAATTATTAATATGTTTTTGAATATGAGGTTGACGAGTTCCTCTTCTTTGAGATGGTAAATTTCTTGATCCAATTCTTCTCAGAGTTGTTACTCTTTCATTACTTTCAGATGATGATTTTTGTCTAGTTGAAAAAATAGTAGCTTGACTTTCCATTGAATTTGAAATATTTCTAGATAATTGACCAGAATTATTGAAAAATTCATCATGTTGTGATTGATTAGCACTTGATCTTTTAGTTTTAGAATTATTTGTTAAACTAAAAGATTTTTGAATTGATGAATTTCCCTTTTCATTATCATTTGTTTTTATACTTGATAAATTATCCTCATTTAAATCATCTAAATTATCTAATCTTTGTGAAATATACGGATTTTGTTGATCAATTATAAATTGTGAAAATCTTTTTGGTATTTGATTGTAATCATTATATCTATTTGGTGAGACTTGCATCGTTGGCTGAATTGCTTTTTTTGGAGGACTAATTTCCTTTTGAGGTGGATTTATTGATTTCAATAATTCAAATGTATCAGCAGATTTATTTGATTCATGATTTTGTAGTAATAATTGATTACTTGGAGAATAATCTTCTAAATAATAATATGGATATGAAATGGGTAATGAAGTAGTTGATGTTGATTCAACTTCTAATCTACTATTTAATACTTCTTGTGCCATATTAGAATTAATCGTTTTTTTGTTGTCGTAAAAAGGATTTAATTCCTGTCTATGTTGATTTGAATTAAGTAAATGTGGATAATCAGTAATTATATTTCTACTTAGTCTATTATTGGTTGATACCTTTTTTGTTATGGTTAATTCTTTATTTGATGGTATTAGATTATAGTCATAAGTTGGATCAGAAGGAAGTGGGAATTTTGGAACAACTTTCATAATGAAATTTTAATTTGACGAATCCCCCAATACTAATATATATAAAATTTGAAATGAAAAGTTTTAGGGTTGGCTTGGTTTGGTTTGATATGGTAACAAAATTAAGATTAAGTTTTAGTGATAGTAAATCTTGAAATTTTATGGTTTGATGACTTGGTGAAATTCTTAGTAAAAGTTTAAAATGTAGATCAAAATTTAGACGAAAGCAAATTGAATTGGTTTTATATCACTAAATTTTTGTCTTATATAAGTATAAAATTATGATTTAGTGTAATGAATCAAGTGATGTAAGATTATAAGTTGGTGATCTACTGCATTAATATCGTTGATCTTTCTCAATTGATTCGTATTTGTTTTAAATTTGTTTACTAAAAAATGGCTGGTTGCAAAAAAAAAAAAGTGGTTGTAAAAAAATCTTAATTTTGTGAAAACGAGACAACCAGCATCACCATATTAAACGTAGTACATTACATCAACGGTTCATCAAGTAGTTTTACGAGATAAAGACATTCATTAACTTACAACCAAAGGAATCTATCAAACCGATTGAGACAAAATAGATCATCTATTCACCAAAAAAGTCGATTCAACCAAGTGTAACAAAGAGTAAATCAAGCCAGGTGGAACAAGTGATTGAAGTTTCAACAAACAAATTTACAAGTAATAATAAATCTTCTTCAAAGTAACTACAAAATCAAACATATATTAAATTTAAATATTAAAAACCACAACTTTTTTTATTCTTTTAAATCATTTTTTGTTTATGCTTTCTATTCTTTTTTATATCAAAAATTGAACTAAAAATATCATATCATCTATTATAATCAATTATTTTTAAACTTTTGATGGTGCTAAACCGACAGCATTTTTCTTCAAATCATAAATAGAATAATATCTTCTTAAAAAGGCATCACCAATGATTGCTAAATCACCAATTGGTTTTGGGAAATCCATTGGTGTAAAAACTGAAATACATGATCCTCCAACTTCTAAAATATAATCATAAGCTGATAAAGTAAAATTATAACCTGAAAAAGTTAAAGTTAAATCTGGTAATGAATCTCTTTTATCACAATCAACTTGATATTGTCCTGACCAAGATTTTGTTGCTCCAATCTTAGTATTTATAATTTCTGCTAATGTAGATGGTAAAGTAATTAATGATGTACCAGTATCTATTGCTGCACCAGTTTTAACTAATTCTGCATATTCATCACCTAATCCTAAACCTTCAAATGAAACTTCCCAATAAGCTTTTCTTCTAACGGGTAACCAAGTAATTTTACCTTGAAATAATGATTCATCATAACCACCAAAAGTAGCAACTCCTCCATCATTTTCATCTTTATTAGTATCACCTAAATAAAACCCAAATTGTGGAGAATCTAATAAACCTTGATTTATTGCATTATAAATTGGTGGTACAATTTTATTTACTGATATAGTATCATAAGCTAAACCTAATATACCATCAAATTTACCAAATGCAAAAGCTAATCCTGGTTCAGAAGTAGCTTCTGCAAAATCTTGATGAGGAATAACTAAATCACCAATAGAAACAATATCTTGTGATATATAACCTTCCATTGATCCAGAACCATATTGAATTGAAAATTCAGAACCATTTGCTTTATAAGTTGAAGAAGCATCATGATCATATTTAGAATGTAAAAAACAAGCTAATGAACTACAATCTTGTGAAGGAACCCATAAATTTGATGAACCAGTATCTAATATAACTTTAAATGATTGACCAGGTGTACCAATTTGAATTTCAGTAAAATATTGAGCATTTAAATAATTAGTTAATGGAGCATCATATTTACCTTTATTTTTAGGAGTAACAAAAGGAATTTGAGCTTGTTGATGTTGATTAGACATAACTTGTTGAATTCCATAAGATTGAGGATTACCATTTGCTTTATTAAATAAATTTAAATATTTATTTGCTAAAGCATTAGTATAATCAACAAAATTATTAGCATCTAAAACTTCTTCATTTGATAATTTATTTAATTTAATTGAATGAGTTTTACAATCAACTAAATTTGAAGAAAAAGCTAATAAAGTAGTAGCAATTGAAGTTAATGTTGATATGGATAATTGCATTTTTTTCTTTAAATTAATTCAATTATTTATTGATATTGATTATAGCTTCAAATGGAATAGAAATACTTGATAGTTACTTGTTCTCTGTTTTAATATTAAAAAGCCCACGGTACAAATTTAAATTTGAATAAATATCAATTTAATCTTTATTAATTGTTCTATTTCAATAAATAATCAATGTTTGAATATTAAATATCAATCTGTTAACTAAAGAAAGAAAGATTTAAAAGATATGACTTGTTGGTTTAAATTTAGTATAAATTAGGAGAGGGATAAAAATAGTGGCAATTTAAATTAAGTAAAGTAATTAAGTAGTGGATTATGTAATAGTACTACTAAGTGATTATGTAATTAGTAACACAAAGGCTTAATCCAGCATCAATTGTCACTGATTAGATAAAAAGTACATTTATACGACGACATTTGGTATAACCATTTTAAGACATAATTAACCTCAATAAAGTAGTCGTTTACTATAATAGTTAAAAAATGACGTAGCAATCTTATCAGTAAATAAATGTCTCAAGTTGATTCAAAGAATTTTTGTTATTCTAATCGGTTTCAGATTTCAATTTAAAAGACAAAGAAGAGTAAAGATCTTAGTGTTTGAGTTTGGGTAAGTATAAGACTTAGATCTAAATGACTTGATAGTTTATAAAAACCAAAGTGTGTGGGTTTTCTGATGTGTACTTTAAATAGAAGGATTTATTCTGGTTTTCTCGGAGATGTTTTTGAACTAGATTCTGATAAGTTAGTTCCTTATTGACCCGTTCGTGGCAATGCTTACTCCACAAAATTCTATTTTTACGCACTGAACTAGTTATCTTGTGAGTGAGTGAGTGTTTCGGTTATTACGAAAAATGACACAAAAGCTTAATTTCGGATATTATTTCAAAATGATATTCTATTAGAAAGAGATGATAAGATTTAATCACTTTTGAAAGGCTACTAAACGAAGTACTAGAAAATGTTTGGTTCAGGTTTCTTCACTTCAAAAGTGGAAAACTATATACCAAATAAACCTGTTAAATTTAAAAAACCAAATGAAGAAAATCCAAATAAAATTGAAGAAATTACAATTCCAGAATTAATTAAAATTGAAATACCTGAATTTTCATCAAATTATTCGTTTTATATTAATCCATTATTATCATCTGGACATGTTCAAACTGCTTATACCGCATTAAATAATTTTGAAAAGTATCATCATGTTCATTATAAAAGAGAAATTTTAAATATAGAAAATAAAACATATCAAGTTTCTGATAATATTGATTTAAAATATGATCAATGGAAAGGTGAAAGTACAATAGCATTAGATTATGCAATTAACACTAAAGATTATAAACATGATGAAAATCATTTAAATTATAAACCAAATTCACAAAGTAAAGAATTACCTCCAAGAACTGAATTCAAAAATCCAAAAGAAGAAATTATAAAAAATGATAGTGAAAAACCTTTATTATTGATATTACATGGATTATCAGGTGGATCATATGAAGCATATATAAGAGCAGTATTAGAAAAAATCATTGAACCTCCTTATAATTTTGATGCAATAGTTATAAATTCAAGAGGTTGTGCAAAACATACAATAACTTCTCCACAATTATATAATGGATTATGGACAAATGATTTAAGATATGTTATAAATGAATTTATTACAAAGAAATGGCCTAATAAAAGAATTTATTTAATGGGTTTTAGTTTAGGTGGTGCTATATTGGCAAATTATTTAGGTCAAGAAAGTAATTCAATAAATTCACAAATTAAAGGTGCTGCAATGTTTGGTACTCCATGGGATTTCCCAGATGGTGCAATACATTTAAGAGAAAGTATTATAGGTCATAATGTATATTCACCAACAATGTGTAATAATTTATTAAAATTAATAAACAATCATAATGATATAATGATTGAAAATGAATTCATTAAGGAATTTAAATCAAATCCAACTAAATATAAAATTAAATTTTTAAAAGATTTTGATGAAATTTTTACAAGTAAATTATTTGGTTTAAATTCAGCAAATGAATATTATAGATTAGCTTCCCCCAATAATAGATTATTAAAAATTAGAATTCCAATTTTAATAATAAGTTCAAAAGATGATCCTATAACAGGATATAGAAGTTTACCTTACTCAGAAACAGAATTAAATCCTTATATTACAATGATTACAACAACAATTGGTGGCCATTTAGGTTGGTTTAGTTTAAATGGTGAAAGATGGTATGTTAAACCAATTTGTGAATTTTTTAAAAAATTAAATGAATTTGATATTGATGAAACAAGTATAAATCAAAATGATTTACCTTTAGATATTTCAAAAAGTTTTATGTATGATAGATTAGTAAATCAAATGATTGTTGAATAAAGTTGAGGTGGAATTAAGGGTAAAGGATAGAGATAGAGTTTCGTTAAAGTTTAAGGTATTAGTCTGTATAAAGTTTTGCTAGAGACAGATCATAGAAATAAACATTTACTATCGTCATAAAATTTAAAATTCTTTTTTGTATTAAAGTCTATATTTAGTCTATAAAAATGTCTATATTCTATATTCCACTTAAACGTCTACCCCATCAATAACATATTTTTCAAATAATTCAAATAATTTAGGAATAACTAATGAACCATCATTAAATTTATAATCTTCAAATTCAGGTTTATAAGCAATTACAATATTCATTTCACCTGAGGGATTAGATATGATATTCAAAACAATTGAATATAATATACCAGCATTTGCACTAAAATAAATATCTCTAATATTAAAATTGGAGTTTGAATCTAAGTTACTTTTAAATTTACCTAAATTTGATATTGTAAATGTAGAATTATTATTAATTTTTCCAATTTTATTCTTAAAATAATCCATAAGATTTATATATTTCATCATTCCAATATCTTTAAATGATGATTTTGTTTCAAATTGTTTATTAAGTTCTTGGTTAAAGTATTTCATTGATTCTATTTCATTTAAAACAGGTGGTGAAATTACGGAAGATCCACATACCATTGTACCAAATTTAAAATTCTTTATATCATTTCCATAATATCTTCGACCATTTATTGCAATAAATGAATTTATACTATACTTCGGACTAGTTGGATTAATTGATTTGAAAATTGATTCTTGTAATGCCTTAATAAACATTATATCAATATATGAAGTAATTGTGACTTCTTCCTTTTTACAAAATTTTGCAATATTAGACATATGAATTGATGAAATTTTCAAAATTTTATAATTTGATGTTAAATCTTTTTCAACTGGTTTTGGATTATAAAAGATCGGAGGATTTATATTTTTAGGATATAAATAATTTAATGCCTTGGAATAACCAGGTATATATTCATTTAAATAATGATTTATAATTTTACCATATGATGGAATATATAAATCTGTTATTATTTCAGAAGCAATAATTGGTTTTGAAGGTAGATATTTAAAATCTTCTTCTAAATTGAATAAAACTTCTACCACTTTCTTTGTATCATCTCCAATTAATGATAATTCTTTTGATAAATCTTTCATAAATTGAACAGCAGATAATCCATCAAACATTGAATGATCAACATAAACAGTCATAAATTGTTCATTATCATTAGTTTCAAACACAATAATTTTCCATAAAGTTTCTTCAGTATTAAAATTTAATGATAAACCATCTAAATATTTAAAAATTGATTCATTAAAACTTTCAATTTTTTGAAAACTAACAACATTTTCAAATTTTATTTCTTCAAGATATTTTAATTCCCAATTATTCCAATTTGCGGCAAAACTATCAGTTCCATCAATTTGGAAAAAATTTTGTAAAAACCAACTATTTTTTAAAATTAATGATCTTAAAGCATTTGATAAATTATGCTCTGTTATTCTATCATTTTGATTGTATTGAATAGTTATATTAAAATTACTATAAAATTTCTGTGAACCTCTACATATATAATACCTTTCAAGAAATTCTGGTTTTCTAGAAATGGATTTATGATCTGGTGAAGTTGACATGTACTAGTGACTCAAAGATGAGTAAAAAAAAAAAAAACCGCTTATTGAGATCTGAGATCTGATTAAAATTCCGCTATGGAATTTTAGTTCACTTTATATAATTAAGTGATTAGTAATTAGTTAACTTTCGTGAGTCATTTGGTTAAAAACCTGATTATTCAGTTTAATGTTTCGGTGAGGAGATTCTCCATACTCAAACGGCTGTTGAAGGTTTGTTTCTCAACAATTTAATGACAATTTTGACATACGAACACTTTAACTTTAGCCGTTTGTGTTAAAAATATCACTTGGGTACCTTCATGAATCATAATTTTACATTTTCATCTTCATTTTACTGAAAGATATTGTATATTTGATTAATAAAACATTTGTAGATTGTCTATATCATTTATAAAAGAAACAGGTATAATTATTAACAAAAAAAATTATACCATTTATACCACCAGGGTTTATTTTCTAATTTATTATTTAATTCAGCAATTTCTTGTTTAACCATTTCAAAATCAACTTGTCTTCTACCAGTATCAATATCAATTTCATCATTATTTAACCAAAGTTTCAATAAAGGAATATTAAAATAATAATAATCATAAAATTTATGACCAATATAACATAATATAAATACTGGTAAACCTAAATAAATTTTAAATAATGATTGAACATCAACTCCTTCTCCTGGAGGCCATAATGCTGCCCAAAATTGTAATACTAGCACCACTAAAATAGCTATAATTCCATACCATGATAACCAAGTTGGTGAAACATATAATAATTCATCCTTGGGAATTCTTGCTCTATGATTTAAAGCATTTTTAAATCTTATTTCACAAATATTTATAAATAAATAAGTAAATAAAGCACTTAAACCACTTAAACTTAATAACCAATCAAATATTTCTATTGTTGTATTATTTCCTGGAATACATATTAAATAAGCTAATAAACCAAATAAAAATTGAATAATTAAACATCCCATTGGTCTTCCTTTTCTATCTATAAATGTTAAGAATTTAGGACCTTGTTCTAAAGCTCCTATAGCATTTAAAACTCTTGTTGATGCATAAATTGAAGCATTACCAACTGATAAAACAGTTATAATAACAACTGCATTCATTATTGATGGTAATACTTTTATATTTGCTAATTTTATAGCTATAACAAATGGTGAAGTATTTATATCAGCTAAACCTCTGCCTGCAGAACTTAATGATTCACTTGTATAAGGTATTAAAAATCCAATCATTATAATAGTTATAATATAAAATCCCATTAATTGATAAAAAATTTGTTTTCTTGATTTATTTATTGATAATTTTGGTGTTGCTGATTCAACTGATGCTAAAGCAAATAATTCAATTCCTGCAAATGCAAAAGCAGCATTTGATATTATAAAACACATTTGTTTAAATGGTTCAACAGTATTAAATAATCCACCATTTGGTTTATGCCAATTTCTACCTCCTATATATGAAGTTCCAGGTACCCCACCAGTTACAATAATAATTCCTAATAAATTAAATCCAATAACACTTATAACTTTTATTAAGCTTAAAGCACTTTCAATTTCTCCATATCCCTTTATACCAAATAAATTTATAAATACTAATACAATATAAAATATAGTTACCCAAACAGCAGGGTTTATACTAGTGTTCCAATATTGTATACTCATTGAAGCAGCAACTAATTGTAAAGGCATAGTAATTAACCATTGTAAAGCATAATTCCATGCAATAGCAAATCCTAAGGATTTATTTATAAATAATGTAGGAAAAGTAACAAATGCACCACTTACAGGAAATGCTGTAGCTAATTCAGATAAACTTGACATTGTTACAAAAATTAATGAACCAATAAATAACCAAACTAACAATAATCCCAATGGACCAGCATGAGATAATGAAGAACCAGTAGTTATAAATAATCCAGATCCAATACTTGCACCTAAAGAAATTAAAGTCATATGTCTTGTTTTTAATCTTTTACTTAATGGACTTGAAGCAGTAATTAAAGCATCTCTTTCTAATTGAGTAAATTTTGAATAATCAAAATTTGGATGTGCTGGATGTAAATGTAAACTTTCTTCATCTTGTAAACTTGATATTAATTTTATTTCATCAGTTTCTTCTGTTATATTTGATTTTGATGAATGATTTAAATATATTGGTGGTAATTTTGAATAATCAAATGGTTTAAACCCATTTATAAAATTTAGGAAAATATGTTTTGGATTATGACATGTAGTTGATGCATAGGATGATGTTGTTGAAGAAGTTGTAGATGAAGTATTTGTAGTTGATGAAGTTGTCGTAGTTTGTAAAGTATTTAAATCATTTTCATTTACTATAGGCATGGAAGTTTTTGAGTAGCCATCCATCTCAAACCCTCCTTTAAAAATATGGAATGGTTATTGAAAGCTGGTGATGAATGTATAAATAAATTGAAATAATGTTTGAATGTAGTATGTAAAATTGAAAATGACGGTCTAATAATTAACACAGTAAAATTAATTACCAATTAATTAATTAAATGAATGAAATTGGTTGTATATTGTAACAATATATGACAAAGGATGTTCTGAATGAGATGTTGTATTGAATGAAGAAAGAAAAAATAAAATATTGTTGAAAGAAAAGATGTTGCGTATAAATGAATTATGATGATGACTATGAGTATTTTAATATTAATGGGCAGTAACCAAATTAAATTAAAAGTAAAAAGGAATGATAGAAAGTAATCGTCTAATATTAACAATGTTTATTAATTGACCAAGGATGCATAGAATCAATTTAGTAAACAATTTATGCAAAACCTATTATCAAATTAATGAGCTTTAGAGCTAATCAAAATCAATTAAAATTCAACAGTTCATGCAATATTATTCTGCTAATTAGAATTGATTGTTTGTTTCTTATCTTTTAGACTAAAAATTTTTAAACAATGTAATTTAAATGATGTATAATGAGTTAAATTATATAGTCAACAGTTTTCAATTGAAAATGTGGTATATAGCCTACGAGTATGAAAAAATCTTTCATTAAGTATAAAAATCTACAAGATTCTAAATACAGTTTCAAATAGAATAATCAATATTCAAATGTATGAAGAGATCTAATAAGATCTTAGTAGATCTTGACACAGATCTAAATCTGATAGATCTAGGAGATTAGAATTAAATTTAAAAGACGATGTGAAGTATGCACCAAAGCGAGTATAAAAGTATTTGTGGTCTGAATACTATATGATCAATTTGAAACGTAGAGAATTTGGAATTTTCATTTCTAGATTGACTGAGATTTGCCTTAATGCTTAAAGACTCATAATAGTAGAAGCATGAGCAATATGTAGACTACTGTAATTGTAATATTATTACTATTCATATCTAGATTCATCGTATCTTGTTAATTACCGTTTTACACTAAAAAAAAAAGTTAATTTTTTTGTGTTTGTACTATTAGACGACTCCTGATCCGGAAAAATGATTTCGAATTGTTTCTATTTTAATAAATGGAATAAACAAGATATTGGTTAGCCCAACTTTCAAACAGTATAGAGATAGGTTAAGATCAAATAAACTAATAGAAACTGGAACTCAGAATTTATATCAACAATAAGGTCACGAAATTTGTGACGCCGTCATAAAATAATTAAAATTCAAATTTTCTACTAAAACAGGTTTACGAATATGAGGAGGGGGAGGACGGGGGAGATCATTTTCTTGGTTTTACTTTAACATTTAATGCTTTTTTTAATAGAAGGCGCACAAAACGGCACTACACTAGGTCATATCCGTACGTTTCACCCTCTAACATAACATAAATATATCCTAAAGACTCATAACTATGTATCATGATGAAAATCAATCATTGAAAACAACATAATTTTCTTTTTCAGCGTTTTCTTCTTCCGATGTTTCTTCTTCGGGTGTTTCTTCGTCAGTTGTTTCCTCTTGAGCTATTTCTTCTTCAGCGGTCTCCTCCTCGGCTGTTTCTTCTTCAGTGGTTTCGGATTCTGTTGTTTGTTCTTCAGTAATTTCTTCTTTAGCTGTTTGTTTTCCAGTTGTTTGTTTTACGGCTGCTTCTTTAGCCCATTTTTTAGCTAATTTGAAACTTTTTATATCTCTTTGCTTTTTAAATTGCAATTCAAAGTTTCTTAATTCACCTTTATCACATTTTTTTCTAATTTCTTTAGTTAAATTATAAATTTTAACTAGCGAATCACTATTTTTAGGTGCTTTCCCTGATTCCTTATTATTCCTTTCACATTCTTTAAAATGTTTTTTTGTTTTTTGAATTTTACGAATTGCATTTGAAGCATCAGTATATAATCTAAACAGAACTCCCTCATAATTATTTTGATTTAATTCTTTTAAAATTAGTTCCAATGCTTTAATAATTGCCCAAAAACTCACTCTCATTTCAGTCATTGGTTTATACTGTTTACTTTTTCGATTCAGTTTAGCAACGTGAAACGCTTTATTCATAACAATAATATCTTCTGAGCAAAAGCCAATTCCTCCATAACCATTTGCTTTACCTTTATCATACTCTGAAACATAAAACCAAGTTGTAAATATGTTGTAAACTTTTGGTTTTGACATTTGATTCATTACTCTTTACTACTTTAAAATTCTAATTTTATAAATTCATCGACTTATAAAATTAGTATTTGATCAAAACTTACTAATTAAAGTTTTACAAATGTTAAAAAAATGAACAAGCAAAAAAAAGAACATTAATTGAAAACTTAATTTAAACATACTATGTACCTATTAATTTTTGTGATTCAATCAAAGGTAATCAACTAAATAATTAGTAAAATTCAAAAATCACAGATGTTTCATGATGTGATGATCACCAATTCTTCATAAATAAACAAATATTGGTTTCGCTATTAATTAAAAATATTTATTTATAAATGCAACAGGGGGTAAAATTAGTAGTTTTGAAACTTCAATTACACAAAGTTAATGTCTCAAATGGATTGACAAGCCTCTTCTGGTCATATTTGAAAATATATTCTACGACATAAAATTCAAAATTCAAATTGGCTTTTCAAATGGATTTGAAGAAAGGAGGTAGAAGTCGCAATCTTTAGTTTTACTTTACCAACACAATGCTTTGAATATAAAGCTCAGGAAACGACACTACACTAGTCATATAAAAACTCAGCCTTACATATTTCAACCTCTATCATAACGTAAATATATTTTACTTTTTGAAACTTCACTATTAAGTATCACTACTTTATAAATTAATCAATTTTCAGATGCTCCATTTCAACATAATTTTCTTTCTCAGCTGTCTCTTTCTCAACTGGTTCTTCTTCGTGGTTTTCTTCTTCAGTGGAATCTTCTTCAGTGGTTTCTCCTTCAATTGATTCTTCTTCAGCTGATTCTTCCACAATTGTTTCTCCTTTAACTATTTCTATAGCCAATTGTTTAGCTAATTTATAACCACGGATACCATTTTTCTTCTTTGTCCTCTTAAATGATCTCCTATGCTTAAATAAGAATTCGAAGTTTTTTAATTTACCTATTTCACATTTTTTTCTAATTTCATTAGTTAGATTAAGTATTTCAATCATCAAATCAGTATCAGTATGTATTTTCTTTGAATTCTTACAATTCTTCGGATTTTTATCATCTTTTTTAACACATTTCTTTGTAATTTTAATTAAACGAAACGCTTGCAAGGAATCAGTGTGTAACCTAAATGAAACATCCTTATAATCGTTTTCATTTATTTCTTTGAAAATTACTTCCATTGCCTTCAAAATTGCCACAAAACGTATTCTTATACTTGTCATTGGTTTATATTGTTCACTATCTTTACTTGGTTTAGCAACTGGAAATGATTTATTGAAAACAGATAATTCAGGTGAACAAATACCAATTGCTCCATGACCATTTATCTTACCAATTTCATCGCGCTCTGGAATGAACCATGAAGTTGTATATATGTTGCAAACTTTTGAATTTGTCAATTGATCGATTACTCTTTACTATTGCAAAACCATGAAATTTTATTTGATTAAAAACTTACAATTAAAGTTATAAAAATGTTAATTAAATCCTCAAGCAAAATTACGCCAATAATTGAAAACTTTATTTCAACTAAAATCTTTTACTATATGCCCCGTAACTATGTCAGTAATCCAATCAATGTACTTTAATCAAGTATTTAAGAGATCTTTCAAAACATAGATGTTTCATGGTGTGATGAATATCAATTTTAATAAATCAGTATTGGTTTCACTTTTCATATAAATGCAACAGGGGGTAAAATCTGAAATTTCAAAAACTTGAATTACACAAACTTAAAGTCTCAAACTGATTGCCATTTCCTTTCTCGTCTTATTTTTTGAGCAAAATATTTCATTTAACGACATAAAACTCAATGAATGCAAACAAAAATCAAGTGATAACTCGAATTTAAATTGCCTAAAATGGATTCAAATGTGATCGAGGGAAGAGGTTGGGTCTGATACTCTGGTTTCAGATGTAGCATGAGGCTCACAAACAGCTCAATCAGAGAATATTATTTCCATGCAGGTAATTTGAAATACACTGTTTTCAACTTCAAGATAATATAATAATTTTAATGTGTTAAAAATCATATCAACTATATTGTAAAATTTATTCAAAACTCGCTTAAACCTCAACATGATAATTATCAGTTTCATTTATCTTCGTTGCTCATTTAACATTTTCGGCTGTTTCTTTTGCCAATTTTTTAGCTAATTTATAATCATCTATACCTTTTTTGCTCCTAAATTTCAATTCAAATTTTCTTAACTCACCTTTTCCACTTCTTTTCTTAATTTCTTTAGTTAACTTATCCATTTTAATTAACAAATCACCATCAATTTTTTTTCTTCTTGAATTTTTCCATTTATTTGGATTTTCACCAAATTTTTCCAAGTACATTGGTATATTCCTAATTAAACGAATAGAATTTAAAGAATCAGTATGTAATTTAAATAAAACTCCCTTATAATCATAATCATTTTGATCTAAAACTTTTATAAATTCTTCCATTGCTTTAAGAACTGCCAATAAACAAATTCTCCTTCCAGTCATAGGTTTATATTGTTTATTTTTTTGATTCAGTTTACGAACTGGAAATGATCTGTTTATATGAGATATATCTGATGAACAGACAGCGATTGCTCCATATCCATTTGTTCCACCATGATCATCATATTCTGGGACGTAAAATGATGTCGTATATATGTTGAAAATTTTTGCTTTTGTCATTTGATCAATTACTCCATACTACTGAGAAAACATCGACTTTGAAATTTATTTTGAACAAACACTTTCGAAATTAAAGTTGGGAGAAAGTGTATAAAAAAAGTCAACAAGTTAAAAACACACTATTAATTGAAAACTTAATTTTAAAAAAACTTTCATGTGCAAACTTCGATGCGTGAAAATGGTTTCATTTGAATAAAAAGCAGTCAAATAACCACCTTTGCAAAGTTCATGATTTCAAAAGGATGTTTCACGATTAAAACCAATTCTTACTACAAATAAAATTGGTTTCACTAAAATTAATATTTGATAAAGTTTTATAATGTAGCACGGGTAAAACGTGAAATGACACAAATCTAAAGTCTCGAACTAATTGTCACTTTTTTCTTGACGTAAATTTTTGATAATCGAAAAACATATTTCACGACATAAAAATCAACTTATTAAGATTCATTTACTTATATCAAAACTTCAATTGATCAGATGGAATGTCTGATGGATTTATACCTATAGTTGCAATATTTTATGCTGTTTTCCATCCTACTGAAGGGACAAAGATAGTCCATCAATACCCAAATAATTCAATTAAAACTGCTTCATCAAATAAAAATCCGAATAAAAATGATCAAGATGATAATGATAAAACTAATGACAATGAAGATGATGATGAAGATGAAGAAGATGAAGGATTATTTAATTTTGATACTGTTAAAAACTATATAATACCAAAACCTCAACTATGTAATCAATTAATATCGTTTAAAATCAATAAATTTAAAGTTATAGGATATCCAATAAATATGAAAAATGAACATTATGCAAGAAATTCTTTTAGTTTTAATTTTTGTTTTGTATTTAATTATGAAATTGGAGATGTTACACCTTATGAATCTGCAATAAAAAGAATGGGACAAATGTTTCATGTTTTGGAAGAACAAAATTTTTTATTAAGTAAATTAGATAAAGATAATTCATTTATTAATAAGAATAGTAAAAGATCAACGGATAAATCATTAAATGATATGAATAAAATTGATTTAGAAATGTACACAACAAATTTAGATAATATTGAACAAGAAATTATTGAAAATGATGCAAGTGTAAATGCACCTGGTCATTCAAAAACAAAACAAATCACATTATCATCAATTGAATCATTAATTCAACAAATTTATCAAGATTTAAATAATTATTCTGAATGTTGTATACCATTAGATACTTCAAATTCAGTTGATATTAAATTATTTCCAATTTTACCAGCCCCGATAAATTTGAAAGCTTTTCAAGTTCCAATTGCGACTGTAAAATTAAAATCTTTAGTTGATGTTAATTGGGATCCAACAATGATTAAAATATTACCTTATATAGATGGAATAAATTCAGTTAAAAGAATAAGTGAATTAGCAGATGCAAATTATTTATTAGTTAAACAATGTATACAACATCTTATGCATTATAAATGTATTGAATTAGTTGATATATTTCAATTTAATAATATTTATGCACCAACAAATCATATAGGGGATTTTTTAAAAAATGATGGAAAAATGGCAGAACAATGTCAAGCTTATGTTGTAACAAATAATAATAATAATGAATATTCAAGTAATCCAATGTCATCATTTAATAATACACCATTAATTAATAATTCACCAAAACCAATAATTGAAAATTCTACTTCACCAACTTTTAATTTTAGAAAATATTCATCAAGTATATCACCATATCTGAAACAAAATTATTTGACCAATTCAAATAATAACAACACTAACTCTAAATTAAATTATTCAAATATAAAAGTTCCAACAAAAACAAGTTTATTCTATTTATATAGATCTTTAAATCAAGGTCAAACAATAAAAGAATGGTATAATCAACATAAAAATTTATTAATAAATATTGATATAAGAAGATTTATAAATTTTGGAGTATTAAGAGGTATTATATATAGAATTTATTCATATCCTATTTTAAATTCAATAACAAGAGCAATTGAAAGTGGTGATATTTTAAAAAATAATCATGTTTTAAATAATTTAAAACGTAAAAAAGAATTATTAAAATTATCAAATAAATCTACTACAAATGAAAGAAATACAAATTTATTAAAAACTAAAGTTCATGAACAAACTTTGAAAACAAGAAGAGTTAGTTTTAATTATGAAAATGTGGAGAATAATTCTAATTCAAAGAAATTAAATACAATGAATGAAGTGATTCTAGAAAATGATAGCGATGATACTGAAGATGATGAAGATGAAGACGAGTATGAAGAAGAAGAAACAAAAGGAGCAATTAAAATAGTTCCACTAACTGAAAGAAAATCAAGAAATTCATCAACATCATATAGAAATATAGAAGAGCTTAATAATTCACCACCACAACAAGATAAGATTTTAAAAGAAAAAGAAGAAGAAAATGAAGAATTAAAACAGGAACAAGATATGATATATCTTATAAAAATGTTAAAAGGTTTTCAACATTTTGATTCAATTTGTACAGAACTACAAAAGTCAAGATCAGAAGTTGAATCAATGATTGAAAATTTGGGATCGTATGGAGTTATAAACTGTTAAGTTTGATATGAAGTTATGAAGTTATGATTATATAGTTATTATGTAGTATTAATATATATGGGTAGCAGAAACATTACAAGATTCGTCTTTATTTAATGAGTTCATGCATTTAGTACTTGAGCTCAAACTATAAATAATTAACTTCTATATTAGACTTTCTACTTAAAACTAACTAATAGGTAAAACTGTAAAACATGAACCACATGTAGGATTTATACTAAAACCGATCATATTATTTATTGTCAAGTGATATTGGAAAACACAAAGTACTTAAATATAATTTATTAAATTATTAGACGCAAAGCATTAAACTGAAATTTGATTATTGCACATGAAAAATCGAAAAGCACACCCTGTCGAAATTCAACATTCAAACAAGTAGATTAAGAAACTAACAGATGAGATAAAATTGAACCTATATAATGAAGATGATGAATTCAGTTCAGACAATAACTGGTTACAACATTCAAAATAGTAGTATTCACTGTAGATATATTATTTCTTAACCTTAGACTAATAAGAAAAAGAAAGATTTAAGAAGGGTAGATGAAATTGGAAATGTCAACTACGTGTCCACAAATCGAAACTAACATTTATTCAATGAATGATTTAGTGTTTTAATTATCTGTTCAGTTTTGCAATTTTTTCTTAGCTGGATAATTCTTTTGATCTCCAATTAGGAAATATTTTTGTTAAACAATAAAATCTGAAACAGACGAGAACAATAAACAAATTAAATTAATTAATTCTGAAACAAATTTCAGTTCAATTTTTATTCTCGTCTGTTTCAGGTTTAATTAATTTCATAATTAATAAACGTTGTTTTTTTTTGTTTCAAAACTAATCGTCTATAAACTCAGCAGTCTAGTTTGCTAAGCATAAAAAAACTTAAATCAAGGTCAATGAATAATGATATAAATAGTTCTATTATTTTCCCAGAATTTTATATCAATGGAAACAATTATTAAAAGGTTTTATCAACAATTAAATTCAACAATAATGCTGTCTTCCACTCCTAAATTTGCTGGTAATTATCATTGCAGAACTAATTACTTACAACCCTTTGCACAAGAACAATTTGATACAAAAGAAGAAGCTTTAGCATTTATGAAAAAATATCATCAATCATGGGCAAATTATGAAAGTAAATCAAATGATGTATTACTTTTTAAATGTAAACAACATGAATGTGAAGCTGAATTAAGAATCAGTGAATCACAAAAATCCAGAAACAAAGTAATTTGGAATATTGAACCAAGATGTCTTGAAGATGGGATGGATAAGCCTCATATAGTTGAACCAAAGGGAACACTTGGTTATTATTCTTTACCAAATGAAGATGAAGGATTACATAAGCCAGTCATGTACATCAAAGCTGATCATGATCCCAAAATAAATGTATACAAAATTATTAATAAACTTACTGAACAAGAGTTAGATGATTTAAGTAATCAAAGAAGAACCATATATGAAATTATTGAGAGATTTAGTGAACAAGAGTTAAATGAATTAAATAATTAAATATTTAATTAATACTCCATAAATGAATAAAATTATAAAGTTGGATTTTGAGAGTCCACAACTTATCATTTGAAACAAGCAAGGTTAACTCGAACTAATATAATAGGTCACTTAATGTTGATTAATTAGTTCTATTTATTTATTTTTATACATTACATATTAAATATAAAACTTTTAAAAAACTATACCTCTGGATAAAATTTTATATCAAATTAGTGATGAGATTTAAATTACTTTTGTTTACACAGCACTCCAATTAATCTATATTCCAATATTTGGATATATAGGCTCTTGATAAGCTATCTTATACTTGTTTCTTTTCTTATAAGTTTTTTATTGTTTAAGTAGCTTTCATAAGCCTAAAATCTTCACCCAGTGGCTCATTACTATTCATATGAAACCTCAAAAATTAGCTATTAATTATAGCAACCTGGGAGTATGAAGTGCACCAAATTTACCATTGTAGTTGATGTTTTTAAAATTCTGTCTGTAAAGTATGATGAGAAAGAAGAAGGAAATAGCAGGAAGGATCAGAGCGGTTATTCCTAGCTCAAATATCTTACCTAGTGTTATCTGTTCATGCATGTCACAAGATAGAACACGACGCACAACGCGGAAGCGAAAATGCAGAAATAAGGTTGACTTTATTTGCACTTTTTGATTCTACTCCATTTGTGAAATATTTCATGGATAATTTGTTTATTTTTAGTCATACTTGTCAAGACCATCTTCATCATTATAGTTCATACTTTCCACCTTGTATTACAGTAGCTTTTAGTTGATTGGGAAACAATCTCAAACTGCTGCTACTCTAGTCACTTGGATTGGTCGAAGGATTGGTCGAAGGATTGGCGAAGGATTCGCAATGAAAGTATCACTCCCAAAGATTCATCACCGAAAACTATGAGTCAATTTGCTCAACCAACCGACAATGTTGCAATTTGAGATTTTTGTACATGTTAAGTATATCAGCCCATTGATACCTCAATTTTCAAAGTGCAAGTAAACTTAACCCTATTCGAGCATTTACGATCCCGCGTTGAATATGTTGTATTGACTTTCGAATGAGTAACATGAATAATCATATATCCCAGGACTTGTAATAAATGGTAGAAAATTGTGTATTCTTTATCGATTGAAGATGTAGTAAAGCATATAATAATAGAAATGAGTGATAAGTTACATGTATTTATAATATTCATGGGTAGTGTACATTACGAGAAACGTCTTTATTTTATTGTAAGTTCACGCATTTTTTTTATTTTTTTTATTTGTTTTGATTTTATGATTTTTTCTTTTTTGTTTTGATTTTATTAACTTAATAACACTTTTTCTTCTTTTGATTTATAACACCAAATTATCATACATCCTTCAACTTTTTCATTCTTCACTTAACAATATAGCAACTTACATCTAACAATTTACATTTAAGATCTAACTCAATCACAAAATGTCAGGAAAAGGAAAAGTACATGGAGGTAAAGGAAAATCTTCAGAAATTTCAAAATCTTCAACTTCACATTCAGCAAGAGCAGGATTACAATTTCCAGTTGGTAGAGTTAAAAGATATTTAAAAAAATCTGCTCAAAATAAAATTAGAGTTGGTTCAAAAGCTGCTATATATTTAACAGCAGTAATGGAATATTTAACTGCTGAAGTTTTAGAATTAGCAGGTAATGCAGCAAAAGATTTAAAAGTTAAAAGAATTACTCCAAGACATTTACAATTAGCTATAAGAGGTGATGAAGAATTAGATAATTTAATTAAAGCAACTATTGCTTTTGGTGGTGTTTTACCTCATATAAATAAAGCTTTATTATTAAAAGTTGAAAAAAAGAAAAATCAAAAATAAATAAAGCAATGATAAACTAAGATCAAATTCATGTTGGTTTTATTTACTTCATCTTCTCATAGTTCTATAAGTTTTTTTTAAAATTCATTTGTATTAATATAATAAATTTTTTATCATTAATATCTATAACTTTTGATTGATTGTCTATCTCTAACTATTTACAGGTTTTGTGGAGGACGTCGTATTCGTGTTGTTGCTAGTATCTAGTGAAGTTTTATTATCCATTTCTATTTTATTATCATTACCAATTTTAACATATTTTGGTTTATATCCTTCTGGAATTTTATAATCATCTAATTTTATATTTATATCACCTAATTTTTGTTTTATATATTCAATTTCATGTTGTAAAATAGTTATATCATCAGCTAATGCATCTCTTTCATTACTTGCTTTTTTCCTACTTCTATAAGCTTCATAAAATATTAAACTTCCTGCAACACTAAAAATAAAAAATTCTGATATAAAAGTTGCACCTTGTTCAATAGCTTTATTATCATTTAATGGTCTAACTCTTATTTTTTTTTCTCCTAATAAATTCATTCTTAATTTAACATCTGTTTTATGTAAATTATTTGCAAATTTTATACAAATTGTTCTAAAAGTTGAATTTGATTGTGCTGATGCTGATATTGCTTTTGACATTGGTTTTGCAATTGTTCGTATTAATAATGATGTTATTTTTAAAGCTATACCACTCATGATTTATAAATTGGAAGTGCTATCTCATTTGTGACTTTTAGATTGATGGATTATCAATGGTTTATGTATTTGTTGTATGTATGACGATGGTTGTTTATTTTATGTGGCGATAAAATATTATGTGTCGGCCGCATAATTAAGTAGGAAAAAAAGTTGATTTATCATATTTTTGAATCACAAGAGTTGATAAGATTTTATTGAAGATTGAAAGTGTTGATTGTTGAATGTTTGGATGTAGTATATTTTTAATATCATCTCTTAGAAGTGTCAAGATCGACCGAAGTTTGGAGATGTAGATATGCATGTATCTTGGCAAGGATCTACATACAAACTTTTGAATCTCAAACAGTTTTGTTGCAAAATTTCAACAAAAAAAAAATTCGATTCAATTTATCAACACATGATTGATTTTCAAGGACTCAAAACAAGGTCAGTTCTGTTGATTATAAACCAAGGACAGTGTAAGCTGAATAAATAAATGTATATTTACAATTTTGGGTATCTATTTAATTCTATAGTCTATTTAATACTTCCTCAAATTTCTTCTGTAATATTATAAATACCAATTGATCCATCAGAACAATAAGATCTATATTCATCAAGATAAACATCCAAGATTAAATTATAAAATTTATCATCATCAATTTGATTAACAATAGTAGCATTACCAGTTTTAACTCCCTTTGGAGCAAATTCATTACCCCAAATTCTTAAATTTCCATAAAATGGTGAATAAAATTGAGTATCTATAGCAACACTAAAATTTGAACTATTTAAAATTAATGAAGGATCAGTTAAAAATGCAACAACAACTTCATCCCAAAATGGTAATGTTTGTTGTTCATTATTTTGTGAATAATTCCCAGTTGCTAAAAGTTGACTTAATGGTGATAAATAAGGAGTATTTTGAATTTTTGTTAAATTTCCACCAGCTTTTTCAATTAATTTATCATATAATTTTTGTGATGGTACTAAATAATTTGTAACATTTGCTCCAATAACTAAATTTTTCCAACCAGCAGTAAGAACAATTTGAGCAGCTTCTGGATCATCAATAAAATTAATATCAGTATTTATATCATTTACAATAGGAGTTCCAGTTGCTGCAGCAAATTGAGTATCGAAAAAACCACCCATAATATATAAACCAGCAGAATCATTAACTAAATTTGGATATAATGATAATGCTTGAGCAACTGTTGTCATCATTCCTGCAGAATATATATAAACAGGATCTTCATCTTTATATTTTTTAACTATATCAATTAAAGCTAAAGCAGCAGGAATTGACTGGTCATAAGTAACATTATCCCAAGTATACATATCTTCATAATGATCATCATAAGCACCTTGCCAAACTAAATCACCAAACATAGATTGCCAAATTTTAAAAGTTTCTTTTCTTCTTAATAATGGTTGATTTGCTCCTTCATATAAAGGAATACATGATGATAAATTATAAACATTTAAAATATTTGAAATTTGACCCATTGAATCAATTAATGATGCTGAACCAAAACTTCCTGACATACCTACAATTTCCCAACCATTTTTTAAAGGAATTAATGCTACTGGAGCTGTTAATCCATCATTATCTATATAAACTTTTTTTGATGAGGTTAATGATAATAAACTTATTGTAGCAATTGTTATTTTTGCTAAATTGAACATTGAAATCTAAATAAGATAAATTTTAATAAAATAAGGCAACGAATGAAATGAAATAATAAACGAATGAACTTTTAATTGAGTTGTATGAATTTAGTATGATAATGATAAGATGGAAAAATTTGAAAATTGATTCATCCTTTCAACTATTTATATAATCAAGAATCTCATTAGCCGACGAGTCTCATCTCTTTGTTCACCTTCCCATTATTGTGTTATTCCATTATCTTTTTATCTTTATCTTAAAATTCCATACTAAATTGTATTGTTACTTAATTGGCGGTGATAATACACTAAAAAAAGATTTGAAGTGAAAATTTTTGAAACACAAAAGCAAGTAATTTAAATTAAGAGCCGCACCGATAAGAGGTTATTTATTTTTGTCATAATTTATTGTTCATTCAACGAACCGAAGTACAATTTCATCTTAATTGAGTTAAATCAATAACATTTAAAACGAATCTTAATCTGAAAAATAGGACTTTAAGATAAGATTAAATTGATGTCAATGTTGAAAATTGCCTTATGAACATTTTATACCAACGGAATATTTTCCAGAATAGTATGTTTCTTAGCATCAAATAACGAATTCATTTAATTGATAACGAGATATTTGGACTTCTTTTCAAAACAGAAGACCTTAAGCTGTTTTCAAAACAGAAGACCTTAAGTTGTTTGAGTCGGTGGCTTTAAAAATTTTATATATGAACGGTTAATTTGAAGTCGATGTCGGAAGTTTAAAGCGGAAATTAATCAAAAATCTTCTACGCGCGCGATATAGTAACCTATAATTTAAAAGTGGATCATTAAACTTGTATTCCCTATAAGTTTTATTCCAAATGTTTCAAATCCATAGTCATTGACACCAAGAATTGCTTAACATTCTGGCAATAAGATTAAAATCTTAAAGTAAACTAAGTAGAATCTAACATCTTAGCCATTACTCGACGTAAATAATAGTTCATCAAAATACGCAAGACCAATCCCTAAGCTTCACATAACTCTAACCATCAGAAACAAGTTAGCACAACGATTAATATACTGAATTACATTGCATATTGAATGGCCTATATTTGGTTGTTAATTGATGAATTAAATTTAAGAAATTTGATGATCCCCAGATTTTTTATAAATTTCTCTTTGTGTTCTAATTCGGAGTTTTATAAAATTTGTTCATAATTTAATCATATTTTTTTATTACTTGAACTTAAGAAAACGTCTCAACAAACAGACCCCCACAAAAACTTATGATATAGAAAATAGTTGATAATTATAAGTTCTACAAATAAAATTACTTATACTTATATATACACTTATTTTAACTTAATTCAATCCTTCATCAAACATTTCTTATCATTGCTTGGACCTTTCCAGATCCCAAGATAACTACAATGCAATCGAGATTTGATACTTTTCAATATGAAGATGATTTACCAACATTACCTGTACCTTCATTAGTTTCAACAGTTCAACAATTACTTGCATCTTTAAAACCATTAACAACACTGGAAGAATATGAACAATTACTTGATGAAGCTAATTCATTTTTACAAAATGAAACTATTCAATTAATTCAAAAACATTTAGAACATATTTCAAAAAAGAATAAAAATAATAATTATTTAAATATTGTTAATAATAATATGACTCCTGCTATTTATGGTGAATTAAAAGCTGATATTTTACCAAAAAATCCTTATCTTATATTAGAAGAAGATCCTTATTCAAAAACTATAAATCCACCAAATCAATCTGAAAGATCAGCTAATTTAGTAAATTCAACTTTAAAATTTATTGTTACTTTAAGAAATAAAACTTTAAAACCAGATTTAACTCCTAAAAATCAAGTTCCATTAACAATGACTTGTTATAATAATTTATTTGGTACTACAAGAGCTCCAGATGTTGAAGGTGGTACTTTTGATATAAGTATGAAAAAATATAAAAATATAAATGATTCAAGACATATTATTATAATTGCTAATAATCAATTTTATTCTTTAGAAGTATTAAGTGAAGATAAAGGTGATTCTAATTCAAAACATGAAATTTTATTTCATGATCATGAATTAGCTGCAATTTTTCAAAAAATTATTGATGATTCAGATGTTGTTGATCCTGTTGAATCTATAAATAATTGTATTGGTTCAATTACAACTCAATCTTTAAAACATTGGAAATTAGGTAGAGAAGAATTAGAAAAATCAAATCCTCATCAATTAAAATTAATTGATGATGCATTATTTGTTTTAATTTTAGATTCAAATTCACCAAAAACTGATCAAGAAAAAACAAGTATTGTATCTCATGGTACTTCTGTTTTATCAAAACATAATGTTCAAATTGGTACATGTACATCAAGATGGTATGATAAATTACAATTAATAGTTACTAGAAATTCTGTTGCAGGTGTTGTATGGGAATCTATAACAATGGATAGTACAGCTATATTAAGATTTATTAGTGATATTTATACTGATTCTGTTTTAAAATTAGCTAAAAATATTAATGGATCTGAATATACTTTATTTGATGATAATGTAACTTATTCAACATCAAATGAAAATAAACCTGAACCTTATTTAATTCCTTTCAATATGACAAATGAATTACAACATATTATTCATTTAGCAGAAACTAAATTAGCTGATTTATTAAATCAACATGAATATAAAACTCATACAATTAAATTAGATTCAAGATTAGCAGGTAAATTTGGTTTATCAATAGATTCAATTTTACAAATTTGTTTTCAAGTTGCTAATTATTCATTATATGGTAGAATGGTAAATACATTAGAACCTATAATGACTAGAAAATTTAAAGAAGCAAGAACTGAATTAATACCTGTTCAAAATGATTCTATTGCTCAATTATGTAAATTATATATAACAAATGCTTCAAGACAAGAAAAATTTGAAGCATTTAATGAATGTTGTAAAATTCATTCAAAACAATATCATGATGCAATGATTGGGAAAGGATTTGAAAGACATTTTATGTCAATTGTTCAAGTTGTTAATAGACCAGTCACAGCTAAAAGATTAAATGAAATGAATCCAGATCTACCTCCAATTCCAGATTTTGGGGAGTCTCTAGAATTGGAAATTCCTTTGCTATTTAATTCTAATGTTGATAATTTACTGAATCCAGAATTACTTATTTCAAATTGTGGTAATCCAGCTCTTAGATTATTTGGAATTCCACCAGCTGTTGATCAAGGATTTGGTATTGGTTATATAATACATCATGATAAAATCATTATAACAGTTTGTTCAAAACATAGACAAACTGATAGATTTATTGATACTTTCCATCGAATAGCAGCAGATTTAAAAACAAGTTTAAAAATGAATTCAAATTTCTTATTAAGTATAAGTGAATCAGAATCAAGAAAAATTGAAATTCAAAAATTAAGAATTGAAAATGAATTAAGTAGTTTAAGTTTAGATTCTCCAATTTTAAAACATCCAATACCATTAACAACAGATAAAGATGATCCAATAGAAACAAATGGTTTCAATGGTTATCATAATGGACGTAAAACTTCATCATCAAGTGAAAATGATGATGATTCATCGGATTTTGAATTATTAGGTGGTTATGGATATTTTGATTATGGTGATTTAGATACAAGATCAGATAAATTAGCAAGAAATCATTCTAATTTTAGTAGTCAACCTCAATCAGCATTATCAAGTGCTTATAGTTCAAGACATCATTCTTCAACAAATTTAAATAAATTACCTCCCATGAGTACTGCTTATGATTTAAAACAAAAATTAAGTATTTCTGAAAGTATAAGGGATAAATTGTCGAAAAGTGAAGATACAATTTCACCAATTGACTCAACACCGGAACCGACTGATGAGAAGAAGACAAATCCGAAGAATTCAATAGGTAAACCATTAGATTTATCCCATTATGGATAAAATATATAGAAGTAATTAATATTTATGAATTACCGTTTAAGCATTACCCCTTAAAAACTCTAGAACTAGATTTGTGAAAAAAGAAGATTACTAAAGTAAGATCTCATGTTTTAATCAGTTAAATCCAATTATAATGCAAATTCCTATAACTGGACTAACTCAGCTACTGAAAAGTCTAATATCTATACGAGGTCCAGATGCAACTAAATTTTTAAATGGGCTTTTAACATCAAGATTATTACCAAATGTTGTTAAAAAGAAACAACATACTATAAGTGATGCAGAATTAAAACATGCAAATTTACAAGATATAATTGATATAAATACAAATTATGGATTAATGCATGAAGATATATATGATCCAAATTTTAATATAACAATAAGTAGAGATGGAATTAATTCAATGATTTTAAATTCAAAAGGAAGAGTATTTACTGATTGTTTTTTATATAGTGAACCATTTCATAATCTAAATGGAGAATTTAATTCATTAATGGATGAACCTGGATATTTATTAGAAGTTGATAAAGATAATGTAAGTCAGGTTATGATGATGTTGAAATTACATAAATTAAGTGCAAAAGTTGATATTAAACCAGATTTAAAATTTAAATCATTTTATTATTATAATGATACTACAGAATTTGATGAATGGTTAGAAGAAGTTCAAGAAACTTATTTTAAATCAATTGATCCTGTTAATGCATTACAAAATGCTAATTCATTTATTGCTAATGATATCATTTTTAATAAAAACATATCAAATCATATATTTGGATTTGCAATTGATAATAGAATACCAAATTATGGATTTAAATTTGTATTAGACAAAACTATAGACAAGGAAAAACTTTTTTCATCATCTTTTCAAAATTCATTTAAAATTAATGAAATACCTGAAAAGATCCTAAAGTATCGAAGATTTCAAAATGGAGTATTTGAATATAATGATGCATCAAAAGGAGAATCATTATTACCATTTGAATGTAATTTAGATTATACAAATGGATTATCATTAGATAAAGGATGTTATGTTGGTCAAGAATTAACTATAAGAACTTATAATAATGGTATAATTAGGAAGAGGGTATATCCATTAGAATTTTTTCAAATTGAAAAAGAAGTGGAAGATTTATCAAATATTCCAATTACAACATTAAGTAAATTAGATTTATCACCATTAGAAGATCAACAAGAACAAAATACTAATGAATCCACTCCAGTAAATAATCCATTTGGAACTTCTTCAAAACCAGTGCGGAAAAGAAAAAGTTCAAGTGGTAAAATTTTATCAATATGTGATAATTTAGGTTTAGCATTATTAAGTATTAGTGATGTTAATAAATCTCCATTATTTAAAATTGAAGTACCTACAATAGATGGTAATAAATTGATTGGTGCAAAAGTTACAGTTCCTGATTGGTGGCCAGAATAGAATTTATAGAATATTTGTTAAAGTTTGTAAATATAGAAGTTGTAATGTAAACTGTAAAGAATTTTTGATCTTCATTATCATGATCGCGAAAATTAATTTTTGTCGGCATTTGAGATCAAAATTAAAATAGTGAAAACCGACTACCAACAAGAAATGGCTGAAAATATACCAATTGAAGAATATCTACAACAAATTAGTCATGCTACTGATATAATACAATCCAAAATCAATGCTAATCCAGCAATCTCAAAACCTAGAGTTATGATAATTTGTGGATCTGGTCTTGGAGGAATAGCAGATATTTTAAACCCCAAGAAGAAAATTGAAATTTCATATTCACAAATTCCAGGTTTTAAAACTTCAACAGTTCAAGGTCATGCCGGGAAATTAGTTTTTGGATTAATTGGTGAAAATGAAGTACCTGTAATGTGTATGGTTGGTCGTTTACATTTTTATGAAGGATATACTTTTCAACAAACTACATTTCCTATAAGAGTTGCAAAAGAATTAAATATATCAACGGTAATTGTAACGAATGCCGCAGGAGGTATAAATGAATCATATAAACCAGGAGAATTAATGGTAATTGAAGATCATATAAATTTCCCAGGATTAGCTGGTTGGCATCCATTGAGAGGACCAAATTTAGAATCTTTTGGACCTCGTTTTCAGCCATTATCTGATGCATATGATCATGAATTAAGAAAATTATTTGTAAAAACTGCAAACAACTTGGGTATAAAAAGACCAATTCATGAAGGAACTTATTTTTTTGCTGCTGGACCAACATTTGAAAGTAGAGCAGAAGTACGAGCAATTAGAGTTTTGGGTGGTGACGCTGTTGGAATGTCTACAGTTCCAGAAGTTATAGTAGCACGTCATTCTGGTTTAAAAGTATTTGCATTATCTTTAATAACAAATGCAGGAGTTGGTGAAAAACCACCAAGTGCATTACATGAAAATCCAAAAGCATTAGATGAAGGTATGGCTAGTCATGCTGAAGTTTTAGAAACTGCTGATGAAGCTTCTAAAGATGTTCAAAAAATTATAGAGTCAATGGTAAATGAATTATAGAAATGTACATTTTTATTTTATTTATTGATCTACTTCACCTGCTGATTCCCATTTACCTTGTAAATTTTCTTTCCATAAACTTACCTTGTTGTCACCGCCAGAAACTGCCAATATATTCCCACTTAATGACCAAGAGCATCTCCAACATACATCTGGAAATTTTTCTTCAGTTAATTCTTGTTTTTGCCAATTACCTTCTTTATCTTGAGTCCAAATCAATACAGTACAATCTTGTGATGCTGTTGCTATATAAGGACGGATTAAATTTGAAGGACTCCATGCAACATCTCTTACCCAATCTGTATGACCAATTAATTTATTTTCTTCAATATATGTATTATTTACAGGATCATATTTCCAAATTTTTGCTAAATTATCTGATCCACAAGTAACAAATCTTCTTTGTTGTTTTAATGTATTTGGATCTTTTGATGAAGTCGTTATTGGAGCCCAAGATGCTGAATTTACTCCAATTGCATGAGCATCAAATATAACATGTGAAGTAGTTCCATCATCATTGAAATCTACAACAGATACTTTCCCATCTGATGCAGTACATAATAACACAGCCCCTAATTCATGAGGAGCCCAACTAACTGAATTTACACTTGCTTGATGAATTGAATGTTCTGCTATAATTGACCATTGTTGAGTTTCTGGTTGTTCTTTCCAAATTAATGCTTTACCATCATATGAACAAGAAGCTAGAATTGAACCAAATTTAGGATGAGCCCAAGCTACTTGCCATATTGGTCCTTCATGACCTGTTAAAGTTGTAATTAGTTTATAATTTTCAGTTCCATCTATATCAAAAATTTTAATTGTTTTATCTGATGAACAAGTAGCCAATCTTTTTCCATAATAATCCAATACTGCATCGTGAATTAGATCTTCATGAGCATTCCCAATTGTCACCATGACTGAACTACTGTTTGATAAATTTGATGTTTTGACGTTTGTTGGACGTGTTAAATTTTGTGCGGATATTTCAAATTGAAATTCCTATTTTGTACAATCAAGATATGGAGGATGATAAATTAGATGAACTACTGACAATACAGAACTTAGTAGAACAATTGAATCAAAATGTAAATGAAGTGGAAGAGAATTCAAAAAGAGTAACGCAAACAGTTAAGAGTTTAGTTCCTGAAGATGTTTATAATAGATTAGTTGAATCACCAACAACTACTTCCACCAGAAAATTAAGTAAGATTCAAATTCTAGAATCAGTTAGAATACATTTGATTATGGAATTACAAAAGCAAGACTATATCACTAAAAATTTGAAAGAATTAATTGATCAGAATCAAGAACTTTTAGATAGTGTGAAAGAATATTTACAATGTCAAGGTACTCTAAAAGAGGAAGCAAAATTGCATGCAAAATTAATGTTAGAAAATTATATTAAAACAAGTATTGAACCTACACTCAACAATTTAAAAAAGTCATAAAAAAGGTCATTAATTATAATCAGAGCTTGAAGCTGTGCTATCAAAATTACATTAAAACGAGTATTGAACCTACAATAAACAATTTAAAAAAGTCATAAAAAAGGTCATCAATTATAATCAGAGCTTGAAGCTGTGCTATCAAAATTACATAAAAACAAGTATTGAACCAACACTCAACAGATTGGAAAAGTCATAAAAAGGTCATTAATTATAATCAGAGCTTGAAGCTGTGCTATCAAAATTACATAAAAACAAGTATTGAACCAACACTCAACAGATTGGAAAAGTCATAAAAAGGTCATTAATTATAATCAGAGCTTGAAGCTGTGCTATCAAAATTACATAAAAACAAGTATTGAACCAACACTCAACAGATTGGAAAAGTCATAAAAAGGTCATTAATTATAATCAGAGCTTGAAGCTGTGCTATCAAAATTACATAAAAACAAGTATTGAACCAACACTCAACAGATTGGAAAAGTCATAAAAAGGTCATTAATTATAATCAGAGCTTGAAGCTGTGCTATCAAAATTACATAAAAACAAGTATTGAACCAACACTCAACAGTTTGAAAAAGTCATAAGAAAGGTCATTAATTATAATCAGAGCTTGAAGCTATGCTATCACTTGATGGTTGTCTACCAATATACGAATAAGTTTTCTTGATAACTGATTTATGAGGATCTAATTTTACCCAAGATTGTCTGATTCTATCAAGGTTCATATGATTTCTTTCAAATTTAAAGAATTTGAAAATAGTGTACAATAGTTCATAAAAGAACACCACTATCATTCTGAAAAGTCCCATGTTTTCATCATCTTGTCCGATATTGACATAATTTTCATCACCAGTTAATTCCAAGGCAATTGATTTTCGTTCATCAATGTTATATAGATCTTTGAAATCCCTCAGATTTAATGTATAATCAATAATTTTCTTTAATTTCTTTTGACAATCTGAATTTAATTTCTCTTCATAAAGTTTATAATTCTCTTCTAATTCATTTATCTTTTTTGAAACTATTCTTGTTTCATAATTTAATCTATCCACAGTACTAGTCAAATTATTAAAATTAAATTTTAAATGATCAATTACTCCTTCTTCTAATACTTTTTGTTTATTTGACATCATTTGAAGTTTTAAATTCTTAACTTTCATCAAATCAACATTCAATAATTGGAATGATTTTGCCATAGTTACATTAGATACATCCTGTTCACTTTCAAAATAATGGGTTTTCAAATTTTCATATCTCATTAATAAGTCAATGTTCTTAAAATATAATTGTGAAAATTTAGTCAATGTTTCCACAGAGGGACTTTGATATCGTAAATTTTTTTCAATCATTGAAAAACTATTACTTCTTGGTTTTGTCCTTGAAATTTCAACTAATTCAGGTGGGAAAGTAAAAGAATCTTTCATATGAATAAATGAATTTAAATTTTCTTCGTCAGGATTTATCAAAATTGGACAAGAATTTCTTCTGTTTAAATTTCTTTGGAATTCAGTTAATGGATGATTTATATTACTTTTAGAAACATCGGCACATGTTGAATCTAAACTACTTGATCGACGAACTTCTTCTGTTGATGATTCAGTATCTCCAATTTGTAAAAACGAATCAACCATTGAAGAAGATTGTAAAGATCGATCTCTTGCAATCAATGATCGATTAGTATCGTCAAAAGTTGGAGGAGCTAATTTATTATCAATATTTTTTCTACTTTGTAAACCAAATCTTCTTGAAAATCCCAAATTTTTAGTATTTAATTGTAAATCATGATTTTGAATAATTCTATCTCTTAAGCTTTCAAAATTATATAAATGAGATTCATTATTATTACCAACACTTTTCTTATTTTCATGATTCCGTAGTCTTCCTTGATCATCATATAATACATTACTTGATTGAACACCTAAAAATAATCTTGTCATTGTTTTTCCAACTAAATAATTTTTAACTAAAGAATCTAAATCTAAAGTTTCAACATCTAATGGACTTTGAGTATCTGCTAATTTTGCAATTTTATTTCTTATTCTTCCACTAGTTTTATTAATCATTTCTTCTGAATCTCGAGTACTTGCTGCATTTATATGATCCAGAACTGTATTTTTCATCACATTTGTAATTTTTTTCAATTCTCTTTTACCATACATCCTCTTTTGTGGTATAACGGGTTTCGGTGAAGTTAAAAGATCATAATCTTGAGATTCATCTAAATCATATGGTGTATAAAAATAATTTGATCCCTTTTCAGGCATTAATCTTGAATTTGTTACAGTAAATAATTTATTCATCGTTTCCATATCTAATTTTCTAGTTTTTTCTAATTTATTTTGTCTTTGAAATTGACCTATTGCTAACATAAAATTTTCAAATTCAAATGGATCTTTAGGCACATCAGAAACTCCAACAATCTGTAAACGTAATCGAATACTTAATATCAAACTGATTATTGCTGCTACTGTAGTTCCTGGTAATATCCCAAATCTAGAATTTGGTTTTGTATTGAAATGAGGTAATCCTATTAAATTCCACCAATTATTTATAGCTTCTTCAGTTTTAACACATAATAATCCAGTACAATATCTTCCATCTAATAAATCAAAATAAAACAAGCAAGTTTGTATAATATTAACCAATTCTCTAACTGCAAATTTTATAGGAACTTTAACATTATATATTTTATACATTTGACGAAATTTATCATCACTTGCATCGGAAATTTTGTCCGTCGTTAGTGATACTGACCTACCTGTACATTGTAACTTTTTCAAATCTGAATTTATTACAAATTGTGCCTCTATAGTCCTTGCATCTCCTGAAGAAATTGGAATTAAGTTTAAATTCGGTGGTAAAGATGTTAAATTAGTAACAAAACAAACTTCATTTGTAAAATCTGCTTGTTTATTTTTATTCACATTCATTGGTGGTTTACTTGATAATCTAGCTATAGTAACCATATCGTTTGTACTATTTGCTCTACTACTTGCAATTGATGATTGAGGTCTTTCTTTATCAACAGTTTTCATTCTTGAATGATTTTGAATTAATTCAGTCAAATATTCTTGAAATCTAATAGGATAATATTTAGTTGGTTTTTTAATGATTGTAAATTTTACAACAGATATTTTGGATTGTTCATTACCAGTATAAGCTGTAACAATTGTTCCTATATTTCGATTTATAACCCATTGTTCACAAATATATAATTCAAATCCATTTACTTCACTTTCTTCAATTAAGTAAAATTCATTTGAACTTACAAAATCCTTTTGGAAGTATTTAACAGCATTAAAATCAGGGATGATATATGTAATGAAATCATTCGGATTGGTGAAATTATTAGTATTACTTATTGAACTAGTAGTGGTTGCTAGTGAATTCTTCTTATATTCATTATTGTTTAGTGAATTGTTATTGTTGTTTTGTTGAGTGAAATACTTTGATCCTAATAAATTCTCTAAAGAACTATTATATGACATGTATATATGAGATGTGATGGTGTAGCCATATGTAGAAGTGATGGTTAAAGTTGTATCAGATTTGAATTGATTAATTTTGTGTTTAACAATCTGGTAAATGTAACAGTAGAGAAAAAAAAAAGGGAAAAAAAAAGATCTGATAAATGTATTCTACGTAATTGCGTCATAGTAAAACAACAAAGTTACTACAAAACTCAGAATCATTTTATAGAAATCTTAGATGATCGGTTGAGTTCAAGTAAGTAATCAAATCAGTGTAAATGGTGGGATTTCGAGTGGGATTCTCGAATCATAAAAATTGATATTAATTCTATACCTTCATATAAAACCGAGGCTTAGTTAACAAATAATTTGCAAGATTTTGCAAATGACAAAAAAAAAAATATCTGAAGCTACAAAGATCAATTGAGCTTTGGAAAGAACTGGAGATTAAAGTTGAACAAAAAGTTTATCATCAAATTTTTTGATGCGCAAATGAGACAACTCGTAAAATCGGTGCGCAATAAAATTAAACCTTGTAAAAGCATAAATCAAATGCCAATATCCTTTATCAATATGAATATGCTGAGAAAACGATTCAAAACAAATTAATAATAATGAAACTATTTGAGTCTTGAGTGAGTATGACGCCTTGGAAAAGTCAACCTCAGGTTTTGCTGGTGAGAATGATTTCATGGCGAATCTCTGTCGATTAATATAATAATATTGATAACAAAGAAATAAAGTTTCACTAAACAGGAATATGACCTTTCAAAGCAAGATATTACAGTGTAATTGCTAATTTTCATTGTGTTTTATTTTATTCTTCGTTAAGTGTACTTAGTTCTTTATATCAGAAGCAATATTGATTATGATCAAGCAACGGAGAAAAATTTCATCAAAAACAAAATATTATTCATTAAACCACTTAAGCATCGATCTTCTGGACAAAAAACTGTAATTTTATGACATATCTCTGGATGGTTTTTAAATCAATTGAGTCGCTGATTATCAGTTCCGTAGGTATTAAACAAATATCGAAGATCGTTGATCGTCTAACTTTGAATTCAAAATACAGAACATCGCTATTCGTAATCTTTCTAACAAAGAAATTGGTTCAAGTTTCATTTTATTAAAGTTAAATTATATTTATATAAATTTTCAAAGACACTTTTGTTGTATTATTTGTCAAATCTTACAAAATGAACTTAGTTCAACTCTTGATAATTAAAATTTATATTCTCCATAAATTATTTTTAAAAGTCGTATTTTTATCGTGTCGTAAAACACAAAAATAAAATTTATTATCAGGAAAAATTTCCGATTTGACTGTATTATCATCAACGTTTTAATTTAATTTCAATTGTTAAACTCATCCTCATTTAATATCAAATACTTGGTTCGATCAACATAGGCTCATAGACATAACAACACCGCAAACATTGGTAAAAGTCTTTGATCCAATATACATAGCGTCAAAATATCTAGTCTAATCTAATCAAGTCAAGCTAATCATTTACAAATTTGAACCAGTATGGCAAAACGGAATATTTTAAAACGGAGAAGGATTAACCCTAAAACGATAGTCGAGCAGGATTTGGAAAACTATATAGTCAACAATATGATCAGAGGCAATGAACATAAAAAAAATCAAGCAGTTCATTCGAAGAAAATTCAATCGGTGACAATAATACTACTACTTTCGAGATTTTAGCTTTAAAAGCACCCGTTAATACCAAACTAGTCTATTCAGGGTCAATATTTGATTCAAGATGGGAGAAAATTAGGGACATTATCAAGCAAAATACTGATGACACACCAGAGAGTACGGTCGAAGATTTAGAACCTGAAATTCCGTATTATCGAGTTAATAAATTTAAAACAATTAAAGAATTACGTCTTGAAGTTACACAAGCCTCCAGTTCAGATCACGAGAATTTAGAGGAATCATCCGATAGTCTTAGTAGTGAGTTGGTTTTGAATTCCAGTGAGCCAGTTGTTACAAATTTGTTTACCATTAATACAGAAGAAATCGGTCGCCGGTATCAAAAAATTAAACTTGAACGTGAACCACATGACATTAATTCCTATGTTGCATTACATTCATATTACATCGAGTCACTTAATATTCAATTTTTGCCAGCCCCAAACAACTATATCTTGACAGGTGCTTGTTCACTCATCGATCCCAGATTTTTACATATATCCAACATGCTAAGCTGAGTCGATCGGTTGCGTAATTAATTTTCAAAATACTTGACTACGTCTTAAATATTGCATTTTATCTAGTTGAATATATAATTGCTATACATATTTTCTGAATAAAAATCCTCTAGAAGTCTGCCTAGAACTCTAGCTGAGAATAAAGACAACAGCTAATTCATCAGGGCATGATATAATTGAACTTATCGCTCTCACATTCATAAAGATGGCACTTGAAACTTGAAAGCTGGAAAAGTCTTCAATAAAATCTATACATCATATTACCAGTTGCAAGATAGTTTTTAAACGTGTTTGTGAGACCATCCAAAGTATCATTTCTACAACTTTCAACTTCTCCAATATATTTGTTCATGTTGGTATAATCTGCCAACATCGCATTCAATATCTCTTCTATATGTGATAATTTCCTCTTTTCAACCACCATCAGTACATGAAATGCAACTTTTTCTATCTCTAAATTTTTTTGAAGAACCAGTTGAATAGGTATTAAAAAATTTTGAGCAACGCAAAAAAGGTAGTCCCGAAGGTAGACAGCCATAGTGTAAAGTTCTTTTGTAGACCAATATCCATCACTAGGTACAATCAAATTGAAGTCGTTTCCTTCTCCAACTTTATCACTATCTTTGAGAGTAGTAATGGATTGCCTATAAAACTTCCATAATAACAGCGGTTGATATTTTCCATCCAATATGTATTTACTGATGTGCTTGAAAAACAAGGCTGTATCACAAATTTGATAATTCTCAACTATTAATTTTTTTATACAATTATCTTCATCAGAATCAATATCAGGGATATCTTGAATATTGTTATCATCAAGCATGAAATCGAAGTTTCGCAAAAATTCTATTAATTCAACCTTATTGATACCAAATGTGAATTTATTTGTCCAATTCTTAAATGATTCACAAGATATTAGTTTTTGCTCTTGATTACAACAATATATCCAATGGCAATGTATACTTACACGGTTTGAATCAGATATTTCATATATGAAATCCTCATAATTACCTTCAATCACAACCCCACCATTCAATTCTATTAAATGCTTAACATTTTCTATATCATTCATTGTTGGATCTAATTTAAACAACATTGGCTTTTCTTTGCATTTAAAGATTTGTTCATTATCATGTATGCTTTCGCTAGATACATCACTAAAAGCTATAGGTGATGATATCATTTTTTATCCTAAATCAATTTGGCTCAAATTTAATTTGAATTGATATGACGATTCAATAAATATTTCAAATATTTTTGATTTTGATTCAATGTATAAATGTGCGTATCATATGAAACAGTGAAAATCCTCAAAGAGCCACTTATTGTGATGATTATAAGCCGTTTGTATGTAAAGAATAAAACCCAATAGAGTTTTGCCTCTGGATAACCGAGATGAATTTTTTGTTGACAAAAATTGTACATCCGTACCGCAAAAAATATTTTTTAATTGTGATGCAACAAAAAGTTGGTACAGCTCATGAGCATTTAAAATAAAATATGCAATTTGCAATTAAAGTAGGTGGAATACCTTTTAGATACGTTTAAGAGTATACTAGAGTAGTCTGTGTCATAATTTGTAATTCCATTCATCGCTACAACTGAGCAGGAATCTACAAAAAATACACAATCCAAAACACTTCAATAAAGATGATATTTTTTTAAAGTAATATTTGGTAAATGGAGAAGCAGTTTTTCACAAGTAACCAATTGCTCAACTAAAATCTACAAAGTTTATTCGCAATTGAATTTACTGTTTTACCTTCCTTTTTCTTTGGCATTGGCTCAGATGTTGATGATGTTTTATTATCTCTATCATGTTAATCCAATAAATGACTTCTAAAAAATAATTTTTTTTTGACCATAACTATCTCTCTTTTCATTATACTCAATGGATTTATCTCTTTTATCAATGATTAAAAATGATTTGGAAATATTTGTTCAACCTAAATATGTTGAATTTTAGAATTAAAAAACCATTTCTTGAATCAATTAAATAAATAGTATCTTTGCAATAAAATTTTTTCATATCTGTATGAGGTAGTCATCAATCTTTGAACCGATTACTAGAATTTTTCAATTCGTTAACTAAACTTGATTCATATGTTGAATCACAATATTGTGGCCATCATCACTCTAAATCATAAACATCTCTTGCATTAGAGCCGAAATACGAATTAGGTTATATATCATCAATATTTGCACCGTAATTCTTTGTAATAACTATAAAAATATGTTATTAAAAACCCTAGTTTATCAACTTAATTTTGTTTCCAAGACGGATTTAATCCGGATATATACGGAACAAGTATACATTATTAATTGCATATTCTAATTCTTTATGCCCACTCCATCTTCAAATTGTATAATCCTCATGAATATTTACAAGAAAAATTTATTATGCTTTTGTTGGTAATGATATAGATTGATGAAATGAGGTAAATAGGTTGAATTTTGATACATTGTCATTTTTTTACAGGTTTTATCAATTCATAAATCAAAACCTTTCCGATTTTGGAGAAATGGGCATTCACAAAATTCCGAGATTTGTTGAATTTATAAAAATTTTCAAACAGTTGACTTTATGAAATATTCTCCAATATCTGATTTAGTTTTCATTAAAGACCCAGCTATTGAATCAATGTTATGAACTATCCAGACCAAATGACAAATCTACAACTAAATCAAATGCCAGTAATAATCAATCAATCCAGTTATATTCAGTTGTGAGAACTGTTAACAGTAAGAATATCTCTTGCACTGGAAGCAATACCACCAAGATAATGATTCAAATTTTTATAACTCGTTCCTTGATTTCTTATGATTTTATTTTCATTCGCTATTGATATACCACAACTTCCAACAAGACCTACAGTGATAACTGCAAATTCAAAAATTAATTGGTATTGATGTATATTCCTTATATATTGAATTTAATAATAATGCTGGTGTATCACATGAGTATTTACCAAGTTGACCATGCTGGAGTTTGAGTTTCTTTGAAACCTGAATATCATCATTTTTGAAAATGAGTTCTTCTACTACTTGAGTTTTGATATCAAATATGTTTTTATGAGCTACTGGCGCTTTCGCAACAAGAATATAAAAAGTTAAACGATATAAACTTTGAGTAAAAGTAAATTCGACAAATTTAACATATATCAATTTCTCCACTAATGTCTGGTAATGAATTCTTTCCTGGCAGGTTATACCAAATTTGATTCATAGTAATTTTAGGACATTCTGATATTGTAATTGAACAATAACAAAAGTAACCATCCTCTGACCCAAGTGAGTTCATTAATTCAATAACTGGTAATTTAATGAAGCTCCTTATAACATTATAGTGATTACAAACCACAACTCCAATTATTGATGGACCAAAACCTTAATATGCAGATGAGTAGGTGTGACAATTAAATGAGGATGACATAAGTTTCCATGGGAAACTTGGAGGAGCTGGAGCCAAGCAAATATGACTTTCTCTATTAATATATAGTTAGCAAGTTTTTAATTCAGTTTTCAAGTAAATTGATTTTGCGCAATTATTCCTGTTAGTTAAACTTAATAAAACATGATAATGAAAATGAATCAAGGTGCATATTAATAAAACTTGATACAATAGTAAAACAGCAAATTTAACACCAAGTGTAAAACTTCTTAGATAATTAGCCAACACATTCAATTAAGAAATTCTTCCACAGTGTTATATATCGAACTCACATTAGTATCATTATCCGAAATATACGTTAAATTTTCAACAAGATCCATTTTTGCCCACCAATAGTTGTTACCTGGTTCATTCACACATCGTACAACATTAACCGTCTGTAGTGATTCTACTGAAAATTCAATTTGCTTAATCTGTTTTTGCTGGTGAAGTTTGTCTCTTTATAGTTTTCTTTTCAGCATTCAGATTCCAAATAAATGATTACCAATTCAGTATTTCTGGGCATAGTTGTTGTAGTTGTTCTTCCAAAAGTAGATTTGGTTCTTTGAAAAACAATTCTTATGAACTAATAGTACTTAATCTTGATTCAATCTCCTCTTTCACTGTAGCCAATGTTCTAACCAAAATAAACTGTTTAATATGTGAGATTAAACACGTGAGGTATGAAATCCATTTTCAGAATATTTATATAAAATGACGATGTGATCAAAATTATTATCTTTCTTTAGCACATAAAACTCACACAACATCAACAAAAAAATAACAAGAAGAAGCTATTTCCACCAGACGACTTGTGCCGAAATTAATGTATAAAATTTGTCCGTGAGTTAGTTGAGGGTTTTTAACAGAATTTTTCATTTTGATGTTTTCACCGATCCTACAGCTGTGCTTTGCTCCTGTCACTTTGTTATTTCTTGGAATTTTAGATAAGAAAACTTCAAAGATCAAAGGTACAGTTGCGTTATCTTTTGAATAAATCGGAACAATAGCATTAGGGTAAAAGAACTTTTAGCAATCATACAAACATTAACTAAATTTAGACATTTTTTACTTGGTGCAACTATTGTTATAAAATCAGATCATAAATCGTTGCAATACTTAATCAATAATATAAAAACCACCATCATACAGATCATCAAGATGATTAGATGTGCTATCGGAACTCGATGTTACTATTGATCACATTATTGAAAATATCGATATCCTTGATGCATTATCTGGAAAATTTTCATAATTAGTTATTATTATGAAGAAATAAATTGTAAGAGGTGCAAGTACAATGCAAATTGAAACTAATTTTTCAGGCGAAGATACACCTGAAGAAATTGAAGAAAATAATTCTCAAGATGAACAAGCCTTTGAAATTTACTACTACCTTTCAAATCAAATAGATCCACTAAATACAATCAAATATACAATTAAGAAATTTAACTATAAAAATGGTGTTTTATATTATAAAGGGTTTGATTATAGAGCTGATCCATTTGAAAGAATTTGGATTGCATTTAATTTACACTATAAGATTATTAACATACATCATTCACCAAATACTACATTACATCCAGGAGCTGAAGTGACATATTTAGAAAGGTTTAAATTTAATTGCTTGTCAAATACAATATTAATTCATATTATATGGTTCAATCGTATATTAAGAAGTCTATCTTATAGTGAAACATACTGTCGTCAATATAGTTATATATAGATATTAATAAAATTCCATAACAGCCTAAAACCTCAACCTATATTATTACTTATATTACTTCCCGTATTGTTGATTATTAGATGGGTCGTTTGTTATAATAGCCTTTAATCATAATTTATACGTTAATGACCAATTCTCGGAGCGATCACTAATATTTGGACAGTAATGTCGATTAATGCGATCTAATGATCTCCTTATCTTTAAGTGTATTTTAGTAACAGCTTAAGCATCTCTTATAAAAACTTATACCTCCATTATTTAATGAGTAATTTCTTATTCATAATCGTCATCCGTATTTATCTTATAAACTTTTTCAAATAAGCTATTTCATAACTTTTGTCTCTTAAACTGATAAAATTTACAACAACGTCTGACTCAACTCCATTTTTCTTCATTATCTTTCTAAAATTCTAAGTAATGATTTGCTGTATGTATTCTTGCATGATTCAAGGTACTTTATCTGATAGTAAGAAGGTTCGTTTTAGATTCAAATCCTTATTGTGTATTATGATTATTTATAAAATTGAGACTAAATGATTATATAATAAGTAGTAGGTAATCTAAATACATAATAACTTCGATAAATGATCTTGTGATGATTAGGAAAAGACCAACTATATTGTTAATGTGATAGTTTAATAAATGTATTTATTGTACTTTTGTTTAAGTATTAAATTATTATCTTTTTTTTCGAAGTAGATAAGTAATTATAATACTGCAATTTTGAGTAATATTGATGATACAGATATCTATTATAGTAAAACATTTGTAAACAATTAACTTGAATTAATTGAAGTAATATTTTGCAACCATAATAAAGTGATCTCATGAATGAGATTGATTTTATAATTCTTTTATCGATCTACATAAAAGTTTAAATATTAAATAAAATTAGTGTATGTACAAAATAATTTATTACTGTAATAAATATAAATATAATTAAA